ACAACCGAGCCGACCTTCTCGATGGCCCCCAGTGTAAGTTCCCCAGGGTAAGGTAAGCAGGCAAGTAACGCGCGATGATCCCGTGTGCGTGTGGGGAATCCTTGCCTGCTGAGGAGGGAGGGGGGCCTTGTCGGGGAAATTGTGGAGCAGGCAGGTCCGTTCGAATGCGCTGACTCGCGAGCTTTTTCCTCCCCCCTGTCTTTCTCGGACACGGTCGCGTATTTGTTGATTAGTCGAGTCGCCTAGTGCTCTCTGGGCGGGAGTCTTGCCCGATTGGGATTGGCGCTGAGTGGGCGTGGAGTGCGCTAGTCGGACTATCGTGGACGAGGCAGGCTTGGCTGCATGCGGGATGGGGTTGGGAGTTGGGGGTGGACTGGTTTGGTTGGAGTATTGGATCGTTTCTCTCCTTCCTTTCGGCCTGACCACCCCCGGGGACACGTCTGGATGGACGAGGAGGTGCAGTGGGGGTGCATGCCCAGACATAAGGGTGGTCGAAGCTGGAAGCTTGGGGGTGGAGGCCTGTACATACAGACCACGTAGGGGTTCCTAGAGAAAGGGCTTTGCTGGCTGCGGATGTGCATGGAAGCTGTCGGCTGCGAGATACTGTAGATAGCTGTTGCTGACACGCAGCCAAAACTGGACTCAAAGACGAGTCTACCAATGGAAGGGGGTTATCGAAGGATTCGAGATGGAAAGAATCTGCCGATTCACCCATGCTGGCCGCTTGGAACTGTTTTCCACTGTTCTAGTCGCGGGTATGCTGAGTACTAATTGTGCAGAGCACCAATGATGCATAATCGAGAGACAGGGGCTGTATACACATCTCATTAGGGGGTAAACTAGAGATAGAGCCACAGATAATGGCTATGTATTGCTCCATGTTATCATCACTGACTAGGTGTTTACAAGCGACAAGACCATTCGGCCCTTCGACAAGCCGACTGTTCCGTCAACGAACTCGAAGCCATGCAGTGGGACGAAGCTCGCAGCATGCAGGACCAACACGCTACCACGACGAGGCCCTATCCTAGTCAAACACGAACGTTCGAGATCCAGTTCTGCAAGCGAGAGGTTTGCGAAATAGCTCCAGCAACCTAGCACTCCGTTCTACGTACTTCTGCTCAAAGCAGTGATATGCTCGCTGCAGTTCCAGTTCCTTAAACCTTATCCCCAGCAAACCCTGGTCAGTCAACCGTAGATCCTAATCCATGGCGTCGTACATTGTACGAGGGTAGCACTACATACCTACAAGATCCATGTCAGTCTTGAATGCACTTCTGGCATGTTCTATACGCGTAGGGAGAAAACATTCTGCAGCAAGAATTCTCTTGTGCTCCAGAACAAACTTTTCTCTTCAAGGTGCCACAGTGATCGGTTGCAGAACCCCCCTTTCACTGACACTTGGTATGAATGAATCATCGACTACGACTGTACGAAGTATCCAGCGCCGGTGTCCAAATCGATCTTATCACTCTATCAGTCTTTCGATAGTTAAGCATTAAGACTCTTTAGACTCCGCTCTCGGAGGAGCTTATAGGCCTCCGACCGAGTGGACCCGTACGGTCCGTCAATACGGACGGAGTTCCAAGGACTGGGGCTCTCTGGGGCCGACCGCTCGGCCACTCTGGGCTCTCGGTTTGCATCGGTTCATGTCCCACGGGCACGAAATGATTCACCGATTCCCGCACGGTAAACTCACCGTGTCCACCACTCTCCGGACGGAAAACGGAGACGAAGACGGAGAAGCACAAGTGCAAGCCAAGGGTATCTTAGCGTGGGGAAACTCGGAGGGAGACTCGGAGGGAGACTCGGAGAGTAGTATACAATGGCGCTGTACGCAGGAGGCGTCGAAAATTCTGATCGGAAGAAATAGGATCGTTGATGGCGATGACCCGTGCTTGTTTCTCATGCAACTCTGTTTCTCAGGGACTGCATACAGTCTACATACAACATACTACAGTAGAGTTGAATAAAGATAGAAACTGGGTGGAGTCGCGCAAATACAGTAGATCTTCGGAGGACAGGGCGCCCGTCCGGTGGCGAACTTGAAAATTCGATCCCTGCAGGCGCGAAAACTTCAAGCAAGCGTCAGGCACGGGGGTTCCAGCTTGCTACATCACTACATATGAAGGTCTCACAGTAGTTCACTAGTTCCTCGAATGATCGCGCTTGATCTGTAGGTTTGATGCGGGTGTATCTGTATTAACGTAATGATATTCTCCTATAGTGGCAACTGGCCAAGCCTGTTAAAGGAATGATAGAGGCCCAAGCTACAGAAGTTTGCTGGCCCCCACGTTAGCACATGCCTAATAGGCTAATATAAACTCTGGATAAGTATGTAATAATTAAGACAAGCAAAAAAAAGAATGTACTCCGTAGAATAAACCGAAAGAAATTCTTTTTTCTGTTCGGGTGTGGCGATCGTGGATACGCCAAGGGTGGGCTTCGGCCAGGATTCTAGAATTCTAGAAGGGCTGGGCGTTTATTTCCGCTAGCGGACAGTGTCGCATTGAACCAAGCGATTTGAGGCATATGTGCCTGCTGAATACGGACAACCAAAGAACCAGTGTTAGTATGTCGAGTCGTCGACTGATATTATTTGAGTCTCGATTTCAGCCGCAAGTCAACCCATGTCCACTAGTGGCCTCAGACTCTGTCCACCGTGTCAATTAGACTTTTATGGATCTTTGCTTTTTGGGTTCCCTGCTGAAAAAGGAAAAAAAGGTGATAAAGAATGACTCCTGACTGCCTCGGTTTTGGGAGTGCTTCGGCGTTAACCGGTTCACCGGCGCCGTCCATATCAAAGGGGAGAAAATGGCGCTGTGGATGGAAGGCCTGAACCCGACGGAGACAAAAGCCCATGGCCTGTGTAAGGATTGAACAGGACAAAAAGATTTGTTGTCGTAAACGCCCGTTCTTGCCACCACCACCTTCAAGCATCTCAGACCATATCTCGGATACGACGGAGTACAGTACTGGCTGTCAAGGCATTCCGAGATGTTTCGTGGCACGTACAGTAGATCAGGGCGAGCAATTGAGGACATTGGTTCGAAGGAGAATGATCCAATTCCAACAATAAGTTTAATGTTCCATCCCCATTCTGGTCTGGGAGTGATGTCTATCAAAGCTTCGACAAACACATTCCAAGCAAATTCCAAGGGAGATCGGCAGGGTGATTCACATCCCCTCCCACCTTTGAAGGCGCGCTAGACCCAACTGGTGGTAGTATTGGGGCTGGGAAGAATCGGGTTAGTTTGGGGGAATATTTCGTGTGACAATTTGTCCATGCCTGATTACCTAGCCTTTACCGTACAATACAATTGACTCCACTGCGAAAGGACTAGTGGCAGTGGCAGAGAAAATGACGTGACCCCCTTTCACTCCCTGCGACTGCAACTTCTCCAGCGATACGCAAGGGGATGTGCGTGTCACTAAAAGTATGCGGGGCACAGCGGGCACGCTGACTGGGCCAGTGGCCCAGTTGAACCGTGGGTCTCCAGGAAAGATTGACATTCCGAGACCGGATACAGGCGTGTTAGCGTCGCTGTGTTGGACACCGTGGGTCGTTTGGGCCTGGGGATTGGATCCTTGTGCTTATCCTCGTCCTGTTTATCAGGTAAGCCTCCCGTCGCGTCAGAGAAGAGGATCCCTTATCCTATGATATGATAGAAACAGGCAGCTTGGTCGAGGCATATGACTAGTGGATGTGTAGGCCGTCTCTGGACCATACCGAGGGAGATCTCTCCCGCCAGCAGTGGGTGGTGGAAGGAAGGCCACGAGGGAAAATCGCCACGCGGAAGGATTGGGCACACGCACTGGTTCTTCCAGAATGGACGGAATGGATTCTGGAAAAAAAAAAAAAAAAAAAAAAGAAGAATAAACGGGGGCCTGAGTCGTGGTCATGATTATTATGGAGAACAGTCTGAAGTACGGAGTACATATGGAGTACGGTGTACTCCGTACAGTTCTACAGTATGCCTGTCTGATAGGTGAGCCCCCGTTGGGTCTCTCGTCCCCCCTGCAGGGATTACTGGTCGTTGCTCTCATCCCTTGCGCCCGGCGCTTGTCGTAACCATGGTGGTTTAGAAGGAAGAGGTAACATCTAGAAGGCGAGACATTTTTGCCCCAAAGCCGAGGCATCATTGTCTCTCAGGAAGAATCCAAAATGAGGAAGGTCGCAGAGTGACCAACTTCCATTCTCGAAGCAGCACAGAAAGCCAGGGCCAGGCCAGTTGCCAGTTGCCACCAGGCATTCTTCGATAACCCCATCTTTTGCCAGTCCTCTTGGGCCGTCAGGTCATTCTTACATAATCGGATCGGGCCCAATGGGCGTTCGTCCCGGGTATCCCTCTCACGTAAATTACGAGAAAAATACCCCAAATACCGAAATTAGCCGGCATTACCAGAGGTTACCAGGGATTCCCGCTGCAAAATGACACTCCTGCCACGGTTCGTAAATTAGAAATCCGAAAATCCTTTTATTCTTCTTTTTTTCCAATCGATCGACGAATGATTCCAGAACTCCTCCCGCCAAAGTGGAGCCGCGCCCTTTTTTCCCTTTTCCTTTTTCTCTCGTTCTTTCGCCTTAGCCCTGGTACCCTCTGAACCTGACGACTGACCTGAACCTGACTATATCGATTCCATCATTCCCTCCCTCTTGGATCTTCACTCCACTTCCACCTCACTCTTTCTCGATATACCCACCTTTTCTCCCTCCCTCTCTCTCTCCAACTTCACAACTCTCTCTCTCTCTCTCCATCTCTCTTATATTTACACTATATCAGATCTTATCTCTCCATTCATCCTCCTCACTCTCTCTTTCTCTCTCTCCCGTCTCCCTCCCTCTCCCATGAGATCCTCCTGCGTCCACCTCTACCCTCACCAATATCCCTTCCTTCCCTTTTCTCTCCGGTCCCAAGCTGGATTCTCGTCCAGCTCCTAGGGGCGGACCGGTGAGAAAACGATCCAAGTTCCACGGTCCCCGCCACACGCTCAGCGCGATGCTCAAAAAGAAGTCCCTCGCGCCCGCCTTCTTCTGGAACTTCTCCCCATCCACCACTCCCGAACTGTCCCCAACCTCGTCGGACAGCGACTCCGACGAGGATATGGAATCATCCGGCTCCCGACCGGTCAGCCTGGCCGTCTCGACGGGAGCCTTCTGTCCTATGCGACCAACCTTGAATGAGGTCCTGGCCAATACCGCCGCCCCGCCCTACACGTTGTCCGCCTTTATGGCCTATCTCTCGCAGAACCACTGCCTCGAGACGCTCGAATTCACCATGGAGGCCAGCCGTTATCGAGATACACACGAGGCTCTATCTGCCCGTCTCGGTGCCGACGTCTTGACGGACCCGGACACGCGCGAGTCCCAGCACCTGCAGATGCTTTGGCAGCGGTTAATGACGGCTTACATCTTGCCCGGCGCGCCTCGTGAGGTGAATCTGTCCAGTGAGGTCCGTGACGGTCTCCTCCGCTACCGTGATGTGAACATTCCACCGACCCCGGATGTGCTCAACTCCGCCGTTAAACGCATTCACGACTTGATGGAGGAATCCATCTTCCTGCCTTTTCTCAACAGCTACACCTCTCCATCCATGGTGGCCCAAGCCGATTACCCCTTTGGCCCAGAGGACACTATGGACTTGTCAAGCCCGTCTATGGAGGAGCACCCTGTAAAGCGAATCCGTTCCCGCACTAAGCGTACGTCTCCGCAATCGTCCACCAAGGACCTACCCGCGACCGCTGGCCGCTCCAATGTCTCGCTCGGTGCGATGCATGCCCTTGGCAAGCGTGCCTCTGGCGCTCTGCTAAGCACCTCTGGCGAGTCCGGCTCCCTAGCACTCACGGACGACTCGAGCCCGCAATCGAGTCCGACCGCCGAAGAGCCCATGACTCCGCCAACCACGCCTCCAGCCAGCGAGCCGCATCTGCCAATCCACAGCCCCAAGTTGCGTACCGACAACCCCTGGAAGAAGATGGGCATGAAGCTGGGCTTCAAGAAGCGATCTGGGGCTGGCAGTGGTGGTACCTCGCGGGATCCCAAGATTTTGGCCCTGGACGACTAAAAAGCTTGCATTTTCCTCACCATATTTCCCTCTTACCGGCTACGACCACCTTCACATCATGATACGACTCCTCATCAACGACTCGATAAATACTTCTGTCATCATCTCCTCTTCCTATTGAATTTCGGATCTCGGACGAACCTCAAAAAAACCCCACATGTCACATACATCCCCATCTCGACACGCATCTCACACGACCCGACCCGATCCGAATCTATTCTGTTAGCGTTCATTGGCGGTGTATGAGAGCACGATGCATCAGCATACGAACCCGGCGTTGTGTTTTTTTTCTCTTCTCTTGTTAGTTTGCCTTGCATTGTCAGTGTCTCCTAGCGAGCATTGCGCATTTGATACATGTCTTTCCCCCAATCCTAACCCCTCTTCTCCCTGCGAATCTGCAAGCCCCGTGTTTGGTACGAGAGCGCGCGTGCAGGTGTAGGCATGGGTTAGGATTGGGGGAAAAGACACCACATACTCTGTGTTTCCTTTTTGTTTCATATCACATATAGAACACTGGATGAAGCCTGTTCGGCGAGTCTGGCTGGCTTGGGCGTTTTTTTTCTTCGTTTCTACCTTTATCATCGGTGCTACCTTTTTTGGTTTCACGCTCTTCACTCAGGCACTTGCACGGTGGATCTGTGTCGATAGCTTGCTACGATAGGACGGTGCTTCTTTTTGGATCAATTATCAATAGACTTGATACCCCCGATTTACCTTCTTTCCGTGTGATTCTGTATCAATTGTAGGGTTGCGAACTGGCGGTTAGGCATGCCGGCATAATGACAACATGTTCGCTTACGTGGGCTATAATAGCCAGCCTTCATAGTAGCCCCGAACACAAGAGATCGTCTCTCTGGGGCATTGTATCCACTGTAACAGGCCAGACACATACAATCTACCCAGTCTAATCTAGACTAACCCTCCTCCCACCCCTAGTCTCCAACGCCCCAACATCAACATCCCACCCAGCCGCCTGCAAAGCAGCCACATACCCTCCAAACCGATCCCCACGATTCAGCACGGCCAACACGCCCGCCACAACGTCAAAGGCATCCTGGCTCGCCTTAGCCTGATCGGTCTCTTTCGAAGAAGAAGAGAGAGAGGATTCAGACAACTCCCTTGCCGCGAGAAGCGCGTGTGCCCACCCCTTCAGCTGCGCTGTCACTGTACACCCTTTCTTCAAGAGGATGGAAGCATGCCATGTTGACGTTGACCCTGCCGTCGACGGGAAGAGGAAAAGAATGTACGGTTCGTCCGCGAAGAGCGTTGTCAAGCGAGTCATTGGGATAACCGTTTGGAAAGAGGCGCTTTTACGCTGGTCATTTTGGCTGCTGTAGCGCCGGGCATGTCTGAAGAATGAATCTAGCGAGATACCAATCTCGGCACTGCCTAGGTACGTTGTTGAAATCCTGGAACGAGATGTCCACTGTAGAGCGCTGTCATGGTGGAATATGCGTTCTTGGGAGGCGACCTGCGCCGGGGTGAGGACCGTGCAGCAGCCTGTTTGAGGGTGCTGGGATATACCCGGTTGCGAGGTTGATTCTTTTTTGAGGGTTATGGATTTTCCGGTGAGACTGATGTCCGTGTCGGACTCGAAGAGAGTTGAGAGGACGATGTTGGCGCGTTGCCGGTTTAGACTGGTCATTTGGACGGCGCGGACGGCGGCGTAGTTGAGGCTGAGATGGAGGGATAGCAGGGTGAGGAGGGCTACCCAGGTTGTTGTGAATCCGGTGACGTGTGATACTACCACAGAACCGACCTGGATAGAACTGTTAGCCAATTTCCCAATTCGAAGATGTAAGGTGGTGGACTACAAGGAGTATCAACTTACCAACATACCAACCAGCGAGATAACGGTCTCTTGCGACGAGTCTTTCTATCATGAGGTTAGAAACCGCGTCTACATCAATTTACCTTTACACGGAGAATTCAACCCCTTGCAAAAGAACAACCAGGAGAAAACATACAGCATTAAGCTCCGCCAAATTCCCCCACTTGGCAAAATGCGCACTCAAACTAGCCTTCGAACTTCCCCCGCAACACCACACAACGCACGCAGCATGCCGGCAGTACTGAGAACAGATACTCGCATGACCCCAGCCGGCACCATTGGTGACAGACAATCCAGGATCATGGCGAGATCGTTGAAAACGTCCGCCGCGAGTCGATATGTCTTGCATTCTGGCTCGAGGGCTGTGCCGACGCGGTGGGCGAAGAGAATTGTTGCTATACGTCCGGATGTGTCTTGTAAGATGTGTAGGAGTAAGGCGGATGTTGGGGAGGCATCTGCATTGCCGACGCCGACTCCTAGGAATTGTCAGTGTTCTGGTGTTCTTGATGGAGGCGATGGGTACTGTAGTTTGAAAGGCAATCGTACCTTGTAGGACTGCGCGGGAGGAGAGGAGTCCTGCTATTGAGCTGCAGAATGCTTGGAGGGAGTCCTATTTGTGAGAGGAGGTGGTTGTTAGGACTATTTGATATAGAGTCATTGGGCTTGGAAGGCCAAGTAATTGCAATAGGAACTGGCCAATTGACTCACAAATATTTGATAGCTATAGCTCTAGTCAGAACAGACGAGAAGTGTATTACAGGAGGTATGCTTGTGGATATACTCACGGTAGATAGTCATCGCTCACACTCTGGGGATACCCCGAGGGAAGAAACACATCACTCAGGTAGGTCACGAGCGGTTTTATGGACCATAACGAGGGGTCCGAGGTTGTGTCCTGTTTGACATCGAGGTCAATCTTGTGAACATAGTGTTCAAACTAAACCCTGATGTCTAAAATCAAAGAATAAAATAAAAGGGTAACATGCTTGCAGCGGTCATATGCAATTACCCTCGGACGAGGAACCTGATAGTGAAGCAAGACCATGAAGCCAGCGAGCCGAACGTCCCGTACCATTGAGCGAGACGTTCCCTTATTCAGATAAAGAGGTTCATGACTGTCTCCCAGCAAAGCTTGCCGAGTCGGCTTTACATCCGACAATTGGGCCTCGGGTATGCACACCGAATAGACTGTGAAACGTTGCTTACTAGAACATCGATCCTTCCACCACCCGAGGAAGCCGACTTGTGTGTATCCTGTCCCGAGAAGATGTATGTGGCAGTGGGATTGTCTGCCTCATCCGTTTCCTGAAAGGTTAATCGGGAGTCAGTGTCAGCGTTGGGAACCATATTGGTGTGATGGTGTTGATGTCGAAGTTGTTAAATGTCGAGGCTGGGGAAGGTTGGAGAGGCACGTGCGGGGAAACACGTACCCCCCAACGGCATTACGACCAGACCAGCGAGGAGACTCTACGAATGGAGACTAGACAGAGAGGTTATTGGAGATGAATTTCTTCATTGTTCAATTTTGCTCCCAGAGCTGAATAATGTCTCAGTGTAATCCAGAAACAGAATGGTCTCCAACCACCCGATTCCACGGAAATCGGTATCCGTGATCTATGGAAAAAAGAAAAAAGAAAAAAAGACCGCACCGCTTTTGAAAAGCTGTATGTTGCGCTTGAAAGTAGAAGGAAAATAACACCCAAAAGACAACCGCCAGCGCCAGAGTCAGGAAGAAAGACCGAGGGGAATCCAATGGACACGAAACACACCAACGAGAAAATGAACCCATGCCGCAAGCAGCGATGGGCCGGTTCCTGCACATGGTGACCATCGATCAGACAAGAAGGGGGGTATAACTCGATTCGAGAAGGAGGGACAACCGAGCGAGTGCCGCAATTCAACTGCAGCCGGGGATTGGATTCATCGCCCAACTCAACGGTCGCCCATAATCGACGTCAAAGGCCTAGTGTCAAGCGACACCAGCACTGTATCATAGACCCATCCACCGTGCAACTTCCATCATGAGAAGTATCGTATCCCATCGCTCATGGTATATGTAGATTCGAGAAGGAAATAGGAAAAGAGGGTTCGAGATGGAAATCTCTACCGGTAAAGACTTTAGGCGTACATGCTGGCACCTCCGGTCTCAACGGCATCGATCTCGGCCTGCGTCCAAGGCAGGCGGCCGAAACGAGCAGGCAGCTCAGTGCGATCGAAGAACTCGCCGGTCTTGGGGGTGACGGGACCCAGGGCAGAGCCGGGCTGGGCTCCGACGTGGCCGCTGAACTGGGCGCGGCCGAGGGGGCCGTGCTGCTGGGCCTTGGCGCGGTAGGCGGCGAAAGAGTCAGGGAGAGCGCTCACGGGGGAGGCGGGGTGCACGCGAGGAGAGTGGTCAACGGACTCTGTGTGAATTGGGGTTGTTAGCTGGGTGGTGGTTGATTTGGGTCATGGAGGCTGGAGCTCCTCCGGGCAAGAAGAGCAGAATTTCATTTCACGTACTGGGGACGGACCGCTTGCCGACGAAGCGGATCAAGGGAGTGCGGGCGGCGTTGTAGAGAGCGACGGAGGCACGCATTTTGATGGAGTGTGGTGTGAATTGAGGGGGAGGGTTGTTGGATGATCAAAAAGTCGAGTTTCACGGGGGAAGACTGTGGTGTGCGAAATCCAACGGGGCCGGAAGTATCCGAACCAACAACCCAGTAGCGAACAGAGCGCGAACTGGGGAGAGAGAAGGAAGGTGAGGAATTGGGTGATGAAACCGGGCTAACTAGCGGTGATCGTTGTAGGAGGACAAGATTGGTTCGTGATGGAAGTGTATAAGAGTCGAGGGGTAAGTGGAGGGGGAAAGAAAAGAAGAGCAGACGCGCTGAAGATAAGAAAGTCGAGAAGTTGGGCGTTGCCGTTTTGGGACGAGCCGACCACTCGGCGCCGACGAGCCGCCGGATTTTTATTGATTTTTTTACTTTTTAGTTCTTACGCCTTGACGGAGTTAACTCGTGTGGATTTCAGTATGTACGCATGTACGGAGTACGATGTAGTAATGTACCGTGTAGTTTGGAGCATTGCCATATATCATATGTCACCAGCAAATAGTTCGTTGGTATATTGGATGATTCACTCTCACAGCCGAAATAGTAATTAGTCATATACCATCGTCGGAACGCCCTACGCTTTCGAGGCGAAGGATCTCCTGATCGTGCTCACTCATGACGAGTTTGGTCTTCATTTCTCATTGGAAGCCGGCGCCGTGGAGGACTCTCTCCTCTCTCTGACTCTCCTCCTCCTCCTCCTCCTCCTCCTCCTCCTCCCCCGCACGTCTCCGTGAAGCATGCCACTTTACCTCCGTGGCCCGTTTCCTTTTGATTGTTGATCCAAAGTCTTAATTCCCATTTCCCGACCCTGCAAGCCTCCCCCCTCCGATATCTCCGATCTTTTCCCCTTTCTGCATCCCCGGTGAAGCTTCCCCAAATTTTTACGTGCCAGAAGATCGGCCTTGCCTGTCAAGCTGGCTCGTGCACCAATTATTATTCTCTTCCCCAGGCCACGATCTCATTCCTTCTCCTCATAGGGTTGTACAACGTTGATCGGATCTCCCCCAATTATCCTGTCGGAGCCCCGCAACTACCTTCCAACTGTGGAACAGACCAGTGGATAGAGGCCTTCAGGGCTTGGGGGTAAAAGACTCGGCTCGCGGACAAAACACACATTCCCTCCCTTCACTCTGGGGAAGCACCAGTTCTGCACGAAGACGGCCCCCTCACGCTTTTGGCTGAACCCGAAGAGAACGTCGCTGCAGGTCCTCGGACGATCCCTCGGTTGAAACGCTGGTGAATGTGCCATTCGCGGCCCTTGGACAGCCAGGCACAAGTCCATGAGAGCCAATCGCAGCCCAAGTGGTCCCCAATTCTTATCCATTACCCAATAGCCGACACACATAATTACCTGATCGCTCTTGATAAGTGTGGATTGCGCCACCTGGGAAGCTTGGACCCTGACTAACGCGTCCCGGGTTCACCCGCGCCCACCAAACCCTCCAGTTGTGCTTCCTTGTGCTGGTCCTAGTGCTGGCCCTGTCTAAAAACGATGCACGAGCTCCTCCTGTTCGCCTCGGTTCCCGTCCATCAGCATCATGGGCTCCTCCAGCAGCTGGCCGGGCTGACGGCCATGCAGCCTCGCCACGCCTTGGAGCGTCGGCTTATTTTCAAGGCCTTTCGTAAGCCTGGTCTAATCACCGGCCGCGTGGGCGGCAGCCAGGATCTGCAACAGGCCAGCGCGGGCGACCTGCAACGCGTGAACAAGATGCTCAATGGTGGCATGTTCTACACACAGGTTGTCGGTCCCGTGTCGAACCATGATTTTGCACCTACATCAAAGTCAGTGTCTACGCCGGACGCCGATACCCAGATGGCGGGGGTGGACGAGCCCAAGCCGCCCGCCCCGGCTCCGTCTGAGGCTGCCCATGTCTATGATTACGACCAGCAGACATGGAAACTCGAATTCCGGGATATTCCCGAAGCAGCCACCCGGTCCGCCGTCACCACTCGCGTGATGGCCAGCGCCGCCCTCCCGCGCGGAGATATCGAGCCATCCATGAATGCGTGGGGCTATGGGTGAGTGGCGTGCTTACTATGATAATCATGATCTTATGATCGCCAAGCTAATCTGATCGTCTCAGTTTCGTGACCGAGTATCTCGTCGAGGGGGATGTCTTTATCCACAATGACATTGTCATCTTCTTGCACCGCGTGTTGCATTATCCCACCGGTGAGAAAGAGCCTCGGGAGCCCAGGCGGAATCTCCCTCCTCTGAAGAAGATGGCTCCATTGGAGAAGACAGGCAGCTATGTCCTCCAGGCATCTATCACCGTCCAAGATGGGAGCAACCAGGAAACTATGAAGACGGCCTCCCAGCATTTGCTTGGGCTGCGGGAACAGCTCAAGTCAGCGGTCCGTCTGGAACCTGCAGACAGGCTGTCATTGGACACTCGAGCAAAGTAGATGCATCTCTTATGGGGGCAAACCCCACGAAGAGAACTTTTAATCGGCTGTCATGGATACCCGGAGAGGCAGCCTCCAGCGATTTCAGTTTGGTGAGAGATAGACCATTTGAAACAAACGGAGCCGTTAGCAGCGAGGATTGAATTGAGAAAAAAAGAGACATGAAATAAAATAACTAATATAATATTTGATACCCGCCAAATCATAAGACTCCCTCTCTCAGTAATTAACTGGTATCTTAGTAGAAGAGGCTACATACAGTAGTTTTCGAAATCAGTTAAACCTCCATGCTCTTGCGACTTCACTCCCGGAAAATATATCCGATGTATGCGAGATCTAATTGGATAAGGTGTTCCCGGTCTCATTTCAGACCGCTCTCTATAATAGTCTGTGTATTTTTACAATACAATTATGGTACAGTGGCGCTACTAAAGTCTGTGACCCCCCGCGCTGACCGCCCTTTTCTGCCATGAATTCTGCCATACTAAAACCTCCAAAAATCATATTCAATAGCTAAACCGAAGGACTAGACACTGGCAAAGCTCTTGTGCGAGGTTTAATATAGTTAGTGATCAAGATATTAAGCACAATGCGATACATAAATACGCGTTTCGGTGGTTGGTTAGGCTATGATAGGAAGGCGGTACCGCTGGCGGTCAAGCGGGGGGTCACAGACTTTAGTAGAGCCACTGTACCACATGAAATGTATTTTACACGAAACTGCAATACACCGCGGTCTCTCCGTGCTCCTCCTTCCCCTTCGCCAGTCAGTCAACAACTTCCTACACATCACACTTACCAGTTTAACTACTATTAGCCAAGGAAATATAGCTCCAAGTCTCGCTCCTGCAAAGCTCGTTCTTATACGGGATATAATAGACAGCGAGTCCTTCTCTATATCTCAAATGGCTAAACAGGCTGAATATCGTCCTTCCCTTATCTCACCCTCACTCCCCTGCTATCTTCACTTGGGGGACTTCATGAACAGTTTGGGACCTGACCCGTCTCGACCTGTAATAGATTCTCACTGGGTTATATGATTTTTTACTTGTGCCAAAAGACCACTATGCCAGCCGTCAAGGCTAAGATACCCAGGATCAATACTTAAAGTGCACATGTTAACTTATCCTTTGCATAACCCGACTAGAGACTTGCTCTATATCATCCTCAGTCATACGAAATAAATAAATTTATCTGATGCTACAGTAGCCGTGATCTTGAACATATAACGAGGAGCGTGGTGTACAAAAAGGTTCAGAGAATAGATAGTTCGAGCACCTCGAGCTCACGATACCTCATTTTGGAAAAATTGTTTGTAATAGAAAACACGATGTAGAAAATTCAATTGATAGTCAAATAACTCCTGCTTATTAAAAATTGGAAATAGCTAAACCATGACGGAGTCTTCCCGCTAATGTGATCGCGCATCACGTCCGCAAATAGTATACAAGTCGCCACCGATACTTCCTCGCCACAACTTAACACGAGAAGCACTGAGATTCTGACTAATCCCCCGAAGCTGATGAAATTGTGTGAAATATAAAGTTCTTATACTGAACATCAAGCAGTCAATTAACTTCTAATTTAAAACACTTTTGTCTTAATTCCAAGTAAGGAACAATGACTTCTCCCAAAGACGTGACCAGCATAGTGCGAGAGAACTTGCACCTCGTGTTTGGAGAGGCAGATCCGGAAAAGCGTCTCGCAGAGCTCTCTCGCCTATGGGTTCCTTCCTCCAAGAGTCTATTTATCGACCCACTTGGTCTGTTCCGTGGCCATGAGGCGATCAACAATCTTATCAGCTCTCTCCATGCACAGTACCCGGGAATGGCATTCACAGAGCTAGGTAAGCATATCTATATACCTTGGCAAGATCTCAATATTTTTTGCCGATGGCTCCCGTGGGTTTTGGTCAATTGTTCTCTTCATTGAATAACGCTGTGGAAAAGGCCCAGTTCAGATCTTGTATCAGAGTGAAGATGAGGACCTCCGTGTTGCAAGGCTACCGTGGGGATATGGTCATCCTGGAAAGGACACAGAGATTACCGGAGAAGATGTCGCAACAGTAGTGGGAGGAAAGATGGAGAGACTGTACACCTTTCTCAATGAGTGAAACGTAAAGGTAGGTAACAGAATGGTATCACCATGGAAGAGAAGTCCAAATTATTGATCTATATCTGGAAATGTTAAACTTCTATTTTTAAAGAATATTTCACAGTAAGTGATATAAGCTGTATAAATAGAGATGTATCTTTACCTACCAGGGCCAGCTCACTATAGTATAAGCGTAGCATTCTGTGTTATGACTTGCGTACGTAGAACGACGGTTTATCTGAAGGACGAGGAGTGGGAAGGACAAAATCGGACATGCGGGAAGGGAGCGAGTAGGGTGGATATCATAGAATCCCCTATAGATTCTCCCTGGTCTATAGAAAATTACTGTATCATTACGATGACTAATCCCATGTTGTAACGACTAACTATTACTATTACGGTTCTGCCTAAATTATAGAGCGGTGAACTAAACTGGATTAGCGCAGTCGTAAGAGTGTAGTGGTTGAACTGATTTCGAAAAACTACTGTATTACCCTTTTAGGCCAGACCATGTGACTTCGTGGAGCTCCCGCGCGTTTCGGCGCGTCAGCAACTCCGAACGGTCGCCAGTCACCTCAAATCACCACCACAACCTACCACATCCCACCAGAAGCCTCAATCACCACGCTTACTTTCGGAATCAGACCACCGTCAAAACGATTTCCCTTGCCCGAACCCTCAGAATGTCTGAAGGGGGAGTCAAGCGGCCTGCTTCCCCCACTCGGGCAATTTCCCCACCTCCACTTCGGCGGAAGGTTGCAACTGTCACCAGTAAGTCCTTGGCATTATGACCACTCAGAGTGCTTGGATGGTTCTGATTTGCTCTCTATAGAGAAGACAGTTGCGAATTTCTTTACACCCGCGTCGCAGAAGAAGCCCGAGCCTATTACTTGGCGGATCTTAGGGACGAGTTTGATCGTTGGTAAATATGTGCCGGAGAAGAGTGCGCCTCACGCGGTCTCGGAGCAAGCGCGGAGGATAGCCTCTTTTGACTTGGTGAGTGAGACTCCCATTAGCTCGGAGTCATTTAGGACTAGGATGAGGAATTGGCAATGTGGCCAGTTGTGTTAATTCGGTGGTGACCAGGATTCAACTCTGATCAAGACAATCTCGGGCAACACGTTCCCTAAATCGCCAAAGGACTGGCAATGGTGGAATCCTGCGGTTCCTGGGAAACTTCGAGAGCTTAACTCAGAGGGGTATGTCATATGACCGCAACAAACAGCAAGCTACGCTGATGACTGATGCTCAAATATTTCTTTTCAGCTACCAAGTGGTGATCTTCTCGAATCAGAAGATGATCAAGATCCAAAAAGACATCAAGCATGGAAACAGTGAATCAAAAAGCTTGTCCAATTTTAAAGAAAAGATGACTGCCGTTATGACTCAATTGGACATTCCCATGAGTGTTTATGCCGCCACGACCGATCCTGAGTATAGGAAGCCCCGCTTGGGCATGTGGCGCGAATTCCAAGACGACTATGATCTTGACGTCTCGGGAATTGATCTCAAGGGATCCTTCTTTGTCGGTGATGCTGCGGGGCGTCCGGGGGATCATTCGAATGTCGATCGGTAAGTTGCACATTAACTTTGATGCACTGTTGCTTTCTGACTGTTACTCTAGTGGGTTTGGGACCAATGCTGGCATGGGTTTCAAAACTCCGGAAGAGTTCTTCCTTGCCCATCCGCCAATGGAAGTCTCCGATATTTTTGACCCAGCTTCATATATCAAGTCAGAGCCGAGATCGCTCCCTGCATGTACTGGCCCAATGTGCACCCCGCAAAGACCTATGTGCGAGTAAAGCTGACAGACCTGCGTTCTCAAATAGCTTCATTTGCCCGCAAACACCCGCTTGAGCTCGTCATCTTCTGTGGTAGCCCAGGCTCGGGAAAGTCCACTTACTTTTGGAAAATCCTGGAACCCCTGGGCTATGAACGGGTCAATCAAGACAACTTGGGCTCGGTGTGTATCCACTGCATACCTGCACGATGTAGCGATCAGACTACTGACTCAGCTAGCGACCGAAATGCTTGAAGGTAGCTCGAGAATTCCTCGAAGCTAAGAAATCTGTCGTGGTTGGTAAGTCATGGTCTCCTTATCGGTTTCCGCTCAGGAAGACCCAGGTCAAATATTTCTGATCGCTGAACAACCTGTCTTGCAGACAACACAAATGCAAATGAGGAGACCAGAGCATACTGGACTGCTTTAGCGAAAGAGTTCAATGTTCCCATCCGGTGTATCCATTTCCTGTCACCACCGGGGCTGTGCAAACACAACAACGCCGTGCGATCGTCGAACAAGGAGCTAGTATGTCCTGACACTCTGTCGCCATTTTGTGAAGAACTGCAAAATGCAGCTCCTGGTTGTAATACTGACATTGTGTTTCTTCATAGAACCCTGAAGCGAGACAGTCCCTCCCCGGCATCGCATTCGCAGATTATGCACGCAGATACAGGGCACCTACTCTTGAAGAGGGGTTCGAGGATATTATTCCCGTGAAGTTCCAGTTCAAGGGGACGGAAGAGGAAAAGAAGTTGTGGGGCCAGTATTGGGTTTAGTCTGGGTCAACCTGTTCTAAGGCCGCATGTGTGGATGCTTCTGCCTTGAAACAAGATCAGATCACTGGAGCACGTTTCTATGGATGCATCGTCTTATCTGTCATATACACTCCTCTCTGGGCGGAGTTATTATCCCTGTAACAATATACCATTTGATACATCTCAATCACTTGAGATCCTGAGCGCCACACGTTCCTCACTCTATCCTAGTGGAGAAAACGGCGGAAATCTCCATCCCGTACCCAATTGTGTTACGACTCTTCCACCGATGAATAACCACCAAGTCCCTGTGTACTCTCAGCTTTCTTGCCTCGCTGACGAGGAATGATGAACCCAGTAGCGAGATAGATGCAAAAGACAGCATACTCCATGACCAGACCCATCAGCAGATATGGGGTAATCGGACCGGCCAAGTCATTCCATCTATGATCAGACGGGTGGATGACCGAAAGGAAAAGATACGTGATGCGAACAACGATGAATGGGAGGGCGATAGACATAGCTTGAAGAATCTATGAAAAGCACATCAGTTATGTGGTAGCCCATCAAATCCAGAGATGCACCTACCATTTTGTTCTCCCTTGAAAGACTTGAGAGATGCATCCAGAAATAACCCTGAACACCAAGCAGACAAGCCACAAATACCACCAAACAACTGTACCCTGCTTTGACGAGCTTGACGCCAATGTCTACATTGCTGGCACTGTCACTGCCCTCTAAACAGCCACCTGCAATTTGAAGACCGAGGCCCACGAAAAAGAGCACACGGGAGAAAAGTAAACACCGACTGATCTGTGGGTTTAATTTATCCTCATTCGCCACTCTGAATAGTGTTCACTGTTAGCGAGCCGCGTACTGGATATATATGGCTGGCTGGCTAGCTACTCACATAATTCGGACCAAGCCCATTGTAGCTGCTACCAAGGGGAACACGCCGGCGTTTAGAAGGATAGTAGATGCTACCATCACTCCGGTGCTGGGCTTGTACTGGTAGATGAGCACCAGAATACCGGCAGTAAATCGAACTATGGGAAACTGTTAGATGTATTCGAGGTAAGAGTGTAAATGGTTTGTTATAGGGGGTACATACTGAGCGAGAAAAACAGCAAGATGATCCATGACATGCGCGGACGGTTGTGGCGGTAGCATGCTAGGTATGCAGAGACAGCAATAGCTGGAATATAGAACACAATTTGCGCGATGCTGACTTTCGAGTGGTCGTTGAGCATGGCTGCGGAAATAAGCTTTCTATTGCGCCGCGAGAGTTCAGTGCTGGTTTGCGAGATTCGAATTTTTTGGATTGAATCTACAAGAATCTACTCATCCAGCGTTCTTGCAGCTTCTTATAAGTTTCTTCCCTTTCACCCATATCGGCGCCGTATTCCAAAACAGCGGGCTGTATCTCTTTTCCAACTATTCGCCTTCATACTCAATTAGGGTGGGATCTTGCGGCCTGAGGCTGTGAGCAGGAGTGGAGACCCTCGCAAGATCAACGCCTATTTGGGTTTAGTGCCGTTGAAGGTCAGATCCGAGATCCACCAGAGCGAGTCAGCAACATCCTGTCGTGGGCCTGATCAGTACTTTCGGTCTGGCCTCGTCACTTAGCCTCATCATCAATGACCACAATAAAGTCAGGTTGGGATTGATGTCGTATGGGTCAAATCTCCGCCACTTTGGCCCACCCCTTTCCTTCTGACTGCGCCCCGATCAACGAGGCTCAACAGACCTGTTTTGAAGGGAGCAAATATACAGTCAATGGTTGATCCCGTGCGCTTGAGGACAAGAGCTCATATCGAAACTAATGCATGAACTGATCCGCTATGGTCGGAGTAGCGGGAAAGTCCAAGGGTTGCAATACCTGTCGGGCACGAAAGATTGCGGTAATCTCATCTCAGTATACGTCCATCGTACCCAAGATACTAACTTCAGAGAGATAGTGTGATCAAAGCCGACCAATGTGTGGTCAATGCATTCGTTCAAACCGAGTCTGCGGTGGGTATCAGAAAAACCGTGTCTTTGTACTAGTGCAGCCTGCAGCCAAGAAGAAGCACATCTTTCTGCGACCTCTTATTTCAGAGTCGGAGCCAAATTCAGCATTCACACCAAATGCGGTGGATTATTCAAGGGAGAAGACGACGTTATACGAACAATCTGCTTCTACTATAATTCAAGTCAACGACATGACCCATTCCATGCCTGACATTAGTCCGGCCAATGCGATGATGCAGAAACGTAATGATTGTCACAATTTGGTACAGACTTTTCTCGCGGACTGCTTCCCATCACAACGATCCTCCCTGTCTCCTAGATCGTGGATTACATTGCTGGTTACGCTGCCAACGGAAGTCAAAGCTCTGCAGCTCTCAAGTGCAGCAGTTGCAGCATCGGCAATCGGCCGAAAGTTTCACAATACCGCATTAGTCAGGAACAGCCACAACCTCTATATCCAAGGTCTTCGACATTTACAACACGCTTTGCAAGATCGCGCTCTTGTGCGAGATGACGGGACGCTTGCCGCGTGTATGGCTTTAAGTCTTTACGAGGCCATGGAATGTCCGAGCGGCGGATCTGGGGCTTATTTCAGCCACTGTGAGGGGATTATGGCATTGGTCCAGGCTCGTGGCGTCGAAGCCCACTCTTCGGGCGCTGGTCACCAGTTGTTCCTTGGTGTCCGGATTCCAGCTGTAAGTTCCCGATCTACGAGGTCAAGCCTCATTATTGTGAGTTTCGAATGGGTACTTACTACCTCATAGATATTGTACGCTTTGGAGAGCCACTCTTTAAGCTTTATCTCCAGTTCTGCATGGATGAACTATCCCTGGGAAGGGAAGCTTAAGAACCCTTTCACTCAGATAGTGGATTGTCTGGCACACGCCCCAGGCATTCTCCAGCGGGTCCATTTGCTGGCCGGGCTTGATCGGCAAGAGCAAGTCGATATGTGTGATACATTAATCAATGAGTGTTGGCACATTGATGAGAGGTTGGACGTGATATCAGACAAGATGCAACAGGCCAGTCCAGATCCACTATACTGGCCTGTTGATTCTCGAATGAACCTTTTATCCCATTCCAAGGACCCGAGAACGCCTTTCCCGGCTCTATTTCGTTTTGTGGACCTCGAAACTGCCAACTCACTTATACTACTCTGGGCGATACGGGTTATGCTCTGGTCAGGCCGTTGCAATCTATACAGATTGATGGATTCCGACTATCCAATTCCTGATCCTATCACGATACAGATAGTCTCATCTCCTTCGAGGTCCAGAAAATCACTTCCTCCCCTTGGTCACCGAAGAGATTATGTTTCTATGGTGCACCACGTCTGCCAATCAGTTGAATACATCTTAGGAGAGGAGATGCTACTAGCCGGGCCATTATCGGTGACACCGGCTCTTGGTATTGTGCTTGAATCTGTCAGAGGTGAAACCAGTTGTTATAGGGAAGTTGCGTGGTTACGAGCAGCCATCGATGTTGCTCGACAGCGAGGGCTTGGTCTTCTACAACACGCACGATAATCTAATCTATGTGAAGCCCGGTACGGTGAAATCAATTGTTTTTTCTATATTCTCTACTGTCTAGTCCTATTCAAATCGAATATCATTGTTCTGTAGTTTTCCTTGTTATGTCACCGTGAGGAATTCCTTGGAACTTGCACGCCTTTGAAAACGATCGCCACATTTCCTCAGATAACAAGAATGTAGTATTTATACCTTCTTAATCACCACAAAATGTCTCGCAGGCTGAATCAACGCTGAGATGAAAATAAGAGAGTGTGCCAATTGAACAAAAGGTGCGCAGACCAAGGTGAGAAGAACATGTAGTATCATGGTAGCTGGCGACACGGAATTCAAGTGAAAATCTTGGAGTAGACTCGCTACAGCCAAACTGTGTCCGTCCACAGTGATATTCCACAAGACCCATGAGAAAAATAGATGGAACACCGAAAATCGCCACTTGCTAATGAAGCTGAGAGAATTTCTACTTTGGGGTCAGTAAATAAACCAAATGAGAGGATATCATGACAACATACAAACTAACATGGGTGAGAGGCCCCAGCATGGGAATTACAAGTGCCATTTTGACTGCATAACTATCCATGGCCATGATCCCGCTATACCATCTTCGACGTTGCTGAATCAAATCATAAAGACTTGTTGGAGGTTGTTCTTGTGAGGTGGCATGGATCCAACCAAACTTGAACTTTCGCCGAGCAGCCTGTGAATACCAATCAGCTAGTTCTCCACGATCAGGCCAGCTAGAGAGCACACATGAAAAGCAAACCAAAAGTCTTCAGCAAGACAATCAGTTTCCCAAGTCACGGCATTCTCCACAGCGCCGTTGATCAATATGAACGATCCGTGCATCCAACCAAGTAGCGGACGTTTGAAAAGTCGGACTGGAAGTTGGAAGCGACCAAAGTCTTCAGCCACTCGGCAAATTTCAGCGGTTGTTAGGAAGGCGTTCTTCCAGTAATTGTTTGCAGTGTAGTATATCGTTCCCTGGAAACTCCTTCAGTACCATATGCAAAGGTGCCAGAAACACTGGCGCGACAAAAATGCTTACCATCCCAACGTCTTCTGTCCCTCGTTCAACAAAGTCAAAAGCAAGCCTTCACCAAATACTCATTGACCTCGGTTTCTTCATCTAGGTGGAGAACCCAATCAGTCTCTGATAATTTCAGTCGTCGACAAACCCACTCCAGAGCGCTTCCTTTATACTTGGTATGGGCCGGCTGGAATGAGTCCGGTACTTGCACCACATTGACAAAGCTTGGGATTAGATCCTCAAGGAAGCTCTGAGCAGAATCAAACACCACGTAGAAGCTGATATTGGTATAATACTTGCAATCTGACCACAGCTTTACTGAGTTAAACACAGTCTGTTATAGGGCTGTCAATTACGTTGCAGCGAAAAGATGGAAAAAGAAAACAGAAAGCTGGCTGACGCTTACCTGTATATTTGTTCCCTTGGTAACTGGACAAACTCTTAAGCTTTGACCTTAACATCCGATGGCCAATCAAGGGACAGCCGATGTGCGACCCTCCTTGAAAAGAAATCCTCCTGCTTTAATCTGTATAAAACGCCATTTTATCTCACGAATGTGGAACTTTCTCATCTTCACGTACGGCCCCACATAACGTCCACCGAGAGAAATATAGAGCCTCCACCTCAACTGAAAGCATAGCACCAAGTTACGCAGAATCTTGGCTCAAGGTATTCTTTGACACCTTGAGAATATTTGAGCTATCTCAAACTGATTGGAATTATCTTCCTTAGTTAGAAAACGCATTCGGTGGCAGAGTTTCCCTCAAAGGAGACGTTTCAGATATACAAAGACAGTTTGCGGAACTTTCTGCTGCCATTTCTCTAAACTATCAACCTTTTGAACACGAGCTGGAAGTATCGGATGGTGCCATCAACGGTGTCCTATATCTCATCTATGCATCGAAAAATGAACGTACTTCTTTTCTGATTGGAGTATACATACATGGCGGTGGCTACATTCTGGGAGACCTCGAAGCCGAGGATATGATTTGCCGTACAATTTCCAAGGAGGCAAAACGATTATTATCAGCGTGGACTATCGCTTGACACCCGAGCACAAGCATCCGGCTTAGCTCAAAGATACTCTGGTAGTCATTGAATGGGTAAGAGCATCTAAACTCATTAACACTATCTAGGACTCGCTAACAGTATGAGGCAGGCATATGAGAATACGGAGACCTACGGTGGGGATTAAAGCTGAATTTATACTATCAGTACCTGGGCTGGTGCTGCTTTGGCACTCCTCCTTGCTCGGGATATTATATCTGGGCGATCCTCAGTGCCTCGGGATGGTTTACGTGGCGTGGTTGCAAATAAGCCCACTAACCGCTCATCCCGAGAAAATTCCAGCGAAATATCAAAAATCTCATACTTCGTATAATGAGTTTGGAGAAGGTGCACCAGTTCTGACGCGATCGGTCCTGGTCCAGTTCCTGGAATACGCTGGTGCCGTTCCAGACGACGCTAGGTCTTTCATCCTGCTTAATGACCACGTACTTTCGAAATTTCTCCCAGTGTATATCGCAAGTGCAGAGTGTGGCCCTCCTCGGGATGACGGGAAAGTCTTAGCAGGTGGGTTGAGACAGGGTGGTGTCGATGTTTGTGAGGATGAATACCAGGCCATGCCTCATTGTTTCTGGTTTTTCCACGCCTTTCCCGAGTGGTCAGTGTTCATAAAGAACACAGTTTCTGCCATTTTATGGATTAGCGACAAGGATACTTCTCTGCAGTCAAGCTATGTTATGAAGTAGAATGGTAATTTAAGTTTACGAAACAGTGAACATTCAAAGTTGAAGTTGTTTGAGACATAAGATATGTATTGCGCAAAAGCTCGACCGCCACCCACCAATGGGCAACAGCACAATGAGCAGAGTATATACATACAAGACAGCGCTTTTTTATCTTTGAAAAACGAACCAAGAAAAACAAGATATGAGTCAAGTCTATTGAATGCTGATGACATATGATGTATGCAGAAGGTCGTGGGTATATCGTGAAGAAAGAATGGACGGGTTCGAGCCCAGCCAGGGATACACAGTCAGCCTGTGCTCCCTCGGCAGAAGAATCCAAGAAAATAAGAACAGAGTGACTCGGAAACGAAGGAGACGAAGGAGAGGCATGGTTCCGGTGCGAGAGCAGTAGTCGCAGATCCGGACCGTGAGTCGTAAGAGTCATCATTGGCACAGAAAGAAAGACATTAATCGTGAGAGTGCGAGCTGGCCCGGCAGAGGTAATGGCTTTATAAAGCCAGGTAACGCCGGGCGCGAGCTGCAGTAAGTCTATAGGGTCATTATCGTAGGCGGAGTCGCTTGAAAGTATGCGAAAAGATAAAAGAGAAAAAAATGTTGGTCAAAGCGTCGCTCAAGGTCGGCCAACCAAATCTTGGAAGAAGCGGAAGAAATTGCGCTTCTTCAGTGATTTCGTCCGGCATGGGCCTGCAATCTCAGCGACCGGCGACACGGTCATCGGTCCAACAATGTCCTCATCACCCATCTCGGGGAACTTGGCGTTGTCGTGAAGTCGGGGGACACAGACTTGTTCGCAGGGGCGCAGCTCGGTGTGAGTCAGAGTGAGCGCAACACCATCGACGGAGCCAAGACCACTGAGGATAGCCTTGTGTTGTGCGCGCCATTCGCGGTCAATGGAATCCCACTTCTCGCCAGTCAGCTTGTAGATGTTGGAGGTCACACCGTAGTGTTCTCCGGTACGGACGAGGTGCTTGGCGAAGTTGCATCGAGCGATGTCCCAGTCTGCGCGCAGCTGATGGAAGCTTTCCAAATCACACGTAGCTGGGGCGTATGGCTCGGGTTGAATGTTGAAGTTGGCATGGCCGAGCTTGTTGGCCCACTCATCGTTGGGGTCGGTGAGCACGAAGGGTGCTGGCTCACCAGAGATAGTGCGCACCGTGCTTGCGCGAGGCCGGGAGATCGACGCCATGGAGGGCTTCGAGGAGAGGGGAGGGGAGGGGATGCCGGTCACGGCGATGAATCGTGGATCCGAAGTCATTGCGTAATGTGCGGGTTCACTCACGTCTGCAACGGAAGGCGATTGCAGTGGCGATTGCACACGCGATGCGGTCACGCTCGTGGGATCGTCGCCCAGCAATGGCGGAAGAAGAGGAGTGGTGGCTTGTTGGGCGTCCTCGTCATCCTGGCTCAGGCTGTTCGCGCGAGCGATGTCAATTGGCCGTGAGCCTGAACTGCTGACGTGCTCCTCGAAAATTGTCTGGGCGGGAGATGGAGGTACATGCGAGTCGATGCGACTGATGGGGGTGGAAAGGATGGGACTTGCTAGCGCGGAGGAAGCGGCAGAATTGGCGCGAGATCGCAGGTCATCAGAATAGATGTCTCGTTCGGGACTTCCCGATGCGCGCTTGGACTTCCAACGCGAGGAGACAGTGGACATATGCGAGCCGATGCGCGAGACGCCTTTCATTGACAAGCTATCGGAGCGGCGCTTCTTCGGCGAGTGAGGGACATCCATTGCAGCATCACCTAAGTCGTAGCTGTCTGAGGGGTCCGTGGGGAAATAAGCCTCGTCAGTGGCAGGTATGCCGCATTCAAAGTGTTCTATCAATCGCATCTTGTTAGTATTGTCCCCACACTATGGCTCACTGGGTAGAAACCAGAACAACATACGAAAATATTGATCTTCTAGCGAATCGCGCGCACAGATTTCTTCTTTCACACCTGTCAAGTGAGTCCGGCTGGGGCTATCGATTGAGTTTCCAAGACCGGTAGACGGGACTAGGGAAGAGACCGAACTCGAGATGCGATTATGGCCTGCGACAGAGAACAGAGAAACCGCGGGCGAAGCAGGAGCTGAAGTATTGATGGTTAATGGCGACTGAGTGAGGCGGGGAGAGTCCATCGCGTCGAGAGACTCTCGTTGCGCGTCGATGATCTGAGACAGTTTACGCATTGCGCGAAAGGCGAGGCCGCAAGGCGTCGCGGGGCTGGTGGGAATAGGGTCGGTCGCTGTACAGCATTGGAGGTGGAACGAGAGAATGGGTGTAGGGAGGTGACGCTCAATTAATGAGCGACCGAGCAGAGACCGAAGGAAGGAGTCACAACGAGTGATAGTGATTGCCTAATGACGGGCCTGATGGAGGTGAAGAACCCGATGTAGACGTGGCGGTGTGATGCAGGAACTGACAAGTCCAGGAACGAGTCAATTGGGGGGTGACCAGTGGGACAATCCAATAAAGGCCAGATGGACACGACGGAGCAGAGAAAAAAGGAATGCCAGCGCAGACGTGGGCCAAACAGGAAGTCGATGGAGGAGGGGGGAGGTACTGCCAGCTGGCTGGGCAGGAAAAAACTAGGTCGGCGGTTGCGATGACTCCAAATCAGCAAACGGGCCGGTGATAATGCGCCCAACAAGGAGATCCCCGCTACAGTGCAACCCCTGCAGGAGGTCGAGGCAGGAAAAGGGGGGGGGTGGTGATATTGACGATGTGGTAGAAAAAGGAAAGAAGAGGAAGAGAGAGAAAGAGAGAGAGGAAGAGGAGAAAGGCACAGAGGAGAGGAGAGGAGGAGGAGGAGGGAGTCACCGAAGGCCAAAGAAAAGAGGAGGACCGTCTAGACTCTACACTCTGGACCACCCAAACTGCCCAAACAACCCACCACTACTCCTCTCACACTTTCACACTTTCACACTTTCACACGTTCACTAAGCAAAAAAACCCACCGAGCTAGTCGCCTTCCCCCCCGGAGCCAAAACGGTTTTAGCGGGCTCTTTGTCTTTCGCCCACGCGACAGTCGCCGATCGCCGGTTCGCTTGCGTCAAAGAAATTTCGCTCCGTCGCGTTCCGGTGGTTGACACGGTCGAGATCCAGGGAACCCCCCCCCCCAAAGAAGAATCTAGAAACTCGGGAAGAGTGGCCCTTTTTGACCGCTTCTGCCAGATAAACACCTTCCGTCTGGATCCTACGGCTGTCTACATCAAATGGTGGACTGTCAACACCCTCCAACGGCTACACAGGGCATACGCTGTGTATCAGATCCGCTGTGCAACTGGGGGCCCCTCCTCCTCCCCCAAGACCCTTTGGGACTAAACAAAAAGCCCCCATCTTCATCGTTTGCGACCGGAGCAGAACCTAACCCAAGCCCTGGGATGCCCTTTCCCATTCAGCCGGTGCGAGATCGGCGGTGTCTAGACTGCGCCGGTGGAGAGTCCCTATTATTATCGAGTCCCCAGCGAGTCCCAACTGAAGATGACTGGCTTATGATGGCATTCCCCTCCTCGCTCAACCACTCACAACAGCCCGGATCAAGCTGAGTAAGCTGTTGGTGGTTGGAAAGCTGGAGGAGCGGATTGTTTTTGAGACAGGTCGCTGCTGAAGGAGATGAAATATCGTCATTCCGTCTGCAGCCCGTGCTCCCTTCTGGCCCTGCTGGGAGCTCAACGGTACTTTTGACTCCCCATCCTTCTGCGGAAGACCTCGCGGTGCATCCACCCGCCCGTGGCTAATCTGACCAGACGAACAAGAACAAGCCTGAAGAGACACGTCGCACAAGCGGCCCTGCTGCGTAACGAGGGGCGGCCCTCTGCCAGTGCCGCCATAAGAACCTTAGTCTGAGGACATGGGATGATAGAGAGAAAGGCAACAAGAAGGCGTAGATCCATCCATACTGATGTTACACAGCGGTTCTTTACACTGCCATCCCGACTCTAATCCCGACTCTAGTCCCGACTCTCACTGCGTGGTACGATCAGAGTCGGACCTGTGCACCAGCCCCGAGTGGCACTGCCCACAACCAGCAAGGGCCATCTACTTACTGTAATTGTCTCACTGCTGGTCTGCGCTCCCTAGGCACTCCCAGACCTTTCACCGAGAGCCCAACTCTCCTCCGAATACTACACGTCCAGCCAATCTCTGCGACAGTACAAGGCAGGCATCAGCATGATTCTGCAGCAGTACAAAGGACAGACAGAGAATCCCATACAAAGCAGGTCAACAAGGATATACATATACGACATGTCAGCACTTGGTAACCATTTAGTTAACAATGTCTGGCACCTGACGTCAGATCCACATGTTCTCGGGTTCTCGGGGTCTCGAGGAACATGTCAGCAACAGTTCATTGGAAGCGACCCCTCGGAACCAAGAATCCATGAGAATAAGCAGCCGGAACCTGCGTAAGAGGCAAAGGGGTTGAGAACTTGGCTCTGGGCCCATCACCGATGCACCATGGATGGCCACCCCGCCTCTCCCTGCCTTTCCGTTGCTTCTGTGCCTCTTGGCAGTGGCTCGGGAAGAACTGTCGGCTTCTACTCCGGTGCTGACAGAGAAAGAATTGGATAAGCGGTTACATACAGCTCGCGGTCCAGAGTCGATATTTCGCCTCTTCTGAGTATTGATACAAAAGGACTGTACATGATTCTAGCATGGGTGATTTTTCAGTGACCGGAGCCTGGATTTGTGCCTTTCTTTGCCTCTTTGACTTTTTCCTTTTTTTTTTGGTTCATTATTAATTCTCGGTTCATCGCTTCCGCCACCAATCACAGCGCTTTTACTCGGTAGCGAGCAGCGATTGGCTCAAACCTAATCGTGGTTATTCGTCTGGTCTGAAAGGGGAAGGACTACAGATTCTGGTTACAACATCCTTGGATGATGACTAAAATCCGGGCAACATCACTCCTAGTTAACAAGTTAACTAAGTAAGTTATCTATGACCAAGTATGACATTGCTATTCTCTTGTATCCTGTAGCGACACTGCAGAGCCAAATGTATGTTTCAGTGGATGTCAGAGGCAGTGCCCGTCCAAAATAGTTCTACTCGTAATGCTAGTTGCGATCGGAATATCTTGCGAGGGTCACACTCGCACCTGAAATAGTGCATGGTGTACATGACAAGGTCGACAATACAATGATAATGCACCAGACAGAAAGAATGAAGTATATTGCTTATCGATGGAACACGGTTACAACCATACAATGTACCAACCACATGCGCGCATCATGACTTCGAGCCGAATACCAATAGATGTGATGCATTCCCAACAATCTCACCTAGTAAAAGACCCATAAGGTGAAAGGTACTATTGTGTCCCACCAACTCTTGCTCAACAATATGCCTCGAGCAGCCATCCATTGCCAATCAACTCCCCTGCAGCCACCCATCGGGACAAGCTTCCCCGACCCGCTGGCATCAACGCCCCGGGTAGCGACTTGTTCGTCTTCTTGAACTCATCGCACATCTGCTCAAATATCACCCATTCCATCCCCTCATGCTGATTGATATAATCAATAACCATATAATCCCCATTAGCTCGTATTTTCCCCAGACCTGTTCACAACGGCCCACTTTCCTCCACTCTCCCCGATCTGCACTAACTAGATTTATGGGGCTTGTCTCACATTTCATGCATAGGGAGCACATAAGGCCGCGCAGAGATCTCGGGATGAATCGCCATCGGGAAAACAAATCGTCATACTTGAGGTAGAAGTAGCCGAAGTGGTCCTGATAGGAGATGTGTATTGTCAGCCAGTCAGCCAAGCATGCGTGAATATTCCCAATACCGTGTCAAACTGAGACAAAGCAGAGTAATGTACTATGTTTTCCGACCACCGCGCGACAATACCGTGTGGATCCTTACCGCAGGAATCTGTTAGCATCTTGTAGGTCTTATCGAGAATGTCTCGCTGCTGCTCCTTGATAATGCTGGCCGAGTTCTCGGAGGAGTTGCCGTGCAGCCCGATTTCGAGGCCTGCTTCGCGGACCTGTGTGCACTCCTCGGGGGAGGTCTCGATAGAATGGCCTAGGATGAGCCAGAACTCTTTGATGTTGTATTCGTCGAGTAGCTTGAGTAGTCGTGTAGTTTCATTGTGGCTGGCTGAGAGACCTCGTTGCTCGCAGTGAGTAAATGGAGGAGCTTGTCTATTAAAAGGTTGCTCTGTGTACCTCGACTGATGTCGCTGGCACTGTCTTCGCCGCCATATGACTCCAACCAGCCAGCTACTGCGTCAATGTCGATACCGTAGCCGGCTAAAACGCGTTTCTTGCCCGTTGTGTTTTTTAGAGTCGCTATATGATTCAACTGTACGTTGGCACAGAGGTTTCAACCAGCTCGGCAAGGAATAGACCAAAGTATAGGGAGAATAGATCTGGAGAAAGTTTGGTGGAATTGGTATATCTGACAGAAATGGAGCTTTCAAGGGTAGACGAGGAATAGCTGTGCATGAAGTTTATCAGAGCTGACTATCATTGTAGGCCTCTTTCAAGGGTCGGGGTTAGTGCATTAAGCTTGCATATATCGCCGCTAGCGCATAGCTTCCGCGTGAATGGGGGCGGTGCAAATCAATCTAATCTCAGCTTGGAAAATATCCATCACTGAATGAAAGTTGAGTTAGACAAAGCTGGGGAAATTAGGTCTCCCTTTCATCCCTTGACCAGCTGTGGACGAGGAATTGACGTCGCTCTTTACAAAAGAGCTTTCAGGAAGAAAGAGACTTCACAATTTACAGTAGCGTTTAACTATCATTTTACTATTGCCTGTCTTTGGGTTTGCCCTAGAGATATATTGAATGTAGGGTAGACGGGCTAAGTAGACTATACGGAGGAACTATGCTTCTGGTTTAAATGAAAACCCCGTTCATTTCCGAAATTGGACAGTACTATTGACAGCATGATGTGCTCTAGATTTTAGTGGATGAAAAGCAGCCCATGAGATGACTAGAGCACGTTATGCCCATGTATCTCGAATGGCAGCCTGATGCAGTAAACTCCAACAGGTACCCAAAGGGCTGCGCTGGCGTAGACAGGCGCACTAGTAAATCCCCTTTGAGACGCAATAAGACTAGCAATGATACCACCGAGCTGTAGAAGGGCAGCTGCCGTATCTGTGGGCAACGCTAGCAGTGTATTATTGCTCGGAGAGGGAGGACGGTATCCAACGTGAAGGGTCAGTCACTGCTATAGAGACCGTCATGTACTTTAAATTGTTCTTCATCTGACAATTTTCCAGAATCTAAACCCAAGTTTAAGTCAAGCGTACGTCCTCCAAGTCTCATCAAATCCAGCAAAATATGCCCCCAATCGCCGATCTTCGCCCTCTACCACCCACGGTGGTTGGCCCTACCACGAAGAAGGCAACTCGTCTAAGCAACATGCTTCCCCAGTCCCTTATCTATGGTGCTCAAGTGACCGAGAAGGAAATATTCAATCCGAAGAAGCACTTGAACTTCCAACACCCAAAGGGGGTCACTACCATGAAGGAGATCGGCGTTGAAGGGGCGTGGAATATCACCAGTCGCTGCTTCAGAATTGTTCTCGTTGTTTACAGCCCATGCTATCAAGCGAATTCGAGGTGAAATATTCAGTGAACCGGTTCTGCGTGATTGTCAATAGTCATCGAGCTTTGCGAAGAATATGGTTAGAGGCATGAGAAGAGAGTATTTTGCTCATTGAGCTCCAGTGATAATTCTTCTGGGCTAACAAAAAATTCAGACGCGCGCCGTTTACCTGCGATGCGTGGAGCTCTCCAGAACTACTGGCGGTAGTATCTGAGGTTGCAGGAGTTGATCTCGTGGTAGCATTTGACTATGAAATCACCAATATCAACATTTCAATTAATGATGATTTATCAACCACCGCGGAATTTTCAAAGGAGCCTGAGACTTTGGCCTTCGCATGGCACTACGACAGTTTTCCTTTCGTGTGCGTGACTATGCTCCCCGACTGCAGTGACATGGTGGGTGGTGAGACTGCAATCAGAACGCCCTCTGGCGAAATAAAGAAGATTCATGGACCCGCAATGGTAAGTTTAAACCCTAAATTTCGTCTCAAAATCAATGCTTATTGAGTGGATAGGTACTGCAGTGGTTATGCAGGGGCGCTACATCGAGAACCAGGCGTTGAAGGCCCTGGGAGGCCGTAAACGTATCAGCATGGTAACTCCTTTCGGACCGTGGAATCCATTTATTCGCGATGAGCTTGTTCTGACAGGATCACGGGCGATCAGCAATTGGTCGGAGCTTTATTAAGGATTCACGGAGTATCGGCTGGTGCTTCTCGAAGAGAGAATCCGCTTGAAGCTGAAGGAAGAACGGAAAAGGGTGGATACTAAACATGTTTTCAATATCTCCGATATGACAGGATTCGTTGCAGTGCAGAAGGATTTATTGGAGGCCGCAATCGCTGAGTTGATCGAGGTCGAGGATTTGGACTAAGCCAGGGAACCATATCAGTCTTCCTGTCCTTAGCTTCATGCATGGTGGACACTTCTTAATTGTCGAACTCATAATGTTTTATAACATCAAAATCATCCGTATTAGTTAGCCAACCGTGAATTTAGGGTTCTTAATTTCATCCAGCGACATCATTGCGATGGGCCTTTCTCTTGATAGACTTGGGGCCTTTTGGACCAGGCTAGAATGGCATGAAAACATTTCACATAGATAAGCGGTCTTCCTGATATGGACCACGGGGGCTCCAAAAGACCGACAATCAAAGTGTTTCAAGTCAAATTGACGTATAAAAGCATCAAAATAGATAAAACCCCTAGATCTCGGCAACTTTCCGGATCTCCAATCTCTTGGAAATTCCGCTCCAAGCCGTGGTGCCATAGTCTCACGTGACCTTTGTCGGACAAACATCCGCGAGTCTGCACGGAGAATCGCGTGCTGTTTCATCCACTGAGTCACCAGAAGTCGGGGTCTTTTGAGTGAAATCACGAATTCTAGTCTCTTCTACAATTTCACCTGCTCAAGTCCAAACCCAATGAAGCTCCCCTGGTATCTGGTGGCCGCGACCGCAGTCGCCGTCACAAATGCTTCTCCGCACCCCGCACACCAGCAACAGCAACCGCTCGGAAGCTCGATACCAGCTTCCCCAGGCAGTATAGAGGAATTTGAGCAAGCCCACGTTGACAAGTTCATCAGTAGCGATCCGCTACTGTCTTTTCACCGGGGCCTAGTCGAGATTGAGTCTATCTCCGGCAACGAGCACGATGTCGGTGTCTTCGTTGCGGAGTTCCTCGAATCCAAGAACTTCACTGTCGTCAAGCAGAAGGTCGCCCCGGTGAAAGAGAAGGAGGACAATGGTGATGAACAGACTCCCAAGACCCGCTATAACATCTACGCCTTCCCCACCTCTCTTCAAGAGCAACCCTCAATCCTTGTCACGAGCCATATCGACACTGTCCCGCCCTTCATTCCATACTCAGCACACCAGCCCGACGCCCCGAGTCTGAGCTCAAGCACGGGCAACCTCGTTCTTTCCGGTCGAGGCACCGTCGATGCAAAGGGCAGTGTCGCGGCGCAGGTATTCGCCGTCCTGGAGACTCTAGAGTCAAACCCAGACGCAAAGCTAGCCCTTCTCTTCGTGGTCGGCGAGGAAATCGGCGGAGACGGCATGAAGGTCTTCTCCGAATCAGCCCTCAACACGAACAGCGCCTACCACACCGTCATCTTCGGTGAGCCTACCGAGGCCAAGCTCGTCTCAGGACACAAGGGCATGCTGGGCTTCGAGGTCCTCGCCCACGGAAGAGCTGCGCACTCCGGATACCCGTGGCTCGGTAAGAGTGCTGTCTCGGGCATCCTCCCGGCACTGAGCCGTGTAGATCAGCTAGGTAATATCCCCGTCAGCGAGGGTGGTTTACCCTCTTCGTCCAAGTATGGCCCGACTACATTGAACATCGGCACTATTCGCGCCGGTGTTGCGACGAATGTTGTCCCCGCGTTTGCGCGTGCGGATGTCGCTGTTCGTCTGGCAGCTGGTACACCGGATGAGGCACGGAGGATTATTCGTCAGGCTGTGGAGGATGCGACCCGTGATGTCGAGGCTGATGTTGAGGTTGACTTCTCTAATCACAATGAGTCGTACGCGCCTCAAGACCTGGACACTGATGTGGACGGGTTCGAAATCATGCCCGTCAATTATGGTACGGATGTGCCGAACTTGAAGGTACGCGATGGTGTGAAGCGTTATCTCTATGGACCTGGAAGCATATTTGTTGCCCACGGTGATAACGAGGCTCTCACCGTGCGCGACGTTAAAGAGGCAGTCTCTGGCTTCAAGAAGCTGATTGATGCTGCGCTGGAACGGGAATGAACGGTCGTGCTGCGACCTATATAATCGTTTTCGGGATATACGTGGAATATTGTATATATCAAGTCGAATCATCTCGGGTGTTCTATAATAGGATATGGAAATTATTAAGAACATGGAAGCATGGAGCTTGCGCAATTGTCTCCGATTTCCCCATGATACAAGGAATGAAACACCTAAGTACATGTCCAACGACCTCGGGAGGCCGCAATGCAGGCGTAGAATTACAAAAAGGACGAACGCCAATATCTAATTAAATGTAACAAAAGCATCCAGGCGCTACTCAGCACCCTCGGCAGCCTCGACGACCTTAGGCTTCCGCTGCCAGCCAGTCCTCAGATCGCCCGTCGGCGTAAACCGTGGCAGCGGGTGGGCCTCGGTATTAAATACATGGTCCTCCAGGGAAATGAAATCCCGGTCTGAGAACAACAAATAGAAGTACTTGAGCGTCTCAGCCATCCAGAAACTCTCCATATTATCGCGTGTAGTCGGCGGGATGGTGTTGGCGTTGGACAGGGAAGTAAAGCCCTTGATCCGTTTGATGGTGGTTTCGCCCTCCGCCAGTTCAGACTCTTCCCCTTCGACGACGGCGGTGTATTTGATGAATGCTTTGAACATATCCCAGCCCCACTCGCGGTAGATATCGTCGCCAGTGATGCGGTACATGTAGAACAAAGACTCAACGGTCTCTGGCCGTTGCAGGTTGTGGCGATCCATGTTGTGGATCTCGATATCCTTGCGCCAGGGCTCAGTGCCATCAGCCTGAGGTGAGAGTGGCTGAGAGATTGACTTCAATTCGTGCGGTGCTGTAGTTCCGGTAGTCGACTTGGGATCGGGATACTTGTCTTCCATCATGACAGGTGGAGAGTCAAGAATAAAGTGGGAGATCTCGGGCGCAAGACCTGTCGCTGTCGCCAGGTATGTCGCCCAGCAGGTCTTCATCAATTCCTTGGCGATGAAAATTTCCTCCTCGCGCTGCTGGGACCAATCCGAGGATTTTCTTGCCTCGGTCAAAGGTCGGCCACCGGTTGCACCAAGAGCATATGTTCCAGGGAGGAAGCAGACCAAGTGGTCCATTTTAGGGGTAAGGCCTTCTTTCAAACCATTGGGGCGCTCTCCTAGGACCATCAACTGTGCATTCTGGGAGAAGGCAAGCAGATTCTTGCGGATTCCGGCCAAGGATTCATCCCACAGTTCTTTGTAGACGGGCTCCTTCTCGGATGTTTGAAGATACTGCTTAATCAGATACTCTAGAAGAACAACGAAGTTAGCCAAGACCTTCAAAAGAGGGACCAAGGGTACAACAAACCATAATATGAATCACCTCGGCTACCGAGACGAATATTCTGGCCATGGAAGTGACCCGTCTTGGGATTGATGAAAATAGGAACGAGGCCATCTTCGGGGTGTTCGTCATCGATCACCTCCATGACCTTCTCCACGGCCCTCCAATACTCGGCCTCGCCAGTCAACTTCGCCAGATACTTGAACTCAAGCTGGACTGAAGTTGCCTCAGCAGTAGAAGAAGCGCCTCCATCGCCGTGCGATGGCAAGCCCTCCGACTTATTCAGGTTCACGCTGGCGTATGGGATACCAGACGGAGACTCGAATGCTCCAAGCAAGCGGTCTCCGAGATCTGTCGCCTTTTCAATGTACAAGTCCTCGCCAGCGGCGCCGATATCGTCATCCGCAATCGGAGCGAGGTCTGGATATTTCGTCGAGAGATAATGGGCAGAGAGCAAACCTCCCAGCATGCGAATGGTCGTTTCGAAGGTGCTCACGTCGTGGTCTTGAGTATACTTCAACGAAGTGGAAATCCACTCGCGTGCATGGCGCACCTCGGTGGTCAGGTTCATGATCATCATAGTGTCTAGCGCATCAACAATGATCCAACCCATGCCACCTTCGATCATGTTTCTGCTCCGACCCGAGACCGGGTTATACTCGTCCGAGCCTGCAATAGTTGCATATTAGCATGGCGATACTGACGCCGAGTCTCGCAAGGTGTCCTTACCCCAAGCATCCTTCTCATATCCCTGCCAGCTGATAACAAACGCATCCCGAACCTTCTCCCGGCGCGCGTTCCAGTCAATGTTCGACTTCGAAGGACTCTCGTCGTCAAGTGTCTGCGCCCATTTCCAGAGCTCAGCACCGATGTCCGACGAGTCCGGGCCCTGCCACACAGGCATCGACGATTTATAATACCACAAGAACGTCAACACGCACACCCCCAGCACGAACAAAGGCCTCCATCGCCTCCGCGGAGCTGTCCGCTTCGGCGTAAAGTATGGCTTGTCTTTGTACATGGGGAGAGTGCGGTCGTTGTTCTCAAAGAATCCGCCCACTTTATTCGAGAGGCCTGCGGGCCCAGTTGAGAGGCCGAGTCCAGCAAGGCCTTGGTTGGAGCGAGAGCGGCTGTCCTGGAATGGGCTCGTGGCGAAGGAACGTCCCTGAAATGACATGATTATCCTGGTGAGCCCTTCTCTCTCCTCGTCGCGAAATGCGTGTCGGTCCTGCGACTACCTAGTATGCGAGCATGGGATCGCGAAGTAGTGTTCGTGCGTCGTTATCACTGGAAACGTGGTCTTCGAAGCTCGATGGTGGCGGCGAACGCGCGGGGCGGCGTTTTCTCAACGACACTGGCCTGGCGAGGCAAGATGGTTAGCAGGAGTGCTCACAATCGGTTTCAAGTCGCACGGGAACAAATACACCGTCTTGCAAATACCAGCTGGTTACTTACTCGTGGATCTAAAGTAGAAAATGTGTTGGGTCGCAGCTACAGGTCAATGCGGAACATGCCAGCGTGTGCTTAAGCTGCCAATTTCTCCGATGGTGCACCCGGCGTGTGTTTTGTCCCGGGACCAAGATGGGAATTATCCGCGATCACGTAAGTGTTTCCAGGAAGAGGTCTTCTCGCTAGAACTCGATGCGATGCTGAGTTGTTGTCAGGGATAGCCACTGCAGTCGGGAAAGTGGAGTAAATATGAAGCTTGGCCACCTGGACCGAACCACACTAGAGCCATCGCCATCGCTATTGCCAGTTACTTCATGCTTGGTTGCCAACGAATATAATGACTTCCTAATCGGCGGATATGGGATATTATGTCTTCCAAATTTCTCGAATCATCACCTTGATATGCTGTAATGGTGCACGTACACTACCAGACTGTGATATTTACTTGCCCTTCGTCTGGCGCTACGAATCTATGTACAGACGTTGAAAAGTCATCAGGGCAATCTTCAATAACAACTCCCGTTGAACAATGCATGGTATTCTAGAAGGCAGGTTTCTAACAGGATGAAATTGTATGGGCGAGCAGCCCAGCGGTAGATACAATTACAGCTTCTGGTACTCGAGCTTGCCCTCCAGCTTCTTAGCTTCCGCCACCTTTCGTACGGCTTTGTTGAAGTCGTCCTGGTTGATGGCATCTCTGTAGTCCTTGATCGCGCATAGACCTCTGTGGAGTAGTTAGTATATGAATACAATGGATGACCAGAAAGTATGCCACTTACGCCTCCGTCACCACGTTGCGCAAGTCGGCACCGTTGAGACCGTCACTCATCTTGACCACGCTCTCAAAGTCGATATCACCCTCCAGTTGTACCGTGCTTGAGTGAATCTTGAGAATCTCCAAGCGACCCACCTCATTTGGCAGAGGAATCTCGATCTTGCGGTCCAGACGACCAGCACGCAGCAGCGCAGGGTCGAGAGTATCCGGCCGGTTGGTGGCCATGATGATCTTGGTCTTTCCAAGATAGTCGAATCCATCCAGCTGGTTCAGCAACTCCATCAGGGTTCGCTGAATCTCACGATCTGCCGATGTACCTTCCGAGAAACGTCGACCACCAATAGCGTCAATCTCGTCCATGAAGATGATGCAGGGCTCGTGCTCCTTGGCATAACCGAACATTTCTCGGATCAATCGGGCGGATTCACCAATGTACTTGTCAACGATCGCAGAGGAAACCACTAAGAGAAGGAAACGCGTTAGAGATGAATAGTTGATGATCAAGGAGGGCAAGAGTTCAACGTACCCTTCAAAAAGTTGGTCTCAATCGAACTAGCCACTGCTCTGGCCAGCAGGGTCTTACCCGTACCCGGAGGACCATAGAGCAGAACACCCTTTGGAGGCTTGATACCTACTCGCTGGAACAACTCTGGGTTCTTCAATGGCAACTCGATGACTTCCCGAAGCTCTCTGATCTGGTCATTCAGACCACCAATGCCGGCAAAGTTGACTGACCCGGGGTCCTCCAGAGACATGTTGTAGACCAAGGGGTCGACCTCACGAGGGAGCATCCGCATGATGGTGAGTGTTGTCATATCCAAGGCCACTCGCGTGCCTTGCTTTAGCTTGGCCTTGTCGACCTTGGAACGGCAGCCAACGACATACCGTGGTCCCGATGATGCTTTGACGATGACTGCAGAAAGAAATTGGATGATTAGCTTCGAAGAAGGATACGACCGTTGTAGCGTTTCAACATACATCGCTCTTCATCCAGCTGTTTCAACACCTCGCCGATGATCTGGCCAACACTCTGGAGTGCCTTGATGTTCTCCTCCGACACATCAAACTCCCGCTGGAGATCCTTGATGCCCATGCGAAGAGTCTTCAACTTGGCCTCCCATTCTCGCAGCTCCAACAAGCTCTTTTTATAATCTTCGAGCGCCTGGTCCCGCTCGGGGTCGCTGCCGCCGTTCATGATGGGCGACGAACCGATTCGTAAGGGATGAGGGTGAACGGATGGGTGAGACTCCAAGGGCGAGGTTTTGGAAGATAGACAAGACCTATAGTCCAGCGGGTGGATGATCGGAAAGCGCAGGTGGTGTAGATGATAGCAGGGTCCAGCTGGTGAGCTTCCAAGCACCTGGTCGACGAGCTTCCAGGAAGATCACCTGACGACGCGCTCTCAGATCAGGTGACTTACATCATCGTCAACCTTAGTCAGTCAAATTTGGTGCCTTAGTTTTGCTCAGGCATTAAGGCCATAAGGCAGCACAATTACAGACCGACACCTGAAGTGAACACCTGAACACCTTGTCGCCTCACGAATGTGGCTTGCAAGCTTGCTCTTTTCGTCATCCATTTTTGCCAGGACGCGCTGGATGTGACGTTGGGAAGCTTCCCCAACCAATGGATCTTGTACAGTGGTAGCTTTTTTTTTTTTTTTGGAAAACACATGCTCGTTGAATTTTCAAATCCGATGAAAAAGTTTGAATGTATCATGTCTTTATTTCTGCTGCTGAATGAGAAGCTCTCAGCACGGGGTATCTAGGGGTTGTATACGGTGTTGTGTTGTATACTGTACGAAGAAACCAACGTGACCGTGGAAGAAGATCCCGATTGTCGTCATTCGGTAATCTCAAGGCACGATTATTCCTCCTACTTCAGACTCCTCTTCTGGGATCCTATGGATACGGCAATGCACAGGCAAGTTGCTCGGGCAATCACATCACAGCAATCAGTTTCCTCCCGAGGGCGACGGGAGATCTCGCAGGTGGGAGCCCGCCGCAGACGGTCGGGATCGAACCAGAGAGCCAGCGAGCGTTGGCGATGGCCGTTGCTGGCCGTGACAGCCCCACTGCCGCATTGGAAAGAATCGGAGGCCCAGCTGTGACCTTTCCCGGCTGGACTCTGTAGGGGACAGTATTTAAAGCATCGGGTGTTTCCGTAGAGCTATTCTCTTTTGCATTTACCTGGTTATTATCATTATTATTCGTTGTTTACTTTTTGGTTGTAAGGTGAGTCTGGTACATAGCTCCTCTCTTATTTTGCCCTCCCGACATCATACCCCGCCATCTGCCCCTCCTCCTCCTCCTCCTGCTTCTTCCTCCCTCTCCTACACTCTTCCCTTCACCTGAACCACCAGACAGGAAATTCCCAGCTAAGAAAGGTAACCTAACCTGCGCTTCGGTGACGGCCGTGGCCAATTGCCATATCCGCATTTGCTGAGCTCCAAGCAAATCAGCTGTGCCCCTTCCCTTCTCCCCGTGCGGCCTGTCTTTTTGGGTCATCGGTGAACCTGTCCCCCCGCCGTTAGTCACACGCGGCATTCGCCTTAATATATCCATTGCCCGCGCTGCTTTTTTTCCCTCCTTTCTTGCAAACCAGACTGATCTTATTCTCTATCAGATCTTCTATATCCAACATGCCTATCTCCAAGGTTCACGCTCGTTCCGTGTACGACTCTCGCGGTAACCCCACCGTCGAGGTCGACATCGTCACCGAGACCGGCCTGCACCGCGCCATTGTTCCCTCTGGTGCTTCCACTGGTAAGAAGCGAGCCATTCTTGATCCGGCATCTCAATTGAAAGATTTACTGATGCTAATGATTGCATATAGGCCAGCACGAGGCCGTCGAGCTCCGTGATGGTGACAAGTCCCGCTGGGGCGGCAAGGGTAAGTGATGACGAACCTGATCATCAATTGCAAGTGAGTTGGGGAAAAACTAATCCCAATTCTTCGATTACAGGTGTCCTGAAGGCCGTCAAGAACGTCAACGAGACCATTGGCCCCGCTCTTATCAAGGAGAACATTGACGTCAAGGACCAGGCCAAGGTCGATGAGTTCCTCAACAAGCTCGACGGTACTGCCAACAAGGGTAACCTTGGTGCCAACGCCATCCTCGGTGTCTCCCTGGCTGTCGCCAAGGCTGCTGCCGCCGAGAAGGGTGTCCCTCTCTACGCTCACATCTCCGACCTCGCCGGTACCAAGAAGCCCTACGTCCTGCCCGTTCCCTTCCAGAACGTCCTGAACGGTGGCTCCCACGCCGGTGGCCGTCTGGCCTTCCAGGAGTTCATGATTGTCCCTGAGTAAGTTGTCATCCAATAGCTACCGCAGCCAGGGCAACTTTATCTGCCAAAAGCGACCAATCTACTGACACATCCCGAACTATAGGTACGCTCCCTCTTTCTCTGAGGCCCTTCGCCAGGGCTCTGAGGTCTACCAGAAGCTCAAGACCCTTGCCAAGAAGAAGTACGGCCAGTCCGCTGGTAACGTCGGTGACGAGGGTGGTGTCGCTCCCGATATTCAGACCGCCGAGGAGGCTCTTGACCTCATCACCGATGCCATTGAGCAGGCCGGCTACACCGGCAAGATGTCCATTGCCATGGACGTTGCCTCCAGCGAGTTCTACAAGGTCGAGGAGAAGAAGTACGACCTCGACTTCAAGAACCCCGAGAGCGACCCCACCAAGTGGATCACCTACGAGCAGCTCGCCGATCTGTACAAGCAGCTGGCTGCCAAGTACCCCATTGTCTCCATCGAGGACCCCTTCGCTGAGGATGACTGGGAGGCCTGGAGCTACTTCTACAAGACCTCCGACTTCCAGATTGTCGGTGATGACCTGACTGTCACCAACCCCCTCCGCATCAAGAAGGCCATCGAGCTCAAGTCTTGCAACGCCCTCCTCCTCAAGGTTAACCAGATCGGCACTCTCACCGAGTCCATCCAGGCCGCCAAGGACTCCTACGCCGACGGCTGGGGTGTCATGGTCTCCCACCGCTCCGGTGAGACCGAGGACGTCACCATCGCTGACATTGCTGTCGGTCTCCGCTCTGGCCAGATCAAGACCGGTGCTCCTGCCCGTTCCGAGCGTCTGGCTAAGCTCAACCAGATCCTCCGCATCGAGGAGGAGCTCGGTGAGAACGCAATCTACGCCGGCAAGAACTTCCGCACCTCTGTCAACCTGTAAATTGAAGTCCTTTAAATGACTGCACGGGGTTGAAAGAAACGAGAAAAAAGGATGGTCAAGTCTCACGCGAAGGGCCACCATCAGTTATGATTATGAATTTAATAAAGACTTCTGAAATACAAGAGAATATTCAAAGAACAATCGACCCAACCTGTAAGGCGTAGTTTCCATGGAATATAACAAAATCAAGTAATCAAGGACTTGGATCCTAAACAATGGAGTCTTACTCGTCGGGCACCAAGAAATCCGGAGCACGTGACCACCCCTCCTGCGATAAGTGTCCCACATAAAATTTGCCCTCGCCCCTCTATTCACTACACTCGGATTAGTATCCTATCGTCGGGCTCGCCCTCGTTTCCCCGTCCTTCGGTCTTGCGTACAGCGCATCTTTTCTTTCGCCTCGTTCCTTTCGATCGAAAAGCCTTTCACTTTCCCAACATGGCGCCTTCAAAGTGGGGTATGTTTCTTATCCTCCTCAGTCGCCACCGTGATCTAGGATACAAAGCGACTTTTCCACCGCCGCAAAATTAATGGACTCTATCTAATCAAATTTTGTTATACAGATGAAGAAGAGGACAGCGTTTCGCCTCCCCCTCCCGTTGCCCGCCGCAGATTCGACGATGAGGAAGATGAAGATGTAAGGGCCCTTTGAACTAGATGCAGACTTCTACGCAACCTAGAACGTGCTCATTCCAAAACCAAGTTGCTGACATTCGCTTCCAACAATAGGTCCTCGACTCCTGGGACGCCGCCGAAGACTCTGAGGTAGAGCGCGAGAAGGCAAAGAAGGCCGAAGAGGCCCTGGCCAAGGCCAAGGCCGCTGCCGCCGCCAACAAGAAGACCAAGGCCGAACGGATAGAGGAACACCGCGACCAGCGCCGGCGCGAGGCGGAGGAAGGCGATGATCTTGACGATGACGAAACCGAGGCCGAGCGCCGTGATCGTCTGCGCCGCACTGAGAAGGACGCCGACCTGCAGCACGCCTCGGACCTTTTTGCCGAAATCGACATGAACCGCAACCGCGGTGCTCCCAAGGCCGTCGTCATCACTGACAGCGCCAACCCCACCAACTCCGTCGATCTGTCCTCCATGCCGCTATTCAAGCCTACCACCAAGGACCAGTTTGCCCGTCTGACTGACGTCCTTATCCCCCTGCTCGCCTCGCAGTCCAAGAAGCCCCATTACGCTCTCTGGGCGCAAGACTTTGCTCGCAAGCTGGTGAAGGAGCTGCCCAGTGGTGATATCAAGAAGATTGCTAGTGCCTTGACCACTGCTAGCAACGAGAAGATGCGTGAGGAGCGTGCTGCTGATAAGGGTAGCAAGAAGACCAAGGCTGCTAAGACTAAGGTCTCGCTTGTTTCCAACCGTGACAACCAGATCGATAACACTGCTTACGGTGATGACGACGCTCTCGGCGATGATGACTTCATGTAATGGACGAAACAACGAACAATCCTTCTTTTCTTCTCTTCTTTTCTTCCCCATCGTCTTGTTCGCTTTTCACCTCTGTTTATTGATTCCTTCTTGTCTTTGGATGTGTGACCCTTGAATATACACACTCCCGCAAGAAGGTCTCATCCGATGTATCTCCCCTTTCAAGGTTCTGGGGCGTCCCCTCTATCTCCCTGTCCCTTTCTAACTTCATATGCCCTCCTCCTGAATACTATCATGTACATCCCTCCTTCTACCCCGTCCCCCAAGTCAAAACGTTGCATGAGCCTCACTTAGTATAGAACAATGAACGTAAATTTTCCATCCATCCTCGTCTAGGACAGACATATTCATCTTGGGGACAATTACTAGACCGCGGTATTACACCAGATACTTGGATTCTTGACGAGACCAAGAGCAAATAGCCCACAGCCCTCATAGCCCTCCACTCTGCCCTTCTGTGGCTTATGGTCGTGACTGGCCTGGCATTCCAATATCGAACCGCAGAACACAAGGACTAGATAATTAGCACCATAGGCTAGTGACTACCTACTAAAATACTCTCAATAAAATCTCGTTCTATGCCATAACATAGATTTAACATCTACTCCAGAATCTAGAACTGGATACAGCGATTATCACATCTCTCCGTACAGGCATTCTCATCCAGTCCTGCTCACGGTATTAACGAGTATATCCATTCCCTCGGGGTGTGTTGTCTGAATCCCTGGCGACCGCTATACTCTACTGCGCGAACGATAGTCATGTATATTTGTCCCATGCATACCTACCAAAGGACTTCATATAATCTATCAGTGAGTTGTTGAGGCGAGCACGTTCGTCGCTGTGTAATCCATTATGAACATGTCAGTCCTGCTGCACCAGGACTTGGGGGGAACACGGTGATGCAGGCCTCGAAGCTCAGGACTGGTATCAGCAAGGCCCGACGCCAGGGTTGTTTACCAGAGTACTAGCAGTCGAATAAACAATCGCATTGCATGTTGGACCTGAAATCACCAGCGATAAGGCATCCAAGGTTTATCTCGTGGTAAGAATGGAGGAGCGTACGTAAGGTTCATATCTCCCAGTGGTCCTCATCGTGCCAGGTGATACGGGAATGACAATATTGACTCAACTTGAAGTCTTTCCATAGAATGCAAATATGAAGCTTGTCTCAAGTAAGATTGCAGCCAGGATGCGGGCCGAGGTACATCACACCTAGAAGTCTATGAACTGGTAACACGACTTGCCATTTGAACCGCTGAGAAGGGTCAGACACTTGGATATTGAGTGTTGAGCTACGTCGTTCAGTCGGTATTCCCATAATGGTTCATGATAGGTACTACCTCTACACGGATCCTACCATACGAAAACAAGGCCATTTGGAATAGGGGACCAGGTGAAATTGGAAAATAAACACATTGAATCTTGCTGGAGTGGGAATAGAGACAATAAAAGAGAGAGAAATTCCACTCAGCCCCTTTTCTGCCCTTGCCTCAACCGAATATCAAACTCCGCCGGCCGACCCACACGGTCGAGAACACGTGCAAGAGAATAGGGTGCCGGGCCCAACCAAGCCACGCTGCGGTGAAAACAAACAAGCGACTTGCATAACCACATCCGGGAAGAAATGTGAACGCCCCCTCTTACCAATTCGGCATATGGCTGATTGGAACCCCTTCACGCGGTGCTGAAACTTCCTCCCCTCTTTAAGACGCAGCCTGAGGCTCGGCCTCCTCGGCCTTGTCTTCGGCGGCAGGGGCAGCGGCCTCCTCCTCGGCCTTATCCTCCTTGGGGGCAGCACCCTCGGCACCCTCGTTGCCATCGGAAGAGGTCCAGAGAGTGAGGTTGTCACGCAGAAGCTGCATGATGAGGGTGCTGTCACGGTAGCTCTCCTCAGAGAGGGAGTCGAGCTCAGCGATGGCGTCGTCAAAGGCCTGCTTGGCGAGGTGGCAGGCACGGTCGGGAGAGTTGAGGATCTCGTAGTAGAAGACGGAGAAGTTCAACGCGAGACCAAGGCGAATGGGGTGGGTAGGGGTGAGATCGGTCTGGGCAACGTCGGTAGCGTTCTAGAATCCGTTATTAGTCGTTGTCATGAAGACGAGATGGGGCGATGGATCAAGTCGGGAAATACCTTGTAGGCCTCGTGGGCATCGGTAGCGGCAACCTTGCGCTTGTTGCCAGAAGCGAACTCGGCCAGATAACGGTGGTAGTCACCCTTCCTGTAAGAGGGAGTCAGTCTCAATAGATTGTGTCGAAAAATGGGCAAAAGTTCGGTTCATGTCACGCACATCTTGTAGTAGAACACCTTGGACTCGCCAGTCTCGGCCTTGGGGATCAGGGACGAGTCAAGGACGTCCAAGACATCCTGGCAGACCTTCTCCAGCTCAGTCTCGATCTTCTGGCGGTAATCCCGGATGATGGTAACGTGCTCCTCAGAGCCCTTGGACTCCTCCTTCTGCTCGATGGAGGAGATGATGCGCCAGGAGGCACGGCGGGTACCAACAACGTTCTTGTAAGCGACGGACAGGAGGTTGCGCTCATCGACGGTAAGCTCGCCACCAATCTACATAACAGAAGTGTCAATCGTGGACCCGATATGGCCGGGATAGACCAGAGAGTGGGATATGCGTATCATACGTTGGCGACTTCCTGTTCCACTGGTTAGCACCGAGATTCAACAAGACAAAGCAAAACAACACGTATGCGACTGACCTTCATGTAGCTAACCATCTCTAAACGAGTGAAAAAGACATCGCGTTAGTCCTGGTAAACCCCGATACCCTCGCTCGCGTGAATCTTACCATCGTAGCGCTCGGCCTGCTCGCAGAGCCTCGCGAGGAACGTCTTGCTGATGAGGGGGTCAGTCATGCCACACCGGGCTGTCGCTGGGGGATTCAAGGTATCCTTACTTCTCACGCTGCATGATGAAGATGCGAGTTAGCACGTGTCAGAGCTCCCAAAATGAAAAGGGGTGGATGGGGCGCGAGGGGATAGGCCGTGAGAAACGGGGTGGGATTGCGATGGCGGTGACAGCTCAGAGAGCGCCCGATGGAGGGGTATGCGTTGGGGCCAGAACATACCTCAGAACCCATATTGACGGGAATTTTTGTAGGAGAGTATGGTTGGGGGAGAAAGTGGTAGTTGGGAGAGGATAGATATCAAGAGATCCGAGAGAGTGGGAGATGCAGAGGAGGAAGGTGATGGAGGTAGAGAGGAGGACCAAGTGGGGGGGGGGGAAGGAAAGAGGGAGGAGAAAGGATGGAGTCGAATTGAAGGAGTTGGGGGTGAGCATCATAACAGTACATTCGGTATTCTCGTGACAGTACCGTCCATACGAGCGTATTCTTTATACACCCGTACCCGGTACGCGGCCCATACCTAGTGAAACCGACCTTTACCTGCTAATTCCTCGGTCTGCTACGGGTCTCGGGTACTTTGGGCACATGTCCAGTACCTCTGATTACATTCAATACACGAGGTTTATTTCACAGCTGACAGGCGATGCAGCCCAATTGCCCTCTTGGTACCCAGATCATCACGAGTCGCTTATGAGGCTCCGCTGGTGTGTTGACCTGATCGAAAATAATCAATCTGGATGTAATCTACAAATTTGTGAAGGCATCATATAAAATTGTGTACAGGGTATGTGTACAATCTCGAGCTCATGAGTGTCTGTTTACTTTTCGCGACCGTAGAGCGATGGTTGTTTTTAGTGTACATAGAGGCGTACATACAATACCAACCAGGGACCTCTGTATTGTCACTCTACCAGAGATCCATTGAACGACAAATAGGTCTTAGTTTAACCATATTACTCGCTTTTTCCAAGGCGATGGAAATGTGGAACTTCTTTATCAGGCCACGACACCTGGGAAAAGAAGAAACCGCGGCGTGGTCGGTGTCGGGGCAATCCAGGGCAGGGGACAAGGTCAAGAGACGATAATGACGGAATCGAACCTTCCAGCACTGGCAAGGTTGACACGAGGCCTCGCTATGATGTAGTACGTAGGCAGTTCACTCCACGACCGATCATCATAGGCCAGCCACATTGATCATGGTGTCAACTACATTATTAGGAAGCTAACCTCCATAGATCGTCTAGTTTGACTTATCCCGGTCTGCAGACAAGATGTACAGTGGCAGTTCAAAAGTCTGAAACCAGAGACCAAGGAAAAAGACCACTATATATGCTTCGACTTTGGTTTTAACAGATCTTTCTGGATATTCCCGGCAGTTTTATTCAACTTGTCTTTTAAAGTATAGCTGATGAGATGGTTTCGAACTTTCCCGGGTGCTTCAAACTTATGGAACACTACTGTAGCCTTTCCTCGCCCAGAGTTTCGCTGGTTTGTAGCGACGCGCGTGGCTAGGTATGCCGACATATAACTAGCTTTGGATCCATGTAAATCAGGGTGTACACCCACGTACGTGCTATCGCTCAACAATCTTACCTATGTTATTATGTTATGGTCAACGGTGGACTTCCATGTCATAATAATCGAAATCCGTGTCGATATCTCTCAAGAATTCACTTCCCTACCGTACGCATCCATCTCTTCAACAGCCCTGGTCCTTACCAGGCTTAATGACAAGCCGGGAAGAGAATGGACAACCCGGTTTTCACTCGGCCTAGAGGACTCGGCTGTCCAGAATAAATCATACAACTCCTGATAGAGACTTCAAAAATTCATCTCCGCCATCTACAGCGATTGACTTTTTGCTAATAACCCGCTTGCATGGCGCGCTGCATACCACACCCCCCAATCCTGACAATCTTACGGGCCCCGACCAGCACTACCATATTGAGGTGGTTATAGTTCTATTCAAACAATTTCAGTTGTTCAAGTTCGGATTTACGACCACTTCAGAAGTTATTGACACTCTCTGTTAAAGAACTGAATATGGAAGCCCGGTCCCAGAGACCTTGGTGGGCCACTGGGGACGAGTGGAGGCCGTAGGATTTGGGTGAGCTAGATTCAGCCCTACAGGCGAGGGACATTTAGCGTGCTTATGCGCCTTGCCACCGACAGGAAGAAAGAAAAGATCCGAAGAATAAGTAAGCCTGTCAGGCGCTCTCTCGAGGCACCTTTGCGTCTAGCAGCATATAATCCATCCTGTAGAGAAAGAAACCCAAGACTATTGCCGGGGACGCTCGTCTTATTTCGATGCTTCTGCCACTGTGAACAAGTTACCAGTCACTTGTGATGACTGTTCCTTTCCCAAAGGAAAGTGCCAGGGTACCAAATCATCCTCTCTGAGCTCGTCAAGTGGACTGTGACCCAGCCGCTGGACGAGTCCACTACCGTCTGTGCTCTCGTAGTCGATTGACCGCCAACTGCAGAATTCGGTGGCTGCAGAGGACAATTCATTTGCCAAGGAAGATAGCAAACTCCACTGGTTACATCCGATAGGCATAGGAACGATGCAGCCTAGAAAGAAGCCCCATAATTCATCCCAGCTCTCGGCAGGGACGCTGGGAACGTTTGACGCAAGTACCATCCAGTGATATAGAGGTAGGCCACACGGTAGAGTCTCACAGCAAGAAGGGAAAAGAATTAGATTATGATGCAGTCCATATCACGGACTGTAGCACGGGAGACCAAATGTAGACCCTCTGCCATATTTGACCTCGTATAGAGGCAAAGGCGGCTCCCCGACTCGGGCCATTCCTGTGACTACTGTTGATCAGATCACGGGACTTCAGAGTTCAGCCCTGCGGCCCCTTGCTGAGTCAGCTACAACCCCGATGGGGAAGAGAAACAACTGGATGAGAACACGTTGTGCCTCCGCTCGCCGCTGGGTCTACCGATTGTCGACAAGAAAATCCAGCTATAATTACGCCTCTTGTCCCTCGCTCACTCCTCCTGGCCCCGTTCCTTTCTTGTCTTTGGCTGGCCACCGGTGACACCCATGTATCGCGACTAGTCCGGAATCCTCTTTCATTTTCTTTTCATTTCTGTTTCTTTACATTTCTTACCCCGGCTCTATCTCCGCATACCTCCAACTGTCTCTCCCAAAGGGACTGCAACCTCAACCGGCCTGAGAGATTCCCACTATGGAGAACTCCTTTCTTTATACTCCAGCGGAAGCGCTGGAACACTTCAATGTCTCGGAACAGACTGGCTTAACTCAGGACGCGATTCTTCAGTCTAGGAAGAAGCACGGCCCTAATGGTAAGCATTACTTCCAACGGCTTTAGCGCGCACCAAACGCGATTGGAATCTGACGCAATCATCTGCAGCTCTTGCCGAAGAACCGCCCACTCCCATGTGGGAGCTGATTTTGGAACAATTCAAGGACCAGCTTGTCCTGATTCTGCTGGGTTCGGCCGCTGTGTCGTTTGTCTTGGCTCTCTTTGAAGAAGGCGACGATTGGACTGCCTTTGTGGATCCTGTAGTGGTATGTCCTGCTTTTCTCATCATCACAATACTCCAACGCACAAGCCCACTGACAGCTTGCTTCTCCTTTCTAGATTTTGACGATTCTCATTCTCAATGCCGTGGTGGGTGTAACCCAGGAAAGCAGCGCGGAGAAGGCAATTGCGGCTCTTCAGGAATACTCGGCCAACGAGGCCACTGTTGTGCGTGATGGCAAAGTTCAACGGGTCAAGGCCGAGGAGTTGGTGCCCGGCGATGTGATCCATATTTCCGTGGGCGATCGGGTTCCCGCTGATTGCCGCCTGCTCTCCATCCACAGCAACAGCTTCCGCGTTGACCAGGCTATCCTGACTGGTGAGAGTGAGAGCGTGGGCAAGGATACCAAGATTGTCAAGGACGGTCAGGCTGTTAAGCAGGATCAGATCAACATGCTCTTCTCCGGTACCACCGTGGTCACTGGCCACGCCAATGCCCTGGTTGTGTTGACCGGTGGCTCTACTGCCATCGGTGACATTCACGACAGCATTACCTCCCAGATCTCCGAGCCCACCCCTCTGAAGCAGAAGTTGAACGACTTTGGTGATATGCTTGCCAAGGTCATCACCGTGATTTGTATCCTGGTTTGGTTGATCAACATCGAGCACTTCAACGACCCTTCCTTCGGCGGCAGCTGGACCAAGGGTGCGATTTACTACCTGAAGATTGCCGTCTCCCTGGGTGTCGCTGCTATCCCCGAGGGTCTCGCAGTTGTCATTACTACTTGTCTGGCCCTGGGAACCCGGAGGATGGCCCAGAAGAATGCCGTTGTTCGCTCTCTGCCCTCCGTGGAGACTCTGGGCAGCTGCAGTGTTATTTGCTCTGACAAGACCGGAACCCTGACCACCAACCAAATGAGTGTGGAGAAGATTGTCTACGTGAACAGCTTGGGCACTGGTCTGGAGGAGATCGAGGTCGAGGGTACTACCTTTGCCCCCGAGGGCAAGCTGACTCGCAACGGCAAGATCGCGGAGAATGTCGCTGCGTCCTCGTCGACTGTCGCTCAGCTAGCCGAGGTTTCTGCTCTTTGCAACGCTGCTACCCTGTCCTACGATGCCAAGTCTGGTGCGTTCTCTAACATTGGTGAGCCCACCGAGGCTGCCCTGCGTGCTCTTGTTGAGAAGATCGGTACCCCCAACGCTGCTGTGAACAAGAAGCTCTTCAGTCTTCCTGCCTCCGAACGTCTCCATGCCGCCTCTGCCCACTATGAATCTCAGCTCCCCCTTCAGGCTACCTACGAGTTCTCCCGAGACCGCAAGAGCATGTCTGTTCTTGTCGGCAAGGGCCATGATCAGAAGCTGCTTGTCAAGGGTGCCCCTGAATCGATCCTGGAGCGCTGCTCTTACGTTCTGCAAGGTCCCGAGGGTTCGCGCGTGTCTCTCACCAAGAGCCACGCCAAGCTGCTCTCTGAGGAGGTCGTCGAGTACGGTAACCGTGGTCTCCGTGTTATGGCCATCGCCAGCGTGAACGATGTTTCTGGAAACGCCCTTTTGAAGAAGGCCTCGACTACCGAGGACTACGCCAAGCTCGAGCAGAACATGACCCTTATTGGCCTGATTGGTATGCTGGATCCTCCTCGTCCCGAGGTTGCCGACTCTATCAAGAAGTGCCACCGGGCTGGTATCCGCGTCATTGTCATCACTGGAGATAACCGCAACACTGCCGAGTCCATCTGTCGCCAGATTGGTGTCTTTGGACCCAACGAGGACCTGACTGGCAAGAGCTTCACTGGCCGCGAATTCGACAGCCTCAGCGAGACCGAGCAAATCAAGGCCGTCCAGACTGCATCTCTCTTCTCCCGTACCGAACCTAGCCACAAGTCCAGGCTGGTTGACCTCCTCCAGTCTATGAACCACGTCGTTGCCATGACCGGTGACGGTGTCAACGATGCTCCCGCTCTGAAGAAGTCCGACATTGGTGTTGCCATGGGTACTGGTACTGACGTCGCCAAGCTGGCCGCCGACATGGTTCTCGCTGATGACAACTTTGCCACCATTACCGTTGCTGTCGAGGAGGGCCGCTCCATCTACAGCAACACCCAGCAGTTCATCCGGTACCTGATCTCGTCCAACATTGGTGAGGTCGTGTCGATTTTCCTGACCGCTGCTCTGGGCATGCCCGAGGCTCTGGTTCCCGTCCAGCTTCTGTGGGTTAACTTGGTTACCGATGGTCTTCCCGCCACTGCGTTGTCGTTCAACCCTGCCGATCACGATGTCATGAGACGTCCTCCCCGTCGTCGTGATGAGCCTCTTGTGGGTGGCTGGCTGTTGTTCCGTTACATGGTCATTGGTACCTACGTTGGTGCTGCCACTGTCTTTGGATATGCGTGGTGGTTCATGTATAATGCTGAGGGTCCCCAAATCTCGTACTACCAGCTGGTAAGTCCTATCCTTGGGTTAAAAAAACATAAAATGTGTACTCACAAATAATTCTTCCAGTCACACTTCCACAAGTGCTCTGCCCTATTCCCTGAGATTGGTTGCGAGATGTTCAGCAACGATATGGCCAAGTCTGCCTCGACGGTCTCTCTGTCTATCCTGGTCGTTATTGAGATGTTGAACGCGATGAACGCCTTGTCGTCTAGCGAGTCGCTCCTGACTTTCTTCCTGCACAACAACCCCATGCTGGTCTACGCCATCACCTTGTCGATGGTCCTTCACTTCGCCATTCTTTACGTTCCCTTCTTGCAGAGCCTGTTCGCAATCCTGCCCCTGAACTGGAATGAGTGGCAGGCCGTGTTGGCGATTAGCGCTCCCGTTATGTAAGTTGCCCATCCCACTCTATTCGGTGTTCGAGGCCGTACTAACGCGTATCTCTAGTTTGATCGACGAGCTCCTCAAGTTCATCGAGCGCCAGCTGTACAATACCAAGGTCACTGTCGCTCCGTCTGTCCAGAACGGCAGCGCCAGCAAGCCCAAGAAGGCGTAAGAGCAAGATCCGGAAAGATAAAATGATCTGACGATCTAGCATATGCAAGGAAGGACCGGGGTGGAATCACTGAATTTTGCATAGAGAACATGTTAGATGTTAACTTGTGTGCCTGGGGCTGATTGTCTCCTGGATCACCACCATTCCACTTTATATATCGTGACGTTCATAGATGAAAACTTGCAATGAAACCTTGATCATGCAATATCTGCCAGATCCCTGTCTAGAAACATCAGCCCACCCATTCATTCTAGCAAGCTACAAGCGAAACGACAACCCACGCCCGCCAACGGGGATCATTATCCTAAACTGTACCTTCTCCCCCCTGGAAACTGGCCTTGGAAGTTCGAACTCCCCATACTGAAACACCCTTGTAAATACCCGATCGATTCAAATACCCGAGAGCTACCTACGCATCTCCAAATACGAAGCCTATCCCGCAGCCCAAAGCCAATGGCAAACGCCACTTCTTAGCCTGAATATACTCCAACCCCCCCCCCAAAGTGCCCACTCACATCCCGTGTCTGCACCCCCGCACCACTTACGCACCTGGCCTAAAGAAAAAAAGAGTTACGTCCAGCCTCGGCGCACCTCCGTTGTTGCCTTTACTACTGGTGGGCTTCCCCATTTAGCGGAGACTAGGCTTGGTTAGTGTATCTGTTTGTGGCGCTGGGGAAACGATCGACGGGGTCGACCACCCTCCGGATTTGGGCTGTGGAGTTGTCGAGTGGAGATGCGGGGAGGAGAGCGACTTGAGGGTCCTGGTCCTCTCCTGGAGGTGCGACATTCTGGTGTGACCCTGCACCTGGCCTGGTTTAACCTTGTTGTCTGACTCGTGGAAAAGTGCGTTGTCTTTGTTTGATCAGTACAAGCCCCAAGTGCCGAGGGGGCAGGTACCTGTGCGGGTGAATTCAGGGCAATCCCTTGCTGGGGGTGTAGCGGGTATTAGGATTCTTGGTATTTTGGGATTTGGAGCTTTTTAAGTATCACTGGAACTGCTCTGCTCGAACATAACTCTCTAGTCGGGTCTTTTTGTTGGTTCTCTTGTTCTCTCTGATTTTGTTCTGATCACTGGGTTGCGTGCTCGTCTTTATAAACCCTACCTACCGTAACGAGAACTACACCAGCTGCTACTATAACTGCTATCGGTACAATATAGTATCCCAACAGCATTTCCGTTCTAGGACGGGACCCCCCACGCCATGGGCTTCAAAAACATCCTCAAGAACCGCTCCGGTCTGCGCGTCGATAATCGCAAGACTACTTCCGCTGCGACTCTAACTTTGCGCCAGAGTCTGTGGCCACTCAGCCTGGTCACCATTCTATTCTTCTTATGGGTAGGCATTTACCAATTTTTAAACAGGTTGAATATTATTAAAAAGCATTTATACTCATTTGCTTGGTAGGGCTTTGCATACGGTCTCCTGGATACTCTCAACAAGCACTTCCAAAATACATTGCACATTGACCGCACCCGCTCAGCGGGTCTCCAAGCTGCATACTTTGGGTACGAAATTCCCTACTATCTCATCCACAATTCGTTATTGCATTTTCAGACTGCAAGGAGGAGCAATGATCGCAATATAGACGCGATACTAACTCTCGCAGCGCATACCCACTTGCCTCGCTCGGCTACGCGAATTGGATCCTCCGTCACTATGGATACAAAACAGTCTTCATCTTCGGTCTAACTCTGTACGGCATCGGTGCCCTGTGCATGTGGCCAGCAGGTCTGCACCAATCCTTCGGTGGTTTCTGCGGCGCAACTTTCGTCATTGGCTCGGGGCTGGGTTCGCTCGAGACAGCTGCGAATCCATACTTGACTGGTACGTGTTCCCTGTTCCCGTTCTTCTCCCGCATGCTGCAGGCTATTTCCTATCACGGTATACCACAACGGGAAGTATTATGCTAACCTATCCCCTCAATCAATCCAGTCTGCGGTCCACCCCGCTACGCCGAAATCCGAATCAACTTCGCTCAATCCTTCAACGCCATCGGCACCGTCGTCGGACCGGTGCTAGGCTCCTACGTATTCTTCACCACGACAAACGACGACGTCGCAGCCCTGCAGCGCGTGCAATGGGTCTACCTAGCCATCGGCATTTTCGTCTTCTGTCTCGCGGGCGTATTCTTCGTCTCGAATATCCCCGAGGTCACGGATGAGGATATGGCATTCCAAGTCGCGGCGACTCATGTTGATGAGCAGGAGAAGCCGTTTTGGAAGCAGTGGAAGTTGTTTCATGCTACGTTGGCGCAGTTTACGTACACGGGTGCTCAGGGTATGTCCATCTACCACCGTTGTATTTGCCTTGGGATATGTGTTGGACATATCTCGGGTATGAAGTTAAGGTGCTAATCAGCCCGGTTAGTTGCTATCGCGGGTTACTTCATCAACTACGCGGTTGATACCTGGCCCGGCACTGATAGTGCCAAGGAGCGAAACTTCTTGCTGGTGCACAGGGTGCGTTCGCGGTGGGTCGATTCCTCGGTTCGGGAATTATGAAGTATACCAAGGCCCGATATGTCTTCGGTATCTATCTGTCTTGCTGTGTGGCATTCCTGGCTGCATCAGTGACGCAGAGGAATCAGACTGGTATTGGTACGTACCTCTTAATGACTAACTAACTATACCGTGGCACGGCTGACTAACTTTGACAGCAATGCTTTACCTGGTCCTGTTCTTCGAGTCAGTCTGCTTCCCGACCATCGTGGCACTGGGAATCCGCGGCCTCGGCCGTCATTATAAGCGTGGTTCCGGGTTTATTGTTGGAGGTGTATGCGGTGGAGCAATTGTCCCACCTATCCTGGGCCATGTTGCCGATATGAGGAATGATACAGGCTTTGCATATATCGTTCCTACTATGGTAAGCTGAGATTTGAAATCATGGCCAAATTTTCGCTAGCTGATACAAGTCACTTTGTAGTTCATGGTTGTTGCGTGGACATATGCCGTTGCGGTGAACTTTGTTCCCGCGTACAAGCTCACGGTGGACAAGGTCGGCGAGAGTACGCTTGGGCTGCAGAACCAGAATCTCAAGGATGAAGAGGCTGCTGCGGGGACGACTCGTGAGGTTGGGGAGGGCCATTTTGGGCCGGGTGATGAGGCCGTGGACAAGGAGGGTGGGCTGGTTCATATTGAACGGTAATGGCTTGGGAATATCGACGTTTATCAGGGGAATTTGCTTGCCTGCGTCAACTTAGCTACTAGTTAATGTGCCTATCCTTGTTGTGGTAGAAAGAATGATAGTTACGATTTTATGCGATAGTCAGGGTATGACTGCTGCTAGGGTATGATAGATTGTGGTACGACTCATATCTAGAAAATCCTAGAGTCCTGTGTTCTCGGTTTATTGCTGATCACATTAGAGGAGAAGTTATGTCATTATGCACGCAATGACGCGAATTGAAGGAACAAAGGTAGTCTATAATGGGGGTTGCAACGTAGGCAATGCAAGCCTGGCAGAAAAAGGAAACAGGTATCTGGGATTCAGAACACGGCGAGGAGTGAGGTCATAGGAAATCTCGACAGAGGAATAAGGCGCTTCACGAAGCACCCGTCAGTAACAAAACAAGATGAGTCAAGGGGAGCGAGAGCGAAGGTACTGGCTGGAATCAATCACAACCACAAACAATGGGTTAGGACTGTTGATACAATGCCATGGGAAGTCAACAGATATCAGTATCAAGCATGCAGGCAATGAGAAACACGTACACAGGCTGTGTATGGAATCGCAAAAAAACATGGGGGTATATGAAGAATCACAAGCGAGAACAGAAGGGGAATAGGAACAGTAACAGAAGAAGCTCTATCATCTAACAAATCACACAATGAAAATGAGAATCGTGGGAGAGGTGGAAATGGGCAAAATCGCATCAAAAGGAAGAAAAAAGCGTCAGCAATATTACTCAATAGCAACTGGCTTCGTAGTCACCTCGCTAGTGGCCTCGGTGGGAAGATCAGCATTGAGATCGCCATCTTGAGTAATTGACTCCGAGACGACATCTGCAAGCGCCACTCCAGTCTCAGACTGTGGAGAACGCAGCGAGGATGACCGCGGAGGCCTGGCTGGACTGGACTCTAGCTCCGGAGCGGGCTCAAGTTCTGGCTTGCGGCCCGATATAGGAGATCCAGCCTCAAGAACCTGTACAGTAGTAGACACTCGAGGTGTAACTTCGCCTTCCGTGGCAACCGTGTCGAGGTCTTCCCCCGGGCCGTCGAATTCGTCGACTTCCTCAATCTCGTCTTCAAAGCCTTCATCGTCTTCTTCCTCTTCGATAATCTGGCTCTTGCGGGCAGCAGGGCGTGCAGCAGCGGGAATTGCATCGTCGTTATCCGCAGCCTGACCAGGGAGAGGCGAATGGATCATGCTGCCCGACACCATCAGATTCGACGTGTGAATCATGGGTCCCTTGAAGGCAGATCGCTTTCGGCGGGCAAAGACTAGACTTGAAGACGGCGAGTAGAGAATCGGACCAGGAGCGGCTTCATTAAAGGCTGATGGCATCTGACCGACGTGTTCACCCAGCTCCCTATGAGGTCCACTGGGACCACGCACCAACCGAATGTTGCTTGGAAAGCGGGCAGATGAGCCAGGCGTTGTAGGCAGAACCTTGATAGACGAATGGGGAGACCTAGAAATTCGCGCTGTCGGTGTTGCCACAGTGTCGATGCTATTGGACGATATCGATGACGCTTTTGAGTGCGCACGGGTATGGTGAATGCTGCGGATAGATGAGACGGAGGACGATGTTGATTTGCGGCCGCGCAGTCCAGCTGACGACCGTCGATATGAGCCACGGGGCGTGATAGGAGATGGCGAGAGAGAATTGCGATTGCTGGAATGGCTAGTGTTCAATGGCCGAGGCTGGCGTGGGTAGGAGTGCCTGTTCTGACGATAAGAGGCACTGCTCGGAGCCAGGCTGCTGGCATTGGAGATGCGCTTCATTTGGGTGGGAGTTACGACCTCCGCTGGAGCCTCGCCCGCAGGAGATGGCGACGCGGTCTTCTTCCCGGAATCCTGACTTTTCGCAGGGCTGAACTTTTCCGAAAGGAATTTTCGCGAACCACTTGATTTGACACTTGGAGACTTGGCCCGCTTGGCAGACTCCACAAACCAGTGCTTGAGTGATGCGAGCTGGCTGAGGATAGGATGATGGCGTCGAGAAGTGCGCCGGCGGAAGATCCCATGGTGCTGGGTCAGCTCTGGTTGTGATGCACTGACATGCAGCATACTTGGGCGTGATCTTCTTTTGTCCTTTGGAGGAGGCACCGGGCGGCGACGGACTGAAGTCGACGCCGACGTGATTGAGCGCCTGTCAGCTGCAGAGTCTTTATCGATGGGCGCTGGTGGGTTGCTCGTGCCAGGCGAATGGACGGGCAATGGCTCGGGGAGAGCAGGCAGCTCTGGCACCGCTAACTGAGAGGGTAGACTTCGCCTATCACGCCGCCCACGATCCTGTAATGAGCCCGAAGTTACCTGGCCTTCTTCGTCGACTTCAACCAATGCCGAAGAGAGCTTTTCTAACCGGCTGCTGGCGGCGCTCAGTCGGCGGAGATTCTTTGCTTCGACTTCTCGCTCTCGGCGCTTGCGCTCTCGTTTCTGTTCTTTACGTTGCTCCTTTTCAATCAACAGGGCCCACCATCCAGCCAAGGGGTCACATCTTTGCGCAAGAACATTCTCGATAACCTCGTCGATATTGACACCGGCACTCTTCATTCGTTGCAAAGTCGTCTTCTCCAGCGGTGTCGTGAATGGCGAGGGTCGGGGAATCTTGAGGATAGCAAGTTGTTCGGGGGCATGCTCAGCGAGGAATGGATGAGCCAGTATGTCGTCGAGACTCGGTCGAATCAACGGCCGTTTGGAGAGAAGCAAATTGATCAATGCCTTGGCGTCGTCTGGGAACTTGTCGTTGTATTTTGGCTCCTCTGTGAGAATTCGGCTCTTGGTGACTTGGTCGTCATCGTCATCGTAAGGTAGCTCGCCGGCCAGAAGCGCATAGAGAATGATACCCAAGCTCCATACGTCGACTTTTTCGCCCGCATATTTCTCCCCCTTCAACATCTCCGGTGCACTGTAGCAAATTGTACCGCAGAAAGTTTGCAGATAGCTCGCCTTGCCTTCATATTCGCGAGTGAAGCCAAAATCGCAAAGCTTGACATTCTCATGCTTGTCGAGTAGAATGTTTTCCAATTTGAGATCCCGATGCACGCATGACTTGCTATGAACATACGCCACCGCGCCCGCCAGCTGGGTGAATATCCGTTTCACTTTTTCGACAGGAAGGGGACCATGGCGCAGGAGGTAGTTGTAAAGTTCGTCGCCTTAGGACAGTTCACCATTAGTCTATCATTGTCTCCTCTTTCGCCTCGAATCACGCCTTTCGATTGACATACCGGGACAGTATTCCAGCACCAGCCACACCAGGCTCTCCGTGACGACGACTTCGTAGAGGCGCGCGATATGAGGATGGAGGAATTGACGATGATGATGGATCTCGCGGGCCAGATTGGTGTCCTCCTTGCTGGAGGATTTCAGCACTACCTGTGCCAGCCGTCAGCACAATCAACATAATCCGTATGAGCCATCCTCCGTATGGCGCAATCCGTACCTTGGAGCCATTGGTGAGTTTATGCGATGCAAGATAGACTTTTCCAAAGGACCCTTTCCCAATCAATCGTCCTAGAGTGTAATTTCCCACGCTCCGCAGATCCTTGGACGAGAACTCTCTGCAGAAAGGCGCGGGTCAGCACAGTGTCGGGCGGGCAGAAGGACCGAACGAAGCTTACTCGAGTAGTTCATTGTAGGAGTTGGCAAGCTATACACACGCGCGACCAGAATGGCCGGACTCTTCGTTAGCCACATGTTCGCTCAAGACCGCTGGGCCTTCCTTCAGGAGGTCATGTCATGGGCCGCCACCAAATGGCGGGCCGCGATCTCCTTTCGACGCACCTTTTCCTTTTGTTTCTGGCTTTGCACCCCCGCTCTCGTCCTGGGCGGCATGTGTTATGATCGATCTCCAGGACTGCCGTCGGTCACGGAGATCTCTGCGCGTGTCGGGTTGGAAGACGTGGAGAAGTGGGCTGCTCGGACTTGGTGTTGCCATTCAAACAGACACGGAGAGGGCGTCGGGGAACAGGTTCCGGGCGGGAATGTCGGGAGGGCGCAGGGTAGGGATACCGTCGGGAGGAAGGGAAGGGGAGAGGTGTTCAAGGTGTCGAGGTGTAGATATGTTGACGGTGGGTTTTCGAAGGGAGGATTCTGGAATGTGGATGGAGGAGGAGGTGGTGGTGGTGGTGCATACAAAGTTTCGAGTGTCGCAAGACGTCAACGGGAACGTGGACCGTGTGGAGTTCGGCTGCGGACTCGAACGGCTTTTTCTGTCATCAACATTCCTTAACTACAGCAATTACGGAGTAGTTATGTACACTTGTTACCGAGTTTATTCTTAGGGATTGGATCATACACGGGACGAGCCCCTGAATACAAATTGACCCCCGTTTCATGTCATCAATTCAAGTTCCCTCCTGTCGCGTGGTGGACCTTGGTAAAATTTACATCCACCCCAAAGACTGTAAGCAGTAGTATTTTTTATTTAGCATCGGTTGACCAGGGGTGAAAAAAAAAAATCACGTAAGTATACAACTATAGACGAGTGACTAAAACCGGTATCCATAACTACAAGGAGAATGCATAGACACCAGGCAGAACAATCTATTCCTTCTACTGTACGCCACCACGCCATGTCCCCGAATCCCACGTATCACACACAACACCACCCTCCTTGTTTCCTTGTTTGGCCGCGACTTCAGCATCCTCAGTCATTGCGCCCAATTTATAGACGCGCGCTCATTGGTCACTCGCGCGTTGATGACCTGGTCCAATCACATCCGCGCGGCCGAAGCGAGATCCCGCGATCATCATCATCATCATCATCATCATCATACGGTGTACCCAGTAGCTACTACACCTAACCTAGTGGTACCTCGAGTATCTTGGCTAGACACATATGGAAAAGACCACCAACATACTGTATAATCCAGTTAAACCATCCTCAATGACTACGCTCTCGTGCTCTACTAACTATCCAGGGAACGAGACTCCTTCGATCTACAGAGTGGACACTTTAGGAGGCCTCGAATATAGACCTTTCTGGTCTTGGCTATTGAAGTTCCTCTGTTTGTTCTTCAGTATGGCTCCACTTCCAATGTAGTGCTTGGTTGTGACAGCTTAGATCTGGACAGTACTTGAGATCGATTTGTACTACATTGCAGCTCTTAGAAGCATCAACTTCTCACTCGAGGCTACTTGAATGACAAAGCCTATACAAAGCTATTTGATTGTTGCATATGTTCACCTTGGCAGTATCGTGATACTTAAATTGGTCGGGTATTTGAATACGTCTCCTCGCCAGGCCAATATATATTCTTTATGCCCCGTTAAATCCGTTCTAAGCCAAGCTAGTCTCGGCAGAGGGGCTACTTGTTTCTTCCTCTAATGGAGGTTCCCGAGGTCGGCTTTTACCAATTTCTCAGCTATCATTTTTCTCGAAAAGCGACCTTGGTGCTCACTGGTACATTTTCTATTCTATATGATTCTCTCTCCTCATAAGCTTAGTGCTCGACACTGGATAACATTCATACCTGATAGAATTAGAAATTCTTATTTGTGTTGTATGGAAAACGCCTTCCAATGTGACAGACCTTACAAGATGGCATGGTATATTCGTGGTAAAAGAATGTTCGTAAGGTATAATTAATTCATCTATCTTGAATTGGGGGATAGAGGCACTCACCACCTTATCCAATGATTTGAAAGTATCAGGACTGAAAAAAAGACTGTAGCTAGGACGGACTTCCTAAATATAGACGCTCCTTCTTCACGAGCAAAGGAAATTGACCCCAAAGCTATTCACACATGTCCATTGCTAATTACGATCTAAACGTGCTTTTTGTCATAAGTCTAATGTAATGCTGTTATCATAATTGCACCAGTCCTATGATCTGTGAGCAAGTAACATTAAGTGCACGAGACGGATTTTTGGCTATATGGCAAATCCTGTTGGATTTGCGGTCGCGCTTTTCCTGCGCACATTGGCGACGCGGTCACTTTGTCGATGACTGAATGGGGTAGCCTTCCAGGTCATCATTTCTTATTGCTCATCGTTGGCCTACAATGCGAGAGGCAGGATTTGGATAATACCTTTGCCGAAGTACTACCGAGATAGACAATTTAAGAAACGCAACCGAGCTCAGATGTTATGAGATTGGGGTTTACTCTAGCAGATCTGTCGAGCGCAAGGCAAACTCATATTTTGCTGTTAGCACGTTGGGCATCGGCTCTGATCTTCTCGATAGCAAAGCCGACCTTGGGCGCGAACTTCCCGACTGCCCTTCTCTGTTCTAGACAAGATAAATGGCCAGCTTTGACGTCCAAGTTCTATTTCGAGGACTAGAATGAGATATTGTGTCTCTAGCGGGCTGTGTAGCCACCGTCCACGGGCAAGCAGACACCAGTAACCCAGCTTGCATCTTCGCTTGCCAAAACAACAGCCATTTTGGCAATATCATCAGGGAAGCCTGGACCTTTCAACGGGTGTCGGCGGTTGAGATCGTCCCAAGGAGTGAGATTAGTGGTCGTTTCCTTGAAGATAGCGGTTTGGGTATCTGCGAAAACCGTCAGTCTCGATCGTCGTAAAAAAGGATTCCGTAACTGACATCCAGGGCAAAGCGCATTGGAGTGGATTTTATGAGGGGCATAATCCAAGGCGATTTGCCTTGTGAGCTGGCTGACAGCACCCTTAGATGCACAGTAGGATGCTTGAAGCCTTGAGGTTAGATCTGTTTGAAGATTCGCATGAACTGAAAGTCTTACGGTTCTCCGGTCCCGCAATCATGCTCATGATTGATGATATATTAATGATCCATCCTCGATCCCCTGAAGGATGAGGCTCCTGTGCTAACATCTGTGCGAGGGCATACTTGCAGCCAAGGAAGACCGACTTGACGTTCACTCGCATCGTCGTGTCCCACGTTGCTTCATCAGTCAAATGAAGCACAGCTGGAAACCGTGCCTCGATGCTTATTCCAGCATTATTGACCAGGCTAAGAGCACAGTTAGAGAAAGCCGATTAATTGGCAGCGGAGTGAAGGTGTATACATATCAAGTCTTCCATAGACCTTGACGGCTTCCTTGACCAAGTTTTCCATTTGTGTGGCATCGCCAACGTCAGTTTGTACAAAGAAGGCTTGCCCAATCTCTTGGACAATGAAGTCATGCGTTGTGATTCCAGCTTCCTCTTGGGAGCGTGCTGTTGGTGTCAAATCGGCACACACTACCTTGGCGCCCTCTTGGGCGTAACGAATAGAGATAGCTCGACCTAGACCGGAAGAAGCACCGGTCACAATGGCGACTTTATCCTGCAAACGAAATGATCTCGCCATGTTGCTTGTAGGAGTTGTTCACGATCAGAATGAACGTGTTTGGAAATCCGACTGGGGAAGAGAGGGGGATGGGATTGTTTCTCTTTAGTTTTGAATAGTATTTCATACTGTCCACGTTGCTTACCTTAAATAGAAATTGTAGACCAACGCTAAATATGCTTTAGTGGTAGAGAAAACTGTTACTAATTTGGTAAACATCCGTAGAGAAGCCACTCCGCTTGCCTTCACTGCTCGTAAATATGTTATCGATTTGGGTGAAGGTAATGAGATTGAGGGGCAAAAGGTGGAGACATATGGGGACCGACAAAGCTGGAAGTTGAGCCGAGCTGCAAAAATCGGAAATATCCTCTTCAGGAACTAGGCTAAGATCGCAAAGAGAAGCCGAGCCGAGATTGGTCTCGCACCCGACAAGCTCGCCGCTTGCACCAACATCCACCGGCCTCAGTCCCAAGATAGATTCATTAAGGATTTCAACCGAAAGCCACGTTTCTACAGCAGCATCTTACAGACTTTTCCAACTCCACAGGTCAGGTGAAAGTCGAAATCACAAATATCCTGATTTATTAATCAATCTCTGGCGCAACCGCTGCAATCATCAAACCGAACTATATCTTTTCTTCCTTCCAAAATGCCTCCGATCCTCTATGTCATTCGCCATGCACAGGGCGAACACAATGTCAATGTACAATTACCCCACCATTCATCCCACCCAGTCAATGCCCACGCTGTTAACACATCTCACAGGACTCTCACCATCTGCGGGACGCATTGCTAACGGAGATTGGAAAAGCTCAGTGTAGAGAACTCCAGGAGAAATTTTCGTTTCTACAAGACATTGAAGTTATCCTTTCGTCTCCTCTCCGACGTACTATCCAGACTGCGGCCTATACATTCGCACCTGAATTGGAAAAACGACAAATACCCATTGTTTTGGTTCCCAAAGCACAGGAGATCAGCAGTTTGGCGTGTGACATTGGCCATGACGCCGAGGTCACTATTTCAGAGGCCCCGAAGCTAATTGCCAACGCTGCCCCTCTATGGGATGCTTCCAATTTGGATACGACGTTGGTTGATGAATCGTAGAACTCGAAGGTAAGTTTTATGGGCTCTGTAGTTCAAATATGTAGGTGCTAACTGACTCTCATAGAAAGGAATTTATGCGTCAACCTTGCCGGCCGTTCATCAACGGGCTGCTGAGATGCGTAACTGGATTTACAACCGCCCGGAGAAGCATATCGCGCTCGTGACTCACGGAGGTTTCTTGCATTACTTCACTGAGGATTGGACGGGCTACGTAAAAGGCAAAGGTACTTTCCTCCTCGATTGATTGATTCGCATTTGAATTCGGCTGACTCTGATCCTTCCATAGGCACTGGCTATTTGAATTGCGAGTACCGGAAATTGGAGTTTACGGACGACTCTAACGAAAAGGAGTCGCATCTTAGGGAATGTGGTAGCACGTTGGAAAAACAAGCCAGACCAGCTGGCCTTGATGCTCACTTGATCCATGAGATCGAAGAAGTGGAAAAAGCGTTATGATGTGAAGAACAGATGTAGAACACCAAACATAGAAAGAAAGACGTAGTTATATGATAGATGCTGACTATAGAGAAATGGGAATATGTCGAGCAACATGGAGGCCCTGTAGTTTTCTACCTATGACATTATCCGTTGTAATCAAGGATGGCAAGACCAAGCGAATGAGTGAGGTTTAGTGAAGAATCCTGTAACTTCAGGGAATCTTATACCTATCAAAATTCTCGTGGCCATTGTAGCCAGTTTCCAGTAATTGGTTTGGCTACGCAACAGTTTTTTCGGCACAACTTCCTAATTAATGCGATTTTCATTACCTTCCGAACAGCAATTGTTGATCTGGCATGCTTTGCCTATAATGGATGATAGAAGCGGGAGGAAGTTGGGATCTCAAGATGAAGATTTCTATTCAACAAAGTGACATCACAAATCAGGTTCGCCTCGGGATAGTCGGGTTCGATACCAGATCGAGGAATCCTAAGCATGGACGTTGTGGCTACAGTGACGAGATGTTGTACATACTCCAGAAATTTGATCTGGAAATGTGTCCAGGGACCCCGCGTATTCATACCTACTCATAACATTTCTCGGCTTATTTTCCATATAGGGGGAAACACATAGATCGACAACGGCATAGCGCCGACTCAAGTCTTGGTAAAAGTCGCACTCTGTATCTTCAAGATTGAGCTCAATTAAAGCCGTGTTTATAAATTTGGCTTGCTCCTACCCTTATATTCTCTCATCATTTCAAACATCCGCATTTTCAAGACTCGCCTCCACACAATGTCTATCGATACCGATGTTCTGATTATTGGAGCAGGCCCATCTGGCCTAGGCATGGCCGTTCAGCTTGTACGCAACTTTGGGACAAGGAACTTTGAAATCATTGAGAAGACATCCGACGTTGGTGGAACATGGTTCGCGAACTCGTATCCAGGTTGCGGGTGTGATGTTAGTATCCTCTATCAAATGACCATCCGAGGACGGCATTGTTTTCTGACGTGCTAAACGCACACTCAGGTCCCATCGCACTTTTATTCTTACTCTTTTGCGCCAAATCCTTACTGGTCACGCAAATTCGCGTTGCAGCCTGAGATTCATCGGTATTTTGAATCTGTTGTCAGCCAGTATGATATTCGTCCTCATGTGAGATTTCACTCCGCTGTTGTCTTGGCTGAGTACGACCCCGAGACGGCGAGCTGGAAAGTGGTCATTGAAGACCAGAGAACAAAACACCAAATACATAAGCGCTGCAGGATTCTCGTCTCCGCCATTGGCGTCCTTTCGACTCCAAAGAGGTGTGATATCCCAGGGGCAGAGAACTTTAAGGGTCGTCTATTCCACTCAGCACAGTGGGACCACGGCTTCGACTATAAAGACAAAGAAGTCATCTGTGTTGGTGAGGGATCCCCTCAGACCCAATTATTCAAATGGGCAATTGACGCTTACTTATTGTTATTAGGCAATGGCTGTAGTGCCACGCAATTCGTGCCAGTTATGAGCGCTGGTGAAAACCAAGTCAAGAAAATCACGCAATTTTCCCGCCAGGCTCACTGGTTATCCTACCGACCCAACCCTGAATACTCCGGAGCCTTTCAGTTCCTGATGTGCTGGGTGCCCGGCGCTCAACGCCTCTACAGAACATATCTCTTTCTCACGCAAGAGAAAGACTTTGCTGGCTTTCACATGAAAAATGGCCAGAATATGCGGAATGACTGGACAGCTACTACAACTGAGTACATTCAGAAGAATTCTCCCACCAAGTATCGCGACTTCTTAGTACCAAACACCATCATTGGCTGTAAGCGCAGAGTGATGGACACGGACTATCTTGCCTGCTTACATCGTAAAAACGTTGAACTCATCTACGATGATCCGATCGATCATATTACCGAGAGTGGAATCATGACAAAGTCTGGTCGAAAAATCGATGCCGACGCAATAGTCCTCGCTAATGGATTTGAGACCCAGAAGCCTTTTTCCCCAATTGAGATCCGAGGGCAAAATGGACAAAACATCGCTGATCACGTAAGTCAGTATCAACAAGTAGAAGGAAAGTTCAGGCTAATTAGTTTTCAGTGGCTTGAATTTGCGGGTGGCTCCCCAGAAGCTTACTTCGGCACTTGTCTGTCGGGTTTCCCGAACTTCTTCATTTTGATGGGACCAAATACACTTTCCGGACATCTCTCTGTGCTCTATACCACAGAATGCCAGGTAAATTTCATCATCCGAGTTATTCGACCGATATTGGATGGGCTCAATCGCTCAATGCTGCCTTCGCTATTCGTCACCGAATACCCTGAATCTGTTGTTGTTACTCCCGTGGCAGAGCGGAAAGACGTCGCTGTGACCGACCACAAAGCAAAGCAGTTGGTATGGGCCACTGGCTGTACTTCATGGTTTATTGACCCTAGCACCGGACGAAACACCATCATGTTTCCCGATTGGCAATTCAAATTTCACCTTCGCAGTATCTTCATTCCATGGACGGATTTTCTGTACAAGAAGTCTCCCAAGGGATCTCTTCGGGAGGTTACAGTTGTTCCTCGATACCCACTTGGGGTTGCCACCGCGAGCATCATGCTCTTGGGAGCATTACTCAGGCTATCCTCTGCGGAGAGCTTTAAACTGTCATCGACACTTACTATCTTGCAACAACAAGTTTCGGGATTCCTTCCGTGGACTAGATGAACTTTAGACTTCAATGCTCTTTTTCATACGGTGCGAATGAAGATCGCCTTAGATTCTCATCTGTGGCATTGGGTTTTGAACGAGGGTTTTTTTGTACCGATGACTAGGTCATGTAGCTGGAAGCAGTACTAGGAAATGAACCAGTTGGAGTCATGACCCTGCTCCTCACGGTCAACGTGGTTGCCTTCTCTTCCTCTTGCCCATTCATCCTTCAACTTGGCCACATGATATCGAGTAGTCCATCCAAGATCCCTTTCAATTCCAGAAAGTAATTCCAGAACCGCTTCCTGCTCGCAACGCTCCTGGAAAACCTGCCCAGCGACAAACAAGGCTTGTACAGAATGGACCCTCAATGAATCGGTCGAGTTGGCAAGACTGATACCACATACTTCCCGGGCATGATGAACGACTTCCCGGAGGGCATGCCGGTAGGATCTCAAGCGCGCTGATACAGTTGAACGAATAGCTGTTGATTCCTGTGGCTCGTTTGCTAATAACAATATTTTCGCTTGATGATAGCTTTGCATTGTTGCTGCACAAAGTGGCAAGTCGAACCAGATTTGTTCGAAGGCATCAAAACTCAGCTCAAAACCAGAAGCTGCGCTACCTATTCTTCGCGTCCGAGCAGTCGGAGTGAAGCATGCGGGAAGAGAGTCATGCCATCTCTCAAGATCAGTCATCAACATATTCCATCTTTCCAGGAGATGCTCTTGACTCAACCCGATAAGAGACCGCTGATGGCGTGGTAACGCGTTATTACCCGGAACCAAAGCGTCCCCTGCAGTTAGGTGGTTTGCAATTTTACCGAGAATCCATGCGAGTTCATTGCTTCTCATGTCCTCTTCAAGTCCAGAAGAATTTTGGCTTTGCATGACATCTGATGGGCTGTAGGGTAACAGCTCTCCATTTTCGTCAGTGGCCAAGCCTGCGTTTTGCCAGAGACGCATGTCTTTCAAGTCTAATCGAGTTGGAGTTTCGCTTATGACTGGGTCTTCGGGTCAGGAGATCTATCCTGCTGAGAAAATCACTTTGAAACTCACAGGCACATAACAAGTCTTGCCTCGCCAGGCTCCAGAATATTGGACCTTTTACGGCTGTCTGAGGAATGATGATTGAAGAATGACCAGGTGCAGAATTAGCTCTATCATTGAAGAGTGGTAAAGCGCTGAGATGAGCTCTCCATGCACTTCCAGGAGCGTCCATCAACTCAAATGCGCAGAGAATAGCGACTGCAGCGAGCATTTCTTCTTTTCCCGGTAGATTATGCGAATATGACTCTGAGCTGACAGCAATTTTGAGATGGCCAAGAGCTTGGTCGTAATATCTTGCAGAGTGATATCGCCACAATTCTTCGGTTGAGAAAGGGAGGCCAATAAATCTGGGAACAGACCCGGGGTCCGCACCGGCCAGGCTCATAACTCGACAGACATGTCGCAGATGCTTTGCAGAGAGAGCACATACGGCCGATTTCAATAAATCCTTTGATGTCGCGATGACAGGGATTTTGGAAGAAAAGTAAGACGTCGTATCGAAAAGATCCATCCTTGGGCATCGTTAGCACCAATTCAATTTCTAGAATGCCATTGATACACACCACTGGCCTGGGCCTTGCTTGAAATGTCGCAAAAGGTATGAGGCGAGAACTTTTTCTAATGGATCGGACTCCGATTGATTGGTGCGATAAATTTGGGAATCGAGTGCTCGCGGTGTGCGATGGTCGGTAGTCGGTGTATGGTGAAAGGAAGGGGTTGCAACAGGAACATCGTGTGGTACTGATTGAGATTCATGAATCTCATTTTCTTCGCTGGCCTCTATCGTCCCGTCTGTGACATTTTCTTCATCCACAGTTGCACCCGCTGCCTCAATGACGCTTGAGCTTTCATTGTCCCAGGGATCTCCCACCTGAACAAACGTGACTATTTGATATAAGTATGTAAAATTGGATTCGAAGTTAAAACGTACGTTCAGCTGGAAGTTCTACCCAGGTAGCGTCCTCTCTAGACCTATTGGCCTGCTGTCTTCCCTGATCGGTAGTACCTTTCCGTATGCGATTGGGCGTCGAGGTAATCTCCTGGCTACGGAAAATAGACTGTTCTCCATAAGAACAGTCTCGGGATGCTTTGATACATTTGCGGCATGCTGGTTTAGACTCGTCACATTTCAACTTCCTCCGTTTGCACGTCAAGCTATAAGAAGTCGTGAGTCATGAGTCATGCTGTTTATATTGAACGCAGATATTGGCAGAACAAGGGCGGGATACAGTGAGGAGAACCGTGCACATACCAGCCGGAGTAAGAGCGCATGCCTCCCAGCGGGGATTCTCGAAGTTGAGAGCTCTACTAGAGAAAACTTGGTATTTCAAAGGCCGCCGAGAGACGTCTGGAGGTGATAGTTTGTGACAAAAGTGGAAGAGTTACCGAGAATCACGTGATAATTGACTCGGTTCGATTACGATTTTGGTAGTCCTTGGGTAGTACCCGCGGCTTGAGGTTTAAAGAAGATATTCCAGATTTGGTTCAAGTACTACAAAACAATTCATATTCGTTGGCATTTCTATAGTAAAAACGGATAAAATATGTCGACCCAATGATCTAGTTTCACGGGGTTTCTGCTCTTGCATCAACTGAAGACCCCTTTCAACGCCTTCCACGGCCTGCTACGGAAAGTTGCCAATGCAGAAACTCTACCATCCAGCACCAACAGGCCCATAATGATTGCCGCAGTTGATACAGTAGCGGCCCGGTAAACCCAAAAATATTGGCGACCAGGGCCATATGGCTCACCCATACTAAATATCCCCGTGAGATAAGTCAGAGGGATAAAGGCCATTGCAATGTAATTCATTAACTAACTAGTGTTTCGCGTTTTACATCACTAAGAGCTAAGAGTGGATGAAATCAGGGTTAAATCTCAATCGAATCACACTCCTCCTGTCCAAGGGAGAACTGAGTGCCAGATAGCTCGTCTCAACCGCGTTAGCCGAGCTAGGCAACCCTTGGCACGGGACCTGGCTTTATCTTCATGAAATCAGACAACATTCAAAGTCAATTTCAAGCCAAAACTCATTCAATCACCATGAGTGGCCGAGGAAGACCAATAGTCCGGCGACCAGTCACTCCTCTGGATCCAACTCTTACCACTCGTCCAGTACCGCACGAACGGGCTTTCACTGGGCGATCTTTTTGGACCCGGAGCCGCAGCAGATATCCAGAAGTCTGCACGACCACTCAAAGAAATCGATACCGAGGTTACTATGGAAACATTATATCCCCAACAGAGCCCCAATTCCAAGGATCTAACGAGGGACAACCCGACTCGCGACCTCCTCAAAGTGGTAGAGAGCAAGGAGAATATACTCTCATATGACGGGAAGGTGTTTCTGGAGCGAGATCCGACTTGGGGATTTTACGTTTTCCTCACGAGCTACTCGGAAGAAGTCTCTGCGAATATACCCCAAGCAATGGAGACGTTGATCGGTGTCCTGCAGCGCAAGCTACCATATTGGACGTGTCCCCCCTACGCCGAGGAGGCTTTTCGTCGATTTAAGCTTGATCTGGTCGAGGACCAGGCTGCTCTCGAGGGAGCAACGCATGATCGAATCCGTGCGGAGTTCCAGGCGCTCTGTCGTGCCAAAATTCGAGATGTCACGTCCTCTAAGGAATTTGAGGGTAAGGAGACGTTTGATTTGTGGTCTCGCGCACGGTATATGGCCTGTTTAGTTCTCGACGAAGCTGCAGTATCGACGCTGGCAAATGTTCCGCATTTTGAGGACCAGAAAGACCATGATCGCTTCTTGATAAACATGGTGATTTTGAAAGTTGTTGATAGGTTTTGGCAGCGCCCACCTCCGGTTGTTCTTTCGACTGAAGACTATCGGGGAGTAGCGGATTGCTCCATTGGGCGGCTCCCGTTGCTCTATCATGAGATCACATCATACTCAGGCTGGCATGCCGTAGAGCAGTTTTGGGACTATCAACGTCTAGGACTATGGGATTGAAGAGAATCGCCTCGATTAGTGGTCAAAGTCTTTGTATTTAGATATGTACCAGCTCCATATACAATTAAGGTTCGTTCATGCCAGGAAGATCTTATGACGTAATTCCATGTCACTGCTTCCATGAGTGAACAGCTCCGGGAATGATCCGAGTTATGACCACCACGACAGCGATTTCAAGTGCTCAACAGTCCGCTCGGTCGCAACCAAAGCAGGATCAACCCGAGCAAGTCCGGCCTCGCCTTGGAACGCAAGTGAGACCATGCCGAAATAAGAATGAAGAAGATCTGGACAATTTGATCAGTATTGAATTGCCGCTCTAGGAAGCATTTCACCTTACCGGGAGGATCTCCAACGCCCTTTCCGAAGCCACCGACCAGGTGCTGTGTCTTTTCTAAAAGATATTGCCGATTTCGTGCGTCATCAATCACACAATATCGATTCAGCATCTATGCACTTCATGAGCAAGGTGTTAGTCAATGGTGATCGGAAGACATACCATGAGTGCCGCGCCATTCCAGAAGGAGTAGCAGGTATCTGCCAGTTTGTTGCATCGCCCATTGAACCCAGCGCACGATATCGTCTCGCCTGACAACGGCGTCATATTCGACAGTCCACGAACCAAGTCGTCTACCGACGCGGTCCCTGTTCCTACCTCTACCTCAGCGGCCGTGGGCTCCTCTTCATCACCATTATCCGACTCGCCCTTCTCTTCCTCCCCATCTTCCTCGCCGAGTAATTTGTCCGTCTGCCGCGATGCCAGCCAGCCCACCAGGGCCTCAAACCCCCTTCGACCCCGGAGACAGCAGCTGGTCAGACGGGGTTCTATCTGTTCCCTGACGCAGAAAGTGCAGAGATCCAACTGCACAATATGTATGACCACCTAGCTCGCTGGGTCAGGAAAGTGGCGCGCAAAGGGGAAGGGTGGTACACGAACTGTGCGATTCGCGAAAAGGCGACTCGCCCATTCCGCCGTCGTAGCTCTGCTCGAAGGAAAAGCGATCAGTCGGGCTCAGAAGGTCAGAAGGATAGAACAATTCACGGAGAATTTGTACCTGACAAGCCTCGATGAATGAGGTTAATTTAGACACGTTGATATCCGGTATATCTTCAACGCCCTTTCCAGATTGGCCTCGTAGGATGTAGCGTATCCCGGAAGCGCAGCAGCAGTATCGTAGATCTTGATCCCCTTCAACAGTCCCATTGGGACCCAAGACTTCTCCAAAACTCCCGTCTTCTCGCTGTAGCTTCGGAAGCCACTCCAAGCATTCTCTCCGCTTCACCCTTGTCAAGTCATCTCCCAGAATGAGCAAGTTCACCAGCGCAAAGAATGTCGCCGGGACATTTGCCGGGTCCCAAGCCTCGTTATGTGGTGTCCGCCGTGCATCGCCAAAGTCTGTGCCTGAAAACCCGCGGAAGCCTCCCGACGGCACTTGGCAATGGTATAGCCAGTCGATATACCCTTGTCTCTCCTCCGGGGTGGTTTTGCTTTGTAGAACACCGAGAACGTCGAGACCGCCGAGTGTCAGGTAGGCGAGAAGCATGCGATTGGAGTCATTGGAGATATAGGCCGAGGGGAGGAAGGTCTTGAGACAGCGGAGATAATATTTGACATGGCGCTCGGTGTTGAAGATGGGCGCCGCCATGGCGACCGGGTTTTGACAGTTGAATCTGCAGTATTAACTGACAATAAGGGCGAGGCTAGCGATTAGTCCATGCGATTTATTCGCGACTGGGCGTGATTCGTCGCGGCGACACCTGCGACTTGTCGTGGTGGGGTTTCTTGATCGGAGCAACAAGCAACAGCTTGCGTTTCCCCACATGCTTTTTGGGCTCGCGGGACACTCGGACCAGCGCCATCTTCCAAGGCCAGTTTTTCCCCATCACCAACCTTCCCACAGCACTCTCAACCGCGAAGATGGCTCTCGTTTCGTCCAAAACACTCATTCAGGCACATGCCGTACTCCTGATTATCATTGCCGGGTATCTAGTCAAGAACCCCAACTATATCACCGACTCCGACCTGGTGTTTATGATGGGCGAGGCCTTGAAGATTGTACGCGCATGGCCCAACAGCTGTACCACTGCTCTCCCCAATCAATCCCAAAACTAACGTTTTTGCAGGACTTCCCCGTCGCTACGAGTCCCGCACAATCAGCTTTCGTCTTCTGTTCTGTCCTGCTCTTTGCCGCTGCCTTAGTCGACATGATCCTCCTCTCCAGCCTCCCCTTCCACGAAGCCCTCGACGAGGCCCTGCCGTATATTCGACCCCTGCGAAACTCAAACCTGCCGGCCGAGGACCTCCAGGCGCTAGCCAAGCTCCCCGAGTATATCACACGGTCTCTGACAATGTACTGGAACGTGTGGGTCAGCATTTCCGCCCTGCGGTTCGCCCTGTACGGCGGTATTTCTTTCTTCATCTACCAGGCCCGCGGGAGCTACCTGTTGTCGTCGTATACCTCCAAGATGGCTCCTTCGGGATTGGAGCAGTTGAAGAGCCGTGTAGTCTTCACGTATGCGTTTATGGAAATGATGGTCTGGTTCTGGGTACGTTGATTCCCTCTTCAAGCGAATGATCGCTCGCTCTTGTCTTGTGGAGGGAGACCTTGGTTGGCTAATTTATGATTTACAGGTGTTTGTGACATGCCGTGAGGAACGCCAGCAACGATTGTCCAAGCTCCTGGAGGATGCTCGCGAGGAGTCCAAATAGACCCGAAGCCCGCGCCCATCGAAAAGTGTACCATTAGAGAAATTGTGTTCATTCCATGTACTAAGTATGTCAATATTATTACATATAGACTAGCCTATCAAGGCATAACGATCGCGAAAGCATTGACAAATCATTCCATCTCATTCCCTCACCCGTCAGTTCATACTAGGCCATTGCACGCCTAGACGAGGATGGCAAAGGCGGCGGCAGCACCAGCGGCAGCCATCAGGGAGGAGTCCATGTGCTGGCCGAGAACAGCGGCGCCGGTGGTCGCAGCCGGAGAGGCAGCCGATGAGGAAGCGGCTGAGGAGGCCGAGCCAGAAGAGGAAGCCGAGCCAGAAGAGGACGCCGAGCCAGAAGAGGAAGCACTGGTCGTGGTGGCAGTGGCAGAGCCAGACAGAGTGGTCTCGGAGGCAGTGTTAGTCCCGTTGGTGCTACTGGTCGTAGTGCCAGAAGCGGTGCTGGTTCCAGTTGAAGACCCCGAGGTGGAGGAGCAAGATATAGTGCTAGGCAGATCGGTCACGCCGCCGCGAGAGCAGATGCCCTTGGCGACCTGGAGAGTAGCTGCAAAAAAGAAAGCATTGGTCAGTGAATACTCAGGCCATTCATGATTAGAGGATCACATACTCTCCTGGTCGGCCTGGGAGCACTTGCCAGCCACACAGCAGGCAATGTTGCTCAGGAACGACTTGTCTGCGCAAATGCACTCGACATTGAGACCGCAGCTGGCGGGGATCGAGCTAGTAGCGCAAGTTTTCTATGTCATCATTGAATTGTCAGTCCTTGACCTATTTCTGAGGTGGCGATTGGCCACGAAACGTAGACAATGGGAGAAAGAAACATACCGAGCAGTCGGGCAGAGCGTCCAGACCCTGGGCAGAGACGGTAGCCAGCAGGGCGGCAGCCAGAGTGAACTGAGTGAACTTCATGCTGACTGTGTTTATTTATGGTCGGGGGGTTTGAAGGAATTGGGGGGAATACAAGACTTTTTTGAATTGACGAAGCTGACAGGGGATGGTTGAGAAGAGAAGGAGCGACTTGCTCTCCCCGCCTTTTTAAGTAACTCTGTAGGCTCCAGCTGGTCGAATTTGGGGTTTGGTCTCGTCCAGGGGGCTTGCAGATCCAATCGACGCCTTCTCTGGATATACCGCGTCGTTGCCGCTCTTGCAACTACAATACATTGACTGTATTGGGCGCTGTGAACCAGTGGCTTGGGCCCTTGTAATAGTGTTTGTGCCCCCGCTGGATGTACGGTAATCCGGTATTACATCTGCGGGCGTGGCTGCGGGATTGAAATTGCCGTGGCTTTAACACACGTTCTCCAACTTATCGACACAGCCAGATGGACCTTACCTCCATTCGCACTGGCCATGGCGAAAGAACATGTTCGAACCTGATGCTTCTACGCCCTGATATTCTCAACAACTACAGTGCTGTCTCTACATCGAAACCATAACAAAACCCAAGAGATGAAGCCCGGCCAACCGCGCAACGCGATGTAAGAACATTTTAGAAACATCTTAACGGAAAGCAGGTTGATCAAATCAGGCTGGACAGTCCCTCGAGATGTAGGCCTTTTGAACTGCCCCTATATCAGACGATAAGCACAGGCCATAGCATCCAACGTAAGGATAACGTCACTGTTAATAAGATATTCGTCGGTGAGATACATGATCATCTCGCCGTTCCTTTATTCCCCCAGGCTGATTCCCAATACAATATCGATGAGCTGCGTGGATTGATGCGGTTGGGCCATACGTAGATTCTTATCGTCGCAAGAAATCCCATCAAAGGAAACTGCTCCCGGGACATATTGTACTTGGGTGCAAAGTCTCACTACGTTGTATTACCTCAGACTCGGAATTCAGGGGCTAGCGTTTTATACATCTATCCGGCGTAAACCGGACTATCTAGGTCGATCCGGAACCCTCCACGAGTTTACAAGAAGATTGCAAAAGACTCAGTGATGAAAACGCATCTACGTGCATGTTATACGAGAGGCTATTCCTGGAAATCAACCTCTAAGAAGATACCGGGATGAAGAATTACCCTTTTAGACAAGCTTAGTTCCGAAATAAAACGCACACCGTAGTGTGAGCGAACGGCGTCATGACAGGTGACGTAAAGCTAGTATTGGCCAGAAAGCCCCGAGAAAAACAAAAAGCAGCAATTCTACTGGAATTTCCAATTCAAAGCATCATTGTTCAATCTCGCTTCTGCTCTCTATCGGGGACTCTGACGAGATCGAGTCACTCCAATCATAGACCCCTCTAGGTTTTGATTTTGGTGTTCTTGGTCTTACTACATCCTCAGTATCTAGATTCCGTGTTTGGTATTTGTAGATAAACACACAAGCATTAGTGCCTGAACGCTCGGATCTCTCGTATCCTGGCATCATAGTTTTAGGGCTGCTCGTGAAGGAATCCTTTTCCTCGCTTGATCTTTCCCACGTCGGTGTTGGATTTTCGACAGGGCTTTGAAAACTCCTCCCTACTCGGCTCGTCTAGGCTTATGAGTGGTAACAGTATCGCCGGCCTTGACTAGTTCGTGTATTGGCTTGGTGACGCCGGGTGGGGCTCTATGCCAGAACCAGCTTCTTGAAAGCGATATCTCGAAACTAGATTGATAAGGGTGTGATTGAGCTTGGGTGTCCTGGGGCTTCTTGGCGTGATGCTAGTTCTAGGGGAGGGCAGTCAAGAGTAGTCAGGAAGATATCTCTATGTAGTCGTGATACGATGGCAGATCATATGTTGATTTCGAGATCAGAGCAAGGGCCCATCCGGGTATGCATCAAGCTCTGAATATGTCATCGTCTTTCTTGAGGGGCTCGATAAAATCTCCTGGTCTATCGTAGGCTCAACTTGGAGTGGAAAAGCAATGAAAGAATTTATCGGCTTTTCAAACCTATGGAACCACGTTGCAGGACAACTCGATGAGGTCTGCTTCTTATACTTTCTGGTACAGTAGTGTCTGTGAATTAAGGTTCGGATGATTTACCGGCTTATGTTTTTAAAACAACATATAGAAGTAGATACACTTTGTTCTTCGTTATAAGTGAACAACAGACATAGTTGGCTGTTCTTCCTCCTCGGATGCGTCCCATCCTTGGTTCGGGCCATCCCGAGAACACTTTTGAAACCCGCACTTGCGTCGGAGTTCCTCGTGGTTACTTTTCTTTGAGACACCGTCAACTCTCCCTGGACTGTTCCTTCCGACAGATTACCCGGGCGAGCCACCGTAAGGCATGTTGATTTTTGCTCTCATGGTTCCCATTTGCTAGATCCTGCTATGCTGCCCGAGCATAGGACTAGCCAGACATTCGAGGTCGACGGCCATCTAGTAGCGACCAGTAGCTGGGATTCTGGTGCAGCATGAGAGTCTCATCCAATGAATGCTGGAGACAAGTACTGTAGGAATAAATAACCCGTGTAATACAGAGAGGCAGATTCTGTAACTTGTGGCAATGAATCAACACATTGTTCTGACTGTCACTGACAATAAGAGGATAGTTATAGCTTTGGCATATTAGAGCACAATCCACAACCAAAGACTTCGTGGACTCAAGTACCTCGAAAAGAGTGTTTAATATTAGTTACTCAATGTGAAGACTTGCTCCTTCTTTTGTTTAGGAAAGAGGACCGGCACTATTATCACCCTCGTTTCGCCTTTGTCAGTGCTAATTTACAGTTGAGTTAGTCGATCAGGATTGTCCTTAAACAAGTCTATGGCCTTCAATGTCCCTACTCCAGACCCAACCTTTCTGCAAGACTTGCCATCGGGATTCTCCTACATATCATAGATATTCCCTCACCTGGTATATCCAGGACCTCCTTCGAAAGACATAAGAAGTTATCACTTGTTTGTCGCCGATTTTGGCGTCTCATCGTTGATTTCCAGTTTGAAGAGATCGAAGTTTCCATGGGTCAGCAAGAGAACAGGAGGTCTCTATTGCGGCTATACCAAACCCCCTTCAGGTCAGTCTAAAGAACATCCCTTTGAGATGCCAAAAACAACCGAGAACTGTACAAAATGCTGACTTTTAGCATAATTACCAACACCGGCAGCATACAACCAAATGAAAGCTCCATGATTGGCGAGATGATGGATTGGATGCCAAAATTGCGCAGGCTGGTTATAAAAGTTGAATCAATTTCAGGGCCTGTCATGAGACTCCCCCTCCTGGCCCTGATTCAGAAGGCCTGTGAAAAAAACTCCACACATCGAGAATTTTGTTCTCTACTTCGGGATACCCGGCTTTCCGATCATTTCTCTGTGTGATGTGGTTAATCATGTGCGGTTCCCAGCCTTGAAGAATCTAGAGATATGGCGCGTCCAGCTAGAGGGTCTATATTGGTTGGCACCACGTCTTCAAGAGATTCGTGAGGCTGTCGCAAAACAAAGCGAGCAAGCTTCGTTTACTCGTCTCTAGCTAATAGCTTCTAGTGAAGAGGAGGCGATCATACGTGAATTTCGCAAATGGCGGAAGGAGCTTACCCACTTTTTCTGCAAGGAATTGCCTTGGTGAGTCCCACAATCTACACCAAGGGTTGGGCCGTATAATGGTAGCAGAGAAATTGCACCGCTGGACTGCTTGGGGCCCCATCGTGTTAGCATCAACATAGCACTCTTGCCACGTTGGGGCCGAAAGCATTTTCGAGGAATTGAGAATATAGAGTAGAGACGAGAACGCGCGTTTTGAGTCGGAACTAAAATTTGGTCATTGAATTATATCACACTGTTCCTGTATATTGTCTCCTTACTTAGGGTATGTCATTGTCATAGAATCTGTAGACTGTGTTGATGTAGTTACGATTCCTTGAAGAGTTGTGGCATTTGCATCTCTCCGTATGAACACAGCGGATTAGCAGCATCAATACACGAACGAGCTCCATACAGCCGCTTCTCCACCAATGAACGGGGCTGGGAAGCCCCCAAGACATCCACAGTGGAGCCTTTCTTCCCCAGCTCCTGCTTTGGGGTTTCAAGGGTTCAAGGGTTCTCCCGTCAAACGTCGTTCAGGGTTCACGGTGGTTGGCTTTCTCTCCTTATGCAAGGCATCACCGAAAATAAACCTGGCCACGGCAAGAGCCATGGGCCGCGCGGCATTCGCAAACTATCCAGCAAGTATCTTCTTATAAGGTTTGTTACGGAAGCCAAAGAGAGAACCTCAACCAGCCTGCAACGAATGTGATGCCTCGGCCAAAATTTCCAGTTGTCGCCGATCCACGCCAATAGCCTTTTACCCCCGGGTTCTGGATTTGGGGGAGAGTGGTAAATCTTAACAAGATTATTGAAGTTTGTTTGGCCCCATAGTCATAGGTGATCTCCTATGTTTTGGCGCGGTTACCCGTAAGATTATGATCGGAGGACGGAGTTGGGAGCATGTTAGCCGTGTACTGTACGGAGTAGTTCTAAGGGCCATGTTGGACTGGATATGAAACCCCCTTTGGGTGCGTTTCTGGGCAAGAAGTACTCCGTACGTGGTACGCTGCAGCACGCAGATCTGGCGCTGTTCCACGAATCCTGCCGTTGCACTCGAAATCTTCGTCCCCAAGGCCAATCACGCCGAGGCCCTTCACGGCTTGGAAGAGGGGTGGGCACCAGCCCCAACTGTAAGCTCGCACTGCAGCCAGCCCCGTTCCCTCGGATTTGGTCCTGGTCTGGTCTTGTCAACGATGATAATCTTCCTGACACTCCCTCGATCTTTACCACTGTATGCAAAAGAACCTCCTTATCTGTCGGTCGCGATCGCATTTAAAGGACGTGGTGTAATGGGTGCTCCAGCGACGCGTTGAGTTAGTCCTTCTTGCTGTGTTGATCACCCTGAGTCGAGCGATGTCCGTCGAGGTTTAACTCCTGAGCTCCGCCCGTTCGTTCCGTTTTATTTTTGTCTCATCTTAGCTGCTGCCAACTGCCTCGCATCGAACTTGCGACACCATTAGGCGTGTCGCCTAGCTGTCGCAATCATGGGTCTAGGAGTACTGGACGTCAAGAACGAGCACGTTCCTGGTAAGCTTGGATATCGGCAGTGTAGCATGAACCTCCGAGGCTAATACCTGTGCGACACCACCAGGGACCTCCAATATCTACGAACAGGACGATGACCGGAGCGATCATGCCGATACTACAGGGCTGAAACATGACTGGACGACCAAGGAACCTACGATTCTCGTTCCACAGCCGAGTGACGACCCCAACGACCCGTTGGTATGCGCGATCACAAAACCTGCTGCAATATATACTCAGATGCTGATGAAGTTCGGTTCTAGAATTGGCCACTATGGAGGCGCGACTTGATTCTCGCGATCCTATCCTTCGTAACGGTCCTCTGCACCACGCTTAGCTCCATTCTAGCTGCAAACACGGTCAAAATCGCAGACGTCCAGCAGATTACCTATGTCGATGCGGCCCTGCTCACCGGATACCACCTGTGTGGTGTAGGCGCGGCCGGAATCCTCATTGTGCCCACGGCTCGAGTCTGGGGTAAACGCCATCTGTTCTTGCTTGGCCATGTTTTGATGATTGCCAGCTGTATTTGGGCTGGCGCCAGCGGCACAAATCACAAGAGCCTTTTGTGGGCCCGAGTCTTTCAGGGAGTAGCTTTAGCTCCGTTCGAGGGATTGGTGAACGCCTGTGTCGGCGATCTTTATTTTGTCCATGTGAGATGTCCCCAGCTACCATCTGAATGCTTCGAAACTGACCTGTCTAAATTCAGGAACGAGGCAAGCGCATGGCAGTGTCTAATGTAGCTCTCTTCGGTGCCGCATTCTTGACCCCCGTCATTGTCGGAAAGATGACAGTGACTATCGGCTGGCAGTGGTCCTTCTACTTTGTGGCCATCTTTTTAGCCGCTTCATTGCCTCTGATGATATTCTTTGTGCCCGAAACGGCATACCGGCGATCGGACGATCTGAATACTGATTTCAAGCACAAATCTGGACACAGCAAGTCCACTGACTCCAATTTGGCCCTCCGTGACTCTGTCAACGAGGAATCCAAGGCCTTCGTTCCAGAGACTGGAGCTGTCCGTGGTGCATCTCGAGCGGAGGTGACCGCAACTCCGGTTCCGCAGAAGGATTCATTTCTTAGGTCACTACGACTGTTCACCGGACGCAAAACAGATGAAAAGTTCTGGAAGTTGCTGCTTCGTCCTTTCCCTCTGTTCCTTCACCCAGGTATTCTCTGGGTATGTACTCCAATCCTTTTATCAAAAATTATCTCAACGCTAACCAGTAATTACAGGCTTGCTTGATTCAAGGTGTAGTCATTGGATGGGCTGTCTTCATCGGCGTCATCCTCGCCCTTGTTTTTGAAGGACCACCACTCTGGTTCCACGAGGACCAAACAGGTTACCTGTACAGCGGGGCCTTCATAGGGTCCATGATCGGTCTGATCCTTGCAGCTGTCCTGACCGATTCCATGACCAAGTTCATGGTGAAAATGAATCACGGCAAATACGAGCCAGAGTTTCGCATTCTGCTGGTTGTCTTCCAGTTGATCTTCGCATGCATGGGCCTGTATGGATTTGGATGGACGGCTAGTGATACTATGAAGTACCACTGGGTACTTCCAGATGTTTTCTTTGCGTTCCTTATTATTGGGATGGTGATGGGTGCAGTTGCTGCGTCGCTTTATATTGTTGATGCCCATCGTACGTGGACCCATCGGCTCTTCAATTTCACGTCACGTCGCTAATAGTTACAGGTCAAATCGCGATTGAGGCATTCACTTGCCTGCTTATTTTCAAGAACATGTTCAGTTTCGTCCTGACGTTCTTTGCCTATGACTGGATGGCCTTCGGGGGCGTGAAGCACACCCTGATTATTCTTGGTAGCATTCAAGTTGGTATTTGCTGCTTGAGTATTCCCATGTGTGAGTTTTGAGTTGTTAACAAGAAATTACTATTTCACTTGGCTAATCTCTCTCTTGTCAGACGTTTTCGGCAAGTGGAATCGGTCATTCTTTGCGCGCCATGATATCCTCGAAATGCTTCACCTCTGGTAAAGGGGGAATCAGAGAGCTTTCGCACGATTACGATCAATATTTGTCTTATAACCACATAATACCTGAGCGGTGGTTCTGTGTTATAGAATATTTCCGGTTTCATTCCAAATGTACAACGTATCCCATAGCCAGCCATCAATACAATGATTTCCTAAGACTAAGCACACGTATCTACTCCCCGCTCTGTACCGAGGCATCATCACTGTTCTTCCTCTCAACTGGATACTTCTCCAGGCTCTCATACCACTGGATTGTCGATCCAATCATGAATGCCCAAGATCCCCAGAAAGTCGCAAGAGTAGCTTGATACTCCACACCCGACGCATTACTTGCCGGCCCCAAGGCACCGCAGAGAGTGAAGCCAATACCACCGATAAAGTTCCAGGTGCCAATGTGCCAACCGAGAACGTGAAAAGCCGGCTTATACCACTTTTCCTGAGTCTCGAGGGTAAACAGCAATCCGCTGATAATGAAGCCGGTTCCGCCGACTATTTGAGGAACCCAGTAGACACCGTTGGTCACCCGTTGACTCAAGTGGTCAAGAATGCCGGGGAGACCAGTGAAACCAGCGATCCAGAAAACCGTAGCGGCGAAGAATTGAACCAGTGAAGCCAGAAACCCCAGTTCGTGGAGGTAATGCGTCCGCAATTCAGTCCAAGACGGAAGCCAACGAAATGACCTCCCATCTGGCGAAGACGTCGTATACCCATCCGAAAGATCACGAGAAATCTGATGAGTCAGATGTCTGCCAAGACCAACAAGATTCCTCCGATTCACATGGTGATGCCGACACTCGTCCTTGCTAGGCTTCACCTTGGTAACACCCTGGCCCGCATGATTCTCCGTCTTCCTCAACTCCGTCTCCAAAGCCCACCCAAAACACCCAGTCTGATTAGCATTAACAGCCTCAAGCAACAAAAGCACACTCCCAACCTCAAACACCGTCGCACCAATAAACGCACTAATCCCTCCACCTAGGGAAACCTCGCCCGAAAACTCCGTCCCCGGATCCACGAGTGGCAACCACACGAAAAAAGCATTGATGATCCAAACCACCGATCCAAGCGTAAACGTCACAGCCACAAGCCATGAAACGTCCCAAACAGGCGCACTTGTCGCCATTCGCAGAATTCCCCGGGCAACAGCGCTAAACGTCGCCGTCGGCGGTGGAGCAAGGTACCCCGTCTCGGACGTCGGAGCGCGATAATCAACCTTCAACGGATGTCTCCCTTTGCGATTATCGCGCGAGCGCCAGAGATGCTCGATAGACCGTGCTTTCACCGAGGACGAGGGCGGTGTCGCGTCTGGCGTCAATTCGTGTTCGTGCTCCTCTTCCTGTTGTTGTGCCAGGGATACGGGTTTGGTCTGTCCACGGATGGTGGTGGTGGGCGCGTACCGCGCCCAGGTGGGATTGAGGAACGAGAATGGGCCTGAGACATGGCTGCGGCGGAGGGTGAGACTGGGATGGTCAGATAGGGGCTCCCGTCCCGGTCGGAATTGTTCGTTGCGGCGCATGAATGACTGCTCGTGGTGAGGATTTGGATGGGGAAGTTGTGTTGGACAGGCCTGAGCCTTGGAGCTCTTGTGGTTGGGCTGGGGCTAAGCTTCGTGGGTGTTTCCACTGTGGACGTCATGCCATGCACGGACTTCCTTGAGTGGAGACGGGAATTCCATATTTGATCTGGGCATCCATGGCAGGTTGGGAATATTCTCAGTAGAGATGTCTCGATGTGTTTTAAATTATTGATAGTTTAATATTGTCTGTACAAGATAAGCGTCAATGGGAAATGTCCACAGTATGTTCAGTGTTGTGATGGTATAGTGGTGTTTCATAAGTCTTCGACCACCTCCGCTCTACCACCCAGTCTTCCGCCCTCAGTGAGAACTTTGCCTGTATGTAAAGCGCCAAGAAAATGATATGAGATCTTGTCCTACTGTTCTTTCATTTGAAGTTGTGATCAAAGTCCATCTACCAACTCAAAAATATGAAATATTACCTTGTAATTGAAGCAACAGACAAATATTTTGGACTGGCAGAATATTATGTCATCAACTGCGTGGTCGGAGGCTTATGAAACAGCACTGTCGGTTGTAGGTCAGCTCCCAGTCCTGTACTTGAGTGAACTTCACATCCACTCTCGGTCTTGGACACTCGATATGCAGATAGACATTGAGCATTGCTTCGACAAGACTGTTGACAATCAAATAGTTATTTCCTTAATCCAGCACTCGTTCTAGGTTGGATGCGAAACTTGGTGATAGTATTGCTACACATCTGTGGGGAAGCGAAAGAAATCGAAATAGGTGTGAATGGTCTTTCCTCGAAACAGAACTCCGTCTATGTACACTCTACAGTTCAGTACTATGTCCGAGTGTCGAGTCAAAGTTGGGGTAGCCAGGAAAGCTTTCCAATTCTCCTGTACAACGCTGTCAAGCCATGACTAGGGGATCCATGAGGCCCTAATTACCTGGTCTGGTGTTATTTCATGTCCACGATCTTTGATTGGGTACTACCAAAACGAATCTTTCCAGCAATTGTAGCAAGGGAAAGCTGAAGAGAATTGCCCGCATGTATCTCGCGTGAGTACGAACGCAGTACTGTAGCAGTCTTGTCAGGGGTGCGGAGTGCAATGTATATTTGGCCATGCAAGGCCGAGGCAATGATGTCGATCAAGCCATCCACGCCGATCATGAACGAGGAGTGCAAAAATGTGATAACATGGACGAACTACTGGGCGATCCTGATCGCTTTTGATCTAGCCGAGTGCGAAGAAAAAAAAGAGTTCCAAGCCCTCCCAAGCCTTCCAAAGCTCTCAGCCCCCGTAAAAGTCCCCACGTCACCACCAGCCGAATCGAAAACGGAAGTTGAGCTTCTCCCAGTCCCACTGCGAGTCTCCACTTATTCCCACAATTTTTGGACTGTTGGGCTGTTAGCCTCTCTTAGACTCTGTTAGTGCGCCCTCCCCGCGTAAGGGCAGCGCCTCTCATTGATTCATCGATCGATTGACTCGGATGCGATGATGCAATGGGCTCTGCATTTTGCTTTTCCTCGAGGATCCCCCGTTGCAGACAACGACGTCACGGGGTGGAAAGAAGCTTCCGGCCTTCCATCCCATCCCCATCACTTCCCCATCATATCTCCCTCGGAACTTGATCATTATTCTGCTCTCGTCCTCGCGAGGAATGTAGATCGGATTTTTTTTTCGCATTCATCCTCGGCAGCTCTTCCATCATGGCAACTGCACAGCAAATGCCCGCGGGGCCCCGGTCCGCCCGGCTAGCTGACGACGGTAAGCTCCTCACGGATCGTCATGCGCAATCCACTCCCTCGGTGCTCTGATCGCTAACTTCTGATGCGTCCTTGAAACAGCCGCGACCGCAGCACTATATGCGACGCAGCCTCGACGCAAGGCGTCGGTTCCCGATTCTCAATACTCGAGTGAGTGATAACCCTTCCTCCCTCACGCGATCATAGATTGCGATGTGAACGACGCCCCCGCCATACTGATAAGCTATGCTCGTCACAATAGATACACGAGCAACACGCGCCTCGACCGACCTCAGCCATGCCTCCGCCGCTTCTGCCCTGGCGCATGCCAACCGAAAACCGATCGAAGTATGGCGTCCGGGCCGCTTGCCCGACGCCGAGAAAGCCGCGTTCCACGTGAAGGATTTCACGCTGCCCGAGGTTCCTCTACCAAGTACGCAATATAGCGCAGAGGGACTGGGGGCTGCCATTCTTGCCGTACGGGAGCAGAGAGCCATGACAGACCAGTTACAGAACCAACAGATCAGCGCTCAGCACGATGCCTCCCGATCGGGCGACATCCAGGATAAGGATAAGGCGCGCCGTGCAGCGACCGGTGCATATGCGGCTCGCCAGAGGGCTGACTCCGCACCCAGTGAACCAGTCAATATAACCGACTCGAAGTGGGCGCTCTCTGCCGCTGGTTTATCGCATCGTGCTCAAATGGAACACGAAGACCCTTTGGCTCACGTAGATAACGCGATGGAACTGAGCCGAATCACTCATGCGGCCACGGCCAATGCTCGCCTTTACACCTCTTCCCCGCCCGTTGCGAGTGAAGTGCAAGAGCGCAATCGCAGGAACTCGCTTCATGCTGCCGCTCTCGTAATGGCGAAGGATATGTATGATATCACTGGTCCAACCGGCGAGGCCATCAACATGGACCCGGCCATCTCTGCAGCTCAAAAGGGTCAGAGCCGACTACAAAAGCGGCAGACCGTCAGCGGAGCGACAGGGTCCGCAGTCCAGCAAGCCTTGACTCTTCAAGAAGCGGCGCAAAGGCGGGCGGCAGAGAAGCTCGCGCGCATGCGTGATGAGCACGCGGAGATGCAGCAGTATTATGGCACCGCTCCTCAGCCTCAACGGTCGCTTTTGTCCGCTCGGCGAAAGAGGACGTCGAGTGACGCGGATTCAACCCAAGGTGACGCAGAGCAGTCGAGGCAAATTCGCAATCAGATGTTCAGCTTGCGGAAAAAATTGAACAAGGTTGATGAACAGCGACAAAAGGATCGTGATTTGCTGATGGAAGCAGCCCGTCGTAACGTCGATGCTCAAATTCATGACATGGAAATGAAGGTTTACGCCGACACTGGCCGAGCACCGCCTTCCATTCAAAAACAGTGGGACGAGGCATCCCGAGAGCGGGTTCGTCAGGAAGCCGAGGCTGTGGAAGCGAAGAGCGTCCCTACCAATCGGGTCAATATTGGCGCATCGAGATATGTGGATATGGCTGATGTTGAAGCCGTTGCACGATCTCGTGTTCAACCAGCACTGGATGAGATCACGGACCAAGCCGAGCGTCAGAGAGCCGAGGAGCTCGAGGCCCGTCTCGATGCAGAGGAGGAACAGAGACGTGCTGAAATTGAGAGAGAGCGTGAAGCCAGTCTAGATCGAGCCGAGAAGCGCGAAGGTGGTAAGTCCTGAATTCTGTTGCCTTGTCTTAGATTTTATTGAGCTAATCAATTATACAGTATCAGAGAAGCGTGGGAGCAAGGGACTAAAGTTCTTCATGTGGAGGCGAAAGAGCAAGCAACAGCAGGCGGAGAAGGAAGAGGCCAAAGAAGAAGCAGCAGCTCAGGAGGCGGCCGCTGAAAAGCCCACCGAAGAAGCTCCTGTAGCCCAGGGGGCGGTGGTTGCGCCTGAAGCTGAAAAGCCCACCGAGGAAGCTCCTGTAGCCCAGGCGGCGGTGGTTGCGCCTGAAGCTGAAGAAGTTCCTGCTGCTGCGCTTGAAGTTCAACAGCCTACTGATACTGTCGCTGCTGCTCCAGAGCCGAAGGCTGAAGCCAATGCTGAGAAAGAAGGGGAGCCTGCTCCAAGAGAAGCTGCTCGACAGACTGATAGCGTGCCAGATACAGCTGGTACGACACGCATCGAGTCCGCTGCTCCCATTTCTTCCCCCGTCAGTCTCACATATGAGCCCACTCAGGATGACGGCCGTCCAGGTATGCTGGGATCACAGACCGGACCTCGGGATGCTGCTGCCACTGGTGGAGTGTCTGCAATGCACAGCATTCAACCCATTACCAGCCCCCGCGCAGATTCGAAGTTGAAGACCTGGTTCCGAGACAGGCTTGTTCGTCGCACAAGCGAACCCCAACCCGTCTACCCCCACCAGCCCGGTCCGGAGTACAACACTGACAGCGAGACCGCATTCACCGGCGGGGCTGCACTCACTGGAAGAACCGAGCCTCGTGGGGCGGCGCTAAGCTCGCATCCAGTTAGTACGGAAGACCTCGAGTCCGAGCACGGTGAAGACGTCCCCAAGTCATCTACCGAGGAGGCTGCGACTACGCACAATGGCAATTCCAGTGCAAATGGCAAGAGACATCGTCTTCGCAGAAGTTTTATGAAATCAGTCTCACGAAACTCTCAAGATATCAAAACCAACGGCACTGAACACAAGCGTCAAAGCTCAGAAGCTGTTGAACCCACTTCTGATTTGCAGGGCCTGCGGGACAGCGCTGCTGAACAGGGTCTACCCGCGCCACCTGTTCTCGGCGATTCTCTTAGTATACACCGGGAATCGAGATTCTCTGAGGATCTGTGATGGCAATATCCTTGTGAATTATTCTTTTGATCTAATGACTTTGCAAAGTTCCGTCTGTTTTTTTATGGATTATATGGGCTGGTTTTTGACTTGGCGCTCCGGGATCGGATATTACCCAAGGGGGCTTCTGGCGTTGTTTGTTCAGTACATACACGAATGTCTAACGTGATTCTATTTGCCTATGTTCTCATAATAAATTGATATGCTCTAAAGATCTAAACCATATACGGCTAGTAGAAATTGCTTGAGCAAGTGAGTACTGTAGTCGGGCTTGACAATACCGAGGGGCCTCCTGGCTTTCCACCGGGATCATGAGGTGTACACTAGCTTTCTACCAAAAGCACACCGTTCCGTTGCAATATACCCTTTCAACCGGGCGAATACTCGTTTACATCCAGCGATAGCAACCCCAGACCCGCCCCGCTATGAGCCCCTCTCCCCTGCATTGAAATTGCACCCCCGCATTTTCCAGGAGAATTGCCCAAAGCGTCAATAATCGTCACCAAAACATCCACCAATCCCAATGCTCCACCGGTATATCGCTACCGCGAGCACCGAGGGCAGAATAGATTTATACCGATGACAGATAGCTAGCCCTGACGAGAGAAACCAGTGATGCTTGCTGGGAAATCATAGAACAATGCGGTTTCTCGCACTTCTCCCGTTACTCCTAGGAGCGCTGTCGAGCCTTGTCTCTGCGACGGACAATGGCAAGACTACCGATGTTACGTGGGATAAATATAGTCTCTCCGTGAAGGGGGAGAGAGTTTTTGTCTTCGCTGGTGAATTCCACTATATGCGTCTTCCAGTTCCGGAGCTATGGCTCGATGTGTTCCAAAAGCTGCGTGCGAATGGCTTCAATGCGGTCTCTCGTGAGTAACTCGATACACTTCATACTTTCCCTGAACCCCCACTAACCACAATCAAGTCTACTTCTTCTGGAGCTTCCACTCCGCCTCGGAAAATACATTTGACTTTGAAAACGGCGCGCACGATGTCCAACGCGTCTTCGACTACGCCAAACAAGCCGGCCTGTATGTGATTACCCGCGCAGGTCCCTACGACAACGGCGAGACTTCTGCAGGTGGCTACGCCCTGTGGGCTGCGAATGGACAAATGGGCAGTGAACGCACCAGTGCCTCATCCTACTACGACAAATGGCTTCCCTGGATTCTGAAGATCGGCAAGATCATTGCAGACAACCAGATCACCAACGGCGGACCGGTCATCCTGAACCAGCACGAGAATGAGCTCCAGGAGACTTCGCACGTCGCTACCAACACTCTGGTCGAGTATATGGAGCAGATTGCGGCGGCATTCGATGAAGCAGGTGTCATCGTGCCCAGCACGCATAATGAAAAGGGCATGCGCTCGGAAAGCTGGTCGACAGACTACGAAGACGTCGGCGGTGCAGTGAACGTGTACGGTCTTGATTCCTATCCTGGCGGTCTATCATGCACGAACCCGGACTCGGGCTTCAACCTCGTTCGCACATATTACCAATGGTTCCAGAACTATTCCTACACGCAACCCGAATTCCTGCCCGAGTTCGAGGGCGGCTGGTTCCAGCCGTGGGGAGGGTATTTCTACGACGTCTGCGCCGCAGAGCATTCGCCTGAATTCGCCGATGTCTATTACAAGAACAACATCGGGTCGCGAGTCACGCTGCAGAGTCTGTATATGGTCTTTGGCGGGACGAATTGGGGACATATCGCGGCGCCAGTCGTTTATACTTCGTATGACTACGCGGCACCGTTGCGGGAGACGAGAGAGATTCAGGATAAGCTTAAGCAGACTAAGTTGATTGGTTTGTTTACTAGGGTTTCGTCGGGTCTGTTGCAGACTGTTATGGAAGGGAATGGTACGGGGTATACTAGTGATGCTAGTATTTATACGTGGGCTTTGAGGAATCCGGAGACACAGGCTGGATTCTATGTGCTTGCGCATAGTACGAGTTCGTCTCGTGCGGTGACGACTTTCTCGTTGAATGTCAATACTTCGGCTGGTATGTATCCCACCTTGAAGGGCTGTTGGAGGTTGCTTGACTAACCCACTTGCTGTTCAGGTGCTCTGACCATTCCGAATATCCAGCTAGATGGTCGCCAGAGTAAGATCATCGTTACGGATTACGAAGTCGGCAAAGCCTCCAGCCTGCTCTATTCATCCGCCGAGGTTCTGACATACGCCACGCTTGACGTGGATGTGCTGGTGTTCTACCTGAACATCGGACAACAGGGCGTCTTCGCGTTTAAGAATGCTCCGTCCCACTTGACGTACAAGACATACGGTAACTCCAACCTGGCCTCGACCACATCGAGCAACGGAACGCAGTACTCGTACACTCAAGGACAAGGCTCGACTGTGGTCAAGTTCTCCAACGGCGTTCTGCTCTACCTGCTGGACAAGGAGACGGCATGGAACTTCTTTGCTGTGCCCACGACATCCAACCCGAACGTGTCTCCTAGCGAGCAGATTCTTGCGCTGGGCCCATATCTGGTTCGCTCAGCAAGTATCGACCATGATACCGTGAGCTTGATTGGTGATAATGCGAATACCACCTCGCTGGAGTAAGTTCTTTTAAACAGAAACATTGTACCGTAATGACCTTTGCTGACTTTCGCACAAAGAGTATACCCCGGCAACTCCAAAGTCACCAAGATCAAGTGGAACGGCAATGCCATTGCGACCAAGAAGACCGCCTATGGCAGTCTTATCGGCTCAGCCGTCGGCGCAGAAAAGTCCAAGATCTCTCTGCCCTCTCTGACTTCCTGGAAGTCCCAAGACACACTTCCGGAAATCAAACAAGGCTACGATGACTCCCGCTGGACAGTCTGCAACAAGAGCACGACGGTCAACTCCGTCGCACCACTCTCCCTGCCCGTTCTGTACTCGGGCGACTACGGCTACCATGCAGGCACAAAGGTCTACCGCGGCCGCTTTGACGGACGCAATGCCACCGGTGCCAATGTGACGGTGCAAAACGGCGTCGCCGCTGGCTGGGCAGCCTGGCTGAACGGCGCATATGTCGGTGGCGCTGTGGGCTCTCCCAATCTCGCGTCAACATCTGCCGAATTGATCTTCAACAGCTCGTCCCTCCGGGATACCGACAACGTCCTCACAGTCGTGATGGACTACACCGGCCACGATGAGGACAATGTCAAGCCGGCCGGCACCCAGAACCCACGCGGCATCCTCGGCGCCACACTCCTTGGTGGAGGAAACTTCACCTCCTGGCGCATCCAAGGTAATGCCGGCGGCGAAGCGAACATCGATCCCGTCCGCGGCCCTATGAACGAGGGCGGCCTCTACGGCGAACGACTCGGCTGGCATCTACCCGGATACACCGCGCCCAAGAGTGCCAGCTCGTCATCACCCCTGGAAGGCGTATCCAACGCTGCCGGACGCTTCTACACGACGACCTTCAAGCTCAATCTCGACGCGGACCTGGACGTGCCGATCGGGCTGCAACTCGGCGCAGCGGCTAACACCAGCGCGGTGGTGCAGGTGTTTATGAATGGGTACCAGTTTGGTCACTACTTGCCGCATATTGGTCCGCAGACGCTGTTCCCGTTCCCGCCCGGGATTATCAATAATCGGGGGGAGAACACGCTGGCGATTAGTCTGTGGGCGTTGACGGAGGAGGGGGCGGCGTTGAGTCAGGTGGAGCTGGTCGCGTATGGGGCGTATCGGACTGGATTTGATTTCAATCAGGATTGGGCGTACCTGCAGCCGCGGTGGAAGAATAATCGTGGGTCGTATGTTTAGGTGGATGCTCTGGGGAGTTGTGTGTTAGGGCTGGAAGGGAGTGGAAGGGCGGTGGAAGGACATGACTGTACTGTACAATCCTGGTATAACTAACTAGTGAGTTCTATAGTGTAGAAGTGAAGTACAGTGTACAGAGTTTTTGTCTATGGCCAGTCCTCCGTACTGACTCAACGGTCACCAAGACACCAAGCAGGACCAAAATGGCCTAAGCTCTTCCAGTGGAGCCCCGGGGAAGTCCAGAATCAGGGCCGGAGACAAGTCTCCAGGTACCTTTCCATACGTTAGTCCTAGGAGATGCGGTAGTGTGTGTGGTACCAAGTCTAGTGCAGTTCCTAGTTCTTGGCCTGGCCTTTTCCTAGCTTCCTCGTTTCTGGGTTGACTGCCTACTTTTCTAGTTTTCCTGCCCAACGTCCACCGCTACTTGTACCCTGACGTCCAGGACACTAACAAAACCAGTTCTAGTTAGCTTCTAGCTCGATCTCTATTAGTTTAAGTGATCATTGCTTCCTGCACCTCCACCCGATGGGTCTTCTCACGATAGTTCCCCCGTTAACCCGTTTGACTTGCTCTATCCCGCTACTCCAGTTACTGTACTCCGTACCTTGCTATCATTCTTACCCACTTTCGTCCATTTACCCACTTTCTGTTTAACGAAGAGGCCCGTCTCCACTTCTTCCGCGGCTTTGATTACTTTGACGGGCACCGACTTTATTGCTTTCTGGACCCTTTGGCTCTTGCTTTTTGCTTTTTGCTTTTTGCTCCATTCAAACACTCCATCGTCAACGTCAACGTCAACGTCAACAACCGTTCCAACTACAACTCCAGCTCCAACCTCAATCTCTATGGTCTCTCCCACTCTACCCGTCGCCCATCCTAGTCTCTAAATTGTATTTTCCCCCACGCTAGCCATGGCTCGCCAGTCCAGTATCGATCTAGACTCGCCCGATCGGCCGTTCGATAACATCATCAACTTCCGCGATGTTGGCCGCACAATTAACCATTTCTGCGGCACAGAGTGCGTGCTTCTATTCCCAGAATCCTCCCCGAGTCCGCTGAGATCGCAATATGCTGACTGTGGCACCAGGGTTCTGAAAGAGGGCATTCTCTACCGCAGTGCGAGGGTAATTGCTCCCCATTATTTCCATGGACCCCCGCGAAGCTTCCATAAAGCTCCTACAGCGCACAATTAGATCTTGTCGCGGTTGAAAAAGAGAACTACCTGCTGACACGCAGTACAACCAGCCCGACGATGCCTCCGAGCGCGACAAGCGGCGTCTAGCCGAGGAACTGCACATTGCTACGGTAATCGATCTACGATCACAGTATGTTGGATATCCGCCCTTTCTGTCTTGTCTCAGACATTACAAATCGCAAAAGGAAACAATTAGCTAATATTCCCACCCAGAACAGAGCACCAAATGGCGACGCGCAAACGGCGCGCAGAGATCGCCAGTGCAGGCTCACCCCCCGGCGAGATTGACTTGACATCTGCCCCCGTGCCTGCCGACCCAGACGAGCACATCTGCAAGATCCCCGACTCCCAGCGCCGGCTCATCAGCCTAACAGGCAAATCCTTCGAACGGGCACTCCTCAGTAAACTCGATTGGTTCAGTTATCTGTAAGTCCCAAAAGACCAGACCCTTGCATACAGATGGATGCACATTGCACAGCACACATCACACACAATCACCCTCCCCATTGGCCGCATCCCCTCAATCCTCCTCCCAAATCCCCTACCATTGGACTCTTATTCTCAATAATCAATAATCCCCACCTCCTAACTAAACCCATACAGCCGCGTCATCACCCTCGCCTTAACAGGCTACCGCCCAGACGCAATCCGCATAATCGGTGAAACAGTTATGCAACCCCGCGGCCTCACCGGCCTCGCCCAAGATACTCTCGAATCAAGCATCCCCGAATTCCGCTCCATCTTCACAACACTAGCCACCGCCACCTCCTACCCAATTCTCATCCACTGCACGCAGGGCAAAGACCGCACGGGGATAATCATCCTTATGGCGCTGTTACTGGCCGGTGTGCGGATGGACGCGGTCGCGGATGACTATGGCCGGTCGGAACTTGAGCTGGTGCCAGAGTTTGAGGAGCGCATGCGTGAGATTAGAGTGCTAGGGCTGGGCGAGGAGTACACGAGGTGTCCGCCGGATTATGTACCGGAGATGATTGGGTTTTTGGAGAGGAGGTATGGTGGGGTTCGAGGGTATTTGGAGATGATTGGGATTGATGCTGGGATGCAGGAATTGATACGACAGAAACTTTTGGTTCAGGTTTGATGTTTGATGTTTGAATTGGTTCTTTTTTTTTTTCTTGTTTTGGGGGGTTCAGGGGTTTTCTTGTTAGGTTTGGGATTGTTGTTTTTCTTGGATCTTGTTTGATGGCATTCGGGCATACATCTGCTTTGGACGTATCGGGCATTTGCTGGGACTGGATCCTGTTTACTTTTCGTTTGTTTCTTTTTTTTCGTGTCGGTCGAGCTAGGATTGTCTTTATTTCTGCTTTATTTTCATCGTTATGGACGAGTCTGTACGGTCGTCATGGGCATGGCATGGCATGATCTGTTCTTGTTTTGTACATGATATAGCATACGTGGATACGATAGTTATGGCAGCATGGGAACACACCCATACATGCGTTGACTACATCACATAGAAAGACGAACTTTATTCAGGCATCTATAAGAAGGATCAAGTTATACATGTCAGTAAAACTCATCTCTATTTCAAGATAGGCATCCGAAAAGGAACCTATGTATACATAAACAGAATAAATCCCCACGCCGACGACACAACTAGATCATGTCAAAATGATAGGATCAAAATGGTATTAAATCCATCAAAAGTAAACAAACTTCCAAACAAATGCATCAATGTGGCAGCATAATCATGACGTGTCATGGCAACGCCAAAAGCAAAAACAAAAGAATAAAAAACTCCCCCAACCCTTTATATCGTTATAACTTTACACCCACTTCGCAGTAGCTTTTGTTCAAACGCACTGAGTGCGGCGAGAGCCCGGCCCCATCGAATCCGTCGTCAATGGCTGCTCAAGCGAGGCATGTGGTAGCGACTCCCCGCTACCATGCGGGATGGTCATCATACTAGCATACTTCTCACCCTGGGGTACACGTTTGCGCGTACGAACGGACGGCAACAAGTCCACGACGAACGAGAGGATGTACCCGGTGAAAACTAAGGCAACGATCCACTCGAGGATAGCACCAAGGTTCTTTTTCGATGAATCGCTGCTAATCATGCAGATGCCGAGGCCGATGGTTAGTCCGACTTCGATGATTACGAAAGTCGCCTTGATCATGAAGCTGGCTAGAAGTACGCGGTGTTGGCGGCGGTAGGACAGGCCGAGACGGAGGTATTCGGCGCAGATTAGAATTGCGCTGATGATGTATCCGCCACTGGGAAAGTGATGAGTAATTAGCATTTGCTCTGTTTCGCGACTAGAGCGGAGTTCTCGCAGCTCGTCACTTACAGGAACATGATCAGGAACCCGTGGTGCAAATGTTGGTGGCGGAACGTATCAAAGATAGACAACAGGATCAGGCCCGCGCCACCAGCAATTGCGAAGAGGATCGAGGCAATGGCACATAGTTTGTCCCACAGGCCTTTATTCGGAACTAATTGACCGGCATGGCGCAACCAGCGCTCCGACAGGAGCGCCAGAACCAGAAACACGATGGTAACGACACTGCCCGTGATGAAGAACGGTTTTATCCCGAACGCGCCCACGTCAGAAATAAACCTATCCAAGACGGATGTTAGCGGAAGCACCCAAAGAGCATTTTTAGTGTCGTTTATGAAACTTACGCGATAGTCTGGCCGTCATCCATGCTGGGGTAAACTGGTTTTCCGTCTCTAAGCCAGACAGCGAGCAAAGTGATGAGCATGGCTAATGCATCTGATTAGATTCTGGTCGCAGCGCGTAAGTAATTGGCAGAGAGTCACTTACCAAGCCACATGCAGGCCGATATGATGGGGAAGACCCAGAACGAGATAATCCACATATTGGCGATATCTTTGTTTGAGTCAAGTTAATAAGTAGCAGTTGAGATCCTCGCTGCGCCGAATGAAACCCCGAGAGAACCGAGAAGTCGACAATTGACCACAAGTCGCAAGGGAAATCCCGCGCGTTTATAAAAATAAACAATGAATAGTTATCTGCGCGAAACAAAAACGCCTCATTAGTCAAAGCGCATTCTTCAAGTCAACCTTAAAAGAAGCAGTCCATCCACCAACGCCTAACACTAAATCCCCCAACTCAAGCAGAACACTCGCAAATAAACTCACCAGATCAATATAGTATGTACTCGCACCAGCAAATGGAATAGCAACCAGTCCTCCTCAATACGGTCCTTTCCTTCCCTCACACCAAGAGTCCAATCCAAGAATGCTTTGATCGACGAGACCCCTCGCAGAAAATAAAATTAAGGTACCGGGCGGATTATGTTGTTGTGGCGCACGGATAGGCACGGGAATGTGGAGGATTCAAACCCGGATATACGGAATTCGGGAAGCCGACTGGTTCGAGTAGTCTCGAAGGCTCGTGGACAACTGAAGAGCAGATGGAGAGGACAAGGAGAAGAAATATACAGGCTGAGAAGTGAATAGCGATTGGCAGTTTGGACGCAGAGAGAAGCAACGGAATTTCGGTTGGTTATAAGGCCGAACGGGCAGAGGCAGAGATCTTCGGGCGACGTCATCCGGGCTTTGACTAGGAATCGGCCAAGAAATCGTGCCAAAGTCCGACGTTGCGGCTCCACCTGTACTGGCAGCCTGGCACAATCAGGAAGTTCATATTCGGAAATCTACGGGGCTGAGTTGGGCTTTGGCAGGCTAAGAATAACTAGGTTCTTACATGTTCGTTATAAGTCCTGGTCCTGTCCGACGGAGTTAGACGGAGGATAGAACTCGGCCGTAGTAAAATTTCTATATAGAATATCTAACTATTGAAGTATTTATTTATTTTATAAGATTATTACTTTTTTATAGAGAACATAGTATTATCTACTGGTATATTAGATTTTAAAGTATAAAAAGAAAGATTCGCGAAGAAATCTATAGAACTAGATTTTTCTGTATATGAAAGAATATTTTTACCAGTCCGGCTAAACTCCGTCGGCGGTCAAAAGTATTTGCAACACGCTACACGCCCCGCTTATTTTTCTGCTGGTTAAACCACCTCAAGTCATTCAATATTTCAATAACTAGTGTACTATCTGTTGTATCTAATAACTTCCTCTACACGATGAGGTATTGCTCTAGCTCGATTAACAAAATAGCTAATAATTTAAACGAATTTACTAGATTCGACCGCTTGTGCGAGGAAACGTGTGGCTAATGTAAGTAGGCGGTGTAGAAAAACGGTAGGGGCGGGAAGTTCTGCGATTCAAATACTTTTAAACAGCCACTGTATAGTTAGTTAGCTATAGAAAATAGTAGTTATTAAGCTAAATAACGAATTTTTATTAACTTTTTCTAGTTAGAACAATATCTGAAACGTTTTATATAGATAGAATAGTAGTTTCTTAATAGATTTATAAGAGTGGTATGTATAAATAGTGAGTACTGCTCTGTTATTCCGAATAATACCATACTTAATTACTACATTTTCTTACGCACTAAGCTTAGTTTAAGTGTTTGAATTACTAGGATCTAATATCTAGATACTAAGTATCCTAAATATAACCGTATATTAATAATATATAATCGTGATAGAGTGTAGTAGGGTTAAATAGTTGAAAATGGAGGGGAAAAGTGCGTTTGGGAAGAAAGTTCGTTTGGACTAGGGATGACTGTCTCCCCGAATAGAGGGGACAGTAAGCTACCTCTTACGGATAGTTTAGTAGTTAGCTTAGTTAGTGGAGCGTGCTTACTGTTCGTGTCAAATGCTGCTGACTGATGCCCTGCCACACTAATCTACATTTAACATGTGGCTGAGGGTAGAAGCCTCGTCAGATTGATGACGATGGGTATCAAAATAGATAGTGGAAAATGTGGGAAATGTGGATGCATGGTATTGTATGCACTGGGGATCTATTCACGAAGGGGGGACCCCGATCTACCAAACGCCATTGCAAAGCATCACATATGCTGCTGGAACCCAGAATAAACGAAAGAAACGCAGAGAGAAATACCCGAAGGTCGGGAATCACACAACTAATGAATGCCCATGTAAACCGAAACACATTAAGGAGGGCTTTTTCTTGGGAATTGAGACACGGGCCCATCATCATCACCATCCTCCTCCTCCTCATCGACTTTTTCGCGCGCGACCACTTCGACTGCCTCGACTACCTCCGGAGACAGTGCGCCTCTGTACTCCCGATGGAGCCGCACGTTGCACCACCTTCACGATCTGCACCTCCTCATTATTATCTTCCTCCTCACTGCTTTCGGTTTCCTCTTCCTCCTCGCTGGACATCTCCGAATCAGACTCAGAAGGTCCAGGACGCCCATTTCGAGGCTGCGCACCCATCGAATGGCGACCATCCAGAGACTGTCGGTGTTGGGCTTGAATCGGCGACATTCCCGCAGGATAGGTCATCCGACTTTGAGGTCCAACTCGAAGATCAGTCGGTAGCGGCGGCGGGTAAGGGGGTGGCTCGGGCCCGTAAGGGCTCATCGGCATCGCGGTGTAATATGGTGGTGCCCATTGAGGATCATCGGGCAAAGGCCGGGAATATATTGGCTGCTGCATCGATTGTGGACGACCACCGGCGGGGGAATTAGGATACGGTGCGTAGGTTGGTCGCAGAGGAGAATTGGATTGCTGAGGGCGTAACGATTGCATTGTCGGGGTACGTGGACGTGCAGATGACGAGCTCGAAGGTCGGCCGTGCGCGCCTGTGCCCCAGCTAGGATCCGGTACAAAATGTGGGTAAGGGCCCGATTGTTGCTCAGGTGCTAGGGGAGCATTTCGTCGAGACACTGGCCGAGAGTTGGTCGCATTGCCAGTTTGCTTGTTGTTGCGACGCGAGCCGCTCGAGTTCTCGTTGTCCGTCTTTTGACGTTTGCGCTCCAAGGCATCAAGCTCCCGTTGTGACAGTCGCACATTTTTCTTCCCTAACATCTGGGCGCGACGAATGCGCTCCAAAGCCTTCTCCACCAGTTGATCCTCCTTGTCCCGCATGGCCAATTGCACCGCATAGGCCACCGTGCTATCTTCATGATCGTACAGGTCGAATTCCCCTCCCTCGACCGATTCCGTCTCGTCGGTCATCTCATCATAGTCGGACCGCCTGCGCGGGCCCCGACTGCCGTACTCCAGCTGCCGCATGTACCCTGCGCGAGCCTTCCGCACCAGCTCGCGCCCATATGCATCAACCTCATCTTCCTCACTCTCAACCTCCTCCACTCGTCTCGACTCCTCCCACTGCGCACGTCCTCCCCGGTTGTGTCTCCCCATTCGTGCCCCCGGTGGTCTTCCCCATCGGGGCATATCGTAAGGAGCTCGCGGCCGACCACCTAGACCGCCTCCTCGGAAAAAGCATTCTCGATCGGTTTGTCCATCATCGCGGCATGGCCAAAGACGGTCACACCGGTGGCGCCAATCAGCCACAGGATGGTCGTGAAAGGAGACGCCAAGAAGCCCATGGGCAGAGCGACGCAGAGCAGGGCCGTGTACAGCTGCGAGGTGTTGAAGCGGCGGAAGCCCAGGTCTAGGTCACGGCCGTTGAGCTTGCCAATTCCATAGAGACTAGCGCTGACAAAGATAATCAGGAACATGAGGGTCCAGTTGGTCAGCAGGCTGTAGATGCTGAGCATGACAAAGACGACGGCATAGTTGCTGGAGAAGTAGCCGAGGTTGTAGTTGACGCGGCTTTGGACTTCACCAAAGTTGGCGGGTTTGGACAGGCGCTTGAGGTCGAGGAATTCGGAGACCGGGCGCAGGTTGGCGAAGCGGCTGCTCACGGACTGGCTGCGGATGCTGTTGAAGCGGTCGCCGAAACGCGAGGTAATCGCGTCGATGGGAATTTGGATGGCCATTGTGAAAGGGGTGTGGAGGTGGAGGGGGATAGAAATAGAGAGAGAAAGAGAGAATTCCCAAAGGGATCGTAAAGCAGCGGTGGTAACTGGTATGTGGATAGTGGTGAAGGTGAGGAAAGGAAGATCCGACACGAGACCGTGACCGTAGGACTTTAGGGGGAAGGCGGCACCAAGTGTCCAAACCAAACTCCAAAGGAGGCAGTCACTTTTTTTTTGGCCGGACTTTGCCCCTTTCGCCGTTAGTCAAACTCGTCAGCCTAAGATTTCGGGGTTGCTCACACAGCCACGCAAAGTACGAAGAACTCGAGTGCCTGAAGAGAGACGGTTCCCAACTTTTCCCGTGTGGCCCTGCAAACGGCTAAGAATACCAGGGTCCCATTATTCGTGTTTGGTTGTTTGTGGTGGGCGCGCTTTCTGGCTGGGTGCGGAAAGAACAGCCCTCACCGAGTCCGAGTCATCCTCCGGCAAAAAGAGAGAGAGCGGACTCGAGGGGGAGGGGGAGGATTGATAGTGTTATATATACGGCCTACAGATGTTGAACAATTCAAATCTTTGTCACATACATGAGAGTCATCACTTTCCCCTCATTCTCTTCTTCTTAGTAAAGTAGTCCAGACTGGGAAAAGAGGGGGGCTTCCATTGGGCCACGTTGGAGGCTGCCTGGGTGGAGCGTCCAAGCCGACCGCTTTTTCGACTGGACTGTACTTTCGGACTGGACACGATAGGGCTTCTTCTCCACGATCCACCCATCTTGCCAAGTTCGACTGAGCAACAGACAACTAGCTGGATCCTCAATCCCCCGATGGGCCACTGCAAAGCATAAACCTGCTTGTTCTTTTCCCCCGTTCTGCTCCGCACCTCCTCTCGGCCCTGGGGTGTTGACCGCTCCTGCAATTATGAAGACCGCCGCTCTCTCGCTGCTCCTGTTGGCGCTGGTTGGTCTGGTCGCCGCCTGGTCCAAAGAAGGTAAGTGTACACAATGATCTCCCCATTGTATACGTATCGCGGCTCTTCCAATCGCCTCATCATGTCCAATTGATACTGACTGCAAGGTCTAGACTACGAGATCTTCCGCCTCCGTGATGAGCTCGCGACAGCTGAAGGTGCCAATGTGACCTTTTACGGTACGTGGCCCCCCTACTGGAATTGCAATCGCACGCGTTGCATACACCCAACCCAAGCAAACAAACTAACGAATGACCCTCTCCTGCATCATAGATTTCCTCGAGGTCCGCCCCAATGCCAACCAAGAACAAATCGTCAAGGCCCACCGCAAAAAGTCCAAGAACCTGCATCCAGACAAGGTCCGCCGCTCCTTCATCGCCAATTACTCCAAGGACAAGTCCAAGGCCAAGTCCTCCAAGGGCGTGAACGTGAACAAGGGGCCCTCCAAGCGCGAAGTTGACGCCGCCATCAAGGACGCCAATGCCCGCTCTGCACGTCTCAATCTCGTCGCCAATGTGCTCAAGGGTCCCGGCCGCGAGCGCTACGATCACTTCTTGAAGAATGGCTTCCCGCTCTGGAAGGGAACAGGTTACTACTATGATCGGTTCCGCCCGGGTCTGGGCTCTGTGCTGCTGGGCTTGTTCTTGGTCTTTGGCGGCGCGGGGCACTATGGTGCCTTGTACCTGGGCTGGAAGCGTCAGCGCGAGTTTGTCGATCGGTATGTTCGTCAGGCTCGCCGTGCTGCCTGGGGTGATGAGCTGGGTGTGCGTGGTATTCCCGGCTTGGACTCGGCTAGTGCCACTGCCCCGGCTCCTGCTCCCGAGGCCCCTGAGGCTGGCGCGGTGGCTATGAACCGTCGCCAGAAGCGCATGATGGACAAGGAGAACCGCAAGGAAAAGAAGAGTGGTCGGGCGAATGGGCGTGGTGTGGGCTCAGCTTCGGCCTCGGGTACCTCGACTCCTACTGAGCAGCCTGTGTCTACCGGGGAGCGTAAGCGTGTCGTGGCCGAGAATGGCAAGGTGCTGATCGTTGACTCGATTGGCAATGTCTTCCTTGAGGAGGAGTCTGAGGATGGCGAGAAGCAAGAGTTCTTGCTGGATGTCAATGAGATTCAGCGTCCGTCGATGCGGGACACTGTGATTTTCAAGCTGCCCTTGTGGGCGTACCGCAAGACCGTGGGTCGCGTGCTCGGCTCGTCTCAGCCTGTTGAGGAGGAAGAGGAAGTTCAAGCTACGGAGCTCGTTGACGCAGTCACCGAGGCCACTGCTACTACCAAGGCGTCTGCCCGTCGTCGGGGAAAGCGTAACCAACGGTAGATCGAGCTCTGGGGGTTAAGAGTTGTACACACGCTTTACTTTCGGCCGTGGTGATTATCGGTATAACTTGACTTTGAAGTAACAAAACAAAAGCGAAGCAGTGTAATAGAATAGATCGAATCTCACAGGATACCCACAACTCCTACGTGTTTGTCTTTTGCTCAGGTCCTCTTTTTAACACCCATATCCTACCACGTACCGCTATCAGATACCAGCTCCGTACTCTACAACGCAACGACACAGCAAACGTCCACTCCCAATTCTTCCAGCCACGTCTACAATCTTGCAAAATAAGGGTCCTACCAGTGATAATCGACCACATACCCCGCCTAGACCAATGTAGGGAAGTCCAATGGGGCCATACCCACTGTTGGGTACCGACCACTTCACAGACATATGGGGCAGAGTAGTACTTAACGGGGCCTCGGACAAGCCCCCTCGCGTTCCTTCTCAACTCTCTACGTCCTTCTGTTCAGGGTCAGCTATTTCATCGTTCCATTGGAATGTCTCTTCATTTCCAAGGCTGCAGAAAAGTCCAAAAATGTATGCTGTTTAACAGTCGCTTTTCCGGAAAGAGGATTGCAAAGGCTATGACGGTGGTTCAATTCAGTAAGCCTCCCAAGACAGAACTATAGAACGACAGCGGGAATTGGGAGGGGCAACAGGAAAGGACATGGATAAGCATAAGACAGGAAAAAAGCACCAAGGAAAAACACGCGTGCAATCGAGGATTGTAGGTATTCATGACAATCGTTACGGGTCATGGATGCATTGGCCCTTGCGAGGAGAGGTGAGTTCGACTTCGAACTCGACCGCAGGTCCAAAGCCAAGCACCATCCCAACCACAACAACCCCAAGCTCAGGCAAACATCTTCGCCAAACTCATCAACCCATTCACACTCTCCGACAACCCCTTCCCAGCACCACCCTCTAACCCACCAAACCCACGCGCCGCACCAGCCCCCGAACTCCCCAGCGCACTCGCCACTCCATGCGGCAGCCTCAACCCCACCATCGCCAACAACTTGGGCAACACGCCACTCGTCAACAGCGGCAGAATAACCAGCATGAACACCTTAACAGGGTGGTGGCGCGCGTAGCGGTAGATATCCCGGATGAGCTTCTTGATAGAGCGAATCATGCGCTGGACGAAGCCCTCGCGCGGGCGGGCGCGGCGTGACGACGAGGAAAATACCGAGAAGACGGATGGGCTGGAGGAGCGGGCGCTTGGGGCTCGGCCGAGACTGAAGATTGAGGATGTGGAGTGTCGGGCATTGGGGTTTGAGTAGCCCTTTGAGCTGGAGGAGGAGTGCCCTTTGTGGCTGCGGGTTGGGGAGCCGCGGCGGCGGACGTAGTAGCCTCCTGAGGAGGACTTGGAGGAGGAGGAGGGTCCATCGAACCAGCCCATGATTGGAGTTGATTTGGGATGGGAGGGTTTGAATTGGGGGATTGGGAAGGTGAGCGTGTGCTGGTGAGTCTAGCCTTATCGTTTAGATGGCGGGGATTAGGGGATTGGTGCTGGTCTTTGTTTATCTCCTCGTTTGGTCTTGCAGTGGTCTTTGCGAGTGGAGATTTATGACTGGGGCTGTTTGTTCCACGGTGATTTCGATGGTAATCAGAGTGGAAAGAGTCGCTTTCAAATGCTGGTGATGCAATGAGGCTGTCTAGAGAAAAAGATGATGCTGAAGATACGTAGATGTAGATGTCGATGCCAATGTCAATGTTGGCACAGATGCAGGATATGCGGGCACTGAAGATTTGCGTTCGCTCTAATCGGTCAGAGAAATTCTGGCCTCTGTGTGGCAAGGGCTGAAGTGGATGAAAAGAGACAGATGCAGGCCAGGCCGCTAGTAGCTGAAATGATGCACACGTCGTTTGGTCTAGGCCGCGGTGTAGTGTACCTGTACATCTATGACCCCACCAGACAGTTTACTGTGTGTACAGTACTGTAGTGGCAAGCGATAGGAACAAGAATGTATAAAGGGAGTGGTATGGAGACGAGGGAGATCCAGACTTACAGGAATCAAACTCATCGATCCTACGAGAGGGGGCTAGTTTTGGAAAAGTGCCCCTAGAAAGTACAATAAATGCGGTGGCTGGGGAGCGAATCGCACGTCAGCTTCTCCTCAATTCTGAGTGGACTCAAACTAAGACCGCTAATGTTGTTAGCCTGTTACCCTCTGGTTGGGTTTCGGGTGCCTGGGTGCCTGGACACCTTGACGCCTGAGACTTGGAATCACATGTGTGGGCCTGCTCCAGACACCCTAAGGCCCTCAGGCTGCAACGACGTCACTGGCGTCGACCGTGGTTCTTATACTCGTGGCCGTTCTTCTTGGCTTTCTAGAATTCACTTTCATTTCCTGTTTCGTATCTCGTACACCTCACTTCATAATGCCGAGTATGTCCCTTGACCTGAGATACTGGGTAGCACAGTGAACTAACGTCTACCCCACACAGCAACCCCAGATTACTGTATGTCTATGCTCAGTTTCCGACTCCTGTACCCAAAAATCGAGCCTAACGATCTCTACAGACAAGATCCTCGGCGTGCCCAGTGATGCGACACAGCCACAAATTCGCAGCGCATACAAAAGGCGAGTAGACTAGATGATCCCAGACATCAAGGACCATCAGACCACCTCGACATCCTCGAGAAGCACCATTCGGACTAACAACCTCTCCGCAGAGAATCCCTAAAATCCCACCCCGATCGAGTCCCCGCCGACTCCCCAGAAAGACCAGCTCGAACGCAAAAGTTCCAAGAAATCAACGATGCCTACTACACCCTCTCAGACCCCACCCGCCGCCGCGAATACGACCAAACCCGCGCCTTCGAACAAGCCGAGGAAGAAGTCGACGAAGAAATCCCCCAAGGCGGCCGCAGTTTCCCATGGTCCGCCTTTGGCTTTGGCTCTCGCGATGAGCGCGACGCCGATCAGTTCGGATCCGTGTTCGAGGAGATGCTGCGCGAAGAAGGGCTGGCCGAGGAAGCTGGCGATGACGGGAACCGGCGCACCCGGCCCACGGGTCGATTTTGGGCAATCGTTGGTGGAGTTAGTGGTGGTGCGCTGGGTTTCATTGTGGGCAATGTTCCTGGGGCGTTGGCGGGTGCTGTTGCTGGGAATCGGTTGGGTGCTGTTCGTGATGCGAAGGGGAAAAGTGTCTATGAGGTTTTCTTGGACCTTCCACAGCCGGATCGGGCGCGGCTCTTGAGTGAGTTGGCGGCCAAGGTGTTTCAAACTACGATGGGTCGGTAGGCTCTTGCTTTGCGATTGGATGGGAAGGGATATCGGTTGGATCTCGGCGTTGGTCTGGTAGTTTTGTGTCTGTTTCCTTCATGGCAGATGTGGATTGGATGGAGTGGGGGTCGTACATGTAAGGTTTGTGTGGGTCAAGATATCGATATATCCTTAGCCAGATTATTTAGATATACGAATACATTCAGGAAATATTTGGTGTCCGTCTGTAGAGCCTAGGATGTATGCAATCAGGGGACCATGCCAAGACCAAGTACAGTATGACTCTTATCGATAACAGACGCTTATTTACAGTAAAGCTTTCTGACTACCTTGATCCCCACTCGGTCATCGTAGCTGTAGAACAGACTGACTACCTTTCCAGTAACTCCCTCTATACAAGCCCCAATAGATCCTGCCATTGAGGCTTTGTCTCTACTTTAAAATGGTCTGGTGGTATTCCGCCACTTCCAATAGTTCTGGACCACCACCCACGCTAGCCAGCACCCCACCCTCGCTCACCGCTTGCGGTCAAAAAAGGCACCCCCTCAGTCCAAGGTCTATATTTATTCCTGGCCAGGCCTCGCTGGTTTTCCCTCCTGTTCTTTAACCTAACATTCTTAATTCTTCCCCAAGATGACTACCGCCACGGCCGTCTACCCCACCCTGGAGAACCGTCCCCTCAAGGACACCATTGTCCTCTTCGATGTCGACGAGACCCTAAGCAAGGCGCGGCGGGTATTTTGCGACAGCACCTTTTTCCACAGAGCAAGTGCTAATTCATTGTCTTCTTTTTTAGTCCGCAACCCCTGAGATGCACGAGTTGCTCTCTCGGTTGCGACACAAGTGCGCCATCGGATATGTTCGTGCTTCCTCCCACACCCTTCCTATACCCCGACGAATCTAACACGAAAGTACCATTCAGGTTGGCGGCTCCAACTACGTTAAGCAGCAGGAGCAGCTTGGCAATGCTGCCACCGAAGTGACCACCCTGTTCGATTTCTGCTTCTCCGAGAACGGCCTCGTGGCCTGGCGCCTGGGCAAGCCCCTCGACAGCAACAGCTTCATCCAGTGGCTCGGCGAGGAGAAGTACCAGGAGCTCGCCGATTTCTGCCTTCGATATATTTCCAACATCAAGCTGCCCAAGAAGCGTGGTACCTTTATTGAGTTCCGCAATGGCATGATCAATGTCAGCCCCATTGGACGTAATGCCAGTGTGGAGGAGCGGGATGAGTTCGAGGCGTATGTTTGCGCCTTCCCGAAGAACCAGCTATGCGAAATAATATCATGTGCCAGGGCTTTGGACTGACAATGGAATTAGCTATGACAAGATCCACAACATCCGTCGTGATATGGTCGAGGCCCTGAAGAAGGAGTTCCCCGACTATGGTCTCACGTAAGTTTGCGCCGATTGATCGATGTCTGCCATTGATGTATATACCTAACCACTCTTCTGCAAATCACAGCTTCTCCATCGGTGGCCAGATCTCCTTCGATGTCTTCCCCACGGGCTGGGACAAGACCTACTGCCTGCAGCACGTCGAGGCCGAGAAGAACATCTCCGGTGTCGAGTACAAGACCATTCACTTCTTCGGCGACAAGTGCTTCCCTGGTGGCAACGATTATGAGATCTACTCCGATCCCCGCACGATCGGTCACTCAGTTGAGGGCCCCGAGGATACTATGAAGCAGCTGAAGGAGATCTTTGATCTTTAAATCGTGAGACGAGTTGCGCCATGAGTTCCCCGCGGAAGTGGCATGATATTGCGAACTAGCGTATGCATATTGAAGACTTGGAAAGGGCTTGTTAGAATGCCCCTGTTTGCTCTGAAAAAATATTTCTCGAAAAATATTCGATAGAAATCGATCCTAATCTCATGAATTGTTACGATGAATGCCTGTCTCTTGGTAAAAATGGTGTCGTACTGTTCCGGAAATTTGCGGGGCGCATCGGGAAAGTGTCGATCTTCCAAGGTTTCCCGATCCGCATTTAGTCATCTCTCCAAATCTTTCCACCTGCCTCACAAATCGCATCCAACCCTGAAGCTCCTCAGAAGTGTCTATCTCTGCCCATCGTGCATGGAATAAACCACATACCCGAGCAATGGCGTCCCAAAAACATGTCGCAGAGGTGCCGCGCAGCCTCCTCCCTCGCTTGACCTGGAACAGCGCCTCCTCTCGCCCAACCGTCACTCCCTCACATTGTCCCGCACTCACAAAAAGGCCGACAAACTACTCCCAGGGCTGGAGTCCTCTCAACCGCCAAATTCACTCCCTCAACGCTCGTCACCAGTCCTCCCGAGCCTTTTCCACCGCCCTTCATGACTCCCACTTCGCCTCTCCTGTTTCCCGCCGACCCTCCGCTTCAACGACGAGACGCCCAGCTGGGGAACAAACCCTCGCCGGTCCGGTTCGACACAATGGCATTTACGTCGCGGCGTTCAAGCCTGCGCAGCGCGCATTCCATGCGACGCCCTCTCGACCCCGTGATCACCATTTCGATACCCTGCGCTTCGTGAAGAGGCTCCAGGCTGAAGGGTTCAGTGAGGAACAGGCCGTGGCTATGATGCGGGTATTGAACGATATCATCCAAGAGTCTATTCAAAACTTGACGCGGACGATGGTCCTCCGCGAAGGTAAGCGCCTCACCAACTGCGCCAGCCCTTCGCGTACACCTCATCGCCTTCTGTATCTAACAACCACATCTCGTTATAGATTCGGAGAGATCAACATACACTCAAAAAGTCGACTTTGCCAAGCTACGCTCTGAACTCCTGAATGCGGACTCCACCGAGGCACAGCTGACCCACTCATCTCACGAGAAGATCGCAGCGGATCTCGCAAAACTTAACTCCCGTCTCCGCGATGAGATTGGTCGCACACAGGCATCTGTTCGATTGGATTTGAACCTCGAGAAGGGCCGGATCCGCGAGGAAGCTAATGGCCAGGAGATGCGAATCAAGGAAACCGAGACGCGGATTGAACAGGAAGTGGCCGGTCTGCGCGAGCGTGTTGAAGCTGTCAAGTTCTCGACATTGCAGTGGCTGATGTATGTTTCCCGCCGGTTATTCCTGTGTAGATTGATACTGACTTTTTTAGGGGTGTTTGCACCGGTACTGCTGCTCTGATTCTTGGTGCTTGGCGCCTGTTTATGTGATTTGCTGGTGTGTTTGGATTTATCGAGTGTGCATGGCTACGGAGCGTCTTTCTTTTTGGTTGTACTTTATACATGAGACTTGGTGTCTCCTCGACTGGTCTTTTCTTTTGTATCAATAATTTTGCTCCCACTCTCTGCTCTGGTTTGTAGCCGAGATGGTTTAGACGGCGATAAAAATCAGTTGTTTTTTCATTTGATGTTGTCCTACGATAGCCTTATCGTTCGCTTAGATATGGGCCCCTTTGCCGCATGAGGCAATTCAACAACAGACCAGTAGTCTCCAATATAAGTGAGCATTTTCAACGAGGACCGAGATATTTGCCATAGTTACGTTCAACGTTTTAGAATACCGTCTGGCAAGCGCCTTAGGATATATGATTTGCGGCCTTGAAAAGAACAGGAGATGTCCAAAACTCGACCCGGGACTTTCAATCCAGCAATAAAACTGCAAGTCACGGAAGAGTTTTTAAGAGACTTTGGCACATCCTAAAGTACCTCATTTTAGCAGACAATTTACAATCTACAGGGCAAATTAGACTATACCCGGACACCGTCGGCCACAACTAAACGCTAGTCCGTCGAGGTTATAGTAGGAGCCGATGCTCGGCAAACGCTATCTAAACAACCCACTCAACAGCAATACTTTCCAAGAACAGGCCTCAGCATTACGAATCTCCATTCCAATGAGAAACAGTCTTCCTCAGGGCTGCCGAAATTCCGGTTGGTATGCCTGGCACCTTCCCCCCTGAAGCTTATCTTGCGGGGGGTCAACGCGGCCTGGCCTGCATGATCGGCCGTGAATGTTGCATCCTCGTGCGGAGCACACGATTTAGTCTCCACTAGCCTGTCGCTATTCTGCACGATAATAATGGCGTTGTTCAAGACTTTGCTAGCGTCGTAGTCCCTCCGGCTCAATGATCTGGGCTGTATAAAGAATCCCCCTCCCATCGCCGGAGAGCTGGATATCTTTCTCCTCTTTCTTAGCGCTCTCTGGGAACGGGCTATTGTACTGTCACAGTTGTGGTCAACACTTGAGACCACTCGCAAACATCGGCCCTTCTCGAGCAGTTCCAAATACTGTTGCAAAGGACGGTTCGAAGCACATTGAGTGCGGCGATTTCAAAAAGACCTGTCCGACTTGTCCGAGAAGTTTCTGGGCGTCGAGGGTTTCTTGCGCTATTGCCATCGTCACGATGATCCCAACTTTATTGCTCGCTCTTGGGCAAGTAGGACTTAGTTACGCCACATCCTCGTCGACAGGAGTCCTCGATGTTTTTCAAGTCTATCAGCCCGTCACCTTTGCTCCCAAAAGTGACAATGGCTGCAACCTGGAGATGTTATTGATGGATCATGTCTTTGGCGAGAGCTATGGCGAGCCGTTTGTAGGTAAGAAGTACCTGAATTAGCTTGCCTCTGATGCAAATGACTCTAACCTTGGTGCCGCCTAGGAAGCTATGAGCCCCCAAGTTGCAAATTCGATACCGTCAGAATCAACATGACAGTCACTTCGAGTGGCCACCAGTACGATCGACTGGCGCTGATGTACCTGGGCGATGCAGAGGTGTTCCGAACGTCAACTGCTGAGCCGACGTCCACGGGTATTGTGTGGACGTACATCAAGGAAATGTCGCAGTACAATGCTTTGTGGAAAAAGCCGCAGAAGCTGATCTTTGATCTGGGAAATATCATCACGGATGTATATACGGGACCATTCAATGTCACGCTAACCGCACACTTCTCCTACGCGGGGAATGCGAGAAGCGCAGATCTAATCCTTCCCATTTCGGCCATGAAGTCTGCTTACAACTCCTCAAGCGCGTTCACGGTTCCGAGTGACAATACGACCGTGTCTTATACGATTCCCGATACGGTCTCTCGGGCTGTGGTGGCTATTTCTGCGTGCGGTCAGTCCGAAGAGGAGTTCTGGTGGTCCAATGTTTTCTCTCAAGATTCAGAGGACTTTACTGGCACCGTTGGTGAGCTATACGGTTACTCTCCCTTCCGAGAGATTCAGCTCTACATTGACGGTATTCTTGCCGGTGTCATGTGGCCATTCCCCATCATCTTCACCGGAGGTGTGGCGCCCGGCTTTTGGCGTCCAATTGTCGGCATTGACGCTTTTGATCTTCGTCAGCCAGAGATTGACATCTCGCCTTTCCTTCCGCTGGTACAAGCTGGTCAGCAACATTCGTTTGAAATCAGGGTCACGGGTCTTAATGTCACTGATGGCACTGCCACTTTTGCTGATACAGTGGGCTCCTATTGGGTTGTCACTGGCAACATCTTTCTGTACACTGGCGAGAAAACGAATTCTAAGAAAAGAGTCCTTCCGCAGGTGGAGGCTCCTGCGCCCAAATTCACAGTCACTCGACACCTGACGCAGAATAGTACCGGCGGAAATGATACACTATCCTATGCCGTAACAGCAGAGAGGACTTTCACAGCATCTTCCTCCGAATACTCGTGGTCACAAAAGCTATCCTTCTCCAACTACGGCTACCTGAACCAAGAAGGATACAGCCAAGTCAACAAGCAACTGACTTCGGGAAAGAACACCATCTCAAAGCTCGGAAGCAAGTCAAGTTCCAACGAGACCACTTTCAGCTACCCCCTGCTAGTCAACGCAACCTACGGTATCACAGCAAATTCGTTGACAATCAATGCATGGATGGAGCGAGGCCTTGAAATTGAGTCCACTGGTGGCCCAGGACTATCGACTTACACTTTTGTTTCTGGCCCATACCAGCTCCATACAACCCAATCCGGCAATGCGACATACAATTCAGTCACAGGCTCAAGCTCGGTTTCTTCGGGTAGCACGACTGATGAGTTTCATAGCGTTGGCAATGGGGTGCCATATTCTAGATCTGTCAGTGCTGTTAATGGAAGTGTGGTTTCTGATACTCAGGCTGGTGCGGACACGGTCTCTGTCTCTAATGATATGACGGCACTGGGTCGTAGTAGCGTGCGGAGTATGCTGGGGAGAGGACCAGGTAGTCCGCCAAGTTAGAAGATCATGGACGATATGCTTGTGTCTGCTGTGAATGAGATCATGCAGGGGATCGCTCATGGAGAAGATCCATCGTGTCGCCTGTTATAGGGATTGTAATGATCAAGCATACAGGAAAAATTCAAAGCGGAAGCCTCCATTGTCTTACGTGTGTGCACGATTTTTTGTATGCTTAGACTTTTTCTGTTGACGAACGTGAAGCGTAATCATGGCGGCATTGAATAGAGAGAGAGCCTACGCTCACTTTATATTGCTGTCTATAATCTAGTCCCTCTACACTATACTCAGTCGGATTCAAGAGAGGGATCATAATAGATTCTGTTCCCAGGTATCAGTACTGGCAATGTCTTACGTGTTCTATCTTGCTACCGGTACTTTCCCTCCGCCAACACTATTAGTGCCACTCACACGTACGAAACCGTTCGTCATTTTGTTCAGTTTCCCGACGTTATGAAGAGGCGCAAGTACTCAAATTCTTCACTCGCCAGGGAATGTAATAGCAGCTTCACGTGAAGATAAAGATCGGAGTGGAAAATCCTACATCCAGGTGCAGTTGGATGTCCACTTCTCGGGCTGGACTTGCCCGAGGGGACGTTGCCTTCCACCACCTGTTAAGCTTAGATTGTCTTAGTAATTACAGTTTTCACTCTCGGTCTGAATTGTACCGATTCTTGAACTCCACAATGCGGATGGCTTCCGGCTAAATGCGTCTGAAAGCATCCGATAGAATGGACAAAGGTTTATCGTTGAAGCAATACATGTTACCGTGAGCCATACACAACTCCGCTCGCCCTACATATGCCATCTCCAAACTTAGTCTTGTAATCAGGCTTTGAATGGAAAAAAGACATGTGCTCATATCAAAATTTTGAAATCTGTGCCGCCCGGTGTGGTCTGATCAAATTTGGCGCAAGTATTGGATGGGGCTTCAGAAGCCATTACTTCAGCCTTCTATTTATCCGGCCATCGCACATGGCAGGCCGATAATCCCCACATCGTTCCTATAGAGGTGGCTGCTCGGCTGGTTTTCAGCTCCACAGTAAACCAACCTAATCAAATACAACACAAACCATGCCGCCAGGGTATCTATTTATCATTACTGCCTTGATCCCACTATCCTTGACCCCAGGATAATTGCAAAATCGCGGATCTGCCTGTGCCGACCAGGCTGGCTTGATCTTTCCCACTTTACTTGTCTAAATATATCTTTCTCTTCTTAACATTCAACCTGATCTTCAATATTGATTAGTTCGTTGCAGCAGTCTGCAAGTTCTCATTTAGAGATATCACTTCTAGTAGGGAATTGCCCGTGAGTTTATACTTACCAACACTTTTGCTATGATATGCGCAGCAGCGTAGGCCTTTTTGCTACCAAATAAACTAATGGAAGCTCAGTAATTTTAGATAGTACTGCCAGGAAAAGCCGAGATAGTCGAACTTCGGATACCCTTAAGGGAGAAATTTATAGTGATTGAACGAATGGTGCTGAATTTACAATGTGAATTGATTGAAGAGCATAAAAGAGTGGAGGTTAGGATGGATGTTAAAGATCTCCCAAGGCCGATGACCAGTCGATAAATCGACGAGATCCACGGAGATAACTTGATAATCGCGAGAGAACAGAACGGTTTGTTGCAGCCTCCTCTGGTTGCATGAAAAAAAAACGTACAAGAAGACAGGAGGCCGGAGTAACCAGAAAGAGTTAACCGTAAGTAACTGTTCGACTTTCAGGGACAAATACATTGTCGATAATGGCGGTTCAGCTCCAGATTATTGAAGACTGTATAGCATTCATCGATCACTCACTTTCTACACCGTGACTAGATCCTGCGCATTCGGAGGAAACGAAATCGTCAAGTCTGTTTTATAGGTTAAATGCCACACAATGTATCAGGCTACACTTCATAGAGAACTGACCAATAGTGTTCCCCTTTCTGTTCTCCCATAGGTAAGTCGAGTTGGTGACTCCGTTCGCAACTCTCTGGACTTGGAGCTCATATTTATCGGTTTCTTCCCACGGGAGTCCAGTGATGTGGAGACGATATGCATTACTGGTGTTGTTGCGCACTGTAGCCTGGTGGAATGTCAAGCATGCTGTAAAAGAGCAGTTAGAGGGCCGCGGGCCAACATATGTTTGGAAAAAGTTTACCTCCAGTAATAAAGCAGGTGGATTCTCCATTCAAAACTGAAGAAGAGAATTTGAATCAGCTTTCGTAAACCAAATAGATATCCAATCACTTACGCGCCCATTATCCTGAAGGAGTGGATAGGCTGAAGCCGACGTGTTCAAGATAGGAACCTGTAATCTACAGCATGATTTAGCGAAGGCGAAAAACAATTCACACAGGCCTCTGTTGATAAACTCACTATCTGTGCCGTAATCTCAGTCGCAATGTCAAAATCAAACTGATAATTATTCAACAGGGTCTGCCCTTTGGTGCGATCCGTTGAAATTCCCGCAAGGGCCGCAAATCCATCTGCGGAGCTTCCGATAACTTTCACGCGATTTTGAGTCAGAGTATGGTGGCTTGGGTTGATAAAGGCATTCCTCGGGGCCTAGATGAACTCTGGGATATCGAGTATTGGCAGTTAGGTGACTGGCTTGATCCTACAGCACCACCGGACCAGCCTGGCGACTCACGGACCAATGCTACCCTGGTAGCTGATGCATACCTCGTAAGAGTCACACGGGTCATTGCGCAAGTTTCTGAACTGCTTCGTGAATCATCTAATGCCGCCCGCTATCACGCTGACTACCTACGCTTGAAATCGGTATTCTAAGAGACATATGTAGCTCCCTCTGGTCTGATAGTTGGTGACACCCAGACGGCCCTCAGTCTCGCTCTAATGTTCTCTCTTCTTGGCTCGGAAAAGCAAAATACCGAGGCAGGCAGACGTCTGGCATACCTGGTCCGACTTGCGAACTTCCGTGTATCAACCGGTTTCGTCGGCACTCCAATTATCACACATGCTCTCACGCGTGCAGGGTATGCACAGCTCGCGTATCGTATGCTCCTTGAGAAAGGTTGCCCATCTTGGATGTACCCAATTACGATGGGTGCCACTACTATCTGGGAACGCTGGGACAGCATGAAAGCAGATGGTTCCGTCAACGGTGGGGAAATGACCAGTTTCAACCATTACGCCCTCGGATTAATCATCAACTGGCTCCATACTACCGTGGCTGGAATGACTGAGATTGAGCCTGGTTGGAGAAAGATCAAGGTTCAGCCGATTCCGGGTGGTACCATCACATCTGCGAAAGCGACTTACGAGAGTCCCTACGGCAGAGTGGAGTGTGCCTGGGAGGTACACAATAACGAGGAATTTGTTGTGGACCTTGTTGTGCCCCCAAATAGCAGAGCGCTTGTCGTTCTTCCTAATGACAACGAGGGACTGTGGGCTGGATCAGGTCGTCACTCGTTTACTAGGGCCTACTCCCCGGCAACATGGCCACCTGCGCCGATTCGTGATTTCTTCAGGCAGCCAAACAATAAACTTATTGCTTTGAATGGGAAGTTTGCCAATGGATATAAGCTTGTTTCAGAATAGCATAGTATTAAACCGCCTTCATCCTCCTCTCTCGTTGCATACTCAGAGCTCATTGAAAGATTCTTATGATCTTCTGGTCTATGATGCAGAATGTGTTGTCAGAGCTTCACCGGTGTACTCATGTCGAGACAACTATGTTTTCGATTCCACTTTGAAGGCTAAGATTCGATTTCCGGAGTGACTCAGTATGTCACATACTCAGAGTGCTGTCAGAGAGGCCTCAGAAGTGGAGACAGCAAAAGATGAGGCCAATACTGTACGGGAAATATCTGGCAGGGAGGTTTCAAAGAGAAGATAATCATTTCGTCAACCGAAAATGAACAGACATCCATTGATTGGTTCAGTCCCACAACGCTTCGATCGCTGTATCTGATTTACTATCAAAGTCAGCATCAAATCCTAGAACTCACTGAGCGCTCATTGGACGTCACTGATTTATCACGTGATAGCACTGACCAGCTTCGGTTGATGGTAACGGCCTGTTTTTAAAAACGCAAAGAAGATTCATTTTCTGTATTCAAGGTTCCATTCAAGGTTGTGATAGGCTTTCATTCATAGTTTGAAGGCGACGTATTCTGCATAAACGACCAGAAATTATGTCTGTTGCTCTGCGGATATATCACTGGTAGGTCAACCATTACCAACTGAACTTGAACAACGCCGGAGGCCAAGAACCTTTGATGGTCTATGTTTTAGGGGTTTCAGCAAATTACGCAACATTAAGTCCGTATTTGCACATCTGATACTTCGCTAATCATCAGTGTCTAATGTTCCCAAAAGTATTTGTATCGGGAGTAGATCCTCTATCGTGGACTGGGGCGGTGTCCAGGGCGGTGAACATCCAAACCTTGGTTCTATTGCTAGTATCACCACGTGATCGCATCGATAAGGTGCTCCCCAGCTTTCGCGATTGCGAATCTTCCTTTGACATTCTCCGTGGCGAGGCATCAAACGGCCTGGATCAGGCTTGTCCGTAGAATGAGCGTGGTCGCAGAATCTACAAATATCCCAGGTATGTACATCTAGCCACCGAATCATGTTGATTGGAATGGAAACTCATTGTATCAGGCGCGGTCCCTGAGACCCTAATCTCCGTGCTTGCGCAATTCGATAATCTTGATGTCGATGGCCGCCCCAGCAAGCGGCGCAAGGTTATCAAGTCTGGTCCATATAATTTGAGTGATGAACTGGGCGTTTCGTCAAATAGAATCCCGTTGGGTTATATTCCTCTTACTCGACTGTCTTTGCGACTAGTAAGTAATCAATCGGTTTTGCTTTTGTATCACACGGCTGACAGTTTGCCACCATCTTCATCAGGACTACACGAAAGCATTTGGATCCGACGAGAAATCCCAGAATGACCATTCTGATCACCCACATCGATTGCCTGTCCTTGTAGAGGTTCAAAATACTGGATCACGCTCAGATGCACCCGTTATTCTCGATTCTCCCGACGATTATGCCGCTTACACCCTGACCGTGACCACGACCGATGCAGATAAGAGGGAATTATTTTCTATTAGATTGCACGATTTGCGACTCGCCGGGTTTTTCGAACAGTTCAGACAGGTCACTCGGTTAATTCCCGCTGACCGATACTACAACCGTCTCCCAACGGCGTGCTATCAAGCTACAATACAGCTCTCGGCCAACCAAAACTCCGTTCTATTGGAAGTAGTGGGCCTCTGGAAGGACTCACTTATAATTCCGGACCTGAATCATCTGCCGGATCCTGCTTTGGAGCTTTTTGCGAAGTATGCTTTGGAGGAGGATTATGTGTCCGCCCTCGAATATACTGAGCGTGGACGCCGGGAGAAGCTACTCGGAGATCATCGGCAGTGGTTGCCTCGTGAATTCTACGAGAGCGTTCACGTCCCACCGGATACTGAAAGCACATCCGCAGATATCAAATGTCCCGATCTGGAATGTGAGCTTTTTCCTTTCCAGAGACGAGCTGTCAGGTGGCTTTTGTGGAGGGAAGGAACCCACATTCAAGGAGATGGGAAAGTTTCCACCATTGACAGGCCTTTACCAAATGGCCTTCCAGCTTCATTCCAGAAAATGCACGATGCCGATGGTAATGTCTGCTACTTCAGTCATCTATTTATGACAATTACCACCCAGATATCCCAATGGGGCGATGCGGCAAATCTATTGCGAGGAGGGATTCTAGCGGAGGAGATGGGACTTGGCAAGACAGTCGAGATGATTGCTTTGATGAACCTGAATCGACGACCCCCACATGAGTCGCTGAAACCTGACCCCGATGGATTGCGTGTGTCCGGTGCCACTCTGATCATCACGCCACCGGCAATCCTGGAACAGTGGAAGCAAGAACTCGAGCAACATGCCCCAAAACTGCGGGTGCATCACTATACAGGCATCAAGCGTGGACAAGAACAATCGGATGAATTTATGATCGAAGAGATAGCAGATTTTGACGTTGTCTTGACTACATACAACGTTATCTCTCGGGAGATACACTATGCTGGTGCCACCCCACAGCGTAGCCTCCGCCATGAGAAGCGGTTCGAGCCTCGAAAGACACCGCTAGTCCGGATATCATGGTGGCGTGTTTGCCTTGACGAAGCTCAGATGATTGAGAGTGGCGTCAGCAATGCAGCAAAAGTGGCTCGATTAATTCCTAGGCAAAACGCCTGGGCTGTGACTGGTACACCATTGCGAAAGAATATCGATGACCTGTTCGGGTTGTTACTATTTCTTCAGTACAGGCCGTTCTGTGACTCGAGCTCCTTGTGGAAACGGCTCTATTCAAGATTCGGCCCGGTTTTGGTCGGCATCATTAATTCGATCGCTCTCCGGCACAGCAAAGATAGAGTACGCGACGAACTGCGCTTACCACCGCAGAAACGTATTGTCATCACCACTCCTTTTACTCCGATTGAGGAGCAGCACTACGGACAACTGTTCGAGGAGATGTGCGAACAATGTGGCCTGGATGCATTTGGCGCACCTCTTTCAGGCGACTGGAACCCCGAAGACCCCGCCATCATTGAGAGAATGCGCACCTGGTTGACCCGTCTTCGCCAGACCTGTCTTCATCCTGAAGTCAGCGGTAGCAATCGTCGGGCATTGGGCGCCGGAAATGGCCCGCTGCGCACAGTCGATGAGGTTCTTGAAGTCATGATCGAGACCACTGACACGTCGATCCGCACGGAAGAGCGAACTTTACTTCTCTCTCAGCTCCGGCGGGGCCAGCTTCTGGAGAATGCGAAGCGTAGGAAGGAGTCACTGGCTATTTGGCAGATCGCTCTAGATCATGCTACCGAGCTGGTCAATGACAGCAGAAAGCAGCTTCGACTTCAGCGCCTCAAAAATAAAGGCGTGGCTGTGGATGGCGCAATGGCCGTTCCCGAAACTCCTGATTATACGACCGATGACGAAAACGAAGATGAAACGGACAAGAACAGCCGTATAGGCCAGTGTCGTCTGAAGCTCCGTGCTGCCCTGGAAGTGCAACATATTGCTGTATTCTTCACTGCGAATGCGTACTACCAGATCAAAAGTGACTCCAATCTGACCCAGCCTGACTCTGAGGAATTCAAAGCCCTTGAGAAGAAGGAAGAAGAAGGTTACGAGGCAGCGAAGTTGATCCGCAAGGAGATGTTGACCGACATTTCACGCAAAGTTGAGCGGTACATGAGAAATATCAAGGAAAGGACTCGGAAGAAGGAGTTTGTGCACATCCCCACAATGAAGCCATATTTGTACAGCAGAGGGCTGGAATCTTACAGGTTACTCAACAAGTTTGAGGATCTATGCACTGCTCTTAACAAGCATGCAGAGCAATACAACCGGTGGCGAGATATTATGATCGACCTGGTCTCCCAGTCACTCATTGACCAAGAAGAGGATGCGGAATTGGAAGGAAATGAGTACGAGCGATCCACCAAGCATCAAGACGAAATGTATGTTTACATGGAGGCCCTTCGCGCTATGTACGCAGATCGTCATGATGCCCTTACAGGCCAAAAGAACATCCTCATTTCCCACGAGGCCAAGGCAGGTATTGCGCAGGCAAAGAAAGGGGAAGGGCCTTCCCCGGAGCTGTTCCTTTCGATCATGAATACTCGCAGCGAACTCATGCCAGATCCAAACCTGGGATCACTTCGTGGGATTGTGAGTGAACTGCGCAGCTTGGTTGGCTCGCTCGAGTGGCAAGCTTCTGGAGGAAGCTCGCGTGCTAGCGCCGAGCTTGAGATGGTCACCTTGGTCTTGAAGAATGCCGGCCAAATGATTGCTGAACAGCTCAAAATCTCTTCAAGCCTAGAGAGAGAAGTGGAAATGTTTCGAGACACGATGAATAATCGACTGGAATACTATCGCCATCTACAGCAGATCTCAGACACGGTTGCTCCCTATGACGAAGAGAATGCTGGCAAGCCAATGGATGAAAATTTATTTGGTTCCAAATTAAAGCAGGAAGAAAAGATCCAGGCTAAAATCTCCTCCCTCAAGTCCAAGCGACGATATCTTATCCATCTTCGAGATGAATCAGGCGAGGAAGATCACTCCCGTATATGTATTATCTGCCAGTCCAGCTTTGAAACCGGTGAGTACTCCATTCGCATGACGAGAGGCACAGCGAACGGTGGCTGACCCTTCTAATCAGGTGTTTTGACTGTTTGTGGTCACAAATATTGCTCGGAGTGTCTGCGATTATGGTGGCGCCAACATCGAACCTGTCCTATGTGCAAGAAACCTCTGAAACTCAACGACTTCCATCAAATCACATACAAGCCACAGGAACTGGTTGCTCAGGAAGAAGAGACGCCTTTCAAATTCGATCACGAAAAACATCCGAAGAATGCCATCTATAGCGATATTAGCTCGGGTGTGCTGAAGCAGATTGAAAACGTTGAACTCGACGGTTCATTTGGTACAAAGGTCGATACTCTCGCACGTCATATCATCTGGCTTCGGGAGCATGACCCAGGATCCAAGGCAATTGTCTTTTCGCAGTACAGGAACTTTCTGGTCGTTCTGAAGCGAGCATTCAACAGATTCGGTATTGTCAATAGCAGTGTCGATGCCCCGGACGGGATTGAGAAATTCAAAAAAGACCCAGCGGTAGGTTGCCCACATTCCTCCGATAGCAGGGCTCTGTCAGACTAATCATTTTCGTAGATTGAATGCTTTCTGATGCATGGCAAGGCACAGTCATCAGGACTAACGTTGATCAATGCGACCCATGTCTTCCTGTGTGAGCCACTCATAAATACTGCAATTGAACTCCAGGCCATTGCTCGAGTTCACCGAATCGGCCAACACCGTCCAACTACTGTGTGGATGTACCTCGTGTCTGGAACCGTTGAAGAGTCCATTTACGAACTATCAGTGACTCGCCGGCTCGCCCACATTTTGGAAAAGGAGAAGCAAGAGAAGAATGCCCACTCAACGAATCCAAGTGATGGAGACGAGTCATTGATCAATGACATAACCGAAACAGCGATTGACTCTGCTAATTCTATGGAAATGGAGGATGCAACCCTTAACAATCTCATGACAAGCGGCGCAGCAGGTGGAGAGATGGTCAAAAAAGATGATCTATGGCAATGTTTGTTTGGAACCACTGCTGGAAAGAATGACCGTGGTCTTTCAACCGATGCAGAGAGGGAAGTTGGCCGCTTCTTACGCGGTGAAGCTGCAGAGCAAAGAAGAGACGAAGCTACGACTTAGCGATTTTCATGAACAGTGAACGGAGAAGTCATTACGGCATACACACACTAAGTTTGTTCTGGCAGAAAAAGACTTGTCTTTACGCACTGTGTGGTGAAAGCAAAGCATAGATAAAGGGTGTTTCTATGGAGTTCCCTGCTTGCATTAGCCTTTGAGGCAAGGTCCTCAAGCCACACATGTCAGATCACAAAGTCTCGTGACCATCACAGCTTCATACCCCAGATGGAGGCATTCCGATGTGAAAAATGGCATTGAGGCGCTCTTGCTCCCAACGTGCCCGTCTGCGGATCTGTCCCAGGGTATGGTAAGCCTGCATGGCAGCGGCTGCATCTTCTGGCCAGTATGGCTCTAGCATAGACCCGAAATGCTGAGGATTCCACCCGGGGCCGCCATCCCCCGTACGTGGCCATGGAAAATCTAAGTAGTATTGGGCCAACGGGTCTTGGGTGACTGTCGAGCCACTACTCTGGCCAATCGCATCCTCATCATTCATATCCTCGTCCTCGTCCTCGTCCTCATTCTCATTCTAATTATGATCAGCAAATGAACGAATGTGACATGAGAAAGCACTCACCTGTTCGTCAGCCGTCGCATTGTTGGCGGGGGCCTTGCTCGCAACATATGCCGTGACCCAGTCCTCCGTGAACTTCCCGGTGAACTTTCGGTTTGAACTGCGCTCGCCTATTAAAGCGTCAGTAAATTGCTAAAAGAGCTCACTGTCTTGTCTAGACACTTACGGAGCGAACAACGATGTGCTCTGTCGTTGAACACACAGTTCATGCAAGCACCCCCGGACTGGACCTTGTTACCTGCAAAATTGACGACACAGGTGCTGAAAACCCCCTTTCCCTGTTTGCAGTTTCTGCACTCCTTTCCTGGAGGAGCAACAACACCGCAACGCTGGCCATGTGCAGCCATGCGATTGTTGTAGGACACCATCTCCTGGGCCTCTCCCTGCCAGTCGACATTACGGAGAGGTTCGCAGGCTCTGATGTCCTTCTCATCCGGGCGGGGTTCAAGCCGGCCATCGTCCTCCAGGATTGGGTTCAAGTCTTGATCAAGGCCATTCGCTACATCTCTATATGTCAGTGTCCGAGGGTTGAAAATGCTTGCGATGAACTCACGGATCTCCTGGTTGGACTGAGACATCTGGATTCAAGCCCTTGTCAGCCACCTATTTCATGAGCCTTATGAGAAGACTCCATCACGTACCTTGACGGTGGGTGAACTTCGTGAGTTGAGCCGAGGGGTCTGCTTGGGATGATGGGAATCAAGAGATCAAGGAGAAGAGCAGGATGAGGCAATCGCTGCAGATGAACTCTTGCCGAAGGGCTGTCGATCGGGAAATCCGGAGGCAAGTTAACGAGGAGAGAGGAAGTGGTTGGTGTCACCGTGGTGATGAACGTTGACGAGAAGAAGGGAGGACCAAACGGGAGTGAAATGCGTAAGATCAAGCAGAAGATCAGGAGGATACAGTCACCGCAGATCTGTTCTTACAGAGGATCAGTCGATTGCGAAGTACAGAGAGAAGTTCATGAGGAGAGAGGAAGTGGTTCGTGTCAACGTGGTGATGGACGTGGAAGAGGAGAAGGGTGGACCAAACGCGAGTGAAGTGCGCATCAGAAAAGGAGGAAGCCTCGCACTAAGCTCATTCCTCGACAATGTCAGCTTTTTTGCAATGGCCGGATTTCAAAATGATGCATTACTACTCAAATATCAGCCCAAAAGCCCTTTGAAGAAGCGCCTTTCACAGGACATCTAAATCCACCGCATTCACTGTGCAGAGGCAAAACAATGGTATATCCATCTGAGAATCCTAACACAGGATAATAAGAGCACTGGAAGCAATATATTCTCTGTCTGAATCCATGATTAACGATTTGATCCCCCTTCTATTCGTTATATCGTCTGATCAATGTTCTTGACTCGGGAAGTTGTACCGGCAGACTTCTATACTTCGGGCGGTGTGAACGGGCAGATTAGCCGCGTGTACTTAAGCGCCGGGCGGGTAACGTCCCAATAGTCGGATATGGGGCCAAAGCATTGACACCACAAAATTTAGGCTTTATAACTGATGCCTGGCGTAGAGGGCAGAGACGCCTGACAATTACTAAGCAATCCCCACCACCTAGGCCCAGAGTCATCCCCGATTTGGGGCTCTACCACTGCCGATGGTGACGGTGACGTGTGTTTTGTTGCCTGTGAAACTCCTCAAGAGCCGCATATAATATTCTTCTGATTATTCGTTGCAGTCAATGGTTCTTTTGTGCTCTACTCTCCCAATTCGATTCTCTCATCATGGCATCAGACTTGCCGAGCCCCGAGGCTCGCGAGTTGAGTCTGATAGGCAAGGTCGAGTTTAGGATCGCGATGGCCGACTCTGATGAGAAGCTTCAGTCCTTACTTATGACATATCTGGCTCCACTTTTGCTCAAACTAGGATCAGACAGTGTTGCAGTGCGCAATAAGGTCATCTCCGTCTGTCAGCATGTCAACACCCGGGTCAAGGCCCCCTCCATCCAACTTCCAGTTGCCGCGCTATTGAAGCAATTCAAGGAACAAAAGTCTCACCTCGTTCGTCATTTTGACTTGATATATGCGCAGCAAGGTATAGATCGCTTGGGCTCGGAGGCCAGGGTCGAGATCCTGCTGCCCTTGCTCCAGGGAATTGCAGAGATCGGGACTTCGGCTACTCAGGGTGCCATCGTCTTCAACCTTGTGCTACGACTGTTACCCCTTTTCAAAATCCCGCCAAAGGGCAGCGACGAGGATCAAAAATTGAAAGAACGCCTAAGATTGTCTGACGAAGACACTCGCTTCTTGTCCTTCTGGCTGACAAAGCTACTTCTTCTTTCTCCTGCAGCCGCCGAGGCTCCAACATGCCCTGGTTTGTCTCCCGAAGAATACAAATTTCTCAACAAAGATGCGCCTGCGACCGAAACGTGGAATCCTGCGGTCTCGGGTGGCTTGAATTTGACAGAAACCAAAGTCATCGCTCTTCGCTTCCTCGGGAGTGGCGCATTTGCCGACTCCCAACGATTTTTACCTTCATTAATTGCCACTGCAGACGCTAACTCACGGCTTGCTGATTTGGGTGACGAAACTCTCAAAAGATTTGCTGTTGATCTTGAAGACTCGACTGTTGTGGAGCAGCTATATGATTTATATTTTGGCTCCGGAGAAGCAGATGGGGCTCCTCCAGTGCGACCGCTTCTGCAAGTGCGAATCTTGGTCTTCTTAGGCAAATCCATAAAAGCTACTGAGAACACACAAAGAATCTACAAGCTCATCGAGGATGGGCTATTATCGGATGCCGCGAGATCTGCCCAAGGTCTGCAAGCATCCAAGCTTAGAACGCAAATATTCACTTTCACCACGTGGGTCGTTCGTATGGGCTCGCCATCTGACCTCAAGCAAATCGCTCCCAAGTTGATTGCAGGTTTGAGAGATTTCATTCAGTCTCAAGGATGGCCAAGTCCTGCTGCTAGTGGGCAAAAGCTCCCCGCAACCGATCTGAGCTTGCGCGGGCTGGCCTATGAAAGTATTGGTATCATGGTGCCCAAGGTCGACTTTCAACTGCGCGATGAAACCGGCGAGAATTTCGAATTCGATCTCGTCCGATGGTTGTTTACATCTCTTAGCTCCGATGACTCCAGCCCGCAGATCTTCGTCAGCATTGACCAAGCCTTGGGAAGCATATTGAATTCCTCCTTGGACAGCCATGCCAAAGAGTTTCAGGACCAGCTGCGCCCGTTCCTGGTTAATCAGATGGGCTTGCAGCAGGGAGATACCGACCCAGATACTGGCTTTGATTGTGTTCGAGGCGTGCAGTACGCTGCAGTACGGTTCGCCAACCGGTTCCTTCCATACAACGACGTGGTTGCTCGCTGGGTCGACCTTATGGCCATAGCCAGAGGCCCAGAAAGGCAACAGGAAATTGTAGAGGAGGGCAAGAAAGGTCTTCACCCTTACTGGTTCCGACTCCTCAACCCGACCAAGGACAAGAAATGGGAAGCTAGTCGAGCAGTCGGTGAGCGCGACGAGTCGTGGTTTGACTTTCCCAAGTTTACCGAGGCCACTCAATTCCTTTTCGGCTCGGGCGCACAAGACGGAACTTCCGCTGTCCAGGGTATATCGACACCCCAACTTCTATCTGGTCCTTATAAGAATGCCTTCGTTCCTGCAGTTGCGTTCCTGCGAAATGCCCTTCTCTCAGAGGCATTCTCATTGGCTGGTATTACCACTGAGCTTGAGCAGGACTGGGATTACAAACTCGAGATTGAGCTTTCTAGCAGCGTGGAAGCGCGATCTGCCGTACGACAGTATATCCGCAACTCCGCCAAGGAGCCCGTGTTCATTTTCTTGTCCGGGATTCTCCACGGAATCGTCAAAGAGGGACTTCCTGGCCTGCGTCAATGCGGACTCAACTTCGTGGAGATTTGCTCCTTGGCTCCGAATGATGTAGTTGAGAAGCTTTTCCCGCTTGCTCAATCATTGACTAAGCCCATCTTCAGCAACAACCAAGATATGCAGGGCTACGCTGCCAGGGCATTTGGCATCCTCGTCTCCCACCCTGCTTTTGATGATAGCTCATTGAAGAACTTTGTGACCGAGCTGGCGAGTACCATCGAGTCATGGAACACCGCTATTGGTGAAGCTGCGCTTCGTGTCCGCGGTGCGGTTCTATCATTATCATACCTGTTGAGCAGACTTGCTTATCGGAAACTCCTTGACAAGGTTCCTGAAACACAAGTCAAACATTTCATCGATGCAGTGTTGGATATCATTGATGTTTCTCGGGATACTCTTCTTCAGCGAACAGCAGAGCTAGCCTTGGGCCAACTCAGTTTATCTGGGGTTATATCGCTCCAAACTCTGCCAGAGGATGGCTGGAAGAAGTTACAGAAGAAGCTGGCGACCGATGCAAAGACCGAAAATAACACCCCCATCTCCGCTCTGGGTCTTCTAACGTTGACCTTCTCCCGGGCTCAGCCGGATACATCCTTGTTCAACGACTTCTTGGGCTCTCTTTATAGTCTTCACGAAATCAAGAGCCCCGAGGTCCAGTTCACTATCGGCGAAGCACTCAGCAATGTTGCGGTCGGTTGGGATTCACGGGCATTAATCCAAGAGTTTGATGTCGATGCAGACTTCCCCCAATCAGATGTGCCACGGACAGTATTTGCCGAGGTATGCGACAAGCTCATCACGGATTGTGGCGCTTCCAAGCCATCTCTTCGGAAAGCGTCGGCTATATGGCTCTTGTCACTCGTGAAGAACTGTGGACACCTCCAAGAGATGCAGGAACGCCTCCGTAGGTGTCAAGCCACATTTACCAGTCTGCTGGGAAGTCGGGAGGAAGTGGTACAAGAGACTGGTGCCCACGGACTCAGCCTTGTCTACGAGATTGGCGACCAGTCCCTCAAGGATGACTTGGTCCGTGACCTGGTGGATTCATTTACCGCGACAGGGTCTAATCTTGGAGGTGGCAAAGTTACTGGGGATACCCAGTTGTTCGAGCCCGGGGCTCTGCCGACTGGCGAAGGGTCCTCGATCAATACCTACAAGGATATTATGAATTTGGCTGCCGAGGCAGGAGACCCAACTCTTGTCTACCGGTTCATGTCTATGGCATCCAACAATGCTCTCTGGACGAATCGAGCTGCATTCGGTCGATTTGGCATCAGCAATATCTTCTCCGATTCCAGCGTCGACGGATATCTTGCCAAGAATCCCAAGATCTATCCCAAGCTCTTCCGCTACCGATTTGACCCTAACCCGAATGTGCAGCGATCTATGAATACCATCTGGCAGGCACTCGTCAAAGACCCGACCGTGGTGGTAGACACGCACTTTGACCAGATTATGGAAGATCTACTCAAGAGCATGCTTTCAGGGCGCGAGTGGCGTGCTCGCCAGGCAAGTTGTGCCGCCGTGGCGGATCTTGTCTCGGGACGCCGCCCAGAGAAATACGCCCAGTATCTCGATGAGATCTACAGCAAGGCATTTAAGCTTTTGGATGATATTAAAGAGTCCGTGCGGGTGGCCGCCCTCAAGCTCTGTCAGACCATTACCAACTCGGTGATTCGTACGCTCGAAACCAATGGCTCTGAGAAACGTGCCGGCGTTCTGCTCAGCAGTGCCGTTCCTTTCCTTCTCAGCGATAAAGGACTTGACTCTAGTGTGGAGGAGGTACGGGGGTACGCCATCGGTGCGCTCGTGCAGATTATCAAGAAAAGCCCCGGCACGCTGCTACATCCCTTCGTGCCTAGCATCCTTGAGAAGTTCCTGAGCTCGCTGAGCGCACTAGAACCCCAAGCTGTCAATTATGTTCATCTCAACGCTGACAAGTATGGTCTGACTGGCCAGGAGATTGACAAGATGCGTCTATCCAGCATTCGCACGTCTCCCATGATGGAGGTCATTGAGCGATACTTGATCGACCACCTGGATGAGAACAACGTGAAGGAGCTCGCCCCCAAGCTGGAAAATACCCTCCGCTCGGCCGTCGGCCTCCCTTCAAAGGTCGGGTGCAGTCGAGTCCTAGTCCTCTTGAGTATGAAGACCCTCCTCTTCCGCCCCTACGCCGACAAGTTCATCCAGCTCCTCAGCAAGTACGTGGTCGACCGAAACGAGACAGTTAGCGCATCCTACTGCACGTCACTGGGGTACCTCCTGCGACTCGCATCCGACGATCAAGTCCTCAAGACCATCAACCATGCCAAGACACTCTATCTCAACGCAGAAGACGCAACGACGCGGACGATTGCGGCCGAAATTCTCTACTCAGCCTCGAAGCTGTCCAACGATCGATTCATGGCCTTTGCTACGGCGGCGCTCCCCTTCGTCTTTGTCTGCAAGCATGATGCAGATGAGCATGTGAAGGAGGAGTTTGACAAGACGTGGCAGGACAACGTGGGTGGCAACCGAGCCGTGTCTCTGTATCTCCGCGAGATCGTGGGTCTGGTGGCGGAGAACCTGGATTCGGCACGGTGGGCTATCAAACACACGGCTGCGCGGGCGATTGCCCAGGCAGTGGTTTCGCTAGAGGGGGAGATTGATCTTCCGACGGCGCAATTGGTGTGGCCGGTGCTGGAGAAGGCCTTGTCCGGCAAGACGTGGGAGGGGAAAGAAGTAGTGCTGACGGCGCTGGTGAAGTTCGCGCGCTCCGGTCGGGTGCTCTGGACGGCATCAACAGATCTAGCAGAGTTGCTCAAGGTGCGTTGTTTGGATTTGAATTTTGTTGTCTGTGTGAATTTTTGGGTTTTATTTTTCTTATTTTTTATTTCTTTTTTTTGTTTGTCTCGTTCATCCTTTTTTTGCTCTCTTTTTTTATTCCGGCGCTCACGAGACTCCGGACCGACTTGCCCAACGAGACCAAGACTAACCCCGCATTGATCCCAGACCATCGCCGTGCGCGAAGCGAAGCGAACTAACGCAGCCTACCGGCCGCATGCACTGCGGGCATTGGGGCAAATTTCACAGGCCCGCGAAGTCAACTTGATGCCTCATGCCCTTGCAATCATTGGCCCCGTGATCGACGAGGTTTTGGAGGACCAAGAAAAGGATGGTGACAAGATGGATGTTGATGGCAAGGCGCCCGACTCGACCGAGACGCTAGCCGCATGTGTCGAGTGTCTACTAGAGTGTCTCAACCCGGCCACAGCCGAACCTAAAGGTACGTTCTTAATAGTGGCCCTCGACGATGGATTTTGGGTTATTAACTCAAATGGCATTGTTCCCTCATCTATCTCGCTTGGGAATTCCTTGGAAATTCCTTGGGAGAACGGATGATGGGAATGGGGCCTTTGCTCCTGCGGGAACCCCCTAGCGTCCGTTCATCTGCTAAGTCTAACCACAGTGCTGGGAGAATACGTGCGACAAGTGATCGGTCCGTTGGACCAGGCCCTGACCCACGGGGCCCGACAGGTCGTCAGCACGGTCTACCAAGAGCTCCAAGCGTTTTTCACCCGAGTGGATCAGTGGCCGGGCTTTACGGAGGCTGCGCCGGAGTCAGCATCCGAGAATGGCGAGTGTGTTTTGGCTGGGCCTATGCGATCGCTCGCTTCATTGCTCGTGCGCGATGCGGACGCCATCGAGGTGGTGCGCAAGGGTCGCGCGGAGGCGGTCTTGTCGTACCTGAAGCTTCGGCCGGGAGTTCGGGGGGTGCCTGAGGCGCGGTTGGGCGAGTGTTTACGTGTGTGGAGAGCTAGTGAGCGATCGAGCACCGTACAGCGCCTGTTGGACGAGGCGTTGGCGGTGGAGAGCTGAGGCTTGGGATGAGACGGGGATGAGACGGGGTGGGGTCTGGTCTGGCATAGATACGATGAAATCGAGGGAATCGATGGGGAATACGATAGAAATTAGAGGATGGAACAAAGATCCGGAGGTGGACAGTGTGTATAGATCTCCTGGTTGACTATTGAGTCATTGACTCCATCACTAAGTTATCGTGTCAACCCCGTTCCACCAGACGGTCGGAAATCGATCGGGCTTTGCATTTTGTATGTCGAGTGGAGCCAGGAGGCAAGAGTTGTCCAGTGAAGTGGCTAGTGAGTGTACTGTATCAACCTAGTGTCCACCGTCCGGACCAGATACTGTGACTAGAAGCCTCGCAACTGCTGTAGTTCAAGAGGTACGGACTGGAGAACTGCGATTGGATTGGACTGATGGAAAACGAAAACGAGAGTCATGGGTTGACACCCCACTGGCTTCAGCTGAATATGACTTGGACCCTGCTCGTTCCTCCGCTTCCAAAGGGATGGTCAACCTACTGGGTCACCTACTTAGCTGGTACTAGTGTCCCGGGGACTGGGAGGATTATTATTATTGTGGTTACCAAGCATCCCGACAGTACGGAGTCCCTACTCCCTCCTGATCAGTCGCATCCAGCCAAGCACGAGAGACGAAAGAGGCGGGCCACGTGGTAGATCGACATGGGTCTGCTTGATTTGCACTTCGTCCTCCTTTTCTTGTCTTAGCTAGATTGGTTAAATTAGTCTATTTCGCTAATCTCTTACCTCTCCGGTGCTAGTGGGAGTGGCAAAGTAGGGGCTATGAACGGGTGCTTGTCTCGGATCGCGGCGCGGTCGGAGTGATCTACGAGGATAGAAGTAGCCTCCGTACGAGCTATACAGAGGTACGGTCTATGAAGGGCGATACCTTTTTCCTCTGTACGGAGGATAGAGTCATCATTTGATTGAGTTTGTAGCAAATCCCGTTTTCACTATGCGTGGCTACTAGCTACGCTATTACCTTGCCGCCCGTGGCTAGGACTTGGAACTAGACATATTCTTTCCCCGAGAAAATCGAGAAAGCAAAAAAAGATAAAAATAAATAAAAAGAAAAACAATGACCCAAAAAATGCACCCAGGACAAAGAAGCAATGCAGCAAAAGGGCTTATTGTCTTAGATCTAAGCCCAAAACAGGGCACACCCGTCACCGAGTCATCGAGTTCACACCCCCCCAACGCGCCGAAGCAGTAAAGAAATGCGAAATGGGGGCGAGTCAGTAACAGAGCCAGACCACAGGAGAAAATTGGGAATGCGGTTCTGCAAACACACACTAGTGAAACGCCACTCGCTTAATTCTCGGCCATGTCCGTCCGTATGGGTGCACCAGCCCATCACTAGCGATGCGGGAGGTGCCAAATGGGCGGGGCTAGTCTGAGTTGGGCCTTAGTACGAAGGATACGAACTGTAGACCATGCGGTTACCGCAGTCTGGTGGTCAACCGTTTTTTGCTGGACGGATAACGGGAGGTTGAGGACCGGTAGTTTTCGGAGAGGACAAGATGCAGAAAATGTATATTGTAGCCAGTATTTACGGGATGGGGGTCTAGACCGATCTCGATCTAGGGGCTCCATGACACGAATACCCCGGGTGCAGGGGGAGGGGGAGGGCGGATACGTATAGTATGTACGGAAAAGCAGGAAACCCTAAATCTGCAAGACCCGACGGGTGGGTAGTGGGGGGGAGTCAAGTATGAAGAGATGAAGAGAGAGAGAGAGAGAAAGCATAGCATCACCACGGAAGACAGGGTCGAAACCTCGAAAGGGAGGAGGACGCAGCAAAAAAAGGTTGTCTAGACACCCGCAGGGCGATCGAAAGCCCCCGATCCAGACGGGCCTAGACCGGGCCGATCGAGGGCCTGGCGGAGGAACAGCCACAGCAACTCTTTGCTTCCCCAGATGCGCATTCTTCGGCTCCGACTGTGGCGGTTTCCGGGAATGAGGACAGTCACGACAGTGGAAAAATTCAATTATTCCCACGGCCTGGCAAGAAACTCGTGTCTGGATGCATACTGGAAGTTTTGATTTGCTTTTTGCCCTACCTCAGCCCTGTCTGCCTGCTTACCACCACCATCAATTCCGAAGGCTAAGGTTTGAGGGGGCTGTACTTTCCATATCGCCGGTTCCCTCCCCGTCCTTGGAAACTTAGTTCTATAGTCGTACTATAGTACTGTATGTCCTGGATTTGGCTGCTCCCCGGGGTTCGACGTGTCCCTCAGCCAGCCCCCAGCCCCAACCCTTTGACTCTATCGTCGAGTTTCCTAGCCACGGAGGTAATCTTCAAAATTTAGTCTCTATTTGACGAATATTGATTTTGCTTTACCGAGTAGATGTACTTCCTCGCAGATACATTTCCCCGGATTGACTGTCATTCCAACTACTGTATCTCCATATCTCTCTGTCTACGGAGTACTCTCTCCGGAGATATATACTTCGTCCTGGTCCCTCCTCAACCATGGTTTTGTCTACTGACAGCCGCTTCCTTGTTACCGAGTTCCCGGCCCCCGGGCAGTTTCGGCCAATCAGTCTCGTCGATCGGTCGCTATGGTTTAATAGCCTACCAGTCGATCCGTTTCTTTTTTCTCTCCTCTAGTATTATTTCTGGGAGACGTGGAGATGGAATCATCCAGATATTACAAGTATTATAAAAGTATAGTTAATACATTAGCTCCTGTTCTTTCTTTTTTTTTGATCTATACCGTACTGGTGGCAGACATATGACTTGTATAGGGAGGGTACTTGGATACCTACAGGATCAGAGTACGGAGGAGTCAATAGTAAACCCAAAGAACCCTGTCCTGATTAGGCAAGAGGGTAAGAATAGCAACACGTCGACCGACCACATGGTTGGCACCTGCATGCCATCCGGTTTTTTTAGTGTTTTTTAGTCTTTTAGCGTTGGGGGATGGTTTGGATTTTTTGGGTCTTTTTTGGGTTTTATTATTTTCTTTTTCTTTTGCTCTCTCCCTCTTTCTGCAAGTTCGTCCATCAATTCCAGGTTCTTCGTCCCATCCTGTCGACTCGCCCGATGGTCAGTTCTCTGTTCAAGCTAACCCAATTCCATCCCCGGACGAACCGGGCGTTCTGCGTCCCTTTTTTTTTTTCCCCCTCTACTCTGCTCAACCCATCATCATCATCATCATTCTACCTTGTTCCATTCTACACCCACCAGTCAGCATCGTCCGATCTGACCTGTTCGTCTTCCCCCCTCTCCCTCCCTCTCTTCTCACCCCATCACACACACACAGCTTCCCTCTATTACTCGTCTCTCTGACACTCTCCCTCTCCTATCTCCACATCCCCCCCCGGTACTTGCGTCTTCGCATCCGAGATTCTTCCCTTCAGATTCCCGCCACCCGTCAAGCCAGAAAGGAACAAGGCTGCGCCCGCTCGAACCATGCGGTGCTCTCGCCAGTCTACCGGTTCTTTTTCCTGCAGCTTGATTTGCATTTTCCTGCTCGTGATGTGAACCTACATAACTTCCCTTTTTTCCCACTCTGGCCCCCCCCAAGTCCAGACCACGACAACCCTCCTCCTCCTCCTTTACTCCCTCCCTCTCGTCCCATAACTTCCCATTCTCTTCTCTTCCTTCATTCCCTGAATTCCCGCAATCCTTAATTCCTCTCCTCCCTTTCTTCCTCCCCTTCCCAACGAGACTCTCTCTCTCTCCCTCTCGCTCTCCCACCTTAACCTTAGCCTTTCCCCCTCTCTCTCCACCCCCACACCCCCCAGTCGCTGATCATTAGATCGCTACCCGTGATCGTCGCTCTTCCTTTCACACTCTATACTCTATACTTCCTAGTGGCTCTTGGATACGACATCTGCCCCATTTATCCATCGATTGTCTACAATCCCACCATCTACCGTTGGTGGTCGACCAATCTTACCCCCGCGAAAGTATGAATTGTGATCTCACCTGCCTCTTCCCCCTATTCAAAAACTAACAACCAGTCTCCCCTGCCAGCCTTCTTCACAGGCACCCAGTCAGCCTTATGACGGCCACCAGCTTGGTGATGCAAAACCGCCGGGGCCATGCCTCCGCCAAGCGCACGCTCCGCCTCCCGATCATCGCCCCGAAAGAAGAAGTTCTTGAGGGTAAACTAGACAAGAGTATGATCGCGCCGCCGCGCATCCGTCTCCCGCCGCGATCTCGGACCGGCTGCTGGTACGTGTTTTCTCTCTCCCTCTCTCTCTTCCCCGTCCTACTACTCCCGGGACTTCGGTTTCTACAGAGTTCCCTGACGCTAACTTTTTCTCTGCCGTTGAATAGGACATGTCGGGTGAGTTCCTTCATTCTTCTTCCCATCGTTTAGCAAGAATCATTTTCAATTGACCCAATTCTTTGATTGGCGGATTGCAGAGCCGAAAAGGTAAGAGTTTGATAAAATTCCGGTCCTCTCCGTGACTGAAATTCCCCTGGCTAATCGAACATTCCTTACACCTTACAGTTAAATGCGATGAGGGACACCCGCAATGTAATGTAGGGCACATTCTTCGGCTCCGGCACTTCTTGCTCGCTCTCGGGTTTCTCAGGCTCACCGTTTACTTCCTCGTTTTAGCAATGTACGCGACTCGGCCATATTTGCGATTACCGGCCGCGCCTGGCTTTTCGTGATGACACCCCACGCATTATGGGCCGGATGGCCGATGTGAAGACGGAGGGCAATGTGGTTTGGGATCGTAAGCTTTGCTTTTTCCCGTCTCTCGTAAAGTACTGTTTTGGTCTAACAGGCTTCGTAGTTTCGTCACCGGGATCGAGCGAGGACCGATCTGGAAATGACTACTTCTCTCTTGGGGATGCTCTTCCGGCCTTTTCGCTATTGACCTCGGATGAGGAGCGCGAGAGAAAGGCCGAGACTACAACACCGGGCACCTACCACGTTATTATGGTCCCGGACAGCTTCAGCTCGCTTCCCGAATACGTCGACGATGCGGATAAGTCCAAGTCCACTGTCACCGAGTCCGTATACTCGGTAACGAGTAGCCCCGTGAGCGTCATTAAACCCGAAACCGACGCCACCGACGATCCCAATGTAGTCATCTTGAAGACCTTTGAGGATGTTACTCGACGCTCGTCCTCGACGGGCAGAACCTCCCGGGTGTCGCCCACATCCGAGATTTCAGATCCCTTCTGCTCCCTCTCTCTATCTCCCATTATGGATTCTTTCCCATCACCCGTTCTCGACGAAGAGCATGGCTCATCGTCCTTCCTGCTTGATTCGTGCATGGATCACCAAGCTCGGCAGAGGCAACAGGATTCGACGCTTTTTGCCCATTTCCGACATGTTGTCTGGAAGCAACTGTTCCCTCATGACCGTGAGTTGGATGATACGTACGGATTTGACCGCAATGGCATGACACTGAGTGTCGACTTTCTCGAGCGGGAAGCGGCTCATTTCCCTCCAGTATGTTCCCGTGTCCACATTGGCGGAAGATTGGGTGGGCCGTTTACTGATTATATGTAGCTCTCCCATGCCATTATGACCGTCTCGGCTCTCAGTCTGTCTCATAGCGGGACTGGACAAAATGTCGATGCGCTGCAATATTACCAGCAGGCTTTCCCTTCTCTTCAGATCAGCCTCCGCAACAACGATGATCTTGTCTCGGATGGCCTTTTCCTAACCCACTTCCTCCTACTGATCTACGAGGTATTACTTTATCCCCGTGATTCTCACAAAGGCTAGGGTTGTCTCATGCTAATACTCTTTTGTCTCTCCAGGTCGCAGCAGCTGAACCCCACGGCTCCAATCTCTGGTCTCACCACATCTCTCGCCTCCTTCACATCGCCCTGCTCCGCCGATCCAAATTCGGCCGCGAACCACACCCCTTCATCCTCTGGTGGATCTGCCACATCGACCTATACGCTTTGCTCAGCGGCGCGGGTAACGGCGAGTTCGTGCGCACTATCATGGACCACCAGCTGCTCCCAGGATCGGATAGCCTCCTGTATCCATCTGCCACCGATGGATACAGCGTGATCTATCCCGATGAGCATGATAGCTTGCCTACCCTGATGCGCCTCTATGCCGACACCTTTTCACTGGCGACCCGGATTGGATTCCTGGGCTCGCAACTTCGTCGGGAAAAGCTGACTGTTCCCTTCTCGGACTTTAACCAGCGATCCAAAGAGATCAGTGATCTGCGGCAGGCTCTGAGTCGGCTGTGGGAGGCCTCTGATGTGGCCTTTTGGTATCAGCGACAGGAGAGCCTGCCCCGGCGATCGCAGGAGATGTTACAGCAGTCGGCCACTTTGTTCCACGTTAGCCAACTGTTCACGTACAGCAGCATGTGGCCTCGGCAACGGCTGGAGTCGGAGTTCACCCCCGACGGTGAGATTGACCACCACGCCGCCGAGATCCTGCGTATCGCCGAGCAGACGACACACACGCGGCGTGCCGATCGGCACTTTTTGGTTTTCCCGCTCTTCCTCGCTGGTGCGACGGCATCGGCTAGTGGTCTGAAGATGATGGCTATGGAGTTGATGACCAGCATGGAAGATGAGGAAGACGGGATGGGTCGCAATGCGGCGACGACCCGGGCTATTTTGCAGACTGTCTATGAGCGACAGATGGATTGTCTGATGCGGGTGGGCCACACGCTTGATGTGGACTGGGCTGACTTGATGGCTCAAGAGGGTCTGCAGATGGTTAATTTCGGGTTTTAGTGGAATGAGTTGTATGGATGGATGGAGGATGGATGGATGAATTGGGGGGTGGGCATTGCCTCTACAGTACTAGGGCGTTGGGTTGGTAATTGGCGTTATTTTGATCTTTGCGGGCATATGATTGGATTCTCGTGAGCATCTGTGTGACATCGGGCCTTTTTTTTATTGTGCGTTTCGAGCTTGTCTGGTTTTATGGAGCTTGTATTCTTCGCATGAGTGATGACGGATGGGATATATGTATAGAAACGAACACGACTTGTTACTAATGTGCCTATGGGACTATGACTTTGGTTGCTGGTGGGGCTAGACTATGGAATGGCTACTGTAGTAGATACAGCTAGCATAGCTACTGCTATGACTATGAGTAACTATAGCTAAGTATCGCTAGGCTTGGATGGTAGAGTCTGGCACCAACCTACCACTCGATCCTGAGTCACGTGAAGCCAAGTTAAAATCGAACCAAGGTAAAGGGTAAGGGAGACTGTAAACACAAAGTATATCTGAGTATCTCAGCTTCGACTCTCATTAGTGTCTCTCACACCTGGCTGGGTACATAAATCCACGATCCTTTCAGCTGCAACCAATCAGCCTCAGAAGCTGGTCTGTCATCGGTTGCATGCCCCAGTCCACGCCGTGATGGGCTCTCGTCACCTGCGGGGTCGGCGTCTCGCCCAACTTGGCGCTTAGGGACAGCGCGAAACTGGGAATCCTTTCCAGGTTGTCATATTCTAGTTTCTCATCTTCTCTTCGTGTCTCGTTCTTTTTCTCTTCTTCCTCTCTGCTTTCCTCTCGGGTACATTATCACCGATATACTCCCCCCGACTCTTCCCCCTGTCAATTTTATTTTTATCATCAACTTGTTACTCCTTTTTCCCTTCCCCCACCGCCACGGAGCCTCTAGTGCCCGCTCTGCCCCTCACTGACCAAACCACAATACTGATCACTCCGATCGGCGCATCTAGCTCCGCGATTGGTACTGTGCATCGTTCTTCAGGTGGCTGCGGTGCACTCTGCAACCTGCAACTCATCCTCTCGCTCTCGACCGCATTCGGCTCGCCTGCATCATGAATCCAGGCGAGAGCCGTGCTATCCACCCGGAAGGCGAGCTGTTCTTGGACAACTTCACCGTCAACAACTCTACCACGACTTCCTCCGGCAGGCCGGAAGGAAACACCGTTCAGCCTCTACGCATCAACAAACGGGACTCAGCCAGTCCACAATCTGCCTCAACTCCACCCAACATCACACTCCCATACCCCGATGACCGGCCACGCCCGCAACTGCGCTCCTCAAGCTCAAACGATGCCCGTCCCGGAGATACTCTGCGATACAACTCGCCGCCGCCAGCCAGCGCAGGCCCAGTCAGCCCCGCAGATTACCCGTCAGCCCTGCGTCCCCGCGACGGCCGCGAACCCCGAGTCGCAACTCTAGCAGAGCGTCGCGGCACAGCGCCCAAACCGCTCCCCGAATCGCCAGGTCCCGACGCACCCGATGCCGCTGCCCTCGCAGCACGGCCATACCCCCGGCCTCCTGCGGTCTCCGCGCCCGTCGACACCAACGAGCCGCAGTATGACTATCGTCAACAGTACTACCCGCCACCAGTAAGCTCGTCATCCCGACCAGCACCAGGCTCGAATCTGGCCCCGCCCTCCTCATCAGGCATCAATCGTATTAGCTCGACAGCATCGACGTCAACGACCCGCGCAGAGCGCGGATCGCCCCCGCCGCCGGAGACCCCTGTCGTAGGTCCCGGCCAGCAACCGGGCTCTGATATCGAGGCCCGGTATGCGGCGGCCGGGATTGCGGGGACGGGCACCCTGGCGGGGTTGCAGTCCCACAGCTCGGCGGCCCAGAGACGCGCGGAGCAGTATGTGGGACAGCAGCCGAACTTTGGCCCGCAGGAGTCGCAGAGGCCATGGACGCCGACTGAGTTGCCTGGGTCGCAGCCTCATGGCCCGCCGACGGTGTACCAGGGCGCTGAGGTGCTAAGTGCGGGCCAGATGCAGCATCCGGGGCAGTATAACAGTCCGCCGCCGCAGCATCACGCTCAGTATGGCAGTCCGGCACCCCAGGCTCAGCAGGCGCAGATCCCTGCGAATGCGCTGGAGCATGATATGGATCGTATGCGGATCAGTGATGAGCCTCCTCCTGCTTATTCGACTGTTCATGGTGCTGGTGCTGCTAATGGGTATCCGAATGATAAGCCTGGTGCTGTGGTGGCGGGTGTCGCTGCCGGCGTGGCAGCTGGAGTAGCTGCTGGTGCAGTCGCTGGACATCCTGCTGTTGCTAGCCAAGGTCATCCCGCGATAACGTCTGCGCCGTCTCCTGCCCCTACGGCTGCAACGGAGGGTCATCCTGCTTTTGCAAATGATCCACGGCAACAGTCTAATGCGGGACAGTCACCCCAGAACGCTGTCGCTAATGGCCAGCCTCAATATTCGCAGCAGCAAGCACAGCAACATGTCCAGCAGCAGCCACAACAGTTCCCGGCACAGGTTGCTTCCCCAGGACCCTCGGGGCCTCCTCCAGCATCTCCTCCACCGTTGCCAGAGGGCTGGATTGCGCATTTAGATCCTAATTCCGGCCAGTACTATTATATCCATCTGCCCACGCAGTCAACACAGTGGGAGTTCCCGAAGGGTCCTACGCCGTTGAACCTGAATGAGACACCCCTCTCTCCCGTCGCAAGTGTATACAGTAGCCACCCTCTAACATCCCCGGGATTATCGGCCTTTGGCAAACCCCTGGCCTCCCCGGGTGTTCCTCTGACACCAGGCTTTGAGAGCCTGCAATCACCGATTGCGGGATTCACGGGCCCTCCACCGAGCAGTGGAGTGGATATCTACAAAACCGCCCCAACCAATGGTGTCTATTTCGGCCCGTATCTGCGATACACGAATATGGACCTCGAGCGCGGTCTCTGGCTAGGGTCTATTCTGCTTGTCACCGACGCCGCCCAACCCCCTACAATCCACCTCCATCAAAGCGTGGATCTATCCCCGAACCCGCGACAGCTCCAGCCCATCAACATCGCCGCACACCAACGCTGGACCTTCTACAAGTACGAAATAGACCTGCAGATGGACGACGCCGGCCCGGCAAAATGGACCTACGCCATCACCTCGCATCTCGGCTGCACAAGGTACGAGTTCCTCGTCGCTGGCCGACACGAGACGAACTGGCGATTCATCGCAACATCCGGCAACGATTTCTCGCTGAATGTTAACGCGAACGAGCGCGCACGCCTCGGCGGCGTGGGCTTCATGTGGAAGGATATCATGCAGAAACACAACGAGATTGGCGGGTTCCATGCGCAGCTCTGTCTGGGCGGCCAGATCTATGCTGATCGGATGTGGAAGGAAATTCCGTGTTTGAAGCAGTGGCTTGCGATTAGTGGCAAGGAGGCGAGGAAGAATGCGCCGTGGACGGCGGCGAATCAGCAGGATGTCTCGCATGCATATTTCCACTACTACACGAGTCATTTTGATCAGCCGTATTTGAGAGAGAGTTTTGCGCAGATTCCGTATATCTGCCAGATTGATGATCATGATATGTGAGTACTCTGAAGGCGTGGAGCGCTCGTGAATTGAACTGATCTGATATTCAATTCTAGCTTTGATGGCTTTGGCTCGTATCCAGAGCATATGCAGTTCTCCAACATGTTCAAGAATATCGGACGCATCGGTATTGAGATGTACCTCCTTTTCCAGCACCATACGACCCTCGATATTCTCCGAAATGTCCACAACGACACTGACCTCTTCACCATTACCGGTACTGGTTGGCACTTTGTCAAGTACCTCGGCCCCGGCGTGGTCGTCGTCGGACCCGATTCCCGCTCAGAACGTAACCCGCATCAAGTCATGGCCGGTCCTACGTACCAGGGTCTCTTCCCCAAGGTTGCCTTGCTACCACCGAGCGTGCAGCATTGTCTGTGGATGATCCCTATGCCTTTGATCTACCCCCGTCTCGAGACGGCCGAGCATATTGCGCAGACTGTTGCCACAGGAAAGAGAGCCGTTACTGGTGCGTATAACGTGTTGGGCAAGGTGACCAGCTCGGTTGCCGGCGTGGTGGGTGCAAAGGAGTTTGTCGGTTCGGGCTTTGACTCTGTCAAGCGGGCTGTTGGCAAATCAGGACTTATGGGAGGTATCTTGAGTCCATTTGGCGAATTCGATCTCATGGATGAATTGCGCGATCAATGGACGCATGAGTCCAAGGTACGTCCAACGTCTCTAAAGACATCCATTCCCATTATTCACCCAAATGCCCAATACTAATTCCCCAGGATCTCGAACGCACATACCTCATCCGCACCCTGCAAGGCATCGCCCACCAAAAATCCCTCCGAATGACCTTCCTCTCCGGCGCCGTCAACGTCTGCGGCGCCGGCCTAGTCCACGACCCCTCCCAACCCTCCGACCACAAAACAATGTACCAGCTCATCTCCTCCCCCATCGTCAACACCCCACCCCCTCCTACGTCGTCAAACTCCTCCACGGCAACTCCAAACCGCTCTACATCCCCGCAAACGGCCACCGCTCCTCCTCCCAACCCACCGACACAAAGGAGGACATGATGGAGATTTTCCAGACGGATGTCAACGGCCAGCCGCGCGAGCATAAGAAGCTCATGGCGAGGAGGAATTATGTTGCGATCGTCGCGTATGATCCGGATGTGGTTTCGACGCCGGCGTTTGGAATGCAGCATCAGGCTTTTAGTGCGCAGAAGGCTAAGTTGAGTCTTGCGGCGGACTTTATGGTTCAGGGGGATGGGGCTTATGCTAATGTTGTTAAGTTTGGGCCCGTTATTGTGCCTAGTCTTGAGGCTGGGAAGTGAGGAGGGTGGAGTGGATGGGTGGGTGGGCAGGAGGGCGAGGCTTGAGATTATGAATTTGATTGTGATTTTTTCTACTTTTGAATCTGTTTGTAGCTTTGGTTTTATTGCGCTTTGCTTGTGGGCGTTTCCTTTATCTAGATATCGATTCACATGTGATTTATACTGAAGTCCTTGCCTCTGGGCCTTTTAGTGACACTACGGTTTGACAATACTTGCAACAAGCTTGGTGATCCTTGGGTTAGCGAGTCCATTATGTACATAAGCTGGAAATAGATGTATCCCTTATGAAGATCAGATCTATACAGACCTTGGAGATCCCCATATAAACAAACCCTCCAGAGAAAGAAACTCTCACGTCTAAACACCGGCTAAATCACAAAACAAAATCCCAAGACCACCGATCCTATCCAAAAATATCACCCCCAGGCACACACAGCCCAATCCGCCAAAAGTAATCCCGATGCGCAAAAAAAAGCTCCCACAATCTATACCGCGCCGGAATAAGAGACCAATCCCAGTGCCGCGGATACAACGGCGCCGTCTCATCCTCCCCGCGCGACGCACATCGCCCATCCCCAACACGCCTCTTCTTCCCAAGAACAACCTGCGAACCCGATTCCAACCCCGTATTCAACCCCTCTTCACCATCCGATAAACACGGATCCACCCGCGCACCGAACATATCCAACGGAACATCCACATCCAGAAAAGCATCCAACAACGAAGCCGCACCTGCCTCCGCACCCGCAATACACCGCGCATCCTCATCGCCTTCGCAAATCCTCACATCCTCCCTGCCCGGCGGCAACGCCGGCCGAGAAATAAACACCTCCCCCGCATGCGGCGCATACCCCCACTCCCGCAGCGGCAGTAAAGGAACCGGATCATCCACGTGCGTGACGCGCCGAATGCGCGCCGTCTCAGGATCATCGCCAGCACGAGTCCGACTGAAATTCCCGATTTGAAACGCTGCGTCAAGGAAGGATGCAAACTCGGCGTTTCCGACCATCGGCGCGCCGAAGGTAGTCACCAGCGGGTCCCAGCCTTTGAGCCGCATTTCGAGGCCGGCGAGGGTTGCGACGGCGCCGCCGAGGGAGTGGCCGACTAGTGTGATTTCGTAGTCTGGGTGGGCGATGAGAGCTTCTAGGACGGTGGGGAGGATTGTGGGGCGGGTGTTTAGCCAGGATTTCATGAAGCCGGCGTGGACGGTGCAGTTTTCGCAGTGTAGGGTGAGCGGGGTTGTACTTTTGTGTTTATCTTTGCTGACACTGGGGTTGATTGTGGTGGTGGTATTGTTGTTGTTGTCGTCGCCGGTGTAGGGGATGTACGACTGTGGATAGGCGGAGAGATCTATTATCGTATTCGTTATGGAGTACGTACCCCGGAAAGCGATGATAATGCGCTTAGGTCCCGGCGCATGCGAGAGGGCAATGTACCCGCACGAGTCGGAAAGTAAGATGCCCGTATTCCATGTCTGTGATATATATCTCAGTACTTGAATTTGAACTTGACTTTCAATTCTGTTCATGTGATGCTGACCTCTATCAGCTCCAAATTCGGAAACTCTGCGCAGTGGCTGAGGCACTGGAATGGTTTCTTGACGCCCGTCGTGCCCACGCAGTAGGATATGTCTACCAGGCGGGATAACTCCTCGAGGGAGTTGAATAGGTCATTTGAGACAGGCCTGGTGTCGTTTTGCGCTGTTGTTAGTCCGAGTATCAAGTAGGCTACACATAAGAGTGTCAGGCCCTGAAGGCGCAACATGTTGGCGGGATTGAGAGAGGGAATGTGTCGGTGCCGTTTGAGAATCTGGGGAAGATGATCTGATTAGGTAATCGGTCATGTGGGGCGTCAACGTGAGCGGGTCAAGATCGATGACATCATGGGACCACAAAACGACCTGGTACCTGACTCGGGCATGATGGCCGCAACCTTAACTAGTTACTACCCATGATCCCTCCAACGGATCATGTAGAAGATGGAGATTGGTACTCAGCATTCCCCAGCCGTCACTTTTACACGGCCCTTGATCCTGAGAGTAACTTCCGCACATTGTAGGCCCGTCTACCAGCCCCGGCAGGAAAGCTTCCATAGGCCCTTGCGTGGGGAAATGGGCTTTTTCAAGCAGATTTCGTCTCTCTGTGGCTAGATACTAAATGAAACATGATTGGAATCTCACGGAAGCTTTTCGTCTCGAAAAGCTCTTTGGAGACCTCATGGATCGTGATTATATCCTTCGACTTGCGACTCAGGCAGAAGAGATGGTGGAGTTAAAATACAAGAGATTGAGGACCAATACAAGCGGTGACAAAGAGAAAGCAAAAGTACAAGGAATATCTTGATAACCTCAAAGCGGCTTCGAAAAGCTACTGGAAGCATGAACGAGGGCTTCACGAATTAGAAACCCAACTTCCAGTCGGTCCTATCAGCAAAGCATATACGACTTGGCGATCCAATCCGAAATGGTATCTTCATCCGTATCTCATCAAAGAGTGCGCAGGACAAGGCGGTTGCTGTGCTCCCCAATGTGGATGCTGTCAGAAGCGGGAGCCCACGCTGACAAGACGACGGGGAGTAGGCCACTGTACGGTCGAGTCCGACTGCTGCTTCGAGACCCGGGACTTCCGCCTCTCATACTCAGAGCGACGGAAGATTGTGAACTTGTACATTGCTAAGTATTCAAAATCTTGAGTGGGCGTCGAGCAAAACTCACTTTGCTCGATATATGCGTGTGTTCTTGTTCGGGATCGAGTCGAAGATGGACAAATCAACAAGATGGGTCTGACTTCTTCCTCTGAGTGTTGCTACCGTGGGGATGAATGAGAGAAGATGCACTGTTCTAGCTCAATCTGTAATTCATGCTGGTCTGCCTTCCTTCAGATGTTAGTCTTGCTTTTAATCAACCACTTTTTACTTTTAATGTACGGACCTCCCCAGACATGCTGTATTCCGAGATCCGTTTTACCGCCTTACTTAGTATATGTCTTCGTAATAACTCATTTTTGTCGAATGCGGACTATAAGTTGTTTTAAGTTTCTCATTATCTGTTCACTTGAGAAGTTCCCAAGTCGCAAGGGTATGGAGTGTGTCAGGTGTCTACCTGAACCTCAATTGTAGTGTTACGAGCAGAACCAGATTCCGAAGTACTAGCATTTATGATTACCATTCATGGATATATTCTTGTTGTAATTCGAGGTGAAATGGGTTCACAAGAGGCTAAACATAGAAAACATAAAAACCAAATCTTCTCCGCTAATGCATGCAACTTTTTCCTGGTGCGCGCTTGCCATTAAAGTCCAAGCGATTTTCTTGGACTTCCAGAAAATGACCATCCCTAATGTCAAAAACCGGCCCTGAAGGATGAAAATGATATGCAAGATGAACCAATCCAAGTCTAGAAAGTCTCTACCCAAACCCCCCCAAATCCGTAGAACCAACCTCCAACGCCACCCACCAATGAACTATGTAATCCAATCTGTCAACTCCACATAATCAATCTGAAAGTCAAACGGTTCCAAATCACCAACTTCCGAAGGCCTAGAACCAGCATACTGCTGATTCAACTCAGAACGATGAACAGTCTCAGTCGCTGCCGGGATATCATTCGTAGAGTACCCTATCTGCTCAGAGACCTTGCGATAAAAGGAGTCGCAAAGGTGCCACGCTCGTTCCGCGCCTGGACTGTGGGCAGACATGGCATGTAGCCAACAGATAGCCTTTTTCTCAAGCCAGACGAGGTGTGCCGTGCTATCCTGCACGTGCCTGCATCCGACAGAGAGTTCGAATAAGATGATCTTCGCTGCGTGGGAGATGTAATGAAGGACGCTCCACCATGGGAACATCTGGTAGAGCTGGACCGTATTCGGCTGATCGGGTAACAAATCGAGGATTTGCTTCGCTGCGTCTAGAGTCATAATCGCCATATTGTGATTGAGTACATGTGAATGATCCGGGTCTAGTTCGTCTCGTCGACAGAGCCAGAGACGGCCTAGTACGATTCGAGCACTTTGATAGTGGAATGCCAGACCTAGTTTGTATCGCATCTGGCTCATGCTGCTTTGCAGCTCGACAGTTGTGAAATCAAGAGATAATGGAAGACTACTTTTCCAGTATTCGATGCGAGAGCGGAGGTCGTCGATACGTTTCTCCCTGTCGATCCAGATGGAGGAGACGTGGATCTGGTTGACGATTTCTTCGATGATGACGGCCAAGTCGCAGTAGAAGAGGTAGAATAGGCCAGCGTTGGGTTCGAGATACTTTAGCCATGCATCATCCCTTGGTAGTGATTCCTCCTGGGATTGTTTGCTGTAGCCATCGTTTGGCCAGCTCTTTGAACTTGGCATGATCGTCTGGAGCCATTGCATTCTGACTCCGGGATGTTGGAGTAGAGCGGATGCCGAAGAGTCGGTCTCAAATTCTTCCTCTTCGAAGGGGATAGGCAGAGGAGGAGCATGTTTGTCTTTAGGGATAGAAGTAATGTGGCCCGTAATCAGACCCAATGTCTGCTCAAGCGTGTAAAGGCACCACCACAGTCGGAAGCGAGCCTCTCTCAACTTGGCCGGTAATTTTATAGTAAGACTTCGGTTGACGCCAAGAGTGACGGCAGATCTAGCAGCCAATGCAGAAATTCTCCAGGCCCTGTTGCAGAAAGAAAGTTAGTTGACGCCTATTACACAGGCAGTATGGGTGGATGAGTATATCTCTTACCTGCCAATCTGATTCGTTGCAAGCAAATAGAAAGCAACCAACCCCTCGAGTTGCACTTGTTGAAGATTGGGGGGACTGAACAACTCTTCGCCAGTCAAGCTCAGCAGTCTTGCTCGATTAAAGTATAAGAAGTGGTCACTCTCCTCGCCGCGCCACGGTGCTTCAGTAAGATGAGCGTACTTGGCGGCGATCGCGAAGATCACATTCAAAATTGCCAGCCACTTGTCTCCTGGCTGCTGACCTTGATCCCAGAAACTTTGATACTGGGAACGGAAGAGTGGTCGATTGATCATCGGGAAACCAGGGTGCACATTGTTCCAGTACTCTTCGAAAAAAAGGTCCGCAAGTTCTCGAGAGGGCATGCCATACTTGTTGACCGGCTGGGAGACATATGTGGCGAAATCTCCGAGCGCGTAGTCAAGGGTTTCTGTGGTGACTCCATCTGTTACCCCGTCCTCCCCGTTTTCATCCGGTTCTGTCTGACTGAATGGTAGTTCAGGCCATTGTTCGTAGTCCTGGGACGGGCTGTGCTGGTCAATGTGACCCGTATCGGCGAGGGTATCTGTCGAATCGATCCCGTCTTGGACCGCAGGGGTAGGAAGTTGAATTGTCTCCGGCAGGTCGTCAATCAACGATTGATACTACAAATCATGTTAGTCCAATCGCGAAGGAGCTTTGGATAGATATTCACCTATAATGTCCTACCTTTTGCAAAGTAGAGTAAGCCCACTGGGCATTCATGTTTTCAGTAGTGCCAAGCAAATCTTCGACAAACTTTCTGTAATCCTGAACCAGAGCCGAAAGATCATTGGCCTCCCTATACATTTCGTTAATAAAACCGATATCTGTATCGCATTGGGAGAAGGCAACCTACTTTTTCATGCGCTCGTTCCAGCCCAAGGGATAGTGACAGGCTAACTCTAGCTCCCGACATTGTCGACAGACGGGTTGTTCACCACTACACTTCACCTTCCTCGTTCTACATGACGAACAGGCCCGTAGCACTCGACCTATAGACGGCGGGCCTAGACTATTCACATCCCGCGGAATGGCAACTTTCGCGTTGGGCGCGCGACCTCTACCACTGGGCTTGCTACTGTCTACACAGACAGAGTCAGCCGAAGGCGACTCCTCCGAACGAGGAGTCGGCAAACTATTCACCATCTCAACCCCATGAGGAGAGCGTTTAGACCAGGCAGAACGACTTTTCGGGCTGGAAGTGGCATTTTGGTGTTCTGACTGCCCCGAGTGCGCGACCTTCGATGACTTGTTGGCGCCATTGTTATCCGCACCCAGCCGGTCCGCCTGTCTAAAGGAGTCTCTCATAGCCATTGAAGTCTGTTTTCCGTTGGAAACAACAGAGCCTCACAGGCTGTAGAATTGTTCACATGCCCGAGTACATTGCTCGGTGTGGTCCGAGTCTTCGAGCGTGGGGAATATAGACAACCACGAAGAGATTAAGTGTTGTTGTAGTGACCTCAACGGTCGGGGAATATGTGTATCGGGTGAGTTAATGGTGTGAAGTAAGTAGTGTGTACGTGCAAGTAGATGGATGATGCTTTGAAACAATCAGTTTGTCCGAAGCAGGCCGGGGGGGGGGAGGGGTTGAATATATACTTTGTTAGCCGGGGGGAACATGGGCAGGTCATGAAGTCATTCGTGAGGATTCTCCACAGTTCTCGAAGTCTGCAAAGAGTATTCTCGAGCGCCACAAGTTTGCGCATCGGACCGGCGCGGTAAGGTTGGCGCATTTTCTTTGCGGCGATTGGTCGGTCGTGATCTACAAAGGATGACGGGGCTGAAGTCGGGTCTTATCCTGACGTCATTGGCTCCCCACTTTGCAATTCGCGCCTGAGGCTGCCATCAGGTCGTCTCTTTGGCCTCGCGATCATGACGATCAAACACCAATGGTTCGAAACACAATTGGCTCGATCCGATTCTTCTGCGGCAAATGAACTCCACTGAATATCAAAGAGCCCCGGCATGGACCGTTGAGCCGCCTGGCACTGCCACAACTTTATCGAAAAACCAATTCGTTGTCTCGTCACGCCAATCTCGCATGGTCGCGACCGTTAAGATCCCAATTACCCCACAAGCCGGGGCGTGTATAACGCTAGAGACATCAAGTCCGGATGATAGCCACACAATCACCTGGTTCCCGATGGAGAGGGTCTTACAAGGCGTGGGAATGTGGATGCAAAGGCCGTGGATATACACTGGAAGTGGACTGGATGATTCCAAGGGAATGTCCATGTCGACACAATAGAGTCTATGGACTGTGCCTCAGACATCATCACGGCAGCTCCCGTCGTTTCACAGCGACACCCAACTTCCAACACCATTGTTTGAGGTATGTGGCGTCGTTCCAGACTCAACCTGAAGGTCGACGACGTCAATGACGTCAGCGGATCTTGCAGTAACATAAGGCTGGGAGCTCCAAAACATCCCTGGTTCCCACATGGCAGATGATGAAAGTGGTTGTGGTCGACGGCTCGGGCAGAATGGAAGGGAAATGGAAATTTCGAGGTGTCCAAGGACTAGACCTCCATGGATCATGCTGATGCAGAGCAGTCCTATCATTGGCGGAAACTCTTGTCAACCCACGGAAACCTGTTTCGAGGGTCTCGACCACACCGATTACCGCGGGAAGAGTGGGGTAAAAGCACACACCCCTGATGTCGATCTTGTCCTTGAAGTTCTCGCCAAAGGATGGCGCCGATTCACACACAACGCGCTGGTAAATAGACCTTCGTGGTGATAGGCGCCCGGATCCTCAATCTCCAGAGCGGAGGGTGACAAACCAGCTTGGACGATATCGATATCAGAACACATCAAGTGGGCGGGTGTACTTTCGATCTCACGGGCAGGTGTGTGGCTTACGATCGCGCGTTGATTCATGCTGGTGCACTCTTGGTGGCAGATACTTGGAGCCACGGTTGCTGGGGGTCGGAACCCATGGTGTTGTCTGGTAAAGCATTTTTTGCCAGCCCAGGGATGAAGAAGCTCCATTTCTGACGGGTCTCTTTTCCACAGTGCCTGTACTGATATCCTTACAAAGGAGGGCGTAGCTATCAAGAAAGTACCTAAACCGTTTACCTCCAAGATCGATGCGAAACGGACCATCAGGGAGGTCGAATTGCTCAGACATCTTTGTCATGAAAATGTATGCCGATAGCTGTTTGATGAATATCCACCGAGTTGCTAATCCGCTTGCGAAAGATCATCTCTTTGCGTGATATCTTTGTCTCGCCTCTGGACGACATGTAAGTTGCTCATTTTTCTCGCCACTTTGAACCTGTACTTATTGGGTGATAGATACCTTGTCACCGAGCTTCTCGCCACCGATCTCTCGCATATCATTCGGTCTAGACCAATGGAGAATCAGTTTGTCCAATATTTCTTTTATCAGATCATGGTATGTCCAAATAAAGGTTTGTCACCTTCTGCAGGACTTTCACTAACTCACTACCTTAGCGTGCCTTGAACTATATCCACTCCGCCGGCGTGGTCCACCGAGATCTCAAACCAAGCAACATCTTAATAGATGAAAACTGTGATCTGAAAATCTGCGACTTCGGCCTGGCCCGAACAGTCGATCCAAAGATGACGGGCTATGTCACAACGAGATTCTACAGGGCTCCCGAAACGATGCTCGCGTGGCAAAAATATAACGTCGAGGTCGACATGTGAAGTGCTGGTTGCATCCTAGCTGAGATGATTGAGGGATCGCCGCTGTTTCCAGGACGAAATCACACGGACCAATTTCTGGTTATTGCTGATCTTTTGGGTTCTATTCCTCACGATGTGATTAAGGCTATTTGCTCTAAGAGTGTGGGTGTCATGTTATCCACATGATCATGTATAGGCTAACCTTGTCATAGACATCCGAGTATATCACTGGATTGCCAGAACGAGAAAAATTGCCTTTCGCAAAGAAAATCAAACAGGCTTTTCCGTACGGTACGTCCTCGACCGATTCCCACGAGAGAAGAAGTTGCTCAACTTATCATAGCTCTCGACTTGTTGGAAAAGCTGCTGGTGTGGGCCCCAGAGCAACGAATAACAGCCGAAGCCGCCCTATCTCAACCATATCTAAGTCCATACCACGATCCAACCGATGAGCCCACAGCAGACTAGTCATGTGACTGGTCATCTATAGACGGAGATCACAGCCTTGACACTTGGAAAACACTTGTGTACGCACTTTTGTCCATCCAAACCCGGCGTCCTTGCATCAATGCCCAAATCTAGATATTTTGAAATTTTGGACCACTTCGGCGGCGCAAGCGCGACGTGACCGAACACGGCGAATGATAAAGCTAACAAATACACGAAGCTTAGCTTAGCTTGACGATCTAGAGAGAGAGAGACAGTTTCTCTGGACCTCTTTTTGATGCATTCGCGATCTGCCCAAGTACATGAATGGGCGATGGTGATTTTGACATATCCGCAATGCCAACAAATTGTACACCTTGCTACAGACTTCCCAGCGCCATGGGTGGTGTGAACACGATGCAAGCTCCCAGTCTGAGCTTCGTGAGCAGATGTACAAATCAGAGAATGGGTATCTGGTAAGACTGCGAGGAGCTCGGGGCTATTCCTCAGGCAAAGTCACACACCGGTCTCTGGCGGACTACATGGAATGGTGGGGATTTCGATGTAGCCTTTTTTTTCGGCTGATGTATAGTTGTATGTACAAGAGATCCAGCTTACAAGCTGTTGGGTCGTAATTTGAATGCGGGGGTCGGCCTCTTCCAATAGATATAGCTCTCCTCATCATGGGTAAATTATATTGACTTGGCCTCGCCTGTTCTTTGAAAATCGGACATCGTCTCGAACATTGCAATGAATGGACCTTTAGCGTGACATTTCGTCGCTTAGACTACTGAAGCGATTGCAACTTCCTCAAGGTGAAATGAAGCTTCTGGCTTCCTAAAATAGGGTCTCACTTTAAATGTAGTACGGGTTCAACCCCTCCAGGTTAGAACACCACATATGCTCGTGACATTTTTGTTATTGCTACCTGTATAGGGCTGGTCACATTTTACACAATTTGCAGTACCTGATTGTGCATACTAGTTTGAAAAAAGTATGTTCCATTTCTACCCCGGTCAGAGGTTTGCTTTCTATGAGCAGTATAATACCTAAGTAGACCAGATGACAACACGGCCATCAACACCGCTGGCTAAGGTTCAGTTGATTAGCATAGATTAGACCAAATGAATGTCAGGAATTTTACTCACTGCTAAAAGAGCTCACCTGTCCGTTAGCCTCCTCAAAGACACGGATGGTGTTGACAGTGTTCTGGTGGGTCGACTTGAGCTTGGTATCCGCAGCAGTCTGGCCCTTGAGATCCATCTGCCGGAACATGTTCAGCGCAGACTCCTCACGAGCACCAGGGGCTCCGGCACCACTCTGCTTCTCCAGAGAGCCGGCCAGCTGCCATCCGTTCTCGTCACCGTGGAAGCGGAAGGGCTCGCAATCCTAGATAATGGGTTAGCCGCAGTTATGCTTTTGTCTACGGGTATGAGTGATGCAACGTACATGTCCAGCAGCGATAATCTCGTTCTCGCCGTTCCAGATCAAACTGTTAAGCGGCAGCAGACGGGTAGAAATGTTCAGCATCGCGCGGGGAGGCTGCTCCGGGGCACTGGGGTACACGACAGTAACGCTGCTGTCGTGTCCGGAGAAAGCGAGGGCATTGCCACTCGGGGAGAAGCAGACACCCTGGATCCAGCCAGCAGTGTCGTTCAGGTATTCACCACAGATGGTGTTGAAGGGGAGACGCTCGCCCCAAGCGCTCGGTTCCGGGCGCTGGTCAATGCCCTTGATGAAGCTCGAGAAGACGCGGGCGTGGGAGTCGGTGGAGCCCGCAGCCAGGAGCACGGAGTTGGGGTGCCACGCGAGAGTGGTGATGGTACTGCGGATCGGCTTCTTCAGGTGCTTCGAGATCCACCAGTCATTCTCCTCCTCGAAGTAGCAGACGGCGATCACGCGGGCTCCAGAGCCGACGGCGAACTTTTGCTCGGAAGGTGACCACCGCACGAATGTGGCGGCGCGGTTGATTCGGAGCAGGACGAGGGTCGGCTTCCAGCCAGTAGCGGTCTTCTCCCAGACGTAGGCATTGCGATCTGTAAAACAGATGGAATTCATTAGTTGGGCGAATTGGATGGATAGAGCGCTCGTAGCGACAAGGCTAACCTTGAGAGCAAGTAACAATACGACCACTGTTGGGAGCAATGTCAACACTGGTGACTGTCTTGTCGTGGCCCTTCAACTCATCGCTCAGAGTGAACTTGCTGCCTGATGCCTGGTACAGCTCCACATTGTTATCCCGGGCAACAGCGAGGGTCTGTCTGTCCGAGGAGAACGAGTGGTCTGCAATTGGGGCATGGAAAAGATGGTGAACTTGAGGAGCAGCCATAGTGGAGAAAATCGACAGGAGGAGCTCTCTACCGTCGATGAGGGGGTATGAACGAGGGGAACGGGGTGAGAGGCGGGAGACGGGGAAAGCTACCTAGGCGATGACGCCGACTGCTTAGGTAAAGACTTCCTGGGCGGTCAATATTCCATCCATACTTCGGATATCAAAGCAAGCACAACGTGGACCTCTTAAGGCAACTGCTTCCAGAAATACCTAGCTTTTACTCGTTATAATGTGTGATCTACACGTTACTGTTACTCATTACTCACCTAGCATAACGCTGCCGAATCTGTCCTAACCGTTCAATCTATAGTTTACATATCACGGCTGCTTTACTATTGTTCTTAAGATCGTAAGCTTTCTTTTTCATTTTCTATATCTAATCACCCATCTGGCTCTTTCGGCTTTTCAATATCTTTCAATTTTTAACATATTATCGACAGCATTCTATTGTGATTTGTTATTCTTACGAGCATGGCTCTGTCCTCCTCTATCACCCTTGGGGCGGTGTACGCAATATGCGCATCAGATCTCCAATTTCTGCCGGTCTAATCCTGCATGATGTCCTCACTGGCCTCTGCAGGCCGCCGTAACCGGGCAGATAGTCACGTGAGGGTCTTCTTTTCTCACGATTCGGACATCGGTTTCGACGCGGTACACATTGAGCTCTGGTCTTCCCCATTCCCTCGACATTTCTCCCTCTGAGTCCGTGAACTCGAGTCATCTGCCATATCTAACTTAATCCAACGCACAATATGGCTTCCAAGGCCGCTCCCTCTCGAGGATTCGACGTCAAGTCCGCTGGACACCCCAACCAAGCGTGAGCTCAATGGCTCCGGTCGCAATTGACTAAGAACCTGGATACTGACAGCTCTACAGGTTGTACTGCACCAACCTTCCCGATAAGCTCAATAAGCATGACCTTCGCTCCTCGCTCTACTCCCTCTTCTCCACGTACGGCACCGTCCTCGACGTGGTCGCTATGAAGACCAGCAAGATGCGTGGACAGGCCCATATCGTCTTCAAGGACATCCAAGCCAGCACACAAGCCATGCGCGCACTCCAAGGATTCGACTTTTTCGGCAAGGAGATGGTTCGTCCCTCGATATCTTGTCTGGTGGTTACATAATGTCCATTGATTCTGATTGACTAACACTCTTCTTTTCAGAAAATTGTCTATGCTAAGGGTTCGTCCAATATTCTGGCCAAGCTTCGCGGCACGTACAACCCACCCGCTCTCGGCGCTGCTCCGACCGGAGCTTCGACGGATCTTCAAAAGTCTATCTTCAGTGGCCCACCGGGCGCAATTCCCTCTCGACCAGCGGCTGAGACGAACGGAGAGGCGCAAGGTGTTAAGCGACCTCGGCAGGATGAAAGTGACGAGGAAGAGGCGCCGATGGAAGAGGACAGCGACGTGTCCATGGAAGCCTCCTCCGATGAAGATTAATCATGTTGCAAAAAGGTGGCCAAGACCGGTGCTCTTGGAGTGGGGGATGAGGGTCGTTCTTTTTGCTTCGGACTATCTCTGTCGGGTACCCGATTGCCGGGTACCTTTTTTTTTCCCTTCAGTATGGGCTGGGCCCATCGGAGACGACGAGCTCGCGGGGGACGTGCAGGTTCACGGATTGACCTACGAGACCGAGCCAGATGAGGAGATATGTTCCGGTGGTGACGCTCTGTCCGTCTGCAACCTGCGCCATGGCATCCGCGGTGTTGCACGGGTGGACAAAAAAGGCCGGAGCGCCAGATTCAGGATGATACTATGAAGACATTATGAGCCGCTTGAACAAAAACCCCAACAATACCCACCCAGTTTTGCCCTTTTCGGTCTGAGAGAGAGAGAGAAAGAGAACGTATGTGTGTGCACCTACGCCGAAGCTGATCCCTCCCATCACGCCAACATTCTGCAATTGTTGCTTGTACTGCTCCGGTACCACATACTGATACACCGCGTCCAGCCCCACGGGGCCTTGATGATTGTGCCACCGGAGTACGAAATACAAGACGGGGACTTGATATGTGGGGGAGAGCACGATATCATAATCTATCTGCAAAGTGGGATGGAGATTGGTGCGGACAAGGGCTTCCTGCGATCACATTAGGACTGTGTTTTTATTTTAATCGGCAATTGATACCCCCCTACGACGGGCTACAGACCGGATCTTCATCTTCATCTTCATCTTCCAGTGCTTGTGCTTGTGCCTGTGCCTGCATAGATGTATCCGTATGCGTTGACACTTGTAGATCTGCATCATCCAGTACTGGAATCCGGACTTCGATACATTTAGTAATTCTGAGGCTGATAGTATTCTAAGCAATAGCGCAAGGGCCCAAACAAATAGGCCCAGCCAACGTCAGTGCCACATCCTTTTTCAATATTGAATATATAATGTCAAATTCATGCAGGACGTCGACAGGGATATACCTGTGTGACCAATCGAGCCGAGGACCAGCCTCCATCCAGTTGGGCGGCCGTGCAGCTGCGGGTTCGCTCGGCCAGAGCTCGACATGCAGCGTCAAACTCATCTGGCGTGAGGAATGGAAAGGCGGACAGCGTTGTGCAGGCCATCGCGCCATCGTCCATTGTTTCTACTGTATCGGCCATCCCCACTCTCTCTCCGACTCTCTGATGGCGCGATCCACCACGCCGTCGACGGATGCGGATGCGGATGCGACAGGGCTGGACAACTCTCAGAGGAAGAAGTCGGCGGCGTGGTATAATGTGGGGAGACGAATGGTCAGAGGCTGATGGAGCTCCAGTCTGTTTAGGTGGAGCGAGGATTTGCCGAGTGACAGCGAGTGGCAGGCTCCAGAAGCCCGAGGGGCCAAGCGTAGTGCGTACCGTAGTAGCTCTGGCACGATGTTGCTCTGGTGGAGATCGATCAGATCGGAATTTTGGAAAATGCAATTTCGCGGCAAATGGTTGCGGCCGTTATGCACGGATCCAATAAGGAGGCAGTCCGTAATGATGCCGTCATTGTCCGAGTGGAAAAAGGTTTACCGGAGACGGAGGAAGGACAATGGGGATTGTTAGGGGAAGGAGGGATCGGCCATGTCGCATCAGGCTTGCGACAGGGCGGATCCAAGGATGCGAAGTGGTGTCTGATACCTCAGAACGAGCTTGACTAGCTCACCCTAGTAGGGGCATAGTTTGAGTACTCGGTACTTGACAGAAGTACTAGGAATGGGTGGAACGAAGGAGTCTCGAATACTGCTGTCCAGAGAAGGTAGCTCAAGATGTTACTGGCTTTTTGGACTGCCATGCTTTCTATGGCAGAGGAGTAGTACTAAGTCAGTTCTACTCTACTTATTCTAGTTAATTGAGTTAGTTGGCTAGAATTTTTTAGTCCTGTCAGCGACGTAGAAAAGAGTCGATGCTGGACCCAGCCGCAAGCGGGCTGGAAGGGTCTGGGCGGCGGGGAAGGGACGGATAATACCAGAAAGGTACTTAATTTAGTATGGAATACCATACAACGGCTAGGTACTCCAGAGGTACTACATCGGGACTCGGTACCTGGCCTTGTTCTTTCTTGATCCTCTTTGTTTAATCTGCACTTCCCTGTTCCGCTTGCAGCGCCCGCGCCTTCTGCTCCTATCAGCGTTCATGGCTCCTTTCTGGGGATCGTTTCCGGATCTTTTCTAGGACTTTTGGAATACTCTTAGGTCATGTCGTGGCGACCATCACGCTTTCGTCAGTCCTGGTTTCTCGACGCCATGGGCTGATGCACAGCCTGTCGCTGGCTGCTCTCTCCACGACTTGACACTCTTATGTACGTTGACTTATCCCCATCCTGTCTTCGCTGTCCTTTCTCTTCCCCTCCACTCCTTTAATGGGAAATATCCCACAGCCTCCTCTATTTCCTTGTTTTGGTCCCTGTCATTTCTCGTTTTAACCTGTTCATAAACTGTCGATCGGTTTTGTGTTTATGCCCTCCTCAATCCCGTCCACTATACTCGGCGGGTAAGATCTGACCTTACCGATTCAATTGCAAGGGGCCTCTTGTGTGCTGGACGCAATTGAATGATTCAGCCTCCTTTTTGACAAATACCTTAACCCCCCCCTTCTGTGAGACTGTGAATACCTTCATCCCTCCCCCTCCCATTTGCTTTGCTGCGAGAAACGTAACCTTCCCCCGCCCTCTTCAACCCTCGCACGTTGTCGCCCCCTCGTCCAACCAACACCATCACCTTCCTCCAATCTGAAACACCTCTTTGCTCCATTATCTCCGCACTGGGAACTTTCAGCCGCCAATCGTGCGCCCAATTGGAAACCCGCCGGGTGTACAGACCTGGAGCCCGGATCGATCGCTCAGCAATTGCGGCGTGGTTTGACGTCAACACTCCGGGACTCGATCTAATCTCGCCCTGCCAGCCAAAGCTGCACCCGGTCATTCCGGACTTAGACTCGCCCCGAGAGGTCAAAGCTGCTCACTGCTCACTGCTCACACTTCGTATATTATCCCTCGTGGGACCTTCATCGACTCATGCTGCGCATGCTCTACTTCTAAGCCTGGGGCAAAGCTGCATTTTCCCACCTTGACGCTGGGTCGCTCTCTCCGAAGTCATGGGTAACCTACAATCAAGCCCGACAAAGGAAGAGACACGCCGTGCCAATCGACTTTCCAAGCCGTTGACCAAGAAGTTGTCTCCGTTGAGCTCGCCTCAAGTACGTCGTTCAGAGACGGACGGTCCAGAATTGAGTTCCGGATTGATCGGGTGGCAGAACCCATGGGTAGGATCTAATATTTCAACGGACGTCAGGAATTCTCATACAAAGCCGACGGAGATCCCTCCGACCTTGTTCGAGACTGATGCAGATTCATCGGGTGAGAAAGAGGAGATTGAATCCCCAGCTCAATCGCCAGTGGTCGAGGATCCGGAACCACTCTCACCACTTTCACCACTCTCTCGCACTGTCCCTACCAGCCGTTCTGTCCGAAGAGCTTCCTATCAGCCCGGAACTTATGGCGGTTCCTCGCAGCTACCGTTCGTGCCGGAACGACCTAGGCGCGCCAACTCCATCCAGACCACCATCACCAGACATAGCAGCGTGATCTATGAGAATACATACGAAGACGCGACATCTTCCAACACGCACTTCTTGGTTGGCAACCAGCGCTTCTCTTTGACTCGCCGGCGTTCTCTTCTCACTCGACCTGGTGTTGCTACAAGACGAACAACCAGTGCAGTCCGGCGTGTACCATCTCCAATTGGCGAACCAACAGACCCGCTCGACGATCCAAACGACTCCAAAGTTTTACAATGGCCATTGCCGCCTCGTCAGAGACCAGCACTTACCGTAGCGTCCTCGGTACAGCCCACCAGTCCTCCAGACAGTCGGTACACACAATTGGGAGCACTAAAGCTGGGATCTTTGCGGGTTGTGAACGGCTCTGCTTCCCCGTGCCCGAGTGAACGCATCCCTCTAAGTCAATCCGGTCTGGGCTTGGACAATGTCGACACTATGGGCCGGTCTACCCTTGAAATTCCCGCGGTACCCGACTTGAAGAAATGGGACGATGTCCCGGGCAGCCCATTCTCATTTGAGAAATCCCCCATCACAGCTCCCCCGCCGTCCAAAACAATCTTCCCAGGTGAATCAGAAGATGAGGGAATCGCCATGTCCGATGACGGCACCAGCCAGCCAGACAAGGCCGCTGTAGACAACGGTCTAGATCGAAGTACCGCTCCTTCAATCAACAAGTCCGACAGTGGCTACAGCTCTGCAGCTTCCGTTAGCTCCTACCACCACAGCCGCCCGCGCCAATCCTTCGACTCGCAGACGTCCGGTTCCTGCACTGCAGATGGCCACGCCAAGACCGCCTGGGTCACAAGTGACAAGTCCCGCAGCCATCACCGCAATGAGGAAATCCAGCGCCACTTCAGCCTGCATGAAGCACAGTCCAAGGCGGGGAACTACTCGCGGCTACATCCAAAGTTCGACCGCTGGTATGACTCGATCGGCCCAGCCACCGAACCACCCCTTGCTGCCCTGCGATCTCGCCGATCAACTCTGTGTGCTCCCCGATACACCGAATATCCGGTGCAAAAGATCGAGCTCGATTCCGCGGCCAAATCGGCTGCAGTGGCTGTTCACAAAGAGCAGGTTTACTCTCGGGGACCATTATATGCGGACCGCTTCTCGACCAGCGCACTCGAGATCTCGCACAGCTTGGGCTCGTCCACCTCGCTGGGGACTGACACACCGCCGAGTTACCAGCAGCCCGGTAGCCCACAGGTCCGGGCCATGATGCATCGGTCCGCCTCGGAGCGGTACCTCGATGCGAAATCGAAACCCGACATGCTGGCGCATAGCTCACGATCCCGAAGTCGCCCTGGCAGCCGGGTATGGTCCCAGAAGCCCGGTATTGAACTGCCCCCTCTCCCCACGATCCACGGAGAAGAATCGGGCATCGATGTTTCTGCCTCTGAGGCTGTCCGTGGTCGGCCTCGAAGCCGGAGCCAGGACTACCGCCGTCGCAAATTGACCAAGGCGCGTCAAGTGGAGATACACATGTGATGACTCTTTTTCTCGTTATACCCTTTTCCTAATATTTATGACCGACAGTGTCTCGTCTTGATTTCTTTTACATTCATTCATTTTCTTGATTTGGCTCTAATGTTCGATCTGGCTTGGTTCCATTTCGGGATTTAATTTTTGGGGAAGGCCCTCATTTACACAAAAAGTTTTCTCCTCGGCGTTGCTGTGCCGGGGCTGTTGATTTATGGTTGGTTCCATTTTACGGCGCCAGTTCTGATGCTCTGTTTTGAATTCGGAGTTGTTTGGATTGATTTTTTATCGATATATACCCTCGTTGAAAGTGTATTCTTTTGGGCGTTATACACGGGCGTTCATGGGCTTTCCTTTTGGCTGACAACTTTACCATGATGACTGAGGGCGTTGTTTTGGAATTGATCTTTTCTTTTTTTTCTTTTGTCAATTTGATTTACGATTCTGATTTATCGAAGTCGAACTTTGATTTGGATCTGTGATATTTATTTCTTGACTCTACGGAGTACGGTGTCACTTTCTTCAATTGCATATCTTATCTTGCATTGCAGTGCTTGTGCTTATTTCAGCTTCGATCTGGGACGCCACGATAGACTGACTACAGAGTACAGAATACATATAGTATGTATGCCGGCATAGGTAGTTGCTTAGCTGTGCTGTGCTGTTCAACGCGGCATTCCAATTTCCCACCGGACTCCCGCCCAATCTCCCCTGGTCATCCCTACCCTAGGTCAACTTCCTAGTCGAAATATTAATCTGCAGCTAGGGATAGTCACTTGCCATGTGGCATTTTCTCTCGCTTATGTATTTTTAACATTCTCTTCACCGCGTGGATGAGCCAGGGTCTACCTTTGTAAATGGTTCATCTCCGATGCGGCGGGATGCGGCTGGGACGCAAGGAGGGGTGGCTTGTACAGTACGTATGCATGGAGGCCCGGATTCGGATTTGAATTTGAATTTGAATTTTGCTTTCGCTTTTCAATTCCATTTTGGAGCATCATGTCATGTCATGTCTGACGAGCTCGCTTAGATAGCTTACTGGATCTTTTACGTGTCATATTTGTTTTGTGTAGTGGAAAGGAGGAGGGAGGTGAGCTGAGCTGAGCTGAGCTGATGTTTTACTGAGGACTGGGCTGGGCTGGACGTACGGGAATGTACTGTATATTTTTATCACATCGATTGTTTAAGTACTCAATGATTCAATTTCCATCTAGTTCATTCCATTACTATCTTATCACAGTTAAATCAAAAATCAAAACTTCATAATACAAATCCCAAATCGTCAAAAGTCCAAAGCATATCTCATCCAGACCGCGCCGAGTAAATCCCAAGAAGCGATGCGATACGATAGCCGCTCAATGCAAAAAGGGTAGCATAGCATATCCGCAGGACATCGACATAAAAATGGACGCAGTCATACGTAATCATATCATATCAAGAGATAAACCTCAATGCGACCCTTCCACCTAGTAAATGCGAATCTTCTTCGCCTTGGGCGCAGCCTCCTTCGGCACAATAATAGACAGAATGCCATTCTTCAGCGCAGCACGAACATTATCCTGCTCCACGCGAACGGGGAACGAGAATGTGCGCTGGAACTCGCCGATGGAGCGCTCTGCGATCCAGTAGTGCTCCTTTGGTGATGAAGGAGTGGAAGACTGGGTGGTTTGTGCCGGGCCGGAGGGAGAGGGTTTCTCGACGATTACAGCGGATGTTGAGCGCGTGCTGGACGCGGAGGAGGATGCGGTCGAGCGGGCATCGGACATGTTCCCTTCATCGTCTTCGTCGTCTTCGACGGTGGGCTGGTGCCATGATGGTGAGGGGTGCGGCTTGCGCTGGTACTGGTGCTGGGAGTGTCCTGGCCGCGGGGCTCAGGCTCGGACTCGACCTGTGGCGATGCAGATTGGATTGTGGAAGAGGTGTAATTGCGCTCAGTGCGGCCCTTGACCACGAGGGTTTGCGGGTCGGTAAATTCAATGTCGATGTTGCTCTGGTCTACGCCGGGTAGTTCACCGTCCAGGTAGTAGGCATCGGGTAACTCGCGCACGTCAAAGGCCGGAAGGAAGACTGTGCGGTGGGTCGGAGTTGGTGGACATCTTGAAGGTGTCGATGTCGATGTAGATCCAGATGTAGATGTAGATTTACATGCGGAGGATCTGGTTGGTGCGGGACGGGAGTGGTGGGTCTCGTAGTCGGCCAGCAGACGGAAGAGTGGGGAGAAGTCCGATGTACAGGAGAGGAATGCCATGGTGACTGTGATGAGATTTGTGGATGGAATGAGATTGGCTTGCAGTGGATCTGTTGAGATCTGGATTATTTTGAGAAGATGGATGATGGGGATTTACGTTGATTGTGTTGCTTGTTATATACTGTACTTGGGTGATGCAGGACGATGACTGATTGGGCGGCGAATTCCCGAAACGGCAAGTCGATTCTGGTAGTTTCTCCAATCATCCAGCATCATCCATCGCCACCAACGATGGGATAGGACTGTATGGATGAATATTCTGGATGGTATGTTAAGCAGGGAGCTTGATGATGAATCAATGTATGAATAATCTCCGCTAGGTTCGGAGATTGTAATGGTAGAGCTCCGACGTGCTGACAATATATCTGGCAGGCTGTAGATGGTCATGGAAGAGGTCTTCAATTTGTCATTTGTATGGTGCCAATAGGTACTCCAATTCAATGATACAGTTTCACGCGCCGAGGTCAGCCAGAATTTTGATCAAATCAGATGTAGTATTTACACAGAGAATATGAAAAATGAATCCTACAAGCCAGGGTAGGCCAGCCTCGACCAGTATACGCAGAACTATAGTACAAGAATGAACGGCCCCTTCCACCCCATCTCAACAGCCGACATCACCTTGTGTCGGGAAGAATCGGACACCCCCAAGGGTGGTATTCAGAGACGAAGCTATACAAAACCCATAAGCACACCGAGACGGGAAAGACAAGGAGAGCACGAGAAAACTCACGAAGAAAAAGCGGAGGGGAGATTGATAATCGGAACACCCTTCGAGAAAGCTAACCTCATCGGATATTGCGAATGCCCGGAGACGCATACATCTCCAGCTGGCGATGACCTTTTCGTAGCAGATATTCCACGGCACTAAAGTCCTTCTTATTCACCGAGCGATGTTTTTGGAATTCCGCGCTACGCGAATTTACACGTCAGCCGGAATGCACCGATGGGCAGGAGAGAGAACTGCGGACCAGGTACTACGGCACTACTCCGTAGACACTAGACACTAGACACTAGGCAAATGGGCGGACAGGCGGGAATGAGGAGTGCAGAGTAGAGGACATACCGGGCGTAGTTTTTGAAATTGGATTGAGCGTCCTGTGGAGAAAAGAGCAAGATGAAATGTTAGACGAAGAGATTGAGGTTGAGATAGACGGGGGAAGAGCTGTGGCTGAATGGTTTCCATTATGGGGCTAATAGGCTGAGATCTAGCACCTGGAAGCTGGAAGCTCTAGGGGAATAAAGAATTTCTCCACGTACGATAGGCTTCTTGCGGACCTCGCGCAGGCACTGCCGGTACAGGGATAGCACCTCCCGCTGGAGACCGGAGAGCCGCGCCATGAGGTGGTCTGCGGGGGAATTGAGCGAATGGGAATCACCGAGAGGACGGAGTCAGCGTGGTCAGCTCATTAATCATTGAGTGGGCTGTCCAAGCACCAGAGAGTCTCAGTCAAAAAGTGGTCAAGACCGTCCAAAGTCTGGGGAGCTCCTCCGTTTTCCGCCGGGGCGGGATCGTCGTCATTTTCCCGGCCGAATAACCAAGGACGTGAGAAATTATTAAGTCCGGGAGAATTCCCCCAGTCCAAGCGAGTCAGCATCAACGTATCTGCTGCGATTACTGTGCATTCTGTTCTTCATTCCTTTCATTCCTGATTTTTCCGAGTCCTCCTTCCAAAGATTGTCCTCCGTACCTATCGGCATCCAGCCATATATATACCTCTGTACCCGGAATTCTACATCGACAACCCCATAGACATCCTCTACCTACAATCATGGCCACCTTCTCAGTAAGCACCACCCATCTCTCAACAGCCCAGACCATGCACAGCTAACAAATCACCCTCCCCGCAGCGTCTCATCCGCTTCCTCGCCAAAGACGGGCACGTCTACTACGGCGACGCCCTCCTCCCCAGCGGCATCACCGACATCGCCAAAGCAACCCAAGCCCGCGTCATCACCGGCGACGTCTTCGGCACCCACCGCGTCACCGACCAAATCGCCGACGTGCGCATGCTCCTCGCCCCGCTAGCCCGGAAGGATATCCGCACCGTCCGCTGCCTGGGCCTCAACTACGAACAGCACGCCAAAGAATCCAACCTACCCATCCCCAAGTTCCCCGTGCTCTTCTTCAAGCCCGTGACCGCCATCTCCGGGCCCACGGATGACATCCCCGTTGCGGCTATCGCGCAGGAAGCCGAGGGTCTGGACTATGAGTGCGAGCTGGTGATTGTCATCGGGAAGGAGGCGCGGAATGTCTCCGAGGCGAAGGCGCTGGAGTATGTGCTGGGGTATGCGGTTGGCAATGATGTCTCGCATCGCGAGTGGCAGATTAAGCGCGGGGGCGGGCAGTGGGGGTTGGGCAAAGGGTTTGATGGGTGGGCGCCGCTTGGGCCGGGGATTGTTTCGTCGAGGATTATTCGGGATCCGAATGCGTTGCATATTGCGACTAAGTTGAATGGGGAGACCGTGCAGTCGTCGTCTACTAAGGATATGATCTTTGGTGTGGCCAAGACCATTGCGTTCTTGTCGCAGGGAACCACTTTGTTGCCTGGTGATTTGATCTTTACTGGAACGTGAGTTGCTCCCCTGGAAGCCTGATGCGAACATGTTCCTTTCTGATTTGGTACTGACTTTGTGTATAGTCCGCAAGGCGTGGGTATGGGCCGCAAGCCTGCTTTGTGGCTGAAGGATGGCGATCAGGTCGAAGTGTCGCTGGAGGGAGTGGGATCCATTTCCAACCGTGTGGTCTTTGACAAGGCCAACCCCAAGTTGTGATGCAACATTGAAAAGGGGGAGTCTATAGTCGGTGGTCTCGACGTACTACATACCCACAATGATGAAGGTCATTGTATATATCCTGTTCTTCATCTACGTCCATTCTCAATACGATGCGATACGATCATGGCATGGTTCTTTTCCCTGGCTTTCTCCTTGGTAGAAATTCATTGGGCTCTTCGTGTAGATGACTAGCGGGAAAAATCAAAAGGTTATAGCATCACGCGATCTAAACCGCCTGGGCTCCGTATCCCTTGATCCTCTCGGCAAACGCCCAGCTCTGTCCCTCCAGTTGTTCATCCTCCTTCAGGTCAATACCATCCTTGGTAATCACCGCTATCGAGTACTTATCCAGACTCCGCGCATCACGGTAAAACAGAACCTTCAAACACTGCTTCAGCGCATCCACCGCGTCCTCCCGGCTAATCTCCTCAATCGGCTTCTCCTCGGGGAACAACCGACGCAAAATCGGAACTGCCAGGTGCGCACCGAATCCAGTAGCCAGATGCGGCGCAGAGAACGTGGTGCCCAGCAGATCCGCAGAGCTGAGGAACGGCTTGCCCTCGCCGTCGAACCCGGCGACCAGCACGTGGTTCCACAGGGGGTTGAACTCGGAGCGCCGCTTGTAGAAGACCTTGGAAAGGTAGGTATGCAGGTTCTTGGCATTGAGCATGTTGCCGTGGGAGGAGTAGTTCTCGCGAATATCCATCGATTCGAGGAGTCGGTCCATGTATTGCATGTCGGAGACGTCGCCGCCGAAGCCGACCACGGCTTGGTTGCCGAACACGCGCAGACGCTTGGTGTCCGTGAAGCGGGCGAGGGATCCATAGGAAGCTGTAATAAGATGGAGAAGGGAGTTGTTAGTTTTACGGGGATCTGAATGGAAGGGAAGAGGATTGAGACAGATGTTGCATACCCAGGTTGTCGGTGGCCAAGACGACACCGCCGTTGAACTTCACACCCACGACCGACGTACCAGTCACAGCTGGCGAGGTGGTATGTGTTTTGGGACCCGTGCTCTGGAGATATGAAGGGTCGTAAGCTCCGTAAACATCGTTCCTGGGCTGCAAGGTCTATGTTAGTGACGGACAACGGGGTTGTTGGGCGCGGAGGATGGCTAGGCTTACGCGGCCCCAGGTTCCTGGAAAGTGGTCCATTATGAATTGAGTACGAGAAAGGTGAATGAAGGATGGAGAGATGGTCGTGTCGAGAGGATGAGGGAGGAAGAGCGGCAGTTGGGGTTGAACGATGACGATACACCGGAGACTGGAGAGCTTAGGCAGGCGAGCTGACGGAGCTCTGGCTGAGTCAGCCTCTTTGGTACCTATGCGCGCGTTTGGCGCTTCACCTACTTACTGTAGTTTGGAGGACACCAGATGATCATTCTCGACTAGGGAATGCACTTGTTGCCGTTGAAGAATTACTGTTTGTATTTTTGAGCTTCCTTGCAAAGGCACCAATGAAAATGTGACAATGTCACCAAACTTTTGTCACGCTATGAATATCCACAACCTCGCTATCATAGAGCTCCCTGTTCAGTCTCTGACTGACGCGAATCTAAGATGACGCTTTTTATTGCGGTTTGCACCTCGTTCAGATCAAGTACAAGAGGGTATAGAAATATAATTCGGAGGAATAGTATTTCGATTTTCGCAAGCCGGGGCTGGCTGACCAAACCATTGCTTATGATAACCTTCTGCAGATTCTAGGGAAGACAGGGACGAGATAATGGCGCTAACTCAATTGGGTCATATACAGCGACTCCAGATCAGCGGTTGTCTCTTCCAGACGGGACCCTTTGATGCGTTCATTTTTGCCCCGTTGCCTCACGTTCCCGATCCGGGCCATATCGTATTCGGCACTGCGGGTATGCGGTGGGCAAACCGGACCACCCGCGCTTCTCATAGGCTCTTATAGGCTCTTTTAGGACGTAGCCCGACGCTCAGCCTCTCGACCACATCTTGTATCCGCCGATCTTATCATCTATTGGAACAACCTCCATGCACCAAGGTCCTAGGTCAAAGACTAAACTCGGCACACAGCATCTACGTAGCAACTTTAAATACCAAGCAACCCTCTTCAGCCCACCATAGCTCCGTGTTCTACTCATACTCTACAATCGACTGTGCCCAACCTCTTTCAATATCACTGGGCACGACAAGATGTCCTCTTCACCAACCCGGTCAGACTCAATCGACTCTGTCCCCGCAGAGCTCGCCGAGACCAGCACCTCACGCACATTCCAAGTCTACAAGCCCGCCTTCCGGCGACACTATGAAATCAAATCCGCCAATGACAATCCACTCTACCACGTCGACATCTCAGCCTTCACCCCCAACAAGCCCGACCTCACCCTCCACGCGGGCACCAGCACCTCAGCCCCCAAAATAGCAGCCTCCAAATTCCTCAAACTCTCCGGCGACTGTAAACTAGCCCTCGGTGACCCGGACGACATCACAAACACCCAGTGGGAAGACATGACCAAAGAGTCAGCCATTCACTCGAAATACCGTTTTGAAATGACAATCCCCACTGCGAGTGGACACGGAGAGCGAAGAGTGTTTTTCTGGAAGCGGACGCATAAGGTTATGGTGGATGATGCGAAGGCTTTCCCGTTGAGTATGCGGTCGTTTAAGTTGATTGATGAGCCGAGCGAGCAGGTTGTGGCTGTCTTTTCGAGGGAGAGGTCATTTACCAAGTGTGGGACTATGCAGATTCGGGTGGATCATGGAGAGGATTTTGATAGGATGGTGTTGATTTCGGGGTTGAGCTTGTATGAGAGGTCGAGACGGCGGAATCATTCTACTGCTGGGGGCGGAGGTGGAGGCGGGGGAGGTTAAATGGATGTATAGTAGTACTAGTGTAGGTCTGTCCATATTTCGTGTTAAGAATGTTAGGCCCAATCTCTCTGGGATCAAGAATCGAGCGTCTTAGACGATCCGACCATCAGCTGGCTCGGGGTAGTTTGGAGATTGGGAATGGCATCGGAGATGAAAGATTTGTCTTGCTTTGCTTGGAAGCATACGCAGCGGGCTATTGCTCAAATGGACAATGAGCACCAATTCTGACCCCCAGATTCTATTCTCAGTCTGTCGAGAAGATAATTTCTGTAGTGTAAAGTATGCTAACTTGGATTCTGCTTTTTATTCAGAGGAAATTGACGCACGGAGGGTGTTGTCTCTCTCAAGGGTCCAGAGCCTTGTATCCTCGCATATTGAGTCTGCTCGAGAGTCCTATACCCCCACGTTTAACGGTATGAGTGCCCCCCGACGAGACAATTGCGCTGAGACAAATGAAATCGTCTTTTGACATTTGGGTATCTGATCCTGGAGAGCCAAATATGGTTGAGGGTTGATGGCATTAAGTCCACCGCTTGGGATTTTGAAGGCGTCAGTGCATCAGATGTGTGTTGGGCTGCACGGCTCATAATGGACCTCGAAGGCTGGATGGTGAGAACAGTGCCACTCGCACACAATATGCCTGGAAGTTGTGCAAGACCTGGTATGCTTGATTCCATGTCTTGGTGTCGGTTTGCATACTTTTAGTATATCGACTGGCCTCTCCTCGACTATCAGGAATGAGCTTATGGAACTGACCATGGAGCTAGAGGACGATGATTTGGGAGTTGATCTGGGTGTACTTTGATATCAAGGAGTGCTCCACCAGATGTTTCCAACCAGGTATTATACTAAATGATTGATTCCTGATGATATCCGATTTGACAATACGGTACTGGGTGTAGCTAGTCTCTGGGCTCTGCTGTGCAGGTAATTCTCGCCTTTCTCGAGGGGGAGGTGCTGTACGTGGATGGACGCAAAAGTGAGGTAACCATGGGCGAATCTGGTGTCAAAATCAAATACACTAATAATTAAACTAATATATATCACAGACCACGATGTGATCTACGTCTATTCACCAAGTGTACCGGTAACAATGCCCGAAAGCAAAAAGAATCCCCCTCAACGATTACCTCGAGACATGCTATATTTGGAAGGAACCCCAACCCAGTACCCGAAACCCCCGGTGGTCCAGTGGTCCGTCCACACAGTGGCCGCTGCCGTAATTGGGAGTCTGTGGCGGTTATGCAGAATTCTGAACCGGTGCATATTGGGCATCTGGGGATGAGCAACTACGTCCAGAGGGGCTAGGGTGGGTGGGTGGGAGCGTCCCTTCGAGGGCGGGTCAAACAAACTTTTTGTAAATTTTTTTGATATAATTCTACATCACTATAATCTTTAAGTCTAGGCAAATCTACTGGCAGTGTTTTTGAACTATTTCAACGCCGGTGGTGATGTGAAAATTGGTTTTATATGTTGGGGGTGCCACCGGGTAGTGCTTGAGTTGAGGTACCTGGGCATTTTGGAGTGTCGCTTGAGCATCATGGATGATTGGTATGGGGAACGAGAAGCCGATGGTTCAACTCGGCGCATGCGCGAAATGACGAATTTCCGCTGGTAGACATTTTGGGTAATTTTCTGTTAAACATGATATCAAGCGAGCACCCGGTGACCCTGGAACATCCCGATGATGATGATGCCTCCTTGGCGAATATTTGAAAGAGGATACAGAGACTCTAATTTACTTGATCACAAATTTGTCGATCCTGTTCGTACAAAATTGAGATTCTTAATATATGTGCTTTTGTTTGAAGCGTTTCCTTTATGGTACCGTTGTCTATGAAGAGCTGTAATGCAGTGAAAGTACATCTGGAACTATTTTATGGATTCGTAGCCGTTAATCGGGTTGCTCAATTAGCTACTACTATCATTGCATTTATGTTTGACATGCTATATGATACAAACGAGACAGTGGATCTCGAATGCCGATACAGTTAAGGTACCTGTATGAATCTAGAACACCCCATGCAAAAGCGTTGTCTTCGTGTAACATCGCTCCAGAGAGAGCCTAAGTTCGAACTCAAAGCCCATATTTCACCGGCGGCTTGACGGAGGCCAGAGCATGACCCATGCTGACTGGCGCATGAGGCGGCTGGATATGCTTCTCTTTTGGGTGGCGAGGAGACATCTTGACGATTGGTGCCGAGGGGGTTGCCTGAAGTCCAGGACCTGACTGACAGAACTCTTAGTCGCTAGCGAGCTGCTTTGGATCTTTTGGGGCCTGGATGTGTCTGGAAGTTTGGAAAACTGTCCTTCCTATAGGAAGAGGACATCTGCCATTGCTGTTCACCAATTTCATGGATTGGCTTTCCTCTTTGTCTCTGTTCCCGAGACAAATTCAATGGAGGACCTCTGGCCTGCAGCATTCTTCTCTTCCAGTTTCTGTCGAGCCTCTTGCTGAGAGTTGAGAAGTTCTTCTTTGAAAGCCCATTGGGGTAGGTTAGAGATATCCCAAATGTCCGATGGCAGGGACGTATTGTATTGCGACTTCTCATCAATGCCCGCATGCTCCATCATTTTCATCAGTAACCTAGGATTTCGCAGGGATGAAGAGCTCGCTAGCTTCGCATTGAAATGAACGCCTTGTTTCTTTAGGGAGAGGAAATGCTCAAACTTGGCATTGGCAGCGGCGTTAGGTGACCCTGGAGGCGAAGGTGGAATGTCGAGATTGGGGACTGGGGGAAGCGTCAAATCGTGTACCAGGGCTCGCGTCGCTGAGAATGGCGATGAACGGCCGCTAACTGAAGGACCTTCTGGCGAATGTGTTTGGCTCATAGGCGCGGGGCCAGATGCGGGACCTAGAACAGGACCATTGGGAGATTCAATGACAGCTGGACTGGGTTGTATTTGCGGTGGCATATTCGATTGAACGGTAGGAGCTGGCTCTGGAAGAGTAACGCAGCGTCAGCATGGAAGCGCAACAACTTTCGGACCCGAGTATTTGGCGGGTGGGGGGAACCAACTGTTATCCTGAACGGGTTGTTTTGGTACAACCAGTGTCTGTTTTTCGTGCTGCTGAGCTCAAAGTCAATGATATCCCGCGTATGAAAGTGGAAGGACCATACCGTTGGTTGCGACTTAAGAGAGGGCTTCACGTCGACTTCCTCTTCGCTACTGCTTTCGTATGCACCGAGGCCAAGCATTGTGCTGGTCTTTGGCGTGGAGTTCTTGGAAGGTTGGCAGGCCAAGCCGCAAATTGGGAATAGTCCAAGCCGGTTCTTTTCTCAAAAATTGCTCAGTCCTTTCTTAGCCTTTCAAGATGTGCTAGTTGAAAGTACATCAAGCTCCAGTTGGCTCCCGCCCACCGCGGTATTACATAAGCGAGGCAGCTACAGCATCGCGTCAGACACCGGATAGCCTCCATTGCTAACTACCTCTGTCAACGAATACCTCCCCTTTCTCTCCTCCAACCTCCTCCTTTCTTTTCCTCCGATCCTATCTCAAGCTTACAGAATCTCGCAATTATCGACAGCTCTCACGATGACGTCGCTCATGGATCACCAAGCTCGGGAGACTGTCGGATACTCCTTCTCTGAGTCCACAGCTGGTGTTAAGCAACATGGATTCTACCCGTATGAAGCTTCCCACCCGGCAGACTTTAAAACCTTAGCTCACACTTTCATCTGTCTTTAGTTATACCGACAATGGTGGCTCGACTCTGGGCATCACAGGTTCCGATTTCGCCATCCTGGCAGGCGACACCCGCTCCACATCCGGCTACAATATCAACTCTCGCATGGTTCCCAAGGTCTTCAAAATTGGCGGCGACGACGAGACGGGCGAAGGAGCCACCATCGTCCTCTCCGTGGTGGGATTCGCCGCCGATGGTAATGCGCTCAAGGAACGACTCGACACCGTGGTGAAGATGTACAAGTACCAGCACGGGAAACCCATGTCCGTTTCCGCCTGTGCCCAGCGCTTGTCGACTATTCTATACCAGAAGCGGTTCTTCCCTTACTACGTACACGCCATCTTGGCCGGTCTAGATGAGGAGGGCAAGGGAGCTTTGTACAGCTACGATCCCGTGGGTTCATACGAGAGGGAGCAGTGCCGTGCTGCCGGTGCTGCTGCTAGCTTGATCATGCCTTTCCTGGACAACCAGGTCAACTTCAAGAACCAATACATTCCCGGAAGTGGAGAGGGTCATGCTCTTGCGGCGAAGAAGCCCGAGCCTCTGCCTCTAGAAACGGTCAAGGGTCTTGTACGGGACGCCTTTACGAGTGCCGTGGAGCGACACATTGAGGTCGGTGATAATTTGCAAATGGTCATTATCACCAAGGATGGGATCGAGGAGGTGTATCACCCTCTCAAGAAGGATTAGAGGGAAGGGTGTCATTCTGTCTACGATAGTTTTCTAATGCAAGAAATTTTTGACTTGGTGAATTGACTTTGTTCAAATATATTTGAAAGAAAGACTGGATAAATTTTTTCAAGATTGCTATCTTGATGTCGTCACGCGTGTAAGATATCTTGAAACACAAGAAGAGACCCAATTGAAATGCTCCTGAACGCCCATACCATGCCGGGAATCGATATAGATGTGTATAAATCAGAATCGCTCCTTCATGCGAGAAGCAACGGTTCGGAGGTTGCCATAGACCTTGCCCTGTTTTGTGTTAGAAGAATGAAATCTGGAAAGGTGGTTTATTATGGTTTCGCAGCAAATACTTACGGGAGGGCTACCGAGAATGAGGCTGACAATAGCCTCACGGGCAATGTGAATGTTCTTGAAGCCACCCAGAATGTGGATCTTCGAGTCAGCCAACACCACACGAGTCCGGCTGGCGTTCTCAATGGCAAACTTGGTCTTTCCATCCTTGCCAGCAATACGACCAATTGCACGGCCAAGATGCTCTCCATTGAGCGTCTTCACATCCTTAATCTCAAAAGTCTCGATATACAGGTCATCCAATCGGAGAAGAGCAATCGCATCGTCGATATCGAAGCCGAGGGTGAAAGCGCGGATAAAGTCTGCGCCCTTCTGGAGAGCGCCAACGTCCGCGGTGAACTTGGAGGTTCGGAGTTCTACGGCGCGGCTCTTGATGTTCATTCGGACTTGGAGCTTGAGGTGCTCGACGATAGGAGGGCAGATTTTGGTCCAGTTGGCTTTGAGGGGGGTCATGCGGTGAGGAGGAACGGGCACCTTGCGAGTCTCGATGCGATAAGCGGTATGGGTCTCCTTTGCAGGTGTGAAAACGGGGCGACCCTCTTCGTCGATGCGCATCTCGGAGTCGGCAGTGGCTTCGACCACGGGGTTGGTAACATCTGGCTCCGTCGTTCCCTGGGCATCGATCAAGACCTCATCATCTTGGTCTGATAGGTAGTTAGCGCAAATAAATACTTGTTTAGTGTCTCGGGGCGCTGTACTTACCCATGGACTCAACGGGTTGCTGAAGAGCAGAAACTTCCGCCGGCTGGCGGACGGCAGTTGGGGCAGGCATTGTTGTTGTATGAGGTGCAAGTAAAAAAAGTCGGCGAGAAATAATCTGTTATCGCAGAAATTATCAGTGGCGGACCCCTCGCCGAAAAAAGAAGTGTGGGCGTGGATTTTTCGGTGCAAACAAGACAAACGCCCGATGATTTCATGCTTCCCCAGTCACTAAGCTTTGGCCGCCCGAGCCTCGACCTCTCGCTCTCTTTCTCTCCTGTTTTCTGCAACAGACCACAGGATGTGAAAGGACCCCAAAATGTCCGCAAATTTCGGACGCCGGCTCTACGCCCATATTTGGGAATCGGCACATCCATTCCTCGGCCGCATACGACCGAATCGCGTGCCTAGCACCGACGCTTCGTCGAGAACCGCCTTTGACTCGGTTTTCGCCAACCATAGACGCTTATCATCAGCACCCGGGAAGCCCACCCAGCTCACGCGGCGATTTGCTTCTGGGGGGCTTCTTGTTCTCGTCTCCTCGAGTTCGACGGCAGCTGAAACCAGCACTGCCTGCATTATCCCATCGAAAAAGCTCACTGCTCAGTATATCTGGAAGCGAGCTTTGCATACCCCGAATGACCGTTTTCGCGATGGAGTCTCTTCCAATAGCTCCAAATCTCCAAAGGATGACGAACACCCGCAAAAAGTCCAAAAAGCTGACGACATTCCCACTCAACCCTCTCACTCAAACGCCTCTCAAGATTTGCCCCCATCTCCGTCTTCACCTACCCCTCCTAATCGCCACCATCTAATGGACCGTTTGCCGCATATGTCGCATTTACACCGACCAACAAAAGAAGAGCTTCTGGCTGCAGCAACTGGGTTTTGGTCGCGCCTAAAAGTGCGATTCAAGTGGTTCTCTATCCGAAGTGTCCGACCTTTCAACTTAGACGAGATCACGGCGCTGTTCTCATGGGTTCTCCTCGGCCATGTGGTCTGGGTCGTTGTTGGAACTACAACATTCTTCTCGTTGCTCATTCTCGCCATTAACACAGTCTTTGCGCAAGGTGTGTCACCTAGGCCCGAGCCTAAATTTGTAATTGTGCTAATTCTTGTGACAGAAACGCTTGCCGGGTGGGTGGGTAGCTACCTGACCAAGTCTTCCGGAGTAAAGGTTGTTTTTGAATCCGCTATCGTCCCCAAATGGGGAGGTGGCGTAATTACCTTCAAAAACGTATTTGTGTCGAGGCGGCCTGGCCAAGGCACTGGCCATGTTAGCAAAGGCTCTCCCACGACAGCCGCTGCAGCCGCTGCAGCCGCGGCTCGCGGCGAAACTGGATCCGAGGATTCCTCGGTGGTGGTGGAGGAAGAAGATACGAACTACACTCAATTCGACCTGTCCATCGAAACCGTCAATGTGACTTTGTCATTTACAAAATGGCTCAACGGCAAAGGCCCCCTGCGGGATGTCGAAGTAACGGGCATTCGGGGCGTGGTTGATCGCCGCCAGGTCTGGTGGCCAGCCGAAGATCTAGACCCCTTGTCTTATCGCCACGAGCATAATCCCGGAGATTTCGAGATTGATTCATTCAAGATGCACGATGTGCTCGTTTCAATCTACCAGCCTGATAACTTTAGACCTTTCTCAGTCAGCATCTTCTCTTGCGACCTTCCTCAGCTGCGAAAGCAGTGGCTCTTCTACGATTTTCTTTCTGCCAACATGATGTCTGGGTCATTTGACAACTCGCTTTTCACCATCCACCCTCGCCAGACCCACGGCTTTACCGGAGCTCGCCTGGACGACGGCGTGGAGGAGGATGGCAAACCCAGTCCATGGAAGAAACATAACCGCATCCGGGTCGACGGACTGAACATCGACCATCTCAACCGTGGTGTCCAGGGACCATTTTCCTGGATTCACGAAGGAACCGTGGATATTGTCGCCGATATCATGCTTCCTGCCGAGAACGATGAGAGCCTGGCCAAGGTCATGGCAGACTTTTACGACCGACTGGAAGCCACCGTCACCTCCAATCAATATTCCGAAAGCGCATCCCAGCGATCTCAAAAAGATCTCGAGTCGATGTCCGAGGCCGATAAGCGCTTTCTTGTAATGGACCTGCGCGTTCATCTCAATAACGTTCGGGCCGCCGTTCCGATCTTCACCCGCGACCTCTCCTATATCAACAACGCCCTCATCCGACCGATTGTCGCGTACATCAACTCCAAGCGCACCTTCATCCCGATCAACTGCCGTCTCGTCAAACCTGCTAGCGACTTTGATGGCAGTTGGACTGTCTTCGACAGTGGCTTAATGGACGACCTGTCAGCTGCGGTAAGCATCTTCGCCGCCTCTCTTCTGTATTTCGTATATGCTAATACCTGTGATAGACCTACGATGCGTTTGCGCGAGATGTTGTAGACGATCAAGCCCGTAAGCGGCGTTTCAAGAAGGTTGGATTTTGGTCCCTTCAGCTGGCTGCCCAGGCCATCTTCATGGGCATGGCTGGCAACATCGCATGATTCTGTACCTTCATACCCCTCTCACGACTCTTCCTTGGCATTTGGTGCGGCTGAAGACTTCTTGGCGTTGGACTCTGTATCATAGCAACTTCTTTTGCATTTTGAGGAGTCTGGAGCATATCATGGATCTATCACTCTTCTCTACTTGTGGGCGGAAACTCGCTCCTCTCTAGATTTTACCATTTTACCATTTTACAATCTATCTTACTGGTCTGTATACATATGCCATATTCTTGACCTTGTAGTATGACGATCTCGAGACTGGGCCGGATGTTCGTACTATATATCCTTCAGTAGTCACTTATTGAGGAATATCTAAAGTACTTCCACACTGTCTTCGGCCACTCGTAATTCTAGATCAGTGAACTAGAGATACTTATCACCAGTCTAGGACTATTCCTTTCTGCAGGCACAGCAGGTTAACCGGAAAAGCGGATCGCCACAAAAACCCTCATTTTCTCGACTCTCGTTTCTCTTGCTCGTTTTTGGTTTAGCTGTCACTTCTTCATCAGGATCGTCGGCGGTGGGCTCCACTGGACAATCTCGCAACTAAACAGCAGAGTAATTAAACCAAATGAAAAGATCACCAAACACCCCTTTTCTCTCTCGTCCTTTTTTATTTTTCTGTTCTGTTTCTACTCCACCCACCGGCCTTGGGGAGAAACCCAGTCCCGGGTTTGTTTGAGTGTTTTGACTCTTTTGACTCTTCTTTGGCTGAGACACGTTCCTCCCCCTTTCTTTTCCTGCCCGAAGCTTCAGCTCTCAGCCTCGCACCCCCCGAGGACCCGCCATCCCGCCCGTCTCACCCCCCCCTGGGCCTTTGCTCTTCCCCAGTCCCCGAGACCCCTCTGATGCTGATCCCTGAATCATGTCGCAGCGGCGAGGCAGTGAAGAGGCTTCACCCGGAGGGAACTCACCTCAGCCTTCTGCTTACCCGCCTCTAAATACGGGTCTCATCCCTCGAGATTACTTAGGCGCGCGATCCGACATGGCGGCGCGCCCCGGACCTCCTGGAACCCGCCATATTTCACCTTCGCCTCTGCATACCAAGTCCCTCCCTCAGCCATATCGGCTCGAAGAATCTCCCGTCTCCCAGAGTCCGCTTTCTCCACGATCGAGCGCCAACCCGTCGCCCTCCCAGAATCGATCGCCTATATCTCGTATAGCCAATGCGTCGTTCCCAGCACCGCCTTCGAACACTGCCTACCCTATATTCCAGTCCCCCGAGATGATGAGCGCGGACCAGGTGGACTCTGCCGCCAGGCATGGGGATGGTCATATTGCCAAATCGCCTGGTGCGTCCGAACCCGATCGCTCCGCGTCGTCATCTATCAGCTCTGTGCTGTCGACACCCGGGGACCGTCCAACTCCCCGTGCCATGCCTCGGACCTCGTCGATTGACTCGGCGATTTCTTCTTTGTCCACTGCCTCCCAGCGATCAACCTTCGACGCTAAGTCCTTGAGCCCGGCCGATATTAACAACCTTATCGCCGCTGCTGGCTCTGCGGAGGCAGTTATTGTGCACCTCCTGAGGGAGAAACACCAAGCTGCATCGCAGAATGCTCAGCTGTGGAAGTTGGTCGACAAACAGCGGACGCTTATTCTGGGCCTGAACAAGGATCTGGATCGCGCGTTCAAAGAGAAGGAGAAATATAAAAAGAAAGTCAAGGAGCTACAGGACGCCGCGCCTCCTGTACCAGCTGTTGGAATCTCGGCCCCGCGAACGGTCTCGGCAGATGCGGATTCTCGTGCTAGCCAGACCACAATTGTATCAAGAAACGAGAAGAAGGGTGGGGATCGAGGAATCGAACAGGCAACGGCTGTCCCTCCCATCGCGACATCTGGGTTCCCTCGAGGAGGAACCGACTCAAGCCCTCGCTCAGCAGGTAGCCTATCATCTCTCATCGGATCTGATTCGCAAAGGCTCCCACATCCATTTCGCAAACCACCTCCAGCGCCCTTGAACCTGCGACAAGGCGGTCATGCCCGGGAGGAGGTAGTAGACGCTGATTCCGACTCCGACTACGGTGAAGGACAGGATGTGAGGGGAAGATCGAGCTCGGAACGTGGAAGAAGAAAAACACGCGAAGAAGATGACCAAGACCGTGAGGCTGCCTTACAGACAGACTTGGGTGCGCCCGGTTCCGTCGGTGCTGCCAAGTTTGAGGTCCCCTACGGCTCACAGGATGCCGGCGCATCTGCCAGTGGCAACCCAGTCCCTCGTGAGCTAGTAACGAGATCGCCACCAAATGTCGGCGCAACTGGGTCTCTGGGGTCCGTCTTGAACTCTCGACCCAACCCCTCCGGCCCGAACGGGCGTTCTATAGCTTCCATGCCGAAAAGCCCGGGTTTGCCGTTAAGCCCACGGCCTGAGGACCGACCTATTGGATCTCCGCTGCCGCGGATGCCCCGAGATTTTGCGACTCAGGCAGGTTATAACCTCGGAGGCGTGCCTACATCTCCAAGAGCTGTAAACTACCCCACCAACTTCCCAAGTGCAGATGCTCAGCCTACGACCGGGAGACCCGGGGGTCCAATCCCGTCGATTGATCCTACGGTCAAGATTGACAGCCCTAAATCTCCCCGTTTCCCCGATACCACCATCTATCAAGGACTTGTGTCGGATGAATATCCCGGCCTTCTCCTTCCTCCGAACGCCCTCCCACTTATTCAGGTTCGGGTGTCCTCCTCACGGCTGCGACCCTCTAGAAATAGTTATATGGCATCCAAGCCATTGGATGAGGAACCGGTGTTTACCCTGAGCGTCATCTCTAGATCTGAGATGGCGGAGCTCTGGCGCGTGGAGAAAGTCATTGCATCTCTACCTCAGTTAGATCACCAGATACGACAGCTGGCCACTTTTTCTGGAAAATTACCTGATCGCAGCATTTTCAGCGGTCATTCCCCAGCCAAGGTAGACGCCCGCCGCGCTGTGCTGAACATATACTTTGACAATCTTCTGGATACCCCCATGGATGAGAGAGCGGCATTGGTCATTTGCCAATTCCTCTCCAATGATGCTATCGAACCTCGTGACGATGAGACCAGCCTTCTAAAGGGCCCAGGCCAAGCGAAACCGGACATGCTTCGAGGACCGGATGGCAAACCCAGGAAGGAAGGTTATTTGACCAAGCGAGGCAAGAATTTCGGCGGTTGGAAAGCCCGCTACTTCGTGCTCCATGGGCCCGAGTTGAAGTACTATGAGTCTCCTGGTGGCGCTCACATGGGAACCATCAAGCTTCTTCATGCCCAAATTGGCAAGCAGTCTCAGAACTCCAATAGCCAAAGCAACTCGCCTCCGGCGGACGAGGACGCTGACAATCAATATCGTCATGCTTTCCTTATATTAGAACCCAAGAAAAAGGATTCATCGGCTCTTGTGCGCCATGTGCTCTGTGCTGAGAAAGACGAGGAGCGCGATCAGTGGGTGGATGCGTTGATGGAGTACGTGGAAGCACCTTCTTCGGATGGTGACGCATCATCGAAGCAACAATCGCAGGCCCAAGGAAAACCGTTCTCCAGTTCTGGATCCAAGGCCAAGGGGTCCAAGGATGGGAGCAAGAAATCTGGCCGTGGTGTTGATAGTCCCGACCATGAAGGTGGCGCTGTGCAAGGGTTTAGTTTCGATGATACCGTTGCAGCTGAGCCTCCTATCATCGGGGGTTCTCTCGAACAGGCTCCTCGATCACCACACATGCCCAGCACCCCGTCCACCGACTTCAAAGACTGGAACCAGTCTGGGATCGACCCAGCTTTGCAGTCACCAAAGATCATTTCCGGGCCCACCAACGGTGCGGTGATCCATGATGTTGGGGCCTGGGGTAACAAGCCATCGGCCACAACCACTTCAGTGAAAGAGAAGAAGCGTAGCATCTGGGGCTTCCGCACAAGGTCTTCCTTCGATTTGGCTGCACAAGCTAGCGAGACATCAGCCGCGCCAGTCGAGCGGAGGGAGAACGTCAAGCCCGTCTTCGGTATTCCTCTGGCCGAAGCTGTCCAGGATTGTGGTCCTATTGGCGTTGAAGCGGATCTTCCTGCTGTGGTCTATCGTTGCATTGAATACCTGCATGCCAAGGATGCCGCTTTGGAAGAGGGTATCTTCCGCTTGAGTGGCTCCAACGTTGTGATCAAGGCATTAAAAGAGCGTTTCAATAATGAAGGAGATGTTGATTTCTTGACCGGGGATCAGTATTACGATGTTCATGCCGTCGCATCTCTTTTCAAGCAATACTTGCGCGAACTTCCGACAACCGTGTTGACTCGGGAACTTCATCTGGATTTCCTTCGTGTCCTTGGTATGGTACCCGTCTTCCTATCTCTTCATAAGATCTAAAGCTAACCAATTCTCTCTTAATAGAACTCGATGATAAGCAGAAGAAGGTCCTCGCTTTTAACGCATTGGTCCACCGATTGCCCAAGCCGAACCTTTCACTGCTGCGAGCACTGTCGCTGTTCTTGATCGAGATTGTAAACAACTCGGACGTGAACAAGATGACCGTCCGAAACGTGGGCATCGTCTTTGCTCCCACTCTTAACATCCCCGCGCCAGTATTCTCGATGTTCCTCACCGACTTTGACAGCATCTTTGGTGATGCTAGCTCTAACTCGCCGGCCATGGAGCTGACTGTGCAAAACACTCTATCCCCCGACGATGTTCGCTCTCCCCGCCATCAGATGTTCTCGGATATCCCGACTCCTGCATATAATCAGACATCCTTCCGCGGTGCGGGAGATGGCTCGAGCGGTCATGTTGACAATCGTGCTCCACACGAGACCGGCTTCATCCCCATGCAGCCCTCTTACGAACAATCGGGCTATAGGAATGAAGGCTACAACCCCCACCCGGGAGCCTCGAACCAATATCACTCCTTGAATGGAATGTTGAACCCGAACTTGGACGACACTCGTTCCGCCAAGTCCAAGAGGCGGGAAAGCTCCATGCTTTTTATGGAGAGTAGTACGTGATGGTTGCTCGTAACTTTTGAATGAAAACAGCTAACTCTTTGTTTTTCTAGCTCCTGATGATTTTGCTTCCCTCCACCAGGGCAATAAATAACCCACCAAAATCAACGCCCATGTCGCCCTTTTCCCTCACAAACATACTTCAAACTCGAAACCCTCTACACGCCTCTTTGATTATGAATTGCACGCAGAATGACGACTTTACCACCCACTTGGCACCAGCAGAGTCGCGAGGGAATGTTTAATGATAATGGTAATCAGGACGAGGCTGCAATATTCGAGGCATTGGCTTTCATGCCTTGAGAACTATTTTTTCAATCCGTTGATGACTTTTCTCTTTCTTTTATGTGTGATCTATCCTTGTATTGATCTACCGTTATACCCCCTTTTTTTCCCTCTTTCACTTTTCTTACTCTTCAACCTTCGTTATTTTTCCTTTCTCGTTGACATTCTTTTCTCCTCTTATCGGTTTGCCCGATGGTTTGAAATTCAGCGACTTGATTGGATGTTCCTTCAGCTATGCAGCATGATCGTGCGTCATATTTCTTGATATAGTACACGTCTTTTTGTCATAATATATTTCCAAATTGACCAATAAAATCCCCAACAAGTACAGAAGCACGCACATCTAGATTCAGTTCATTATATACCGTTAAAATTTGTCATTGACGCTCTCATCCCAGAGCCTCTTAAAACCGCCTCGTGCGCTCCCCCCGCCAGAACCCCATCAGCTCGCCGTTTTCCCGAGCCCAGTCCCGCACATTATCCACCAAGGCCTTCGCCATTCCCTTGTTCTTCGCCTTGCCGTCGGACGGACCGCGGCTGTGGCCGAGTCCGGACGAGGTATGCTCGCCGGTGGCATATTCAGATCCCATGCTAGGCAGGACATTGTCGCCCGCACTGAGACTGACAAACAGCGCAAAGGGAACCAACCAGACACACAGTCCAAAGTATGAGGCCACCTCGGAGAAAGAGGGCATAGCTTCGTAGTCGATCTGGTACGGCTGGCGCCAGTTACCCTCGTTGCGCCGGGACGCGGGGAACGGCTTCGAAAAGTGGCGGAACCATAGCCAGTGGTTGAGAAGGACCAGCACGCAGGAAAGAATGAAGAGTGGATCGGTCAACTTGACAATTGGGAAGCGGCGCAGGTTGCTGGCGTAGACTAGATGGGAGAGGATGCTGAGGATGGATAGCGAGATCGGGAAGCGATCGATTAGTACGAGGAGGACTTGGATGCCGATGATGATGTATATGAGGCGGTTGAGGAGTCGGCGGGCGAGGACGGTGTGTTCCTCTACGAGCTCGGAGAGGTAGTATAGGCCCGATGCTGGAGTCGTGTTAGTCCCGTTCTTCGTGATCTCGTGGAGCTGGTTGATTTGGAGCTTGCGGGTGGAGCTTACCGATGGCTAGGGTGAGAAAGGCAAAGCCGACTATCACCCCCAAGTATCCTACCAGAGGTAGGATCCACATAATGAAGGGTAGATTTGTGGAATGGCTGAGGTGGAAGTTGAAGAAACGGAGAGCTGCGGAGAGCTGGGATGGAAAGCGAAAGGTGTCGCGAACCCGCCCATGACGCTCCCGGAAAACAAATGCCTGATCGCTCAGGCGTCCACTCCGCTCTCAAAAAAATAATTATCTCGACCCTCCGCTTTCATTTCTTATCTTGAATTTTTGGGACTTTGTCCACCCACAGCCACCATGTCGCGCCCCGAGGATATCCTGTACGTTGACACTAGCCTTATACACTTGGTGTCATCTTTGATCTGACTAACCTGCCGTGTACAGCCCGCCCGATCTCTTCTACAACGACAATGAGTCCCGCAAGTATACGACCTCGTCGCGTATCCGGAATATCCAGGCCGACATGACCCACCGCGCCCTCGAGCTCCTCGACCTGAAATCTCCCTCCTTGATCCTCGACATCGGCTGTGGCTCCGGTCTATCAGGCGAAATGTTGTCCGAAGTTGCTCCCGAAGATGGCGGGCCACACACCTGGGTGGGCATGGACATTGCCCCCAGCATGCTGGATGTGGCCCTGCAACGCGAAGTCGAGGGCGATCTCTTCCTTGCAGACATTGGTCAGGGAGTCCCCTTCCGACCTGGTACATTCGACGCAGCCATTAGTATCAGTGCGATCCAGTGGCTGTGTAATGCGGAGACCAGCGACGTGAGCCCCGAGGGCCGTCTGAAGCGCTTTTTCGAGGGTCTATACGCGAGTCTGCGCCGCGGCGGACGGGCTGTTTGCCAGTTCTATCCTAAGAATGATATTCAGCGGAGCATGATTAGCGGTGCGGCTATCAAGGCTGGATTCGGTGCTGGTATGCTGGAGGATGATCCTGGCACTAAGAACAGCAAGCTCTACCTGGTTTTGACTGTCGGCGGTGGCGGTTTGCACGGTGATATTACTGGTGTTGTCAATGGTATGGATGACGTGGATGTTCTTGATGCCCGGAGGAAGGCTGCGGAGGTGAACAGTGCGCGGAACCCGTCTAGGAAGGGTGATAAGGCTTGGATCATGAAGAAGAAGGAGCAGATGCAGAGGAAGGGCAAGGTTGTCAAGGCTAATTCAAAGTATACGGGTCGCAAGAGACGTATCGCCTTCTGATTGCTCTTGGCCTGCCTTTGCAATCCTTTTCTCTCTTCCCGGGTGGTTACCTCGATCACCCAGCTGGCCTGTGCCTCTTCGGAGTGTGTGGCCACGCAAAAATGTTCTGTGATACCCTTTTCTTTCCAGCCGATAACGATACCCTCCACATGTGGACAATGAGGCAAGGGTCTGACGATTGCCCACTCCTTGGCCTGGTTCTCCCTCGGGAGATTCACATACTGCGACCAGTCCAGAGCGAGTACTTCTAGTCCATTTGATCATTGGATCTATGGATCTACTATCTCGCCTCGGCCAAGGTCGGCCACTTTTGCCGGAAGTTTACGACTCCCAGTCTTTCTCCATCTACTCAAAAGTTTCTTGTGTTGGTGCTATTTAGTACCGAGTCATGTTTACGGCCTAAAACGTTCTAGAGCAATACAATCATCTGACGAGTCCATTAAATGTCTTGTAAGCAGTATTGAAAAGGGTAGAAGTCTCGAAGCGAGAAGCACACTTGCAGTGAGAATCTGAAGAAGAGTGATAAAGTGTAGATTAACTGCATCACGAAAGCTCCACGCATCCATACTAGCCAAAGTAGGCCTATCTAGCTCGTCCATATCTGACGCAGTTGTCAATGGGTGGTTCGCAACAGTGCCGCACCCTGGAACGGCTGCTCGGGCCTAAATTAGAATAGTTTGGTCATGGTTTTACATATTGGGCTAAGTGTACCACCAGTGAGGAAGGAGGCTATCATTATTCAGTCATGCACATAGCATGCCTTATTTCCAAATAGCTATTCAATGTGCAAGTTTGTCTAACTTTGTCGTAGTCAGCTTTCGTCCTACTGCTAAAATCAGCCTCTTTCACAATTGTTATACAAGACAACTCTCTAATCACTCGTTATCATGGCTTGCACACTTGACAAGCCCCTCAACAAGCAGCCGCCGAGGCACAAAACAAAAGAGGAAGTGGATTTGATGAAATCCGGGGATCTAGCTGCCCTGCAAAAATTCCGGGCGTCACTTTGGTTCGAAGACGAAGATAAAATCATACCACGCGCCATGAAACTACTTCAAAAAGAATAGAATGTTCGAAAATTCGATCAGTACGTGGCAGCACTCGAGAAAAAGATCGCGAGATCTCAGAAAAAACCCGACATTCAAGAAATGAAGGATTCACTTCACGAACAAAAAGTTGAGCTATGGTTCAGCGAACGAGGATGGTACGCGGCGAGGGCTTCGATACCAGAGGGTCCGTTTCTACGGGGAATGGAATTAACCCGTTCCGATCCAGCATGGTACATGAATGAGATACTCGTTCAGGATTGCGCTGATCGAGGAGGTTGTTGTGGAAGAGATTGTGGGTGCTGTCTAAGTCGTGTTAGTCCATTAAAGGGGAGGCTTTCGGCCGGCCATTGCACCGTGAAGTGTTTGTGTTGCGAAGAGTCTCGGGGGTTTGAATTGGCGCATCACGGGGGAAAGGAGCTAATGAAGCGTTTTGAGCTTGGCCCTGATACGGACTATTCATATCGGATGGTACTTGGCTCGTTACAGGGGCTTGGGCTTGATCCGGACGAGGCTATTGATGTTAAGTCTATCGAGGAGTTTTCATCTACGAAGACTGAAGTGACCGAGTCTTGGGAGGAATGCGAGGCAGGGTGAATCAGGACGGTATGAGGCGGGGGTAGGTTTTCTAACACTTTCAATCGCTATTATAGCTACACTCTTCTTGCTAGTATGAAACATTATGAACTTGCTATTGGTATTGATTGTAGAATATTGAACCCTCTTCCTTGGCGACACGTGGGTGCGGCTGGCCGCATGGGTGCCCGAAAGATTGAATTAATTTAGTAGGATATATACTGGATAGATATACACTGTAGTTATTTTGGGCTTGAGAAGTCCTGACGCATCCGTAACTTAGAAGTCGCAATCAGGTGGTGGGTGCCCAGTAGTGTTGTGCTAGACCACCTATACCGATATCACATCATGAAGCTTAAAAAAGTCTGTAAGATTGTGAAAGAAGCTGATACATGTAACTACAAACACCCATTCGTAAAATCCAAGATAAATCACCGAAGTAAAAAACATCAGCAAAAAGCACAGCCAAACTGTGAAATCTCCCATACCGGGAGTCGAACCCGGGCCTACCCGGACCTGTCTAGGGAAAGCTTGTTGACTTTTGCCTATAGGGTGAAAGCGGGTGATCCTAACCGCTGGACTATATGGGAAAGGTTGATGAAAGGGAACAAAATCAATGGTCCAAGTACAGACGAGACGTAAAAGCATAAAACCATAGACTGTTTCCTAACCTTACTTCCTTCCCACACCGAGAATTACCATGGAAGCCAAAAAATAATGAATTGAATGAATAAACTAACTGGTTTTCAGGCGCTAATCTCCCATACCGATGAACTTCCCACCAACAAGAAAGGCCTGAGTAGGGCGAAGGGTGGTCCTGATCGGTGGATCATGTCGGAAAGGTTAATGATAATAAGACAGAACAATCAGTGACTAAGGAAGTCTCTACGTCTATGCAAAGGAAGCAACCAATAGTTACATAGAATTATTCGGTCAACCTAGAGATCTCCGAGAGAGAGAGGGGGGGAGGAAGGGAGAAAAAGGCCTCTTATAAGCCAAGGACAGGCCAATGGCGCAGGGCATCCATAAACAAAAATTTCCTGCGGAAAGACTTTGGCTCATATAATCATAGAGTAGTAGTAGTACCTTCGTTAAAAAGAATAAATGGTTATCTTCCGCAGTGAGAGGGCTGCCATGGAAGCTGAAAAAATTAAATGGTTTGGAAATTGAACTTCCCATACCGGGAGTCGAACCCGGGCCTACCCGGTATTTCTCCAAGTCGAAGGTGTTGTCACGTTTCGACTATTCAGGGTGAAAGCGGGTGATCCTGACCGCTGGACCATATGGGAAAGGAACGGAAGATTGGGCAATTTATCGCTATATGAGGAGCTGATCCTTTATCAAGACTGAGCTGTATTGAGGACAATACAAGAGTGCAGCGAATCTCTTCTTTGTCAATCAGACCATTCTCATCTTATCCGCCTGGTCCCTCTATTATTACTTGACACTTCCCTAGCATCTCTGATTCCCTCTTACTACCACCTCTAGTGTCGCTAGGGCAACTCTGGTCGGTTGATAGAGGATGCGTAAGACTGAGAAAGAAATTCAAATGGTCGAATGAGATTTTTATATAGAGAGGGATGATCCGCCTCGGATCCCCAAGTCTCACTCACTGATCTCCCTCTTGCTTCGCGAGCCTAAGTGACTCTTTCGCTTCAGCGAGTTTTTCGATTCGCATGAACAGAGGATCTCGAGAAAAGTAGTACTGGGGAAGCCTGGGATAATCTCTAAGGTCAACCCCCCTCTTCTTGAACGATTTCCATAGTTTAGACAACCCGGGAACCGTGATCATTGGAATCATAGCATTCGTCGGCCTAAAGCGACTGATTGCCTGGCACTTCGGACATTTATGTATTTGGAGAACAAATTTCGGTTCCGCGTGGAAGGTCCACCTTGGGCGCGTGCAAACCTCTATCGCGCGACACTTGCTGCATCGAGTCTCCACAGTCCTAGGAAGGTCCGTAAATTCCTCAGGTAGGCGAAGAAAGTACCACTGCCAAGACGTTTCCTTGTCGGCTAGAGGAAGGAGATCGGTACGGAGGGGTTGGACATGCTTCTGGAACGGGTCGAACGGTATAAGTTGAACATGCATCTTGGGACATCCGGGAAGGCCACAAGTTTTCTCCAAACTCCATGTAACATAGTAGGTTATGTCGCCTTTCGCGTAATAGGCAAAAGAATCGTCGAGAACTCTTCTTCCACACCCTAAACATTTCCGAGGAACAATGTTCTGTGGAGGGGCGTGCATGACAAGGAGAAGGTCGACGCTCGGTCTTCTTGGGCGTGAGATCTTCTGACCATACGCAAAAAGAACACGGAAAGCGAGGGTAACAATGCTGAAACGTTGGGGATCTCCTCTAATATGAAGGAGATAAAACGCTCGTTCGAGGTCTTGTCGGGAGGAAATTGGTTGTCTATCGACCCGGAGACCTTCTTGGTCGCCGAGGAATAGAACAAGCTCCTCGGGGAGTTCATCCCATCCAGAAATGTCCGTCCAATCATGCTCGTCCAAGTTGGAGAACAAATCCTGGATCATGCTTGGGATTCTAGTAGCTAGAGTCCTTGTCGTGTCCATGGCGTCAGGGATGAAACTGGCAGACAGCTCCAAGAGTCTGTCCCAGAATTGAGATATGGACTCGAGACGGCAGAGCCTCTGTCCCACGTTAGTCTCTTAAAAAAACACGAGATATTTGGTCAAAGAAGACTCTTCATTACCTGAACTTCATTCACTGAAAGGTCTGGTTCGGTTTGGGGGTTTGAGATAGCATTTGAGCTCCACAATGCGCGAAAATTGTCTATCGTAGCGAGCTCTTCTTGATCGGCTGCTGAGGTAGCCAAGGGAGAAAGCTTGCTTTCAGTCCTAAGAGGAATTTCTGGGAAAACAGCTCTAAGCTGTGCTCGAGCTTCCCCGCGCATCTTTTCTCTTCTTGCCCTCCTGTCACCTGTCTCTTTGAATTTGGTGAGAAGTCCAGGGCCATACTCATAGAAATGAGGCTCAATCTCTATATTCCCGAGAAGAGATGCTACCTTTAGCTTTAGGTCTTGGACCCTCCCATTGCGACTTCTGAATTCTTGGGCTCTCTCGGTCGTGCTCTTCACATATGCGTAGGATTGGGGGTGTCTCACAAACAGCAGAAAGCGTTTGAGTGACTTTTGATCATTTGAAAACTCGAGGTGTAAAGTAACGTCTCTGTATTCTCCCCAAAGTGTCAATTGTTGAAGGTTGCACAGAGTCTGCATTCGTTGATGGACTCTAAAGCCCCAGCACACTTCCACAACGGCCCTCATTGCATGTCGAAGTGCAGATATGAATCGGACGTATATATCACAAAGATCTTTAGGATAGAATTTATCAACATGTTCACTGTCTTCTCTCCTGGCGAAATGGTCGAAGAAGAGCGAATTTTCCGTGTTGAACCCAGCCCTATTGATTTGTGCCATGGACGGGTTGGACATGTTATACATCGCTGTGGCATATGGGTCTGCAACACAAAAGGTTGGATTAAACATGTGGCAAGCCACCAATGCGTCTAAGGACCCATGGGGTGGTAACATGAATTCATGGGGCCTATCAACGCCGCGGGATCTCCACCACCGTCCCTCATCAGCCACGAGCTTTTCAAAGGCCTCGTTCAGGTCCCAGGCGGTGGAATGTTCTCGTGGGTTCGTAGCTAGTCCCATATCAATATCATCTGACGAAGTTGGAGTAGACCGACCATGGACTAATACTGGTAGGTTTTGGAGTCGAGCTCCCGAATGAATGGCAGGAGATCATTGAGCCTGGAAAGCTCATCTGCGCTCAAATGCCGGCCAGGGTCTTCTAACCAAAGATCGCCAAAGAGTCGAAAATCATAATTCTGCGTTGGCCTGCGTTGTAATTTTGTCGAACTGAGCATCGTTGTACCAAGCTTTTGGGATTGAGACGGTTCTCTGAATACCGTGTGACCTCTTAGGAGCAGGCTGAGGGGAGAAAGTAAGATAAAGTACGCGAGGCGTTTTTACTGATTTCAACGGCAGAGACCCATACTTAGCCACATAGTTAACTGCCGACAACCTGAAAAATTAGGCTACCAATAGACGATATAACATAATAACGCACGAGGAATTTGAAATTTTCGCCACCTACACTAAACGAGAGACAATCAAAGGCCTAATATTATCTTATAGTATCGAAGAATTCACTAGCCTAGTTAGAGCTACCGTAGCGACTGGGGCTATATCATTATTCTCAATTGAGGCTACCGCTATGATGTAGAGAGAGGTAGAGGGAGAGAGGTAGAGAGAGAGAGAGAGAGGGAGAGAGAGAGAGAGAGAGAAGAGCGCGAGAGAGAGAGAAATGCAGAGAAAGAGGGAGAGATTTAGGGGTATTCGAAAGCAGACTGACTTGGCTCATTCGGATGTTACAGTAGATGCATGATTAATGAACTATTTGCTCTAAGCGGTCTTAAAGACGATATGAAAAAACCACTTGCGTGAAGGTGGCCACTATCAACCGCCGTACCCATACCCATGCGTGTTGATAGTTCGACCATGTGATGGCCATCCATCATTTTCCCATTGCCTTGATTCAAGCCTACTGTGGAAAGGTGAAATTAATATGGTGTGACTAGGAGTTCATACTTCTTGTCTCATTGCTTGATGACGATGCAGGATACCCGCTAGGCCAAAAATGCTTCATGAGCGACATTTTCAGACTATACGGTTATATGTGGAGTCTCTCAACATTGCTTAATGTGGGTTATGCAGCCGACGAATAGCCACTAGGGTGTCCATGTTGAGTCATTTGAACAAACAAGGCGATTGATTCATGGATGAACTGTGAATTCATGGGATTCAGGGCAGAGTTGAATATGTGTAAAAGTTTACCCTATGGGGAAAAAAAAATGTTGGAGTTGTCCATAATGGAATATTTTGTAAAACCTCTCACGCGAGAGCTGTGGACATGAGCTTAGAAATAATGCATTGTTCGTTGTAGATTCCAGCTACTATTTCTGATTGATATCTTTCCTTGGCCTTTTTCCAAAACATAAGCAGATAGCAAAGATCTTTATGGCCAATTGACAAAAGAGTGTTCGCCATAGAAAGGTCCCATAATTTCCCGATCCTCAAGTTCCTTTCCCCCGATAGTGTTCACGACAATGAATAGAATTGGTATCAATGGATGAATTGATGTGTTTGATACCGCAGGACTCCGAGAGTGCCGAAGCACATAGAACTCTGTATCAATAATTAGTTTAATGAGTGGTAATAAACTGCAAAAGATCATGATGTTTCTTACCTTTACTCCTCGTCGTTCATAGCAGTAATAGCCTCAGCAAGGGCATCAGCAGAGCGCTTAACCTCCTCAACAGCCTCGGCAGTGCGCTTGACCTTGACGCAGCCCTGGCCGGGATGGGCGCACCACTTCTGAAGAGCGGCGGGGTGAGCCTCAGCCATGGCCTCGGCGAGAGCATCAGCGGAGCGCTTGACCTCGGTGGTGACATCGGCAGTGCGCTTCATCATGTAGCAGCCCTGGCCGGGGTGAGCACACCACTTCTGAGCAACGGGCTCAGGCTCGGCCTCAGCGGAGCGCTTGGCGCAGCCCTGGCCGGGGTGACCGCACCACTTCTGCATAGTACGACCAGGAGCAGCGTTGGCAGTGGTGGCGGCCATGAGGGCAATGGCAATGGAGAGGAACTTCATGTTGAAGGATGTGTAAGAGAGTGAATTTGAAGAAGATTTGGTTTGAAATGAAAGTCTTTTTGGGTTGTTGGTTGGAAGATTGCTGGACGAAGATCGTTGGATGATGATCGTGAATTAGGAGCAGACCATGGCCAGGGGAGGAGGAGGGCTTTATAAGTCCTCCAGAACGAGGAGGATATCCTGCCTCGTCGTCGTCCATCGACTAGGTTGCTGTCTGGATCAAAGGATGGAAGACATCTTATTGACACCCCGATTAGGAAATCAGGTTGTCGAGCCTCAATAGCAACCGAACTTGGAGGCCGCCACCGCTCGTTTGAAGTTCTTTGTGCCTGAGTCAAGGGAACGAAGATGATCTGTCACGTTCTGCAAATATCGTGCCTGGATGCGTCACCGGGGAGCTTGACTGAAGGCAAGACTTGATGGACTCGTTGGCGTGGAGAAGACATACTTGGAAAGGAGCCAATCAGGATGAGACTGGCGGTTGGCCTCGATAGCCCAGTCCCTTTGTTTGCCAGTTCTGCCATATATTTCGAGGCACCTGCCTTTTCCTAAAGTGTAGTTGAATAAGAAGCGCCACAAAGCCAATTGTGGAGATCAGAAGGAAACGCACTTCCTAAAGAGGTGTTGAATAGAACAAATGGGTGACTGGATTTCATTGTTTGATCAGAAGGCGGGTTGCCCGATAAGATCGGGCCGCCACCAGCCGCAAAAAGGACAGTCGCACGTCGCCAGTCGCGCCAGGTCCGATGCCGAGCCCATCCGGGGGTCCTTTTTTTCCGTCCCTTCACGGTTAGCCTCCTCTTCTGATCCTTTCCTCCGTCCCCTCTCACCCCGTTTTTTGGCCTCGTCCACACCACCACTCCCAATCCTTCCCTCTCCCCTCTTTTGCCCGTGTCAAAGAATTCGTGAATTCGAAAAAAAGATGTTCTCTCGCACGGCCCAGCCTGCCCGGGTACGTCGTCCAATCCCTATTCCTGTCCTCCTCGTGGGCGCATTTCCTTGGCTAACCGAATTCAGACTCTGCTTCGCAGTGCCTCCGTGGCTCCCTCCTTCGGTCGCTCCATTCCTGCGAGAAGTACGCTCATCGACCCTTCGAGAACGCGCTCGTCAGTTTCAATTGGTGCAATGCATGGCTAACACTGGTTTTTTCATTCGCGATTAGCTTTCGCTTCCGTGCAGTCGGACATCTTCAAGCCTACCAAGTATGGTGGCAAGTACACGGTCACTCTGATTCCCGGTATGCCCTCGTCGCAGAGCTCCCCGATTCTCCGCGAAGATCTTGTCATCGCGCGCTACAATCACCGGAAATACTGACCAGTCGCTAGGTGACGGAATTGGTGCTGAGGTCGCGGAGTCGGTCAAGACCATCTTCAAGGCTGACAACGTCCCCATCGAGTGGGAGCAGGTCGACGTTAGCGGTGTGGACACTGGCAACAAGCACTCCGAGGAGCTGTTCCGTGAGTCGCTGGCCTCGCTCAAGCGCAACAAGCTCGGTCTGAAGGGTATCCTGCACACTCCCGTCGAACGGTCCGGCCACCAGTCCTTCAACGTCGCTCTCCGTCAGGAGCTGGACATCTACGCCTCGATCTCTTTGATCAAGAACATCCCCGGCTACGAGACCCGCCACAAGAATGTCGACCTGTGCATCATCCGTGAGAACACCGAGGGTGAGTACTCTGGCCTCGAGCACCAGTCTGTCCAGGGTGTCGTCGAGTCCCTCAAGATCATCACCCGCGCCAAGTCCGAGCGCATCGCCAAGTTCGCCTTCAGCTTCGCCCTCGCCAACAACCGCAAGAAGATTACCTGCATTCACAAGGCCAACATCATGAAGCTGGCCGACGGTCTCTTCCGCAGCACCTTCCACAAGGTCGCTGAGGACTACCCTACCCTGGAGGTCAACGACATGATTGTCGACAACGCCTCCATGCAGGCTGTCTCCCGCCCCCAGCAGTTCGATGTCATGGTCATGCCTAACCTGTACGGTGGTATCCTCTCCAACATCGCTGCCGCCCTTGTCGGTGGTCCCGGTGTCGTTCCCGGCTGCAACATGGGCCGTGACGTTGCCGTCTTCGAGCCCGGCTGCCGTCACGTCGGTCTCGACATCAAGGGCAAGGACCAGGCCAACCCCAGCGCTCTGATCCTTTCTGGTTCCATGCTGCTCCGCCACCTGGGTCTTGATGACCACGCCAACCGCATCTCCAAGGCTGTCTACGATGTGATTGGTGAGGGGTAAGTGATCCTCATATCCATCTTTTGCAATATCCTTTGTTTACTGACCATCACTACAGCAAGACTCGCACTCGCGATATGGGTGGTCAGGCTACCACCCACGAGTTCACCCGGGCCGTTCTGGACAAGATGGAGTCGTCTCTGTAAATTTGAACCCCGTCGCCTCCCACGTCCCTTACTGCTACGACTGGGGACCCTCCTCACCGGCTCACCTGCGGTGGATCCTGCAGCATCTGGGCCGGCTGGAATGATTCCCAATTATGTATTATCTTTCTTTCTATTTAGCTCGCGATGTCCCCCTGGCAAGTTATAGCAATAGACATTTTTGTTTTCAGATCTTGCGATCTTTTTGGTCGGTTTTCGTTGGTGTCGTGATATACAAAGGCCATATTTCTTGAGACTGATCAAGTAGGTTCATGGAGAGGTACTTGGGCTTTGGCTACAATCATGACTGCTCTTCCACATCACCGCCACGATATTCAGGTCGAGTAATAAACTTGCCGACAACTAGCAGGATGATTGAGAAATAGCACCATATATAAGCCAGCCATAGTATAACAATCTTCTGGTATCACATAGAACATGCCTCATGAGTGGAGATGCCTCCCAAACTAGGACCCAAAACTATATACCACAAAAAGTATTCACATAACCCGAAACACATCCATCAAATCATAGTACCATGCAAAACACAAACCCCATCCCCAACAACCCCCCTCCTCAATTCGGACACAACCACTGCGGCGTCTGAACCCCCGCACAACCATGCATCCGCGAATACCTCGTCCGCTCCTCAAACAGCCCATACTGCGACTCCATCGATCCCGGCCCAACCTCCCACCACTGCTGACTCTTATACACGGGATCCGTAGACGCAGCGTACGGTTCACCGGTGGAAGGTTCCTTCGGCAACGCCGGGCTCATCGCGTTCGTGGATGAAGGTGTACCTGCATAGCCGGATACCATGTACGGCTCCGCGCCTTTATCGTCCATTGAGTCGTCCATCTCGGTGTCTTGAGATTGGGTGGGTTGTCCGTGGATAGCGTAGAGCTGCCACGTTTGGATCAGACGTTGTTGCTGCTCGGTGTCTGCGTGTCTGATGAGGTCGAGTTGGGCCGGGGTGAGGGTGTTTGGGTCGATGCCATGTTGGAGGAGGAGCGAGGTGAGGGCTTGGTCTTGGGTTGAGGTTGCTAGTGTGGGGATGGAAGGAGGGGCTACGTGGGACGAGTGGTGGTAGTGCTGGGTGATGCTGTAGGAAATGGGTTGTTGGGAGGAGGTTGGAGCGGGAGTTGAGTTTGTGGGTTGTGGGGGGATGTGTTGATGCTGCTCCATGGACATTTGGCGGTCGAAGAGGGCTGATAGTTCGTCTTGGAGTTTGTTGTTGCTTTCGGAGACAGAGAGACCGCACTAGATAGAGAGAGGAGGGTTTTTATTGTCAGGCACTGTTGTTTATTTGAGTATTCTGGATGTAGGATTTAGTGGACTAAGGTACCTGTGCACAGTGGGGGTTTTCGATGAAGGCGGCTAGGGAGAGGGAGATGTCGGATATGTGGCTGCAGAATGGGCACTGGTGTAGGATGGAGGATGACATGATGGTGGTTTAGATGAACAGAGAGGTGAGAAGAGAGGTGGAATAGAACGAGTCGGAAGAGTGGAAGGAAAATTATGGAGGGATTATGGTCAATATCAACGGGAATCTGGAATATCAATGTGCTGGAAAAGGGGGAACTAGGTTTGGATCCTAGTCAAAGGTGGAAGGTTGATAGTTATGGTTCGGCACTGCTTAGCAAGTAGAGAAGAGTCCAGCAAGAAGAAGATAGGGTGGGATAGAGTATCAAGTCAATAGCAGAGAGAAGAAATAATGACGAAGAATATCCCCCGCCTGACCCCGCGATGCCCAAGCAGGAAATTCAGGAGTTGGGCCGCACCGCGAAGTCATTAGTCAGGGGAACTTATGATTTGTAGAGAGGAATGAGTACCGTGTAGAATAAACATGAAAAGCGAGAATAGAATTTATTGTACACGAGTAAGAAACGAAGTATATCTCAAAAAGTTGACCCGAAGTAGAAAGTATGATGTAAGTCTACAAAATAGTTAACTAGCCAGTTGGGGAACTGACAAACGTCCATGATTGTGTACTTCGTAAAAGTACTTCGCCCTCCCGTACTTTGTAAGTTATACTTTCGCTGCAGTTATACTTTCCCTAGTTAGTTACTGTCTGTTGGTCCTCCTTTACTGTCAGCCAACTCCGCCCAATGTTGATCCGGGTCATGTGACCCAGGCAGCCCCCGTGACGCAGCTTCCAGCCCCGAACTGGAAGCTCTCTCCATCGCGTCGACTTCTCCCAAACAGCTTTCATTCTTCCCACCCGTTGACGTCTCGGATCCAGGAAGACATCCCTTTACACTACACACTACCATCATCATGGTATGTCCGCCCAAACCATTGTCCCCTCCCCCCATCCCGATCATCCACAACTAGCTAATCACACCGCGGACAGACGTCAATCGGCACGGGTTACGATCTTTCCAACTCGGTCTTCTCGCCAGATGGCCGGAATTTCCAGGTACGGCTACTCTTTTGCACGGCTGGCCCTCAACGATGGGCTCCTTGCAAGCTTCCTCCATCTGACCCTCCCGCTCTCTCTACAGGTCGAGTACGCCGTAAAGGCAGTCGAGAACGGCGGCACAGCTATCGGCATTCGATGCAAGGACGGCGTCGTCTTGGCCGTGGAGAAAATCATCAGCAGCAAACTCCTCAAGCCCGGGGCGAATAAGAGAATTGCGACCGTTGATCGCCACGTCGGCATTGTGAGATATATCCCTTCCCGCAAGAGAGGGCACCGTCGCTGTCGCTGTGCTTACTTCTTGAATTCCTATCTCTGCAAGAAACTCTGGGTCACACTCGATGCTAATTTCCTGGGCGTCTAGGTATCGGCTGGTCTTGTCCCCGATGGTCGTCATTTCGTTTCCCGCGCTCGCGACGAAGCCTCCTCGTGGAGAGCTACATACAAGGGTCCCATCCCGACTTCTGCACTCGCTAATCGTCTCGGCGGTTACGTACAAGCATACACCCTCTACTCCAGTGTACGGCCATTCGGTGTGACCTCCATTGTTGGTGGATGGGATAGCGAGGCCGAGCTACCGGTCGATGGCCAGGTTGGCTCTGGACCGAAGTCGGGTGCTGGTGGAAAGATCGAGGGTGCCAAGGCTGGCGGACCTGGTCTATACATGATTGAGCCTAGTGGATTGTACTGGGTATGTACAGCTCAGGATTTCTATTCCTGGTTAATATTCCTACGGCGGGATATATGCTAACAGATTTGGTGTACAGGGATATTATGGTGCTGCCACCGGCAAGGGACGGCAGGCGGCCAAGGCTGAATTGGAGAAGTTAGACCTTAGCTCGGGGAAACTTTCTCTGATGGAGGGTGTGAAAGAGGCCGCTCGTATTATCTACGTTGCGCACGAGGATAGCAAGGACAAGGAGTTTGAGTTGGAGATGTCCTGGATTAGCTCGCTCGATGGTCCTACCAAGGGTCGGCACGAGGAGGTACCCAAGGAGATTCTGGAAGAAGCCGAAAAGGCTGCGCGACGGGCACTGGACGAGGATGAAGAGGAGGAGGATAAGGGTGCAGGGGAGCAGATGGAAGAGTAAACGAGGAGTAATAGAACCAGCGCAACGAGCAAGAAACCCTACACCTGCGGAACGAATTTCACATCCTTCAATTTTAATCTGCTGGCTTTCTGGCCAAATACCATATACTCTCGAGCAAGGAAGTAAATCTGTCAAAAACACATGCATCCTCCACAAGCCCAAGAAGCCATATCTCCCCTGCAAGTCTTCTTCCCAATTTACAAAATCTTCCCCTCCGACCAATCCCGCCTCTTAACACCCAACTCAACAGCCGCACTCCCCCAATCCTCTCCATGATTATGCATCCCACTACTCCCAAGCCCAGCCCTCTCCAGCCCCTGCTCCTCCGTCAACACAGTCAAAAGACCAAAAATAACAGGAACCCCCGTATCAAGCTGCACCCGCATCAGCCCATGGCTGACCGCGTCCGCGATGTACTCGAAGTGCATGGTCGCGCCCTTGATCAGCACGCCGATGGCGATGATCGCGTCGAAGGGCTTCTTGGGGGTTGTGGTGGTGGTTGATTTGGCGAGGTCCGTTGTTGAGGAGGAGAGGAGGTCCGTGGCGCTGATGCCTTCGCCCGTGTTGCTGGCTTGCACTTGGGACGCGGCGTAGAGGCTGGTGCGGAGGGCGAGTGTGTTGGTTAGCTTGGGCTCAGACTGCTCCCGAGGTATAGACAGCCCATCGTGCGAGGGCAAGAGTGGAATAGGGAATGCGGTAAAGGTGTGGGTGGAGTGTGTATAGAAGGCCAGACATACCGCTGCACACCAATGGGCAACTCGTAGCTACCAGGGACAGTCTGGATAGTGATGTTTTCCTCCTTCACACCCGCAGCGAACAAGCTCTTCTTCGCGCCGGCGACGAGCTTCTCAATGATAGCCGTGTTCCAGCGGGCGTGCACAATAGCAATGCGGAGATCAGAGCCTAACAAATACACGTTGTTCTCATTAGTTTCCAGGATCGCATCTTGGAACGATTGTCCAATCTCGGAGGGGACCGGATGGACTCGTGGCGCGGGGTTCTGTACTTACCATCGAAGGTCTCTGCAGCTCCGGGGCCTTTGATGGTGGTCATTTTTGCGGAATTGAATAACGATCGGGATTTGCTGGGGGGTTATTGATAGGATCACAGGTAATTATATTTGAATGGCTTGGGGATTTTGGTGGTTGAGGAGGACGGAAGCATCGAGGAGATGAGGTCCCGCATTCGAGAGTCACTGGTGCCGGGGCGGGGGAGGGCGGAATGGAATGTCAACGCCGAATACGGCAAAATCATAGTGAAGCTCTGGTCTGCGGGCTACGAGCAACACAGCATATACTCTATCATATCTGTTTAGTATTTCAACTTGACATTGGCCAGTTCCAATGGCTCTATATTTGTTTTATTAAAGCTTACATTGTTACATTCTGATCTTAATACGACGAAACAAAAGTGGCACAATAGAAAGAATTCCATTCTCGGGAATAAGCTTAACAAAACACAGGCATTAGGACCTAAAGGTAAAGAAACAGATCATTGCAGTCGTCTACTTGAATACTTTCTTTGAAGCGCCCCCTTCCCTTCCCATTTACTCGACCGTGACGGACTTGGCCAGGTTACGAGGGAAGTCGACGTTCAAGCCTTCGCCAACAGCCAGCCAGTAGGAGATCAGCTGCAGCGGAATGACGTTCAACAGACCCTGGAGGCAGTCCACGGTCTTGGGAACGACAATCTTCTCGGTCTGGGCAGAGGAGAACTCGGGGTCATCCTCGTTGCAGATAACGATGGGGCGACCGCCACGGGCAATGACTGGAGAAAGAATTAGCGTATGCACAGGAATCATATGTTTTTTCGATATAGGGAAAATACTCACCCTGCTGGTAGGCGTTCAGGGACTTGGTGAACAGGTTGTCACGGGTGAGGATCATGATGATGGGCAGGTTCTCGTCAACAAGAGCCAGAACACCGTGCTTCAGCTCACCAGACATAACGGCCTCACAGTGGAGGTACGAAATCTCCTTAATCTTGAGGGCACCTGAAAACAAAACAATCAATTAGCAACTCATCACATGATGACACATGACAAACGTCAAAGACTTACCCTCAAGGGCGGTGGGGAACTGAGCACCACGACCCAGCAGGAGCAGACTCTTCTGGTCCTTGAAGAACTTGGCGCACATCTCCTTGATGGGCTCGTTGAGCTTCAGGATCTGGCGGAACTGGTCCGAGACCTTGCCCAGACCCTCAACGATCTCCTCGCGGCGCTTCTGCTTCGAGGCACGGTCCTCGCTCAGAGACAGAGCGAACATGACCATGGCAACGAACTGGGAGGTGTAGGCCTTGGTGGAGGCAACACCAATCTCGGGACCGGCGTTGATGTGGACACCGCAGTGGGTGAGGAGAGAAATGGAGGAGCCGACAACGTTGACGATACCAACGGTCAGCGCACCACGCTCCAGACAGTAGCGGAGGGCCATGAGCGAGTCCGCAGTCTCACCAGACTGAGAAACGAACACGCAGGTGTCGTCACGGAAGACAGGGGCCTGACGATCCAGGAAATCGGAGGCCAGCTCCACGGCAATGGGGATCTCGGTCAACTCCTCAAAGACACCACGCACAGCCATGCAGGAGTGGTAGCTGGTACCGCAGGCGATGAAAATGAGACGACGGCACCGGCGAATGGTGGAGATATATTGACGGAGACCACCCAGGGTGACCTTCTTGTTAACGGCGTCCAGACGACCACGCATGGTGTTGACGACGGACTCGGGCTGCTCGAAGATCTCCTTCTGCATGAAGTGGTCGAACTTGCCCTTCATGATCTCCTGGAGCTCCAGCTCGATGGTCTGGATAGCACGGACGTTGGAGGTACCGTCATCCTTGGTCAGACGGTGGATGTTCAGCTGACCCTCGTGGATGTGCGCAATGTCGTCGTCCTCGAGGTAGAGAACCTTCTTGGTGTGCTCGACGATGGCCGAGGGGTCGGAGGAGAGGAAGAACTCGGCCGGCTGGGGGATGCCGTCGTCAGACAAGAAGGCGCGCGACTGGGAACGGTGCAGCAGCGACTTGTCAGGAGGGGCCAAAAGGCTGGTGGCAGACTTCTTGAGGGCGACATTCTGGGAGGCCTGCTCCGCGGGAAGAGCACCGTCTTCCGAGAATTCGACATCAACAAAGTCCACCTTCATCTTCTTGGAAGTCCGCACACCGATGACCAGAGGCGAACCCTTACGGGCGGCAATGACCTCGTGGGGGTAGTGAACGGACTTGAGGAGCAGGCCGAAGGCACCCTCCAGCTCCTTGATCACAGCCTTGGCCAGGACGGTGAACTCAATGTCGGGGTGCTGGTCATACAGGTACTTGGCCAGCTTGGCAATGCACTCGGTATCGGTCTCGGTCTCAAAGCGGAAGCCCTTGGTCTCCAGCAGAGCCTTCAATTCCTTGTAGTTGGTGATAATACCATTGTGGACCACGGCGAACTCCCAAGAGGGGTCAGATCTGTGAACAAGGGGGGTAGATGCATTAGCTCGAAACTCTCTTGTTTTATCCCTTCATTCGCCTGGTTTTTTGGACTCCCAGCGAGGAATTCGTTTGAAATGGGAGGCCAGCTGGGTATTTCCTTCTCTGGCAGGGAATTGGCTTACCGGTGGGGGTGGCAGTTCTGGCGGGAAGGGGTGCCGTGGGTGGCCCAGCGGGTGTGAGAAATACCAGCGTGAGACTCGAAGGTCTTGGTCATGTCGGGCTTGGTCTCGGCAATGAGCTCGCGGAGCTTAGCGACCTTACCAACTTCCTTGAATGCCTGCACCTCGTTCTTCTTGTCACCATCAACCGCCATACCGGCCGAATCGTAGCCGCGGTACTCCAGTCTGGAGAGGCCTAAGTGGTTGTTGTTTCAGATTAGCAGCGATTCCCCACTCTGGGGGGCGAGGAACACGGTGTTGAGAAGACGTACCATTAAGCAGAGTGTCAATGATGAACTGGCGGTCCCGCTCGACCAGGTAGTTGATGTAGCCAAAGATTCCACTAGACAGGGGAAAAAAGATGTAAGCACCACTTGATTGCCAGGTTGGAGGGACGGAGGGGGAGGAGAGGGGAAGGCGCCACTTACCACATGATGGGCAGTATTAAACAAAAGGATGAGACAAGCGATTGAAGTAGTTGGGAGAAGAAGAGGGTTATTGGAGAGAGAGTAGGTTGTTTGGAGGAGGGAGGGGGGGGGATAACGAAGGCAGGAGGAGAGAGAGAGAAGAGGAAAATGACGAAGATGCACGAAGCAGCGAGAGGCTGAATCGTATTTATAGAGGGGAAGGTAAACTGGAGGAAAGGGAGGGGTGTGGATCGGACACGATCTCAAGTGCCCACCGCCCGGTTGCTCCTCTCCTCATAATACTCATAAATAATAATCATAATAATAGATTATTCCTAACCAAACAACACACGCAAAATCATATTTCATCAGAATTTCCCGAATATTCAATTGGTGATGCTCTCGACAAGTCCAATGTTTACTTTATTCTTAGCTCTTGTTTTCCCCCGACTCTCGCTTTGTTTTTTTCCCCTGGACCTGTCAGGTTAGAACCTAGGTTCTATGCACCGTGTCCCTAGGTTTTTTTTTTTCTCTCTTTCAGTCCCAAGTCCCAAGTCCCAAGTCGGTCCCAGCTGCCGGGCCAATGTGTCAGCCCCGTAGCGATCCTGTCTCACCTCTTCTCGCCTTCCATGGCTGGAGGTTCAAAGAAGAGGGGCCTTCTGGCAGGGACCGAGCCTATAGGAGCACCGCTGGCCTCAGGTACCCACTTTTTCTCTTGGTTGCTGAGAGTAAAAATAATCTTCCCACCATAAGAAGGGAAATAATTATAGTTATTCAGAATGATGACTAGAGGCTTGAAGGATCATGGACTCAAAACAGGCTACGTATGCCTTTGCACAGTATCATGATTATTATCGCGATCGCTGGAGTCGCCATACGGAGAACACCGTACCCAGATGTCTTTTCCTGTAGCTCGGAGATCTCAATTGGGCAATAACGGCCACCTTGAAAACAATCCTCAACCTCTCCAGCTATTAACATTATTCGACTGATTATTATATTATTAACGTGCGGACTAAGATGTACTAATGAACCCAGATTCCCCGTAGTTCCCTTTCTACGCTAGTTATAGTGTAAGACCACCCCTTTCCATGTTTATTCCAACAGACTGTACTGTCGAGTAGCCATCGCCATTCTTTACCTCCGATATAGCACCTTTCGAGTGGTGGCTTCACCTAGGAAGCTGGTGGCGACGAACCAGAGGTCATCGCATGTCAGAGATCCCTGCAGGAGGCTGCTGTTGTGGAGTCTCGGTCGTCCCGCACCATATACGTGATCCTACTCCTCTTCCATACTGGACGGGGCCAAAACACATGCATAGCTCGTCTCTTCTTCCCCTTAACAGATGCAGCAGACTAGTTGGCACCCACTCACAGACGAGTAGATTAGGGAAGAGACAATGTTTATTTTTACCGTGGGGGGCATTCTCGGACGCCGACCCGTTCCCGTTCCCACCGGGTCTCACAATCCGAGTGCCAAACTATCGACTTTCGGATGCTATTTTTGTTCTCCTCGGCTTCTGCTCAGCCACAGCCCTCATACCGTTGGCCCCCCTACTTTTCCAGGCACCGTTCGGCATTACATACCTCTTCTTCAGCCTTACTTGGACCTCCATTGAAGATCTTTACGGATTTTTGCCCCATCCAATAAGCTGGATGGGGAATGCCCCTGTGTCTACGAGTATGTATCTATGCACCATTGCCACAAAGTGCCAACGGGGTGGTCATGGCCTGACCGCTAAGGCATGTATCCTCCGTATGGTCTGCATCACAAGCTCTTCCTTACAGATGCAGCAGTTGCCCGTACCTGCTGCGGATGCGCTGAATTGGTACACAGATCATGCACTGGATGCTTAGCCGGTGGGAAGTCTTTTTGTAATGTGATGAATGCTCTTAGCGAACTTCTAGACGTTATCTCAATCAAACAAAGAGGGAAGAACAAACCTAAATCTAGTTGCCAGAATCTTGGGAAGAATGAATTGGCCTGCTCATACTTGTAAGGAGAACCGGAACAAATGTTGATGGATGTGACATACCGCCTAAAAATCTACATAATCTACATAATCTTCAAATTCTAGAGAGGTGTTCTCTGGATGGCCTGCCCGGTAGGCTGTAATTTGCTTAGCTAATAGTTGATATCACCTGACATCTAGCCCCAGACACAAAAGGCCGAGTCCCCACTCTTCTCACCGCCCTCCTTTCGTTCTCCTCACCGCCTACTATTTTCGCTCAGACGCTCCCCTGCAAAACTCGCTTTCGCGTTGCATTAATTGTCCCTTCCACGGGTTCCTGGGCAAAAGTCGATTCCCTCTTGCTGTCCTTGTCCCTTTCCTCCCCCTTCCTCCCTTTCTCGACCTCGTCTATACTGGGCTGGGGATCTGTCTGCCAGTCTCTTGGGTTCACAACAAAACCCCAGGCTCGAGGATGCTGCCTGGTCGTCGCGAGGCCGTCTTGGGTGTGTAGCCACATCTCACATCATGTCACGCGCCTCGGCCGGGTTTGCGGACTTTTTTCCCACCGCGCCATCGGTTCTATCGCAGAAGCGCGTCAAGGTTCGAGATCGGCGAGGCAAAAGTTGCGATGGTGAGACCCAGCCGTCCGATCTCCGAACGCCCACCGCGCCCAGTGCATCTGCGACGGGTGGGGTACCCAAAGACCCTGCGGTGGAAGGAGATATCACTCAATCTTCATCCAGCGCGGCGGCAGGAGGCCCAGTAACGACGCTGAGCCATACGGAGCTCAATGGGACCCTGCCGCCAGCTATCACCGACTCTCATCCTCCATCTCATCTCGACACCCTCACACCCCTCACCCACCCAGAATCCTCCCCACCGCGCAAAGCAACTGGCTCCCCCAAGATCGCGGGCAAGAACTCTCCAGTCATTCCCCTCCATTCAAAGACAGAACCTCCCAAGTCGTCCGTGACCCCCATTCACACACCGCCGACTCCCCAATCGCAAACCCGCCAGGAGATCGTGGTCAAAGGCCGTAAAGTCGTGTATGATCCCGATCTGGACAAGCGGCCATCCAAGGAGAAGCGCCGCAAGCCTGAGTACGTCGATATCGTTGCGAATGGCCAAAGCGCTCCTCCTGATCCCCGCCTGGCAATTCCTAACTACTCGCGTGGGTCGGCTTGTAAGCAAAAGACCAAATATCGGCCGGCGCCATATACCTTGAAGCAATGGCCGTACGATCCCGCGACAAGCATTGGACCCGGTCCTCCAGTGCAGGTCGTCGTGACTGGCTTTGACCCGCTCACTCCCGTCGCTCCCATCAGTGCGCTCTTCTCCAGCTTCGGCGAAATTGCAGAGATCAATAACAGGACAGATCCGATCACTGGCCGGTTTCTGGGGATTTGCTCGATCAAATACAAAGATAGTGCTTCGTTTCGCGGCCGTGGTCCTATCTCGGCTTCGAGCGCAGCGAAGCGCGCATATCTCGAATGTAAGAAGGAGCAGCGTATTGGCACTCGTCGGATCCGGGTCGAGTTAGATCGGGACGGGATTGTGTCGGAGCGCATGGCCTCGAAAATGATCGAGTCGCAACGACAGGCCTCCAAATCCGCCTCTGTCGCAGCGGCAGCTGCAGAGTCCAAATCCGCCGAGCTTCTAGCCAAGAAGAATGAACCTCCTCCAACCGCGCCCAAAGGTCCCTCCGGTCGATCCGCCATGCGGCCCGGGCTGGTTATCCCGGAAGGACCTCGTGCATGTCTTCGCCCTCCTTCCGTACAATCTCTGGTCGAGGAAACTCCGATCCTCAGCCAGATCAAGCGCGAACCTTACATCTTCATTGCTCATTGCTATGTCCCAGTTCTCAGCACTACGGTCCCCCACCTGAAGAAACGATTAAAGCTCTTTGACTACAAGTCCATTCGTTGCGATAAAACAGGGTATTATGTTATATTTCACAATTCTCGCGCGGGCGAGCAGGAAACGGAGAGATGCTTCCGTCTATGCCACATGCAACCCCTCTTCACCTATATCATGAACATGGAAAGTCAGCCCTACGGAAATCCCAACTACGTGCGCAGTCCGAGTCCCGAACGCCTCCGTGCCGAACAAAGACAACAGGTTGAGGAGGAGAGAGCCAGGAAGGAGGCCGAGCTGGATGCGGAGGAAGAAAAGAAACAGCGTGCCTTGGATCTGGATCCTTGTCGAGAAGTTTTGGCGGTCATCATTCGGGATCTTCGAGACAAGCTCCTTGAGGATGTCAAGTCCCGCATTGCTGCGCCGACTCTGTACGACTACCTCGACCCCAGTCGCCATGCAGCCAGACGGGAAAGATTGGGGATCCCAGGTCCAGAGGGCACCAAGCGGCCAGCTTTCCGAATCGGCGTGGATAGTTCTGCAGGTACCCCGGACTCTCGATCTGAATTATCCAGTCACCGAGACCCGCTTCGCTTCTCGAATCTTAACGTGTTGGCTTTGCCACGTATTCGTAAGGCTCAGGGCCTCGATCGTGGAGGCGCAGCCTTTGTGGACGAACGGCGCCGACAGCCTCTGCGGCCGAGAGAAGTTCGCCCACTCTATCATCGGTTACAGCAATTGCATGATGATGAAGACTCGGACGATGATCAGCGGACTCCTCTCACGAGATACACGGAAGAGAGAAGTAGTCGCCCGCCCAGCCGTGCAACTTCCGTCTCTTCTGTGGATCAGGATGAAGAGTATCAATCAGACATTTTAGAGTCCCTTGACGAAGGTGGAACTACAACCGCAGATGACGCCTTGCTTGAGGGTGAATCACTCTCGCCCACTTCGCGGAAGAGAAAGCGGTTGGCAGGGGATCTTGATGCTCGCAAACGACAACGGCAGGATGATGAACTCTTCAGCATCGGACCCTCAGAAGGGACGGTTGAGGATGGACATCCGGAGCCCCCGACCGGCATTGATGCTGATCTCATCGAAGGCAAAGGAGAGGCCGTCGATTCTCGCGATGAAATTCCGGAGAAGTTGTCAGCAGACCAATACTCGAGCTCGTCTCTGGCAAGGGTATCGTGCCAGATGATCTTGCTGTTGGCGAGCCATGGGAGACCGAGGTTCTTGAAAAGCCAAAGACTGAAATCGAATGGGGCGTGTCTCATCATGAGCCACGTGCCACAGTGGAGGACGATGAGTCTATCATCCTGGATCTGGATGGTTGGCAACAACTGATCAAGGATGACGAAGACATCCAATTCCTCCGGGAAATCTTGCTCAACCACTCTGCTTCCAGTCTTGGTGATCTTAGCGCCTGGGCATGGCGGCAGAAGGAGATCAAGGCTCTCAATCAAGTGGAGGCGAAGGGACCCACTCGCGAGGTTATCGGTATCGCAGGCTATTATGTACCCAATGCAACCGGTGCTGCGCGAACGGAAGGCCGAAAGAGAATCATGGAGGCCGAAAAGTCCAAGTATCTCCCTCATCGGATCAAGGTCCAAAAAGCTCGAGAGGAGCGCGAGGCCTTAGCCAAGGCCGATCCCCAGGCCGCCGCAGCCGAGGCAGCCAGAATTGCAGCTGCCAAAGTTATTTCCAAGTCTTCGTCCCGGTCAACCCGTGTCAACAATCGCCGACTCATTGCCGATATCAATGCCCAGAAGCAAGCTCTGCCCACTTCTAGTGGCGAAGGTGATGTTCTACGCTTCAATCAGCTTAAGAAGCGAAAGAAGCCTGTACGATTTGCTCGATCCGCCATTCACAACTGGGGATTGTATGCAGAGGAGAACATCACTGCCAACGACATGATCATTGAATACGTTGGCGAGAAAGTGCGCCAGCAAGTGGCAGATATGCGCGAACGCCGGTATCTCAAGAGCGGAATTGGTAGTAGTTATTTGTTCCGTATCGACGAGAATACGGTCATCGACGCGACTAAGCGAGGTGGAATTGCGCGGTTCATCAATCACAGCTGCACGCCTAACTGCACTGCCAAGATCATCAAGGTTGACGGCAGTAAGCGTATTGTGATTTACGCGCTCCGGGACATTGAACGAGGTACGTGTACAGACGAGTTGAGATGTCATTCAGGACCTCCTGGGTCTTCCCCACAGAAACATTTGGCTAATCAATATTTACTCTACAGACGAGGAACTCACGTACGATTACAAATTCGAGCGCGAATGGGACAGTGACGATCGCATTCCTTGTCTCTGCGGCTCAACCGGCTGCAAGGGTTTCCTCAACTAAGGCGCTACCACTGCCACTCCACTGCGTCTGCCGCCATTGCTACCACCCTTTTTTTACCCGCTGAACCCTACACTTCATCTTCATCTATACAATTTTTTTTTTCCTTTTCCTTTTCTCATCCTCCTCGGACGGCGTTGAAAAACCTGGTTGGGCGTTTCAGAGAGCGGGAGCATTCAAGGCCTGTATGATTGGGAATCGTGATTTCCAGCGCTACAGCCCTCATGTACAATATGTCAAAATTCCACAATTTCTTGCCAGCTTTGAGGCCTACCTCGGTAACTAGTAGAACACGCCAATCGCGATAGTCATGTGTTTTTCTCTCCTCGCTCCCGTCATGCCTTGAATATGGTGGAAAATTCCATTGCGCTCTTGATAGCTTTTTCCGTTCTAGAAATTCGTCCGCGCATTGGAATGAGTGTGGCCAATTGCATTGAATGGGTATTGAATTGACTGGGATATAGCGGACATAACAAGAAAATATCGAGAAAGGTATAATGTCAAAATAAAAGGAGCATTGGGTTGATCAAATAAGACGTCACTTTTCAGACTGTATATAAAAAATCGGCATCAGCCTCGTCCATATTCCAAACATTCAATTGTTCACAACAAGAAGGGGGAAAAGAACATACCCAAATGACTCGGCAGCAAGAAATTAGCGATCCCCTCCTTGATAACATACTGATGTCCGCAATTCCCACAAACCAATTTCCCCTCGATAACGTGCGTCTCCAGTAGTAACCGGTGTAGATCCTTCAAGGTCTGTTCTTCGTTCAGTGCATCGCCTTCGGGTTTTGTCTCTGGGAGGGCAGGAAAGCCGAGCTATAATTCGATGTAATTGTCAGCCACGTTTTCTTTTGAAGGATCCGAAGGCATTGGCGACGGCGACGGCGCTGGCGCTGGCTATGTGTAGGGTTGAAACTGTCGTACCTCGTTGGCGGTAACCCGGAGACTATCCCAGTCAACGCGGGGCAGCACGTTGCGGATGAATTCTGGCTGGAAGTCCAATTCCTGTTGCTCGAGCTCGGCGTCGTGGAAGTGGAGGGGGAACGAGGCGGCGGAGGTTTTGCATTCCTTAACGGCGCAGGTGACAAAGTTGGCTGTGATAACCTTCATGGTGGGATGTGGTGGTGGTGCGGAAGTGAAGTGGGAGGTGGCGGAGGAGGAAGGCGTGTAGAGGTGTTGTATGATTGGGGCTGTAGAATTTGTTGATTTGAACAGCCGGGAAATTGATTGCTCGATTTTGATCCCTGCTTCGGCGCTAGGTGTTTTTCAGATGAGAGAATTGGTTGCTTTGCGCATTCGATATGAATTACAAAAAAAAACCCGCGGAGCCCCACGTCATGTGATCTGTTATCGATAAGGCGAGTGATGCATACAAGAAGCTACATGGATAGGCGAGTTGGAATTACACGGATGAAAATAGACACGTAGTCTTTGGATTCGTTTGCAATTAATACTAGGCAATTCAAGTGTTTATTCTGGGGTAATTGATGTCAATGGACGGGTTGTCGATGCAAGGTGGGCAAAGAATATTTAAGTCAGTACATAAGCATGACCTTCAGAGTAAGGAAGGGCCTTGATCATTAGTGTTACGAGTAGATTGCCTGCAGTAAGAGTCATCTTGAGATGTTCAACACGGGTTGTATATTAGAATTGTGATCCTTGTTGGGAATGAGAGCAATGTTGAGAAAGTCAAGAAAACTGGCAACGGGGAGACAAACCGGGCTTTTGAGGGCCAGTAGTTCCCATCCATGCCTTCTCCAAGTGTTCCATCTTATGGGTATCATCATTTAATCAGCACCTCTAGCATATCGAGGTCGGCGATATCATTATCACCCAGACAAGTATCTGGCTCAAGTCGGTCACCATCAAAGACAAGATGTACCGTCTTATCCGCAGGTATATTCTGCTTTTCTCGAAAAGCCGCTATCACCTTCGACACCAAGGTCTTGGGTCGGGCTTTGATCTTAAAGTCATTCAGCCCGGGGCTTTTCAGAAGTAACTTCATCTGCTCGTTCTCCGGATCCTCTTTCGGACTGGGTGGAGCGGGCGATGCACCTGGTCCGCTGACATCTGGAGAAGGACCACGGCGATTCATCAACTCTGGATCCTTGCTGATTGCCTCCAAGTGGATCTTAAGCTCAGCCTTTTCAGCTTCGGGTTCATCATCTAGATCCAAAAAGCTCCTCTTTTCTTTTTGTTTCTTCATGTCGAATCTTCTACAGGTTGTCACGTCAAACACCCTGACGCCATTCCAGTAGAGTTCAATGGATGCCGTTTCGCTTTCGGTAAATCCTTGCCGCTCGCACCATGCTAGACGAGCATCTTTCAGGGATTGAGTCATCATACGTTGGACAATCAGTGGCTTGGTGTTTGGGATTTCGGATGTTATAAGGATATGCACTCTTTTGTCGTCCGCAGGAGGAGGAGGAGTGGGCGAAGGTTTCGCGGGATGATATTTGGTTCCGGCAGCTAAATATCTTGAAGGAGTATCACCGCTCGTTTCTCCAGAGTCCGAGTCAATTATTATCTCGGTTCTTTGCACGCTGACGTCTGGAACATGGTGTGAGGAGGAAATATTTGATCGGTCCGTATATTGGCTCTCCGTAGAGTCGACATGTGTAGAACTTGGTACGATCGTGGGGTTGGGCTCATCGTCATTAATATCGGGGTTCTCAGCTTGACTGCGCTCATCACTGGGAGATGAGGTGGCACGCCTACACTGTTCTTCAGCCTCGCTTTCGTTATCTGACTTGGGTGAGCTCGTAGCTTCGGACTTCTCATCCTCCGTCTCGGATTTCTCCTCATGTTCATCAGACTTCCGTGGTCGCTTTGATTTCCGACTCTCTTCAGCTGTCGTGGATGATGTGCTCTCTGCAAATTCAGCAGCGAGCTTTTGCTTCCTGTGCGCTTCACGGTTCGCGGCGACTATGTCGGAGTATGTTTGTCCAGATCGGCGGTAGAATTCGGTTCCCGAGTCATCCGTCTTGGTTGCCCATGCGGGCTTATTGAAGAAGGATCTCATCGTAGTTGAAAGAGATACTCGAGGTTGCAGTGCAACCGAGGGGCATCTGCAGGTAAAAGGGAAGACAAGAGGAATAAGAGTGCTTGCGATGGACCGTCAAGGGCCCGCTTTGTCGCGTTTGTAGGCGCCTTACCGCCTTCGGAATCTTATCTGCTTCACGACCAGCAACCACGAACATCCCCCGCTTCTTCTCCAAGCTCTACCAGGTATGTTGTCCCAGTGCCTCCATGCAAGCGGGTTTTACTGATCAGATCGAAATCTCCAGAAACCAAGGTTCTATCTCCCCGCGACGGTAGACCACAACTCAAAATGGAGAACGGCGCATCCTCAGAAGGAAAAGACCCCTCGGCCTTCCTCAGCGAGATCATCGGCGCCCCAGTGATCGTCAAGCTCAATTCCGGCGTGGTTTACAAGGGTATCGTCATCGTGGGGGGTTTGATTGTGGGTAGCTAGGCTAATGACTATATAGGCGAGCTGCAATCAGTCGACGGCTACATGAACATCGCCCTGGAGAAGACCGAGGAATACGTGAACGGAAAGCACCGTCGCAGCTACGGAGATGCCTTTGTTCGAGGAAACAATGGTGCGTATTGATATGAAACTTGGACCACACACAGTATTATCTGACATCTTTCGTTATGCCAGTCCTCTATATCTCTGCCGAATGAAGAGGCTCATTCGCAATGCCCTTTGCACCGCTGGCGTGATGTGGTATTCGAAAGTTGGCTTGGATCCGCTGTTTCTTGACCTCACCCTAAAATGTGGCCGGCGAACTGTTTTTTTTTCTGGAGCTTGGGTTCATTTTCCTCATGAGGATCTGCCAAACTAGACTGGCTCCTCTTCAACATATGCTACGCTGGCTGGTTTTCATGATCACTATTCCGCCCAGCCATGATGTTATGCATGATTTTCCTGCCTTAAGAAGCAGATACTTGGTGACGCGGTACAGAAATACCATATACTTCAAGCACCGAGCTGATCGATTCTTCATTGAGATGATTTAAACCAGGCGTGGCCCTGAGCTTAGCCTTTAATTGTTCCCTTGGTACAACACATCAGCAAAATTTACACAAGTATACCAGCCGGTATTCAAATGCTTGACGACAGTAGAAATTGGAAGACTACTGCCTCAGAAGTTATCATTTCAGTACCGTCCTATAATTTCAGTACCGTCCTATAAGGTTATACTCCCGTCGACCGAACCTTCCGGATTCTATTTGTAGCTATGCTGGAAATCCGTATACATTGATCGATACTAATTGCCTGGTTTCTCTTGAAGGGTGATATAGAAAACCTTCTGAAACTTAATTGTTCCTTAAAAGAAACCAGAGCTGAGGTCTTGTGGCAAGGCTGAAGTAAAAAATGCTTGGGATATATCACTTCAGGACATGCAGCCTCCACCTAACCACTTGTCAAAAAGATGTCATCAAACAAGCACGAAGCAGCCTTAGAGACCCTCCTTTTATACTTTCGATATCGCAAAGTGATACTACAAGAGGTCCTGCTGCACAGATTTTAACTTCCTTGTGTTCCTGTGATGGTGATTAAAAGAGTGTATGTACTTGCCGAAAGATGGATGTCAACGCCAGCCCATGGTAGATTCCAAAACACAATATCCCATCAGTCTATCCAAACGCTAAAAGGCTCAAGCAACGGAAAGATAACAAGAGAGCACATTATGTCTCAATACCGGTCAAGACGGTCGCTTGAACGGATGAGCCTCGGTACTCCTGCAACAAGAATTAGCACAGAACAGATACATGCAGGATTCAGACCTCTTACAGAACATATTCATCCAAGCTGACAAGGCTAGGTTCGGAAAAGATCATGTACAGATACTTGAGCGTCTCGGCAAGCCAGAAACTCTCCATCTTGTCGCTCATTTTCGGCAGGGGGTTGCGCACGTCTTCGATGGCTGAGTGGCCATACTTTGTGCGCGTTACCTTGTCGATGCTCTGGAACATGCGCCACGCCGCGTCCTGAAGCGACTTATCGCCCGTGATGCGATACATGATGAAGATAGACTCGATAGCCTCAGGTCTGAGAAGAATAGTCAATAAAATCGGATCAATTCGCACAACAAAAATGCATAGCGAAGGTCGTACCTGAGCTTGTATGTTGGATCTGAGATTCCGACAATTCCAGGTGGAAGCCCTTCCATCTCGACTTGTTTCTGCGCCCTCTCGAGATGTTCTCTCGAATGTATTGGCTGGCCGAGAACGTCTTCGTACCATTTACCGTCGTCCCAAGGACATTTCTCAATTTCCTTGCAGGGACTGACTTCCAGCGTCTCGGGCATGATTCCCGTTGGCATAGAGTCGTACGCCCAGATACATCCGTCCGTAAGACCCCGAGCAATCGCAATATCTTCTGTGCGATTGAAGATCTTCGAGGCTAAGCCAACGGTGCCACCCAAGAAGCACTTGAGGTGGTCTTGGATATACTGAACACCGTGGAGGGCTCCACCCTTCAACCCACGAACATTTGAAGTAAAAAGGATTTGCCTGTCCTCGTCCTTGGTCATCGCACGGAAGAGGAGCTTCTCCTTGATAGTCTCGATAGCATCTTCGTACATGTTGCGGTATTGGTCTGTCTGTCCGCCAAGCAGGATGTGCTCCTTGGGCAGGTACTCGTATGTTGAATCGGCAGAGCCGCCGAGCGAAAACTGGGTCCAGTCGAATGTCAGATCCTTTGCATTGACGTATACTGGCCACAGCCCGGGGATCCGGGTCTTTGATTGGCCTCTTTCTAGCTCATTTGTGATCCGTTGAACGGCATCGAAGTATTTTGGGTTTCCGGTTATTTGGGACAAACGAGTGAATTCCACGGTCAGAGAACCCAGCTCCGCCAGACTTGTATGGGTAGACGGCTCGATTTCTTCGCCTTGGGCAGATCTGCAGGAAGTTGATTAGTCTCAATAAATAGCGTATTTGTGATCATCGTCAGAGATCCTGTTTGAACATCGACGTACTTGGACCAGTCCCACCGCATTTGGGGCATCCGATTATGCGTGTCAAACGCATTGAAAATCATATCACCCAACTCCTCAGCTTTCTTGAGTAGAATTGGGTGCTTGCCATTACTCAGATCGTGAGCAGCCAAGAAGCCGCCCATATATCTGATAATAATTTCGAAGACATTCACCTCCTTGCTGCGGGTGGTCGTGAAGTCGATTTGATCTAAAGCGTCCAGGGCCAAATCGAGTTCATCGTCCAGGCCCATAATGATCAGTGCGTCTAGAGAATCCACCAGGGTAGCACCCCACCCGCTGAACGAGTCCTGATAACCCCCGGTCTGGGGTGAGACCTCGTCTCGCATCCAGGCATGGTCTTTGTAGCCGTTCCATGAGTGCATGAAAGCCTCCTTTATGACCTTTTGTTTCTTGACTCTTGCCTTGCGCTCGGCTCTAGACTCTGGTGGAAAGTCATGTTGAATTTTGGGAATTGAAGATGGCGATGTCGGTAAAGGAATGTATGAGGTGATGGGGTACCTCTCAGTAGCTGAGTTTAAGTGGATTGTGTCTTGCGCAACAAGAGTATTTAGCTGTATGGGAGCTGGTCTCGGGTGCTTATGCTGCCAGGCATGAAGTCGACTAAGCGGTAACCAGACTAGAAAGAAATATGCGGCGATGAGGAGGAATACTGTTGTTGATAGAGAGCGGCCTTTGCGATTGGAGATCATAATGCAGGTGCTCCTGCAAAACAAGGACCCTGTTCAAGGGGAAACACAATTTGATAGATTCGAGAAGGAGTGACGCTCATAGAGGAATTGGTTATGCAATAAAGGAAAGACTAAGCCATTGACAGCTTGGGAAGCAGCGAAAGAAAGACCAGCGAGAAACGACAGGAGAGGTCGACAAGCTATCGAACCTCATGGATGGATGTTCTGCCCCGGACAGGGTTTCAAGGAAGGGAGTGTTGTCAAGAGCCAGGGGTGATAATGGAGAGAGAAAGAAGTGCAACCATGTGGGACAATTACGTCAAACCCGCTCCTTTCCTGTCAAACGATCGTCGGAAAGTGAAAGGCTCCGATGATCACCAAGAGGACGAGCCTCTGATAAAACCTTCGACACGCGTCCATGGGGAAAGCTGGGATGCGACGAGCAAATTATCAGCTCATGATTGGAGAGATCTGGCATGCAAAGGGGCCGCAATGTGGCTCCCACAGAAGAAAATTATTGATGTGTTACCCGTTGAAGTAAGGGCGATGGCGTTCAGGGTCCAAGCATGTATTCTTAGCACTGGTTCTAGACTCAAGAGGATGAAAACACAAAATACAGGTTTGGACAGAGAGGGTGGGGGGATGTACAAGGTACTCGTTCCTTCTGAAGAATAACGTGGCAGTGTATGTACCAAGTACTAACTGCCCTGTCAGAGACACTTGGCTCCACCCGCCCCCTGAACTTGCCTCGATTCAGCCAGCTAGCTGCACCAAGCGATCGCCTCGAAGGTCCATTTTTATGATTAATTTTGTGGCGGAGCGCCTCAATGCGGGTCTTGATTGTTTTCTTTCTTAGTTGCTCAAAGTTTGACTCTATATGTGCGTGGTTGCTTCCTAGTCATGTCGTTCGATGAAAAACTATCTACTTGCATGGCTGATATCGTTGAGGTTCACATAATTACTAATGCTTGAAGCAATGGTATTCTAACAGTTCCAAGGAGTGAAAGGGGGATACCGTTGCCTAGCGCCAAGATGGGTCAAGCAATGAACACCAGCCGACCCTTGCCCAGACCCTCGGGCGATTGAAAGTGGGTGGATAATGACTGTGGTGAGAGGTTGAAACAAACTTTCAATATGAATCAGACTAGTCTTAGAGTGCCCGGAGAGCCTGACCGAAGGAAACGAGATACAATATTAGGGATGAAGCCGAATGATTACTTATTAAAGGATCTTTAGGAAGAACGATCAACTTTGACAACCAAATGATTGCCAAGAGAGGACATCAGACACAAAGAAAGCAAAACTTTTAGGGGCTCACTTTGAGCCAAAGACAGAACAATCTATCGTCTATCGCAGATGCAATATTCACAGTATGTGCATAGCATGTCAGTATTAGACATTGTTCCAAAACTTTCCAACCGTTGTGGTGACCACTTCCCAAAAGAAGCAGACAACCAACAAATGACCCAGCAAGGCAAAAAAGAAATTAGATATTAACGGTTATGTAACGGAACGGTGATGTGCAAGGCTGGAAACAGTTCACAGAGCAGTGCCAGGATAGCAAAGCTTCACCCACAATGCGGGCCGACTCCAGAGAGCAAAGGAGTTCTGGATAGACCAGTGCTGGGACTCAGGCTGGAGCTCCAGGTCAAAGTGCCAGAGGAATTTGGCGAGAATGAGTCGTACCTCTGCATTAGCCAGGCTTGGGATTGGAAGGTACGAGTTAGTTCAAGATCCGACGAAAAGACAGCCAAAGATGCGACTGGTGGGATTTACTCACTGCTGACCGAGGCAGTTGCGTGGTCCATAGGAGAATGGGCGAAGGGCATCCTTTTGATCAGAATCAAATCCAGAAGACTCAGGGCCGTGAAGCCAACGCTCGGGAATGAAGGAGTCAGGATTCTTGAAGTTGGTTTTTGAATGAAAAGTCGAGTACAACGAGATCGAAACAGAAACCTGGGAGGTGTTAGCCTCAAAAAACGAGATAACAGGGGATGTCTCGAAGCTCGTGCGAGATGCTCAAGAACGACATAGTCTGTCCTGGACTGGCCAGAAACTTACTCCGCCAGGAACATATTGACCGTCGATGACGGCTCCACCCTTAGGCACAAGACGCGGAAGCATAGAAGGAATAGGAGGATAGATTCTCAGAGATTCAGTCAAGACAGCATTAAGATAAGGAAGCTCTACAAGGGCCGAAAGCTTGATCTCAGATACCTTAGAAAAAGCACTCCGAACTTCACGAACCAGCCGAGCATATTTCTCCCGATGCCGAAGAAGATAATACGTACAACCAGTAAGCAAAGCAGCAGTGGTCTCACTTCCAGCCAGTACAAATACACCCGCATTGGCATCAATCTCTGAAAGAGACAAGCCATGTCCATTGTGACTGTGCTTCATAATGTACGAGGTAAAATCAGACCGGGTGGTCTGGCGTGCCAGACGACGACGGACCTTTTCCACGCTCAGATTGAAACTCGCCTTGCGCTTCTTGAGAAGATGTCGTGGGACTAGAAGAATGAACAATGGAAGCAAAATTGGATAAAACCAAAACACCTTTAGGTATGCGCTGGCCTTGACAGCATCCAGAATGACCATAACCCACCAATGGTACTTGCTCTCAGAGAGACAACCGAAAGGTTCGCCAAATGCAAGATCCCCAATCAGATCGAAGGTGGTGAAGTTGTACCAGCGAGTCATGTCAACGACTGCTCGCTGGCTTCCGTGAAGGATACCGGCCAGCTTGTCAATTAGCATATCAGCGTAGGTATGGAGGATCTGTTCCTGTTCCTTGAGCGCCTTGTTCGAGAAGGCATGGGTAAGCAAACGGCGCATTCGGCTGTGCTCCTCCTCATTCGCTGTGATTATGGCATTTGTTCCGTTGGGTGTCGGCGAGTACAGGGCTGGGTCCTTGACGAAAAGCTTCTGACCCTTCTTCCGGTGTCCGTAGATGTCTTTCCAAGCGGCGGCGGAATTGTAAACAAGAGCATTTGGTGCAATACGCACAACGCTGCCGTATTGATCATGGAGTCTTTTCACTACCGAGTGCTGCTTACCCCGAATATCCCATAGGAGGTGGACCATGGGGGAAATTGCAGCCAGCTTGGGACCTGGGTAGCGACTCAGTGGGTGGAAATAGAGACTGTAGACCGACCATACTGCAAAGTAGAGGAATGGCTTGTCAAAGTTGAGCTTCAATTCTCGGTTCTCCCTTTCCTATGAGGCTTGGCGAGCTTGTACTCACCAGCAGCAGGATGCCGTGAAGCCAAGCCTCATAATTGAGAACCAGGGGCCAATCCAGATCCATGACCGTGGGGGTTGAAGGTAGTTGGCAAAATTTTCAAACTGGGGAAATTATTAGAACTCAGGGTTCATCAAGCCAGTGTAATCCTGGATTAGAAGCACAGAGATTAATATATGTAACGTTGCGAAGGAAGCGGGCGATGACATACCGGAGAAAAGTCCAAGTTGGACGAAGATGCTACTTTGAGAGAGGGGAAGAGAAAGGGAGGGGGAGGAAGAGAGAAGGCAAGAGAGAGAAAAAGGGAAAGAGAAAGAGATACCCCGTCAAGTTGAAGGTATTTAACGTCATTCTATCCAAGGGAGAAACTCTCGTGGCCGCAAACAATCTTATATGCCTCCGCCAAGGACGAGTTTACGAGAAAGTGTACGGGAATAAGCCGGCTAAAGTCCTGCTTGTTTGATCTCACTTACAGCACGAGCGATTCGTGCATGGTAGTCCTCTGCAAAATCTAGGTATCCATAGACATGCCGAAAGAATGTTCAATTGTATATGCCAAACCAGTATAATAAGGTATGTAAAAGCCGGGATTCGTCAAATCATTACACATCAAAGCAGAGTCTATCGTATGAACAAAGCATCTCATGGTCGAGATACTCAGCTGGCCACGAGGAAACTCAAGAAGCTACCAGCGGCCAGTCCTGCAATGAGCATCATGCTCATGAAGCCTCCTGCAGCTTCTCGTTCATCCGCCGATACCCAGACGCTCGCACCCATCATGCAACTCGATGCCAGATACCCATTGGTGGCACCGAACAATAATTGCACAACAAAGAGATAGAAGAAGTCGCTCTTCACGACGGCCCCACTGCCGTTAATGTTGCAGAGCAGGTACAAGGGAACGAAGATACACCGCGCTACGGCTAGGGCGAAGGCTAACCGAGGACGATGTGCTAGGGAGAACCCGGGGTAAGCGACGGCCAATCTTCCCCCGAGATCACCGATATTCCAAAGTAGGAATGCAAGGGGAATAAAGACGGTTGCGTCGTACATCCGGGACTTTTCTGAGTTGTTGACCGACAGGATTTGGGAGGTGTACACCGGGAAGAACATCATCGTGACCTGGAGACACACAAAGACAGCGAGTGACAGATACCGCAGTTTCTTGAACAGCATCCACAGGCTGACGGATTTATCAGGCCCGTCGTCAGCAAGGGGAGCATCTTCGTCTTCGTCTGTAGCCTTTTGCTTGGGGCTTGGTCGGTTCCTAAGGAGATAGAGGAAAGCGAGGAGCGTGAAGACGGACACGCCCGTCGCCGTAAAGAAGTATATGAAGGCCGACTTCGATGACGATCCTCCCGCGCCATCCTGCCCTTGCCCGTCACTGGTCGCCCTCGGCACAGCCAGTACAGAGACAATCTGCGCAATGCACGGAAGCACACCGGCAACTCCTTGTCCACCCATGATCGCTTGTGTATACTCTTCTCTGCCATACCCGGAGACGTACGCAAATACACCGTTCTGATTCAGGCCGGCGGCAAAGCTTGCGCCGAAGACCATCACCATCAAAAATCCAAAGTATGCGCGTACCGATATGTCCTTCAGGACAATGGTCGAGAATGCCAGCAGAGTGAAGACGAAGCAGTTTATCAGTAGCGATAGCGTGATACGCCACGGGTACGAGACATGTTTCTGAATCCTTGCGAAAGCATACACTGTTCCGAGATTGGTGAGGGTAGAGACTGTGAGGATCGAAGGTTGGTAATGTGTCGCAGTCCACTCATCCGACTCGAAGCGACTGTGAAAGTACGTTGCGGCGGCTAAGAACATGTTCCTGAGGAAAGTCCCGACGGTTAGATCACGGCCGCGGGACACAACGATTCCCCGAGTGAGGGGATCCCGGGGACAAAGACACTCACCATGCCCATAGCATAGATACTCCTAGCAGGAAGAACACGCTGTATTCCAGCCGCGAAAAGCGAGGCGGTGGTCTTTCTTGGTCGTGTAGATGTTCGCCAGCATCTACCTCCGCCGAGCCGTCCAGCGGCTCGTAGGCCACCCGGTCCGGGAAAAGTCTCCGAACTCGGTCCATATTGTCAAAGGAATATAAGTCCCTGTTTGGTGTAACGGGACCTGAACGTTCAGAAACAGAAGCTGTCCCTGAGAGCTGCAAAGTTGCTCAGGTGAGGTTCGATGTAGCTCGGGTGAATCAGCGGAGACCTCGGGCGGGTCCTCGTGATGACTAATTGCGGAGAATGCTCATGTCAGTGTATCCATCTAGGCCTCCTCTCGTTATCACAACTTTCTTCGATATTCCTGTTCCTGATTAGTCGCTTCGTATAAATGCGACCAATCTACTTTGATCTATATCTTGATAGAAGGCAAAATACAAAAATCGCAAAAACATACAACAGCCAGGATTCGCATGTGGTCACCCACCATACTACTAACTGGCCGGCGTGTGGCTTAAGTACGGCTGAGCGGACGGGAAGCCCTGTTCTCCACACCCTATGGTCGTATGTGCTGATTGCCAGGAGAAAATAAAATATATGCCCTAATACTCCTAATTACAATGCATAAAGCGTTGCATCGGCGTGAGTTAGAAGGGGTGAGTGCGCAATGGACAGGCTGAGAAGCTGGGTGAGCGCGGGTGAGAATCACCCTCTTTCGCGCGATAGCCGCATTGACCCTCTCGCCTGAAACTTAGGTACAGCGTTATTGGTTCACCTTGACTCGGCTGAAACCGCGGTCTCTTGGCACTTGTATCTCCTCCCGAACTCTAACCCAGGATTGGCCAAATTAACCGTAAGGCTGACTTGAATGTCGCCTTGGGCCAAAGCATTGTGCTTGTTGTGTTTCCTAGATATCAGGATCATTACGTGAATATCAGCGAATTTGTCGAATAGCAGGATAAGTGGATACCTAGAGGTAGGATACTATGCCCGCTAAGATTAGTTTATGTACGTGAGCCTATTTATATCGCCAGTTAGGAGCTTTTATAGTAGCAATTTAGATCTATTGTCTATCTCCTTGGTGCACAAGTATGGTCCACTTCCCTACGTTTTAATAGTTAGTTAGTATATTTGCTTGCCCGAGAAACCTAAGTAACGTGGTGATGAAGTGAAGCTGTACTAACTTAACAAGTCTGCTAAACTGGGTGGAGGTGAAGGCGCGACAAGAGGACACTAAGTACTATGCTTAGTTTCAGTCTGGTCGAATTATTCTTAGGGTAAATGAAGCGATACGCCGGGAATATAATCTTATTGCTTAATAGCCAATAATTAGCCGCTGATGGTATGAGTCCGAATGTGCATCCTTCGCCGTTCGATCATTGCTGGGCTCATCGCACGGAGAAACATGTTGAACCTCGACCGACAATGTTGACCTACTATGGTGCTTATGCTGGCAAACTCTGCTATCATCCAGGACACTCCATCTGTAGACCAGATCGCTGTAGTAGCGGATTATAAAAATATGTTTCGTTAACTCTCCCGTGTGGTTGGTTAGGGAAGTACGGATATGTAAAGACCAGGCTTTTGCCCGACCAATAAGTATTCGCGATCGCCGAGATATAGCGCGCCAGGCGCTGCCGCCATGCGTAATATTCAAAGGCGAGGTCAATATCGAGGGCTGGTTCGATAACCTCCTAGGAGATTGGAGAATTAAACTTTCGAAGAACGGCTGGACTACCGATGAGATTGGCCTTCGCTGGCTACAAAAGCTATTTATTCCATCAACGAATTCGCGTGTCCGAGGTAGATATCGGCTCTTGATTCTTGATGGCCACGGTAGCAATCTTACACCTCAATTTAACCAAATCTGCGCAGAAAACGACATTATACCGCTTTGTATGCCGTCACATTCATCACATCTTCTACAACCGCTTAATATTGGGAGTTTTGCTGTGCTAAAACGCGCGTACGGTCGCTTCGTAAGCGATCTTGCCCGGGTTAGATATAATCATATCGACAAACTCGATTTCCTCGCAGATTATCCTCAGACGCGTATAGAGACCATCCAACCACAGACTATTCGAAATAGATTCGCAGCTACAGGTCTTGTTCCAATTAACTCAGAACGTGTGCTTTCAAAACTTAATATCTCGCTCCGAACGCCTACACCACCGAGTAGTCGACCAAGCAGCAGATCAAGCTCATTCAGCCCGAAGATGCCTAAAACTGCCGTTCAACTAAATAAGCAAGCTTCGATGCTTAAAGAACTACTAAAGCAACTTCATCTAGACACCGATATAAAAAGGCAAATGATATGGTCAGCTACTAGGTCCTCCGTAGCGAAGCGTGGTAAGGATAAATAATTAGGTAACACCTTCGCTCTAGCAGGACTACGTATCCAAACCTTCAAGGATCTCAAGTATGAACCAACGTAGTCCATACGCATACACTCCAGCCACCTGAAATTAACACCATGACTACTGCGGGAGATGGCATCAATTTTGTTCGAATTTTCTCCTACAGTGGTAACACTATCAGCACTGAACGCAAGAAGCGATTAGTAGTCCACGCCTATGCTTCAGCGCGGGATCAGCTGCTGGTGCCTAGGGTAATTCTGATTCGGTGAGGGACGGTCATGTTTTGTGTTTTCTGATTTCAGCCGTTTAAAGGCGTATCTCCATGCTTCGCGTTTCAAGACTTCCCTAAAAGACATTTCCGACTATGGTGTGCCAGTTTCTTTTCAGCTTGTCAAGAAAGGCTTAGTGTAGCACTGAGAATGATAATCTGAGGAATTTCTGTACAGGCTACTACTCGGTGCACTAATCGGACGGTATATAGAGAGAATCGATTGAATTGAAGCTAAAGATCGGTTGAACGAGTCCTTAGGGGTTATAACCGTGTGTTACGACACGATTCTTCCGGGTTAATCCGATTTACCACAAAAACCTACAGGCAAGTTGAGTGGACGTCGAATAAAGCCCGTCCTGGATAGGAATAGTAGCAAGATCACCACTCTCTTATTTTCGTAGATAGGTTTCACAGAGACCCTTTGCGGTCTAACACGTTGAAATCTAGCAATTGATGAACGTACTAACTCCCGCGATGGAATCGTGACCCTATTATACAGTTATAGCAGGGAGTACAAAAATCTCTTCGCCAGCAGCGGCAGTATCGAGATCAGAAGGTAGATCGAGATCGTTATCCACTACTGCTTCAATGATATCCTCGACGTCGTCATTATGCTCATCCCTTTCTAAGATGATATGCTACCGCGAGCCCTCTTTTAGAAACGCATTGTCCACTTGGCGGCTTGAAAAGAAGTTGAAGCCGATGCGACGGTACTGCAGGGCCTAGATCCTTTTGCCAGGAGCGTTGAATATGAGAAACGCGTTCGCGATACGCTTTTTTGTTCCTCTAGCCCCTATATTGAGCCCAGTCGCGAGTCTAGTGATGGCATCTATAGGAACTTTGGTAGTTGCTTGCGCTTCTTGGCTCTAGTAATCTTGTGACACTAGACGACTGTCGAATATTGTTCTGAAGCCGACAAGAAGATAGATGTGCCTTCTAGAGCCAAGATTCCTCTCTAGCTATTCACGAACACTTTCGTTTAAGTATACCTTTTCGAACTAGCTATCAGAGTTTCGTACTTGATAGTATATCACCCGAATAGCGGCCTGCTGAGTCGTTTGCTCAGCCGCTCTACTAGCTGATGCGGTAAGATATTCTGTGAGGATGGCTTTCAGGCTCGCCGAGCCTGCGTGGGTGATTAACGATGTATAGTTAGTCACGGCAGATTTGACAACATCTAGTACGAGGTAGGGTTCGGTGGAGGTAGGATCGAAGTATTCCTATAGGGGGTCTCGAAAGTACAGAACGAAGGCGCCCAGTAGGACGGTATCAACGGGCAAAGGAAAGCACGGGAGGATATTATGGTTCATCTCTATAAGCTTCTCGAATATACACGGAGATCGAGTCTAGGGAAGAGAGAAAGACCGGAAGGAATGAAGCTGTACATAAGTATATCTCACGTGATAGGTCACGTCACCACATATCGACCAGGGTCCAGCCCGTCACACTATCCACGTCGCATCAGTATCTTTATTCTAAGTTACAGCCGCCTAAATATGTCGACCAGGGTCCAGCCCGTCACACTATCCACGTCGCATCAGTATCTTCATTCTAAGTTACAGCCGCCCAAACATGTCATCTCTAGATGCGCTAGATGGCGACAGCAGAACCGCCTTCGAGTTCGTGGTCTCAATAGCATAGAGGGTGTTTGCCATTGCTTCTTCGGAGATGATAGTGTTAGACGGGCTGGCAGCCGTTAGTCATTAGAACCTTGCGTAGTTTACGAAAACTGGACAACTCTCTTAACTTAGAGTATCATTGTATTCTTTAATGATAGCTACAGCATTACTCACTTCCCGCCACAAATACCGGCTTATAGTTATTAATGGCCTGGCAGAAGTTCTCTATGAGAAGTTCCGGGTTTTGGGTAATATAGCAGATTTGGGTAGAGCTATCTCTATCCTTGAAGAGGCTATCTAGAATGTGGACGGCCGTGAATCAAGCATCGAAAACTGTTTGACTAGCCTGATAATATTTGAAGAGGCGAGGTACAAGAGAACGCTTGATATCGTTTATCTTGAAAAGGCAATTAACTATACCGAACGGGCGATCACAGTTACGAGATCTGACCACAAGGAAAAGGGACTATTCTACCACAATCTTGGCGACAAACTAAGCGTATTGTACAATCGTATCGGCAAAGAAGAGTATCTTGAGCGAGGCCTCGTAGCGGCAACAGAGGCTGTCAGATTGACCCTAGAGGACCATCCAAATAGACCTAGCTACTTGAACAATTTAGCCAACTTCATTTCCAAGAAGGCTCGACTCACTAAGAGTGAAACGTAGATTAACGAGGGTCTACGGCTAGCAAAAGAAGTAGTAGCTGGAGCTTCCGAGGATAAGCCCTGGCTCCCATTATTCATCAATAACTTGAGCTTGCGATCCTTAGACAAGTTCAAATACAGCAAGGACCCAGCCGATATAGAACAAGCCATAATTTACGCCAGGCAAATCATCGGGGACGTAGTATCTCCAATGCCGGGCTATATGTCGAACCTTGCGACACTGCTCTTTGACCGCTACAATGAGTATGGTGACTCTGCTGACATTGAGGAGGCCATTGATCTTGGCCGCAAAGCTTTTGGATTAACAAATACGGATCCAAACCTCCGATCTATTACCGCAGCTAACCTTAGTCGCTATCTGGAAGCTTATTACGTGATGAATAGAGAGTAAGAAGTGCTCGAAGATGCTCTCTGCTATGTGAACATTACAGTTGATGCAGCTCTTGCGCTTAGTCCGGATCGTGGTAACCATCTTGAAATATTTTCGAGGCTTCTTTTAAGGAGATTCGATCACACACAAAATATAACCGATATGGACAAGGCTATTCGGCTTGTAGAAGAGGCCGTCGTGGCTCCGACGTATGATGGCGAAAGCGTCGAAGGCCGCTGGGCGATTTTTAGCAACCTGGTAAGTGGATTGGCGAAGGCTTTCACCTTTGAAAGCACTCTTAATCCTAGTCACGTCGATCGTGCGTACGAGATGGCGGTCTGGGCAAAGTCCCATGTATCTGCAGAATCCGAAGCGTACCCTATTATACTCAACAACATGGCCGCGATCCTCTAGCACAGGATGTTAAAGAAGGACTCCTGGGAGGATCTGACGTAGGCTATTGCTTTTGTAGAAGAAGCACTTAAGCACCCTCGGCTACGCGAGAAGAACCGGCCAATAGTGCTAAACAACCTGGCGTATTTTACCTAAATAAAGGCCGGCTCGCGGTCGATTTTGGATAGATCAATCGCACTATCCAAAGAGGCCATCCGGTCTACAAGAAAGATTCGTGACGCTAAGCTACCGAGATATCTCGACAATTTAGCGAGTTTGGAACAGGAAAAGTATATGGAAACAAGTGACGCTAAGCATATAGACCATGCATACGCCGTCAGCGAGGAATACGTACTCATGGTATCTAAGAAGGATACTCTCCTATTAGCCCAGTACCGGCACAATACAGCTTTCAGGTTTAGTATCAAAGCTTACAGCTAGGTTAGAACCAGGGAGGACGTTGAACGGTCCATCTTCTTTGCCCAAGCTGCCTTATCTGCGACTCCGAAAACACACTATCTCTACCGGACATATCTCCAAACGTGGGCCTCTATACTTAGGACTGAATATCAGCGATTTAAGAATTTGTCTACCCTTGCGAAGGCGATTGAGGTAATAGAGGAGGCTTTGACGCTAACGACACCCTTTCATCCGAGAAGAGGCACCTATGTTACGGATCTCAGCATTCTATACTTTTGGAACCACGAGGAGTCACAAGACCTCGAATCCTTCGAATCCTTGGAACGCGCGTTGGAGCTTGGGAACGAAGCTGTAGAACTCAACCCGGACCATACTAGAGCATAGAACAATCTGGCCAATATCTAGGAGACGAAACATGAGCTTTCGAAGAATATCGCCGACCTAGATATGGCCATTAGGTTTATACGCAAGTCACTAGAACGAATCGATGAGCGTGACTGGGAGTATTCTGGGTTCCTTCGTAATCTGGCGAACAAGTACTATCGACGATATGCTATTACATATAGCCAAGAAGATTATCAAGCTTCAATCGACACTTATGTTCGAGCATCTGAGGCTAAGTACTCACCACCCCGTAGTCTTGTCCTTGCGGCGAGGAACGCAGCTATAATGCAGGCTGAGGAAGGCGACTTCCTAGGCGCTAGTGCCTCTCTTTCGAGAGCACTAGACCAGCTACCCAAATTGCGCCCGCGCTACTTCAAAAGGGAGGATAAACAGGACGTGCTTGCGGAACATCATTCCCTAGCTTGCGATGCGGCTGCTTTTGTACTAGCTGCAGGCAAGACTCTATATAAGGCATTAGGCATGCTGGAGCTTGGGAACGCTGTCATCATCGGTTCAATAATAGATTACCGGAATAATGTTTCTGAGTTACAAGAGAAACAGCCGCAACTTTATAATGAATTCAACCGACTCCGTGGTGAGCTAGACTTCACGACTCCATCAATGGAGCAAGTTCTTGGTAACGATAGCATCCTCACTAGAAAGACTCGGACTCTCCGCCAAAAGCGCAAGATCGCTGCTAAGCGCATGAACGAGGTGCTCTCCGAGATTCGTAAAGTCAAAAGCTTCGAGGACTTCTTGCTAGTGCCGAGCTATGATAAGCTTCTCCGCCTTGCTAGAGATGATCCGATCGTAGTGCTGAATCACAGCATTATCGCTCGGCGCCTGGATACGCTAATCGTTACGTCCGATGGCATCAAACACTTACCGCTGTCTTCAACTTTTAGCATTGGAATGCCTCCAGCAGGTTCCTTTATACTTGAAAGAGACATCTATAGTGGGCTACTTCGGACAAGAAGTATCCGAAATGAAAACCTTAGGTCTATTCTTAAGATCTACTGGAATTGGACAATTGAGCCGATCTGCACGAAGTTAGGGTTAATTCACCGCGAAGACCCGTCACAGCTTCCTTACCTCTAGTTTATCAGGCTAGGATACCCGTTCAACATTCTGCCACTACATGCTACTGGTAATAATACGCCAGGTTCTGTCAACATAGCGCATTCAAGATTTGTCGTATCCTATACCCTAAGTATCAAGGCGCTTTTCTATGCTCGAGAAAGGTCACTTACCTTTCTCGACAAACTAGATACGCGGCTGCTGGTGGCCACAATGAACGAGATACTAGGCTATCGGCCTTTGAGAGGTATCGTCCGTGAGGCATCTGCGATCGACGCACTAATAAGTGACAAGATAGACTTCGTAGACCTACGGCAACCTTCGGCGGAGCAAGTTTTAAAAGACCTTACATCTTGCGACGCCGCTCATTTCTCATGTTATGGTCGCAAAGGCGGTATAGACCCTTCAAGATCTGCCTTAGTATTCCAAAAAGACGCTTCTAACGGCAGTAAGGTGGTCGACCTTTTAGAAGTACGAGATATTTCAATATCAAATCACACTTTAAGGGCAGACATACAACTCGCCTATCTTTCGTCTTGCGCAAGCGCTAGCAGCGACAATCAACGGCTTGCGAATGAGAGTATCTATATTGCGAGCAGCTTCCTGCTCGCAGGATTCAATCATGTTATTGCCACATTGTAGAATGCGGATGACGAAATCTGCGTGGACGTTGCTTCAGAGTTCTGGCGATATATAATTGAAGGGAGGAATGTAGTTGAGAATCCAGAGGAAAGGCACAGGCGGATAAGATTGGCTCTTTATGTTGCTGTCGTAAAGGTAAGAGAGAAATACTAGGATCAACCACTTTTTTGGGCGCCTTTTGTTCATTTTGGAGCTTGACTCGTTTAATCTGAATATGAAAGTTTTGGAGTTAGGGGAGAATTTACTTACTAGGTCGGACCAGCCGTTTGCACAATCGGCTTGATACACAAAACAATGATGACTGATTTTTGGCAAGCACCTGCTTATTTGCCTGTTATAAACGTTTGGTGAAGGTAATAAGCTCAGAGAGCGCGGTCGCTCAAATGGAATAAAACGAATAATATAAATATGAATATAAACTAGGTCTTTTATAGCTCGTCACACCAGTTGATCTTTAGCACTTCGGGAAGGGAATCTGATTAGCTTTTCCATCCCTGGTACTGCTGTTTGGATGCAGTTATACCGCCAGCGAACATAGAGCCCCTCCCATTAACTCAGCCCGTCTCAAGGCAAAGTGTTCCAAATAATTCATTCACTTAAGGTCGGCGTGGCGCGACCCGTCGCGTCTCGTACCCTACGAGAATCAGAATTCTCCGTACGCGTCGGCACCCTTAGCTATTCTGTAACATAAAGCGCATCTTTCGTCGCCTGTTCGCCTTGTCTAGCCTTGTAATGCAGAGGATCGAAGTACCCGTATATACATTTAGCTGCTCAAGCATGGCTACGTCATAGTCCTCATCGATTAAACCCCACTTGGCTTCTTGGCGTTTCGAACCAATCTTAGTTGGATGTCCGGGTCCACTGCCCATGTAATACAACCCTCTTGTCTTGATCACTTGTTTTCGCGTTCACGATAACCTTGAGAAAATAGGATTGCTTTGGTTCTACTTCGTTGTGTCTAGTGAGCAATTCCACTACGTAGCACTTACAACGACGTAAGACTCATACAAGTTAAAATCCCTCGAAAAGCTCTAGGGTCCGCGGCCTGCTGGCAGCTATTGAGGATAGCCTAAACCTTTACCCCCGACAAGGTATTACCAGCGTTCAGTCCCGCCATATTAGCCCGATGAAATCTGCTACGAGACACATTCACCCACAATACCAGTCGCCGAAGTTGAAAACATTCAAGATAATGGAGCCGATGCCGCAGAAGGCCGAAACTCAGATATTTCCTCATCACTTTCTGTGCAGATATCCCGGTGATCGTTCGCTATATAAAACGGATCGCATTGGTCGATCAGAGCCCAAAAATAAATCCCAACACATCTACCAGCCAGTTGGGCGCTATCCAAGGGCACGTGCTTGAGAAAACCGACATCGCAGAGCAGCACTTGAATCGATCACTTGCCCTGAAGGGAATTGCTTTGCGCCTCGCAGGATACATGTCATGAATAGCTACATCGTGGACTCCGTACTTCGTAATGGACTCGCACTCAAGAAATTTGCAGTATTCCTCGTTTCGATTTTATCATGTAATGAATTGCGCAGAGTGGTCCTTAGGCTACCGTTTATTTCTCATTTAGCTGCGTCAGGGTAGACCTGTTTATCACCGATCAAGACAATCCGTCCAATCCCTTGCAGGAATTTTTGACTGAAGGGGCTGGAGAAACTGCTGTAGTAACAGCATATTTTCTTTTAAAGGAGACCTCCACCTCCTCTGCCCGACAGATCTTTGAGGCATGCGACTAAATTTTCAGACTCCTGCAGAAGCAAGTCTCGATCGTCACATTTCTGAGCTGTGTCGAAATCGATCAAAGTAGCCTTCGAATCACGGACGAGGAAATTAAATCGATTTGTATCTCCATGTCGGACTCCTAAATTATGTAGTCGTGACAATACCTCTCCGCAGGTCTCACAGTCCTGAGTGCCAGCGTGCCGTGCATCGGTGATGCGTTCCATTATGAACCCAATCACCCGACCGTTCTCAGTTAAGTGACCAAGGAATTGAGGCCCAATATTATGGCCGGATATCCATTGGTATGCAGTGGTTTCGTTCTCAATGTATTGGACCTCCCAGGGAAAACGGGCGAATTTAGCGACGACAATATCATCGAACAATGAACATTTGGCTTCATAAATGCCCGTTCGTAACTTTCGTTCGATCGAAAGCTCCAAGTAGTCGACGTAGGTACTATGCCAGGTGTTCTGAACACCAGGGAATCGGGTCAGGTTTACGCACGGAAAATGCGGTCGACCGTCCTTTGCGTCCTTAGCCACTAGTCCATCGTTCCAGTCTCCAGTCGGAAATTTTGGCAAGAGGGAGACTAGGGAAGGGCCAAAACACATATCTTCGGCACTGTAAATGCCGGGTTCCACGGTGATGTATTTAATAGATCGACTGTCGACCAGAAGACGGAAAAAGCTTTGGTCGTTCTCGTCAACCTCGGCTTGGAGTAATTCGATTTTTGGCTGGTTATTCATTTTGAGAGTAGAAACTTGAATCAAGAGGAAAATTCCAAGTACGGTAGCCTTACCTTGGGACCGTGTTCAAATCCAGCATTTTGTGCTATTTATGTCTCTGCGATAACCGAGGGGCTGAGTAAGCAATGAGTTCTGCCGATCTCACAAAACCGATGTAATATTGGTTTGCAAATCTCAGAGCTGAAACGAGGAGACAGCGCTAAAGAGGCATGGTTGCATTCAGCACGGAATCAGCGCGACTAGGAAAACCTGCATTGGCTGTAGCACACCTAGGCCACCGTGTGCGATATGCCAAATCTGAGTTATTGGATCAGCACCTACACTCATAAGCGCCTATTAAGAACTAGAAGCGCCCTCTTGTTTCAGGTCCAAACCATAGCGCGGTACACTAAGACGTACGGCTTGGGGAGGGAAAAGATATATAATGCAGCATTTTCACCTTTGATCCTCAATCTACAGCTGTTCAGTGCTTTACTACAGAAATACATACTTGAAGGTGAGTTATACCGTTACGACTCGATTACGATATCGCTTCTATGAAGATATTTTGCTGATTATTCCAGACATAAGCCAAGGACAATCAGGACATCAAACCAAATAACGTAGCCCAGACGCCGGAATAGTAGGTTGACACCATTTGGATAGATTTTCGTACTTTGCTAACCGAGACGGAATCGATCAAGATATGTACCCAATTTTACCGGATGTACACCTGTGGCTGTAGAAAGAACGAAGAATTCAAACAATGTGTGGATCGTCAAGGCACGAATGTCAAATGTTCTCCAGTGACGTGGGAGCCATTGGATCCTTCCGTCCATATGTGTGCACGGCATATGGTGAAGCCCGGCAAGGACGAAATGCGCAGATAGGAGATTGTTAGACGAGGAAGATAAACAGCCGGAAGTAAGGTCTTGATTGGTTTCTGCTCTTGTAGTAGCTATCGTTTACGCTCGTAAGGAAAACGTGGCAATAGCTATCAAGCGTGCTTCGAAGCTTTGTAGCTTTCTCTTAAGTCACCGGGGGAACGTGTTTCCCCTCAATTATTTCTCCACATTCTCTAATATGATCCTGGAAACTATTAATCGTATACTTTCGACGCCAATGAAGTGGTCGACAATAATGGTGAGCTTTGCAAGCGACACAATAGAAACCCCAGTCCGGAAATACCGTTTGAACACTTAAGAACGGAGCACGAATAATACCCATGAAGCGCTTAGGATTAGAGTAGCGTCCATCAAAAGAATCCTCCGATCTGGGTAGCCGTAGGTTCGTTCTATTTGTCCTCCGAAGAGACGATATCGCATTATAGGCCTCTAGTCTCTTAGATGCCATTTCTAATACGTATTCTTCTATAGAGGTGATAGTTCCGTGGGTAGCGATTCCAGTTTGTCGTGCAGCGGAATAATCGAATAAGGTCTCTCGTTGTCGACATTTGATCCCCCGAGGCGAATAGCGGCCAGGGAAGCTTTTTATGTAAGGTAGACTTGCTAGGTATTCGGAGCCAAGGCCAAATTTGCGGATTATATCTTTCCGTGAGACGGGAAGATAGTCGGCTTTCTTAGTGAAACAAAGAAAACAAACGCGACGATAGGTGACCAAGTACAAGTATCCGCCGAAGTCGCTACAGCTATCACACTTAGCTATAGATAGTTTCTTATATAAGTCCAGGCATGAAAAGAACCGTGCAGACTTTATGTTAAGGCCCCCGCGAATTGATGTTGGTACATGAGCAAGTATACGTTTATACTATGGTATCGAGTCTGTTATTAGTCTTGCTCTTTTGTTGACGCGTCGAAAATCAGTCAGTGACTGCAGGTTAAGCCGGATAAGTGCCAGGTGGATGATTTCAAGTGGGAGCCTATCGAGAGCCCCAAGCCCGTAGCGTGGGGTACTGAATTCGAATTGATTATCCAAATGATAAAAGGTGTCAATATCGTCTAGTGTGTTGTCCTTGATGTCGAGAAAAATATACGTCGATTCGCTTGTCTTTCGAATTGCCGCTATAATACTATGGTTGGTGGTTACCCCGAGCTTTGAAGGGCTTTTAATCACACTGAGAGTAGAAATAAGGCAATATCCCGTTTTAATAAGTAGCTAGAGAAAGAAGAGTCAACCGGGATATATCAATAAGTGTAGAGGTAGAGGGAAGATGTTTAGTTGTGTCGGAACAGCAGGATAGGTGGATCCCTGGGGAAAAGGAAATACTATACACCCGCCTAGCTTAGTCATGTTTTTGCCTATACAAATTGCTAGCAAAGGGGCTTCGTAGCAATTCAGACCTATTGATATTCTATTGGTGGCCCCTATGACCCACTGAGCAGTATCCGCGACTGTTATGAGCCCGAATCGCTAGTAAGAAGGCTAATATTCGTTAAATCAAGCCATACGCAAGGTGTATCCGCGGTAGCGACCCGGCTAGACGTCTCCTTCTTACCCCTGACCTTCCTATCGATCGAATTAACTGCTAAAGAAGAAAGCGATTAATATAGATTCAACAGTGGTCTCCGCCATAAAGGGCGAAAAGCTAAAAGATCTACCGCAATAGAGGAATTGGTTCGCACGAATCAAGATATACGCACGCTAGAAGAGAGGACCTATCGGATTTACACAGTGCGCATAAATCCTTAGGTTTACACGAATCGTTCGTGCACGGTTAGGGTCGTGCGATCTAATTTTAGATTCACGATTGTGGGCAAAAAGGTCGTGCGATCTAATCAAAGACCCACGATTGTAGAAGACTGACTATCCACGATAGAGTAGGGGGTCGGCAGTATTAGACAGAGAGGTTGAACAGTGGCAGGTCAACGCAGTATAGTCAGGTAGGCCTAGAAGCTCTACTAGTAAATATGAAAGATATCAAACTTAATGAAATCGTGTCAAACTTATTCTATTTTACTAGGAAATTAGGCAGTATTTATAATATAAGGTACACGATAAAAGATCACAAGAGAAGTCGAAGAATACCCGAAATAATAGAAGGAAAATACGAGAGTGTTGGGGATTCTCGTTGCTTTTTCATCTGATATTGAGGTTGATAATCAACATTAATAATTGATCTGCAGGCTTAGTTAAAGCCTACTTGGGCATAAATGACGTTCCCTAGTATTATGCTAGGTGTAATATAGCTAGACTAGTACCAGCATAACTATACTCACTATCGCAAAGTGGACCAAGCAGGAATTCTGCCCGACAAAAGCCGCCCTTTATCATTCTTGCACTCGTGATCCCTATTAACCTCCGTAACCGCGGCTATAAGCTTCCGGAAGTAGGTCCGGGAACGCTAATATCGATCCGGAGTTAGAGAAGTATTGATTGACTATTAGCGTACCAAGCAAGCTAATGCCTACACTTAGCCTCGGTCGCTATTGCAGCATATAGTACCCGCTATTAGTCGACCTAAGAGGTTTGTGTATATAAATGCTTACAGCAAGCGGGTATCATTGCTTGGTCGATAAGTCTGTATTAACGTATATACTACTTCCTATTCGCGGATCTACAATCAATAATTGCCGGACTGCGCTATCTTGGGCCGCAGGAAACGATTTTTATCTCGTGCAGAGTGGTAAACCTTATTGCAATAAAATAAGAAAAGAAGGGTCACGTTGCAATTTTATCGTGCTAGTTCGATTCGCTGAACAGGTAGATAAGGTATTAGTTTATATTTCCGAAGTAGTCATAGCTATTCTTTTTGTATTATAGAACAGTCGAACCTTTATAGCGCTTCGCCCCGATGGCCTTCCGAAGAACCTATATAGGGGTTTGAATAATTCGAATCCTTTAGATTATAGTGTTTGCAGTTGTGTATCTCCTAGAGGACGCTAAGTAAGGCAAGAAAACGGGCGAAAGCTAGGTCTGAAACGAAGAGAGGCGAACGTTGAAAAAGCTAGAGAAGGTAGCCTTTTCCGCGTGACAGCAAAGCAGATGAGTTTATCCTATTAGGATTTCAAATTCCAGCTTTGTGGTGAGACCATCAAGATTCCTTCGAGCATAGGGCTGTGTATAGGGCTATATTAGCAGGAGCGACAAATTGAAGTTCACTGCGTTATGAGCCTAGACCGGCATGAGTGGCTATATGCACCGAAAGCGAAGTAGGGAGCTAAGGAGGGAAAGACTTGCTCTCCGTCTTGTTAGATGGAAACCGAATATGAAATTCTACTTGTAGGCGAGGCTACCCGGATAGGAACCGGTATACCTAGTTATATCTATCCTTAGTAGTGGATATATTTGACCTACCAGTATACGCTGAAAATGAACCTTTGCTTTTTCGGTGACAAAGTAAAAGCCATTCAGTCGGTCTATTAGAAATACCTAGATAGCGTTAGAACATATATAGGCCAATTAACGGTCTTTGTCATCAACTTCAAGTCAGTAAGAATATCGGGGCAAGAGTAGACTTCAGGGCTAGAATTAACTGCCGCCCATAGTTCTGTTGGTCCGTCCAATCCCACACTAACATCTAATTGCTAATTAGCCTACTTGTTACGTATTTCCAGCCCAATATATCCTGAAAAGTAACAGGCGATAACAGCTCAAAGGCTAGATTCCCTGCCTATAAGAGTCATTCTTTCCAGCCCGTAGGTGGTTAGCTATAAACTTTTCCTATCCGGCTGGCGGACTGCTATAGTATGTCGTGACCTAGAAATATGTTGCATATTAAAGGCCAAGCGAGTTTGAAAAAAAGAGGCCCTAAGAACGAGGATAACGTGGTGTATACGTTGTTTAATCTTTAGCTTTTTAGGGTAATTCGGTGGATATAGACCTTGGACATCGGGCCGAGGAGCATCATAGCAAGTGTTTTGGTAGTTATACGTAACGATTCGCACTACTGCTTTACGATAACCTTTCAAAATAAGGAGTATACTCGAACACCCTATATATTTGCTGACTGAATCTTCTTTGAAGCCGAGCAGTTAGAATGTTCCTAGATAGAAAATATACCCGTTCAGAAATCGGTGTTACTACCTACGCTCTTCGGTTATTTGTCGGAATTTAATTACTGTACTATAGCAAGCTTACAGGATTCGCAAGTGACCTATCCTACTATAGCAAGATATGCAGCGAGACCATCAAGGATAGTCTACTAAAGGACACGCAAGACTAGACCCTTAGCCATGCTGATTTCAAACAGGGCTCTATAAGTAAGAGAGTGAACTTTTCTAAATCAAAGGGGACCCTAGAACGAGGTAAACAATACTCTTGTGTTAAGTCATTAATCAGTTCACAAAATCCGCTCCTGGCTCTGCTACGGTCTTTTTTTTCTGCCAGCCTACCGATATAAGGACGAATAAGGCCCCTACGGCCCTTCACGGGCTGATCTCCATAATAGTTGACCGGCAGCTATCCCTCGTCTCCCACATACGGCGACAGCACGGCAAGACCGGGATAGAGGTCTTAGGATATTAATTCGGGGAAATCCTGTTAGAAATTTACTACTATCCTCGAGGTCGGCGGTTCAGCGCTTAGCAAAGAAAGAGGATAATTTCCGGGAATCAAAGGTAAAGAATAGCACTCGTCCCGAATCATATCCAAGACATACATACTATCGATTGCGATAGAGCGGAAGCACGTAGGCGGTACTCCGGTGGTAACTATAGCAGAACTTTCGAGTTCCAAGTGATCTATACGTTATCGGGACTTATTCTATAACCTTCGAATTGTAGTACTTCGGGGTAGGAGTTGTCGGTCGGTGATATAGAGTACGCGATCTCCAGAAATCTGTAGTAGCGCACAAAAATGAATTTAGCGGGCGATAGGTATATAATTAGGATACTATAGCTTTAACTTCACTCTTAGTAAGCAAATATTTTTAGGTCCGATTTCTGTAGTATTCCAAGAGACCAGCTCCTTTAATCCCTCAAATCATAAACCCGAAGGAACGGCTGAATTTCAGAACAGAGAAGCGTGAGTCATTCTTGAATACCAAAGTATCACGCGATACGAACACGAGCCGGTGTTCATAGTTAGGATAGAGAAGTAGAAGATTTTTAGCATCTTTCTGTACCTACTATTTTGAAGCAAAAATAAAATATTATGGTTGCGATATAGCCCCGGGTAGCTAAAGGACACCGCGGTCTATAAGAAGGCAATTTCCACAGAAGCATAAATATCGAACAATAGTATTAATCGTATACACAAACACCTCTGTTGCCATTATTGCATCCCAGAGCCGGATCGCCCTATCGTGCGAGGCTGTTACTATGAGCCCGCTATCTAGTAAGAAGCTGATAGCGTTAACCTAGTCTGAATAGCCACGTAATACGCAATACTCGGTGCCTGTAGTTGCATCCCAGAGCCACACCGCGCCATTAGATAATCCCGACGCTATAAGCCGGCTATCAGGTGAAAACGCAACACTGACGAGATTTAAACCGCATTGTAGGACACACCTCTCTATGCCTGTGATTACATCCCAGAGCCAGATTGTCTGATCATATAAGGCTGATACTATACCCTTGCTATCCGGTAAGAAGGCAATAGCGAGTAACCAATCTAAATGGCCCCTTAACACGCGCTGCTCTGTGCCTGTAGTTGCATCCCAGAGCCGGAGTGTCTTATCGTCTAAGGCTAACGCTATAAGCTAGCTATCTAGTGAGAATGTAACAGCCCGGACTGAAGTTGAATGACCCCGTAACATATACCGCTTTGCACCTATAGCCGCATCCCAGAGCCTAACTGTGTAATCGCCCGAGGCTGATACTAGGAGTTAGCCGTCTGGTGAGAAATCGACAGCAGAGACCCAGTTTGAATAGCCCCGCAAAACACGCCGCATTACACCCGTGGTTCCATCCCAGAGACACGCTATCTTATCATCGTCCGAGTTTATATCTAAGGCTGTCGCTATAAGCTGGCCGTCTAATAAGAAGATAATATCACTAAAGTAGCATAGATTGCTTCGTGATACGCGCTGTTTTACCCCTATAGTTATATCCCAGAGCCTAACTGTCCCATCACTCGAAGCGGATACTATAAGCTGATTGTCTAGTGAGAAAGCGACGGCAGTGACCCATTCCTAATAGCCATGTAACACGCGACGTCTAGCGCCTGTGATTGCATCCTAGAGCCGGACTGTGTTATCGCCAGAGGCCGACGCTATAAGCCGACTGTCTAGTGAGAAGGCGACATCATTAACCCAGTCTAAATACCCCTGCAACACGCGTGCCTTTATTCCTATAGTTGTATCCTAGAGCCGGATTGTATAGTCGGCCGATGCCGATGCTATAAGCCGGTTGTCTGGTAAGAAGGTAACACTATTGACCGAATATGAATAGCCTCGCAATAAGTGCCGCTCTTTGCCTATGGCTGTATCCTAGACCCTGATATTATAATCGCCCGAGGCTAATACTAGGAGTTAGCCGTCCGGTGAGAATGCGACTGCATAAACACAATTTGAATGGCCACGTAGCACGCGCCGTATTGCACCCGTGGCTGTATCCTAGAGTCGGACCGTGTTATCGCCCGAGGCCGCACTCCAGGGAGGGAATGTTTGGTTACCCGCTGCCGACGCTATAACCTTGCTATTTAGTAAGAAAGCAATATCTCGGACTGAAGTTAAATAGCCCCGTAACACAAGCCGCTTTGCGCCTGTGACCGTATCCCAGAGCCTGACTGTATAATTACCCGAGGCTGATGCTAGGAGTTAGCCGTCCGGTGAGAATACGACAGCATTGATCTAATCTGAATAGCCCCGTAACAAGCGCCGCTCTGTGCCTGTAGTTACATCCTAGAGTCGGACTATCATATCTTTTGAGGCTAACGCTATAAGCCGGCCGTCGTGCGAGAAGGCAACAACATTGACCCAATCCGAATGACTCAATCTTTATAAGTATAGGTACCAGTACTTATCAGTGATCGGCCGATATGATATCCACTTCGGAATCTCATTCGAGTAACACTTCCGCGTTATACTCTTTTCTAGGCTAAAGAGTAGGGACGAGTAATATACTTAGAGTAGAGCCTCTTCGATTACTGCGCTATAAGTAAGGAGGAATCTCATTACGTCATATACTACTAGATATAAAGACAGAAGACTATATACTAAATAGTGAGGCAGTGAGATAGTGCCGATGAATTTGTGACGTAACTTCTCCTTTATCCAAGAAAATGATTTCTAAGTTTGATCGAGGTATTTCTTCTAACATCGAGAGGAGGAAAAGAGACGGCCAATTTTGCTTCTAGTAGCCGGATCATAGTTATACCTTCGGACAGTTAGCGGATCAGGGCGAGAACCTCAATCTAGTAGAGGAAACGCCTCTCGAAGAAGTCCATTATATCCATAACGTCACTTAGATTAATTTCGCTCTGCTGTAAATGATATAGCTAGTAGCGGCAAGCGTACTAAAGAGGAAGAGGAACAAAGTGACCCATAGTGGTTTTAGGAATATCAAGGGTCCGTATCCCAGGCCGCTCAATTTTGCATATATTTTGTCGTAGATAATTCTTCATGAGTCGTAGACAGCACCTAAATAGGTATAGGTTAATAGCTTTGACGTCGACCAAAAATGTAGTATTCTGGCATCTCGCTGGATCTAGAAGGAAATCCCGGAAGGAGGGGTAGAGGAGACGAATAGGCCTAGACCCCTCTAGAACGTCCAGTAACGAATAGAGAGAGTATAGGGTAGAAAGTACAATATCCTCCCGTTCTTCAAGTATTATAGCTAAGCTTACAGGTGTCATCGCATCAAAGAGCGTCACAATAGACCCGACAACACGCCTGAACAATACCTACACCCTAGCTACCTTATCCGGCTCAAGTTGCATCAGGAGTAAATGGATTAAGACAGTGGTGTATATCCGGTCCAACTCCTTCTCCGGTTTACTTAGTATGCTTCCGGCGGTAACAAGAAGGGATAGACGCTCACTAGCAAGTTAACCCCCTTGCTCAATAAAGCGGCACACAGTAGCGGCGTAGATAAATAGGCCATATGATCTTCTGACCAAGAACTGGATTGTTTCGTCAGAGAAAATTTGATCGCGAAGGCCGAATCGTTTAGTAGTACGCGTCAGTCTGTCCTTGTAGAATAATATTAGATCCTTATCTACGATCGACTATTCAGTGTCATAGAGGACAAAATATTGGCGTAAATCCCGCGAGATACTGTCGAACCTAAGATTGATTGACTGCTCTAGTCTACTCGTGATGAAAATACGCAATTTAATACTTTCAACAGTCGTAGCGGCAGTAAGGCATTATATTAGCAAGGAGACATCATCTTGACCTTCGCATTTATCTAGCGTATCAACCACGACGATAACTAGGAGCGAAACCACGTTCTTGCCTAACTACACTATCGGCTCAAGAACCAGCTTCTCCCACTAGTCATATAATCCGAGGTTGCGGATCCGATTGTTAGATACAAAGCCCTATTTAATATGTCTTTGGAGCTCTGGTAAAATACGGGCTAGCTAGGCGGCGACTAAAATAGGAAATTTTCTAGCAGACGCGAGATCACCACCGCCTCGGGAGAAGAAAAAGCTCGCACCAAGTCGTCCTAGTTTGGCGTACTTACGGGCAACCGTAAGAGCAATAGTAGATTTCCCGGTGCTAGCTATACCCTTAAGCCAGTATATTCGTCTTTCACCATCGTTATCAGCCTAGTCGTCGATCTAGCTAAGGATATTTCGACGTATACCCTCGAGGCAAGAAGAGAGACGCTCTTTACTTGCAGCGTCGAATTCGGCGTCTAGAAGATTGTCATAGATATCGGGTATACTATCAAAGATATCCGGTATACTATTATGCATCTCTACTCCCGCTAAATAATTCTTCTAAGTCAGATCCCGTTCGTGCTCTTCAACGCTTAACTGCATAACGAATATAGTACATCTATATATAAATAAAGAAATCTCTAGAGGACTTTGTGAGGGATTCAACGTTGAATTTATATTAGAGATCTAATTAGGACAGATTAATAGTCCTTTAACTTTCGAAATCGTTCTTCCAGAACCTTAGCCTGGGAGGTTGAATCTTTATTTACGGCGACTTCAGGGACCATAGGGATATTAAGAAGAGCATACATACCTTCTGCAAGTTGATAAGCACACGAATCGAACTTATACCCGACTTCTGCAACATTTATATAGCTTTGAGTCAACACTTTTATGTCGCCTAGTTGCTTAGACTCTTCGAGTCCTATATTCCCAAGCCCGGGTACGTTAAAACGAAAATACCTGCCAGCCTTCGCGGTACTTACCCTATCTCGCCTGTAGAAATCATCGGCGGTCCTTTCCGTTTCTGTTGCGAGACCTGCTAGGTCCGTGGCGACCGTAGAAAGAGACGGTTGCCATTTCATAACTTTCTCAAGACCAGTGCCTACACTAACTATAAGTTAGTCTCTTCCCGGAAACACTTCGCTTACCTCACTATAAACAAGTTGGATAGGGTTATTGTATAGAAGGCTACTATCAGAGTATATAATACCATCAACTTCGATCGGCTTAAAGTAGGTTAGCGCCGCTAACGTCGCCCGACAGGCTTGCTAGAGATATATATTGTCGAGCCTGAGCACATGACAAATATCAGAATTACCGCCACAGGTGAAGTTAAAGAGACAAGAGTATGTCTTACTCAGCCTTCGATCTCAGGAAGTTTCTATAGCTTCTCAGTATCGCCACTTTATTAGTTCGTTGAAGGTAAGCTATAACAAAGCTATAGACGATTAGTACTGGTAGGCTTAGCGAAGTGACCTGGCAAATAGCTTACACTCGACAGCCAATGTTATCTTCTTTAAGGATCTTTGTTTCCCATTCCTCACCAATAATTGTTTTAATAGCATCCTCCAGAGGCTGAGTTTTAAATCGAGGTCCGATAGTGATCGTACCCATCACCCGATCTATAAAATTTTTCTTTGTGAAGGCACGTTCTGCGAGGTTCACGTATACGTCCTTATAGTCTTTAATAGACATTCGCAATCGTCCAAGCATAACCGCAATCAGGCTGAAGGTTATTGAGTTTTGATATTCTAACCCAGTAGAGAGGAGACACAAGGGAAACTAACCCTCCTATGCTGGTACCCCTAATGATATCGAACATTTCCCATGGTTCCTGAGGCGGGAGGTTCACTTTTTCTCGCTTATTATTTGATGAATCTATTAGCTGCTCCAAGAGGACTAAGGCAGAAAGCCCCCGAACTCCCCCGCCATCTATCGTAAGGAGTTTCACCGGGGCTTGTTTAGTGCTAGAGGATATCATAGGTGCCTATACTTATAGGAGACACTCTATCAAGTATGAAGATTATAAAGAGGTGAATAAGAGTAGACGGAAAGTATTATCTCCTATATTATCAATAGGAAGGAGAGAGGCGGATACGGGACGAAGATTAATGAAAAGGCCTAGCAATAAAATGACCACGCACAATATACACGAGCTTCAGTAGCTAGAGCTTCAGAATCAAGCTTTCTATACTTATTGTTTCAGTAGGTATAACATCACTACCATAAAGCTTAAAGTTGGTTATCGGATTCATCTAGTAGACGTATATAATTTCGATAGTCTTCCAGGCCGCAAACGCCACACTCTATCGTCATTAAGACATTCGCCACTACTTCATAGATTTTTAACTTTAATCAAATCTAGACTACTCTAATCCCAGTGACACAAACCTTAGGACTTTTTAACGAAAGCAATTTTTTTCTAGATTGAGAGGGTCTAGATTATCCGAGGAGTATAAAAGTCTAGATAAATTCACCGAATAGGAAGCCGAGCGCTACGTGACGTATAATTTCCTACTCGATAGTCCACCAATAGAAGCTTTCACATCGTGTTCCACACGATATAGAAAGCTAATTTACCTATGCTTAAATACCGAGGTCAGTGCCCCACTCGGCATATACGTCGTTCCTGAGCCCGCTATTATAACGGGCTCGGCCCTGTAGTTCTGCTGTCTTAGACCGCTATATCCTGTACTTCGTCTATCTTTGTCTAGCTGTCGTTTCTAGTGAAGCGGGGAATGCTTGCTGTAGCAATCTGCAAAGCAGGCGGGTCGAGGTAACAATAGGTATCCAAAGGGCGATGCTAAGGGAAACTCAAACGCACGATAACAATGAACAATCACTATATTAGGGATGTGTATTGTGCAATATGCAGTCTTTTAGTGACGTAGAGAGTAGAAGACTGAAGAGTAACAAAAAGAACCAAAAAGGCATAACGACATCCGCCAGGCGTAGTTAACTACCTTATATAGATAGATTACTTGCTAGTCACTACAATAAAGTACAATATAAGTAATAATTCCAGTGGTTTGCAGTGTTTTCAGACCTATAGGAGTCTCGTTATTGGACCTAGAAGTCCCACGGCCCTTCCAGTCCCGCCTATAGGATATAATACTCATCCTTTTAGTGCTATCGGATGTCCCACGGTAGGCATTCTGTAGGAATTATCAAAGGTTCGAATAGGCCATAAGAAATCCACTTGTTTCATGTATACGTTGTGTTGTGCGCGTGCAGACAGCGAATTCCCTATAGGCCATTCACAACTATCTAGATATTAGGCTCTTAGTCCTGTGTACCGGGTAAACCGACATAGCACTCTAGCTCCACTAAACCTTGCCCAGATCCTCATAGACCTTTATTTTCAAGAGATTCCCACACCTTTAATAATATAGATGGATGATAAAATCGATACTTGAGCCTATTTTTGAATTATATCTAGGTCACTAGTTCTTACTATTTATGCTATTGATCATCCGCAGGTACCCCCGGATAAGAAGGAGGTCAAGGCTCTAGAGACTGGTGCCAAACCGGCGTCGCCTCTAATCAATTCCTCTTTCCTCTAGGCTCTACTATCAACGAGTTAGTTATATATTAGTTAGTTAGTTAGTTTCTAAGTATACAGTCAGCGTTCATTAGTATTTGGAACATAGTACCCTGCCCTACTTATCTTTCTGCTAGTAGGCGGACTGTGTTTCAAATACTAATAAACGGCCACTAGACGTTAACGCACAAGATCCACGTGACATTCACATTCCTTTGCATCATTCCATCTGCCTAGCGATATAAGTAGGGCCTATAATTTAATAAAGAGTGATTAGTAGTTAAGCTAGGTCCGCACCCGTGGCTGGTATCTACGATAGCTAGAGAATCAGCTGCTACGTTAATAGACCTAAAGTTCTCAAGCTAAAATAGCTACAGTACCGCATTATAACATCACTACGGTATCCCACGCACTATTGATTAGAATTGTACTGTTCAAAGGTTATCTTAACCAGGAATCAGGACGGTACACTTCCCCTCCTAAGTCCGTATACGGTATAGTCATCGTATTTATCCCGCATTTTTAACAAGTCGCCGAGGACTAACCACTACTCTTGTACTCTAGACACTAGGCTCAATGCCCTCTCGCGAATTTAGTCGGGTATATCGCGACTGACCAAGTCCTAGTCATAGAGGAACGGCATAGTCAGTAGAGGCTTTGGCAGGTTCTGGTCTCTCCCGGGATCGGGCTATTAACTGCGTAATCAGGTTGACCTCATCAGATTAATCTGGCTCACTTAAAGGTGGATTGACTTCTGCCGTGATCGTGCCCGGTCCATAATAATTCCTACTCTAGAGTCTATTGTTTATACTAGTATAAGATATCGATATCATAATGAAAGCAATTCCTGCTCTTTGTATCGCGCGCGGAGAGACGTTAGAGGACTCTAAGCTAAGGATAGGCACAGTCTTAGCAGAGGACTCTCTATGCTTGAACACAGCCGTGGGACACAATCTATCCAAAGGCAGAGGTTGACAAGCTCGCAAACGATCACGTGCAGCCCCTACTAACTAAAATGTCTCCCCCTTCGTAGATCTGGATCAAGAAATCCTTAGTAATTAAGTAGTCCATAAGTTACGCTCTTTTTAAGACGCAAAATATGGGGAAAATAGGTCTTTCGCTCCGGAACTTAGACCCCGGCGAAACCGCCTAACCGACCCCATCAACATCATAGTTATCAGCATCGGATTCACAGATATCCCGGTAGTGAACGGTGCAATAATAATACAGCCTCCATAGTGCACTAGGACAAGATACTACTTTTATCACATGAAAGTCCGGACATTCTACTTACATTAAAACCAATTTTAGTACCACACGAGAACGTAATCCATATATCTCTTCGGGCCTAAGTAAATCTGGTAGGCTTGTACAAGGCGAAGCGGCTTGCAACTTCCCCGATTACTGGATAGGCTAGAGAGCCTGCTAGCTATTAGTAGATTGAACTGGTCAGGATCAATAGTTCTAGAGTATCGTGGATTGATCTCGGCGGATGTCAAGGCCCGGGTCAGTGTTGGAAGGGAACAAAAAGGGAAATTGACAATTCAACTTGCTTGGTTGGAGAAGTAAACCATGGGTGAGGTTACGGGAGAGGTTAAATCAACTTTGCTCATTTGCATTGCAGCGACCCATTTGTTTCTGCACCTCTTCGGTCAGAACCTTCTCCACGTCCTTGGAGAAGAGATAACCCAAAACGGCACAGACATTTGAAATGGTAATGGTAAATCTATTTTCCGGGCCAGGCTCGATCAGGATCAGCTCAGCGCCCCAAAAAAGCCAAAGTCATGGGTTGGGAGACCGGGGGAAGGAGAGTGGGAGAAAGGGAAGGTTTAACCGAGCGGTCACGTCAGCGCTTCAGGGATATTCAGGGTGTTCAGGTGAAGGAGCCTGAAGGGGCTGAAGAGTAAAGCGGCAAGGGCAGTCCTTCCAACGCATCTAAATTAATTCCAAGAATAAAAAAAACATACAACAGCCAGGATTCGCATGTGGTCACCCACCATACTACTAACTGGCCGGCGTGTGGCTTAAGTACGGCTGAGCGGACGGGAAGCCCTGTTCTCCACACCCTATGGTCGTATGTGCTGATTGCCAGGAGAAAATAAAATATATGCCCTAATACTCCTAATTACAATGCATAAAGCGTTGCATCGGCGTGAGTTAGAAGGGGTGAGTGCGCAATGGACAGGGTGAGAATCTCCCCCGATCGCGGGCGACTGCCGTACTGACCCTCTTAGCTGAGCTCCGATACAGCGTTATTGGTTCACCGGTCTGTCTGAAACCGCGGCCTCTTGGCACCATGGCGCTGATTGCCGCGGTACTACACCTCACTTTTACTACCTCCAGCCACCAAGCCCGTGAATTCTCCCGTACCACGGTCTAATGTTCACTTTTTTAAGAGGTGTTTTAATTTATATTCGCCAAATTGGTAGTTTGGAAAGTATCACCTGTGGCAAAAAAGCGTAATTTCGTAGCGCTTGGAACGAGTCACTAATTTTGAATTTCCTATGACGTCAGTAGCAGTGGCTTTATGGAGATCGTACATTAGAATAAAGTTCTTACGCATCTAAATAAACAACTCTGCAGAGCCGTTTTTGCGAGCCTAAGAAACGTGCCGGCAATACTCTGAGAGCTCGCGAGCCTGGGAAACAGTCGCACTGCGTCTGGACAACCTTTGATGCGAATGCAAACTACATCCCCGAGATTGAGAGTGTGTAGTTGCTGCAGAGGTCCCTACCAGATGAAATGCTGTCACTACCCAATTCTCGTATTTCAATGCGTGCTTCCTGTGACGCGTGCAGCAAAGCAAAGGTAGTTGAGCTTGAAAGATTCAGTCATAGTGATCTGATGTGTTGACACTCATATTCCATACACAGGTCCGATGTGAGAGAAGAGGTGCGAATTGTAGTCGGTGCTCACATCGAGGTCAAAAATGCGCATTTTCTCCTAAAGCCCGGAAGCCAGGCTCCAAAACTGTACCACACTCACAGCAGAAAGAGCTCAAAATTGCTTCTTGGTCTACTTATGCACATACTGAGATTCAAATGAAATGCACAGAAACGCAATTACTGAGATGAAAAGTCAGCTGGAGCGGCTGGAGTCGCTTGCGTCCCTATCGAGGAGTAAATTAGCAGACCACGACCATGGTGCTCCATTTTTGACCGTTGCCGGTGATAAAGAACCCTCATTCTATTTGACAGACCGCATGGGGTTCTCGAGCTTTATTGGTAAATCTTTTTATTTCCTTTTATTTTCAAAAAAGCCTGCGGGATTGCTCACAAGTGCGGTTCTGAGTAGGATCTGCGTCTGGTTTTTCACTTCTATCCCCCCGCGGTTTACGGAGGGTTTCAGATCTCACTGGATCGACGGAATTGTCCGACTTTATTTCCAACCGAGCACGGATATACATGCTTGGTTGGTCCGAAGAGATGACGTCCGCGTGTCAGCAACTCGCGCCAGACCACGTAACATCGATTCCATCCAAAGAGTCGGCGATCCTCACTATCAACTGTCAGACCCCTAGTCTTTCTTATACCTATGACCAATAAAAGGCTAATGTAGCGTAGTTTTCTTTACATATGTGAACTCTATCATACCTCTGTATGATCAAGAACGATTCATGGGTCTTTTCAATCAGCAATACTCAGACAACCCACCTACCAGCGTCTCCTGGTATGCCACACTTCATGCTGTGCTCGGCATTGGTGAACTTGTCTTTGAAGATGAGGTAGGTACGCATTCTTCGGCTACTCTAGGAAAAGCCACTGGGCCCGTACACGCCCTGAGCTGTCTTCAAAATTGCTATTCTGTTTTTACCCGGCTGGCATACAGTTGCAGAGAGCTTATGGGTGTCCAAGCCCTTATCGGGATGGTTAGTCTTCTCATTCTGTCGGGTCAAAATGATAGAATTTACATTAACCTTCTGCTCCAGGCATTGATCCTTGACATGCTTCTAGACGCCGAGGCTAGTTATATGGCCATTGGAGCAGCAGTGCGCCTTGCTCTTGGCTTGGGCTTGCACCGGACACTAGTGGATTCACATCTAACATTGAGTGAAGTGGAAGAGCGACGAAACGTCTTTTGGGTTCTGTACGTATTGGACAGAGGCATAAGCCTTCGACTTGGACGTCCGCCCACTATTTGCGAAGAAGACATCGAAGTCAGCGAACCTACTCTCGGGCGAATATCGCAGCCGTCCCAAGTTAAAGACGGGTTCGCGCAATTTGTGAAGCTCAACAGGATCAAGAGCGAGATCTACACAAAACTCTACTCCATTCGTTCTCTAAGAGGCGATTGCCAAGCAGAACGGCTCGCTACCCTGCAAAATCTTGAGGAGAAGCTCATCATCTGGCAAAAGTCTCTGCCTAAAGATATGCTATCAATTCCACGAGCACTGCATAATCCAAATGCAGTGTTTAGTACTATGACATTGTTGTTACACGCTGAATACTACAACTGCCAATTAATGCTCTATCGAACGGAGAGTTACTGGGACCCTTTGGATTCAACCGACCATTCATTCTGCATAACCACTTCCTTGCCCAGCTCTCGTGGGATTTCCAGCCGCAATAAATGTCTCTCCGCTGCGAGACATACAGCTGAGCTTCTCGACATGTTACAGCAGAGCGGGAATGCGTTTCGGAGCAACCTGGCACGGTATGATCCCTTCCAATATTTTGTGGAGTTTTGTACGTCAAAGCAAGCTGACACATCTTCAGCTACTTATCATATTATCCTCTCTCTGCCTTTTTCGACATTTTCATTAATTTACTCGAACACCCTCTTGACTCAAGCAATTCAGACGATCTAAACCTGCTTCATATTATAATGGATTCTATGTTAAACGCTCTGACCACCAGCAGCTCACCACTAGCTTTGCTGCTGGCTGAGGTCTTTCAAAAAATGACGGAAATAGCTCATGACATCCTTATCCAATCGAAGTCTGAGGGGATAACCACAAGGCCTTGCCTCACGATATCGCAGCCACTAATGCTACGGGGTCCCCAGCCAATATCACTGGAGGTTTTCCACCACCAAGATCTACCATCAGTGATGATGACTTGATCAGCCCTGTGTATCACACTTCCTTGCCACAACTAATACATACTGATATAAACTCATACTTCGATGAACCAGGACCGTTAGGGCTTGACAGGAGGACGGGGGCAAGCTTTTCGCATTTGGGATTTGCTGGGGGTTCTCTGGTTCATGGGCATCTTGGGGGAAGCCCCAGGTCACTGAATTGAGGTGTCATTTTGCAAAATTGTGCATGGTTTCGAGACAAACGTGTCCCGCTTTCAATTTATGCTGACATTTGTTGATCAATTAGTCTAAGTATCTATCGAGTACCGTGGAATATCTCGTGTATGTACGATTCTCTCTTGATTTGGGAAAGATTTTATAAGCAACATCATTCAGGGAAGAGCCTTGCTCAAATCATACGACTGAAAGTTGATGGAGCTATCACTGACATGATGAGGGTTAGGCCATAGGCTGTAACACCATACGCTGTAACAAAAGAACTGCTGACCAGGTATATGGACGGGTTTGCGGCCTTGAAGTCCAGGTGAGATGACTAATCCTGGAGAAAGTGGGGTTTCGTTACCACCTAGAGACGGTTTGAACTTTTTGTTTGTACCAAGTTTACGTTCCATTTACGAGACCTTACGGATCAGTTTCTTTCCAAGTACCAGTCAAAAAATACAGGTTACTGTACCGGTCTGTATGCTTCGTGTTAAGACAGACCATAACCTACTCTCGCTCCGTGATCATTCTGTCAGCTGGACCTCCCTCAGGTGGAGAGCTGTGTTCAAACTTCATTTGTGGCGGGCGGGTTTCCAAGCACGAATTTATCAGATTGGCTGGCTCTTACCTCTGGATGGCGTCAAGACTAAGACCAAACCTCCGTAAGGGCCTAGCGTTATAGCCTCTATTTACTTGGCGGGCAGTTGACGTGCGGCTTTCTGAAGTAACCACGGATCTCTTTGGCCAGTAAGATACGAATAGGATGAAAGCTAGAAAAGTCTATTCATGTTTGTGAAGGTGTAAAATGGAAAAGCCTCCCCACCTCCCCTACAGGCACTGGAATGGGTTGCTTTATCACTGACCGACGTGGTTTATCTATTACAATCTCCAATTACGTCGAAGTCTCTAACATGATTGAGATCTTTCGCGACTCAGCGTTCGGCAAACTACTCCGTATCTTCAGTGGTACAATACTTTTACCATATCCAGAAGAGGCGCATGAATTAGCTTGGAGAACATACATACAAACCTCTGCGGACGCTGAACAGCATGAAGAATCCACGGCAACCAGCGAAAAGGAACTTCCTCAATCATATGGACTATACACGGTTATTTCGCAAGCTTCCCACCGGCACCGACGGAGACCTTCTCTAAATAGTGCTTTAGCAGGTCCATGGCGTGGGCCAAAAGGAAAGACACCTGTGATAATCGGTTGGGGAGGCCCGGATGATAGCGAGGTGAGACGCTTTTCTGCGAAATGAGAGCTCCAACTGATGTCCCTAGAACCCTCAGAACTGGAGTACCAGAAAGAAATTCTTTGTCAGCTCGCTCATCTGGCTTCTCACATTTTCTATTTACATTGGCTCCGCAATATACACACCTGGAATACCAGGGGTATCGAAGCAATTTAATGTGAGTAAAGAAGCTGCGTTACTCGGATTGACACTGTTCGTACTCGGATACGGACTTGGTGAGCTGCATTTCCTCCCTGGACCGATTTCTCTTAGCCAACCCTGACGTGATATACTCCAGGTCCCATGATTTGGGCACCTTTATCGGAGCTGCCCGCTGTGGGAAGAAGTCCAGTGTATGTTTTCACTCTGACAGTCTTCGTTTTCTTTCAATTTGCTATAATTTACGCGAAGAACTTCGGCATGCTCTTAGCATTTCGATTCTTGACCGGCTTCTTCGGCTCACCTGTCCTTGCTACAGGTGCAGCTTCTATGGCGGATATCTGGGACATCAGAACCCGAGACTATATGATTGCAATCTGGGGATGCTTTGCAATTTCGGCTCCTGTGCTCGGGCCTCTAGTAGGAGGATTTGCATATTCCGCCAAAGGTTGGACATGGACTATTTGGGAGTTGCTTTGGATATCTGGCTTTACTCTTGTGGTTCTTTTTATCTTACTTCCAGAAACATTTGCAGTTAATATCCTCAGTCGACGTGCCCGCCGGATCCGCCGGATCACCGGCGATCAGAGGTACGCATCTGAGGCTGAGATTGAGATTGCCCGTGTCAATCCCAGGGTAAGCCTGAATAGCCGAATTTGCATGCCCTTACTTCCACCTTGACAATGTGAAGACTAACAGTCCAAGTAGGATGTCCTCTTTGAAGCTCTCCTCCGGCCGTTTCAATTGTGCTTCTTCGAGCCCATCGTGTTCCTGATGAACCTCTACATAGCCCTTATCTACGGGATCTTGTATATCTGGTTCGAGGCTTTTCCGATTGTCTTTGAATTAAAGCGCGGCTTCAACCCAGGGGAAAATGGGCTGGCATTTCTTGGTATTCTGGTAGGGGCTGTTTGTTTCGCTATTCCGGGATACTTTTGTTGGAAACTTCGCCGGCAATCCAAGCATATTGACGTGAACGGCTATCTTCCTCCGGAAGAACATCTTCCTCCAGCATGTTTAGGAGCGTTGTGCCTGCCCATATCACTCTTCTGGTTTGGATGGACTGGAAACTTCGCTAGTATCCACTGGATTGTGCCTATCATTGCCTCGGTGCTTTTTTCTATCGGAAGCTGTCTTATCTTCAACAGCATCTTCTGCTATGAGGCAAGTGCGTATCCAAAGTACGCAGCCTCTGTCCTTGCCGGGAATGATTTCTTACGGTCGTCTTTCGGTGGTGCCTTCCCCCTCTTTGCGACCCAAATGTTCCTCAACCTGGGTGTCGGCTGGGCCTGTACATTGCTTGGGTGCTTGTCGTTGCTATTCGTCCCATATCCATTTGTCCTGTACAAGTTTGGCAAGCGGATTCGGAATCGCAGCAAATATGCGCAACACGATGACTAGAGGGGAGTTTACTACATTCATATAATTCGAATTCCTTCACATTTCCTTCCAAGGAGACTTTCTGGATGTTTTCATCCATTTACAAAATGACTACCATCCTCAACGTCAGGTAAGATTCAAGGTTGGCTAGAATCTACGGGCCTTCGAAACTCTCACGTATGCGCGCATCGAGAACCAAGCGTCTTCACAGTGCGAAGGGCCTACAGTGCTCAATAATTCTTGTCTATCACGCTCAATAGAACGTCAGCGTCAGTTTCTAAGTGAAAATATTGCATTGCAGTTTTCCTTTGGCTATATTGACAGCGCAACCAGTCCGCTTGGCGACGCTGGATGACCGTCTTGGAGGACGCTCAGGGCTGAAAGTTATTCCTGGACACTATCACACGAATCTGAGGCGGCTTTTTGCAGTTAAGTTTTTCAAGTCGCGGGGTTTGTGTGACTGCTAATAATATATCTGTATTGGTAAACAAGGAACGGCTTTAGGACCGAGTCTGGTCTGGTAAGTGAGCTACTGTCGGAATACGAAAGTGGCTGTCCAATCAGTGGCCATGAAAACTCCAGTAATAGTTAATTTTTAAACCAACAATTTGTGTGGGATAAACATATAAATTCAAACATGCAAGGAAATCACATATTTTCCACCCCGAGTGTGGGTTCTAAGTGACAAATAGAAATGGCTGATCCTCACTGAACACCATGGTGTCCGTATTTCGACTTTGGTGAACCACCACTGGCTTGTGGTCACCATGCTTACCTGACTGGATAAATAAAAACACACCCTTTGAACCGCACACCAAGTAACGATGTCAGAGGACCCGGTTGTTCTCGGCCTTCTTCTCTTGCGGGACTCTTCCCGATCTTCTTCTCAACAATCTATGTAAGACTTGTCTGCAGGCAGTCACTACCCATGGAAGTAACCTTGGCTTGTAGTGGCGAACACGGAAAATATAGTACAGGATTGTAGCTCCTGCAATGTTAAACCCAATATAAGCCCAGCCGATTGCAAAGTTGCGCCAGCGTTGACTGTAGTCTGATACATGATAATGATTAGCATTTGTACGGCCACCAAGCAGTCACCCCGAAGGGAGATGAAGCAGCTTGCCCACTTACAGATTTTGCTCAAGGACAGGTACTGGTCTGCGGTGGCGAATGCGCAAAATTCGCAATCCGTCACAGCAGACGGGTTGTTGAGCTGACCCGGAGATACACTCATCCAATCCGCAAGGTATTGACCGCAGGTTTGGCCTTGAGGCGGAGAAAATACACTAAGCTCTCCGCTAGAGCATTGAATCGGCTGTCCGTGCAGTGCATTACCGCACATTCCCGCGATCAAATATGTCAGAGGCGAGACACGGTACATGAAAATCCAGAATCCAGGAAGGGCGGTCGGACTCTGCATGACTCCGTTGAACGTTAGAATGAGGGCAAAAGACAATGTCGCAACGGTCCCTATTAGACGTTGAACTAGTGTAAGCTATTGCTCTCAACAGATTATTTGTTTTCTGACTTGGGAAATGACGTACCTGCAGTTTCGGCATCTGGCAAGGCGGAGATCACCAGGTCTGCGTAGGTCGAGGTGAAAAGGAAGAATTGAACAACAAGCATCAACATCAGTCCCTGTTTATCCGAGCTCTGGTTGGCCCCGTAGATGGGATAATAGTAGCTCGCCCAGACGAGGACTCCTAGGAAGATCTGGTATGGAATTTCCACGACGATATTCGAGACGACAAATGCCACCCATGAATAAGTTTTGGATGGCCGTTCCCGCACCTCGTACAAAGAACGCTGAGTCACAAATTTCGGCATTATCCTATCAGCTTGGTTAGGGGACAAAAGCTTCGAAGGGTGTGGTGTGGGGAGCAGCGATCCAGACTTACTGTTGGACTAAAGTGGAGAAAATTGAAGTCAACATGAAGGAACTGAATAGTCGGTTCTGTATCCCCTGGATAGATTGTCCTGGGATGAAGTAGGAAAACCCGATGAACAAAGCCGACACGACACCAAGCATGAACTTTGCCCCAATGTAGGCTGGCTCACGCCAGTACTGTTGAAATACACGGCGAGTAACCCACCACAACTGAGCGGTGAGCGGCATGGCATATTCTTCCTGGTCGTCTGATTCTCCATTGATCATTGCAGTTCCAACGTTAGGAGCAGATGCCGTAGCATGGATGCGATCTAACTCGGCTTCCACCTCACGGGCTTCAGGACTTTCTTTCCAAACAACCGGCCAGTCTTTAGTCGCATGGCCAGATGCGCCTGCGCCAATAATCTCCAGCATGTATTCAGCAGGCTGTAATCAGAGTATTAGAATCTTGCAAAGGACCTTCAAGCGAGGCTGGGTTTTTCACTTACGTTCTCTGATGGAACACACGATCTTGCTCCATTACGCTCGAAATAGCTCAGCAATGTTCTGGACTGCTCCCCAATCTCGCCGAAGTAGACAGGTTTCCCCCCTTGGCAAGGAACAGAAGCTGATCAAACTGCTGAAATAAGACGGCGCTTGGCTGATGAATTGTTGACAGGACTGCTTGTCCGTTATTGGCGAGTTTGCGGAGAAAGGCGCAAATGGACCAAGCACTCTGAGAATCTAGCCCGCTTGTCGGCTCATCAAGGAATAAGAGGAGTCTTGGCTTGGCCGCAAGTTCGACTCCGATGGTTAGGAGTTTTCGCTGCTCCACATTCAGGCCTTCTCCCGGTATACCAACAACAGCCTCCGCAAAGTCATTCATATTCAGCATTGTGATGACTTGATCCACGTAGGCATATTTCTCTGCCTTGGAAACGTGCTTAGGCTGCCGAAGCATTGCACTAAATCTCAAAGCCTCGCGTACAGTAGATGTAGCGAGGTGAAGATCCTGTTGCTGCACGTACCCCGTTTGTCGTTGAAAGCTTGCTGGTAAAGTAGATCCGTTAACCAACATGTCACCAGTGACCACCCCAATAGTCACCCGTTGGGCAAGGACGTCCAGTAATGTGGTTTTTCCTGCTCCAGATACGCCCATCAATGCTGTGAGAGTTCCTGGCTTCACCCAACCGCAAACATGATCTAGAAGGCGGCGTTGCCCTCCTTTGACGGGTATATCGTAACAGAGGTCCCGCCAGGTAAAGATGCTCTGCTGCTCTGGCATGACTTTACTAAAATCAATAGGTTCGTCGCCCTCTGCCAGCGGCTCCAGTGCCGTTGTTTGGAGGGTATGAGTCTTCTCTGTATCCTCAGTAGTTGGTCGCATGTAGGAAGGAACGTGACCTCGACGGAAGACAAGAAATTCAGCTGTTGACGACGTGGCAGAATTCAACTCCGTGGCAAGGAGATATGCGCAGGTAAAGAATGCCCAGAAACCAATTAGTATCCCGAGATTTCTCCATTCGTGGTGGTGACTGTAGCGATACTGCGCGTAGATGAAGGAGTCCCCAGATACAGTTCTTGACCCTGCCGTAGATCCAGGCACAGAACAGATAAAGGCTTCACCAGATAAGCTTGGATATCCAGGAATAAACTGAGAGCATGTAAAATTTTGCCCATGAAATTCATTGGCAATGAGACTCTCGAAGGTGTAGAAAAGTGGATTTAGCCATCGTAACCAGGAGAACCATGGATGCATCTCCGGCGTAGGAACCACGAACCCTGCATAGATGACAAGCATGAGGATCAAGAGTCCAGCCAAAGCCATGGCCTGGGCAACGCTTCGCGTCACTGCTGCCAAAGTACGGAACATGGCGGACATTATCATAGTTGACATGAAGCTGAAGAGGAAGAAGATGAAAAATTGGGATGCAGTATAGCGCTTTCAAAAATGTCAGAGCTGAAACAGGTAATACGCTTTGGAGGATTGTTGACTTACCAGACTGCCAAGAAAATAGATCGTTGTATTGAACAATACTGCAGACGCGAGCTTGATGGGCAGGTCGGCCATGATCCCCCCAAAGGCCTCTGCAAAAGGGTGCACAAACGCATAGGAAGCTTGTTTCTCCACTATAGGACGCTGATCGTAGAGGGAATTGATTTCCGTCACGCTGATCAGCGCATTGAGTCTATATGTTCAGAGTCAGCAGAGTACTCGTCAAGTCAGATCCTCATATGGAGACTATCGGGCTTACAGGGTAGCAAAAAAGAGAAGTGAGCCTTTGGCGAAGAATCCAGCAGTGGCATCTGGGGTGCTGCAGAATATAGTCAGAAATGGTCAATTCCGTAAGATTCATAGCAAACTTACTTGAAAAATATTGACGCAACCACCAAGGACATAACAATTCGGCCAACAAGCACCGTTAGCGTGGAAGCTTTGTCATTCCATATCCTAAGGAAGTCATATTTTAGAAATCTCTTGGTTCTCCCAAAAGCGAAAAGGAATAATCCTGTTGGACGTACCTCTGATAGGCCCGTTTCATGCAAAGTTTGAGTTGCATTGGAACCGAAATGAGGTATGGACTCTTTGGTCGGACGTGCTTTGCCTGCTCCATACGCTTCCCGGCTGTCACACCTTCTTGCCCCTGGCCTCCCAGGGGATATTCGTTTTCGTACTGTCTGATATCTTTTAGAAGTGCAGCGTATTCAGGGCTTCTTTTCCAGTAGTTCTCAAACTCTTTGGGAGTTCGCGGAACCCTATCCTCCATTCCTTCACGGGCTTTGCGCTCGTGAGGGTTGGTAACGGAAGTAAGAAAGTCTCCAACCGTTTGTCGAGGAGGATTTTCCCAGCCCATATCAGAGAAATATCTTTCTGCCTGAATGCATGGCCCAAAGTATATTTCGCGACCTTCATACAAGACAATCACCTTATCGAAGACATCATAAATTGCTTGAGATGCCTGATAGGTGGCTACCGCATGGCAACTTCCGGTTAGATCGGCCGAGATTCGCAGTGCTTTCACAAATTCCAGAGCACTGGCAGCGTCTAGACCCCGGGTACTGTTGTCCCAGGCAGCAAGGGGAGCTCGTGCGACTGCGACCGGCGAAGGAAGAGAATAGGTTAGCCACGCTCACTCACAACACCTCCCCAACTTCCCAGGATAAGAGTTGCATCTTACGGGCCATCTCTGCGATACTGTTATGTCATTGTCAGCCCCTGTTCGTACGGGGAAGTTGAGATAGCTGATTGATCGTAGGGCAGAGGCAAGAGGAGGGAAAATAGATCCCTTACCTGACACGCTTTCGTTCTCCGCCAGATACTCCTCGAATATAATCGTCGCCAACTGCAAAATATGACTCAGCTAATGCAACCACGGCACATATCACCATTCAAAGCTGACCTCGGGTGTTGTATGTATGGAAAAGACCCAGAACTGCCATAGCAACTTGGGTTGTCTCCTTAACAAATTGTTGGCGAGACACACCCGACAACCGATGAGATGGTGTTCGGGCCGATGCAGCGAATTCCAGTGTTTCACCAACGGTCAGGTGTGGAAAATGCTTATCCACCTCCTGATTATAGACACACTCCCCCTTAAACTCTTCCTGCATCTTTTTCATGGGGATCCCGTTGTAGTGCATAACGGAGTCTGGATGCAAGTTGAGCCCATGTAACTCACCGCAGATTGTCTTCTGGAACGTTGAGCAGCCGCTGCCCGGTCGACCGAGAACCATGAGCATTTCGCCGCTTCTCAGCACCCCGTCAAAGTCATGTAGAATTTGTCTCTTGGGCGCTGAATGTATGATATCTCTGTAGCTGGCTGGCCGAAACGGAGCGAGCAGAGCCGAGCTCACCACTTCTTGTAGCTGTAGCGCCGCGCCAGACCCGGAGACGTTGAGGTTCTTAAACACAACCCCTGCATGTTTGCGCAAAACGCCTTCCTCGTCCAGCAAGTTGAGCTTGGTGCGAGCCCATTCGTAGGGATCAAACTCCTTCCTGGTCGGGTCGAGCGCCGGGTCATCTTCTACAATTGTATGCAGCCCCGCCCCTCGGCCCTCTGTCTGTCGCCCTGGGATGGAAGTCGAGGAAGCGATCCGCGAAATGGCGCCAATATCAAGGTCCGTCACCGATCGTGATATCGGGCTGGTGATTTCGTAATTTGAAAAACCTAAGCTCGATCCTGTCGAAGAGCTCTCAGTGCGGGGCATCTCGTCTGCATTCCGAGGAGGTGACATCGTGAATCACTTCGCCTATGTACTGAATATCGATTAAAATTTCCGACAAAGGGGCACCGCCTGTATGAGAGACTGCGCTTTGAAAGTATCGGACGTTCCCCTGTGAGCTGTCGTCTTGCCGCCCTTTATACAATGCCAGCCAGCCCACATCTCTGAGAAGGCGAATCCGCCTTCGACATGAGCACTGGCTCATGGACCCTTGGTTCGGTGAGGAAAACCATCTTCTCCGTCCTGATTGCTCCGACGTTGCAAGTATCCGCGCGAGGCAACTAAGATTCACAGTCACCTCTAATCGTGTGATAAGGCCCGCATTCGCGGAGGAAGATCACCTTCTCCGTCCCACTTGCTCCGACGTTGAGAGCATCGGCTCTGATATGGCAGGTATCGGCCTAAGATCGGCCCGAGCAATTAAGATTCACAGCCACCTCCGACTCCGCAATAAGGCCTGTGACCCCGGAATTCCGTCCACAACAGCCAATGAAATACAAGCGCCTTCTATATCTGCTCATTAAACTACGGTTACCATACCGAACTGCTGCATCGTACCATGGGAAAGCGGCTTATCTATCTATTGCAGATTAATGGCGATTGACCACACCCGAGCATTCTGTGGTAAAAAGTAAGGGTGTGGGACTAAAAGACGGTGTTTCGCGTTTCGTGAAAGACACTCGATAAGACCCGCCTAACACACATAATGGCCCATACCTGTGAACTCTACAGAGCCTACAGAGTTATTTATCGCGTTCTAGGACATCAATATGCTGCTCCTGCTCCTAAAACAGCCAATGAATCGTCCAAATTTTCATTCTGAGTAAAGCGAGGGCCGCTGAACCGTTCCTTTCGTCCAGTTCACAACGGTCAATTTTCAGAGCTGAGGCGGCCACTAACACGCCTGCTCAAAAAATCATGTGGCTGGCCGCGCTTTCCATATCTGCCTTCATCACAAACTCTTTCGGCATGACGGTGCTCTTCGGATTCCCTAGATGAATATCCGCTCCGAAGACTAACAACTCATGGGACGGGGTTTGATTAGCCTTGGGTAAACCCAGCGCGTATTAGTTGCCTTATAACCCGCTCACGCTAGTCCATGGGCAATCTTTATATTGATACTCTGACATGTTTCCATTTCCCAGATCAGTTGCAGTGTCACTGGTTGATGCTGCATACTTTTTGAATTTCAAATTCTTTCCTTTTGTGATTCTTCTTCGACTCTCCGCCTCCGCGACTGCAATATTCATGACGCGTTGCACATTCGACCTTTGGCATCCATCCAAATTTAGGATGCGAGATTCCACAGCGCTTCTTCCCAACTCGGTCCTTGAGCCGCATAAAGCAACGGGAAAGGGAGTGCAATTCAACATTTCTCTGACTGAACCCGCCGTGTTTCTCGAGATATACAACAAAGATGACCCCAGCACAAAGAAATGTAATATTCTTCGGGGTCAGTTACATTTAAAAATCACTGAAGCCACTAAGATTAAGAAGACCTGGATTCGCTTCCGCATCCAGTGGCCAGAAGGTATGTTCTCCATTATGAAACAACTAGAAGTCCGCTTCGTATCGCTGATTCGCTTTTCCTTCGCCGAATAGCAGACTGTATGGGCAAAAGAACTCTCTTGACGCAAGGAGTTACCTTTTTTGACCATGGGGATACGGCATTACAACGCAATGACTTTGGGGCAGACTTCTTTCAATTATCTGATGTTGCTTCCGCGGCCACAGAAAAAGCTAAGGGGATAGCAACGGCAGATACGCCTCTTCAACAGAGTCAATCCTTTGCATCCAAAGACGCCAATGGTTGCTTTTTTGCACCCGAATACTCGAGCGCAAGTCTCACAAAATGTCTTCCAAGGCCTGATGGAACCAAGTGTCAGCACTATTACAGATTATTTCCCGCGGGCGATTATTTGTATGATTTCGAATTTGTCGTCGACAGCTCCCTGCCCGAAACCATCAAGACAAATCTAGGCTCTGTCAAGTACAACCTCGAAGCGTATTCCACAGAAAGGTACCTAAATCAGAAAAGTCAACATTTGAAAAGGACGAACGAAGGAACCGATTCCACTTTATCTACAGCTCGATAACATGTGGATCGATGAATCCAGCCTTGACTAAAACAATTGTCGCAAAGGCGCTCAAGGCGAGTTTGCATTCATCCAAACAACATACAGCCGGACGAGACGGACATAGAGCGCACCTCATTCGCTCATAGGGCAAATGTCTGTGGAAACTGCTAATTCAACACCTAATTCATGTTGAATTATTTCACTGACTTCATGGGCTTTCTGCTTTGAAGATGGTTTCAGAGCCTCTGAGATAGCGTCTGCCAATTTGTCCACAGTAAGGTCTCTATATAAATCGGGGACGGACCAACGGCGGGCGATTATGCCCCCCGGGGAAAGGTTGGTCACTAAAGAACAGACCAACCACTGTTGGACGCCCAAATCTAAGACCGGTTGCAGTGGTCCCAGCACCACCGTGGTACACCACACAGGAAACGTACTGGAACAGCCAGTCATGAGGACAGTTACCAAGGAGGAAGATGTCCTCCTGAATGTCCAATCCATTTGTCCCCAGTCCACCCCAACCTTTAGAGATAATCGCGCGCTGGCCAGATTTGTGAATGGGGCCGCGTATAATTTTACTCAACGCTTGTGGATTATCCACAACAATGGACCCGAATCCTACATAGACTAGGGGCGGGCCAGCCCGTAGAAAGGTAAGAAGGTCATCCGGAGGTGTGTAATCGCTGGCTGTGGAGAGAAAGGCAAATCCGCAGAAGTCGATATTGTCGGACCAATCTTTTGGTTTACTAAGTAATACAGGAGACCTGAGCTATACCACTAAACCAATCTTCCCTTTTTTGGTATGAAGGACGGTCGTACCAGAGATAGGCATTCGGAATATACAACCGTTAGATCATGCCTTGAGCTTGCGCAGCATCCAAAGTGTCCAATTTGAGGGTTTTCCTGCGAAATCTGTTGATTATGTCACCGAGACCCTGCCAGTGGATCATGTCTACAAAGGCATAGGATACAGCATTAACAACCGTGGGGTTTGTATTATATTTTCTGATGGAGGCTAGAGGATGAGGGAAAGCCTGGGTAGGTGACCATGGCATCCTAAATATTCTATATCAGCATATAGTTTATCCGGAACTGTTGTAGGGTAGAAACTAACGTGAACATTATGGTAAGCGAGATCCTAAGCTTTTCCGCATAGTGAATATAAGCGAAACTTGGGGTATTTGCAATGATTGCGCCCGCCACAAATAGCCGTTCCCGGGAACCGACGACACCATTCACCAAAATATCCGGAATTTGGTGCAGTTGCGTCCCATCTCCAGTCTCGAAGCATAAGTATCAACAGCCATAGATAATGTCTCCCATGTCGCGTCGGCGTCGATTGACAACTCCGCTTCGGATCGTCTTGAATTGAGGCAGAAGTCCCGTGTTTTCCACTATGAAGGTTATTATTTCTGCTGGATGTTCTCCAATATCGAAAAAGTCCAATCCATTCTCCTTGACTGGATTTCTAAACGTCAAGTGTGTTGCCAGTCGGACGCGATGACCATACTGTTTTAGGGCCTTCCCTATCACAATAAATGGTTGGATATCTCCACGAGAACCTACAACTTGAATGACAATGTTGAGACCGATCGGACATGTTTCTTCTTCCATTTGGACTGTGTGCCCCTTGGGCTGCTTGCTCAAGAGGATTTTCTCGAGACTGAGAGGGAATGGAAGGCTTGAAGCGAGCAAACAACACCTCAAGACTTGTTTTGGACAAGTTGATATCCAAGTGTCCATCGCCTTGATGACAGAGCAAGTTAGTATCAGATAGTCAAAAGCGTAGTCTTGTCAACTTATACGGCCCGCTTGAACGTATTGTGTGAGAGGAATAAGACTTGATCGCACTTAGTACTATGATACCCGGTTCCATACCATCCCTGATGGACAGCCCGGGCTGGCTGCTAACTTTGGAGCTGTCCCCGGGCATGTCTGTTGACAGCTTCACAGCAGTCGTAATCGTCTCAGCTCCGTAGCGTGAATGCGAAAATCCAGACCTCAATCTACTCAGTAACCCTGACTACTGCAGATAACAAACCTGAGATGGGGGTATACACTTAACGGAATCCAGATGAGACAAGTATGAGTATTATATATTTCCAAAATCTCCAGTGGTCTGGACAGGCCATACATGCACGATGGTATAATGGAACGGTTGGTCCAACTCGATCACAAGACACTATTGGAGCAGACTCATCTCTGAGGCAAGAGAGACATCGAGATTCTTCATCAGAGCCCTGGACGTGCGTAGCTTGAACAAAATAGTCGGTAGCGGGACAATTAGAAGTTCCTCTGACGGAGGGATGAGGAAATCTGGAACTGGAGGTAGCGAATTATGGTCGGTATCGGCCACTCAACAGATCATCCATCCCGGAGACGACTCTGTGGATTTGCTGCCTAGGTGGTGGCAACCACAAAACCGCTAATAATACAGTTTGGTCCCGCGCCCCTTCACACCCTCTCCTTTTATTTTACTTTTGGTGGTTTCCATGGACAAAATTTCAATAATTACTGTTCGCCGTGAATGGTGGTCATGCCACCTTCCACCGCCTTGCCATTAGTGTTGCACAGCTGAATCTTATGATCTTCATTTCTCTCATCTCTTTCGCTCCTGGTCTTCTTGAAAGTACTTTTATAGTCATAGTTTTCAAATGAAAAGGGCTCATTTTCCACTGTTGATCTCATTACACGGTATACGCTATCGTGGACGTGAAAACCAAAGATGATACCTTGCTTAGCTATATGCCGCGTCAATACGCGATCAACGATCCAAGTATTCCAGCTAACTATTGTGCAATCTTTGACATCCTGCATCCCGATTGGGCTTTGGAATGAATCCTTCAAAAGGAAATTCCAGGAAATAATAGAATGTAAAGAAAAAGTAAAAGAAAAGACTAGATTTTGTAATAAATAGCGGGGCGGGTGGTCAATGCATGCTGGAGCCCCACAATTTCTGCCCACGAGGTCACCACCTTGGAAACACCCTGATTTTCGACTGACTTCTGGGTGACTGGGACCCTATTTTCAGGTAATATCCCATCAGTGGTGACTTATGTAAATAATGCGCCCTTCGTTGCTTTTTGTTTAGCGACAACGACTGTATGTCACAAAACGTATTAAAATACATATTGCAGCGAAATAGTTCACTTGCTCTGAACACAAATTCTTGCTGGTTGAATCTTGTCAAATATCTTAACGTCGGATGCCGGAAACCGAAGAGCAAGTCTCATACCGCTACTGACTTGATACACCGGGATCCTAACTTTAGAAAACATTGTCTTGCCCCTCGATAAGCGCAAGTAATGTTGAAGCAAGGCTCAAAGATAGCTTCCAATGGCGTATGCTCTGCAGCAATCCGACGATCCCGAAGACTTGGTTTGCAGCCTTTTGCTCGATTCGAGAGTTCTGCAATTCTGCCGCATCGATTTCGCCAACATTCACTCCAGCCATATCCAATTCTGGAAAGTTGCGTTCCATGAGAGCTCCGTGACTACTATCTTCAAAATGGCCAAAGCAAAACCAGATGATTCCACAGTGATAAAGGCAGGTGGGAATCTGTAGTGGACACTCGGACCCAATAGACATTGATTCGAAGTGTTTTCTGATGCAGACGGCGTGTATTAGAGACCTGGTCGCCTCCCGGGAATTTGCCCACTTCCGAGCGTATCCAATGGCTTCTTGGGCTGCCTCAGGGCCGTCTCTTCCACAGGCTCGCTCAAGAATGTCGAGATTCGAGTATAAGAGAATGAAAGTTGAATGCCAGAGAATCCTTAATGGATATGCCCAGACCTCACCAGGACCGGCAGTAGATAGATGCGTCTTGTACCAGGATAGAAGCATTTCCTGGCACTTCTGGGCCTCATGGGGAGTAGTTGAGAAGGGTTCCTGACACTCACAGGCCATAGCACTGATAGATTCAAGAGTGGCATATAGTTGGAAGTCACTCGTCCCTTGATGACCTCGCTCCCTCATCGGCCTGCTCACTGAACTCCGATTCTGTTGCAGAACCAGTTCCCTCCACGCATTTGCGTTGCTTGCCGCAAACAGCTCGTCAGATGAGATGATCGGTAGACGTTCAGTCGCAGGTCGTAGGCAGGGCTCATGATGATGAATCTTCGCCAACTCGGCGTCAAGGATGAAGATTCCGAGCACAGCGCTGTATAATATTAGTGATATTATATTGGCCGGGTAAAAATGGTAGGTTTACCGTTTTCTCTCCTCTAGGGCGATCCAATGCTTCCATGCGGATTGAATTTTGTCATTCGGGAGGTTCGAAAAATTTGTGGGTAGTGCTGGTGACGTTGTATGGTTGAGTAATCGGACTCTGCGCGCCAACTTGACCATAGTCAGCCTTTTCAAGCGTCACTTGTCGGGACCAACCCCATTACTAAAACTCACAGCAATTATACTTCCATGAAAGGCCTCGATTCCTGTCAGATCTTTGGGCCTCTGCAGAAAACATGTTAGACTTTGAACATATTACATGCTTCAGATGGCAGTGTAAGAGAATATGTGGCTGGCAAAAGACGTACACCCATTAGAAGTCCAAATGTCTGCCCAAGCAAGGCCGACTGAATGGCAATGATTTTTGAATCTGGACGTTGAATGATTATGATGTCCCACTGTATTGCCAAAACTTGATTAATCCTTTTGCTAAACACCGATCGACTTCGCGAGACTGATGGACCTTCTGACTCACCGAAGATAAAGCTGCTTTTTGGAGTCTTTCAAACATGCTAATACCGTGTTCGATTGCTCGCCGAGAGCCGAGAAAGAGACTCCCTACAGAGCAAATGGACAGAAGAAGAACGGCATCTTGGCTAGACGGCAAAAAGGATGGCTCATGGATGATAGGAAATATGGGATGGAAATGGGAGAAATACGCTTGCAGACAAAGATGCTAGGTATCAGTCAGGGCTGCATTGCTTAATTCTCTCCGTATGCGTTTGTACTCCATCCGAAAGCTGGGTGGTAGCCCATGAAGAATGAAGGATGTAAAGCTTACTAGGAAAGTGGTCGAAGGAAGAATTCCGGTTTGTACACGTTGCTCAAGACGCATAGCGAGCTCGTGGCGATAATTCTCGTCAATTTGATTGCGGTCATTCGCGGGGGTTGGGAGAATGGCACCCGAAATGCCCTGTCCACAGTAGGTGTGCCACTTTTCTCTTATTGCATCCCCACTCGGCGCCAATCCCGCGTCCGAGGCCTGTGGGCCAGCGTTAAATGAATCAGTAGCAAGCGGATTCTCGTCCGGCATCCGATCAACGGTGAAGAAGTCTCCAGTAGTGGCTTGCAATAAGGACGAGTTCACAGCATCCAAGTCAAATTTATCGTCCATCAGCCAAGAAATCCAACCTGAATCTAGCTCGACGCTGGGTAACTCCGACAGATTCAGGCTTTCGTTTACCTGAAAGTCACAACCTGGATCCTGTGGTAATGATATAGGGAAATCAAATGCCGACGAGACATTTGTATCATTGCTTACAGGCACAGTTGCCAGTCCCACACGCTCTATTGTGCCATTTGAAGGAGTCCTTATCGTTGCGATATTACTCGCAGATGGTGACGGGGTTGACGGTGACACTGGATGCAGTGTTGCCGCGGGAAGCCCCTCCAAACCAGACTCAGCTGGGGGAGGAGCTGCATGAAGGACGCCCGTTCCCTCCTGAGAGTCTAGAACGTCGCCCATTCCACCTCTGCGGCGATGGGACCGCGTATGGCGAAGCAATGTGTCCCTAGCGGAAGAGCAAACATCGTCAATTCACATCTTTTCTAGTTGGTCGATATAGAGGAGTGCTATAATCACTGTCTGGCATAGACCCTTCCGCAGTCCGCGCATTGAAACGGCTTTTCTTTCGTGTGGGACCTATAGTGCCTGGCCAAATGTTCCGCCTTGGGAAACTGCTTAGAACATATCGGACACACACGTTCCTGCTTGGATGTCTTGGGTCGCCGGCGACCCACTAGTCGAGAGAGAGCGTCGGATTGCATTATCATCCAACGAAGTACGTGATTCTGAGGCAGCTCGAATTCTGGATGATGGTGATGCTGCTGCTAGTGATGCGGTGTTCAGAGGATGATGATGCATACAGGTGGCAACGTGAGGCTGGACTACGGATTGTGGCAACTTCCGTCCGCCGAGATCCGGTGCATTGATCTGTGCATGTACGATTTGTTTCTTACTCCTAGTTCATCCTAGTTCAATTTTCTTTTCTCTATTTCAGATAGCGTATAACCTAGACCACACAGCAATCTTAAGGATACCGGATTTCATTCTTGACGGACGCCACGCCCTCGATTTCCACCTCCACCACGTCCCCAGCCTTCAGAAATTCCTTGTTAAAAAATCCAACGCCAGCAGGTGTACCGGTCATGATGACGGTCCCCTTGCGAAGAGTCATTCCTCGTGAAAGGTGGCTGACAATTTGCTGAACACTCCAGATCATATCATTTGTACTGGTCTGCTGTTTGACCTGCCCGTTGACTCGGGTTACCAGACGAAGATCCTGGGGGTCTGGAATTTCGCTGGCCGCAACAATGGTATGTCCAATAGGCCCAAATTGATCGAAGGATTTGGAATACCCAAACTGCATCCCTGACGCCTCGGGAACCTGGAAATTCCGCGCGGACAGGTCATTCCCGGCCGTATAACCCAGGACGTATTCCAATGCCTCATCTTCGGAAACGTTCTTCGCATCTCGGCCCACAACAACGGTAAGCTCACCTTCGTAGTCGAGCATCTCACGAGCGTCGGGGTGAACGTCAATGGTATCAAATGGGCCGGCTAGCGCATCGGCCGGCTTAACGAAGATGGGAGGGTATTTCGGAACATTGAGCTGATGATTACTATTAGCAAGCCTTGTATAACTGATAAGTGATTGTGTGGAATACGCACCTTAGCTTCGTTTACGTGGCTCTGATAATTCAAGCCCACAAGGATGATGAGGGGAGTACGATCAAGAGGACACAGTAGCTGGCAAATCGTTAAAAGGGAACGATAAGTTGTTAGATGTAAGACCCACCTTGTCGACTTGAACAACCTCTTCAGTGGGCTGTAGCTTAGTGAAAGGATCACCAGTCAGTGGTCTGACTTTGTATGTGCTGCCATTGTCGCTGAGTAGATCGCCGAAGGAGATACTGTCTCCTACTGCGAAACGGACCAGTCGCTTGAAGGCCATTTTTAGTATTGGTACACGGAGTGTAAAAAGTGTAGTTTGATGTTAGAGGATGCTCTTAGCGTCGGACCTTGAATCTTTCTGAAAGAGTATACTGGGTGTCAGCGCGATGTGAATTTATATCCAGAATGAGGCGGTTCAAGACTCCGCAATATAGGTCCCACCACGCCGGATTGCGAAACCGCGACAGCAAAAATACATCTACAATAAGGCGGTCCAAGCCTCTGAAATATAGGACCCACCATACCCGCATGTGACACTGTGACATCCAACATATGTCCAGAATGAGACGGTATAAGCCTCCGCAACAAAGCGGCCGCCAGATCCTCATGGAGAGATGTGGGCCCTTTGGTTGAATAAGGTATAATAGCGTCCAAATAGATCTGCCAATTCGCCTTCATCTGTTTCATACAACAGTGCACATCCCCTTTGGGCTTCTCAGATTTTTCAACTTGCATCTCACCGTCATAGCCATCTTCACAATGGCAGTCACAGACTCGTCGGTGAAGGCCAACCACGGAGCGTCTGTGCCCGACACAAGCGCCTCTCAGGAGCAAATGTCTCAACTTAATTGGCTCCAGTCCAGAGGCATCAAGGTCGAAGATCGTGTTCGGCTGGCCAGGCTCTCTCATATGCGATACCAGACTCCCGATTTGGACGCATTATGTGACTTCATGCTAAGTTCGTGTCACCGGGATGCCTTCACATGTGGGGATGAGTACTAAACATTATAGATTTTGGAATGGACATAGCAAAAAGAACCGAAAACGAAGTCTGGTTCCGAGGCTATGGAGATGATCAATATGTCTACTATGCAATCAAAGGACCGAAGAAGTTCTTGGGAGGGGTTTTTGCAGTTGATTCAAAAGAGGAATTCGAGAAGTAAGTGAATTTCTTTACCTATTTGTCCCAAAAGGCAATGCTAACTGTTTGTGAATAATTGAATTATAGGGCCTTGAGAGTACCCGGAGCATCCCAAGTTCAAGAATTGTCCGAAGCCCCGGGAGCAGGTCAGATGGTCACTATCGTGGATCCGGATGGATTTCTTGTCAATGTGATATTTGGCCAAGAGAGACGCAAAGATGCCCCGACAGCTCCTACTGAAAAGCTGAGAGCCAACTATCCAATCGAGAAGCAGAGGCTTCGTCAATTCAATCGCTTTGAACCTGGCCCCGCAGCTGTGCACAAAGTTAGTTGACTTCCCTTTTGCTGTTTGACAGGCCCTTCTACGTACTGACCATTCTTCGTGTTACTGTTAGTTGGGCCACTTTGGCTATTCCACGAAACGCTTCGAGGAGCTTCTCTCATTTTACACCACCCATTTCAACATTGTTCCAACAGACCTGCTTTACATGGAAAATGACGGCCACAGAATGGACGTGACCACATTCATGCACCTGGACCTGGGTCAGAACCATACGGATCACCACTCGTTCTTCCTCGGCGCCAGCCAAACTGGGTCTCACGTTCATCATTGCTCCTTTGAAGTCTTTGACTATGATACCCAGCACTTAGGACATCAATGGCTGGCCATTAAGGGCTATCAATCCGTCTGGGGCGTGGGCCGGCATATTCTGGGATCCCAAATTTTTGACTACTGGTGGGACCCAGCAGGAAACATGGTTGAACACTACGCTGACGGTGATCTGGTCAATGAGGACACTCCAATTGGAATTTTGCCGGCGGGCCATGAGTCCTTGGCTATCTGGGGACCCGAAGTTCCGCTGGCTTTCCTGCAGTAGGCTGAAACTTTCGGGTATCTGGATTTTCAAGATTAGTTGTCTACATGCCTGTTTTAGTCGAATGGGGCTATCGTTGACATGTAGTCAACGGATAAAAAAAGGGGAATATTGACGCGAAAATTGATAGATTTTATTATCGGGTATAGCGAATTGAAAGTGCTCACTCCACGCTAGGTCTCGTCAAGCTTTACAATGTACTCTCCAAAGACAACAGGTACATAATGTAATCCACAATAAGAAATCAAAGTCTGCCAAATGATCAAAAGGGTGTACGATGAGGACAATAATGCCGCTACTACTCTAGCTAACACTCTATGATCTCCCTTGTAAGAAACCTATTCATCATTTGGCACTTCTTTTTAACGAAATCTCATCATGCCCGCCATATCCTCTACTTCTCATTTACTCAATGAACCGCATGACTCCCATTCAAGCAGTTCTTAGCCCGATGGCCAGGGCTTCGACATACACTGCATGCATATCAATGTCTATTGGTCTGATTATCGATCGCTCAACTAAAGCTTTCTAGATCGGTCGTTACGTAGGACACCCTGCCAACTTTCACCCGTTAAGTAGACTAAAATCTTGCTCATTTGCTTCAGACGCAAATTGATTATAATCGCGATACCCGTTTGCTACTCTACTTGGCCACTCGTATAACCGCTTTAGAACTATTAATAACGTACATCTTCATTTTTTATTACATCCTATAGTATACCTATGGTCTATACTATAACTGTTTATAAGTGTAGTTTACTAGGGGCATGTGCATTTTCACTCAATAGGTCATTTCGTAGGTATAGGCGCGTGTGGTAGCCTTTAAATGGCGGCCGTTGATACGGTCGCGTAGGGTGGATCGCAGTTGGTCATAGACGCACGTAGTAGGAGGGACATAAAGTATAACATTATTCTGGGCTGCCAGATTGATAGCTTAATTTCTCTTTTTATCAGAAATTACCTCTTTTAGAATGAATTGGTTGTGTTGTGATTTGAGGCTGTTGCTGTTCAGGAATGAAGCCGCAACATCGGAAATAATTCCTGCCCATCTATACGAAGACCAAGTTGATTGGAAATCAATTTGGACTTCATGATGTATATATACCCTCATGTATTCCCTCAAGAAGAATAATTAAGCTTCCTTTTGCATTACAACAGGTTGTAAAGTAGTGATCCAAAGTGCTAGGGGACAGACACGCGAAAATTAGATGGGGTGGCGGGCTCAGTGTGAATTACGTTACACCAACTCTTAAGGCAGCTATTTATTGGTGACCTCACGCAGTCAAGAGAACAAGGAGACAGTATTTTGGTCATAAAGGGTCACCTGTCGCTGCGGTCTTAGACCAGCGTCAGATAAGGCCAATCCGCGCTCCCTAGTAGGGAGGCAATGTGTCTGTACTGCAGTGGTTTTTATATACATAGGGGAGGTGGGAGGGACAAAATCGAGTCTTGACTGCGTGAGCAATGACGAGATAGCTACAGAGGCAAGCAACTGACTCTCGTGAGGCAGTTGTAGAGGCCTCAGTAATGTCGGTGTAGATATCACGTGGGGCGACCCCAATAAGACTACACCCTTTGCGGAGACTATGCGGGACCTATTTGCTGAGAAGACTATTTGTGGTAACTATCTCCCAGCGGCATAGATGGTCCCGTTTAACGATAGTGCCACAGCTACCCTTGGATTGCCCATCTTCCTATAAAGAAGTTTTGAGAGGTGTCTGCAGCAGAAAAAACCCAAGGCATACATAAGAGAGCGGGCACTGAGACGTGAGATCAGAATTCTCACACAATTCTTCACATATTCTTGATCGTATACGACCAACATGACTTCTAATCGCACATTGGAGACCACAGATGTCCTCATCTGTGGCTGTGGGCCTACAGGGGCTATGCTCTCTGGCTATCTTGATCGTATGGCGGTCCAGAATATTGTCCTGGAGAGAGAGGTAGAGATCACGACAGACCCGAGGGGAATCGTTCTTGACGACGATGGCATCCGTTATATGCAGGGTCTTGGTCTGTATGACCATGTTTATACGGATATCGGTTCTTGTGAGCAGTGCAATCTATTGGAGACTTACATTAGCAGCATGTCCTAACGATTGATAGGTATCGAGAAGGTATTATTTCTGCCGGGAGAGCAGCAAAGCCTGAACACAAGACCCATCTTCGGCTTTAACACTGCTTCAGTTAGTCTCCTTAAATTCCAATCAATATCGTGGTATGAGACTTTTCCAACTAACTTGTGCATGAATCAGTCCGAAGGATATACGGGACATGTCGGTGTCATAAGTCACAAGCAACCTGCGCTGGAAAAGCATCTTCGTTCCGTCATCCAGGGTTCTCAAGTCTCACAGTTGAGGAGCAGATGCACCCTGAAGTCAATCGAAGAGGATAAGGACTGGGTATACGCGAGTTATGAGGACTCTGAAGGGAATAGTCGACAAATCCGCGCTCGTTTTCTGGTCGGCGCGGACGGCAAGACAGGTTACGTGCGAAAGCAATATTTGGAGCCACGGGGAATTAAAATGGAGTGGGCCGAACAGTACTTGCTCTTGGACTCATGCAACCAGCATAGGAAAATTTACAGAGCTGTATGGACTAATATGCGGTCACAGATGTCGCTATGAAGAGATTTGGGTGGCTTTGAACTGGAAAATCAGCCTGCCAACACCAGAAACCCACCCAGACTTCCCACTATGGAAACTAGGGTATTCGTCTGAGGATGTGTACGACCACTTCTTCCCGAAGGACTTTCGGTTCCTCTGCAATCCTCGTCGTCCGGCTGTCTGCGGCCGATTCGGCCAGACCAAGGACCGCCTTTGGAGGTTTGAATTCGTGGTTCAGGCCGGTGAAGATCCGGAAGAAATGTCTGCGCCACACATGATCCAGGACATTGTGTTCCCTTACCTTCGTCATGCAGGGGCCCGCTATGGGTAAGTCTATGTCCAGTGAAGGGAATGACCGAGATCAACGAGGGACCTCGTCTAACAACGCGCTGCAGGTTAGACGCTGACGTTGAGTTCCCAACCGATTGCATCAATGTCCTTCGCTCTCGTCCGTTTCGATTTGCCGCAAGAAAGTGCAACAAATGGGCCATGGGGCGAGTCATCCTATGCGGCGATGCCGCTCACGTTTTTCCTCCCTGTAATTTCACCCTTTTCCGCCTCTTTGGGATCCAATACTCATTCAGGAAATCCGGCCTATAGTCGGTGGTCAGGGAATTGCTTCCGGCTTTCGGGATGCTATCGCTCTTGCCTGGCGGCTTGCCATTCTCACTCGGTCCCGCTCGACTCGACTAGAACACGAGCAGGTCCTCGTTGGGTGGTACTCTGAACGCAGCCAGCAGTTTCAAAAGTCCCTCAACTCAACCTTGCGGAATGGACAATTGGTGAGCAGCACTAACCCAGTGCAGAACTTCATCCGGGACTGGGCGTTCCGGGTCGTGCAATTGATCCCTCCTATCAAGCATCAATTAGAACTCGGACCCCGGAGTGAAGGCCCGGTCGCGTACATCCACTCGGATGGTATGCCGTTTCTGCCTTACCTCCACGGTGGAATCGCCTTTCCACAAACATATTGCACTGAATTAGTGGGGCTCGATAATCGGGTTCGCTTTACCGACGATGTGATCTTTTCCAAAGAGAAGACCAACCTCTTCCAGATTGTTGTTTTGCTTGATAAACCAAGCCAGGCGATAGCGGCCGTTGAGGAGATGGACGGTGTTGATGGCCTTAGTGATGGTCACTTGTCTACGAAAGAGGCCACCTTGTTGGTCCAGGCTAAGGATTGTCTCCCCAATGATGAGAACACTGGGTTCACCAGTCTCTCCCTGTTCCGAACTGCCACTGCAAAGGAGTTTGAGCAGTCTGACTTGTGCGTTGGACGCCCGAAACCGCACGGCTACAGCGACTGTCAAATCTGGGATGTCATGAAGGGAAAGCGATTTGTGATTGTTAGGCATGATCGGTTTGTCTATGCCGCTTGTGATACGCGGGCTGAAATGGTGGAAGCCGCAAAAGGTTTGGGAGAGTCTCTACCTTTGAATTGACTCGAGATGGGGATGCAGTTTCTGTAGAACATCCTCGTACATCTGTATGCGAGACTCTAGTTCGGCCGAATGCCTAATGCAACGTTAACAAGTCATGCACCAAGCAATTCTTGAGGCTATTCAACTAAACTTGGCATCTCGCTCTCATTTCCTGTCCGTATAGATACACGTGGTGTCGCTTTGACGGCACCGGTGACAAACAGGACGCTGGCCGCTACATTTTGCCTTCTGTTCACGACAAATATTTCATGCTCGAGTGACTCTCTTATTCGAAGTCAGAATCCCTGGGTTCGGACCCCGTGGGATTGCAACTTTATCATCGATCAGAGGGCACGGAGCATGGCTTTCCACAGCAGGCTTGGACTGGCCTCCAGAAAACACCATGACCCCATTTGACCCGAGGATTCGTGGACGTTGTGCCCTATACGAGGGCGAGTCATGGCTTGCCAGTCCGAACTCATTACTGGGAGGAGTTTTTTTGGGGTTCCCTCGCTCGCTGCCCACGCTGCCTCACGTGACATCTACACCGACATTACGGAGGGCTCCTTCTTCCTACAACTGCCTCGCAAGTTCTTCCTACAACTGCCTCGCAAGAGTCAGTTGCTTGCCTCTGGTGGTAGCGCATCATCTCTCACGCAGTCAAGACTCGATTTTGTCCCTCCCGCCTCCCCTCTGTATATAGAAACCAGCATTGCAATATACCGACACATTGCCTCCCTACAAGGGAGCGCGGACGGGCCTTATCTGACGCTACAGTCTCATTAGAATGCGTTTACGCATAAGACCGCAGCGACAGGTGACCCGTTACGGCCAAACTGTACACGTTCCTGTTCCCATCTTGACTGCGAGAGGTCACCAATAAAGCGAGGATTAGAAGCGGAAGTCTCGTCAGGGTTCATTGGCAGTCTCGATGTTGTTGGGTATCCGTGCCTTTCTAAACCGCTACCCGGATTGGGTGCGCCACGGTTTCTTCGTAGTAACAGTTTCTTCGTAGTAGTACCTTTTGTATGGTGAGACCATACAAAAGGTATATTATCATGTTAAGTTGTTTTTTAGATATAACTATTCAACGAGTGGGAAGTTCTTCTTGAATTTCCCTCTGAATATAGATGTATATCTCTTCTAGCTATGTCTTTTTTTCTTAGGAGGAAATTAGCATTCGAAGGGTGTATAATTTTCTGTTTATTTTCCTCTAAGAAAAATTTACTATGAGGGACATTCAAGAACGATTTTTGACCCTTATTCTAAGCTAAACCTATAAATTACTATAGTACTAAGTATAAGCTACCCTGAAATAATATTATTATCCTATTAAATCTAGACCTTTTCTAGTAAAATACTAAGATATTCGAGAAAAACGAGATTTGTTATGTAAGTACCTTTGTATGGTGAGGCTATGTAAAAGGTACATTACGAAGAAACTGTGAATTATGAAAGAACCGTGGCGCACCCAAAGCGGGAAGCGCTTTGGATGACCTGGATTGAAGTTCCAATTGACTGATGCTAGTATTGTAAAGTTATAGCCTCGACATTAATTTCACATGCACTCGATCAGTGACTGAGATTTTATCCAGATTCCCTGTAGGTGGGTCGTTGAGGTCACAGCAGAATGAGCGGCGGAGTCGATTCGGGTCATCAACTCGATGACAAACGCGCTATTATAATCAGTAGCATGGTACTAGATTGCCAAATTGAAAAAATTCAATAATTTATGAGTAGCCAGCATTGATACGTCGGCTACGTCTAGATACAGTGCAGGACTAAACTCCTGATGAATGAAGTTTAATGTCCAGATTACAGTGTGATAAAGCGATAGGAAAGACTTTGCACTCCACCTGGCCCTTGTTCATGTTCCCCTCGGCGAGCCTAAGCTGCAATTAGGTTACTTCACCCGTGACTCACGGCGTGTTTGAGCGATTTATTGATAGTGGAGACTTTAACGAAGAGGGATTTTTACTCGATTGCCATGTGACGTATGGCTGTGCCTGGGGACCTCGCTGATGGCCTTGAATACTTTATATTTTTATCACTCGCTAATTTTCTGTGCAAAGCTGCCAGTGGATTTTCAAATCATTGCATTCATGAACACTGAACCGATGCTTTTATCAATGGCACTTGACCAAAACACCTATCGAGGAGACTCTACCACCCCTCAAATGATTCTGAGCTGGCTACGTCGAGAGTGAGCAGAATCCAATTGCAACCCAAGGTCTTGCCACCATGATGTCCAAATTGTATAAACTCGCAGCTCTTCTTGGAGATGCCGATGTCAATTGGGATGACAACCATTTGAGGGTAGTCTCTCGTCTGGATGATAGCGATATCGAGAGGCTGCAACTTCCATCGGCAATTTATTCACCTCACGGCACAACCAACCTCCGTCCATTAGAGCCGAGGTCAACCCGTCAGCTGGGAAAGATTGGTGTCTGCGCTATGGAAGATAAGGCACTGAGCAAGTCCAATCAGGCAATCTTCCATCACTTAAAAGCTAACAACAACATCGAAATCATCCTATTTGGAGATGATATGCTTTTAAACCAGCCTATAGAAGCATGGCCTACTTGTGACTTTCTCATCGCCTTCCATTCCGATGGATTTCCACTTGATAAGGCAATTTCATATACACAATTGAGGTCGCCAATTCCCTGCAATGACTTGTTGATGCAAAAACTCCTCTTTGATCGCCGTCTCTGCCTCCAAATCTTGGATCTTCTCGAAATAAGAACTCCCAAGAGGCTCGAAGTTAACCGTGACGGCGGCCCTTCAATCGATGTGAACATGGCGCAGCACGTCTATAAGTCCGTCGGGTTAAAAATTGAGAGCTCTGGGTATGGCAGCAAGCCACAAACTTTACCCGCGGTGTCTCTGATAAATGATGGGAATACGCTTCTCGTCAACGGACGGGAGCTCCATAAACCCTTCGTTGAAAAGCCCGTCAATGCAGAGGACCACAATATTTACATCTACTATCCCACCACGCCCCTGGGAGGAGGTGGGGGCAGGCGGTTGTTTCGGAGGATTGGAAGCAAGTGTTCAGAGTTTGATCCTGAGATTGCTATTCCTCGGTGTATCACAGAGGATGGAACAGTGAATAGTTACGTATATGAGCCGCTTCTGGCTGCTGACTGCGGTCAAGATGTCAAGGCCTATACCGTGGGCGCTTCCTACTGCCTGGCAGTGACTCGACAATCACCCGCAGTGACCGGCATCGTTTATCGAAATGCGAACGGCAAAGAAATAAGACAGGTCACAGAGCTCACAAGAGAAGAAACCGATACAGCGGCCAAAATATCCGTCACTTTTGGTCAGGCCCTTTGCGGCTTTGACATTGTTCGAAACAGAGGTAAAAGCTACGTGATTGACGTGAATGGTTGGACTTCTGTCAAAGACCAACCTGCATTCTATGGTGAATGTGCCAATGTTTTACAGCAGATGATGATTGCCCGACGGGAGCAAGACAAATTGTATAGTACACGTTGATGGCTCCTGAAGTTAGGCTTATTATACATTGCAAATATGTTGTCTTGTTGTTTGAGTTTCAAAAAGCCGAACTAGGGTTCATGTGAGAAGAATAATGGGAAATATTAGATTCTGATGGTGTAGTCTGAAGCGTGCGAAGAACTTGACTATGGTATTGTTGCATAGTGTTGGGATTTCTAACACTAAATGCCATTCTGGATACCGAAATTGACGCGGCTCTGATTGGTCATATGGATCGTGTTCATGAATGACTACGATCCTTGTCGTCATTGCCTAGCAATTCGAATGTCAAGTCATATTCCTGGCACACCAAGTATCCAGGGTATACATGTACCACTAGACACCATCTTAGGGTTAGCTTTCCCTAGGCCGATGGAGAATGACATCTGTGTCGGTAAAAAATAGAGACAGCCGAGGCAATCTCAACAGATCAATGGCGTGGCCGGTGATTTCGCTGAAGAGCTGAGCATTTTGCTACGTGAATTTTTATACCTAATGAGAGGAAGGACCAACTTACTCATATTCTGATGATGCTTCATTTAGTCACACGCCTCTTTATGGAACGTTGTTTGGATACTGGGTAAGAGATGTCGCGGGACCGTTTAAAGAAATCAAGCGCGTTATAAGCTTTTCCCGCAGCCTCCTCTCTCATCCAGACAAATTTCCTTATCATCTGGCAATGCCCATTTTTCCATCCACTCACATTTTAGAATTTCATGTGCGGTCAACCGCTCCTTTGGCTCAAAAGACAGCATTGGTCGCAACATATTCATAACAGCAGCTTTCTCCTCTGCATCAAATTCCGGGACCATAGCCTTCCGTCGTGGCAGTTGAATGTGCTTCTTAAAGCGCTCATCCAAGGACCTTACTTGTCGACCCTGATTTGGTAATCCTCTTTCATCAAAATACTCATACCTCGTCTCCCATTTCTTCTGCCACCGTAGAGGCAATTCCCCTAGAGTGTCAACCTGCTCCGCTGTGATGTCGTCCGGCGTGGCAAGTATGTCCTCAAACAAGGGACGCTGACCAAGTATTATCCATATAGAACATGCAAGAGTCCAGACGTCAGCCGGGAAGGAAAGGCCCAATTCTGGCTTAAATCGGGCTTCAGGCGGCACGAAAGATAGAGGGGCATGCGAGCTATATCGATGCTCTGCTGAGGGTCAGTAGGCCTCCCCAAAATCACCAAGTAGGAGTCTAGATTCCGAAATTGCGAATAGCTCTGAGGCTTTTCCAAGCCAGATCGGAGGGACAATGCTAGATGGTATGCTAGACTGGAGAGGTTGGCCGTCAAGACGGACAACTGGTTCAAACGTGGGTCGACCATATTGTTTGTATAGCTGCTCGATGGACAGATGGTTAAAATCGGCCGGGGGACGTAGAAAGACATTGCCAATGTGAAGATCTGATATAATCACTATATTAATGGGCAGTTGTGGATTGTAAGACATAAGGACTGACCTCCGTGAACAACTCCTTTACTGTGACTTTAATCGATAGCCAGTACCAGTTGTGCAATAAGTGAGCGAGCTGTTTGAGCTTGAAATATGCGTCGATACGATCCGTCCTTTGCACCAGAGATAATGCACCTTGCTATGGCTGTCACATAGCAAGGATGGTTGCCGTTGGGGCCGTGGAGGACAAATCTGTCTTGAACGGAGGGTATCATTGCCCTGCCCGGATGGTTGAGTGGGGAATGGTTGCTAAGATAATCGAGGACATCCACCTCTCTCGAGCTTGACTCGGCAGTTCCAACCTTGATTGCCACATATTTAGCAGATCGATGATCTTGGCAGAGCCAGGTAGTTGAATATGTCCCGTAACCTAACTTGTGGACTACTTGATATCGGGACTGAATAATATCACCTATCGTTATACGGTGATAACCACACCAGACTGGTACCTTTGGAGTCTCTCGACTTCCCCGACCGGTACGTATTGAAAAGGGGGTGAAGCAGAGTCAGCGCTAGATAAGACGTTCCTGGAAGCCATAGATGAAGTGTATGCACGCCCACCAACAAAATGTCTTCGCCAGTGAGGACAGAAAAGTGATATGAAGAAAGTCTGATAGAGCTGATGCAAGGAGCTTTGGCGATGAGTCCAGAAACAATTTTGCGACCTGATCATGAACGTCATTATCGAGAAAAAATTGTTCAGTTAATAAACCTAAATCAGTGAAAGATCCTAGCAAATAATACGCCACAGGACAAGACACTGGGGCGGCAGGCTTCCATTCCGCCAGTTTGTTGTAAGATCTAACGTCTCAGGTAGATATCTAGTAGATCGCAACCTATTGTATAGCCACGTGACCAGATTTGCCCTCGCTGGCCTCGCGACCATGCTCTCGTGTTTACCTGTGTTGGCGGTTACAGGTAAGCAAATCGATGTTTCAGATCCTGGAGCGCACGACTCGAGGATAAAGCACTAATCCACGTGTGGCCCAATGGCCAGACTTAACTCTCGTCGAAAGGATCCAAAAACGATCAATCCAGGAGCGATCTCACAACTTTAAGCCCGATATTCGTCAACCCAGATATCTTATGGTACAAAGGTCAAATTTGAAATGTTTATTCACTATTTATACAAGCTCTTCATTGCTCCGGTGAAATTCTATCGCCCAAAAATTCAACATGAAATGCAAAAGCTGTGCGAGAAGAGATTGGTCTCCAAGAGAGGAGTTGTGAAATAAATGTATGAGTCTCCCAAAGCACCTCCTTTTTTGTGTCGTGGGTGCTGGGGTATACCGACATGTAAATGTAAAGTCCCGAGTCTATTCCTTTTTCTGGGACTTTGATTCCTCCACTTCCTCGTCTTCCTCCAACACCTGCTCCTCGGCTTCGTTCTCGAGCTTGTAGAGTTCCTCTGGCGGGACTGCCCGCGTGGGAGGAGACGGGAGTTGATCTCCACCACTCATCTGCCACTCCATGAGCTTGGTGAAAGCACCATCGGGACGAGAGCTGAGCTCTTCGTAGGAGCCTTGTTCGGCGACCGTGCCATTAGGCCCGAGCACAATGATCGTGTCGGAGCGCTTGATGGTAGAGAGCCGATGGGCAATGCTAATGGTGGTGTTGTTGCCACGGAGAAGGGCCGCCAACGCACTGTTCACCAGAGTCTCCGATTCAGCATCAAGGGCAGAGGTGGCTTCGTCGAGGATCAGGATATCCGGCTCCTTGATCAAAGCACGGGCAATGGCAATGCGCTGCTTCTGTCCACCGGACAGCTGCGCGCCACGGGCTCCCACGTGGGTATCAAGTCCATCGGGCTGTGATTTGATTAGCATTAAGAAAACGCCGTGTTGGAGCAGGCTTGACTTACGAAGTCACTAATGAATTGGCAGTTGGCCTTGCGAGCTGCAGCAACAATCTCAGATCGCGTGGCATGCGGCCGGCCATAAGAAATGTTCTCAGCAATGGTGCCAGAGAAGAGAACGGGCTCCTGCGCGACTACACCAATCTTTCGTCGGAGTGACTTGGCGTTCATTTCCTTGATATCCTGCCCATTGATGAGGACCCTGCCTCCAGTTGGGCTGTAGAATCGAAGCAAGATGGACGCGATAGTTGACTTGCCACCGCCAGAGGGACCGACAATTGCAACATTGGTTCCCTGTGGGATCTCAAAGTTCAAGTCCTTGAAGATGGCCACGGCAGGTCGGGTCGGGTAGCTGAACGAGACGTTCTCAAATCGGATAGGTCCCCGCGCAGACTCGACCTTGAGGCCCTTGGTCGGGTGGATAGTCGGCTGGCGATCTTGCAGCTCGAACAATCGGCTTGCAGCACCAACACCTTTCATGAGCTCGGAATAGAAACTTGAGAGGCCAAACATGCTAGAACCAGCATATGCAGTGTACATGAGGAACGACGTCAATTCTCCAATGCTGATCGCTCCTGATTGGACCATGCCACCTCCGACATAGAGCAAAGACAAGATCGTCAAATTTCCCATCAATCCAGTCTAGAGTCGATTAGTAAAGCCAGCCTCGCTGATAGGCCATGTAGATGATAAAACTCACCGAGCTGAAGAATGTTGCACTGATCAAAGACTCCTTCTTACCGAGGTCGAAGATCTTCCGTACTTGGGTATTGTATCGGTTGACTTCAAGGATCTCACCCGCAAATGACTGACTAGTCTTCACGTTACCCAGGCGCTCCTCGGCAATCTTGGTCAGCGTACCCAGATTCTTCTGGATTTTGCGACTGAGGTTGCGAATGGCACGTCCGTAGAAGAGCGCACCCAGACCAATTGGGGGCAACAACAAAGCCAAAATACTGGAAAGTTTGAGACTAGTATACGCCATCAGAGTAAATCCGGCCACGCCGCTGACACCGGCACGTAGACCATCAGACAGGTTCTGCGTAATGCTCTTGCCAACGATGATGGTATCCGAGCTCAGCCGAGAGATCAAATCACCGACCCGGTTGGCATCAAAGAACTCGGCATCTTGGACGAAAGTCTGACGGAAAAGCTTGGAGCGCAATCTCGCAACGATTCGCTCACCAACGATACGAAGAATGATAATACGGCCGTAGTTGGCAGCAGCGCCCACTAGCAGGATACCCCCAAGAGCTGTGTAGAACATAGGGATGCTCAAACCAAACAGCTGACCACCACCTTCTTCTTCACTCTTCGTGGCTCCGTCAATGATCTTACCAATTGAGAATGGAATCGACATCGTGATAGACGAGGAAACTAGCAGGAAGAAGAATGCGAACCCGAGCGCCTTCGCTTCAGGTCGCGCAATCTTGAAGAGGCGCCAGATTTCCGCGAAGCCGGACTTCTTGCCCGATGCGCCATCCTTGGCCAGTTTGGCCCGGAGATTGACTTGCGCAGCTTGAGCAGCTCTCTCCGATAGCTCGAAACCTTTATCTTCAGCAACTTCGCCATCTTTTTCCGAAACCGGGAGTCCGTGGGCCTGGGAGCCGTTCGAGGGTTGCGAGGGCGACAAGGGCGGTTTCGCTTGGTAGAGATGTGACGATGAGTTGAAGGACCGTACTTGAGAAACAATGCGAGATGTATAAAGGGTATATTTGTAGTTATGTTGGCGAAGCAAAAGAGGAACCTCGGTTGGTCGGACATCACTACCGGCTCTGTCGCGTAGGGCTCCTGAGGCAGTGGTGTATAGTCGACTGGCCCAATTAGGTCCGCCAAATCGAGAGAAAATTCGGCTTGCGACAGGCAACATGTCACGAGGCATGGCGCTCTGAGGTCTCAAGACCGGCCGAGGGCTAACGCCCATTGTCCAGGCCGGTAGCCGGACGCCGCGCATCTTTCTGAATGGAATCGGGCGGTCAATCGGAAGGGATAGATAGAATCACGGAGAAATTTCACAGAAGGCCATTATCATATGGAATGAGAATTAGTGATACCGCATGTTCCACAGTCCTCAAGTCAGCTCCCCGAGGCATGTGGAGATGCGACATCGCTCGCGCCGTTCTCCGTCGGCAGACCGGATTCCGATTCTGCCATCAGTCACCGCCCATGGAAGCTGTTCGAGAGCTTTCGATGGGCTTGTTTTAGCCTCTTTCCTCGAACCACTTTCTTCTGTTGGAACCTTATTCAAACGGTAAAGCCATCGCCTGAGCTTCTTTGTCGGCTAGTTCGGTCAACGAAAAGGCGGCTTCTTCTTATCTCTCTTAACAATACCTTCCACTGATACCCCACCTCACTCCATAACCCCGCGAGCTTTAACCCCCAACGTGCAAGATGGTACTTGACTACAGCAAGTGGGATGCACTGGAGCTATCCGATGACTCGGATATTGAGGTGCACCCCAATGTCGATAAACGATCTTTCATCCGGGCCAAGCAGACTCAGATTCACCAGCAGCGTGAGCAGCGCCGTCACGATATCAAGACCTTCAAGTATGAGCGCATTATCAACGATGGCCTACTCTCGCGCATCGACAAGCTCCTCAATGCTCTCAAGCAACATGAAGACTCCTCGGCCTCCCCTGAACAGTTCATCTTCCAGACTATCATGGAATTTGCCAGCGATCCCACCGAAGATCAAGCCCCAGCGCCTCCAGAGGGCGTTCACACCCACGAGAAGGAACAACCTAAGTACTCGCAGATGATGAGCGCTCTGGTGGACCAGGTCAAGAAGGAATTTGGAGACTCTAAGCCAGACAACATGTTCAAGGCTTATATCACTGGCGTACAAGGACACAAGGACAAGGTGCAGGGCTTGCAGAAGGAGCTGATGACGAGATTGGCCCAGTTGGAAAAGGAGGAGAGCAGCAAGATCACCAGCGAAGGCTTGCATGATGGATTCAATTCTTCACACGTGTCCAAGGCCGACCCGAAGCCTAAAGCCGCTGCGCCAGCCAAGAAAACCGAGGTGGAGCTCCTCAATCCCGGTGCTGGAAGCTCATCGGCCGCTCAGGCTGAGGAGGACGACGACGATGACCCCGCAAACATTGAGATCAGCCCATTGGCGAAGCGGTTTGCAAAGCTTAAGCCCAATGATTACTTGGCCTACCAGCGATTCATCACCGAGCACCCTGAAATTATCGCCGAGAAGGAGACGGACGGCCTGCTGGTCGAGGCCTTCAACAGTCAGCTTAAGGGCGAGGATGCGTACGCCCGCCAATGCGTGCACCAGGGTCTTCTTTTGCAGTACTGCCGATCTCTCGGTCCCGATGGTATCAAGTTGTTCTTTGGCCGGTACGTAAACAACCTACATGTCTGTTGTAGAGCCTAGCTAACATGTTCTACCTCAGCATCACAACCAAGGAGCATCGTGCTGCAACTCTTTTCACCAATGACGTTAACGACACTTACAACCGCATCAAGACCCGTGCGGCTGAGCTCAGCAAAGAGAACTCCGCCTCCAACGACCCAGCTGGCGTTGAGCAGATCCAGTTGCACGCAGTTGACCCCAACACTAAGATCACAATCAACATTCCCACCGCCAACAGCGAGGACCCTACCGAAATTGAGGCCCGCAAGATTTTCGAATCTTTCTCGCCCGAGCTTCAGAAAGCATTGGCGTCTGAGTCTCTGGACGAGGTCAACAAAGTTCTCGGCAATATGTCCGTTGATGAAGCTGAAGTCGTTGTGGAGCAGCTGGGAAATGGTGGGATGCTTAGCCTGGAGGAGGGCATTATTGATGGTACCACTGAGGAAGGTCAAAAGAAGCTCGCTGCGATTGAGGCAGAGGCCAAGCAGGATGTCGGCGAGCCTGGCGGCGACGTGACTGAGTTGGATTAAGCTTAAAATACCCACTAACCTAACAAAATCATGAGATACACTGCGACGAGCAATGAATGAAGTACTATATCTTTGTCTCTATGTCATAATTTTCATACTCTTCATATTCAGAGCTTCTTGGAACGTCGAAAAATGATAGTACAGACACAATTAAGAAATGGGAATCCTTGGTATTAACGTTGCCGCCAGTCTGAAACAGGTAAATTACACAGATCTCCTTGGCTGGTTCGCTGCATGGAGTGAAAAAAAATCATGGGTGAAGTGTAGGTAGATGGGATAGAAAGAATGAGCCTCTTGAGAAGATCCGCGACTGACGTATGGCTCCCGCAATTGAAGAACAAGGTTATGAAAAAGTCCCCGAGTCTGCACGCTCATGAGCGTGAGCCTGGGTGGAAACCAGAAGCCCCCTGCAAGCCTGGCCTCCGCGAGCCCCTGCCCCTCCGAATGTGTTTTTTCAACGCTCGAATTTAGATACCGGTAGAGCCGGGGGCCTCCTGGTCCTTCTGCAGATCGATCAGGAGCTTGCGGAAACGCTCCTTGCCTGAGCCGCTGGCGCCGCCAGCGGAGCCCACGCCCGAAATGTCGACCAGCTTAGCAATGCGTCCCCAAGAGGTACCACCAGCTGAAGTATTCTCACGGTTAGCTAGGAACTCTTCAGCCTCAGCGCGGGCCTGGGCCTTGGTCTTGTCAAGCTTGTTATTGTAGGCAACGTAGAAGTCATCGATATCCTGTTGGGCCTTCTTGAGAGTGGCTTCCTTCTTCTCCGCAGAAATTTGTGCGCGACGAGCGAGTTCGGCGTCCCGCTTCTCACGCCACTGACTGTATAGATCGAGCGCAATTGTCAGTAAGATGTTGGGTATAGAGGGGCAGCCCAACAACCAGCCGACGTCATGCGCCCACATCATGAGGAGGTTTGAAAATGCATCACTTACCGAACAGGCTCTGGCTCTTCTTCCTCGGTCACCGCAGAAACATATCCAGTGGCAGGGAAAGGGGAACCGGTTCCGGTGATTGTACCGCCAGGGGCAACTCGCTGTTCAGTGATTGTACCCAGTCAGCTTACTTCACTTCTCGTACATGTAGACCGAACTCGTACCTCGTTCTGTGCCTGAGTTTCAACTGAAGGGAAGGAAGACTCAAATTGTCCAATCTCCTCTGCGGGGGTGTCGTCACCTCCACCCAGTAGGTCATCTCCGCCGGCTGGGGCCGCAACGTGGTCTTGAGGGGTAGCGAATTGGTCGGCATCTTCGCCGAGGGCGGCGCGCTCACGGGCAAGGAAGTCATCCTCGGAAGCTCCCTTGCTCTCGATGGCCTCTGTCTGGCCTAGAAACGTTGTGTTAGTGGTAATTGCGCGGATGAGGGCGGTAGGCATGCAGTTAGTGGAGCGTACCTTCAGAGAAGTCCTCCAAGGAAGGGAAACGATCAGCCATGGTCGATGCGTTGAGTAGCTGTGTGTCTTCGCCAGTAATTTCGAGATCGATTAGAAGGCTGGAAGAGGCAGTGACGTCGACGGAAGAGGTGATGGGAGCTTGATCTGGTTGGGGGTTGTTGACAGTTGGTTCCGGCGAGGCGCTCGGAGTGCTGATTACTGCCATTGTTGCAAGGCGGTAAGCAGCCTCGTGGTTCAGGAGAGAGCGGTGAGGGAATGGGGGATCTGCCGGCGAGAAGATGCGAAGGAGTTTCGTTTTTCCGAGTGCAAGGATGCGAGCGGTGGAAGAGGCGGTAGTAAAGGCGGTGGAGGAGAAGTGGAAAGCTGATGGGAAGGCCAGGGTTCTGCAAGGAGAAGGCGGTGAGGAAGACGGTCCACAGCTTGGAGTTTCAACTGACTGGGGAGGACAGCTTCACTTGAACTTCCGACGTCAACAGTTGCTGAACGGGATAATTGGACTGGTCTGTTTGCAAGTGCTTTGCGTGGTCCAGAGTTTGCTTTTCTCCGCCAGTCTCACTTTGCGTCGGCCTGATTCGCCATTAGCCTTCAATTGCAGCTCTCAGCTCCCCTTCAACGGCAATCGGACTGATTACCCTCCATTCTCTCCCGTCCGACCTGAACGCTCTTCTCTTTCCCACAAAGGACCACTCGACTGGTTTAACCCCCTTCCATCATGGCCTACACAGATGACGCTGTGAAAGCAAAGCTTTCAGCTCTCAACGAGACTCAAGAGAGCATTGTTACTGTCGCGCAATGGGTCATGTTCCATAGGTAAGTCCAAACAATGTCACTGATATGCAAGTAAACGCGCTTACGGGAATTCGTGTTTCTTTTATCCAGGCGCCATGCGGAAAAGACTGCCCAGATCTGGCTTCAGAAGATTCGTGACTCGCCACCGCCTAAGCGACTGAACCTGGTCTACCTAGCAAATGGTACGTAAACACACGCTCAGAAAGCTTCGCGACATTAGCTAACCTGATTCCAGAGGTTGCACAGCAGTCGAAAGCCCGTGGCAAGGAAGACTTCCTCATCGCATTCTCGCCGGTCGGTACCACGTCCACTCAACGCGCCAGGAACATAGCTAATCCCAGATTAGATTGTTGCGGAGGCCACAGCGGCGGCATACAAAGGCTCGTCGAATGACATCCAACAGAAGATTCGCCGAGTCGTGGAGGTATGGAGACAGCGTCATGTGTTTGAAGGCCCGATTTTGGATGCCGTGGAGGCGCGTGTCAACGGTAGGATCTCATCTTCTCGAAGTGTTACTTGCAACACGCGGCTAACTCGATTTTACTAGACATTGACAAGAATCGCCTGACTACCAAGAAACAACCTCTCGGCGGCTCATTCTTCAAGGATTCATCTGCCGGATCTACTCCGTCCGAACTTCAGCCATTGGTCCCCTTGCAAGTCGCTCTCACAAAAGCGGCCATGACTTCCAACACTTCGGCCACAACTGCCAATACCGAATACGACAAGTTGAATGACCCAAATGCTCCCAAGATAACCCCACCGGTGCACGCCGCACGTCTCGGCACACTTTTGAAGGCACTCGCGCATGCCGAGAATTCCGTTTCGGAGGTCATCAAGTCACGCCGCGCCCTGATCGACGGGCTCGAGAAGCTCCTCGCGACCAATCGCTCCGAGCTTGAAAAGGAGGAGTCACTTGTGGCACAATTTGGAGAGAAGAAAGCGGAGACAGACAACAAGCGGCGCGAGGTTGAGGACGCAATCATGCGTGGCTATCAAGATGACGCTTCCGCCACAGGGAGTGGACAGGGTAACGGAGGAGATGAGCCCCCTCGCCCTGAAGTTGAAGCATTGACTCCTCCCCCGGTTGAGGCTATTACGCCCGTTGGATCACCCAAACCCGAGCAGCCGCAGGCCAGTCACGGCCCATTCACAGAAGATGCCCCGATAACCCTTCCACATGGCCTCAGTCTCCAGACGGACAATGATATGTCATTCGACCCGTCTAATATTTCCCCTGATGGCGGAAATGATTTCGACCTCGGTGCAAATGGATCAGCTGCGAAGAGACGCAAGGTGGCGCACGAAGAGGACTATGCGCAGTTTGCTGGTGGAGACTTGGATGCCGACGTAGCGGCTATGATTGCGCAGGAAGGCAATCAGTGATTCAAGGTGTTTCTCATTATGGCAATCTGGTTCAATTCCCACATTGTTTGTATTATGGAACGTTTGTACTTCGCCTTTCGGGTTCTGTCCACTGGGCACGTATCTTCGATTGTCGGAGGGGTGTTTATTGTTGTCTTGGTCAAATCGAAGATATCCAATTTGTGTTAGGTATTTACTGAATGCATGTTGATGTACCACATATCTAGAAAGGAATTCTACTCCTGTAATGCCTATGGTATGGGTTGTTCAAGTAGTAGAGGGAGAGTATTCTCCGATTGATATATTAGGTAGTTCCAAACATGTACACTAACAAGAAGAATCATCGGAATATATCCGGATCTATCCAGCGATCTCGAGCAAACCGTCTGGATGTCGGATATCTCCTTACTCTGTCAGCTGAGGCTAACAACGACCTGATGTTATTCGAGGACTCCTCTTCAGGTTGCGGAGAGGGTGAGCTGTGCTTCTTCGGTTTTACCACCAGAACGATAATCAGACCTATCACCACGAGAGCTAACAGGAGCATGACCTTTCGCTTCGTGGAACGTCGTTGATAATTCGTAGCCTATAGTCCGAGATCAATATTCACACCATCCACCAAGCGATCGAGACTGAAAATGTTGGAGGACTGAACATACCACTTTGAGTTCCTTCTCTGCGGCCTTGACCTCGGTACCCATGCGCTCCACATTATAGTCAATGCGATCCAGCATCGTCCCTTGATCGATGATCATGGTTTGCAGCTCGCGGAAGATGTCGGACAGCTCGATAATACCCTTTGCAATGTCATTGATTTCACGTTCTCGTTGCGCGATGGCGGCGTCGTTTTGGCCCGTCGCCCGTTGTTGGGTTTGCATCAGCATCGTCTGCGAGAATGATTTGTCCACTTCCGATTCCATCAAGGAAGGATCCGCGAATGGATTTTGCACTGGGGTTGGTGAGCGATCGAAGGGTGTCGACAGACCTTCCAGGTCTCGTAGCTCTATCAGACACATCATCGGTTAGCTTGAGGTGCAATGTTCCCAGCCCCCTCGCAAGTTCACTCATGTGGGTTCGACAGCGACGAGCGAAAGGTCAAAAAATGGCAGACTTACTTTTGAGATACGTGCTCTGCTTCTTGCGGAAACGAGCACTGGACTCCTGAACTCTAGACGCAAGCGAGATCTGTATATTCTTCGCCATAGTCTCCTCTCCGCTCGTCACTCCACCTTGCTGCTTAGACTCGCGCACCATCATATCAATCCGCTTAATCGACTTCTGGCAATTATGAAAGCTGCGCGTAACGTCCTGCGTCAACCGCTCGATAATCCCCTCATCATGTCGTCGGAGGTCTTCGTCGCCGAACCCGGGGAGTAGGTGTTTCTGGTGCAGCTTATCCAGCTCGGTGGACTTCTGCGCAATATCCGCTAATAGCTCCGAGACCTCCTCTTGTACGTCGACCCAGCGCGGTGGCAATAGGTCCATCTCGATTACCATGTCGCCATCTTCTTCGAAACCGCCCGTCTCGGAGATGAGGCGCCGGCTTTCTTCCGGCTGGGAGGGTAGGCCGAAGGCATTGGAGGCGCCGAAACGTGGCTTCTTTGCGGGGTGGTGGGCGAAGGATTGGCGGTAGGATATGTAGCTGGAGATGGGCGCAATTGAGTCAGCATCATTGTCTTTCTCAAGGGCTAGTAAGGGCCAGCGCAAGTAGCTGGTAGCTAGCTGGGGTAGTCGTACAGGTTGGTGCGATCCCGCCACATCGTGGCCAGGGAGTGTGGGAGAGTATGTGCCGGGGGACTATCGAGGAAGGATCGTGTAATATGCAAGTTTCATGATCGTTCGACGTCAAAGGCGTTAAGCTGGAGTCCCTTGGGGAAGAAGTTGGAGAGGTTGGCGGGTTGAATGACGAAGCCGGTCTAAGCGGAGTCGAATCATCCGGGAAGCTCTCCACTGCGCAGGGGTTCCGAAAGGTACGGTATTCACTCGGTAATTATTCATCTTCCCCGGACTCATGATGGCCGCTGGACAGCATGAGAATTACTGGGCCGAAACTTCTGAGTGCGTATTTGTATAAGCCTTCTGTCTTCTTTGGTTTGTCATCATGTATGTTGTTCCAACTATTTACATATCTTACTTTGGTTGTCAGCCAGGTCATACAGCTATTAGCTAACTAACCCTCATGTATAAGTGGTCACCTTCCATATTATCACTATATCAACTCAACGATTAATCAAAATATTTTCTATAATGAACTGTCAGAAATTTGTATCTTCACTAGGCCGAAGGCCTTACAGACTGATAGCTACAGATCACTCTTACAGCATGTCATAGAATCGGACATCAGAGACTTAACCAGGATTGGAAGACTCGGTTCTTATCTTCTGTCATCGATAAATAACTGGTATCTAGACGAATGACATGTGAGATGAATGAAGTGTTGAGCCAAGCTCAAATACCTCGTGATCAGTATCAACAACCAGTCGTAAGCCATGCAGTAATGAAGTAGCCTTAGTTACCAGAAGCCAGGCGACAGCAAGTCACATCCATCATATATTGCCAGCTATCCGATTTATATGGCAAAACTTAGTTGTACATCACGAGCGACAAGCAAAGCCTTTGAAGTGGATGCTATATACTCTAGTCGGCTGGATATTTGTATATCTACTTTCCCCGCCATGTATAGACACTATCTGGGGGGCTCCAACGACAACACTTAGGTAGCTAGACTAGCTGAGTCCAACCTCGGGATGGAGTGCTGCTTCATGGGCACTAGCTTTGTTAGTAAGAGGCTACTTTCGATTCTGCCCAACACTAGGACCCGCGATCATAGCCTAGGTTTGTTGGGTAGAAAGGACACGCATGAACCTCGCACGTCAAAAGCTAGCGTGGTCAGACGCGGGGTCAATGACACCATATCGAGGTATCGTAAACCCTAGGTGTCTTAATTCGAGTAGCTATGCGAGGTTTCACGACTGGAAGCAGCAAGATACCAAGCTTTTTTGCGCTCCGCCCGGCGTCAACAGCAGCCGAGAGCTAGGATGGAGGGCGGCCAACTGCGCCGAGAGGGAGCATAACGTGCAGAAAGAGTGGCAACAGTGCTAGGCAGAGAGGTTCACTATCGTGCGCAGGGGCTAACCTGGATGCGCCTGCAGCTGTCAAGGTCCCACCTTTCAGCTGAGAAGCGTCAGTTAGGTCAAGTGCAGAGCAGAGTTAGGAGTCAGCCCTGGTAGCAGCAACTGTCTGGTATGGTATTTACCGCTCTGTTTACCGCCGTTGCTGTTTCCCCCTGTTTCCCTTGGATGTAACTGACCGCCTCTCCCTGTCAATACAGTCATTGGCTGTTGTGACCAGGCACTACTTTTCCTCGTGTGGTAGTTTGGTAAACGATCGTAATCCACGCCAAGGCGTAAACTACGTGTGTGTACACGGTAAGGCAGTAAGGCCAAGACGTGTAAGGCTGGCGCCAGCGGGCTCTTTCCCCTTGAACTTCGCTCCCCACCATCATCATCATCCCACTCCCCTCAGTCCCATCTCGCCTCCTTACTTCTCGAATTTCTTCCAACGACCTCTCTCTTTCACCATGGTACGAACACTCTGAATTTTGATTCCGATTTGTCCCCCCCCCCCCCCCCTTTTTCCCCTATCTGCACGAATCTGTTGACCTTGAACGCCCCCTCTTTGCGGGGCAGTGATCCTGGGTATTTGGGACGTTTGGGCTGACGAGTACCTTTGTATTCTGCATATAGGCCGATTCTCTGACCGAAGAGCAAGTTTCCGAGTACAAGGAGGCCTTCTCCCTGTTTGTAAGTGCTCTCCGACGCGTGCATTGACGATTCCCGATCGGAAAAAATACAGTAGACTGACGGGGGTTGTGTTTTCCGCTTGTGAACAGGACAAGGATGGCGATGGTGAGTGCAGTTTTACCCGATAGGAGGCTGTTCTTAGCCCATTGGAACACATGAAACCTTCAAAACAGAATAACTAAACTCGTATACCATCCTTAGGCCAAATCACCACCAAGGAGCTCGGCACTGTCATGCGCTCGCTCGGCCAGAACCCCTCCGAGTCTGAGCTGCAGGACATGATCAACGAGGTTGACGCCGACAACAACGGCACCATCGACTTCCCCGGTACGCCCCCAACGGCTCAATCTATCATACGCTTGCTATTTTCCCGATTTAGCTCAAGACTAATTACTTTTCTGCGCCCGCAGAGTTCCTTACCATGATGGCCCGCAAGATGAAGGACACCGACTCAGAGGAGGAGATCCGGGAGGCGTTCAAGGTGTTCGACCGCGACAACAACGGCTTCATCTCCGCCGCTGAGCTGCGTCACGTGATGACCTCCATCGGCGAGAAGCTGACCGACGACGAGGTGGACGAGATGATCCGCGAGGCGGACCAGGACGGCGATGGCCGTATTGACTGTATGTTCATCCAGCAATCCCAATACGGGGTCCATCCTGGGCCCCAATTGCATATACCACATACTGACTCTCCCTTGCTCGCAGACAACGAGTTCGTCCAGCTCATGATGCAAAAATAAACGACCCTCTTTCGCCCTGTTTCTCCGTTAGTTGAACTCGCGGTGTTTCCCCCACCAATGAGGATGTTTTTCTCTTCCATGTCTTCCTTTCTTCTTTTCCGATGCCAGTCTCTGTAGTCTATAGTCGATGCTGGCTCTAAGCTATGGCTTGGATGAATCATGATCAAGCGTGCTTGTTGGAATGCAGATAACACGTTCTGGATGCGGTGGATTGATTGGGACAGCGCTCTGGATTGCGTTTCCATAGTTTGCTACTATGGACTTGATTCTTTTCTATCTCAACCTTCGCACTTAGATCATCATGCTTCTCGCGGGTTTTCTGTATCCTGTAGTGATCAACCGGATCGTTCGTTTCTGCATCCACAGCAAGTGGATAGAAATATCCACGCCCTGTGTCCTCTATCGATTAAACCGCAACACCTCCATATACTGTCTAGCTGTATCCGTCCCCGCCGTAGCATCAATATCATCCTCAAACGGGACACTCCCCAGTCCCGCTCCAGCCAAGATTCCAACCTCATCTTGCACCTGCAATGCACCATCCCCCTTCCCCTTCCTCGCCTTGACAAGCTTCTCCTTAACTTCCTTCCCAACACCAGGAAGCAAAATCGCCTCCTTAGCCCCCGCAATCCCCAGCCGGCCCCAAAACTCCCGAATCAAAAACGCAGTCGCCACATACTCCGCATCAACATCCGCCTCCTCAAGCGCACAGAACGACATATCCACGCCCGAGTCCGCATCCTCACCAACCCCCAGCCCACCCCCATTCCCATTCCCAGAAAGCGAGTCCACAACCGACGGCCCCCGCCACTCAATCTCGACAATCGTCCCGCGAGGCCGAACATTCGGAACCGTCTGTCGCACATCACCCATTCGAACCCGGAAATCACCCACATCGTAGACAACCCCATTCGGCACCGTCACCGTCAAACGATGACACCAGAAGGGCTGGCACGCGTATGTGAAATGCTGGAAAAGCGTCTTATACGCTGGCGGCGGCACAGTAGTCATAACCATCGGCATCTCGGCCGTACTCGCGCCCTGGGACGTCACAGAGCCCGGTGATACATGGGGACCCTGGCCCGGAGACGCCGCGCTGACAAGTGGCGACGCTGACCCCGCGGGTGAAGCAGCGTTAGGCGGGTGGGGAGGGCTTCTCGGTTGGTTCGGAGGTGTAGATGAAGCCATGTGTTGGGTAGTGGCTTAGAGAGAGCAGTTGCAAGTAGCGGGGCTTTGGGGGACGCTGGCCTTGGGTTGTTGGGGTTGGGAGGAGCCCTGGTGTGTCGCGCATGAGTTTGTGGTCTAGGAACCAGCGGCCGATGGGGATGAGGTCTTCATCTGTGAAGGAGGCGCGGAGGCGCTCTGTTAGGGTTGTGAGGGTTGTTGTTGCGTTTGGGCTGGTGGGGATGAAGTAGACGCTGGGGTTGATGTTAGTTTTGAGGACGGGAGAGGGTGAAGTTAGATGTTGTGAGTGTACCCGGTGATTGGCATTTTAGAAAGTTTTGTGGTTGTGTATGGGGTCGCGGAGGTGAGGTTGGTGGTTGTTGGGGGTTGGTGGGAGGAGAGTGAATGCGATGGTGATGCACAATAGTCCCAGCAAGTTCCACTCTGGGTCGATAAACAGGAGCCCTCGAGGTAGATATATCAAGCGACAATTTGAACTCGGTTGATGAATGTAATTAGAGCTGGAGCTTACGCGCATCCAAGCAAGTGGCTCTCTTTCAGATGCCTTGTTTAGGTTGCAATTATTGAAGAGCAGTTGCTAACCCTGGTAATTGGTAAGCCTCATGTCTAAATATATTAGAAACCATAGACGCACCTGAGAAGCTCTATGATACAATCGTTAAGTTGTGTCATTGGAGTTGAGGATCTACAGAGGAAGTGATTTGGACCTGGTTCGGAGACGGAACTGATAGCGCGGTGCAAACAAGCCAAACACTTAACGTTGTGTAGCCAATGGCTATGGAGCTAGTCTACAGCAGACAAATAGTGATGACGGCTTGCTAAGGCATCCGCATTTGGGAATAGCTTCATGGCAGAGACACCATAGCAATGGTATCGTCAATCGATGGTGTGGTTGATGATCGCCTCGTGCTTCGGCTAGCGGGTCACGAGGCTGATGTTGCGGGACGACCTAGTTGATAAGGGTAGTTAGTTTTGCCCCGCAAACCCCCTATTCTTCATTCAGGTATCGAGTGAGCATTCTGTTATCCGTGCCTTTCTGCCCACCCAAAGCGCTTCCCGGTTTGGGTGCGCCCGCAATCCTGACCTTTCCGCAATCCTGACCTTTTTCCTACCAGTAGTCTTCTACTAGCCAATTCAACCACGAAAGATGCCTAAATCTACTACTTTTGATGAATCTCGCATAGCCGAGGCCTGCCAAATGGTTTTATCTCAAAGAAAGCCGAATATCACTAAGATTGCTCGCGAATTTGGCATAGATCGCAAGACGTTGACCAGACGCGTCGAAATGGCAAAATCGCCCATTACACCTAGCAAATCGCTTAAAAATATCCTGGAGCCACATCAGGAGAAAGCCTTGGTCAGCTGGATAGTTCAAATGCACGGCTGGAACCTACCACCTACCGCAGCGGTAGTAGGTGCATGGGCAAATCGCGTACTGGCGCGATCGGGCCAGCCGGATAGGCAGGTTGGTAAAAACTGGGCGTATAGCTTTATAAAGCGTCTACCAAAAGACCTTGGCCTAGGCCCTGTGAAGCAAAAGACTAAGGAACTGAGGCGAATCCAAGCGGAGGATGCAGGCCTTCTTCAACACTGGTACGACCAGCTAGAAATAGTCCTCCATGACGTTCCTGCTCGGCTAGTATACAACTTCGATGAATACGGGTTTCAACCTGGTCAAGGGCGAGCACGAAACGTTATTGGGGCTAAATCATCTTGCCCTGATCTCGCTGAGACTGAGAGAGGCGAAAATATCACTGCACTAGAGTGTATTGCTGCGGACGGCTGGCAGATAGACCCGCTCTTTATATTCAAGGGAACTGGCCGAAATCTTATGGAGGCCTGGTTCTACGGTAGCGAAAACCTCTCACCAGACACGATAACGGCTATATCTCCTAATAGCTGGATTTCTGATAAATTAGCCCTAGCCTAGCTAGGTTATTTTATTTAGTTGACTGCTCATCGTGTGAATCGGGGTGAAAAGCGCGTTCTTATATTCGACGGCTATAGCGCGTATCTTACACTCGAATTTCTTTAACTCTGCGAGGATAATACGATTATCCCCTTTGTATTTATACCGCATTCAACGCATATTTGCCAGCTACTTGATGGAAAGCCCTTCTTGAATTATAAGCAGCAATTTCGGTTGATAAATAATGAGCTGGCTTTCTGGGGTGGCCAGCCGTATAGGAAATCAGATTTCCTCGCGATTATCGGGCCAATTCGCAAGAAGGCGTTTACACAGCGAATTATCCGCGAATCCTTCAGAGATCGTGGAATCTATCCAGTTGATGGTAGTAAGGTTGTTGATGATCTTGCTAAGGAATTAGTGATTCCTGATCTATACGCACCAGATCTTCGCTTATAGGGCTCGTATATACTATCACCACCACTACCTAATCTCTCGTCTTCTAGTGTTGAAAATAGCCCTCCGAAATCTATCGAAGCACTATGTAAGAATCAGGCGAAGGTTACTAAACACCTCGAGGATCTATCAGATAAGATGCAGCGAAATCTATCGAGGTTGATGGCGCACCAGCGGGAGATAGCGGAGGAGCTTTCGATGACGCGGGATACAATTCAGCGTATAAGGGTCGCGCAGGCCCCAGTACGTCGAAAATACACCAAGCGGCAGGTTAAACCACTTAGCCAGACTAGTATATTAACTACACGCGATGCGAATCGATCGATTAAGACCAGGAAGGAGGAGGAATTGGCCAAGGAGGAAAGGAAGCTAGCTAAGCAGTTCAAGAAAATATATGGCTACGAACCCACACAGCGATCGGAGGAATCTATTCAGCGGGCAATTGCTCATGAGGAAGCGGCTAGGCAGGCAGGAGAGGTTTTTTTTTGTTGATAATTAGCTAGTTGGTTGGTAAATTTGACGATTTCTCTACAAAAAGGTCAGGATTGCGGAAAGGTCAGGATTGCGGGCGCACCCAAACCGGGAAGCGGTTTGGGTGGGCAGTAAGGCACTGATACACCGCGGGCTCCGGAATTATTAATCTACTCTACTTCTCTCCGGTATACGTTGTGTCGGACCTATATGGGCAGCGGTTCTATGTGAACTCTTTCCAAATACCCGGATGCGTGATCCTGTTTTCGCTATCACGACAGATTATCTCTGCCTTTCCCACTTCTTGTGGAACAACTCGGACCATTGCCAGTTTTTTGCTAAGCTGGAAAGAACTCTGAAGGTTCCAAATGGCCGGCCGTACATGGACAACACTAAACCCTTGGAGAACGCGAAGGAAAAACTCCACCATGCCTATCGAGTCAACCAGAGCGGCGAATATTGTGAAGGTATATATCTGATCTCTTTGAAGAACACATCAAACAAGCCTGGCACCAATGATCAAAATTGCAGAACGGAGCAAGACATGGTGATGATCGGCTGTATCAGCCTAACTAATTGGAATCATTGGACTCCAATTCACTCCACGGAACTATTTATCTCCATTTTGCCGGAATATCAAAACCAGGAAAACGCCACCGAAGCAGCTCGCGCCTTGTTACAGTTTGCGGAACAAAAGTACGGGCTTACGGAAGTTTTTGCATTCGTTCATTTCAATGGCTGTATCGGGGCTGCTCGAGCACTACTCGACAAGCTTGGCCTGCAAGATAAGGGGGTGGGAAGACGGTACGGACTTGCTGGTGTTATTTATGCAACAAGTATGATGAACAAGGAGATATTTATGGCACAAGGCTCTCCCATCCAATATGATGAAAACCTAATGGACCTTGCTGCATGAATGAAGAAGGTTCTGATTGAGATATGTTTAGTTATTGCTTCTGAATAGAGTAATAACCCAGATTTTGGTATTGGCTGTATTAAAGAATATTCTAGGGGTCCATTGACATACTTAATCGAATCAATAATGAGAAAGCACCTCTCCTGAGGGCTTTGATTTGCTGACTGGGTACCTCAAGTACAACGCAAGCGCAGGGTGACTAGTTAGTAAAATGCAGCGCGCTTGTTCTATCCAAAGAGCAGTTATCTCAACACTTTGACGGTTCAACTTAGTTCACCTACCTCCATGTTATCGTAATCTAGACCCTACGTACTTGTAAGGACCCGAACTCGAACCCGTAAAGTTGCGGTCTTGCGGATCCGATTTGGAGGTTGAGACTGCACACCATAGTAAACAGTAATTGCCTTATTTTCGCCAAGGAAATTAGAATTACCACGTCCGATGGGAGCAAATCCTAATCAAATGCTGGTGCAAAGTAAATTAGAAATCAGATGGAATCGTACAGATAGTTGAATATCTATTACTTTTGACCTAATCTGCCTAGGATTGGAAGAGATCTTGCGGGAGGAAAACGCATGATTGAGGATATAAGCCATAGATACCTATGCCCATTCGTGCCCAAAATTTATCTTTTTTTCAGTCATCTTGTACAACATGTTTCGCACCACATTTCCAACAAAATCTGTCTTGCATTTGACAGACAACGCCACAGTGTGTACAATGACGAGTCTTGCCAACCGCCTCAGCCTCGGTACTAACCGCGGCTTTTTGATCATTGTAAACATCATCTCTCGCAGAGACCTGCCTGGAATTGGTGGGAGTGGCATGCCCTGAACTGACATTGGATTCGCGATAAGCGGGAGGGTAAGACGGCGGCGGTGAGTTTTGAAGCTGTTGTAAGGGCTGCTGTGAAGAATCCGTAGACGACGAGGCTGTATTCGGGTTGGCGGAAACTGCCTTTTGTACCTCTTCCTGAACTAGACGCTGCGTCCGCTTTTCTTGTTCTGCCTCTTGTCGCTTTTGTGCCTCCACTTCTTGCCGTATCGCCATTTCACGCTGGTAGTCCAATGTCGCTTGTCTCTCCATTTCATGTCGCGCACTCATTCTCGACGCACCCACGAGAACAGCTGCCCCGAGAAGAGGTCTTCGTCTACGACCGTACATCGCTTAATACAGTTGAAAGGCGTGCGAGTGAGGATTTGGTCCGAGGGTTGTGCGGGGTACCGACGAAGTCAGACGATAGCGCGTTACAGAGAATAAAGGATGTCGGGTGATAGCATTTCATCGGATTTATTCAATCTAATAAAGAGATCCTGCAGCCAGTCTAGTCGTCATTGACTTTCCATATAAGGCTACAAATACACTGGTCAGTAGTAAGCTATTCCGAAAGTATAGTTACCCGACCCATTTGAGACTAGCTTATTAATCGAACTATGGTTTTACAGAACTTCTCAACTATTTACTCTTGGCACGCTCAATAAGTGAATCTCTCTCCTTGATTACGAAATTATCACTGGACGGGCCGCTCAGGTAACTCAGTGAGCAAAAGTGGCCTAAGGATGAGCACAAGAATCTAAAGGGACCACCAAGGATTGGCAGGCATTATGCCGTGTATATGGAAGTTTAATGGCAGGATGAGCATATTCTCCACTATAATATACATAGCATCGCCTTGCAGAATTTGATAATGTAGAGGCGCACAGAGTTTAGCTACCACCGGGCCATAGAACCCCCAGAACCCACGGGCCATCAAACATCAAAGATAGATAGAAACATCGTCCATGAAGCGCACAAATATACCGATGTTAATTAAGTACTCCTCGAGTAGCTAATTATAATTGATTATCTGTATCGCATAATTTCCTCATGAGGTCTCTTGAACTACAGATGGCGCCTGAACATGCGTCTCAATACACGTATAGAAATCTTCCCACGAAGTGACCCGCCTCCGGCAGATGATGCAACCCTCTGGAAGTGGCTCCTCCCTTTGACATGCATCCATCTCTTCTCTCTGAATATCTTTCTGATGTTGATCTTTCATATGAATCACGAACTTGTCTTTCCTTTGGAATGTCCTTGTACAATTGGACTCTGGGCAGACCAATCTGAATCGGGGGAAGTGCAGGTCCCTTACATGTCTCTGGAGAACATGTTTATTTGACGTTAGTGAAGAGCGATTACACAACGGGCACTGAAAGCAACGTCCATCGTCTGTTTCGCTCGGAATTTTCTCGGTGGGCTTTGAGGTTGGTGCCTGACTCTTATCCATGCCCAAAGAACCAGGGTACCTGGAAGGTACATGGTCGGATGCAAGGTCGGGCTTTGTGTGAAAATCCAGCGACTGGGAGGCTTCAGCTCCAGAGCGAGCCGCTGCTGTTAGAAGCAAATATATTGCCTCTTGCTGACTTTGGATAGCCCAGGCTAGAGGCGTACGACCTTCTGCGTCTTTAGAGTCAGGTCGAGCACCTTTTTCCAGCAGGAGCTTTACCACAACCATGTGTCCATTCTCTGATGCCCACGAGAGTGCAGTTCGACCAAGCCTATCACTGGCCTCAATGTTCACATCTCTCACCCGCAGGAGCTCGACCACCTCAACCCAGCCCTCGTAGCTTGCCCATAGAAGCGGTGTTCTGCCAAATTCATCTCTGGCCTCGGGGTCTGCACCCCTTTCAAGAAGAGATTTGACGATTTTATGGTGACCTCGATAAGCTGCCCATGAGAGAGGGGTTCGGCTATCGGTGTCTCTCGAATTTGGGTCGACATGTTGCTGTAAAAAGCAATTGACAACTTCAAGGTGGCCCATCGAAGCTGCCAATGATATTGGTGTCCGGCCGGTCTCGTCTTTGAGGCTTGTACCAACCCCGTGGTTCATGAAGAACTCTACCAATTCGGTATGACCATTGTATGCTGCCCAAGCCAGGGGCACTCGGCCCATCGAGTCCCTGGTTGAAGCAAGATCCGGATAATTCTTTAGGAGGCAACTAACCACGCTCAGTAGCCCAAAGTATGCAGCTAGATGTAATCCCGTGAATCCTGGAGGCACGTTCCGGTTATATCCACTGTGGGTGAAGTAACCACCGATGTAGAAGAGTCCTTGGACGCAAGCATTGACTTTGAGTTTGTTTCCAAGAAAATCAAGCAATAAACTCTCCTCTATCGGTTGATTGCGAGCGTGATGCCCCCAGTTCATACTTGCATACGAGTACAGAGGATATGTGTGGAGTCGTGCTTCGAAATTTGTCTGGCTGGAGCAGATGTCTTCATCGAAGATATCAAAGGATAGATAAGTCACACATGTTGTAGCGATCCGGCTGTGTGCATCCGGAAACCAGGTCGTCCACTTTCTCTCGAAATACTCCTTTGCCGTGGCGTGAACCAATCTGATCACGTCGCCCGAAGAACGTGCTACTGTTGTGACCAGGCCCGCACATGCGGATACAATGTCTTCCAAATCAGGCATATTGTCCTGGTAGAATTCTGACTCGCCCAGCTCCACTGCTAGTGCATTTCGCAGCTCCATGGCTGTGAGCGGTCTTTTTGCACAGGTTATCCACGATAGAACTTCTTCGGCTAGCTCTCGCTGGTCTGGGACTTGACCTTGAATTCGTTCCATGGCTTTATCGTATGCGGTATCGTATGCAATGTTGTAGTGACTAGCAACGCTTGTCAAATCGCTGAGCTCCTGTTTCAGTTTCCTCGGCGACGACTTGTGTTGCAAAGATTCTAGCATAAGTCGTGCAAGAAGGAACCTAGCTGGTCGTCAGCATGGAACTCACTGACTCGAGACTCCGTAAAACTACTGTAGTGCGGAGAATAGCTCACATTCCATCAGCAGCATCAGTAATTTTGTGAACAATATCATCTTGTAATTGTGGATTCCGCGATACGAATGAAGGTAGCATGCTTAAATTGCCCCTGAGATACTCAATCACATCTGGCATAGCGGCACGAATCTCAAAAGTCGGCTTGTTCTTAAACCTAACGGTTATCTCCGGAATCAATCTCGAAGTTGCCAAAAGGTTGAGATTGCTTGGCGACTGAAGCTCCAATATTATATCCAAAAGCCGTGCTATCGTGGAGAAATGGCATTCATCTAGTGCATCAATGACAATATAAGCCCGCGAAAGCCGAGTCAGAGTGAATCTTATGCTCGCGAAGTATTCGTCAAGCGACGGTCGCGTCCCCCGACTCTTGTATTTCTGATACAAACTTTTGAGACTTTCAGGGATTTGCGGCAAATTATGGGCTAGCTGTCGCAGAAGACAAGCAAGCAAGCTCTCTATCTTTTGGCTCTGATCGTCATGCGTCTGGAAGCTGCAGAAGAAATATGCAATGCCAACACTAGAGTCATTTTCGTAGCGAATGTTCAACTCTTCGATCATCATAGATGCCAGAATCGATTTTCCCGCTCCAGGAATACCAGGGCAAAACAGCGTCGCTCCAGGTTTCGATACCCAGTCCTGAAACTTGGACGATTCAAGAAGCCATTCCCCAGTGCCTGGCTGACGCTGACTGACATACTCACTTTGCACTTCTGCATAACCCGTAGACGATAACCAGTCCAGACAAGCCTGATGCTGCGCAACTTTCTGGTGCTCCAGCAATTCTACGACGTTGTCGCGGGTGATGCGGCCATTGATGCCCTTGAGGAGGTTGATGTTGTGGCAAACCCGGTCCTGAAGATCCCGGATTTCATCCTGATCCCATCTCAGTCGTTTCCAGGCCTTCTTGACACCATGACCCGTATCTATGTCTTGGTATCGCTCAAGTGTTCTTTCAATTTCGGCAAGTACATTTCCACAGCTGGTCGCTATCTTGCGTATATCGTCCTTCAGCTGGTTGTCGAGCACTGCGTTGGTCAAGGAGAGATCTTCATCATGTACCACGATAGAGAGGTTGCGAACTCTAGTTACTTGGCATGAGAAAAAGCGCTTTCGAAAATCCCAGGAGAAGATGGATGTCATAGGAAATGCTCAAACCGTACTGCTCGGAGAGCGCATCAAACTGTGCTGGCGCATCAACAAATCGTTTTCGAAGCTTGTTGGCTTGCTCGAAGAGGGTGAGAAAGTCTCCGATGCTGAAGCCGAAGCTCATAGTGACTTCACATTTGCTAATAGAGTCTCATCGGCAGATACTTGAAGGAAAACATCTCAAAAAGTGGGAAGTACAGCTGGTATTCTCGAGCGGGGTGACCAAGCGATTGACACAGACACTTGTGAAAGCGGGCGTTCTTAACCGATTGGACAACCTTGTCCGAGCTTCGGAGCAGCCGGTGAACGAGATGGAATTGACGGTGCGCGTCGTAAATCCTCAGGATTAGTGAAATAGAAAGAACCAACTAAGTCAATCCAGATGAAATGTCCAATTAATGCCGATCTGTTAATGCAAACTCTATATGCAATACCCGCTACGCCTACCCCATAAGCTCAATGCACCGAATGTTAATCGCAAACCCCACCCAACTATATGAACCAAAAAGCGCCTAAACATGCCTCTAACAAAATGCAAACTATCACTGCAACTCCAGCCTAATCACCATGGGCTTTAGAAAAAGTCTTGTTCAGAAAGCCACTGCGAGTCCATCGCGTAAGCAACCAGATCAGCTGCGCAGCACATATCCTCGTGACCGTGCTCGAGATCCAAGAGGTCAAGGACAAACTTCAGTCTATCCTCGAGAGTTCGTTTAAGCTGTGAGACTCGGGCTTGAATGTCCTTGGTTTGTCGCTTCCTAACAAGATCACCTTCCAAGCTGATATCTTTCATCTTAAGCGGCTTGCCCTTTGCCTGCGGGCTCATCATTACTCGGTTGGGCGAACAAGTCGCAAGAGCTTTCCGTTCTGGCTGGGCAGTAGGGATTGTTGGCTCGGGCTTGCGGTTCTTCAAGAGATTCTTGAGTAGGAAGAGCAGCCAGACGAGATTCGTGCGCGGCGCGTACTCGGCCCAGATACCTGGGACGTCGGGGGTTTCCTCTGTTTCAGTCGGGATGCCAGTGTAGACTGTTGCCCGCATATAGCGATATGTGTCTCTCAGCAGAGCCTCATCCTCATCTTGGCCGATTGCATCGAAAATCTGGCGCTTGTCTAGATCGGACGATGTAATCTCTACGACACCCTCTGGGTCATCCGGTAGATCAGCTAGACGTAGGCCAGCGCGGGAGAGCGAGTAGTCAATGATGGTGGTCTCGAGGCGGCTGTGTCCAAAGCCGCTAGCCGAACCGTGGCGAGCAATATCGAGTTCCGTTGGTGGTTCCATGTTGCCATCTGGCCGAGTGGACCGGATACAAACATTGCCCAAGTGAAGATCGCGATGCTAACGACAGTCAGAAATACACTTCGCACTCGCGTCAAGTTGAATTAACTCACCTCGAACATGGCATATTCCTCAGCCCGGGCCAAAGCCATCGCCACACCCCAAAAGATATCGTAGATCTGAAAAACTGAAGACCAACAAAACTTCTCCAACTCACACCCGGCATCATCCATCTCAATAATAGCCCACATCTGAGTATCCGGATACGCCTTCTTACTAGACGGATCTGGATTCCAACAATCGTCATTCCTCTCCTTATAATCTTCCCACGCATTTTGGAACGACTCCGGAAACCGCCCCTGCACAACATGAATTTCCCTGAACCGCGCAAACCCCGGAATCGGATCCAAATACTTCAGCATCTTGACCTCGGAGACAATTTCCGCAACAGAAGTGAACTTCTTCGAGCGCGGTCCGCGTTGTGCGCAGAGCGGAACCACCTTAAAGACACCGTCGCCGTATGCACGGAGTCTGGCTAATTTGGACTTGGAGACGGGGGGTCGGGAGGATTCGTCGCGGAGGTGGAGTTTGTAGACTTCGCCGTAGGAGCCTTCGGCGAGTTTGGCAACGTGGAACATTGTTGCGGAGCGGGAGGCCCATGTGCTGAACTTCTGGATGCTTTGGGATGCAATCGGGGAGAGGGCTTCGTTGAGGATGGGGCGGACGTAGGCGTTTGCTTTGGTGTCGTGGAAGAACCCGGATGATCTTCGCCCGGTGGGTTGAAATTTCTTCTTTCTCGGTGTTCTCATTTCTGTAGCCGGAATATCCTCCTTTTTCTGTTGAGTTTTTGATGCCTTCTTTCCGGATTGGCGGCAGATTCGAACTTCCACCATTGTCTCGTAGTTTTTTGGTTTGGTCGGCGGCGCTTCGGTCGACGAGTGTTCACAGGAAGAGTCAAGAGATTCGGGCGTAGTTGCTGGGCTGGCCGCTTTCTCGTTTGATGATCCGACCTCGGTTGTCGTGCCTTGCTTGGCCTCGTCCGCCTTCGCTGCTGTATCGTACTGCTGAGGGTCCTCGTCATTGATTGACACCTTAGCCAGCTTCGTCTGAAGAGCCTCGACACTGTCATCCATATTTGTGGAAGCAAGATTTACTCTTGCCGGGCTCTTCTGCTCAAAGACAGCTCTTGGTGCATTATTGCGTCTTTTGCCATAGACCTTTCGTTGCACCGTTCTGGTGGTGGGTTTTCGAGGCTCCATTGGTGTCGCGTGACCCGTCAGGGACGAGGAAGGTCGGGTCGACATGGACCCTAGAGTAAACAAGGACCTTGTATGCTGATATATTTATGGGGTTGAGCTTGTCGAGCTGTGGATGTTGGGATTGAAGAGGAGATGGTGTTAACTGCTGCGATTCTCGATCGATTCAGACGATTTAGGATGTATTGACGTTTAGCCAAAAGTGGCTTAGCGCATCGTTGCCGTGGAACGATCAAGCTCGGCATGTGACCGATCACGGGATTGCCCTGCCGAGTTGGACGGAGTATACTTGCCATATTTGCGCCACTCGGACTGCCATTTTCATGATCTGAACAAATTCGTAGAGCATCCAATATACTCAGACTCTCGCCAGTATAGTACTGCCCCAAGTGTGGAATACAGACTATTGCGAGGAACAGTTTCTATGCTTTACACTGAAGTGGTCCGTGCTTTGCAGCTTCATGGAAGCAACTTCAATTTGACTCACTACTAGGCACAGCAGTGTGTAAATGAAATCTGGAAGATCGTATTCATGGCTAATTTCCATTGCCTTAAGTTCTATTAAGCTGATGGTCCGAGTCCAGGTCGATGCCGAGAATCCTGATCGAACTGAAGGAACAAAGGAGGACTCTCTTTCGAACCAAGTTTGGCGGATCCACCATATATATCATGGCGTCCGTGAACCTGTGTAGGTATTCAATAATAACGCAAGAAAGGCAAAATAAACCCTTAGTAGGAGTTCTCAACCTATGAGGCTGCTTTGCGATACTGGTTATGGGCCACTGAGTGTATAATCAAGGTTCGGGTCAAAGTAGTCTTGTTGACGACTATTTTTGCCGATGGACCTGCTGCATGCAAAACGAGGTCAACTTGCACGAGAATACTCCGTACAGTAGAACAGTGTTAAGACGTGCATAACGGGACCCTCTCAGGCCCCTCCCCCTTACGCTCCACTGCGGCAATCATTCGCTGGCCAGAAAACATGATCCATCTGTCCGTGGGCTGGGCCCTGGACTCTTCGGACTTTGACTCGTGTACCCCGTAGTCCCGATCGGCATAGCTCTTGGCCCTTTCTGGCCCGCGTTCGACCGCGTAGGGCAGGCTGGTCGGGCGTTTTTGTTTTGCGTCGCGTCCAATACTCGACGGATGTATGTAGTCCGTATGAATTCCCCCTTTCCCCCGGTCTGCGACTGGGCGGGCCCATTTCCAAGACTTAAGCGGCCAGCGGAAGCACCTATGCAAAAGAAACTGGGGCAGGGAATGTGAATGGCTCCGGGAAGACTCTAAGTGGGAAGGCCTTCGGGGCTGGTCGGAAAGGGTGGGCCCTGGCAAGAGTCGAGCAAAGTGACGTACTCGGAGATCCGGGCGCAACCAGGATGAATTAAATCACCGAAGACAAGGCCTGTTACATTTTAGCATGAGACTAGTAGATTATTCAAATTCAAGAATACTCATATCAAGGCCAACGGAACTGGAAAAACAAAGAAAAAGTGAAGCCGTGGGTGATTTCCAAGAGAGCCGAGTTTGGTGGTGTGGTCGGGGCACGCGAGGGCCTGAGACCGAAACCGTGACCCTCGGGAAGCCTCTGCGCTTTTTTTCACGTTCGCTTTTCTCCTGCTTTACTTTCTCGCCTTCGCCTCCACACCCTCCCTCCTCCTCCCCCTCTTCCCCTTTCAATACTGGGTTTCTTCCTCTCTCCTGCGCTCACTTTAATCGACACGGTTTGCTTATCCGCTTCTTTCTCAATGCGCGGGCATGGCGTTCAACTTCAACTGGTCGCCGTTGATGGCAGACGCGGGCTTTTACACTCGCGCCCAAGATCTGCTCACTGCCGCGCTCAATAAATCCCCCAAAACCGCCCATCATCGTCGATGATATTATCGTGACCGAGCTGAACCTGGGTTCTATGCCCCCCGACTTGGAGATTTTGGAGATCGGTGACCTGGCCGAGGATCGCTTTCGCGGCATCTTTAAGATGTCTTATTCCGGCGACGCTTTCTTGACCCTCAAGACCCGCGTTCAAGCCAACCCACTCAACACATACCTCCTCACAAGGCCTGCATTTGCATCGCCGAAGCCTCTAGCTGCTGCGTAAGTTTCTTACCATCCTGCGCGATTCGGCCGCCGAGTTTTATGCCGTATATTTCCCCTGGCTAACTCTTGCCATCACCTATAGAACTCCCCTCACCATCCCTCTCCAAATTACTCTCTCTGATTTCAAACTCTCCGGCTTCGTGATCCTCGTCTTCTCCAAACAAAAGGGCATCACCGTCGTCTTTCGCAATGATCCCCTCGAGTCCCTCAAGGTCTCGTCGACGTTCGATTCGATCCCATTCGTGCGCGACTTCCTACAAAAAGAAATCGAAGCTCAACTTCGCATCCTGTTTATGGACGAGCTCCCCTGCCATCATCCACCGATTGTCGCTTCGCCTGTGGGTTCCCGAATATCGCGCTGGGGAAGACATCAAGACTCAGGATGACAACACGGAACCCGCTACTGAGGGTCCCGGCCAAGACCCATTGGCAAGCCCCCCGCAGGACCCCGTTGATGCGATGGGAAATGCCTTGAATGAATCGGAAATCGCGTCGCTCTCCTTGGACTCATCCGTCGAGACCCATTCGCTGTTTTCGCAGAAGAACCTCCTCCGTCTCGCCGCGCTGACAGATTCCCAGCGGACGCTGTCGCTCTTTACCCCCTCCATCCAAGAAGTCGTGTATCGCGCATGGACATCGCCCGTTGACCCCAGCGAAGCCGCCGCGAGCATCGTTTCCCCCCTCAGCCCGACGCTCTCCCGAACGCATTCGCAAATCGGCAGTATGGTCCCGTCAGTTCACGAGACCGCTAGCGTCGCCTCTTCGCTCAGCCGCCCTTCTTTATCCTCTGCACACTCATTCAGCAGCTATGGATTGACTTTGGGAACAGGACGTCATTCCAAGGCTCACTCCCGTAGGCGAAAGAAGCGTGTGGTGGATCTGCGTCGACCCAAGACGACCGATGACGCCATGAGCGTGAGCGACGACAGTGCCTTGACAGAATCCTCGAGCCCGCCATCCATATACTCTGCACCGTTGCCCGTCGTGAATGAACAGTCCGACGACCCAGTGACCCCACCTTTGTCCCCTGAGACCGACTCTCAATTGCCGATGATTCCAGAGCGCTATCGGACTAGCATATCGCGACCGACCCTTCGGCGCAGCACTTTGACTCGCGAACCCGAAGATCCATCCTACTCCATCGAGACCATCCGTCCTCCCAAGGCAAATGATGTGGAGGCAACTCCGCGTGCTACTGTGCGTGATTATCAAAACGAAAAGGCCGAAGCGGGTCCCTCATCAGGCACCGCCCGGCCCCCATTGCCTGCTACCATTCTTCCATTCACCACGGAAGACAACTCAACCGGTGACGCTGTCGATCCCTTCCTGGTCGAACGTCTGGCTGGCGAAATTGCCCGTCGAATTCGGGACGAGAAACTCATGGCAAACAACGCCTGCAGCAACTTCTGGTCTCGCGCCCAGGACGACGCACCTCCCCCGGCTTACGGCCACTAAATCTGATGCGCCACGCGCATCGCCACGCTCCTTACCCACATTTTCCTCTCTTCTCTTCCTCGAGCAAGACTCGAGCTTTTAATGACCGCTACGACTTTTATTTGTTTACTTGTCTCATTTAGGTTGTTCATTTTCTATTGCGTTGCTTGAAAGCGGGATTGTACAAAAATTTGGGCTCTTGCGAAGCTTTGGCGTCGATTCTTTTTTTCACCTTTTTGATGCTTTTTTCGCGGGATACCACCAGTACTTTTGTACAATCGTTGGATTCGGGATATAGGTTGGGATATACGGGTATTGGATTGGAAGATGAATATTTCACACCTTTTTTCTCTCTTCACCAATCGTATCTTCCTCGTTCGTACTTTTGGCGTAGTCACTGACAGCTGCCAGTCAACCCAAACCTTGGCATTGACTGGGTCTTATCGCGGGTGGTTCGTAAAGTTCGTACGCACCGCCTAAAACTGCCCCCCGGAGATTTCGTGGGGCCGCTAACAGCCAGCCCAGCTTTAGCTCCGCACTTCATTTCTTTCCACCTCCTTTCCCTTCCACCCACCATCGTGTCACCATTCCAACCATGGCGGGCGTGTTCAAGAACATGTTTGGCTCTCAGCCCTCGGGAGCTGCCAACCCAGACGATGGTAGGTCTCTCTGGGCGCAATTGGCCCTTCGTGCCGCCGCAATGGCAATGGCAATCCGAGACTAACGACCGTTCCATAGACTTCGCCGACTTCGTCGAGGCCCCGAACCCGTCTCCTGCATCGCTCGTCGCCGATACCACCACCATCCCGGCCTTTAGCACGCCGGGTACCGTCCCTTACACGAAATGGTATCGGGTCTGGGAGCGCACCTCGCCTAGCGACTTCATGCAGGAGGCCATGATCATGCCTTTCATCCTGGTTGTTGTCCTGTTCCATCTCTGGGGCACGCGCACGAACCGCCGCAAGGCGCGGGACTGGGCCAAGGCTCACATCCCGGCCTTGCAGAAGGAGTTTGCCGTCGTCGGCTTCGATGGCATCTCCCGCTCGGGACCTGAGGAGATCACCGTGGAGCTGGCCAACCCGGAGAAGCTGCTGAAGGAGAAGTCGGCGCACGAGTTCGCCGCGTATGCCACTGGTCGTCAGAATGTGGCTTTCGTCGATGTCGCTCTCACTATGCCTAAGCGGTACAACCCTCTTACCTACATCATGGAGTATGCCTTTAGCTTCTTCTTCGAGAGCTGGGATGCCCCCACCGAGAAGTATGAGGCTCTGATGTACGCTTTCGATGGCAAGGAGAAGGATCTGGTCCCTGTTATTGCTAAGGATACTTCGTCTGTGAAGGTGGCCAACTCGACCTACGATGGTTTCATCTGGGCTGTTGTCCACAAGAGCCACATGCGCAAGTTCCGCACTGACCGCTATGACGCTTCCATTACTTTCTCCAAGGATCACCCCAAGCTCCCATCCTGGGTGACCGTGATGAGCGAGAGTGCTGAGATTACTGAAACCCTGCTCACCCCAGAGCTTATCCAGGCTATCGAGCAGGCTGGCAATGACTTTGAGTTCCTGATTGTGACCGACCAGCCCATTGACAAGCCCACCAAGTAAGCTTATACCACCAGGTGATTCTCTAGTCATTCTGCTAATAGCGACATCAATCCAGGATCGACGAGACCGTCCCTAAGAAGCGCATCCAGCTCTCCGTCAACCTCTCATCCGGCTACTCCTCGACCCTCCCCCTGTTCAACCAGTTCCTTCGCTTCCCCGACAAGCTCGTCTCCGTCGCCCACTGGCGCGGTGAGGTGATGCGCAAGATTCGCAACGTCCGCGATGAAGAGATCAAGAAGCTGCGTCGCGTCGAGGAGGAGGAGAAGGCCGAGGAGCGCAAGCTGGCCGCCGAGAAGATCAAGAAGGAGGAGCGCGAGCGTCTGCTCCGCGGTATGACCGCCGAGGAGCAGCGTAAGTACCTTGAGCGCGAGAGCCAGAAGGATCAGCGCAAATCGATGAAGAAGTACTCCCGCAAGGGTTAAACTTGATACGACGGAGGGACTGGGCCCGATGGAACGGGCAGACATACAAGAGGAGGAACTGTGGTGGGAGATGGATATGGAGACGGGGGATCTGGGGAAACGTTCACCTTCTTTTTCCCGCTCGTTTGGACAGAAGGCGAGCAAAGCGAGGGGAATTGTCTTACTCTGCCTTACCTTTTGATACCTTTGCGCTCCCCCAGGTGTATTCATATGTGATACTATTTGTCGACAGATCCGGTGGCTGGTTGTTCTTTTTGGCAACGGCGGGTGAAATTGCTAATTTTCAATGGAAGTTTTTACTTATTTCGCGTCTTTACAAACTATGGAAATGGAGATGGATACTTGTAGTAGGAAGTGCCGTGGCCGTACTTGCCTGGCCATCCCATCTCGCAGCTCTACTTATGATAGACTTCATTCGACTAAACCATCGAACTCCATCCCCCTCATTCTATTTAATCCCTGCCCATTCAATCCTTTCATTTCTTAATACCAGCCATGCATCCCCTCAATCTCCTTCTCGTGACCTTTCTCTCCACAGCAGCCCTCTCTTCCGCAGCAGCAATCCCTCAACCTACAACCCCAGCACCAATCCTACCAATCCGTACAAACCAGGACAATAATACCACCCAACTGCCTTACGGAGTAGTCCTAAACCACTGCACAGTCACAAACACAATCGCAATCGCCTTCGACGACGGACCCTACATCTACACAGAGCACGTCCTCGACATCCTCGCCAACGCCAGCGTCCACGCAACATTCTTCTTCAACGGCGACTGGAAGGGAAATATCTACGAGTTAACCCATATCGTCAAGCGCACATTTGCAGAGGGCCATCAAATTGGTTCCCACTCGTACGTCTTCGCCCCAGTTCCACCTTATCCCAGGCCAACCGACCCATTCTCTTCTCAAAACTACATCTACATCCCAACTAACCGGGTTCCCCACGCTACACAGATGGAGCCATCTAAACCTAACAACGATCCCTTACAACAAAATCCACTCCGAAATGACCACCCTCGAATCCGCCTTCCACCGCATCCTCGGCTTGGTACCCACATACACGCGCACGCCCTGGCTGCACGTCAACGAGCTGGTCCTTTCTGCAATGACGGACCTGCGATACCACGTTGTCGGGGCGAGTATTCTCACAGACGATAAAACGAATGATTCACCGAGTGGGAGGGCGCGCAGTTTGCAGTTGTTTAGGGAGGGGTTGGAGGGTGGTGGGAGTATTGTGCTTGCGCATGATTCGCAGGAGAATACGGCGTGGGGGTTGGTGGGGGATATGATTGGGGAGGTGCAGAGGAGGGGGTTGAAGGGTGAGCTTTTTTTTTCAAGTCTTTTGGTTTTACCCTTTTTGAGTGTGTCTTTGAGGCTGATTGATTGCGGGTAGCTGTTACTGTTGGCGAGTGTTTGGGGCATTCGTCGGAGCTTTGGTATAGATCGGGGTAGACTGTGTGTTTGAGGGCGAGAGTTGGTGCCTCGCTCATTAGCGTCGTGGGTATTTGGTGCTAAGCACGGAGGAAGTGCAAGGACTGGTATTATTATGCTGAGCTATTCTTACTGCTGAAATGGGAGTTGATGGTTCGCCAGGGCCTTGTATAAACTGCCACGGTCTATGGATGGCGCACATGGGTTTACGTCATCCAGAGTAACCTTAAAACTAAAATGGATGTCCTCCAGACTTCTTCACCTTGTCCCTACTAGCCATGCATTATGAAACACGCAATCAATGGCAACGTCTGGCACAAAATCAGAAATCTCTTTCTGACTCCCTGGCTTGCTCTCCGAAACTGCTGTGCTAGCTGGGCCGTATTGATGCCAGCCACAACCCGGGAGAGCGACGAATATACATTCCCGCCAGGTCCACCTGCAGGCCAAGGGCGTAATTGAAGCAGTTTGTGGTTTAGAGTACACGGATACTCACTGAGGTAAATTACACATCCCTCTCTGCATGATTGCATGATCTACAACATTCCAACTAAGTTCCTACACAGTTCACACAATCTACATCAACCCCAAACCAAAACTAGACAAGAACAAATCAATGCCCATCTAAATTCTAGCCTCTATCCCATATATACGTCTAAAAACGAGAAAGGCCTCAAATCAACAAAAGGAAATTCATCAAAACATGAAACCAAAAGAACCCGCTTACTGCTTGCCAAAGATCTTGACACGCTCCTCAACAGGCTTCTGCACCTTCTCGCCAGCAGCCTCCTCGTTGCTACCGAAGATAAGCTGGGAGATGAGACGCCAGTCGGTGGGGATGTTCCAGTTTTGGGCGACGGGGGTGTCGATGAGGGGGTTGTAGTGCTGCAGGTTGGCGCCGAAGCCGAGGGATTGGAGGCCTGTCCAGACTTCGGAGAACGAAGGGTGTTAGGTTGGCTTGCGATTTGAAGTCGTGGGGGATGGGGGTGTTTCTTACGGAAGTACTGGTGCATGGCGTTGGAGTGCTCAGCCCAAGGCTCGAAGAGGTCCTTGTAAATGGCGAACTTTTCTTGGAAGGGCCCGATGTGGGCGGGATCTTCGTAGAAGAGGATCTATATGTGTAGGGGGATGGTTAGTATATGGTTTTCTTGTAAGTTGTATTGCAATTGCAAGTGCAAGGACAATTGATGCTGTCATGTTTGAAACAAGACTGATAGACATGGCAGGAAACATACAGTGCCGTAGCCAGCCTTCATACCCTGCAGCTTGGGCAGAGTCTGGTTCTGGAAGAGCTGCTCAGGAATAGTTCCAGCAGCGACGAGACCCTTGAAAGTCTCAATGTTGATATCCCAGAGCTGATCGTGCTCCTCATGGAGCAGGACAACCAGACGGGTAGACTGGGTGTTGAACGAGCTGGGCACGTGCAAGATAGCGGCATTGACGAGCTCCTCGATCTTGGAGTCGGGCACGGGGCTGTTCTTGCCCAGCTTATAGATGGTGCGGCGGGACTGGGCCGCTTGGATGAGGGCGTCGGTGGTGGACATGGTTGTGGCTGCTGGGGAAGAAGTTGGAGAGGACGAGGAGAAAGATCGTCGTTGGAGAGGCAGATGCCTTTTTATCTGTGATGACGGGGTTGGGCCAGCGAATGCATATCGAGTGCACGTGGTGGAGCCGAAGGACCGGCAGATGGAGTGGAGTTTGGAAGCGGATCGAAGTGTACGAGAAGCCATTATAATTGATTGTGCAGATGATGCTGGATCATGGGGTAAAAAAGCTTCTTATATGCAAGAGTAGTGTCCTCGGTAGTTCTTGCTGGTGGGTCCGAGGCAATTCCACTTGATATCTGGAATGGCTTGGCTAAGGAGAAGTAATTGATGACTGAAGGGTTTGCAAATATTTAAAGTAGGTATTTTGGGAGATGATAGTCCAAATCAGTTGGAGGAGAGACACAAAAATAAACTTAATTCCGGCGGTCGGTGGGTCTGTGAGGAAATGCGGAATTACGGAGCGTTCGCTGAATAATGCATATCTCGGCCGGATTGCAGGTTTTTCTGTGTTAATCAGCATTGAGATCTGGACACCCGGCCGTCCTAGACACCCCAAAACATCATACTAAATGCAATTTCTTTGGTCATAGTATATCAACAACAAGAAGTTAGTTTTGTTCGATTTTTAATAATGGTATAGCATTTCTTAGCATTAGAAATAGCATGGCATAACTAAGGTATACAGAAAATTATTATTTACTTGCGTTACCAAAAATACGCTCTGGTCTAGCGACGCCGATATATATCTCTATAGTGTGAAGCCTTAATTCTTATTAACCTAGTAAATATATTTGGAGAGACATATTAAGTACTACGATAACGTTATGCCTAGTACCAAGCCTTGAGTGCTGAAAAACCAAGTTGTAAAATATCGCATTCACTATAGTGTTTTGGGTGTCCAGATCGGCCGGGAATTACGTTAACTAAGTTACTGTAGTTAGTTAGTTAACTAGTTAGTTACCCACGGGATCCATGGAATAATCCGAGTCAATAATTCCTACAAAGGCAGTTTAGAAACATTTTCGAACCCATAGGGAAGTTATTCTTCCAACATGAAGTTTACAAGTCTACACTTTTATAGTGGGAGAATATGTACGTATGCGGGCGCTAAAGTAAGTGCTGACGGGATTCAGGTACTAAAAACCTTCAGTCCCGATTTAAGGTACAGTAGCAGGTTACCTAAGTTAATGCATCCAATGCTGACGGACAAGGTCCCGTGACTGCCAAGTTCCTCGGCGTCAGAAAGATAATCAACTCGACAGTTGACTGCATCCAGTTAACAGTAGTATCACCTGCTACGAGGCTTCTGCAGAGACCACGATCGCACATCCCGCATGTGCTGGACATGAATCCAGAGATCTATGAAATCTTGGCATAGCAAGCCAAGAAGAGAGCTTATCGGATCTCGCCTTTGACCCGAACCCCGGCACCACTCCCGAATTACGCTATGAATCAGCCATCAGGAGACAAAAAGAAAAAGTGGGGGGGGGGGGGGGAAACACCGATTCTCCGACTTTTGGAGCACACACAGTCCACACACAATGGTGACAGGATTGGTCTCATCCCAGACGTGGCTGCTGACTACAGTACAAACTAATCTCACAACAGGATGAAAGCCTTACTCAGATAACGGGCAAATTGGAGGTGAGAATTGGCGAGGACCTCCTCCCCATTGGCCTAGAACCGGCCAAGGTTCGAAGCTAATGATTCAAACCATATTTTTAGCCTTTTTTAGTGCCTTATTCTCGGACACAATATCCTGAACGAGGCAGCACAATGGGTTGGAAATGATGTTCCGAGCCAACCACTTGGGGCAATTCTCCATTTACTGAAGATGGTGAATCAATAGACCCTGATGGACGGCTGGGAAGGCCGAAAGAGGCTCAACTGGCCAGGCCTGGCCAGCTTACGCCGACTGTACATAAAGTCTTGGACTTTGTCATCATGGACGACGATTTTCTGGTTTTTTCTCTCTCCCTTTCTTAGTTCTTCAATTCAACTCAAAACCCACCGTATACATTCACTCGTTTACCTTTTGGACAACTTTGCCCAGTCCGACCATTCATTTACCATCCATCCAATCCAAGATGCAGTTCAAGCTCCTCGCCGCCCTCCTCTTCTCCGCCACGGCCCTTGCCGCTCCCCAGGCTACCGGCACCTCGTCAGACTCGATGGACGCGGCCGCCCTCCTCGCCTCGGTCCCCAACTCCATCCTGACCGTCATCGAGACCGCCGTCCCGGTTAGCTTTTTGAACGACATCATGGACCCAAGCTCCCGCTCCTCCCTGATCGCCCAGATCGAGGCCGGTACCCTGCCTGCCTGGTACAGCAGTCTGCCCAACAGCGTCAAGGCCTGGGCCACCAGCGCCTTCTTCAATGCCGAGGCCTCGGCCACCGATGCGGCTGCCAGTGGTGCGACTGCCACGGGCTCTGGCTCGACCGCCAGTGGTTCGGCTCCCTCGGCTAGTGCGGCCGTGAGCAGCGCTGTTCCTTCGGCTTCAGCTGCAGCTAGCTCCAATTCTGCTTCGGCTTCGTCAGCTGCTGCTTCTGCTACTTCAAGTGGTGGTGCTGCCCCGGTTGCGACTGGTGGTGTTGCTATGAGCATGGTTGGTGCGGCTGGTATTCTGGGCCTTGCTCTGGCTCTGTAGGAGGTGGTTGTTTGAGTCATTGAGAGTGGCGCCCTCTTTTGGGACTACTTTGATAATGTATAAACCGCTATACTCACATACAACCAATTATCTTTAATACTTATTACCGTCCTACCGTGTTTAGCTTTCGCTGGGTTTGCGTGATACGAGCTGTAGTGCAATTAACCTCTGGATGCAGATCACGGGAGATGTGACCTGTAAACAAAGGGATATCACCACTAAATGCATCTCATTCTCTACTGATCTATTTCCTCATCGCCCGAAACACAACCAAGTCCCGCACAGGAGGATCCATCCACGCCAACTCCGCCCCGCCAACCAACGTCTCAATCTCATCAAACCCACACTTCTGAAGCACCCGGATCGACGGGTGATTCTTTGCATCCACCTTGGCCTCGATATAAGGCGCATCAGGTCTAAGCGTGAAATAGTGTCGCACGAAAGCAGACACCGCCTCCGTCGCGTAACCCTTACCCCAAGCCGAGGGGTGGAAGATATACCCCAATTCTGGCACGGGATCATCCTTGTGGACGCCTACGATCCCGATGACTTGGGATTGCTCACAGCTTGGGGGCTCGATTGAATGCCCCGTGGCAGGCGAGCCGCGAATGAAGACGCCGTAGTTGTCGATGCCCGGGCGGTTTTTGTCATGGAGGATGCCGGTTATCCTGCCCTTTGTTTCTTCGATGGTTTTGCAGACGCCCCGTGAACTGGATTTGGTTAGAGACTGGATGTGGATATAGCGTGGTTATTGATGAGTTGATATCGTGACTCACCTCCATTGCGTTGTATCCGGGTCTGACCAGATGCGGTGGAAGCCCTCGAGGTGGGCGAGATCGATGGGCTCCAGCGTCAAACGTGCTGTCTCCATTGTGGGTGGTTGTTTGGTGTATTATATGCAGGGGTGTGGACTGTGCGCTGGAACTTCTTAAGAGGAGATCAAGAGTTATATAGAGTGCGAGACGAGCGACTAGGAAATGTCAAAGAGGTTGAATCTATGGATACGGGCGCTTGGGGGTCCGCTAGTCTGGAGAGACATGACACATGCAGCTACGAGGTTTCGTGGGGTTTACGAATATAGTTCTTATCGACATGATCTTAAACTAGCCATAAAGGCTACACGAATCAAGACTAAAAGTAAGCTGAGTACACTGACAAATTCAATTTAATTCTTCTCGAAGCCTAGAAATTCAAGACGGGTTCTGTGCGAGTTTTATCGGTCGGTTAGCTCGCCAATTCCTTCCCGGTTGTACCGCCGCTTGGCTTCGGAGTCTCGGGTGGGAATGATTTCCGGGCGCTTGTCTTCGGCTGGAAGTATATAAAGGGATATTGAGATGGAACAGCAGACACATTCATAGTTAGGCCTGTTAATGGTCATCTCAAGCTTCAGGATGTGATAGTTGCAAAATTTCATAACTTGGCAAACTTTCTCCCCCCACGAATCGAATTCGCGCGCTCTAACTTTCCATATCAACCCCATTGATTGTCCATCCTCGTCCCGGAATGCCTAACAGCTTCATCCCAATGTCGCACCCATCAAACAACACACTCAATATTGTCAAGATCTTGAAGAGAACTTTGCCAATGAATTCTTTGGATGACTGTGCATAACTCGCTGGATATAAAGATATAACACATATCTGGTGGAGGCAGTCTCGATCGAAATCGTAGTAGTACTGCTTATATCCATAGTGAGCCCTATACGGACTTTTGCCTACAGTAGTTTTCGAATTTAGTTTGACCTCACACTCTTTGGACTTGATTCCCCGAAAATAAATCCTAAATATGCGAGTTCTGATTGGATGTTATTTTAAGCACTTTGATGTAGACCGCTTTCTATAATAGTCCATGTATTTTACAATACATCTTCAGGACCATGAGTGGTGTATTTTACACGAAATTAGCAGACACACGGTACCTCCTCTCCCCTTGAGCTGTCCCATGGCGGTTTAGCTGAGTATGTATTCAAGTGACAATACCGATGTCGAGGTGTTACAGTGGCAGTTCAAAAGTCTGAAACCAGGGACCAAGAAAACAGGCCGGCAAAATATGCCTCGATTTTACGTTTTGAACAGATCTTTCTGAATGTCTTTTGAACACTATTTCTAGATATTCCCGGCATCTGTGTTTCAACTTGTCTTTCAAAGTATAGCTGATGAGAGGGGTTTGAACTTTTTCGGGTGTTGCAAACTTATGGAACACCACTGTACCCGCATATTACTGTATGCGCCGGTTATGGACCAATACCATGTCACTATAGTAAACCTCTGCTTTTCCACGAAAACAAGTCTTTGGGTCTTGTAACACTCGGGGTGCTAATATTGATATTGACCATTACGGAAGATCTTGACGAATTGCGTGAGAATAGCGGTATGACATCCATGGCAACGCTGTGTAATCTGAGTCGAATAATGGACCTGGCAGTAGACCTTGCCCTCGCGTTCATAGTAGGAGTCCTGGGCACGGAACACCGTTGGACACACTGAGCAGGTAAAATGCTCCATGTGGTACTTGCGATCCAATGCTGTAATGTAGGAGCCTCGGAGAGCCCCACCACATTCGTGGAACAGAGGGTTCAATCGTCGGAAATCGTCAGTTTCGCAGAGGGGGAGTTAGCATAACCTATCGTCCGACTCAGCGGGGAAGAACTTGCTGGCAACGATTTCACCACAAACCGATCGCAGAGTTTGTGTCAGTCATCGAATAATCCTGGGGTATGTAAGGGAATAGGCAGGGGAGACATGGGCGGGCTTGTGTATTTAAAAGCATCACGTACCTCACACTTGAGACACTCCATATGAAATGTGCCGCCCAATGCGCGTGCAGATTTCCCAGTTAGGGGCCTGTCACACTTTTGACAGACAGGGCACGAGCCTAGTGTGGGAATATTAAGTTGGTCACTGGCGATTATTTCTTCACTGGCATCAGGATGAAAGTCTACCACAGAGGACTCAGGCAGCTGGTGGCTCCTAGCTTTGGGAGAGCTATCTGGCTTGAACGGGGCGATTTCAGATGCAGTTTCTCTCCCATCTAAGCTCTCTGCCTCAAGATTGTTGGGGCAATCTGTGATTTCGCCTTTTGTCCGGAGAGTCTGAAGGGTGTTGAGGATAAAGTGCTGGTGCTGCGTAAAGAGATCCGGAGTAATGCCGATGCTTTGTATTGCCCTCTGCACGCTTCTCCATGCCTCTTTTTCATCAGAAGTGATCCAGTCGATGCACTAGACATCGCCGCCGATTCACGCTTGCCGCTGCGAATCTCGCTGATGAAGGTCTTCAACATTTGTTCCACATTTTCATGAGATGATCTGCTGGAGTTTTAGCGAAGTGTCCCAAACTCTTCCTCTAAGGCTAAAGGCCATAATCATATGTACCCACCGTAACAGATTCGTGTTCAATAAATTCAACACTTGTATGTGCAACGAAAATTTCCCTTTGATCCCTGCCAGTTCCTCCACTCCCCAGCCCATTCGCTCCCAGGTGACCTGTGTTTGAGGGCCGATATTATCAAAGTGGTCCTTCAATCGTTGAAGGTGACGAAGTACACCATGGCATACAGTCAATATATCGTTAAGTTCGGATAGCTTAATCAATCAAGCGCACGTCGGGGCTCGGGGCTCCGAAGCTCCGAGAGCGAAGCTGAGAACCAATTGTGTCTGACCCGATACTGGTGCGTTATCCGACATTTGCGGGCCGAGTTCACATTCTCCCTGACCTATAAGGCAGCATTAAAATGATCCTTCACCTTAGAAAACTAGAAAACTAACGTACGAAAATAGGCGTTTCCTATTTACCATTTCGGAAAACATATCTTCGTTACTGCCCGCCAACGGACAAGGTCGCCCTTCGAAACTCTGAGCTGTCACATCATTGCCACCCAAGTAAGCCACATTTCTGAAAGTTCAACTGGGTGGAATGGTGGAAATTACTCTTGTTCTAATCATGGACAGATACTCCTGTAAAGGCAACGAATGCTCAAAATTACCGTCTTCGCCGGTTCAACGGAAAATTTATATTCACTTCAGCATGGCTGACGCAAAACCACTCTCAGGATTGGAGAATATCAAAGCCGATATCTTAATTCGAGCGCAGAAAATCTATTCTCTCCACCCTGACATACCTTTACAAAAAGCTGTAGCAATCCGCGGGCAGCATATATGGGCTTTCTCTCAGGTCATACATGGGCTGGACAGCTGTATTGGACACGCTACTCGGGTAATCGACGAACCAACCGCCACTGTGCTGCCATCGTTTGATGATACACATACACATCTTATATTCGCTGGGTTGAGCGAATTTGATGTGCCCGTTCACGCTGCAAAAGACATCAAGGAGCTGTTGAATTTGATCCGCCATTGTGCGTCACAGACTGAACCTGGTCAATGGATAACAACTACAGCCGACTGGCAGGAGTTCAATTTGAAGGAGCATCGCTTTCCTACTCTGCAAGAGCTAGATGAAGTCAGTAACATTCATCCAATTGTTGTGAGAAGGGGCGGTCACAACATTGTGATAAATTCTTGCGCAGCGGCACTCGCCAACATCACCCCTGCTACTCAACCACCCCTTGGTGGGATTATCGGCATTAACAGGGAGGGAAAGCTCAATGGGCTCCTTCAAGATTCTGCGACCAAGCTCATCGAATGCATTCGGCCTCCTGTCAGCTTGGAGAGGCGTGTTTCTGGTCTTGACAGGGCTTCCCGAAAATACGCTGCCACTGGTATTGGCTGCGTGCGCGACTGCTTTGTACCAGTAGCAGATCTGGCGTATTTGAAAGCCGCTCACGATGCCGGCAGGTTGAATGTTCGTGTCCGCGCTCTAGTATCTACCTTGGGATTGTCAACAGTGAGCGACGTGGACCAAATTCTATCCGAGATGGAGCAATGGAGACATCTGCAGACCGACCCCTGGTTTTCGATCTGGGGAGTGAAATTTATGATCGATGGAGGGATAGAAGCTGGGGCAACAGAAGAACCGTATGTTAATCAGAATTGTGGATGTGCTGGTCATGAAGCTTGCGGTCGCCTCCTCTGGGATACTGAGGAGCTTGTTGAGGCAATGGATGCAGTGATTCGCCGAGGTTGGCGTATCGGAACACATGCATATGGAGACCGTGCGGTTCGACGCCTTCTGGACGTCTACGAAGTATTATTGAGACGCCACCCTCACCTGTCCAATGGCACCCTGGTCATGGAACACGGAGGTCTCGCCACTCCTGCACAACAGGCACGGGCGGTGGCCCTTGGGATTGCTATTACCATTCAACAACCTTTACTTCACGATATTGCCGGTGTTCAAGAAACTTACTGGGGTGTGGAGAGAGTCAACCGTCTGTTTCCGGCTCGGCAGTGGCTGAACTTGGGTGCCGATATTTCCGGTGGTTCGGATTATCCCGTCGGTATGTTTGGGGCGATGCGATCTATCTGGGGCATGTCGACTCGCCAGACGGTAGCTGGAGTTCGAGGCCCGGAACATGCTATAAGCGTCTCCGAGTCAATTGCCCTACATACGACGGCTGCGGCAAAAATGCTGAAAGAGTCTGAAACAAGAGGTAGTCTTCGTGTGGGAAGTTTTGCCGATCTAACCCTTTGGAGTAAGGATCCCTTTGAAGTTGCCGAAGTTTGTGAAATCCGTGATTTTCAGCCTCTTTATACTATTATCGGCGGACAGATTAAGCATTCTCCAAAGTGAAAAGCTGTCGTGGAAAAGTGGAGAGTTTCTTACAGTGACATGGGATTGGTCCATAACCAGCCCATTTTCCCTACAGTATGTGTTTGTATGTAATATGCGGGTAACACCACGACATCGGTATTGTCACTTGAATACTCAGTTACACCGCCATGGGACAGCTCAACCTGCCCCTTTTCCTATTCGTTTCAGTTGTTTCATTCTTCAATCAATCAATCTTTCATCTGATGATTCCGGTAGTTCTCATTGGGCTATATGCATACTAGTCTATACCGGTTCAGCCCGCTTTGACAAAAACGAAGTGGAAGTGAAGCGAGGAGAGAGTGAGAAGGGATTCGATGTATCATTACAGATTTATTATATTACGTCCCTAATGAGGTAAAGTCATTACCACCACAATTCTGCTCGCTTGTCAGTCGTCAACCTAAAGTCCTGATTGTCGTGACAGAACATGATCATGGTCAGGTAATGTGAGAACAAAGCTAGAAACTCAAAAACTCGTCCGGAAACCCAGAAACCCGACATGAATATTTCTCGATGAACTTTTATAGTCATGGAGGCATGTAAGCACCACGTACACTAGGATGGTATATCGTGGTGATAGCATGGGCATGAAGCTCAAAGCTCAAAGCTTAAAAGCTGATATAGTTGTAGGGCTCTATCTAGTGGGGGCCGAGCCGCCGTGGTTGCCTTGTGAGCCTTGCCAATCTGTAACATGTAGTAATTGGTAGATTGAAGATAAAGCATACTATAATTCGCCCAGTCCGGAAGTAGCATTGACCTTTGGTGACTGCCGATCCGCAGTCTTCTCTCTCTGTAGAGGCAACAACCAATGTCTGCCCTGCCCCGCACTTAAGATCGCTATAATCACTACTATGCTTGTCGAATGAAGCCGCTAAGACGCGGCTGAATACGAGCACTCGTCAGCCCCAGTTCATCCCAAGTACATAAGAAACAGATGCCCCAAGCCTGGAAGATTCAACGAACTCATCTCCGGAAGTCTTCTTGCATCACTCAAATTCGAGCTTTGTTTCGACAACCCGCCAGAATGATTCCCTCAAATAAGTCGAACAATCAAAGCAATGTAAGCTGATACTTGCTCTTTTGGCTCGTGTGGGTGGATATTGCCGAACACGGCGGCGATAGAAACCACTCTCATTATTATTCGACTTTGAAAATGTTGTTTCGTTAAAATAGCATCGTTGACGCACACCTTTAGAGATTCTACGGGTCTTTTGGCTTTGGAGGATCCGGCGACAATTCCATCTGCGATAAATGCAAAATAATAGTCACGACACCTTTCTGCACGAAGTGTGGTCAGAAGGTAGGAGGGCCCAGTCAAAAGTCCTCTATCTGCGGGCAATGCGGTATAACAGTCACGACGCCATTCTGCACACAATGCGGTAAAAAGGCCATACAATCCAGCACACCTACAGTGGCGCGGCAGGAAATAGACACTGGGCAAAAAAGGGCAGATCCCAACAAAGACAGAAATCTCGTCACCCAGGCTTCAAAACAAGGAACATCAGACAGCGCCCGCGATTTTACAAGCTTAGTAGAACGAAGCATAGTTGCCTGGAATTCTCTGACCTATGCTGATGACCCAGATGTCACGGGCTCTGTTTCCAGGCTCTCGACGGCCTTGAGGAGCTTTGACTCGATCGATGACCTCTTCCGGTCCCGAATAATGTTCTGGTTTTTCCAACGTCGAGAGTCATTCATGACGCAGACTCAGTTTATAAAATGGGATGTTAACCGCCTTGACGAGTACGTCCTCCTACCTATGGATGAAGGCTACGTCAACAAGAAAGACTGCTTTTACGTTAGTCACTTCTGGCGTACCCGAGAAGCACCCGATCCGCGAGACGAAGACTTCAAGCTCGTTCACCAGGACCTCTCTACTCAGCAATGGACCTATGTCTGGACTGACTGGACTTGTCTCCCTCAGGGTGCACGGACCCCGGCCGAGAGGGAGTATACCAACAGAATGCTTATGCGAACACCAGTGCTAATGCGAGAGTGTGGATTTGAATGGAGGTATCCGGATTTCCAGCCCAGACTTTGGATTCTCGTCGAAGTGGCGCAATATATGCTTAACATTGCCGGGAACTATGCCGTCACAGCGGATATAAAGCCATATATCGACGATGTCCAGGCTATGAAAACCGAGGGGGTCCAGCAAGTTATCACACGGCGCGGGTACAACTGCTCAGTTAGTCGGGAGTATCGACTCCTCGTTGGATGGTTGGAGCTTCTTGTTATCTTGTCCAAACTTGTCCCGGATATCCCTATGAAGAAGTTTATACTGGACGCGCTCGAGCCTCCACATGTTGGGTCTTTTGAGCATGTGGATACGGGGATCGAGGTCAACAAGAGTACTGGCATCGTATCGTATCAAGGAGCTGTTTATCGGTTTGCTCCTTTGTATCCTGTTGACGCAGATGGCTTTCCTAAATGAGCCTGATAGCGTGCGGACGGTGTCGGAGGTTAGGGCTACAATGGAGACATACAGTGCCGGGCCATATTACTTGGGAGAAGCAGTCCTGCACAATTAGTGGACAACCAAGAGCTGGCCAGTTAAGGTTGTTGAACGTTACTGGTGGAAAGGAGGCTGTTCCTGGCGACAGGATCCGTCCTTGTCTCGATTTCGCAGGCCCCTATGTCCTGGTTGTAATGCGAGTTAGATCGTTCGTACATGACTAGTTTTGTATGATAATGAGTTAGGAGTTCACACTTGGTCGCTTTGGGCTTAGGATATTTGTGGATGACAGTAAAATTTGTGTATATTCATGGACTGATTCACCAATGAAGTTTATCGCCCACGTTCTACAAGATTTGTCTTCAGGTAGGAAGTATAGCCTAGGATTACTCAGGCATAATTAGAGATTCTTTCACTGAAGTTAGTTGAATTGTCCATAAGAAAAGCATGGGAAATCTTCATACTCGATAAGGTTCCCATCGGGATCCCTGACATAGACGCTTCGAATCTTCCCCACGGCCCCGGTCCTGTCTACAATCTTGGCACCCTCCAAGACCTATAAAAGTTAGTATGAAATACGGATGAAGAATATCTGATAACGATACCTCGATCTTAGCTTCCTGGAAAGCACGTAAGACCTTCTCAACTTTCTCATCCGTCAAAAAGCACAGGTCTGCACTTCCAGGTTGAACATTCTGAGCCTTAGGCTCAAATTCTTTCCCAGATTGATGAAGATTGATTTTTTGACTTCCGAAAATCAAAGCATTTCTGATAAAGGTTAGTTTCAATCTGCGTTTATCTGTGTCTGGATTGGAACCAACCTTTGGACGGCGGGGTTGGCGGGTGAGCAAAAGACTTCGTGCCGCATCCCTAGGTGGGTAGTGTAGAAGGCCACCGTCTCTGGGATGGAGCGCACTGTGAGAACCAGGTGGTCCAAGGATTTGACTGCAAATTTAGCCGCCATTACAAAGGATAGGTATGTGAATTTGGTGAGCTCCGAGGAAATGAAGAGAATTGATGCGATTACAGGGCTGACAAGGCGCATTACTCATCGGCTCGTCCGCCCGTGCCCCCAATTTTGCTCTACGCAATACCCGAGATCGGCTACGTGCTCTGCTCTGCATTACGATGGCACGACATGCCAGGCAACAAGTGATATATGCGACCGATAAGCTGGACCGGAAACGACCCGAATGGGAGTTGATCAAGCGTAAGGCCTGATTCTGGAAAATCTCATTGAGAGGACTAGGTGGGTAAACTGGTAACCAGTGAAACCCGCCACCTTGGATAAGATGTTTTGATTCTAAAGAAACCAGGAATGGTCATCCAAAGTTAAGCCTCCTCTTGGCAATATCCAAGGCTTCTCCACTCTCGCCCAGCTCTTCCGATTTAACCGTCAATAGATAAGAAAAATGCGACCGTGGCAGACAGGCCAGCCCTACCCTGGCTAAAACATGCGCCCGGTCAATCTACCGCCGCGCATTTTCTCGCCCCGATCTGGACGAAGGAGGGCAAAGGAGGGCACGAATCAAAACGGCCCCCGGGACCAACGATGTAATAGTCATGGGGCGCAACCATAGAAATACCTCATCCTGCTCAACCTCAACCTATGCGACATTTAACGTCCACTCCAACATAATAGCTCGAATAGCCCTCCATCCAGTCGTATCGAAAGATACGCTTTCATAAGACCTTCTAATAACCACTATCGTCACCATGTCCTACACCTCATACTCAGATGCGCGGATGTCGCTTCACTCTAAGGGCTTTAAGCCTAAGCCCCGCAGATCAATGAGACCACCCGACCGGGAAATCGCCCTTCGCATAGAATCCATCGTTCCTGCCAAGACGACTCTCGTGCTCAAGCCAAACGGGAATGCTCGGTCTGTCGCTGCATACACAATCACCACGGAAGACGAAGAGACCGTATACACAGTGTCCGGTCGCAAATATGGCGATCGCGTCTGTCGCGAATTCCACGACGCCTCGGGCCTGCCTTTGTTCGAACTCCATACCAAGGTTCTACTCGGTCGACCTTATTCATGGTTTATCACGATGCCTGGAGGTGGTAATATCAAACTCGCTGAGGGAGAACCGCGATGGGGAGGTAACAACAAAAGTATGAAGTTCTCGTTTCGAAATATGGCGGCGAACGATACGAAGCGCGATGACGATAAGGATATGACCCTTCTTGTGTCGCCATGTGGCGATGTTATGGCTAGATACGATATTATCGATGGAGATAGGAGGATTGCTGGGGTTTATGAGAGTATCCATCATAATAACACGTTGGCTCTGCTGCCTAAGTCACGGCGCAAGAATCTTCGACCTGCTATGGACTTACCGATTGTGGCTGGTGTGGATTCCTCCTTGGTACGTCTTTTTGATCGCATCGATTTCATATATTTCATATGCTTATGGCTGAGGTAGGTGGCTGCGATTGCAATTATCATGTTCGAATGGACCTATGGAGCAGAGTAAAGTAGCCGGAGTGTATGAGGGAAAGGGAAAGGCATGTAACAGATTGTGGTGGTTTATCTTCACTCCTCATTCGGTTTTCTCACCTGTTTATCGGCGAAATACGCTACGAATCAACGTTTTCTAAGAATTTTCCAGTCGCTACTGTTCTTGATGCTTGCATTGTATGGGGATTTCCGGCCACTGACCAACATCGCGTGGCGGTGGGCAAGCCTTCTGCGCGTCTTTTGGGGATTTCAACTGCTCAAAGAAGAATATATCGGGAACCAATAACATATAATCACGATGTATCTTATTGATTATATACGACACGACTGCGAGCCATCTGCGGTTTGCTGCCTAAAAGGTAGGTAGCTGGCCGTTTCGCAGTTGATAGCGGTTGCCCCAGAATCTAGATTTGTATAGTTTTGTTATGAAGCGGACAGATTAAATTACTACTACAAGCAGAATTCAAATTAACAATCTATCTGACTTGAGTGATGCTCAGGTAGCTCTCATCTTTGATACGCTTTGGGGATGAAGGCTTAGACAGCGTGGGGCGCCACGAAGAATCTACACATTGAATCAGCCTTGAGTCATTGGACTTAAGGCCTATTCCCGTATCTTTGAGGCCATGCTGCTGCCTCAAAGCACAGCCACTAGTCTCCATAACCAACCTGATCATATATTAACCCCAATTTCCATGATTTGCTTCGACTTGGCGCTGGTTTTCCTCTCATTCTCCGATCCTGTCTGGTACCCCGCCCGCTCGCTGCGCCCCACTTAACCAAGTCCCTTGCAGATCAAATCTCGTCACAGTCGATCAACGACGAAGATACTAGACAATATCATTCCATCATGACTTCAACAGCGGAGCCCAGAATTGGTGTTGGTGTCTTCGTTCTGAACGCCGAGGGGAAATTTGTCCTCGGAAAGCGAAAAGGCAGCCATGGCGCAAGTGAGTCACTCCGTGGCCCAGCTCCTAACCCGTTTTCCCCCCCCCGAGGCAGTTTTTCCCTGTATCGGATATCTCAACAGAAAAATGAGGTAAATAAGTTCAAAAGCACTTCTAACACATTTATGCGTTTCTAGATACGTGGGCCTTGCCAGGTGGTCACCTGGAGTACGGCGAGTCCTTCGAGACCTGCGCGGAACGTGAAATCCTCGAAGAGACAGGTCTAAAAATTCGTGGTATCCGGTTCTTGACTGCCACGAACAGTGTCTTCAAAACTGAAGGTAAACACTACGTTACCATATTCATGGCAGCCGTTGTCAGCAATGAATCCGATCAGCCACAGGTAAGTGTCAGCACAAGTCATGTCTTGCGTCTCTAGCCCGTTGATTTTGCGTGACTAACTGGAAATCAAGATCATGGAGCCTGAGAAGTGCTCAGCCTGGGAGTGGACTTTGTGGGATGAGCTGCGGGCCGAGGGACAATCACAATTGAGCGCTGGATCGAGTTATACTGGGAGAGAGCTATTCCTGCCTCTGCTGAGTCTAATCGAGCAGAGACCCGACTTCCGTCTATAAGGGAAAAATTGCATGGGCATCATGAAAAGTAATCTACGCATCATAAAATGATTTTGGAAAATAGAAAAGAAAAATACCATTAGACGAAATCATGAAATGCAGCCACTCCTCAGCCAAATTTATACCAAGAATTAAGAACACTGCTACGTAGATGCAGAGGACTACGATGTTCGGATTTCCTGGCATTGCCCATGACTTGGCTTTATGTGACTGAAGATAGGATTACAACATCTGCTCTTTTGCGTTAGGAAAATCTCATCTCATGCAGTGGCATTGACTTAGCCACTCCTTGCAGATATCTTAGTTGCTATCGTTGCGTAAGGGTGGTTATTCGTCTTATAGCGGTGAGGATAATTGAACCATTGCAATTATGCCAAGCAAGCTGAAACAAAAATAACCTTTCAACCCAATGGGTTTTACGTGGGGGAAATGACGTTGAAAGATAGAGTTTCATGGTGGTGTTCGTCATTCTGATATCTGGACGGGCCGGACGAGGCATGGAGACTTGTTTGGTCTGTTGGTTCAGAACAATCAAACAAATTCCATTTCCTCAGTGCTTTGACACGTGCATAGAAGCCTTTATTCACCCTTCGTCGTGCCTGTTGAGCAGGCATTCCACGATCATACAATGACAGCAAAACCACACCACACTCGTCCCAACCGCCGTCATGGTGGCTCTTCCAAGGATGAGATCCAGAATGAACCCGACTGGACGAAGACTCATAACCATCGAATCGGATTTCGCGATCACAATGATCGGCATCCGGGGTACACCCATGTTGGAGATGAAGGGGATACGGAGCGACAGCGTGAATTTCTTGCCCTGGCAAAGAAAGAAGCTGAGGAGCTTAGCACTGAGCTAAAGCATCGCAAACTGCTGGATGTCCGCGAGTTCATGGCGAAACAAGAGGTTTGTATCTAGAGACTCCGAGGTTTTTAGCGATTCAGTCCATAACTGATTCACTCCTAGGACTATCATTTGAGGTTCCCTGAAAATCATCCAAAAGGCTGGCGCTATGTGCTTCAGACTAACGAGGTTTTTATCAAGTACAAGCAAGACTGGCCAATCAATGTGAAAAGGCGAGAGCAAGAGGCCGAAGAGAAAAAGAAGGAATCTAAGCAGGAAGATGATAGTCAACTCCCACAAAAAGAACATGAATGGCGACGAGGTCGCGGTGAAAATGAGACACACCACGAGGCCCACGCAACTGACTCCAAAGACGAGAAAAATCAAAACGACAGCAACAAGAAGAAGGATGAACAACAAAGTTTGCAGGACAAGTACTCACCCCAGGAACTTTCTCTACTGCGCCTGCTACAAGCGGAGAGCGACTTGATGCGAACTATTCAAGAGAACGATGGCAATGCGAAATCTCCCATCGAACCAGCAAAGGAACAAGATATCTCTATTGATGAGGCCGATCAATTCACCCCGGACAACTGGATCCCTCGATCTACCAATCTCATCCGTCTGACAGGCAAGCACCCTCTCAACTGCGAGCCCGAGCTGGCGGCCCTCTTTGACGCGGGCCTCATCACCCCAAATCAACTCCATTACATTCGCAACCATGGACCAGTGCCACATCTTCTGTGGGAAACCCATAGGATTGACGTTGGGAACGGTAAACTAGTTCTTTCAATGGACGATCTGCAAAATGAATTTGAAGCGATCAACATTGCAGTGGCGCTGGCCTGTGACGGCAACCGCCGGAAAGAACTGAACATGATCAGAAAGTCCAAGGTTTCAACTGGGGCGCTGGCGCCATTAGTTGTGCATTTTGGAAAGGTCCTCTCCTGTGTGACGTGCTCTCCGCAGCTGGCTTCGAAGATGATTGCACTCGAAACGATGGAGTTCGGCGCTGGGTACATTTCGAAGGTGCAGATGAGCTTAGTGAGGGCAAGTATGCCACGTCTATCTCACTGGCATATGCCATGGATCCTGACAACGATGTGATCCTGGCCTATGAAATGAACAACGTCCCAGTACCGCCCGACCACGGCTACCCAGTGCGATTGTTGATTCCTGGGTTCGTTGGGGGCCGTTGTGTCAAATGGCTTCATAGGATTTGGGCCTCCGAGGAGGAGAATGACAGCCACTATCATATCTGGGACAACCGTGTTCTGCCTGGTTTCGTTCGTGATATGGACTCGGAGTTTGCTCATATCATGTTCAACCACCCAAGTACAGCCTGTAACGAGCAAAATCTAAACTCGATCATTGTCAAGCCCGCGCATGGCGAGACTATGCGCCTTTCTGATGTGAATAGTAATCAGAGCTACCGAATTTCAGGGATTGCATACGATGGTGGTGGTCATGAAGTCCAGAGGGTAGAGGTCAGTTTAGACGGCGGGGAGACGTGGCTATACTGTGTTCGAAAGGTGAGTTTATGCATCTGCCACTGCAGGTAGCGTTTCGAGCCACTAAATCTTGACCAGTTCCCTGAATATCCAGTCCGTCATGGGAGAAAGTTCTGGACGTGGATCCATTGGCATGTGGACGTTGGATTGTCACATCTTGTTCGAGCTGAGAGCATAGTCGTCCGCTGCTTCAACGTCTTCAAAAACACACAGCCAGAAAAGCCCGCATGGAACATAATGGGGTAAGCCACCATTGCTATAACAGTTATCCCAGAACGCCTATCTGACACTATCAAGTATGATGAACAATTGTTGGTATACCGTGCGCCCGGAGATTGTCCACGATGGAGAGTCTGGTAGCATAACGCTTTACTTCCGACACCCATGCGAACCTGGGACTGGAAAGGGAGGATGGATGCAGCCCTCGACGGAGAACCAGATTGAGAAAATCAAACATGAAGTGGCATCCCCACAGAAGCAGTTCACGCGCGAAGAGATTGAAAAGCATAAAAAAGAAGATGACTGTTGGATCGTCATCAACGGCAAGGTCTACGATGCCACGAGCGTGCTTGAGTGGCATCCTGGTGGCAAGGCACCGATTATGGCGCATGCAGGCAAGGTGCATTTTGATACCACCGACGAGTTTGAAAGCATTCATGACGATTATGTAGTTAACGGTAACTAATTAATTAAGATGAATCAGCGGCTTTATGAACGCCAAGACCTAGATTTATGCAAAAATGGGCTTTTTGGGCTTTGCCGCAGCCTACCAATGGGATAGGTCTAGACCTGCTCTCTCTCCTTCTGTTCAACACTATGCCCAACAATTCCAGCCTTCTCAAACAGCTCCACACCTCTCGCAACGCCCTCCTCATGCTCCTTCGCCAATCTTTCATAATCCTTCTCGTTACGCCATGCTAACCACGAGTCGGAGCGGAACAGCAAGTCAATCGACTCCAGCGATCTTCCCGCCGTCTCTGGGAAGAAACAATATATCACTGCAATCCAGACGTAATTAGCCGCGCCAAAGATGTAGAAGGTCTTATATCCGAGCTTCTGCACCACGATCGGGAACCACAGCACCCCACTGCCAATGCCGAGTCCCCATCCGGCGACGAGAAACCCGTTACCCTTGGCGCGGAGCGCGGTGGGAAAGATCTCGGCCGCGTAGATAAAACAGGGGATCATCCAGAAGACACACAGCGTGAAGGTGAAGATGAGGATCATGGCAGAGGCGGCCGACCCGTATGAAGATTGTTGGTCGGGATGGTCGAGGGCACCCTTAGAGAGCTATAATCATCTGTGAGTTTCTTTTCATGTATTGACAGATTTAGGTACGAGGTGCGTAACTCACCCCTGCGTAAATCCACATCCACGTACCCAACAGGGTATTTCCCACCATCAGATTCATCCGTCTTCCAAAGCGGTCGCAGAAGAATGCTGCGACAGCAGTGCCGGCCAGACCCATTGCGCCATTCAGGCCAGATAGCCAGCCTATCTTCGCCGTACTAAATCCGGCCTGCTTGAATACCGTCGGTGCATAGATAGTCGTGAGGGCAATGCCCGTGCCGACCTCGACCAGAATCTGAATTCCAAACGCCAGCAACGCACGACGGCCATAATGTAAACCGCCTTCTTTGTAATCCGTTGCGAGGCGCCAGTACGAGTCGAAATCCGCCAGTCTTTTATCCTCCTCGAATGTCTTCAGGATATCGATATATTCTCGCTTCACGTCCGGATGATCTGCGTTCCCGTCCCCGCGCAAGACAGCGATGATCCTCAAGGCCTCTTCATTCCTCCCTTCCTTTATCAGCCAGCGCGGCGACTCGGGCAGCACCCAGATGGCAGGGATCATGATAGCGGGGAGAACCACCTGCAAAGCGAGGGGCAGTCGCCAGCGAATTGTGGAGTTGCCTCCGTCCACAAATGAAAGGGCATATCCGACCCAGTAGGCGCAGAAGATGCCGAGGAAGTTACCGCACCAAAGCAGGGAGAAGTGAGAGCCGCGGCGGCGAGCTGAGGTGATCTCGGAGGACCAGACGGGGATGATGCCGATAAAGAAGCCGACGCCGAGCCCGGCGATGACGCGGGAACAGCACATCCAGGCGATGTTTTCCGCTGTGGCCTGGTACATATATATATAAGCCTTCTAATGAGATGCCATTCAGTGGAAGTCGGGATTACCCACCATCAGCGATCCACCAAGTAGAACAAATAGCGCACCCAATATAAGCGCCTTTACACGACCATACTTGTCAGCAATGTGACCGCCCCAGAGCCCGCCAATTGTTCCCCCGAGGTAATAGATCGCGACGATGCCACCCTCTCTGGTCGGGTTAGTAACGGTACCATCACCGGGTCCCAGACCCATTTTCAACTGGTATGTAGGGGCGCTGTTGACAAAACCCATGTTTCCCTGATTCCATCCTTCGAAGAAAACGCCCCAGGCTACGACGAAGTTGACCATGAAGACGAGTTGAGCGCCGCTCATGCGCTCCCAGAACTTGTGGGCCATAGCTCACTGGGGTAAGGATGAGACAATAAGGATTGATGAATAATATATTATATCGGTCTTAGATTTGGAACGATGTTATCCCTCGTCGTGGTCGTTGTCTCATACGCCAGATCTAACTGATTTAAGTAAAGCAGAGATGCTCTCTCTGCACGGTTCCTATGCATTTCGACGTGCAATCCAGTTCGGCTATTCTTAAAGTTAAACGCTAGAATGGCAAAACGCCTATTTCCCCGCTTCCCCGCATTTTTCAGGGTCTACTCGTCTCGCTCGGTCATTGACCTAAACTTGCTTATTGGTTCAATGAATTGCTATGCTCCGGTCGAGACGAACTTGAGACGATGGTCCACTGGATTCAGTGAGCTGGAGCCGAGGAGACATGATCCGTGCCCTCGTATACTTATTTGCGCCAGAAAAGTATGGCGGAAATTGTTTTTTATTTTGTCCTTACATACCAGGGCGCCACATCAGGGATCGAACCCACGCTGGCCATCCCCAAGAAACAAGGATTTCGGGTGAGGAAAGGGCTGTAGGACCGGTAGTAAGGGCATTGCGCCCCTAGAGCCCCCTCATTCCCTCATTTATGTGACGCTGGGAAACTGTGTATAGATAGACCTGCTAGTTTTGAGTGATCTGATTGGCGGAGACCGAAGGATATGAGAGCAAGCAGTGCACCACCAGCACTTCTTCCTTCTCTCTTCTCCCCAGTCTCAGTATTCGCTGCGGAATGCACTCTTTTCCCAAAGAATAGGCTCTTGTCACAATTTAGTCAGGTCCTCATCACCTACACTCATCCGCTTATTCGTCTCGTCTATCCCTCCGCCCTCGGGTTATTCACTCTCAAAGATTGGGTCATCGCAGCCTCCGTTGGGGGTGCAGAGGCTGCGCCAGAAAAGTAAACACGCCGGAAAAGACGAAGGGCATAGGGCTAGGAGGATATATAATTAGATTTGGGCTGGATATAGCTGCGCAGAAGGGTACAATGTCATGGCACTGTTTCCCCAATCATAAGAGTTCTAGCAGACATTTATTTCCTCCACATGAATCATAGACGGCTCTTCCTTCGTAGAGCTAATTCTTCTCTTTTCAGGCTCACCATTCTCTCGGTCAACACTGTCCAACAGACGACTTGTAGCGACGGCCACACTACCTCCAGCCTCATCCATCATTCTCTCATATTCTCTCACGTTCTCGCTCACCAGCACCGAGTCAGCACTGAACAATAATGACACAGCCTCGAGCGGCTTCCCCGCAACCTCCGGCAAAAAGAACCATACGAGCGGCATAGAGATGATGTTGCAACATCCAAACACCAGGAAAGTTTTCCATCCCAGTCTGTCGAGCATGATAGGAATGATAAACGTATTTGCTCCACAACCGACCGCCCATCCAAAAATTGTAAAAGCGTAACCCTTGGCACGGATCTCTTGGGGCCAGATTTCCGTCGCATAAATCCAAGATGGCACGATGTTGAACATGGTGAAGCACCAGAGGAAAACGAACACCATTGCTGCCGAGGCCATTCCCAGGCTCGTGCGTTTGGCGGATCCCTCCGGTGAGAGCTCGGCACTGCGGATTAAGGCGGCCTGGATGAAGAGCGCCATGCCTTGGGTTATGAATGAAACTTGGAGAGATTTGATGCGGCCCAAACGGTCAATTACGAGCGCCTAGATGATCATCGCTTCAGCATTGAGGAGGACAAAATCGGAAAAGAAGCCAGATGCATCAACTTACAGCTGCAGCAGTGCCAAAAACCCCAAAGGTATTGACAAGTCCAGCCAACCATGAAGATTTGTACGCATCGAAACCCGCAAGAGCAAACAAGTTGCCGGCGTATGTAGCGATAGCCAAAATACCAGTGAAACAGGTAATTTGTTGAAGAACAAACCCCATCCAAACTCTTCGTCCTAAATGCAATCTGCCGGAGTAACGACCGATAACAAGGTTGAGGAAATTATTTCTTTTGTGATGACTTTCCTGCACAATTGCTTTCAACCGTGCTACCTCGTTCACCAAACCGGCGTCATTGCTTGCAAGGTCTCCTCGGAGTTTGGCGAGAATTTCGACAGCTTCGTCTTCACGGTCATTGGCCATGAGCCAGCGAGGGGAGTCTGGGAGAAGAGTGGTGGAGAGGAGAATCATTATAGACGGCAGTGTCATGAAGACGAGCGGAAAGCGCCATCGGAACTGCTCTCCAGTGTTGCGAACACCGAAGTTGATCCAATACGCTAGGATGATACCGAGGACTATTTTGCCTCTTATCAATCCGACCATTATTCCCCAGGAAAAGTTGTCTGAATGGAAACTTACAGTTTGCAACGAAGACAAGGGCGAAGCTCGCTCCTCGGTTATGTGCCTGGGAGAGCTCTGAGACCCAAGGTGGGATAATCGAGTTAATGAATCCAATACCAAGGCCAGCAACGACGCGTGCAACGATGAACATGTTCGAATTCTGTGAGGCGGCCATCAACGCTCCGCCAGTAGCACAAAGCAAAGATCCAAACCAAACGCCAGGTTTGCGGCCATATTTGTCTGCTACCCAGCCACCAAGGAAGCAGCCGAACATGGCCCCGAAATAGTATACTGCGACAAGGCCACTGTGTGTGGTGAAGAGATGTCAGCGAACATTCTTCTAAGAGAAGAATTCGATTTAAGAAGTCTACGAAAGGGGGATAAACCCTTGTTTCGTCCTGTTAGTGATGATACCATCTGCACCTATGCCAGCCATTGAAATGAAGCCAGGCTGCCCACTGACCGACCCGAGTACACCTGGTTTTGTTGTCAGCAAGCGTTAGCAATAACTAGAAGGTCAGAAATATGATTCTTACCTTGATTGTAACCTTCGAAGATCAAAGCCACGGAGGAAAAGAGATGAAGTATGAAGAGCAACCTTTTCCCCGGGATTCTGCGCCAGATTTGAATGTCCATATTGGATGCCTACGAGAGCTCGTTCCAGGGACCTGACTTTCAACCAAGATTTTGCTTTGAATTGTGAGGTGAACCTTTCGTCCAGAAGGTGAAGTAGAGGTAAACGATGCAATTAGTCCGCTCGGGGGTAGGGGAGAATCTGGGGAAAGCTTTCTTATGGCCTCAAACTCGATTCCCAGTACGACCTGTACGATAGCCTAGACGCACCCTAAAAAAAGTAAAAAATAAAAAAAATAAGACTGCTTCAAACAGCTTGCCGCTTAAACGGTTGAAGGCTTTATCAAAAGCAAGAAGTAGCCGTGGGGGTTTGCAACCCGCAATAAGGATCACGTAGTCACGGAATCGAAACGCCACAATGCTTACGAGACGGTCCGCCGATTCGAGATCGGCTAACCTGGATAGAAAGTATCTCGTTCAATCTTGGTAGTAAGCACACTGGCCAGGCGAACCCAAGTAAATAGATTCATCAGGCAAATAGGGTTTGGGAGAAAGAAGCCATCGAGGCGATATAGGTGGAGTGGTGGATGAAGCTATCTAGGAAACGCATGCAGGGAGATAAGAGCATGGGGGAGTGGTTGTCCGAGGCGACACCCCATTCCTGACAGAAATCACTCAACAAATTACCAGCCTCAATGGACTCTACAATCGGCCCATCACTGTGCCGGTTGGGGTTGTCGCAGAGGAACCAGTCGCCCAGCAAGCAAGCTCATTTCATCCATAGAGGAAACATATTCATCAGTCTATTGAGATTACATACACTTAGATACCCTGATAGGTAGTAGACTGGGAAGATAAACCAGTGTCACGACAGCTTACGTCCACCATAAATAGAATATCATTGACGCTCGTCAACCTGCTGGTCAGTTGAGACAGGAAATACTAAACACACCATGGAACCCGAAAATTATTCTAGCAAAAAGCCTGTGTGACAGGGAAGAATTTATTCTGCCCTGGTGCTCGCGCGTCTCCAGATCTTGACTGGCATGGGGCCAGACTTGATCACCATCGACTCATACATGGTCGGTTCCCACTGAGGGCTCGGGAGAGCGAAATGGTAGCGATGAACCAGGGTCGCAACAATGAGACTCAACTCCATATAAGCCATGTTCCGGCCCACACAAGCTCTTGCACCCAAACTGAACGGCATAAAGCCTTTCTGCAATTTTTCTCCATTCCCCGCTAACCACCGCTCTGGACGAAACTCGAGCGGGTGCTCGAACAATTTGGGATCCCGGTGGATGGTCCACGCTGGTGCACTGACGGTCGTGTTGCCGGGAACCCAAGTGCCGTCGATACTCATGCCTTCTGGGGGGGTGACGCGTGGTAGAGCCACCGCCAGACTTGGGCGAAGGCGCAACGTTTCGTCGATCACGGCCCGAAGGTAGGGCAAGAACTTGATTTTGTCATAAGCAGGCACCGGCCCTTCTTCCTTTTGAAAAGCGGTCTCGAGCTCCTCATACAAGATCTGCATACAACGTGGATGGCGAATGAGATGATGAAAGATGTTTTGCAGGGCGCACGTTGTGGTCTCACTTCCGGCGTTCATAAGCAAGGCGCACTCTTGGATCAGCTCGCCCATTTCCATGTCGGTGGGCATGCCATAGCGAGTGAAGCTCAGGGCCTGGAAGAAATCGGTGCGTTTCTCGCCGTCCGTCTCCGCCGCCATTCGCTTTCGAATTAAATGGACGGTAAAGTCGGTAAAGACTTGTCCATCTCTCCATCCACGATGCCAGGCGAACAGTTTGCGGTTAATGTGGAAAAGGGACGGGCGAGCGTATCCCAAGGTCGAAATGATCTGGAGGTTGGGATAGGTGCCTGCTTCAGGATGTTCCTGATACTTATGGCCGCGGATGGTTTCACATGTGGTCAAGTCGTCGCCTTGGGCAACGAAGCCCAGTTTGATGCCGAATGAGAAATCGGCTGCGAGGTCCAACGTGAGAAGATTAAACCAGCGTCGAGCATCGGTGAGTTCATGCTCGTCGAAAACATTCTGTCCAAGCTTGGGCGGGTCGGTGCAAAGCCGGTCGAATTGGTGAACGAGTTCCAAGATATCACCGTTCACGTTATGCTCTTTCTCCTCAACCGATTTTTGAGAAAAGGCGGCGGCAAAGAGCTTTCTTTTCTTTGCATGTTCCTCTTTATTAATCGAATCGAACAGTTGGCGGTGGATACCTGCCAGAGAGTCGTAGAATTTATCCTTGGAGGTTGCTGTTCCGTGGCCATATATATCCTTGGCTGCTTGCAGGGACGAGAAAGAGAGGGAGTTGGGCCCGATACGAACAATCTTGCCGTGTTTTAGATGCAGAGAGTGAACTGTGTCCGTCCTAGTTCCTGTGTAGTGCTTGAACATGATCCACATGTTTGTCATAGCTGCGAGGAATGGACCGGGATATCGTCTCAGCTTCTTCGAATCTCCAAGGTAACGGTAGATAGGGAATACCAGAAAAGCGAAGAAGCTGCCGGCAAGTACCAGCTGGGACATTAGTACGACCAGTGAACTGAGCATGATTGCAGTTGGATCGGAGGCGCGTTGGAATTGCAGTGGTATGAAAGAATGTCCACAACAAGTGTGAGACACGTGGGGGGTTGTATATATATGGCCTTTATGAATACAAATCTGTAGGACCAAGCGACATGCCAGCGAAACAGTGGTGCGGAATAGTGCGTATAATCACCTCGAGGCGATGGAGATCTGCAGCAGTCCTGGACACTGTTTCCGACGTCGCTGTGCTGTTCTAATGAGTCCACCACACTTTACCCAGTCGCTGAAACTACTTGGATCTTGCCGAGAGAGCCGGACAATATGACAATCATAAGATCTGCGCTATGGCCCGTCAACCTGTTATGGGGCGTGTGCCTAGGTATTTCGTGCCGATCGACTACGAGACGAACCGAGACGAACTGGTCATCCGATATATAATTTAGCCGCTTACGTGTTCGTCTCGAGACAAAGATCCGTTCCACGCAAATCCTGACAGCTACTCACAGGGTCGATATGATAATTAGAAGCTCAGATATATAAGACATAGAAGATATGTTCGTGTCCCCACCAGCATACACAGCAAGAACAGCCACCGACTGTCGGGATCGCCATGGAGCTCAAGGCTGGAACCAGCAGCCTTCCTTTTCCCAGTAGAGTGATTCTGCTTGAATCTCTCCAAATCACCGACATCCTGACTGTGATCCTATTTGTAACGATTTGGGCATGGTTGACCGACGGATTGGGTTTCTGGGCTCCCAAGCCCGACCCTATGCTTTTCCTTCCGGTTCGCGATCGGAGTCGATACAAAATGCTGCCGAAGGAGAACAGGAACATTGCCGAGACAATGAAGGTAAGCGGGGAATGATGCACTGACAGAGGTTATCAGAGGCTAACCATCTGACAGGATTCGGATGTGATGGTTTACTGGGGCTCGCAAAGCGGCCGGGCCGAACGTCTGGCGGCACGTCTCGCGCGAGAATGCACCGCGCGACTTGGTTTGCGTGTAGCAATGGCCGATCTGGACGATCACGATCACGAGCATCTGTCCGTGGTGCCTTCCTCGAAACTGATCGTGTTTGTTGTCTCGACGTTTGGCGAGGGCGACCCGACGGATAATTCGGTCGCTTTCTGTTCGGTGCTCAAAGCGCTGCGTGCTACGGGAAATACGCAACTTCTGACGCATCTGCGATATGCAGCCTTTGGATTGGGCAATCGGAATTATAGGCATTACAACAAGATCGTGGATCTGGTTGACACGACGTTGCAGGAGCTCGGAGCTAGACGAGTAGGCACGGTAGGCAAAGCGGACGAGGCCAAGGGGGCGACGGCTACCGATGAGGACTTTCTAGAATGGAGTAATTCGATGCTCGAGAGTTTAGGCGAGATGTTTGGCGTTGAAAAGAGACCTATGGTGTACTCACCGGAATGGGACGTCGTGGCTGCAGATCCAAAGACAGAAGTGATCCTGGCTAGAGAAGCACAGTCAAATATCAATTTCCCGGCGGCAATGGTCGCTGCGAGAGTCCTTACCAATGGCCTGGACCGAAGATGCTTTCACCTCGAATTCGATCTTTCCAGCAACCGCTCGATGAAATACCAGACGGGAGATCATCTACTGGTATGGCCGCACAATTCAGTCTCCGATGTTCGGGGTCTCTGCCGTTTCTTGGGACTGGGTGAAATGGAGCGCATGCAACCTGTCGAGATCAAATCTCGACTTCAAGGAGGTAACTACTCGACTGCCTTCCCATCTCCAACGACAAAGGAAAAGGTCTTACGGCACTACCTGGATATATCTGGGCCGGTATCCCGAGATGTATTGCGACAGTTGGCTGCGTTCAGTCCCACGCCAGCAGCCGGAGAATATATCCTCGCTCTGGCAAAGGACAAAGCAAAGTTCCACACAACTGTATCCTTGGGGCATCTTTCACTTGCCAATGTCATGCAACTCGCAGCTGGCGACCAGGTCTGGAACCAACTACCGTTCACCTTTCTTCTCGAGTGTTTGCGGAAGCTCCAGCCCCGTTACTACTCGATTGCATCGTCACCATCCGTGTCGCCATTTCAGCCTGCCATAACACTGGCAATTACAAGAAAAGCCTTGTGCGCCTCGTCTTGCGGCGCTCACCTCCGGCGTTCTCACTTCCACGGTGTTGCTTCCAACTATCTGCTTGCAGTCAAACGAAGCCAGAAGAGCAACGGCAACAGCAACAGCCAGCAACCGCTCGACGAAGGACCAGATTACGGCATTATCAACAACCAGGTTCTCGTCCAGATCCGGCGATCGACCTTCAAGCTTCCAGCCAACCCGCAACGGCCCATCGTCATGATTGCTGCTGGCACCGGTGTAGCCCCGTTCCGGGCGTTTGTTCAAGAACGAATGGCGATGGCAGCGCGCGGGCTTCCTGTCGGGGGAAGCCTGCTTCTGTTCGGGTGTCGATCTCCAACGGAAGACTACCTCTATAAACATGAGTGGAGAGACCATGTTGCGACGTTGCCCGGATTCGAGGTCATCAATGCATTTTCAAGATACGGCGAAAAGAAAGTGTACGTCCAAGATAAGCTACTAGAGGTAAAGGACAGAATTGCCGGATTGTTGGAGGAAGACGCTGCTGTTTATATTTGCGGGAGTGCAGATATGGCCAGAGAGGTTCGACGGGCGTTGATGAAAGTTGTTATGGAGATGCGGAATTGGACTGAAGAGGAGGCGGAACGGTATGTCATGGAAGACATGAAAAAAGCAAAGCGCCTACAGGAAGACATTTGGTCGGGTTAGTCAAATTTGCAAGTGAAGTTTGATGGAATTGAAGGATGCAACGATAGATTGATTCGTGAGATCTAGAGAAGAAGACTATCTACAGGATGTCGGGAGGATAGAGTCCACATTGTATGTACATCCACAACATCGAACTGACTCGAAACGAACTATAAAAAGAGCAATTATAAATTACCATACTTTTCACCATCATTCATCCGCCCAGTCAACATTCCAATCGGCTTTCAGCGCATTTACGATCCATCTGCAAGTGCGTGAGCATAGTTCAGTAGTCAGGATCCCTAGATACGACTCACGTCGTCGGCCAACCCTCGTCTCTCTCCGCGATTCTCAGAATCTGGACTAGCAGCTTCCTCTCTTCGTCAACACTGATAAAGGAGGAGACTAGACTCGCGGTGTCACAGTTAGACAGTTTATGACAGCTACTCAGTCCTTTCTCACAAAACTCACAAGCAAAGATAGTATGACAGAGGGTGAAGATGGTCGCAATATTGGCTGGATTTGTAAGACAGATTCCGCAAAGGGTCCTTCCATGCAATAGAACTTTACTCTGCGAAACGGCGACTTTAGCCTATGCATCAATCTAGTTCAGTTATATCTTTCTCTAACGAACCTCTAGCTTTTCTCGAGCTCTCATAAAACCAAACTCTCCGATGGAGATTCTGCGCGTTTGGGGATTATACACGTCTAACAGGATCCTCGCGGCCAAGGACTGCGTGGTAGCCATAGCTGATCGATAGATTAGGTGGTGACATGCTTAGTAGATCCGTCGTACATACCATGCCATTCGCTTCCAAACGTAATCTCTGGGAACCATCTCCCTTGGTTCGGGTTCCTTTCGTTGTACGCCACGGGAAGGAAGCTCTTGGGTTTATTGACTTCCCACGTCTCCACTGTCTGGAGTAACAAATTCCAGGCTTGCCCTTCCTTTAGCATCGTCATACCGCGCGACGTCGTGCCGAAGCAGAAATCCACAACTTGTGCTAATATCCACGTTATCCAGTGGCACCATTCCGACTCTTCTTCGACCGTCGCCATCACTCCCGGCGTAGGTGTCGACAAGTTCACTTCGATTTTGTAGCTAGAGATGTCGAACTGCAGTGGTTGTCGGTGCAGGCACGCCGGATAGACGGATTGTCGAAAGCAGCACCAGAAGGAAGCCCACTTGAGACCGGAGCCGGAGGCAGTCCACGGATTGCGGATCGTGGAGGTGACCAGGGCCGATACTCCACTGAGATGATGTTCGTAGTCTTTGCCGTTGTCCGAAACTATGCAAGAATCAGGTATACTGGAAAGGATCAGACTATTTCAGATGGACGTACTATTAAGGTGCTCATACAGTCTCAGAAGGACCAACGCAGCCAGCAACGTATCGTCGGCGGTAACATTCGGTTCGTTCAGCGCGGGAATCAGCAGCTCAATGCACCGTTTGTGGTAATCGTCTGCGGTGGAGGAATCATAACTTCCTATGCAGCTGAGATGGCGCGCTGCGAAAGCCGAGACAGCCTTGGATAGGATCGGGGAGCAACGTGCTAGATGGGGCACCGTAATACTGAAATGTCGATCCGCGTCCGAGTATCGCACCTAGATCGAAACCGAAATAAGCGAGGAATAAACATCTTCTGCAACAGGGTTTACGCACCCATTTCGCAAGGTGACACGCGTAGTGCTGGATCAAGAATTCCTCCTCAGCAGACACGGTAAACTGGGCTACGGAGCCACAACCGTCGGGCGAATCCGCTCGGATGTCGGTATGGTTCAGATGAAGCTGAATGCCCTGTAAAGTCTGAACTTCAAAGGCCCCACTAGCGGTGGATGGTGCCGTATCTGAGTCAGCCGTGGTCACAGTTGCTCCGGGGAGGGAAGACTGAGGGATCGGCGATGGAGTAGATGTAGTAAGTGACCGAATCGATATCCCTCGAGAACCGGAAGTAGTCGGACTGCTAAGTGAGCTGGTCACTGGTGACAATGCAATATTGTCAGGCACAGGATTGAACACGTTCTGGGATGTTGTGGCTCTTCTCCGTTGCGGGCGAGGGCGTTGGGCTTCCGCGTCGCCTGGTCGCACGCACTTCCTGCCTCCAATGCGACATTTCCAGCACACGGGTTTTTCTTCGTCACCTAGAGAGGTTCAGCTGGTCGTAACCCCAAACAAAGGCTACTCTACTTCTGACATTTCACGTGGCGTTGACGACACGAATAGCTGGTTCGACTCGACCTGTCAGCACTGCTGCCGGGGGCCATCGGAAGACTCGGGGAATGCATACCACCCTGTTCTTGATCGCAGTTGATTTTGAGCCATCCATGCTAGGCTTGTCTCGAGAGATGTCTCCGAGACGAGTTGACGAGAGTATTGGGATCAGAACCGAGGTGGTGGGTAGGACGCAACTTATGCGCAAAGCGGGGCTAACACAATGCGGGGAAACTGGGGAAACGAGGGGGGATGACAGTAAGCTTTTTCCCTTCGTGACGAGGTCGTGACGAGCCAAACGGGGAAATTCCATGCGGATCCTTCTGTCGCTGTCAACAGATCATACAGTTTCGCTTCGATGTCTAACCCCCGCCCCGATTCCACATTATTTACATATTAAACACGGGGATATGCTCATGGCAGTCTGGTCAGGACAGACAGGTCGAGGCACAATACAGGATAGCAACCACCAGGAAAGAAAGGGGGATAACCAAACACTCACCGGAGGGCAGCGTGGTCCACTGGAGGTAGCAAAATCAAAGACAAAAGCAAAGACCCGGCTAAGAAGATCGCTTCATCGCCCAGAATCCTATCTTTCCATAAGAAATCACTACCCGTGTGTGTAACGCGTAGAAAATGTGAAGAGAGAACGAATTGATTGACTTGAAAGAGTGACTGGACAAAAGATGGCCGAACTGCTTCCTTCTTCGTGAGATGGGTGATGATGAATATAATGAATGAGCGTGAACTCTCCCCCTTGCTCTCCCACAAACCAAATAGAAGACATACGCTTGTTGAGACTTATAGCTATCCCAGGACCAGGGAGAGAGCGAGTTTGACGATCGTCCACTGAGAGCTTTGAATTATGGCCTTGCCTAGAGAAGGCTAGGATCTGTAAGAAAGAGCCTCTATGGATCAGCGATTTTGAGCACAATTCTTCCAGAGATATCGCCCTTCTCCATTTCCTCATATACTGTTGGCAGCTCTTTGAATTGCCGAACCTTGATCTCCGGTTTCACTATCCCTCGCTTTACAATATCAACAGCCTCCATACATTCTTTCAATGATCCAACCAGGTTTCCAGTGATCTTCAAGCCCCTAATGACAATGGTCGCAATCGCTGTTTCCAGACAAGGACGACCTGGGGGATTCCCACACAACTTAGAGTACCTTCAATCCGTAGCATTTCACACGCGTGGGTGAAAGCCTTTGCGCTTCCTGCAGTCACTACAACAGCGTGAGCCCCAAGACCGGTAATGTCGTGGACACGTTTGATCGGATCTTCTTTGGTGAAGTCGATGAATTCTTCGGCTCCGAGACCCAGCACAAAATCTCGCTTGCCTGGCCCATCCACACCAATTACCAAGGCCCCCTGTGCCCGGGCGTATTGAACTAGCAGACCTACTTTTAGCTATATCGGTTAACAAACAACGTTCTCGACTCACCCGCCAGATGACCCAGGCCTCCACCAGCTCCCACCACAACCAGCCAGTTTCCAGCCCTCACGTTAGCGTTAAGAACAGCCTGAAAAGATCATATCAATATCAAGTTGTGACAAGTTATCACTGGGTTCCTTCACCTTATACGCCGTCACCCCAGCACACAGCACCGGTCCGACCACACTTGGATCAACATCATTGGGCAGAATCGTCAGGTAGTCTGCGTCCAGTGCAATATACTCCTGAAAACTTCCATCCTCATGATGCAGGTGGTTTGTGCTCCTCAAGCAATACTGCTCCATTCCGGCAAGGCAGAACTCACATTGCCGGCAAATACGACTTGCGAAGCGGATGCCAACAAGATTCCCAACCTTGATATCTGATCCACAGCCGGGACCTAGAGCGATGATACGTCCGACTCCCTCATGGCCACCAACATGAGGGAGCTTGATCTGGGTGATGGGATTGCCGTCTGCACCAGCTGCGGTTCCGGCCTTAGTATGAAGATCTGTTTATTGACGTTATTATCCTTCTCTGAAACAAGACGCTTTCATGCCAGTTTCATGCCAGCTTCAGACATCGTACTCACCGCTCTGGCACACTCCAGAATAGAGAACCTTGGCTAGCACTTCATTGTGACCAGGTACAGGGACGGGATAATCGTCTTGGAACTCAACGGCGCCGCCGAGCTCGCGAACGAGCGCTACAGTTTGCGTCTTTGGGATTGATCCCGAGCTCATGGCTTCTACCTGTTCCTTTCGGTGACGAGTCAGGTTGTAACGATGCAAAAATTTGGTCGGGGGTGCTGGCTGCCTGAAATACGTCAGAGGGAAGGGCGACTAGATTCCGGGCCTGAAAACGCCAACAGGGCTCATTCGCTCGGAGCTTTAAGAGTTTGGGTGGCATCGTTATGTGAGAAATTGGAATCGTCCGCACGCGTACGGGATTTGACCTTGCCCCCACGTTTACTTCCTGGAACTCAATCAAGCATGTCCAAGCCGTTTTGCCGTTTGATTACCCCGAGTATCGGGATTTGGTTCGCGAAATGGGTGGAGTCGACGTGGAACGTTATTTGTCCAAAGGAAGGCCCTCTGGATCGGTCTGGACCCTGCAATCTGGGGGAGTGCGGGTAGCCTCCCCCACATTTTTTTGGAATGCAATGCCTAGGCTATAGTAAGGCCAGTCTTGCTGACCTTCCATTGATTTCGTTGTTTTCATATCCCGGCCAAAGAAACGGTAACGGATGGTTCGCGACTTTGCTACGAGGCAGTGCCTTCGGAGTGGATTCCAGCCAATTCAGAGCAAAACCCAATTCTACTCACTCCGTCCATGTCACTTTCCACCAGAGACCCAGTAATTTAGGATATAGTCTTGTGGTCTATGGTGGGATTCTGGCTAGATAGAGTTGGGATCACAAATTGCATGGATATCTTCGTCGGCGGACGGAACGATGGGATACTATCTCGAGCTGACTGTTCTTGCTTTGTAGACCACGCTGCGTAGTGTTTCACAAAATCATATTCGACTATCTATGCTCACAGATCTTGATAATCAGTCCTTATAAGGCACCACAATCATCTTGCGTACAGGGTTTATCCTTTTCTCCAGCGGGTAATCACCCCAGAAGTCTTGAACATGTCTCAGTATCTTATGATACCTCAGCCCATCCCCCGGCTGCGTATGGCCTGTAATTCCCATCCTGTCTGATTCGGCTCTTTTAGGAGGCATCAAAGCTCTGCCAAGAATCAGTTCGAGGCCCTTGAGCGAGAAGTCTGTCGCCTCCCTGGCGCTGCATGGAACGCCCAATTCATCCAGAAACGCAACTTTTGTTCTTGGGAGTTTCTCGCGAAGGTAATCAATAATGGCAGGGTTAAATGAACCGCCACCGCCGAGGTAGATCTCATCGACTCCTTCCTTGGGACCCCAGCGCTCGTACGCCTCTACAAGCGCTTGGGCCGTGATACGAGTGATGGTCGCGACGCAGTCTTCGGGAGTTGCGCCTTCAGCCATCATCCGTTCACAGAGTTCCTGGCTCCAGTTCTCTCCGAAAGTTTCGCGGCCAGTTGTCTTGGGAATATCATGGACAAAGTACGGGCCTTTGAGGGTTTCATCGACGATTGCTTGGTTCACGCGGCCGGCTCTGGCCATCGCTCCATCTTTGTCGTACTGGCGCTTGCCCTGGGTGAAATAGCGAACCGCACTGAAAGAAAATCAGTAAGCCTTCTGTGTCAAACAATATTGCTGCTCGACACAGCAATGGGCCGTTGACGATATACTCACCCATCAATAAAAACGTTGCCCGGGCCTACGTCAAAATCATACGCTTCATCCGGCGCGTTCTTGGGGCAAAATGTGATATTTGCAATACCACCAATATTCTGAACTGCTCGATTCAACGTGGGATGCGATGCGACCAGGGAATCAAAGGCCGAGAAGAACGGGCAACCTTGGCGGCCAAGAGCCATGTCGGAAACGCGGAAGTTGGACATGGTAGTAACGCCAGTGCGGGCAGCGATGATGGATATCTCGGACATGTCCAGATGAGCGCGAATCTGATTGCCTTCAAAGAGTTCTGGAAGAGGAAGATGCCAGATTGTTTGGCCCTGGCCGGCGATGATATCAACGTCTTCTTCAAGACTAAAACCTTCTCGCTCAGCGAACTGTCGGATTGCTTTGGCGGCGAATTCGCCGAGCTATATATGCTCATTAGTTTTCTGGTTTAAAAATGTACGGACAGTCACATATTACCTGGATATTAACCATTGATATCTCTTCGGGGGTCGTTTTATTGTATCTGATCATTCGCATGACCGTTTCTGTCGTTACCCTGAGCCTCAGAACCTATGTCTGCGCAAAGTGATATGGGCGCACCTTTCAGAGCTCCGTCAAACTCAACGTCCCCATGATTCAAAATCTCTATCTTCAAAGGTGCTTCTGGGTGCTCTTGCGTCCAATGGATACGGGCAATGTCAATTCCATCCATCGACGTCCCTGTTCCAATGTTCCGCGTTCAGTTGCGTTCAAGAACTTTGTCGTTAAGGTCGGTACTTTTCGAGTATTCATGCATACCTTGATTGGTCCCGATGATTCTCAGACTCAATGGTTTCCCGTTCCATTTGTTGCCATTGCTTTGGGTACCAACAGTCTCGTTGGTTGCTGTCTGGGCGACCGTCATCGTGGAAGTAATAATATCGCTTTACTCGCGAGCATATGCAAGAAGATAGACGAAGGGAAGTTCAGCCTGCATGGTCAGTTTGGACCTTTAAATGTTGGATCTGCATCCCCGGATTCTCGTCCGGATTTTCGGTGGAATAAAGACGGGTCCACTCAACTCGGGCCCATGACCACTCCACGCGTGGGGGTGTCTGAACTAATGAGTAGGTTAGAATGACTAGAACGCACCTTTCATTGCCCTTGGGCGGAAACATAAGCAAAGTATGCCTTTTCACCGGGGCCCTTTTAGCGCCCCGCTTGGGATCCCCGGAATACTACAAATACAATTACGTAGAGTGTCTACGTCTCAACAGCAGAACCGGCCTTTGCTAGGCCGGCAATAGTTATTCCCAGTCGCCTTGCCGCTATGGCGCATAAGTCATAACCCTATATTTTGGCCTGAGCGCCTCGAGACGATCACGTGGTCGGCAGCCGAGAGAAGTGATCAGCTATGACAGCTACAACCGTGCGCGAGTCTATTTCCAAACCCCATGTGCCGACAGCGAGACGAGCAGAACCAGGGTACCGGGCCATGCGCAAGCGGGGCCAATAAGTGTTTATCCTTCGCGCTAGCAGAAGCCGAGAAGAGGACAGGATCCAAGAGTCACTTTTGGTGGGAACGTACGGCGGACTATTGTATAAAGGAACACATCGTATTTTTACAATGATTACATCTCACCACACCCACCCACCTGTGGTCGCACGCACTGTACTACCATATAGTAGTACTAATACTAAATCACTACAGTAGGGATGTCGAATCGCCATATAGTATTGATATCGCATACCATATAGGATCGAATACCATATAGTATCAATATCGAATCGCCATATAGTAGGGATATCGAATACTATATAGTAAGGATATCGCGTACCATATAATATCAATATTAAATGTTATATAGGTAGTATTAATATCAAATTATTATTTTTTGGTATTAATAGTCTGCCGTAAGATAGGCATCTCCGCTTCTCTGAAATCAGTTTGAAAATCAGGGGTAGATGACCCCACGACCACCACCAACGACTTTGTTCCACTCCTACTTATATTGGTCTCTTTCATCATCTTGGTGCTTATTCTCCCCAATCCGCACCCCAGTCAACATGACGCGCAAGTTCTGGGAGCGCATGAGCGGCGCTCAACTCATCTTCATGGTCAACTTTATCGTGGCCTGGGGCATTTTCTTCGAAGGGTGGAATCAGGGAAGCATGGGATTTGTTAACAGCACCCCGACATCCAAGTAAAAATGGGCCTCGGTCCCGGCGATGGCACTGTCAATAACCCAACCACAGAGGGTAGCATCGTCGCTATTTATTACCTCGGTGCCACTATTGGCGGTCTTCGGGGCGGCCACGTTGCCGACCAGTATGGCCGTGTTAAAGCGGTGATATTAGGGGTGCTATTTGTCCTTCTTAGTGGATCGCTAATAGTTAGTGATGATTAGATTTCACTAAATATATGCGACGCATACTGACACGTAATAGGCCGTAGCCGAAAACATCGCCTAGATGTGCTATTCCCGCGTTATCGCTAGGTTTAGCGTCGGTTTTTTTATCTGTATTATTTCCATCTAGTCCTCGGAGATCACTTCGGCTCGCCGCCGCGGGTCGCACTTCTCCCTGCTCTAGTTCGACAACTTCCTCGGTATCTTTAGCGCTTACTAGGTCGGATATAGGCTATCGTTTATCAATAGCGGCGATTCTACACTCCAGTGGCGCTTGCCCCTCGCTTTGCAGGTCGTTGCGCCCGCCGTTATGGTCCCCGCCATCTGGGTGATGCCTGAGTCGCCGCGGTGGCTGATATGCTTTATCAACTCTCTCATGATACGCTGTGATTGTTAAATATCTTGAATTACATACAGGTTGGTAGGCACGAGATAGTGCAATGTATTCGATATCCATGAAAGTAACCTATATCCGAAATGGGGGTGAATATTAACAATGACCATCATGAAATGCTATCACAGCGTATCTCCCATTTCGGACCCAGGCACCGCTTAGAGCTTCGGCATTCAAGGCGTCCACCTTGCCTTGACTCTCTACACCAACGCAGGTGTCGGACTTGTTCGTGCGAAGAGCGAGGATCTTCATCCTGCTCTTCCCCAAGGGACCAAGCGCCTCCCGGAAGGACGTAGTGTAGGGCCACAGCCCATCCTTGGTTAGTTTACGGTAGTTCAGATCGCCCTTGAATATGACGAGGTAGCTGGACTGAAGGTGATCAAAAAGAGCCGGTGCTCTGATCGGCATCTCATGGAAGGAGTAGGGGGTTGTCCAGAATGGGTCACTCGTTATGCTAATGGCGCCAGACTCAAAGAACTTGCGTAGTCGCGGAACCAGTCGATCGAGGTACTCGCGGTCAGGGAAGCATTTGGCTGATTCAAGATGCTCAAAAAGTGAGTCCACGTCAGTCGGAACGACATCACTAACGAACCAGGGGAACTGTTTTATATGTAATTGCATCGAAGTTGCAATCTGACAATCCAAGAGATAAGCCGCGTAGATCAAGTCCGTGAAGAGCTCGAACCCAGCATTGTCCAACACCATATCGACATGACGATCTACCGGCGATGGAGTACACTGGAGGTACGTCCAGACGGCATCAGTATCATTATCCACGATATTCTTCTGGCTCTTCTGGATGGCGTCCTGTCCCTGGAGATCCTGCATATCTTCCATGCTTAAATGGCTTAGTAGCGACAAATCAGTTGCGTTGCCCCACAGTGCAATTTCGGTCATTTCGATGAACAGCAACCGCCGCGCCTCCTCGCTACCGTGGCTCGCAAGATCCGACTCTGCTACGACTTGCATGTACCGGCTGGCGAGCTCTTCCACGGCGACTCGTGACTTGACAAAAGTTGAGTCCTTTTGACGCTTGAATACGTCATAGCCCTGCCATTTTTTGGATGTGTTGAAGACGGTCTGGATGCGCCTGCTTCAATCAGCCTGTGACTTTGAAGCTCCGAATAATGGTAGTACGTACCTGTACAAATAACACTCTGCGAATAGCCACAGGCAATCCAACCAACTGCAATTTCCAATCGCGTTGAGCTGCTTGTTAAAATCACCAATGCCAGGTGCTCCATCTTCTCGTAAAGGTCTATTGGCAGTTAGCGTACGCTCATTGACAGCAGTTTGGGACTAGACCGACTTCAAAGGCTCATTCCGTTCGATCTCATGCATGATCTCCTGCAGCGCAATCCTCATGGTAGCCCACTCGGCCCGCTTGTCCTTGTCGGAAGAGGCTGCGGTCTCGTCAACATCGTCAACGGTTCCTTCAACAATCTTGGGCCACCTGTTGACGGCCGTCTGTTGAGCCATCGACCCTTGGTCGGAGGTCCATACGGCGCGGATTTCTTCAGTTGGGGAAGGCATGATAAATAAATGGTTTATGAACCTTTGAAATGTATTAAGGTACGTTGAGATCGCTGTGACCTCTTGACTACATTCCACCGCGGAAAGGAGCCTTAAATCATCGTCTGAACCAAATACTCAAGCAACATTGAGGTATGTGGACCGCTGTTTGGCCGTCCTTAACTCCGGAGTCCTGGCGCCCGGCGAGAAAAAGACTCGGGTAAGAAATAGTGTATCTCTCCCCCGCAGTAGAGAGGTTTTAAGCCCCGCCTTGATTTACTTACTCCGCACGGCCCAAATTCCCATAGAGCAAGCATGATTTGTAACAATGTCAGGACAGGGCATGAGCGCATCTTGCCTTTGTTGCAGAGGTGTTGACATTCCGAGTCTTCTTGTTTATTCGACACTGGATCGCCGAAATTAGCCTGGCAGGTCTGAGTCTGACCGTCCGAGCAAGCGCGTTAGCGTGGGGGTTTAGGGTTTAGATGCTTCACTGGCAGCTTTCCATAAGAGTGGAATTCTAGGTGCAGCACCAGCTCTCATTAAGCTTTCCGCACCTTGAGCCCTTCTTTCACCATGTCGACATTTAGGAAAGGCGACAGTGATGTGTTATATCATCAGCACTCAGCCAAAAAAGGGTGTCAAGACAACCATCTCTAGCTAGTGGGAGATGATAGTTAGTGGTAGCAGGAACAGGGACAACACAGCAGGGGACACAACATGGTGTGTCTTTACCATGGTGCGAGAGGGGAAACACTTCCCAGCTGCAATATGCTGCATTAAGCTCAGCGCCTACAGTCACAATTTAATGGAATGTTCTCTGCCATCAGTCTGTTTCCTTAAGCGTCTTATACCCATAACGACAATTTAATCATCCCAAATCGTGTCTGCAAACTCTCAAACTCCCCAAATATTCAAACTTCTCCCATGCCGTCTTCATACTCCCAACTTTTCCAACCGTTTGGACTCTACAATAAACACAGTCCAACGTCCTGCCAGACCATAGTGGACCCTAGGCAACCTCGCCGTGCTCAGCAGTTGAAACGGCCGCGTTGCCCGTACCCTCCGACATCTCGTTAGAGGATGATGGCGTTTTGGTTCCGATATCATCTAAACCTAAAACGATACGAGCTTGGTGGACATCTGCATGGACGTCTTTGAACTCTCTTGCAACCGCGACTGGGCTGCGCCGCTCGTGGTGCGCCTTGGCAAAGAACAGGTCCATATCCTCCAGGGAGCGACCAGCCGTCTCCGGAACGAAGAAGTACGTGATTGGGACGAAGGACAGGTTAATGATCGCAAAGACCATATAGAGCCAGTAGTGGATGTTCTTGAAACCAACGGGGGCGATCATGAGCCTGATATGCGCTAAGTTAGCAGAAGACTTTAGGGTAAAGGCACTTGGAACATACGTGATGAAACAGAATATCCAATTAGAAGCAGTTCCAATAGCATTTGCTGGTGCACGAATACGGAGTGGTGTGACTTCCGCATTGTACAGGAATGGAATTCCAACCCAGGCTAGGCCGAAGAAGGTGTTGAACAGGAAAATACATGCGATGGCGACTGCCTGGGCAGCTTTACTGGGACTCCGGAGGAGGAAGGGAAGCATGAAGAAACAGGCCCCCTGGCCAGTAGCAGCGAACATCAACATTTTACGACGGCCGACCCTCTCGATGAAGAGGATGGCGAGGAAGGTGAACAGGAAGTATTGCGTGCCATTGGCCCCAGCTAAGAGCTGAGCTTTCTCGGCAGATAAACCGAGCTGTTTGGTGAGGATGACGATGACATAGGTATTGCAGACGTTGATGCCAGAGATTTGTTGAGCGCCTTGCACGAATATACCGAGCATCATACGTCTGAAGTTTTGGTTCCTGTCGTTGGTAAAGAGTTCCTTGTACCGGAATGGCTGATCTCCTTTTTGAGCTTCGATGGATGTCAATATGAGTTGCGCGGCTTCTTCGACTTCCTCGGAACTCGAGGGAAGGTCAAGCAAAGCACCAAGGATGAGGTACGCATCTTCCTTGTATCCATGCTTCAACAGCCACCTTGGAGACTCTGGAAGGAAGAAGACGCCAACAAAAACAACGGCGGCAATGATACATTGGATGCCAACGATCATGCGCCACGATACTTGGTACTCATCACCGACCCCTTTCAAAAAACTTTCGGATATAAAGTGAGCTATGGCTCCTAATGGGAGGTTTATTTGACTTACGCATATCCCACCCAGAAAGATGTCATCACACCGAAGGAGCACAGCGCACCTTCCAGCATCACGAAGTAACCTCTGGACTTCGGCTTGGCACACTCACTTTGCCAAGGAGGCACAGTAGCAACTTCGAGGCCCAAACCGACACCGGCTACCACACGACCAACTAGGAACTGAGGCAACCCGAAAGCAGAAGCCTGGAGGAGTCCACCAACGAGAATAAGTGCCTGGCCGAGCAAGACCGTCTTTCGTCTACCAAGACGATCACCGATTTCGAGAAGAGAGAGAGCACCAAGAAGGCAACCGATTTCGAAGATACCAACAGTGATACCTTGGATGTTAGGATTTGTGGCAGTCGACGGCATGGTTTCAATAAATGACTGCGATATCAAACAAGTGAGAACTCGCAGTCGCGAAGGAGGTCGAGAACAGCTACTTACCTTCTGCGTAAGCACCGAACCCATGTAACCCATGTCATAGCCGAAAAGGAAAAACGAGCATCCTGCAAAAAAGGCGATGGCAGTGTTAAGCCTCTCGCCTGTCAAACCTCCAAAAGTGTGAATCATTTTGAGCGATTGTAGTCGTCGTAGGTTTACAGAACACAGTACTTGGTCTAAGGAGCGCAGGACTGAGGGACACCGAAGAGCCCTTATGTATCAATTTCCATACCTGCACCGCATCATCCGCATGTGATCCAGCTGTTTCATTGCGATCAGTCCATTCTCCATGAAGCTTGGGTCCAGCTTGCTTCGAAAGCTGTAGGTTCAATATCCACCCGGCCCCCCACGCGAGCTTCTCCAGAGCTTATTACCCCGCGGGGTGCTCAAGCTGTGGAGGCGCGTGTCAGCTTGACGTTTCTACCCAGGGATAGATGGATTATTGCACAGGGCCAGACGCGGTTAGCTGCCGCAAGATGTTTGGTCCCGAGCTCGTCTCGACATGATGTGGAGCCGGGGTATGCTCACTGAGCTGGAATAAGGTTATTCGGTATTCCCCGCAAGGATGGGCTGCGCAGCAGACATTATTCTGGGCCCACTTCTGACATGGCTTGTATTAGCTAACCACCCTGCATCAGCACGCAAAATCATCCAATAGTACTTCTAATTGGGAGATTTGAGATGTGGGACTTTTTAACGAAGGTGGAATATGGGTAGAGGGAGTAACATGAGTGCGGGGAAGCAGGATATCTGGGGAAAGCTTGCTCATCCCACGGTTCCCACCATCTCTGACATGCGACCCCACAGCTTGAGCACCCCATAGGGCCATAGGGTAAGCTCTGGAGTAGCTCGCGTGAGGGGCCGGGTGGACGCGCATTATGAATCCCAAAACTCATGCTTCTGACCCTTGTCGCTGCCTGTTTGACTCGCAGCTCGGCCTTTGGTTGCCGCGCCCTATTTTCCTCGGCACGCAGCTCAGTTGCCCTCGAAAATGACTGACAGCGGTGACATCCAGACGTGCTCCTGCCTTCCTCCACCACCCCCTCACTGAAGGTCCTCCAAGGTCGGCAGACCACATACGATTCTCTTTGTGAGGCAAAGTGAGAGCCGTGCTTTATCAAGGATTGATGCCATACACTACACTGAATCGTTTCCATGGATTAACTGCAAAATTTACTTTCTTATTCCTCCTAGTATTCACAACTCTTGCCCTTTGGCCTAGGCGGAGGCAGTCTCGACATGTTTACAAGGCGTTTCGCTTGCCAAATCTGAGACCTCCATTTACCATCATTTGACTGTGACTAAGAAAGGGGATCAGGGGATCAACAATCCATGGAGATACCCACATGACATTTAGCTGCACAGGGCTGGGAAAATTGAGGGATTGGACTGTAAGTTCATAAGTTTTGCTTTCAAAACCAAGGACCTCAGAATCACAGAATGCTAAATAAAGTACCAAATCACACATAACTCACAACTTTGGGACATCTGATACATCCCTAGACAGTAAGACAAGGCTGATTTGACCTACTGACAAAGATCGACTGTCATTTCGAGGTTCTCTCTATAACCTGGTCAATGTTGTATTACCCATTTCACCTAATAGTTTTGAAGTTTACTTGTGTATATTGTAGTTTAGAGCACATACAACTGGACTGGACGTGACATGGACAGGCCAACTAGATCATAGGCGTCATGGGCATGAGGTAGCCATCTACACATCCTTGAACAGATACACTCTTAAGACAACAATCGTTGCCTATGCTCTCAAAGAAGCTATTCGCTGTGGTAACTATAGTTTCTAGTACAGTACATACAAATGATAAACTAATGAAGGTCTGATTCTTTTTAATCTAGTATCTAACGAACGAATATTCATACTCCCGGAATCGTACCTCAGGGGCGAAATGAGAGGCATCCAGCGTATTCCTGCAGATAGCGCGGTAGTGGAAAAAGATATCTATCTAATAGGCAGGTAAGGTGAATCTGTTCGAACCGATAACGTTGAGGCTATACACATCTCCCAATTAGGCAATTGTGTTGAATCGTTGGCGTAGCAAGAGGTTTGAAGCTCCTCGATCAGGCATTCCGGCCAACGCGGTAGTTAGGTGAGGCGGTCAAGGTCGGCAGTACCGGTACCGGCTTATGGGCTACTGGATCCACTCTTAGCTTTCCCCGCATCACATCAGCCACGTAGTTTACTGTTGCATCAAGACTTGTCCGTCACGGTCAGACCATCGCCTCATTCGATTTGGTAGCAAGTACCCCTACCCGAACACTTGGAGAGAGAGAAATGGATGGAGACCACTCAAAGAAGGTCGAGAACCGGATGGTGCGACATTGTCTCAATCTTTCTGGCTTGTACAGTCACACTGACCGTTAGCCTCATATCAGTTATACCTGTCGCCAACGTCATCTGAAATGTCAGTGTCTCCAGAGCTTGCGGGTGCTGCAACTATCGCGCTGACCTGCGATCCCTTTTTTTCCTTTTAGGCGATGAAGAAAAACCCATTTGCTGGAGATGTCGGATTGGTGGCCGAAACTGCCTCCGGCCTCACAATTCTGAGGCCCAACCCGCGCGTCCAAGACGGACCACGATTTACGAGAAAGCATTTCAAAGAGCCTCACCTGGTACTAGTGCCCCGGCGCAGTTACCAATCCTGAACGACGTGCGGGACAATGTTGATCCATCTCCCATAGTGGCTGCTCCTCCTGCGCAGAGCGTCAGCAGCTCACCTGATTCGGGAGTAACAGGTATACCAACCACTCCATCAACATTTATTTCAAGTGTCACCGTACCCACGTCGCTCGCTGAAGGGACCGCTCCGCCCGGAGAGGCCGACCTAGCTGCGTCGGCCCCCTTCGATGTTCAGACCCTGCAGGGAATCCAACTTCATCTCGACCATAGCGACATCAAAGCTGCTTCGCCCACTACACATGGCTCCACCCCGTTCACTGTGTCCACAGAAGAGGAAACTTTGCTCCAGCACTATGCGCGCCATCTGGCAAAATGGGTGCGTAATACCCTTTTCTACATTGACTGATAATCGACTCACGTTTTCTTGAATCTAGATGCGGTTCTCTGACGCCGATCGACACTTCACTATCACGGTGCCACATCTTGCACGTCGCTCTCCAATCCTTCTCAAGGCGGTCTCGGCTTTGGCAGCGCGGCATCTTTGCTGCTTGGGAAGCTGGGATTCCGCTATTGCGGAGGATTATCACAAACAGTGCATCGGGTTGCTGATACCCGCGCTGGGTGATCCCAACGCTGCGACTGATGATACCCTACTCGCAGCCTTGGTCCTGCTAAGACTGTACGAGCATCTAAATGGTGAGTCGGCCTGGACACCTTTCTGCTGTTTTCGTACTGCTCATTGGCGTGTTGTCTGATATCATGTTTCTGGTGCAGTGTCCGACAGCGGCCGGGATTACGAACACCATCTCAGAGGCGTATCGGCGATGGTCACCTCCACGATCCGCAATCCCTGGGCCGCTTCAGGCTCCGGGCTGAAATGGGCGGCATTTTGGTGTTGTTTTCGACAATCAATCTACCCTGCCTGTGTCTACCGGCAACCGCTGAAGTTCGACATCTCCGGCTCCAACATCGAAGTCAGATTGTCATCTCCGGCTGCTGGCGTGATGCCGACGGTAGAGGAGGAGTCAGAATGGTGCCACTGGATAACATGGATTCTAGGCCAGGTTGCTGATTTCTGCTTTGGAACGAGGTCGCTTGAGATGACGCGGACTGAGGAGAAAGAGGCATGGAATGGATTGGTGCAGGCGGTAGACATGTGGGAGGCTAATAAACCGAAGAGTTTTCTACCGGTAGCGTGTAATGATCGGGAACCGGAACAAGGGAGATGGTTCCCCGAGGTATGGTTCGGAAGCGAATGGCACGGTGTGTTCTACGTAGGGTGAATCTCCAGAAGAGAACCTATTTTCGCTAACCACGATCGAATGGTAGCAATGGCTGCGGCGCAGTCCTTGGCCGCGCGAATCCTGCTCGATGTTCACCATCCGCAGACACGGAAGATTACCATTGGAGAATTCGGCTTTCTTAGGGCAAGACAGCAACTTGAGGTCCGTACCCGCAAGTGGCATGTTCGTATCCTTACTCATGGAGGCGCAGAGAAAGGTCCTTTTGTATGCCAGGTCGCTTTGCGGAATTTGTCTCACAGACCCAACTAACGTTGCGGCTATTTTCACCATGTGTCATGCTATTTTTGCCTGTAAGTCCAGTTGGTCCCTCGGATCTATTGAGACTGATATGACGACTCTGGGATCGATTAAGTTTCCTCGTTTATCAATGTCGATGAAGAAAGGCGACTGTTGGTTCGAGTTCTGAGGACCGTAGAGAGGGACGAAGGCTGGCCTACAACGTGAGTTCTCTTAGCTTCCTTTCCGCCGTGGTTTTAACTACTGGAAGGCGCTGACCGTTTACTAGATGGATTGTGAATGCGCTGAAGGTGGACTGGGATGTTGACTGGGTGGACGAGGAATCCCAATCAGTGTGATATTTTTTTCATAGCTCATATAATCCATTCGATATATATCTAAGCTTCCATTTCGATATAAATTAGGCTCATAGCATGGAAATAGTTACTATGAAAGCCATAAGAGATGGAGCCAAAGCTCAGTGGGAGGGATATGATTCATTTATATCAATACACTTGTGTAATAGGTGTATATTCAAAAGAAAGAGATACACACACACAGAGAGAGAGCACAGTATTATATCTGCATGAAATGCTTGCTGAAAGTTATCTAATCATGGGTATATCATGCATCATCCTCTTTAACAAAACCAAATATCTTCCAGTAACTGCTTCGCTTTCTTCATCTCTCCCATGATATGCTTTTCAGCCTGCTCTTCAGGCCAACCTTTTATCTCAACGAAAAGTCGTATTAAGGTGCGCCTGACCCCCCTCGCCATACCTGCACTCCCGCAGACATACAAAACGGCATCCTGCTCTAATAGTGCGGCGACCTTTTCCGTCTCCTCTATGAGCTTATCCTGTACGTAAACCTTTCTCTCGTCGTGTCTGGAGAAGGCATTGATGAGCTCAAAGCCAGGCAGCCGCCTCGCATAGCCTGCCCATTCTTCAGAATAGAGGAAGTCCTCTGTGGGAGATCTACAGCCAAAGAGGCGGATGCCGACGGGTCCGCGAAAACTGAAAGTCTTCCTTCGTCGGGCTCTGACGGATCCCTGTGTAATGGCTTTAGACAAATTGGCATCTCTCACATGCTTCGTTCCCATTTTTTTAAGATTTAGGCAGGGTTACAGACTGAGAATGCGTCACAGCATTCTTGGCATTTGCTAGTCTACGAGCCTCTATAGCTTCATCTGCACTGGTTGCAAGTATATCTTTCGTGCTTGCCCTCTCTTCTGTTCTGTAGCTCTTTCGCCACGACCCGCTGTAGTCTGTTCCTACGCCTGGCTTCACTGTCCTGTAAGAGCGTACTTGTCGGAACGTCGGTTATAGTTACTTAACTTTATAGTTTATGTGGTTATTTAGGCTACTGTATTACGCATATGTACCGGATAATGTCTGGCAACTCTTGGCATTTCCTTTCCGTTTTAGTGTATGGGACTCGGCATGATGCGCCAGCTCAGTGATTTGAGTCTTCAAACTAGAATCCAGCTTGACGTTACGCGACGTGAAAAGTGCTAGCCTATCTGAAACTCATATTGCAAGAGGGAAATACTGGGCATTATTATGGCAAATTGAGAGCCGTGAACAAGGATGTGAATAAGAAGAATGCCTTAGACTCATGTGAGAAAAGTCTGGCTCTACGTGAATAACTATCTTGACAGATAAAATGATGCTATGCGACATGACAGTTGAGGTTTGAGCCTGACACAGCTCCTTTTCACACCTCCTCAAGCGCCGCATCATACACAATGCCGGCCATCTCTCTAGCACGGTCCATCCATCCAATCACCCTTCCACTCTCCTCCTCGCCAATAACCTCGCCCATGCCCTGAGAACACCCCTTTCTCCTTGCCACTCTCTCCGCGATAACATCAGCCTGATACCAGATGCCCCAACCCTTCTCCACGGGCATTTTGACCACCTCTTCCGTCTCCATACCATTTTCATCCAGATGCTCCTCGTCATACCACTGAACGTGTAGTTCCTGAGGTCTGATAGGAGGGAAGGGAATAGAAACTGACGCCTTGGTGGCTTCGATACGTACAGCCGGTGCTGCTTTCGTGGCCTGTAGCCGTTGGTAGAAAGCTGGTTTGCTGGAGCCAGGAAGAGTCATGCTCGTCGTGACTATAGCGACCGCCTCCTGTTGCTTGCTGCCGCTCTCCTTGATTTTAACTTTGTTGAGTATGACGGTGTTGATATCGTCCACATCCCCAGACACACCCGGAACCGGCATGGAATGCGCATGCACAACTTCAGTCTGCGTCTTATCTGGACTGGATGCAAGGCCATTGAGCGCGAGATCAGCCCACGTCAATGCATATACGCCCTGATCCAACAAACTTCCCGCCCCAGCCGCCTTATTGAGGAACCGGCTTTCATGACTCAAATCCGGTGACACGATGGGAAAACTGAACTCGGCGTACACGCGTTTCACATCGCCGATGCGTGGAAGTAGCTCATGCTGGAAGTAGAGCGTAGCAGGGAGATAGCGCGTCCACATCGCTTCCATGAGCACGACATCTCCTTCTTTTGCTAGCTTGCACAGTTGAGTGAATTGTGCGCGGTTCATCGTTGCTGGTTTCTCGACGAGCACATTGCGTTTGCACTGTAGGGCTTTTTGCACGTGGGCGTAGTGCAAGGGGTGTGGCGTGGAGATGTAGACGACGTCAAAGTCTCCTTTTTCCAGCATTTCTTCCCAAGAGTGGTAGACGGTGACGGACTCGGCATTGGGGATTTTGTTCTGTTTCAGCCAGTCGGCTGCACGAGAGGCGCCGCCGGTCGTACTGACTGAGACGAGCTCATGTTTGATGGACACAGAAGATTCCCGGGGAGGAGCAGGTCTGGTAGGAAGACGGAGGCGATGTTAGAGAGGGAGAGTGCTGCCCAGCGGCAGGTGAATTGGTTCTGCGCCATTGTGGGCTACGTGTATATCGTATTGCTTGTGCTGGAAGTCTTTCGGACAGTGGCTTAGGCCTGGGAATGATTGGTCCTCCCTCCAAATAATTCAACTTATGGCTGCCTCCGAAGACGTGCGTATTCAGAGAGGCTATCAGAGGTTAAGAATCGTCCTAAATATCGAGGAATTTGAGGTTACTCCATGTCTGGTTCTATACTCTTCCCCAGACACTAAGCCAAGAGCACGTTCCGCCAACCGTTTAGCCGTTCTTTCAACAATTTAGCCGTCCGCTCAAGCGTTTAACCGTCGTATAAGCTGGAAGTTTGTCTAAGCCACCAAAAAATGCCGGTTTAGAGCAGGTAATGGCCTATTACAATGTACATCAGATCATCTATATGGTTAGCGATACTGGCGATGCGGGGATATTGGGCCCCATCATATTCCTCTGCGGAGATTTTGCCCCTCCCATTCTATAGCGGCCCTGACATCCTTGAAGCCGCCTGACTTTTTCTTATAAGAGCAAAGGTCGTCGGTACAACAATTAAGCCTCTTCTCCAGACTCACTCCGGGTAAATCTTTCGTTCACCCACCAGCACTTTTATACACACCAATTCTTCACCATGGCAACCGACTTAGTGAGTACTGTCAACGCAATGTACTGTATACCTAGCTTTTGCTAATAATCTATAGTTCACGCTCAAAGGCAAGACCGCCGTCATCACCGGCGCAGCACGCGGCCTAGGTCTCACATTTGCCACCGCACTGGCGAGCGCAAACTGTAACCTCGCCGTGCTAGACATCCTCCAAGAGCCTTCCCCCAGTCTTCTCGCTTTGCGAGACCACCATAACATCAAATTGGAGTATTACCGCACGGACATCACCTCGCGTTCCGAGATCACTGCCGCAATTGAGAAGATCGAAGCGCAGTTTGGACGAATCGATATCAATGTCAATGCCGCGGGCGTGGTCACGGACGAGCCCTTCCTCAAGACGACCGATAAGAATATCGAGCGCACGTTCGCCGTCAACTTTACCGGTTCCTTCCTCGTGGCTCAGGCTTGTGCAAACAGCATGGTCGCTCGGTACAAATCCACCCACGGCCACGAGTTAGCAACGCAGTCTACTACTGGCACGATCATCTTTATCGCCAGTATCGCGACGCACATTGTCTCCAGCGCGCAGCAGATCAGTTGCTATACAGCATCCAAAGCGGCTGTGAAGGGACTGGTGAAACCCATGGCCATGGAACTTGCGCCGTATGGAATTCGAGTCAATTCCTTGAGTCCAGGGTATATGATGACGGATATGATGCGAGGATTGCAAGAACAGCAACCTCAGCTGGTGGACCAGTTTGAGAAGGAAACTTTGTTTGGGCGGATTGGGATGCCGGACGAATTGAAGGGTGCTATCTTGTACTTGTGCTGTGATGGCGCAAGTGGGTGGTATACAGGGCATTTGTTGGTTGATGGTGGGGCGAGTACTTGGAAGCATCCAGCTGTTTTAGCATCAAACTAAGAAGAGTAGCAGAAAAAATATTCTGCAACTCTGTGTTAGCGTTGACCATTGGAATAGAGCAATGCACTGGGTTTGACCATTACATAACACGATTATTCTATCGATCGCAAAGAGAGAGACACTGGGGCTCGGGCAATACAGTGGGTCTCTGTTATCCCCTTCTCAGCGAGAATCAGGCCCGCTACCAGTGAAAATTTGCCTCTTAAACGCCAAATCGGAACCGTAAGACTTCACAACTCTCAAATACGTACTATATAGAGTACGAAAATGTCAAAAGGAAATATCATTCTTATATATAACGGTACAAGTACAACTTCAACCGAACCACTTCTTGAATGCCCAACAAAACAGCATTCTTCTCATTTCGGACTATTGATCCCCAGTCAGCCAGAGGATCTTCCTTAGACTTTGTTTGGCGACTCTTCTACATGACCGAATCCGTTCTTCTCGCCCTCCGCCGCAACCACCCTTCTTGGATCGAGATCCGTAGTGCCATCAACCTCGTCCAAAAGCCTTCGCGCAGCTACGGCAATGTTACCACCGGCCTCATTGATGCGCCGGTGATACTCTGCCATGTTCTTGCTCACAAGCAGACTCTCGCTCGTGAACAGCAGGTTGATCTCTTCGAGTGATCTACCGGCGACCTCGGGATAGAAGAACCAGACGAGTGGCATGGCGAGGACGTTCATACACCCAAAGAAGATGAAGGTGGCCCATCCCAAGTGGTCTAGCATGATCGGAATCACGAAAGTGTTCATTCCGCACCCGATCGCCCAGCCCAGAATAGTGAACGAGTAACCTTTTGCCCGCACTTCCTGCGGCCAAATTTCCGTGCCATAGATCCAGCATGGGACGATGTTGAACATGGTGAAGAACCAGAGGTAGACGAAGACGAACGCGGCTGCGGCGGTGCCTAGGCTGGATGCCGTGGCCGCATCGGTGGCTTGGCGATTCTCACTCTCCTTGATAAGCACGGCGACAAGAAATAAGGCGATACCCTGCGTGACGAAAGACATCATGAGGGATTTAACCCGGCCCATACGGTCGATCACCAGTGATGCAGCGGCGGTGCCCAGGATACCAAAGGTGTTGACCAGACCGGCCAGCCAGGCTGACTTATAGGCATCGAACCCGGCAAGGCTGAACAGCGTACCAGCCCAGGTGGCAATAGCGAGGATACCTGTCCATTGCTGGATCTGCTGGAGTGCCAGACCCATGACAACGCGTCGACCAAGATGCAGTTTCCCCGAGTAGCGCCCGCCGAGGACGAGATTGAGAAAGTTGTTTCGTTTGTGGTGCGATGCTTCGACAATTGCTTCGAGCTGCTCAACTTCGGCAAGAAGCTTAGGGTCATGGGGATCCAAGTCGCCACGGATCTTGCGCAGGATACTGACCGCTTCCTCACGGCGATTATTGGCCATCAGCCATCTCGGTGACTCGGGCAGGAAGAAGACAGTAAGAATGACAATCAAGACGGGAACCGTCATGAACGCCAGGGGGAAACGCCATTGGAATTCCACTGTGGACGACCTGATACCGAAGTTGAGCCAGTACGCAATCGCAATGCCGGCGTAGTTCGCAACGAAGACGAGCGAGAAGTTGGAGCCGCGGTCGTGTGCTTGAGAGAGCTCGCTCACCCACGGCGGAACGATAGCGTTGATGAACCCGATGCCGATCCCTGCGATGACACGCGCGCAGATAAACATGTTACTGTTTTCACTGGCGGACATGAGCGCCGCGCCGAGCATGCAGAAGAGTGAGCCGATCCAGACGCCCTTTTTTCGGCCGAGCTTGTCGCCCACCCACCCTGTTCCCATCCATCAGTATCTAGAAGTGCACTAATAACAACAAAGGGATGTTGAAGTGATTTGTCCGTACCTCCAACGAAACATGCCCACATGGCACCGAAATAGTACGCTGCCAGCAGACCACCCTGCTTGGTGCTGTTGGTCACGACACCATTGGACCCGATGCCGGCCATGTCAATGAAGCCTGGCGTCGTACTGACGGTACCCAGAACTCCCTGGTTGTAGCCTTCGAAGATGAGGGCAATAGCGGTGAAGAGGTTGAGGATAAACATGAGTGCCTTTCCGGGCAAATGTTTCCACAGGTGGACGGCCATGGTGAGGGCGCGTACGTCGGGCTGCCACTGCGATCTGTGAAATTGAACAAGGTCAAAGGAAGCGAAGATAGATGAGGGACGATAGAGTACTCAGGTGAAATCACATCGCAGGAGGATTGGTGGTGGTTTATGTATGGACATTCTGACGACGCGGAGTACACGCCACCCAGTCGACTCCAGACTCCAGGCCCCAGACCCCAGACCCAAGACCCCAGATACATTTACTCGGGGAAAGCTGATCAGATACTGACGTAAACCTGGCCGAGCCGCAGGTCCGAAGCCTTTTAGCAGTTTAGCCTCCCTTCTCCCCAGCATTGTTCCTTGGCTTCACTGATCCAAACCGTTTAGCCGTTTTGACATTTAGCCGTGTCCCTTCGGGCCGGATTCCGGGGGCCGCCAATCAGGAGTTGGTCATGGTTTAAGTGTGCTCTGTACCCCAGAAGTATAGCCCTAAAGACCCCATAGACCCCAGGGAACCGACGAAAAGAAAACCAACCATCACTGATAGCGGTAGTTCCATGCAGGCCGACCAGTTCACCCACATTGTCGTTGGCGCCGGTTCGGCGGGCTGCGTTGTGGCCCGTCGGGTAGCCGAGAACCGGGCCTTTAACGTCCTGCTGATCGAAGCCGGGCCCGACGTTGACACGTCTCCCGCCAATGCTTCCTTCATACCCCATGGTGTGCATGATGCCCGCCGGGTCCCCATGGCAGGTCAATCCGCGATCTTTGACCCCAAGATCGACTGGAATCTTGAAGTCGACGTGGCTGGCGGAGGGCAGATGATTGTCCCGCAGGCAAAGGTTATGGGCGGAGGGAGCAGTATCAATGGGGGCACCTTTTTGCGACATACAGAAGCCGATGCAAGGGAATGGGTTGCGTTAGGAAATGATGGCTGGGATTTCGAGAGTTCAGTCGCTGTATACGAAGGCCTCGAAGGCGACCCCCTTCGAGGCACACGCGGACCGCATCCCATTGCCAGAGCGAGTATGGACGAAGCAGGCAAGATTCAGGCTGCCTTCGTCGACAGCGTTGCATCTCGCGGTTTCCAACTTACCCCGGATCTGAAGGCCACGGGAGCGGAGGGTGTCGGTCCGGCACCCGTCTGTCGTCGCGGCTCCACCCGGGTCAGTGCAGCGGACACTTTTATCGGCCCGGCCCGAAGCTTCACCAATCTTACTATCTTGACCGATTCGCTAGTGGATCGAGTGCTCTTCCAGGACTGCAAGGCCGAGACAGTTGTGCTTGCCAACGGCCGCAAGATACACGCAACCCACGAAATCATCCTTTGTGCGGGCGCCGTATTTTCGCCCGCTATCTTGCAACGCTCGGGTGTCGGCCCAACGGAGCTACTTCGACGACATGGAATTGCGCCTTTGGTCGAGCTGCCGGTAGGATTGAATCTTAGCGACCATCCATGTATCCCACTAGTCGCGCGGCCACGACCCGGTGCTTACACGGACACGGATTATTCCTTGCAGATGCAAGCGCGATGGTCGTCGTCGCTGAATCCCGGTGCTGTCGACTTGCAGATGGTTTGTTTCTCCTATCTCTTCGCCCAGTCGGCGGACCCGTCCACACCACGAGGAGGCCAGCCGCAAAGGAGCTTGGGGGGCACCGAGACCGGTCATGTTGCGGGAATAGGATGTAACATCAATAAGCCCACTTCACTCGGCATGGTGGAGATCCGCTCCAAAGACCCGAACCAGATGCCGCTAGTACGTCCTAATTATCTGAGCACCTCGCGCGACCGAGCTCTGGCGCGAGAAGTTGTGCGCACTGCGTACGCCGTGATCACATCGCCCGCCATGCAAACCGTACTCACAGCTCCGTTGGGCATCACTTCGCCAGTTGTAGCCGACGACGTGATGTTGGATGGTTACATACAAGCTCAATATTCGACGACTTACCATTTCTGCGGTTCGTGCCGAATGGCTGCTCGTGAGAAAGGCGGCGTTGTAGATCAGAGCGGGCGGGTGTATGGCGTGAAAGGGCTGAGGGTGGCAGATGCGAGTGTGCTACCGACTGTGCCGGCGGCAAATACGATGGCGAGTTGCATGCTGGTAGGGGAGATGGTGGGAAAGAGCGTCTGTGATGGTCGAAGTGTTCAGAAGGCAGTCCGATCTCACATATAGGTAGTACGTAGTACCTGGAAGCGGATTCTCCTAGGAGCCTTTGACACTTGTATCGTCGGGGATCTTCCGTCGCTACTTTCGTCCCCGGTGCGTCGCCTGAGTACTCGCTTACCGGGCTCCGATTGAACCTCATGAGAATCGCAAGATCATCGCGAGTTCTAGAATAGTCAAATCAACAATCATCACATCACATTCACATCGATCACATCGATCGCGAGTACGTCGCGGACGGACCCTGCTCACCTCCTCTTTGGTACCCAGGAATCCTTTTATGTATTCAAAGATCGAATTCGGTCCTGAAGCAGACTGAACCTTTAATGGATTCCGCGTGGTCGCACCGGCAGAACTCGCCCCATCATTGGGCGTGGTCTGAGGGCACTGAGGTCTCCGCGACTCGGTGGTTGATTACGTTAGGAAGCGGGGTTGATCATTGAACGAGCTAATCTGTCTTGGGCTCGGAGTCGGAGAAGCTGGACATCATCATGGCCCAGAACAAGCTTATCTGTGTCATAGGAGCCACGGGAAACCAAGGCGGGTCAGTCGCCCGTCGATTTCACAAGGCGGGTTTCCGTGTCCGTGGCTAGACCCGCGATGCATCGTCCCCCGCAGCACAGAAGCTTGTGACTGAGGGCATTGAAGTTACGAAGACAGACCTGGACGGCTTGGAGAGCCTCAAGCTCGCTCTCAAGAATGCCAATGTCATCTTCAGTGTGACAAACTACTGGGAGCCGTTCTTTCGCCCGGACTGCCGTCAGGACGCCCGTGGGTTGGGCATCTCACCCGCCCAGTTTGCCTACGATGTCGAATATCGACAAGGGAAGAATATTGCAGACGCAGCAGCAGCGACCTGTGATTCCCTTGACTCCAATAGTTTCCTAGTGTCCACGCTCAGCCATGCTGCTAAATCCAGCCAGGAAAAATTCAAAGAATTGTACCATTTCGACTCTAAGGCGGATATCTTCCCCTTCTACGTGAGAGACAAATACCCTGACCTTGCGGCCAAGATGTCTTGCATACAGACCGGGTACTTCTATACAAGTTTCAACATCTTACCTGACTCTTATTTTGGCAAGGCAAGTAATGCTTCCACAATTAAAACAGTTTGACTAATGATCGTCAGGCTGCCGGATAAGAGTATTGAAATGAGGTTCACCACAGCCCCGGACAGGATTATGCCACACTTAGAACCCTGTCGGAGATATGGGCACGTTCACCTTCACCGTCTACCAAATGCCTCCCGGGAAAGAGTACATGGCGGAAGGGACAACGTGTAGTTGGGCGGATTAGATCAAGACTTGGAGCGACATAACGGGCGTGCCTGCGTCTTATCGACGGATCAATCCCGATGAGATGATTGAAATGACTACCGATCGAGACTGTGACATCGAGGTAGCATACATGTTCTCTTATAGTACCGACCCAGGATACGATGTAGGTAGAGCTCTTCTCACTGCTGCGGACATTCGCAAGGCAAGTCAATACGTGCCATTAAAACCAGCATCAACCCACTCTAACATAAGAAGACAGACTGGTATCGACTGCCCGATGACGAGTTGGAAAGAGTGGGCAAGCCGCCAAGATTGGTCTTTCGTGTTGAACAAGGGTAGCTAGGTGACCTCAGCAAATGCTTTAAAGTGTTCTGGAGAAGTTCAACAATACTCGTATTCTCTCTTTCAATAGTAACTTAACTAGGACAACTATCTATCAAAAATAGCAGGAAAATGTGTCTCAGGCCACAGAACTTCCCGCTAATACAAAGGAGAATTCGACTTCGACCACCTGGGCAGTGGCCACATCAGCATTCTTGAACAAAATGAAGCGCTATTTTTGGATATGCTAAACGCACTATTGTCAACTTACATGGCTGTTGAATTATAATCCATCGAAGTAAGATTATCTAATGACTCGCACAGATACGAGGAATAATAAATGCGGCAAATTCACTCTTACATGTCCAGCAACCGTGCTTTCCCCTTTCGACTGGACTTACTTTGGTTGTTCACTTTGCAGCTGTCTTCATAGGCCGAGATTACTATCCTCTGATCTTACGCCGCGCAAGTGAGTTGGTATCAGGCTATTGATAATCTGTCTCCCTTCTAGCGTAAGAGAGGATCGAATTCCTTGCTTCAAGATCTCGATAGATCGTATATATCGCAGATAGTCAGATCTAGCTGACTTATATTCGCTAAGCAAGATTCGATAGATAGCCAATTAGTCGGAGGTGAGATTAATGAGTCTGATTGGCTCATCAGGAAGGTTAGATGTGAACGTGTTGGCGGGTTTTTTGATTACATCAGATAGATGTGGCTTGGTTAGTTCCTGTAGCGGTGTAGCAGGAGTAGGTAGGTCTGGATCAACATATTTCCACACACTATTCGCTAGTGCATGATCTTTGACAGCTGTAATCCACGGGACCCAATGTGCGTGGCATTTGAGATGTGGTCCTCCGACCATGATTCAGAACGCTGTGCTTCCGGCTTTGCAGGAGATGGGGTACAAGGAGGACGAGAATATATTTGGATTTTACTCCTTGTTCTGTGCTACCTGATATCAACGTTCTTTTTTATGCACTAGGGTTTATGAACAGCATTGAACGTCAAATATTGCCTTTGAAGAAGCAATTCTAGCGCCACTTCCTTTTTTTTGTTATCGTGTTGGGATTTCATATTCTGCGACCGAGGCCTGCTGCAATGTACCTCACGCTGTGCAACATTCCTTTCTAACGTGGAAGTGAGATTGCCTTGCCTGGGTTATTTGCTGCGTTTCGACTCTTTTGCATAATTCATGGTGATCAACGGTTTATCATCACTAATCAACTATGCATCTCGCAGACCGCTTGTCAAGCTACCCCCACTGTCGATAAATGATATCATGCAGAGCCAACCTTGCATCGCTCCCGAAGATCGATATAAACTATCGTGTAAGGGATCTCAGGGGTACAACACTAGATTTTGAATCTTGATATTAAAAGCTTCTTTTCTCCAAACTCAATGCTTCAGAGTCATTCTTCAACTTAATCTTAATCTTAATCAAGTCTTTACATCCTGTTTCCAACCACAGCCAACTACAAACCTCCTCTCGGATATACTTCAATATCAATATGCAACTCCAAACCATCTTCACAGCACTGTGCCTGTCCCTCCTCAGCGGCACAGTCACAGCCCAAAGCCAACCTCCCATGAATCTCACGCCCACACAGTCTCCGTCTCGTTCGGCGTTTCCCTCCCCCAACTCAGTGGTGCCAGCGTCCCGGTCCGCGACACCTACCATCACCCGGGTACGCCAAGCCTTCCGAGGCTCCTCTACTCCTGCCTCGTCAGTGCGTGTCGCATCGACTCCGGCTGCGTCTTCTGGGTTTGCTACATCTGCAATTCCGGCGGCTAGTGGAGCGGCGAATTCGAATGTTCTTGGTAATTTGTTGCATTTGCCTCGGAATTAGAGTGGGAGGGAAGGGTTAGAGTAAAAAGATGTTTTGATGGATATATTTACACTGTGTCAATTTGAAATAGGAGGGTTGCAGGAGCGATACTGGGGTTGCACTCTCGGGTTTGACATTCTTCTTCCATGTATAATGATTGTCACTTTTCAGGCTTAGACTGTTGTCATTGTATTAAGATCAACCGAACAATAATTTGCAGAATGGATAATGAAGAACAAGAGGGCTCAAAGTCTTGAAGTTCCAAGTTATACTTGTAATTACTAGGAAAATCAGATAGCCACCCCCATCCAGTTAAGCATCAATGCCATGAAACGCCAGAATAAGCCAAAAAAAATACACAAATCCGAAAGCACAAAGGATTGAAAGACTACCTACGCAAAGATATCATGAGGTTTTCTAGGCACGTGAGCCCATCCAAGGTGAATAAAAATAAGAACAGAACGAGAAGAGATAGGTCGATTAGGCCAGGAAGGCAGATTTCAGGGTTCTGGATGCTGATGAGCGGATGAGTGCTGAAGAGCACATTCACAAGATTCCTGGGTGCTTTTGAATCCGTCATACCAGCCTCCTTCGATCAATTGAAGTTCCAGGTCGCGCCAGTACTGGGCTTTGCCACCGGCACCAGTCTTGAGGTCAAGATCACCGAGGCGAATCTCCACCGGTGACTTTTCGTCCTGGGGGATCTAATACCTGATATTAGTCGCTGCTCTACCCGTATGCAGTGTCTTGGATACTATACACACCTTGATATACATTGTGCAGTCTCGGAGCGTCATATCGAGGGAATTCTCTCGCGACTGTGCGGGAGGTCCATGTAGGCCAACTGTGTGATATGCCTTCTGATGAGATAGTAGTTTCTGAAGCGTGGGATTGCGGAACAATATATGGGCCAGCCGTACTCGGTCGCTGCACCCTTTGATGAAATCGGTAACGCGGAGAACTTGTTCAAAAGTTTCCGATACGAGATCTAGAGGGCAAAAGGATCGCTGCTCTTTCTGTCCAAGACTTCGCGCATCGCAATTCTTCATTTCCCTCAGCGCACATGTTCGACATCTGTGAGCTGTAGCTGGTGCCGAGGGAGACTGAGTGAGCCACTTTGGTTTCAGCTCTGCTAGCGTCGAGCCTGGTTCATCAAAGGTTGTCATGTCGGTGACGAGTAACCCGAATGGCTCCGTGAGACTCAGATACCCGCCATGCCTTTTCTTCGGCCGCTCGCCATTCGTTTCGGCGAGGCGAAGCTGTTCATTGCAGCGATGGATCAGACCCTCTGGTAGCTGGATAAGCGTCTGATCAACCAGCTCGTCGTCCCTGAAAAGCGGGCGTACGATAGCATTAAAGTTTTGCATAATCTCTTTGTACGAGACATTGGCCGCTGTGTCTTTGCGCAGACGTAGTAGTTTCCCTTTGAATCTGTCGGTGGCTTCATACGCAACTGGAGACAAAGGCTTTCTGGGATCTCTTGGCTGGGAGGGGCGATTTCACCGCCGAAACAAAACGATAGACCACATTGGCACCGCCCTCGGCCAGATATACGAGCTGAACTCCCGGCGGGAGCTCAAGCAAACTAGGTTTGGTCATTCGTGACGAATGACGGCAAGGAGAAACCAGAAAAGGCCACAAGGAGCATGACTCGCCCGAGAAGAACAGATGAATAAAATGAAAGGCCACGAGTCAGCTTTGTTGGGAAGAAGTCCAAAGCGTTGGTTCACGTTTTTGGAAGAGCGGTGGAGGCAGCTCTGGCCTAGGAGCAAATACGTCCTCGTTTGGTCACGCGAGACAAGCTACTGGGTCGAGCGTTTGTGCATGCGTTCGAGTCCGGGGGCTAACGCGGATCCAGGGTGGAGATTTTAGACTAACTCGTAGCGGTGAACTGTTGGACCGGGAACTTTTGATCTACCTTGCTGATCTGTCCTAGGCGCGGATGATTCTTGCGTCCTGCGAACAGGGGTGCGAAAGCTCAAGAAAACAAGCTGAAAGCGCACGGCCAGTAAGCGGCCGTTTTGGCACGAGACCAGTCGACTGAAGACCGCCGGGTGGCGGCGTAGTCGCGGCGAGGAAGGAAGAGCAGGAAAAAGAAAAGAACAGGCGTACTGATCACAGACCAACCAGCCTTACGAGGAAAGCCCGCAAACTTGGGGGGGCGGCGGATGTCGTGCAGGGTTTAGTTCGCGTGAGTGGGGGGAAGGGGGGATTTCCAGCTCGGCATTGGTGGCGCTAGGCCTAGGAGTTGATCTGAGTCCTGACGCGCATTTGGTAATGCAGATCGATGGCCAGAACTCTGGAAATGGAGAAGGATAATGGGATGGGAGCATTCAGCGCATTGGTCTGAGCTGATTGACCGAATGGAAGATTGAGAGAGAGCTGAAGCGAGGAAAGCCCACGCAGTCAGGAACGAGCGGTGGCCAGCGAAAACGCCGCGCGGTTGCGAAGCGGAACAATTGGCACCGAAGGAGAATGGAATCGTGGATCAACGGAATTTACTATATGGAGCATAACGAATAGTGTAGAAAATATTAAACTATAGATCGTCATCATCGAATAATATCCAACGATTATATCCCCTTCATACCCCCCATGCTAACTATACGAACCCGTACGAAGACTTTAGGTATCCTGCCGTAATCCAAACGCCCACTTCCCCACCATCTCCCTCTCCATCCTCCTCCTCATCCACACCAGCAACCTCAGCCTCAACCTCAACCTCAAGATGGACACCACAACCCTCCCCACCCCCGAGCACTGTCTCGCCGACTTTTGTCTGATCCCAGTACGTCTTCTAATTCCCACCCTACATAGACACAATCTCACAACCCTCCCAGATTGGGACTGCATCCGCCTCCGTCTCAGCCCAGGTAGCCGATGTCCAACGACTAATCGAGCAATCCGGCCTGAAATACGTGATGCACTCCGCAGGAACGACTCTTGGTGCGTATTTTTATTTATAGTATTACTCGTTGAATTGAATATTCCCACCTGTTTCTTGCCCATCTTATTCCGTGAAGCAAATGCAACGGCCCATGAATTGGTCGGTTGCGGTGATACATCCATTCTAACCTGCTCTTCCTTCAATCAATCCAGAGGGGTCCTGGGACCGAGTACACCAGGTTATTGGCCAGGCGCATACCCTTCTACACAAGCAGGGCATTGTACGCATTCAGACTGATATCCGTGTTGGATCAAGGTATGTCCTTTCTTGTTGAGGTTTTCCCCTCCCTTTGTATCCCCATTACTAGCAGGGTAGTTCTTCTGCCATCGCGCTGCTTTCTGCTTCCAGTCCAGCTGTGATTCAAATCAGATGATCATCGGGACTAATGGCTGATTAAATTGGCTCCAGAACTGATAAAGAGCAAACCGCTGAGGATAAGGTGAATAAGGTGCGGCAGTTGCTGGCTCAGGATAAGCAATAGATACTGTCTTCAATCTACATGAATCTTAGAGATATGGTGCTATTGAGTCCTAGTCTGCTCTTCTCAAAAGTTCTTTGGATTCGTTCCAGCACTAGATATGGTAGACAGTCATGGCCGATGAGAATCGATATAAATCAAGAGTCATTCCAGTCATATCCCACCCGAGATCGTCAATTGATCTCCCATGAACGTCGTATTCCTTTTCTGCATAGGTGCAATATGCCATCTGTAATGCAATGCGCTAGCACCTTGCCCAAGGATCTCATCACGTAGCAAAACAAGCCAAAATCGTAATCAACAGGCCCAAACCACTCATACCCATGCTTAATGTAGCAGGCCTTACCAGGCGAGATCCGAGTCTTATACTTTTCATGAGAACAAGCATCAACCCTGGGCAGACCCTCCAAAATGTCCGAGAATAACAGAACGCTGCACGATAATAACAGGACCAAAACTAAACCGAAATACCAAAGATGATGTCGAGAAATGACGCCAAGATCCAACAGGAATGGTCAAAAGGGGGGAGTCGAGAAAGGATAAACCCCGGGTCTAGAAGGAGATTCCTCCACCCAGAATACTATTCCAATTCCCACCAGCCCAGACCCAATCCCCCATACTCGTGCTAGCGCCAGACTTGGCCGAGCTCGCCATCTCAACCAGCCCCTTGAACACATTATTGATAGTAGACCCGCCACTCGAGGATGTCGAGGACGAGGAAACCGACGTCCGTCCCACGGCATTGGTCACATTGTTCAAACTATCGACCGTGTCCAACGCGGGTCCCTTGTCGAAGAAATCCACCAGGATGAAGGTGGGCTGGCGGCCACCGTAGGCAGCCTTGCACTTTGCCGCTGTGCTGCCTAGGTTACCCGTGCCGCCGGAGGGTGCGTTCGTGGTCGACACGTAGCTTGCGTTGGGGTACTCGATGTCTATGAGTTCCAAGTCTGTAGAGTATAGGAAGTGGTTCATCATGGGGAGACGGTCGGAGGATAGGGCGGTGGAAATGGAGCCTGAGAGGGAGCTTGGTCGGTCGGGCTCGCAGGTGAAGTTCGATGGGGATGTCACGTCGTAGTTATTCTCCCACATGAAATCAAATTCGGACATGAGGTATGGGTAGTCCGTGCTGGGAGTCAGCGGGGTGGCGAAGACGACGAGTCGCTTGCCGGAGTTGATCAATGTTTGCAGGGTTGGCCAGGAGGAGGGCGCAATTGTGAGTGACGGGGGATCGTAGGCGTAGGTGCTGATGTTGGCCGAATTGAACACAGTGCCGAGTTCGGAGGCTGAGGCGCTGTCGGAGTTCACAAGGAGGAGAGTGACGACTGCATAGGAAAGAAAGATTAGGTTGAGGTTCCCAATGTTGTTCAACTGCGAATTGTGCAGGCTACATACCCTCATTGGGATGTTCATCCAGCCATGACTTGATCTTGGCCAGCCAGTCACTCAACAACCCTGCATCCAGCAGGGTGCAGGATGTATGGCAGAGGCGCCACTCATTGTTATCCTTGTGTACCTGAGCACTTAGAAGGCGGACACCGGCGCTCAGCTGGGTAGGAGTATCGTAGTACCTGTTCAGGGAATGTCAGACGAGTCCGCAGTGATCTCACGTACATTAACCGGGTGCTGGACTCGATCTCTCGCAGAGTCGGGGTAGAACATACTGGTCGCCAGCCAGAACGCTGTCTGAAGTGCGCACGAAGGGACTGTCATGGGCGCCTAAATGTGTTATCTCACCGTAGGACTTGTTGCAGAGGTCGGGGGAGTTGTTGCAGGCGGTGGTGGACCGGGCGTTGAGCTGGTTGGCCAGCGCTGCGGGCAACAGCACCAGCAAGTAGTTGAACAATCGCATGCTGTGAAAGGAAACCAGTCCTCAATAATATCGATCAATGGTGAAACCTGAATTTGAGGTCTATAGCGACAATAGGGGTTCTCTGAGCAAATAAAGGAGAAGAAGAATAATAAAGGCTGACTGTCATGGAAATTGGAATGTAATGATTAGAGTGGACGATCCATAGCAGGTGGTCCAGGCCGCGTTGCCGTCTCAACTATTCTTAGTTCGTGGATCTCGTTCGCCACGCAATCCTGCCGATTGGACAGGGTGACGCGCAAAACGGTGGTTTTGGGGTAGTTAATTGATGATTGTTTCGTTCATTCGTTGTCATCGCGCCAAGCAGCCCACTCTTACCGTCAGATCTCACGGAGGGCTGTAACACGGCCTGTGTGGCACAGCCTGAATGTATTCGTAACTGACTGCGAAGGGCTACGCCAAGCAGTGGTGATCATTCAGCAAAGAGATATTTTGTATTACCCCTTACGTCTTCAATATACGGTACGCTGAATATGGAAGATGGAATGGCGATAAGTGAGAGGGGCCGTATGATACAAGAAGTGTGATTGTCATAGATCACGGGGGTATACTGCTATATGAACAGAATTGGAAAATCGCTAGTAATACATCATCGACCCCTTTTCCTCGGCCAAGCTGTCTGAGCCGACCGTCGCAGTGAGGACGGGGTTCGACCGGGATTCATCAATTTCGTTGGTTCGATGTGCTCCAGTCCGCCGAAGAAAGAGGGATCACCCCAGGCCCGCAAGACGTCTCCAACCACACGCTGCCATCGATACGGATTGTGCCGTCGAAGCACTCGATTCAAGCGAGAATGCGAAAGGCTGAATCGACCAAACAGCGTAGCCAAGCGGTGCCGAGTAGCGTCCAGGATGACACGCTTCTGGAGAACGAGACCAGCTTGTTCCAGCTCTCTTAGTAAAAGAAGTCCACGGACCCACTGGATGAGCGGCTCTTGAGTGGTCGGATGCAGACAGATGGCGTTTGCAGCAGTAGCACTGGTCACCTGCGCCTTGAACCCCCAGGACACGAGCGCGGTTTGCATTGGGGGACTGAAAATTAGCTTCAACATTCGGTCGTCATGACCCGTCGGCGATCCAGCGAGTACCGTAGCCCAGAATTCTCCTTTTCGAGTTCCATATTGACGCGCTAGCCATAGGCAGCATTCTCGAAGCTCAGTCCAATGACCCTCCATGCCAAGGCGTTTAAGCATTTCCTTCCAGAAGAACGGATTGACATAACCGCCCGACGGGACGGAGCGCTGAAGAACCCGGAAGATGAACATTACTTCGCGCTTGGTATCGAGTGACTGTCCAGGCGGGGCATTCGGTCGATGGTTAGGTCGGCGAGGTGTCAAAACCTTCTCGGCCATGAAATCCAGGCTATCCTCACTCAGAGGCCTTCCCCGCAGCGTCAGCTCGTCCACAATCTTGGACGCAGCCCCCAGATCGCCGGCAGCAATGTGCTTGCGGAAATGGATATCCAACAGGTCTGGGTCTTCTGGGTACAACTCTGCAAGAACTGCGAGAGCCATGTTGTACTGCTGCATATCACGAGCTATGTAATACGAGATGAGCAGTGATTCCTGCATGGTCTTGTCTTCAAGAACATCAGGATGCTGATCACTTAGCAACAGGTCGGAAAGGAGAATGTCGCGATTTTGGGATGCCAATTTCTGGACCAATCGAGCGAAAACGGAATCTCCTATAGAGATGCCGGCCTGTCGGAGCGTCTTGATCTTATCGAGGATGTCCTGGCTCCCATGCGCTCGGACAGCCAGCTCACGTAAGCTCCTTGGGCCGATTGCTGACACGCCAAGCATCTTCAGCCCACCGAGGACCATGTCGAAGTTTAGGGCGCGAGTGGCGAGCAGTCGAGCTCCAATGTCATCCTTGAATGGTGTCCCATCCGACATATCCTGCCTTGCCTTCTTGGGACCCTTAGTAGGTACCTCCGAGGATGAGGTGTCAAATCGTTCATTGGCATATGCCTGTAGTTTCTTATTTTCGTCCCAAAACCCATACATTCGGGCATAATCCAACAGAGGTTGGATTTCGCTGCGCGATTTCGGGTGATCATTGCGTGCAACCAAAAATGGATGTATGGAGATTGCACCCTCTCCGTAGCCATGTTTGATTAATGTTGACATGACTGGCCCATATATTTGATGGCCCTCGGCTGACCGACATAAAAGTCGAAAGGTCCGTAAAAGCGAAGATGGTCTGACAGCCTTGGCATGATGCCAATCTCGAGCACTTTCCACAAGGGCTGTTGGTCGAATGACTGGCAGGAGAACTTGCAGCACATCATTCGGAGAGGCCAAGCCAGATGCTTGGAATTTTTTGTTCCATCGTAAGGCTCGTTTCGTCAACCCCCGATCAAGAAGGCCACCCACAACACTTTCGTAGAGTCGTGGCCAAGATTGACCTTCCCGTCTGTGTAAATCCATCGCGTATTCCATCACTTCTATCAGGAAAAGGTCTCGCCTCAATCCCAGTCTCACAAAGCTTCGCCAAAGGAAGTCGGCTCTTTCCCCAGTCACCGGTATCTGGACACCACGCAAACGGACTGTCAGCCCTTCCCAAATATCTTGTGTCCCTTTTTCGCCGTAATGCCGCTGGCGAAATTTCAAAAGTTCCTCCCAAAGCTCGAAATCATTCTTGTTCTCTGCATGGTCGACCAGGCGTGTTCCAATGTCATTGCAATGACCAACGTCCGATTCAAACTGGAGTCTCTCTGGCTGTAACCGTAATGATGTGATCGGACATTTTGTACTGGTATTCTTGGATGTTCGTCTCACAAGTGACGAGGAAATTGGTACTCGATCCGTCTCTGAAGGTTCGATCTCATAGATGGGAAAATTGAAGGGCCGCCTCTCGCCTCTGGTTTGCTGTCGAGCTTCAACTGCCTGCACCGTCTCCACGTTATCGTCTGATGCTTCTGGATGGACACATCGCGATTGACATCGTAGGCGCGCGTATCTTGACTCCAACTGCTCGATTCCGGTCGGTGTTGCGGCGAGGGTGTCGAGAACCGAGATGGCAGACGGCCTCTTCAGGAGTCGAAGAAGAGCCGGTCGCATTGGTCGTGCATAGAAGGATGGCAACGAAATGCTTGTCCACCATCCTTCTCTCTCAACTGCGAAAATTCAAGACCAGCGCGGACAAAACAGCCAAGCTTGCTTCTTCCGCGCCAAAAGCCGCCGATGACGCTTTCCCCTTTTGAGGATTCTGACTCAGCAATATCCTTATTAAGCACACCGTCTGAGTGGGCGGAAGAAAGAGGGAAGTCACATGACCCTCAATTGCAGCTCTCCCGAACCTCACGACATCGTGCCATTACCACTCTCTCTTCCCACCCAAACCTCGCTTCGTGCTTCCAACCGCCAAAATGTTCCGCACTGCGCCTCGCATGGCCGGGTATGTCGAATTCGATGTTTTCCAGCTACCCTTCACCCCCAATTTTCGCGACCGAGCCCGGCCGATATCTGTTTCGAAGTTCTGGGGGGTTGCTGCTCGCGATTGCGTCAACTGCCATTGCAATTGATGTCTTTACAGGCATTGTCTGTAATTACCGCGTCGATAATCTGTACTGACAAGCTTTGATCTTGCATAGTTTCGTGTTCCGCGAGAACCGTGTCCCCTACTACCAGCGTCTGTTCCAGAACCACGACGGCAAGCGTCAATGGTGGAAGGTCAGTGTGATCCAAATAAAGTGTCGAAGCTAATCATTGGCAATTTTCTGACCTGAACATTTGTTTGACAGACCTCCCGTAGCGGTTACCTCATGTACCCCTACCTCTTCTCCGTCTATGGTCTCGGTGCTGGTTAGTGGAATCTCGACGATTGAGCGTTGCGAACCTGCAGACTAACTCGATTCTAGCTACCACCTACGCCATGTGCCGCATGGTTTTCGTTAGTCTACCCTCTACCCTCAGCCTACCCTCTCGACCGAGCATAGCGACCCATACTTGACAAACCCGTGACATATACTGACCCCACAAATAGGGCAAGAAGACCTGGTTCGGTGACAAATAGATGACACCAACCGTTCGTTCGATTTGGTTGCTAGTAGTGAGGATGCAATGTTGAATTTGACTCGATATTCGCAGTGTATTTCTACTCCGGTGGTGGATTAGATGGAATTCACGGGCGCACTGAAGATTTGGGGCTGTACATAAGACGATCCAAGCACCAATTCAAAGTACTGTTCCCTTCTCACCCTTCTGCGAATTACATGATTTTTTTCAGTTCTGTTCAACACCACAGGGAGGGTAGCAGCTTGTTCAATGGGCCTTGAACATGAGTTGTCGATTCAATCACGCCGGGCTTGAGACGAGAGCTTCTGCCAAAAGCTATACGAGAAGTGTACCCTTAACCGATGCTTATTTTTCACTCTGGCGTTCGAAAGGCATCACAATACTGAAGCAACTGAATATCTTCTCAATCATCTCCCCTTGGTATGACTACGACGTTGTATTAAACCAGAGAATCATACCAAAGCGTATTTCCTACCGATCAGGATCTAAAGCACTTCCTCTGCTCTCATAGCAATATCTCTCATCCCAATATCAAGCTTATACCTACAAACCTGTATAGGTTTTTCAAAGTTGCATATTTCTTGTAGTCCGCATCAGGCCATCAACAATCCGGATGGACGGACGGCTGGCGGGATTAAAATGCTTAGTCAGCCATATAAAGCCCGTCTTTGCCTACGGTCATTTCCAAAATTCCCATTGCATGCTCGATCCAAACAACAAAGATTATCTTGCTACAGGCTAGTCGAGAAATGTGAGGGTAGATTTTGCGAGTGTTTATACTTCCTGCCTCAAATTGCGCCACGCCTTGACATGAGCGGACTTCACTGGTTTGGCTACGCGATACCTATAAATAACCGCTTTCATCTATCAACTCGCGTTTCCAGCAACCACCGGGTTTCCACAACATGCATCTACTGGATGAGCTTGTGTGATAACTAATTTAAGATGGATCATATCGACTCCATACCTTCAGAAAGACCCGCTAAAAGGGTCCGGCAGGCCTGTGAACCATGCAGGTAATGTCGAGCGCCTATACCCCTCATTGCGAAACGCGAGATTAACGAGTAATCTAGACGCAAAAAGGCCAAATGTCCCGGAGAGCAGCCGGTCTGCTCACTGTGTGCTAGACTACGGCAAGAATGCATCTATGCAGAGGAACGGCGTCGACCACAAGCCCCAGAGGAGCCTGCAAGGCCCGTTCTAGTTGGGCAGGCAGCTCCTCAATCCCTGGTGTGTATCTCCGAAGGTAGAAGGTAATGGCTTGTACTAAAACTATGAACAGGAAGATCGATTGCGGAGCTTGGAAGGAAAGCTAGGAGTGGTCATTGATCATCTAGGGTATGGACCTCCCTTGCCTGTTTAGGAGAACAGATGGCTGACTTGATGAAGTGTCAGTTCTAGAGGAAACCCGCCGGCAACGGGCACCACTCAAATACCCAGTGGGATGACCACTTCTGGCCCAACTGCATCAGTTATTCTACCGCCCTGGGATGAAATTGTCCCTCTAGCAGAGCTATACCTATTGTACTGCGAATCACAACCTCTACCTCTCTTCCATACGACCAGCTTCATCCGCAGTATCCAAACAAGAGATATCGAAATCATCTACGCCGTTTTGGCGTTGAGTATGCGGTTCTCGAATTCGCACCACAACGCCAACACTCTATCCGAACAGGTCAACAGCTATGCTGAAGTAGCGCGCGGCCTGGTTATGAAGCGGGTTTCAGAAGGACCAGTCGAGATCTCGACCCTCCAATGTCTTTGTCTGTTGAGCTTGGTTGACTTTACAAGTATGTACTCTCCCGTTTAATATAGAACCCATTTTCTTAACAATTGCATGACATACAGACGGCAATACGCATCGCTCTAGCATCCACAGCAGTCTTGCAATGAACCTCGCCCAATGCGCAAATCTAGGCCTGGAGCCCCGCGCACCAATGACTAACATCCAACGCGAGGAACGCAGACGTTGCTTCTGGAGTATATGTCTGCTGAAACGACTACATGGCGGCGACTTCTCAATTGACGTTCCAGAAGGAGGAGGTCCATGCTACCCGCAGAGTCCATCACGACCCGCGCGGATGCTTTCACCGGGTCCCTCACCACCAGACTCGCGGAGGAGTGATATCCAAGACCAAGGCATTCTCGCCTATGTCATTATGCTAAGCGAGGCCTTTGCACGGACAGGACGATATGTCCGATACCATGGACGACCAAGCAATGTGCCCCCTTGGTCTCCGCACTCGGAGTATTCAAAGATCATCGCGCTGCAGATGGATATGGAGACAAAGATGCCTCTGACACATCGATTCAAACCAGCAAATCTCAGCGATAGATCCCTAGAGGAACTACAAGCTCATCGCGATTACTGGGGACCCTGGTTCCTGAATCAATTCATGTACCACACCATGCTGTGTCTGCTAAACCACCCACTCCTACTATCTCTCAGTCTACGCACGTTCCGGAGCACCATCCCCGAGATCTTCCTCCAGCACACTTCCGACTTGATCTCCTCTCACACGACCTGGATCATCCACTTCATCAACTTCTTTGAAGAAAAGGGCTTCTTCGTGTCAGATCCCTTACTGGGCTACAGCGCCGCCGTCGTAGCCACCATCGAACTCCAGCTCAGTTTCACAGATAATCCAACAATCCGCGACCAAAAACGCGACCGTTTCACGAAATGCGTCAAATTCGTCCAGCAAATCGGCGAACGATGGCCTCACATGGCCCGCCTCGCACAAAGACTCCAACATCTCGAAGACGCCGTCTCAGCAACCTACCAATCCGACCCTAACGCCCAGAACCAAAGCCTCCTAATCGATCTCTCCAGATTCTGGGAAATCCTCGAATACTCCTCCAACAGCGACGCAGATTCCGCCCGCCGTCTCTTCGGCGACTCGCTCTACGCCGGACCCTCGACTGCGAACCCAGAAGTCTCGCAGACGTCGCCGCTCCCTGCGCCAACGCGCATTGGCGAAGAGAGACCGGCGAGTTTGCAGTCGCCGGGTGGCGGGTTTTCAGGAAATGCTGCGGGGGGGTTTGCAGGTTATTCGGGAAGTTCGTTGGTTTCGCCGCAGCAGCTTACTTTGACGAATGATGAGTTTTCGATTTTGGCGACCAACTTTTTCTCACAGGGACAGGAGTTTTTGAGAGGTGGGGATACTTGGACAAATATTGGGAACTTTTAGTTAAGATGATAAGAGAGTATCTGAATGATACGAAATTTGGCGAGACATTGGACTGTTAGCAGGGGCAATATTTTATTGCTTTGCTTTACTTAGTCCAGTTAGCGAGAGAGGGACCAGTACGTCACTTTCTCAAGCAGAGACCCCGAGAATAGCTTTAATGCAAGACATGCGAGTATGCTATTTTCATCTAGGGTATCTCCATCCCGTCCCATCAACACCCTACTCAGACAACGCACTCTTAAAAACCTCCACAAACGTAAACACCTCCTCAAACGTATTATACAACGGCACCGGCGCCACACGAACAACATCAGGCTCTCGCTTATCACAAATAATGCCTGCATCCTGCAGCTGCTGCGCCACCGTATGCAAGTGACCCGGCTTGAGCAGCAGGCTCAGCTGTGCGCCACGGGCATGCGGGTCAGACGGGGTGATGATTGTGAATTGGCGGTCTGCATCGCTGCTATCCTTGAGCAGGAGGTACTCCAGGTAGGCGGTTAGTTTGAAGGACTTTTGGCGGAGATCTGTCATGGTGGTTTTGTCAAATACGGAGAGGGAGGCGCAAAGGGTTGTTAGGTCGATTATGGAGGGGTTGGAGACGACGAAGCCGTTTGCACCCGGGATGGGTTTGAATTCTGGATTGCGTTAGTGGTGTATTTTGGTATTTCTGCTTTTGTCGTGGATAATGAAAAGAAATCACGTACTGTTGTCCATCTTGAATCGCACCGAACGGTCTCCACCATACCAGCCTGTCAATCGGTGGCGGAACTTGGGTGAGTCCTCGCCCTCGCTGTAGTCGACTTTGCCGTGATTCTCGTGCACGAAGAGACCGGCCATGGCGCCGGGTCCGGCATTGCCGTACTTGTACGTGCACCAGGCGGCGAAGTCGACGTTCCAGTCGTGGAGCTTGATCTCGACGTTACCGTAGGCGTGTGCGAGATCCCAGCCTACGGTCAGGCCACGGTCTTGCGCGTACTTGGTGATAAGAGGAATATCGAAGAGCTGGCCAGTGTAGTACTGGATGCCCGGGAGGAGAAGAAGAGCGGCATCATCGACATGCTTGTCAATGTATGAGAGAATCTTCTCTGTGGAGATCTCGTATGTGCCCTCATCTGGCCCGATGAGGACCATGTTCTCCTTGGAATCAAGGCCGTGCCAGGCAATATGCGACTCAATTGCGTACTTTGCACCCAATTAGCGGCTCTTTCTGTATCTGCAAAGGGCACTCAACTTACGTGGTCACTGGGGAATGCCTTCCAGTCCATCAAGATCTTCGTTTTCGTTTCCGTGGGCTTATAGAAACTAGCTAGTAGTATGTGCAGATTCATGGTCAATGTACCCATCGCGGCAACCTCTTCTGGCAAAGCGCCAACAATCTTGCACATGGAAGCCGAAGCTTGTTCAGAGAGCACCTGCCACTCTGATAGCGGGGAATCTTCAACATTGGTAAAATGGCCACAAACACCAATGGAAGCCCATGTATCTAGTTGAGCTTCCATGTACTTGGCCGTGGCCTTGGGCTGAATGCCCAGCGAGTTTCCACAGAAGTAGATACTAGACTCGGCAGAAAGACCTTTTATCACAAAGTTAGAAACTAATCCCACCATGAACCCCGCAATTTGTAAGCTTCTTTGCTCGTACCTGGCTTGGCCAGCTTCTTGCTTGCCAGATTGGCCTTGGAAGGAATGATGAACTCATCGCGGAGTGCACGCAGAGGGTCTGCCTTGTCTAGCGACGCGGCATACTCCCTTGTCGCAGCCTCGGCGGGGAATGTAGGCTTAGATGCCTTGACACCGTTGACACCGTTGGCGCCCGTCATGTTTAAAGTAGGATAGTGGATATGGATGCAGACGCAGACGGAGAGTGAAGTGCGGACGAAGTTGGCAACGCACAACGTGTTAATGGCAGTGATTAAGTAGAGGGAAAGTCGACCGAAACAATGCAGATAAGACGTGCACGCTCCAGGTCCATTTTATAACTTGGTGTAATCAAATCGGAGACGAGGGAGGAGGGCCATCCGGATGGTGCATCCGTATCCGCCTCGATGATCCGTCCCCACATTCTTGCGGTGATAGGCGGGGGTCTCCGTTGATTAGAGTCTGGTCCGTTGCAGTCCGGGTTTGTGTTACTCAATCGCAAGCAAGGGTCTATTGAAAGTACCGGTGAATCCAGGTCAGTCTGATTGTCAATGTAGAGAGGGCAATTGAACTGCACGTTGCGGTTGGTTGTAGTTAGCGATTGGTGATAAAGGCTATTGTGCTGCACGTTGTACAAGGATGTGCTGTAGTAGTCTATCAGTGCATGAGACCTCATAGGTTTGCATTTTCCATCGAGTCATCCGCGCAGCTAGGAATAGTTCGTTAGATGGACCTATTGAGTTAATGAATCTTCTTTGCCTTTCTATAGTTCCTGTCAGTGTTCCTGGTTCCTGGAACGATCAACCGTTCAATAATTGTAATCTCGCGTATGACAAGTGCGACATCATCGCCGGAACACGGATAGCAATCCGCCTGTCTTCCGGCCTGTATACTTGGTAGGCCCCGATGCAAGCCGGATGCCATCCACAATCTATAATGGCATGGAATTATACTTATCGATAGTCATTCCACCCCCTATATGAGGCCAGGATTGTATCTTACAATCAATTTCATTTCCTGGTTGACGTACTTCCTGACTTCGACCCTTTCCATTGCCAATTCAATTCATCATTGACTATCCCCATCCTTTCTCGTCTGAAACAGGTGCAAATCAAGTTTGCCCACCATGATTCCCTCAGCCGAGATCAATCTCGACGACTATGCCGTCTCTCCAGCCCATGGATTCCTTCCTACAGGTCTTCCCCTACAAAATCTGCCCAATGAATACTACGCTCCCTGGGAGAACCTCGCTATCCGGTTGCCAGATCTGATCCAGACCGGCCAGATCAGACGTCTAGTCGATGCTTTGCCCGTTCTCACCACGACATGGTTGCAAACTGAGCCGGAGTGGCGTCGTGCGTACTCAATTCTGGGATTCCTCACTCACGCCTACATCTGGGGAGGGGAGAAGCCCAAAGATGTAAGCATTTCTTCCAAGCATCCTTCATCACATACATTGCACCCTACTAGGATATTATATGATGGCCTCCCTCTCGACATGTCACAAGGCTAACCCTTTCATTCAGGTCCTCCCTCCCTGCATTGCAAAGCCCCTCCTCGAGATCGCCAAACACCTCGAGCTTCCTCCTTGCGCAACCTACGCAGCCCTAACGTTATGGAATTATACCACCGTCCCAGAACTCGATCTCACAGAGCCAGATCATCTCTCCGTCCTGACCTCCTTCACAGGCACCAAGGATGAAGAATGGTTCATGGTCATCTCTGTCGCCATCGAAGCAAAGGGTGCCCGGCTCGTCCCATTAATGCTCGATGCCATCGCCGCTGCCAGGGCCAACGATGCGTCCCGTCTAACAGCTCTGCTCTGCCGATTTACAGATGGTCTGCAAGATCTGACTGGCACTCTAAGGCGGATGTATGAGAAGAATGACCCACATGTGTTTTTCCATCAGTTGCGGCCCTTCTTGGCTGGAAGTAAGAACATGGCTGCCGCTGGCCTGCCGCATGGTGTGTTCTATGATCTTGGTGACGGCCAGGGAGACTGGCACCAGTACAGTGGTGGGAGTAATGCACAGAGCTCACTCATTCAAACCTTCGATATTTTCCTTGGAGTGAGCCATTCCGCGACGGGAGGCACGAGTATGAAGTCCTCGGGAACGAGCTATATCCAGGTAAGACGGGACCAGCTGCCGATAAAGCCAATACAATACTGTATACTGACTTGCACCGCTTTACAGGACATGAGAAACTACATGCCCGCCCCGCACAAACGCTTCCTAGAGACTCTCTCCGCTCTCTCCAACATCCGGTCCTACGTAACCTCTACACAGGCCGAGTCCCCTCTCAAGGAAGCATACAACGCCGCCGTCCTGACGCTGAGTTCCTTCCGCGATGCTCATATTCAGATCGTCTCGCGATATATCATCATGCCCGCCCGCAACAATGTGCCTGTCGATCAGCGTACTACCGAAAAAGTCAATCTGGCTACAGCCAGCGCTCAGATTAAGGGTTTGAACGAGACTAATCCTACGGGGTTGTATGGGACTGGTGGGACGAGCTTGATTCCGTTCTTGAAGCAGACTCGTGATGCGACGAAGTCTGCTACCTGCTAAATCAGGGTCTCCCTCTTCTCTTTTTTTTCTTACCTGTGAATTTTCATTTCGGTACATAGCGGTGCGATTGGTGGTTGGCGTATTGATTTGCTTTGAATGATGCCTGTTCTTACTTTCACATGGAATTGAGACTTGGGATGCGCATATCTCGGGAATAGATCCAGTTTCTACTTTCACGGCGATCCACCCTACATTGTAACTTCATTGTAGTATGTGCGGATGCAGACAAATCCAAGACCTTGAAAAGTCGGGGTATCCTCAAAGATTATAGACACAGACATGAACATAGACATGATAATAAACATAGATACAATCATAAAAACATAAAATAAACTCAACTCCCTTCTACAACAAGACTGCAACAGCAACAACCGCTGCCCCCAATGGCACACCAGTCACCATCGCCCTCCCAGCCACACCCACATTAGGCGTCTCCGTCGCAGCCGGCGCCGTAAAACTCTCCAAACCCCCCGTAACAGTCAAAGTCTGATACCCCACACTCTCCGTCGGAATCCCGGCCTTAGTCGAATGACTCGTCGTAGTAGTCTTCCCCGCGCCCGATGCCGTCACAGTCAACTTCACCGTGCAAGTAGCCGACTCGGACGAATGGGTAAACGAACAAGCCAGATCCTCAGTACCCTTCTCGATCACGGTGACGCCGGCGACTTCAACGCTGGCGGTGAAGGGCTCGGCGAAACTGAAGGTGTTGGGGCCGGCAATTAGGGTTAGCGGGCTGGCGAGGCTGCAGTCGCTGGTGGGCGCGGAGGGGAGACAGTTTATTTGGTAGGTTGTAGCGACGGCGTTGAGGGAGATTACGCTGGCGGCGTAGCTGGTGGAGGTGTAGATTGGGATGGAGGTGAGGCTGTAACGGGCGGCGAAGTGGCTGATTATGGTTGAGGAGGGGGTTGATGTGGTTGTTGTGGCGGAGAGGGCGAGGGTTGGGAGGAGGAGAGAGAGGATGGTGGTGGTGGTGGTGAGATGCATTTTTGGATGGAGGGTTGGAGGTGGATTTGGATATGTACTCCGATGGTGGAATGAGTGAATGTTTCGTATGTGGTGTGTAGATGCTGTAGATGTGGTATATACGTGTGTCGTAGAAATGTACAGTACAAATAAGAAAAAAGAAAAGAAATTAAAAGAAAAGAAAGGGAATCACGCCTCGTTTATTATGGATTCGGAGTGCAGTCCTTGATAGAGGCTAACGAGGCCGAGCGGCTTATCGGCTTGAGCCGCAGGGCCTGAAAATCCACTGCGCTAAGTCGTAGCGGGTCGGTGATCCATTGTTATTATTAGCCAGTCAGCCTCGCAGTTGTTAGTGCTAGACTCGAGCCCTTGGTTCGAGCCACATGGGTCTTGGCATGATACATATCAATGCGAGCATATGGAGGACTCGATAAGCCAGGCCATATGGAGTACTCAGTATATGTACAGAGAACAGGGAATAGCCGCAGCACTGCAGCTCAGCTTGTCACCGCCGTTTCGTTTGTACATCTCAGTCACTGTGGTTTCGTAAAAGCCAGTGTTGGCGGTGGATTCTTGGCACATGGGGCCAAAATGTAGTCTGCATGTCTGGCACACATTACTTGGAATATCGGTAGCAAGACTTGGCAATGGGGCGGATTTGGGGGCCGGACTGTACGGCTACAATGTCGGCCAAGGACAGAGTCTAAAGTCATGAGTGGCCTTGATGGGACGATACTGTACTCTAGAGTGCTACTGAGAAAGATGATACGGGGTCTTTTCGTTGTCGAGTGTTAAACTGCGCGCAAAACCAGTTTGAATTGGGAGTTATGAGTCTGGACGAGTACAGTATGTAATGGATGAATCGATTTTCTTGATTCCCAAGCGACGGGGCCAAGGAGTCTAAGACTGCTTTGCCCAGAGCTTTGCCTTGCCATCTTGATCAGGGCACGTCATGTCCGACTCTCCTCCCTCTCTTTCTTGTGCATAAGAGCACGACCCCAGGCTGTCTGTCTCCAGGTCTTGGCGCGTCAATGGCAGCCTTGTGCATAGGGTTCTGAGGTATCAGAGTATCAGCGGTCATTGTTCTGGATAGACGATGAAAGGGCGGTGGTCCAGGAGAATAGACTGCACGTTATCGATGAGACGGGCTTGGGTCGAGATCCGATCTCACTGATGACCAGCCGGGGTTCTTGTCACCGGTCGTGAGAGAAACCTGTTTGTGGAAGGCCCTGCAGGACGACATGCTGCTGTTGAGGAGCATCGGAGAATAGGTGATTCCCGAATCGCATAATGATCAAGACGGTCTTCGTGGCCCCAACGTAGCAGCGCATGTGTCGCCATCACGGTACAGGTCAAATCGATGGGAAGTCTCCCATCTCATGCGAGATAGACAGATGCAATCATCTCTTCTTCGTAGTAGCAGGCACGCCCTCAGTCTCCCTGAGCTCCGCAAGATACTTCTCCCGCTCAACCAACTTCTCCTTCTCCTCCTTGATCATCTGATCAACTGTCTTGATCGCCTCCGCCATACGATCCAACTCCTTCCCCTCCGTCGCCCGACTGTACGGATTCTTCGGCGAATCACTCAACGGAATCTCCGCCGTCCGACCCGGCTGCTTCGCATTCTTCCCCTTCCCCCTCGACGCCACCGGCGTCCCAGCAGGCACACCGCCCGTCATTAAGTCATAGAACGGCTCAACAGGTTCATTGAAAATAACCTCCTCATAGTTCTGGCTAACGACCGCCTCGCGCCGCTCCTTCATGCCCTCCGCATCCGGGCCGTAGGGGTGCAGTTTCAGACTGTGCCAGAGCGTTTGGGGCTTTTCGCCTGATTCTGGGGTGAAGTAGAGCTTGATCTGGATCTCGAATTCACCCCAGCCGGTCTCGACGACTTCGAAGGGGGGTGCTTCGATGGTGCGGACGGCTTGCGCGTAGGTCTCGTGGAGCTTGAATTGGACTTTTTTCAACCAGTAGGAGATGTCTTCGTCGTTGATGCCTTTGACGAAGACGCGCCATTGGTGGGTGTGGTCGACGGGGGCGTTGGCGGGTCGCTTTTCGGGGTCGAAAGGTTTCGCTTCGCTGCCGAAGATGAATGGGCGGAAGACGGAGACGGTCTGTAGGTGGATTTGTTAGTCGCGGGGTGCAAGCTGGATGTGCTATTGTGGATGAGGACTGACCTTTACGCGTTTATTACCCGTTGCAGAAGGCATGGTGGCAGCTTGATGATTGTGTAGTGAGTGTAATTGATAGGAAGAGCAAGTCGCGCAGGGCGGAAGATGGTCGAATGGCGCGTGGAAAAAGACGATCGCTGCACGTGACACGGTGACGGCATGCCGGAGCTGCAAGTAGCTTGAATCTTGGGAGCTTGATCGATCGATCGATCGCAATTCTTTGCCTCTCAGGTGGAGTTGTCTTGCGAATCGATTCCTTGCTTTAATATTATCACAATCACACATCCATCATGGCTTCTAGGAGACTTGTTGTTGCTGGAGGAAGCGGTTTCCTCGGTTCGTTACGTTTATCAAAAACATGGGTCCATTGGCAAAATGCTAACTTGATGCTACAGGGTCTCAGATTTGCAGAGCCGCCGCAGCACGAGGCTGGGAGGTTACATCACTAAGGTATGTCTTTTACCCTACCTCTAGCCTGGGAGTTCAAGCTCAAAGGTCCGTCTATGTGCGCCATATGCTAAGCTCGCTGTAGTCGATCTGGAGAGCCGCGCTGGAACGTCCTCACAAGCTCCACGGAGCGACCAAGCTGGGCCAGCTCAGTGGAATGGGCCAAGGCCGATATTCTCAAGCCGGAGACTTATAAGCCATTCCTAGGCGGTGCGTCGGCTGTCGTCCATTCGACGGGTATCCTCCTCGAGGCAGACTACAAGGGCGTCGTACAAGGGCGTGAACCCATTGTCAGTGGTCTACAGCGAGCATTTAGCTCTTCCAAATTGGGAAGCCAGAATCCGCTACTACGAAAGGAGGGGGGGCTCTCGAGCCCAAGGAGAGGGATGGACAATTGACTTATGAATTGATGAACAGGGATTCCGGTAGGTTATTATTTCCATTCATTGGGACTCGAAGCTAGAGATTGGGATTTCGCTTGAATGCTGATGCTAACTTCTAATACAGCTATCGCACTCGCCCAAGAATCTTCAAATGAGCATGTCCCGGTCTTCGTGTATATCTCTGCTGCGGCTGGAGCGCCGTTCCTGCCAGCCCGCTACCTCACTACTAAACGCGAAGCCGAGGCCACCATCTCATCTTCACTCCCCGAGCTGCGGAGTGTCTTTATTCGTCCGGGCTTCATGTATGATTCAAACAGAAAGTTCACGTTGCCGATCGCTCTTGGCGGCTTTGTCGCCTCCGAATTCAACAACTTCCTCGGAAACAAGCTTGACTTCCTCGGGTCCATGGCCGAAAAACCGCTGAAAGTTAATGTGGTCGGGGAGGCAGTGGTTGAGGCATTGGAAGATGAGTCGACAAGGGGGCCCGTTGGAACGAAGCAGATTGAGCAGTTGGCAACAAAGGCCTGGAGGAAGACGATGCTTTAGGAGCTGAAAACACAGTCGCCATTGGTTGCACCTCTTTGGCCACTGTGCTAGGAGAGACCTCGCGCATAGGAATCAAGCAACGCAGAACATCCCTATGGATGAATGGTTGCCACGCACCCGGTGTGACTCCAAAATCTCCACCACATGTATTATATTGAAGTTCTTGTCATTTCGCATTAGATCATGGTACCACGTTCGAAGCTGTCCCGAATCTCGGTTGTGTACTGAAAGGAAGTTAGTATCTCCCGGAAATCAGATAGCCAAGGGCGAGTGTAATACATACCTTGTTGTAGAACCGAGCCAGTTTCTGGTTGAAGTGCTTGTTCTTCTCGTTGATGTATGTCACATCGGCCTCCTCATCTCCACGACGTTCTTTGCGTTTCTTCAGGCGAACCTCCTCCGCCTTGCGAAGATCATTAACCAGCTTGTCAACATTGGCGCGATTAGGCTTGTTGTCGGCAAAGCCCACACTATCCGCAGTAGAGTAGAAGCTTCCATTCTTGTCGATCGCAATCATCTCGCCGTCCTCCATCTCAACAATTTCCAGATCGCCGTTGGCAGCTGCCTTCTCGATAGCGGCCAGCTTCTCCTTCTCATATGCTTCGAGGTCGGGTGCCAGCTCACGCAACTGTCGTTTGTACACCTTGCGAGCATCTTGCGTGTAGTCCTGGAAGGCGACATCGTCACGGTGACGCTGTTTCTTCTCCATACGTCTGTCCCATTTCTCTGACTCGTCGACAGTCCAGTCCCAGGCGCGCTTCCGTTCGAAATCTTCGCCGGCCGCTTCGGTGTCTGCTTTGAGTAGATTGTGAGAGGCAAAGGCGTGCTTCCGGGAGAGCGAGTTCAAAAGTCCAGGGTCGGTAGCCAAGCGTTGTGTCTCTGCGGCCGTTTCTTTCAAGTTGCGCTCCGTGCCGGATTTCTTCATACAGGTGGTTAGTATGGCTGTGGATCGAACGGGCGGACAAGCTTTGATTCTTAGTCCGCCCAAAAATATAATAGACGTACAGCTCGGGCCTTGAGGGCCTTGAATCTTTCCATCCTCTCACGCGCTTTAGCCACACCATCGTTTTCTTTGCTCTCTGCAGGTGCCTTTGACGAGCTCGGGGTTTCTGTTGAGGTAGCCTCAACCTGCTCAGGCTGCTCAATGTTCGGCTCCTCCTCTGCGGATGTGGATACCGGTGGTGTTTGAGGCATGATTATCCGAATGCAAGAGCAACCCAGTGAGGCTGCGTCGGTTGATGTAGGTGTTGAAAGTGACAAGGTGGATGCTGAACCGCAGAGTCTGGCGACGAGATGACATCAAGTTCACCGCCCGGTGGCACCGCCCGAAACTGCCACCCCAGACTTGCCCCTTATCTATCGTTGTTTATCTTCATCTCCACCCGTGGGTCGTGGCCTCCTCCGCATTTCCTTGAGAGCATTCGTGTCGACTCGTTGCCCAAGATGGGGAGCCCGTCATCACGAGTCGTCTTGAGATTCAACGGACAATTATCACGCCATGTGTCCAGGAGGGTACCTACGCGCAGGTTCTCGGCTGTCGCTCTAGACACTGATCCTCCGATGGAAGACCCATCACCTTCGCAATTACTCCGATATACTCTCACAAGTTCAAATCCTCTCAGCACTGAGACCAAAAATGATTCTCTCTTGAGAGAACGGGTTCTGTCTCTCATTGATGCGCCGTGGGTGTCAGGCAATCCACCGCCGGCCTTGTGGTGTGCCCTCAAGGGAGTTCACCCCACAACTCGAAAAGAAGAAGCAAAGCGTCTTCATTCGGTCAATGACATATCAGCTCTCAGATCTATTGTTGAGAGACTAGTTGTTGACAAACAAGGTGCGCGGTTACTTAACCATTACCTTTTCGAGACTGGGGTTTTGCAACGTTGTGAAGTGAACAACACATACTCGGAGCTTGTGTCAGCACTCAGCGACATCGTCACACGACTCAACCGACTCGAGCTGCCACGAATGGGCAATGATAGGGGGCTTGAATATGCTGCGCTAGATCTTTCAATGCCTGCTTTCCAGCACTTTTTGCATAACCGCCAGGAATTCAATGGCCCCGCACTGAGCTTTTCAAACGGTGGGTCTGTTATCAATTCGCTATTCGAATCAATCGAGTCTGCGCTCTTTGAAAGACCAAAATACGATACGAGTTACCTTCTTGCCAGTCTCACTGGTGAGGGAGAACAGGCCCCTCGAGATCGACCTACACTGCACGATGTCCTACATGAGTCTCCGGATAAAGACAGGCAAAACTGGACCACATACCTCTGCGTCCTTGCACGGCTCCACAGTCGGGATGCCCTGATCAACTCGTGGAAACAGTACATGGCTGAATTTGACGGAAGTCAAGACGCATGTCACTTGGCCTACGATGTTATTCTAGCTCTGGTTCGATCTAGACGGTCTGACGAAGCCGCAGTGCTTTTGGAATATATCTCCCAGCGCTGCCAGGATAACTTGCCACATATTGCGACGCTACGGAATGTGGAGGTTCTTCTCGATGACCCTGTTGTCAGTGAGGCTCTTCCAGATCTGGCCAAGGGTCGCCACTATGAAGAGCTTCTTGAATCACGTCTCGTGGATATGGAATCGAGGCTAGGCCTTCGATGGGAAGAGGTCCAATGGCAAGCCAAAAGCAAAGCCCACGTTGGGGTTACGCCAGACTCGCCATGGACAGTTTTCAAAGACCAACCTTTGTTCACCATTTACGGCACTTGCGCTGGCTATGAGGACCCAGTACGACTCTGGTCTGAAATCCGAGCTCGCGGTTGCTCCAAATCTCGAAAAGACCTCCGGCGGATCGTTGATGTCCTGAATGAGCAGGACGGCAACCCTCAAAGAGTGGCCGTCGCGCCTATTGGGCAGGATATGCAAGAGTTTTTCCAATCCCACTTTTCATCCATCGAGTTCCAATGGAACCCCGAACATTCGCCCCTCGAATTCTCTGACAGTCCTCTCCCAGCCCTGACAGACCGTACAGAGAAATGCACGCCCACCACGCTAGGCTTACTCCGGGCTCGCGTTACGATCAACGGTGTGCCCCAGGATACCAACAAATGTCTGCATCTAATACAGCTGGGAACCCTGGACCTTCGCTTCGGAGCGGAGGACTCATGGCTTCAGTCAGGGTACATTGTAGCCTGGGACAGACAATATGGCGAGATGATCGCCTTGTACGTGGGGGCAGGCTACGGGGTCATTGACCGTGGCTCGACATTAACAGACGCCCCTTTTGGAGCTATCATGCACATCCGGCCGGCACAGGTGCCCAGCGAAGAGCATTGGCCTACTGATCGACATTCTCGGATTCCCGCGAGATCGTACTACCTCGACCTCGATCCGAGTTCCGATCTAGGATTTCGCTAGAGCGACCCCAGAATCCGTCTTGCATGCAATAGTGTCTGTTGTAAATCCACTTGTATGTCTGGACAGGGAAGAACCGTTGCATGTCTCTGGCATGGAGGAGTGTCGATCTCACATGTAAATCCATCGAGCACATGATAATATGATAATGTGATTGTGAATGTAGAGAGAGAGAAAAAATACCTTCTCTTGTCAACCTACTTTGGATCAACTCGCAGTCTCGTAGCCTTTCCCTTGGCATGTCACTTGGAATCAAGTAATCGCAAGTCGTAATCAATTAGAGTTAGCTTGACTTTTTTTGCCTTACTTTGACGGCCACGTCGCTCGCCCAGCGGGGATTTTCCCGGTGACAACCTCCAATCAACCCCAGTCAGTCCCACCGTGGCAACTCGGTAGACTTCCTGATCAGCGTCAATCCATCCAGATGAGTATAACGCACATCTCATTCTCTGTCCGCCTCTAAATATGGATCCCTGCTAAGTCGGAATGCCCCACCACCGACCTCTATTCCTATCACAAATGCCATTAAACCACCAAGCCCTCGCACATTGCCGCCCGAATTGTCCACATTCACACGCTCTCATGCACAGGCTAAGAATCGGATCGACAGTAAGGGTGGACAAGCCACTTGACTCTCGACACTTGGAAGTATCGTGCATAACGTTGCCTGACTCAGGGAAGCCTGGGGGCTTTTTCGTGGTGAGCTGAACTCTGGATGATGAACAAAGTGCTTGTCTCTGAATGGTGATATACGCTCGATTTACACAGTTCCACCCACATCAGATCGTTCTACTTGTCCCGACGCTTGTTGCAGTTCAATCAAATCCAGTCCAGCCCGAGTCCGAGAAAATCCCTGAATTCCTAATTGCACCACCGCCATTCTCGTCTTGCAGTAGTCCTGCAGCCAGTGGATGCCTCGTCCGCAAGGCCCTCCTTCAATTAAGCACCCTCTGCTCGGAGGGGTAAACCGAGCCTCGTGCTTCTGTTTATTTTTCGATGTCTCTGAGTTCTCCGGATCTTGCGGGGGCAAGCACAGCAACTACTCCATGCACAGTGCTTACTGTCACCCTCCCGCCAAGTCTAGCCACTGACCCCATCGCGACGCCAATTCTTTCGATGCCTCCTACGCGAGCTCCAGGTGCATGAGCAGTGGAGAACTTGACCGAGTATTGACCGAGTGGCTCCACGACACTGAATTTTGCCGACAAGATGAGTGGAATGCCAGAGCCGATATGAAGAGTTGTCACGGGTCTTTGGACAGGCCCCCACTATGGAGCTTTGATGCCTAAGCCAGCAGAGCATCTTCTCCATGGACATTCACAGCTTCGTTCAAACCCAGAATCGAGGTCTGTCATTATAGGTCGCAGACGTTCTCCGAGAACTATAGACTCCAACGGTTTTCCGGTTCCGATGACACCTCGGACAAAGCGCACCAAAACTGGATACGATACGAAATCCGTGCTGTTTGAGGAGATAGCCTGCGTTGCCTCGGCGCTTGGACCCATCCGACCCATTCAGATGCAAAAGAAGCGCATAAACAGTGGTCCGCCTTTTTTGGCTCCAAACCCACGATGGCTGCCTCCTCCTGTTTTTTTGCCGATCAGATCTGACAAGCGATCGTACCACGTATCCGCGATTCGCATGATTTGCGTTGGATCAGGCAGATTGTACAACCGCACGAGTCATGACTGCGTAACTGCACAACGACGCCGATGGTCACGGAACCAGTCCGTGAGAACATGCTTTGCCGAACCTGCCATGCGAGGGATGACCGGAGTGCGCTGCCGTGAAAAGCTAATTTACTTTGATTTCCTGGAAAACATGGGTTTTGACTTACCGACAGTTTTTTAGTCCGCTAGTACTAGTGCCGGCTAGGGCAGGAGGGGAGGGAATCTATTTCCCTAGGAATTTCCCTGCTGCATCGAATCGCGATGCTTCGCTGGTCTGAATTTGACTTCCCGCAGGGGCTCTCTTGGGGAGTCTTGTCAACTTGTCACCAGCCCATTCTTCGTACGGAGTCCATTTGTTCTCCGTGTCGACTCCCCTCCAATTCATGCACCACCATCGTCATATTGCCGTCCCATGGAGCCTAGTTGAGCCCACTATCACGGTGAGCCGCCACTGACGCAGTGCCAGATTCCCCTTTGTGGGGTTCGAGACGATCTTAGTCGGACTGATTGGCAAGCCCCCACCCCAGTTCCATGCCAATCATCCCCAGGGATCGCTTCCATATCGGTGGTTGTGATTCGAAAGCGAACGCCTCATACTGGTCCCAGGGCCACAAGGCCGTTTTGCCCCCCGAGAGTATTGTGCAACGACTTGGAGACGATCAAAGGCAATCGCCGTTCCTATGCGGGTCTGCGGATTCATGAATCCGTCGAGGCTGATGGTCTGGTCCAGTATTGGTTATTATGTTTATTGCTGACTCTATAAAGCGGAGCCCAGAGTTTTCGGTGGTCTGCCCCGTTCCATGGATCCAGGATTCTCCCTCCATACGGGGAGCGGAATCTGCAAAGTCTACTTTAGTTTACTGCGAGGTCCTCTTTTTGCTTGGTAGCTTCCTAAATTGAGGGCATCCAGGTCGAAAAGAGTTCATCTTTACAGTAGTACTCTAAACAAAGCATATCTCTATAATAATTCCGTCTTGTCAAGTATATCTACATCATTACAGGCAGTAGTCCGATATCGCGCCGCAGGTCACACCACGCACTTCATGAATGAGGTTTTTGCCCACAGCCATGCTATTGTCCCTGTGCGCCGCAGGGATACTTACTAGCATAGTATCAGAGTATATAGAGTATAATGAGAAGTGTATATGTTGTATGTTGTATGTTATGATGGGGTTGGTGGAGGGTTGGTGGTCACGGAATGCCTCTCCTCTCGTTGCCCATTCTGGTCATGTTCGGTCGACCACGCTTCTCTCCTTCTCAGTTCCTCAAAACACCCCCAACTTCCACTTCATTCCATTCATGAGGTAATCAACGCCGCTAAGGTAACGGGCTGGTCCATTGTTTGGCACGCATGTACCTCGAGCTCCAGATTATCATCTACAGTCCAGGATCTCGAATCCCAGGAAACCGTTACGGTGGAGCCCACAACTTCACAATGCAGCGTGAACGGCTCCAGGATCAAAAGTCTGCTTGACCGTCTCTTGTGTCGCCAAACGCTAGACTCTCCCTCGGGCGACAGCTTCTGTCAGGAACCAGCAGTTCGTCAAGCCTGGGCCTGCTCCTTCCGAGGACGAATTGAGTGCCAGCTGCCTCAACCCTGTTGGCCCCAGCATCTTTCCAACAACCAGCGCACCCACCCTGGACCAGTCCTGACTCCTCGGCCCCTCGTCCAGTGATATCGAATTATTCGCACAATCCCTCCAATCCACTTTGCTGCAAAACTCGCACCCACCTCTCCTTTGCTCGTGGCAAAGCCCGCTCGGCCCGTTCCCTGGCTCCTCCCTTGTTAATTTGCGGTTTGCGGTGGGCCAATCGTCCTGGAACGGAGCCACAACTGGGTCCCTAGCCTGGGCTAGCTGGACCTAACTGACACACTCTGCTACCTCCGTCAACAGGCTCTCGAACCCACCAGTCAGAGGTGTTGATAACAAATAAACAATCTTGCTAACTGAAACCCAAACCCCCCCACCCTTCTCCAAATATCTGCCAAAAACCCACTCGCCATCCCCATTTTTCCCATCTATCCCCTGTCTTCGTTATTTCAGGTGATTGGACCGCTCGGGGGACCGGGGAAGGGGAAAATCCGATGTGCGTCCACGGGGGTTTCTACCATTTTGAAACGGATGCTGAAATCCTGCTATCCAAATCTTCGGGTTGTGGGCAAATCGAATCGACAACTTGACGATCCACAAACCACCTCAAACCACCTCAAAAAGAATACACTTGAAGAATCGTCCACGATCAGTGGGTTCCTTCAATCTCCATCTCCTACCAATATCGGACTTGCCCATATCCTTCCCATGGCGCTGCTCTTTTGACGGGCTGCATATCCACATGCGGTTTATCAGATGCCTTTCTTCCTCGCAAACAGACAGATCCAGGATATGCATCGAGGGAGGGATTGACGTGATACCACGACTGAGTTCATCTGCACCGAAGGTGGAAATATATATAAACGAGATACACAACAAACCCCACAATCTACATCTGAGACATCCAGTCCGCGGCTCCCCCTCCCCTTCCCGTGTGGCTGTGGCTGACCTGACCGCTTCGTGGGTCGCATTCGAAGCGTCACACCCCAGCTGAAAAGGCAAGGGCTGAGAAAAACAAATTTAGGAAAAAAAGGCTTGCGTCCGGATACGGAATTTCTATAAAAGCTGCGCCACGGCCCGCCATCTGGCGCCAGCGCGATTCCGTCACTAGATGTCGAGGACCCCGTCGCAGCAATGTGGGCATACCACACCACCAGACAGGCCTCATATCGACTCTGTGTCTCGCTCACGTCATCCAGCCCAGCAGATACCTTTAGCATATCATCAGCCTTACCCGCAGTATGAACCGCGACACTTCGTCCCGCCGGATCTGGGCTACGAACGGCCTGCGCTGACCACACCACCGGGTCCCCATCGACTGCCATCATTGGGGGGACGTGTACCTGAGCGAAATGCAGACCCGAGATATATGCTGTCTTCAGATCATGGGTTCATGAACCGCCAGTCATTACCGCAGGCACTCCCATTACGAATACATCCGCAACATCATCCCCATCCTCATTATGGCCCAATTGTCACCGATCCTCGCGGGAATCCGGGGCCTACCTCTTACGAGGACCGATCGAGTCCTATGTTGAGTCATGGCGATAATGTTCGCTATCGATTGCGGACATACGACGTGGAGTCCCAGTAAAGTCCCTTCTTTCTTCCCATTCTTGTCGATTGAACCACCCGTCGTTCTACCTGTCAGTCCCATCCGACCTCGTGCGGTGTGCTTTCTTTTGATGACCGAGCACCTCAATCCGCCACAGCTAGGTGGAATCGCTGCTTGTCACGGATACAATGCTTTGGGGACAGTTTTGCGCTGACACTTGAGAACTTTATCCAGTCATGACGGTAGCTCCACGGCCCTGGCAAGCCCTATTCACTCCGAGAAGAGTCCAGCAGCATCTGTGAGCAGCCCGCCACCAATAAGTAGCGCCAGCAGCAGCAGCGCCCAGCATGAAACGCGGCAGCCTCCACGAAACCCTAGCTATAGTATGCCCCGTGGCTTCGATAAGCTCCTCCACCATGAACCCGAATCATCACCAGACCCTCCACCACGACGCCCCTCCACGCAATCCCGCTACCATCTTCACGTCCGACAACAACCCATCGCCGCGCGAGCATGCGGCGCCGGCGATAGGGACAGACGCCCCGTCGATCCACCACCAATAGTACAAATCCTCCTCACAGACTTCGACCCGGAATCCCAAGACGACCGCGACATCCTGCAAGATCCGCGCTTCACAGTGGGCTGCCTGCTCTTTCCTGTCCCAGACACCACCGGCTGGACCCCATCATCAGAAGGCGAAGCCAGCCAATCCGCCGAACGTGACCCCGACAACATCGCCCGCGCAGACGATTCCTTCTCTACACCACTCCTCTCTGGAAAAGCCTTCATGTCCCCCTTCTTCGTCGACGCAGACCCAGACCCAAACTCCGCACCCACCCACCCATCCTCAGACGACTTCCACACTCTAAACAGCCCCACAACCCACAGCCACAGTCAAATCCACCCCCAATCCCTCCGCAACGCATCAAAACTCAACCAACCCGCAACATTCTTCATCTTCGCAGACCTATCGATCCGCTCCGCAGGCCTGTATAGACTCCAATTCCGACTGATGAATTGGGGTTCCGTCGAGGATACCGGTCAATCTATGCCTATCCTGGCGGAAGCCTGGTCTGATCCGTTCCGGGTATATGCGGCGAAGGATTTCCCGGGAATGCGGGACTCGAGTATTCTTGCGGAGGGGTTGAAGGAGCTTGGGTTTGTGGAGCTGAAGACTAGGGGGAATGGGAAGGGGAAGGGCAGAAAGAGGTTATGACAATTAAGTCGGGGATCTACAGGAGTATACGGTCTGTGGGTTTGTTCGTTTGCCAGGGCTTTCAACTTCAACTTCAATATCAATTTCGCTTCCGATTTCGCCCTCGCTTTTGTTTCGAGTTTCGAGTTTTGAAGGGCGTTTTGTTCCCCAGGCTTATACTTCTTTCGTGAGATGTTGGCTTTCTTGATTCTTGAGTTTCTGGTCCTTTTTTTTGTTTTTTCGCTTCTGCTTTCAGCTGGGGAGTTCTCTGAAATGCGTGTTGCTTGATTTCTACTTGGAGCTTCTGCGATGTTTTCTGCTCTTGTTCGATTGGGTTGTGGGTTGCAAATTGGTATTTGGAAATCCAACATGGTTGAGGAACGGGGCGAGGCGTTTGACTGTTTTATCTTTCCTTTTCCACAATTCTTCGCTTCATGACGGATTTCTTTCCCTTATTGGCATGACGAGTGGATATGATATCCTCTTCCTTCTGCGATCAAAATTGGGGATCATTGCATGTCTTTCTTTGCAAGTTCTTTGCATCAGTGGATTCGATTTGGGCTTTTGGGTGTGTGGCTCGGGGATTCAGGTTGGGTTTGGGATAGGGAATAAGATTGACTGGTGGCATGGTACCTATGGGTAGACGGGTGAATCCAGATGCATATAGAACAATAAAATTGGAGGGGATGCTTCATGCGGTTTTTGTCTTGCTATTCTCGCGTACATTAGAGTGTACTTGAGTCCCGAGCGTGAGACTGGAACAATACATTAAGGTTCTCACGATTTATTTAGTCACAGACGAAATATTACCCAAGACTACATCTGGCTATCTGTCTGGGTGGTTTCTTACTACATGCCTGTAATGATGCAGGTCACCCCTTTATGTATGGTTAGTCCCAGTTCGAGCAATTGCAGGTTCCAACCAGTAACCTTGAGGATTTCTTCGGACTTTGGGAACACTCTAGAGCTATAAAGCTACCTAGAGAGATAAAAGTCTACTAATAATTGCAGGAGCAAGTAACATGCCGATAAATTGTGCTAGAGAGAACCATCGATATAGACACAACCCGACATAAGCTTCTTTCTCTTTGGAGGTTCCATCCATTTCAAGAAATGATATACAGTTACAAGAGCGTCCACAGAAGTATATATACATACATATCCCACCATTTCGCCTACCGAACAGCCAACATCCTACTAGTTAACCTAGGCACATACTCCGGGTCATACCAATTTTCCTTCAACTCCGTAATCATCTTCGCATACTCAGGATGATTTTCCAAATGCGCACTAGCATGATCCAAAATCATACTGCCATCAAGCCTTTCTCCTGTTTCACGAGCCATCAGTGCCAACATGAAAGATGCTTGTGGAATGTTTTTATGGAACCCATGAAAGTACCAGTCCAACGCGAGTTTGCGGTAATCCTCGCGGGACATAGATTGATTGAAGAATGACGAGACCCATCCCAGAGCAGATGTGAGCATAGTGGGCTTTGTGTTGTTCTCGTCGGGGGACGGCGTTGGCGCGTTTGGAGGCGCCGGTTGACCCTGGGCTTTGGCTTTGGCGAGGGCAACTCTCTCCGCTGTTGTGGGGTATCTACCATGGAATATCTGGTAGTAGAAATTGGCGATGTACAAGATGGCATTCTTGTCTCCGAATGCGGCAGCCTTGCACATGCATTCCTCGTACTTGTCGTAGTTTTTCTCGTTCATCATCATCGAGGCATACTCGACTAATGCCTTGCGGTCATTGTATTCCAGCGCCGCGATACGGGTTGCATGGTCTGCTTTCTTTCGCGATTCTGGAGAGTCGAATTGAGCGTCGTACGACGCGTGAAGGAGCGCGTATACTCGCCACGGTGATTCGAAAAGATCAGTCATGGCGATGTCCTGGAAGATATTGGGCCGTCGACGCGTTGGCTTGAGATATGGCAGGACTCGCTTCTCCATCAACTCAAAGGCTTCTTGGTATTCCCCGCGCATACCGAGAATCTTGGCTTGGAGGATCATCGCGGGAGGGAAGCCCTCGTCCGAGAATTGTTTGACCATGTCCGTCCATTTGGTGCGCGGGGTAGTCTTTGTCCATGTAACCGATCTGGCCTGAATGAGAGTGATGGGCTGCCGTGCGCCTGCCAATGCACACGCGGATATTACCCATTCGGTAAGCGATTTATCCACGGCGCAGGAAAGGTATCCAATGCGAAATACGGCATCGACATCTGGGTAGCAGAAAAGTCAGTCTCAGCGCAGTCCCGCATACTGATCCAAGGCGGGCGAGGATAGTAAAAGGATCTTACCTGAAGAAATCGACCGAATCACCTGCGGGTTCGGCGGGCCCTGGATACCCTTAAAGAGCTTGATAGTGACGTCCTGGAAAGTTTGGTAACTGATACCCGGAAGAAGCCCACTGATTCTAGCGTCATCATACATGGACTCTGAGAGTTGATTGAAACGTTCAACAGCTGTTGGAAGATCCAGTGATAGCTCGCGCATATAGAAGCCCTTGTTGTTTAGAACGCCAACCCCATCTGAAGCCATGAAGGCCGGCTCTCGGCCGGCTTCAGACTCTTTCTTCTTTCTTCGTAGAGCGGGCGCAGGTCTTATATCACGACCGAACTTGACTGGTCGGTACTGTGTGCTGTGGAACGGTCGTCTCGAAGTAGTGGTGGTGCCATTGCGAGCGGTGATGAGTGCGAGCCGGGTTGCTGGCGCGAGGCGATTGTTCCCGCGCAGATTCCGCATGTTGGGAGATGTGTGGGAGAGACTTTGGCGGAAGCTAAGACATTGTTGCAGTGCAGCGGATGGCCTCGACATGGAGGACGCTCTGCGAGTGGGGTGGAGTGTATGCGACGTTGTAAAAATGGGTTGGCGAATGCTTGGATCGAAGCTCGTAAAGGAATTGGAGAAAAGCGGAGGTCGGTGTTGGGTCCGCTTTGGCAAGAACGAAAATCCTCCGTCACGTCCAACACAGCAGAGATCCACTCGACAGAGATCGGTTTACTTGAACAATTTACAAAAAATGACTACCATGATTTTAAATATGCTCAATGCATCAATTAAACCAAACCGAGCCCTCTGTATCAGACGGGTCCATAACACAATGCGTATAATGTACATTTATTTGCCCTCACACGACCAGGCCAACAACGCTCAAGAAGTAGTATAACAACACCCTCGAAGCCAGTTTCCAATTCCTCCCACTCCAACATGCGCAAGCCGTAAAAGTAAAACAACAAGAGAAGGGGAGAAGAGAGAGAGAGAGAGCGCGCGCAGGAGGGAAGAAGGAATAGGAAAATCAAGCTCCATCCGCATTCGCCCCGGAATATTCCAAGTTTTGTTTTCCAGTCGCTTTCAACCCTTTATTCCATGATGACCTTCGCGCCCAGAGCCTTGAGGGTCTCGATGATCTTCTCAGCCTCCTCCTTGGGCACGGACTCCTTCATCACCTTGGGCACGGACTCGACGAACTTCTTGCTGTCCACGAGCGACAGGCCGAGCATGTTCTTGACTTCCTTGATGACCTTGGGCTTGGAGGCGGCCTCGAAGGACTCGAGCTTCAGGTTGAACAGGGTCTTCTCGGCGGCAGCGGGAGCGGCTTCTTCCTCCTCAGCGGCAGCAGCGGCGCCAGGAGCACCAGGGCCGGCGGCCATGGCGAAGCCGCCAACGGGGAGATCGGGGATGTTCAGGCGGGTCTGAAAGGGGTGATTGTCAATTGTCATATTCAAGATAGAATCGCGGGAGGAAAGCTTCGCAGAACCATGCAATTGACGCATTGCGGAGTTTACAATGCCGAATCAATGGCTCAGATACCACTCACCTTCAAGCTAGACACGAGGTCGGCAGTCTCCAGCAGAGTCAATGTAGAGATCTGGTCAACAATCTGTGCGATCTTGGGGTTGGTAGGAGTAGCAGCGGCCTCGGTGGACTCCCATCGCCGGTAGCTGGGCGTGCGGGCTGTGTATGTAGACGCAATGCGCAGGGAGGATGGGCGGACGGAGCCGGAGAGCTGTCGGCAGCTACGAGCTGCAGCCTGGATAGGGAAGGACATTGTAGAGGGCAGGGTCGGGTAGCCTGGCGGACGAAGGGAAAAGGAATACGGCGTGGAGGGAGAAAGGGAGAACGACAGCACTGCTTCAACCGCGATAGCGAGCGAAAAGAATGGCAAGAGTTTCGGGGAAAATCTAGCTGTCACGTGGTGTGTCTTATGTAAGCATATACAATGGCGCTGCGGTTCCTGTTGGGAATAAACATTGATTATACCTGCCAAGCAAAATGTAGATTTAGAATTGACACTTGAATAAGTTTCAATGGAAATTCAGAAACCTCCTCGTCTGCTTTGAGATAGAGAGATTTGGGATGCAATGTCTTTGAGAAGACACCAATTTATCCCATGCCTGGGCGTCCCCAATCACAAACAACCCTTCTTATAAGACCAATTCTAGATTGACAACCATTTGCAAATTTACATGTTCCATAGTGAATGACCAAATTTCAGTGATGTATTATCGTACTCAGCTATACACACCAACAAGGCGACTTTTTTCGTGATATCATACGGATCTATCAACGCAACCGGTCTCGAAGCCTCTTCAACACCAGGAATCATCAACACCCTCACGTATTCCCCATTAATCCTTTAATCCTCGTCCCAGTTAGGGTTAGGACCAGGGGGCTTCGGCCCACCCGCTTGTCGGGCAACAATGATCTGGTCCACACTCAGCACGGTGCGCGCAGCCTCGCTGGCCAAGCGGATGGCCCAGCTCTTCGTCGCCATCAGGTCGAGAATACCCTCCTCCACGGCATCCAGGGTGCCGTCGGAGTCGCCGATCTCCAGATCCACGCCGGTGGTCCAGTAGGGCTCCTCCTCCTCCTCCTCTTCGGAGCTGCCCTCCTCGTCATCGGCGTTGGCGCGGTGGTGCGCCGTGTACAGGCGGGAGAGAACGTCGGTCGCGTCGAGACCAGCAGACTCGGCCAGGGTGCGGGGGATCACCTCAAAGGCCTCGGCGAACTTGCGGATGGCGTACTGGGGCAGGCCGGGGGTCTTGTCGGCGAAGCTGGAGATGCGCTCGACGAGCTGGACCTCGGTGGCTCCGGCACCGGGCACCAGACGAGGGTCCTTGGTGATGGCCTTGACGACGTTCACGCCGTCGTCGATCGCGCGCTCAATATCATCCAGGTGATTCTGGGTGGCGCCGCGGAGCACGATTGTGGATGTGCGGGTCACGGCGTTGGCGTCTTCTTGCCGGAAAACGGTGACGCGGTCACCGCCAATCTCGGTCGTCTCGACCACGTCGATCTGGCCCATCTCGTCGGGCATGGGGGCGCCCAGGCGGGCGAGGGGGGTAGCACCGACGACGCGGCACAGACGGCGGAGCTCGAACTTGGAGAGAATCTTGATCACAAGGATGTTGAAGCGGTTGAGGTAGTGCATGGCCAGATCACCGATGGAAGAACCGGCAACGACAACGCGGAGACCAGAGTCGTACAGCTCCTTGATGGCGGTCTCGAGACGGGCCTCCTCGCCCTTGGTGAAGTCAACCATCTCCTGGGCATTCTTCAGGAGAACTGTTCCCTTGGTCTCGGTCTGGGAGATGTCAATGGGGCAGCTGAACACGCCGACCTTGGCCTTGCGGGCCTGCTTGACAATGCCATCCGGCTCCCGACCGAACACCATACCCTTCACAACCTTGGACTGTTCCAAGCTGCCACCCATGATCTTCACGACACGCACGTTATCCACGTTGAAGTTAAGAGGGTTCTTGGGCAGCACGGCGAGCACTGCCTCGGCGACCAAAGCGGCCAGGGTATCCTCCGTGCCAGACTGCTTGCTAGCGACGACTGTCCGAAGAGCCTTGCTAAGCTCTGGCACTGACCGCAATTCCTTCAGACGATCGACCTCGAGATCTGCACGGCGGGAAACAATAGTTAGCATCAATTCCACGCGGACTACCGTCCGATCCCTGACTATGCCAACCGGCACCTGAATTCAAAGGCAATTCAACCAAAACAACACGACAAAGCATACCTTCAAGAACCTTCAACGCAAAGTTCTGGGCCTTCTCATAGCCGGAAACAATATCACTCGTCTTCAATCCCAGACGGATCAACTCCTCCGCCTTCTTCAGCAGCTCGCCAGCCAAAACAATAACCAAGTTAGTGCCATCACCCATCTCAGCATCCTGCTGCTGACTAGCCATAACCAACAGCTTAGCAGCGGGATGCACAACGTCCAACTCGCGGAGAATCGTCGCAGCGTCGGAAGTCAAAATCATCTTCTGCAGGTGGTTGATGACGATCTTGTTGCGGCCATACGGACCCAGAGAGGTCTGCACGGTTCCCGAGATAGCCTGGCAAGCCTCGATGTTACGAATGACGGCTCCATCTTCGGCGTCGTGACTAGAATGGCAAGAGGGGAATTGTTAGCATGGATGTGGTGCGGTGCTTTGTTGGCCTTCATGGGTGCGGCGGGCAGATAAGGAGGTGGGAGGTGTTTCTCCGGTGCGGTGGGATGGGTGGCCCGCTATGTTTCTTTGCGAGCAGCTTTGGACGTACCTCTGGTACCCAGCTTTGAAGAGGCCCTGCTGGGAGGGCCCGGGGAGGGATAGGGACATTGTGAGAGGTCGTGTCCGAGGTGGATACGACTGGATATGAGGGATGGGAAGGAGGGAGTTCGATGGGCTTCTCTTGTGCCGGGGAATTTTTGGAGCTCGATGGGGGTCGGTGGGTTTGCGTTGTTTGCACGAGGGGGACCCGCCAGTTGGTCTACGCTGAGACCGCCCACACTCTCGTCTACGAAGGGGTCTATATCTTGGAAACAGTATTATAAAGTTGGGGTATTGATGCTGTATCAATCCCCCAAATTAGAATGTTGAAGAGCAGGGGAGAATAATCTCAATCTTTGAAACAATTAGATGAACTACAGGCCGTTTCTGTAAGACTGAGACTAAGAGCCAATAGGGAGGAAGCCCTGGGGTGAGCGTCCTATCTATAGGAGTATCGGACTGGAAAGAAGACTTGGGATGTATTCGATGCACTATCTAGTATATGATACAGTAAAGGTGAATACTCAAAAGGTAATTCACCACATTCACCAATGATACGAGCTCTGTGTCTGGTACGCCTTCTTGAAGCTAGGCACTATTCGAAAATAGTCAGTATCCACGAGAACCGTTGTGTACTAAACGTATGACTTACTATAGCTTCCAAAAGTACTACAACCATTGTCTGCGTAGATGGTTTCAGCTTTGTCAAGCCTAGATATTATTAGTATTCCGACTCTATTGGATCCTTATCTCGGCGTAGCTTACCATCCTCGAATGGCTTCTTCGCGGTTGTAACTCTGTGACAATATTAGACAAAATGATGATCAGCTTGGGTAGTATTTAACGTACCGAAGGGTGTGTGGACATGAACTGCGGCGGCGCAGCTTTCTCTTGTTGCTGCATTCGGTGCCATCTAATATAGAATTAGTATGCACAATTCGACACTGGTCGACTCATAGCTTACAGTGTCACGGCGGCCTCAGGATTAAAGCATGCCTTGGCCATCATCACTAGATATACGTCAGCATATTCTCTAGACTCCCTTCCACGCCCAGTAGTAACAACATACTCAGCCCAATATTATCCGCCTCAGCCTACCCATACTAGTCAGCGACCAACTCAACGCAACAACAGGGTTGTATGACCAGGCATTAAATGCATACATACCTCCTGGGTCCGGGAATTCGGCAAACTCCACATCAGATTCACCAGCATACTCGACAAATTCCCAGAGACATCGAATAGCAGCGAAATAAGCAACACCGTGCCCAGCGTCAAAAAGCTATTACTCATGCGCTCAGCTGGATGCCGCGCAACAACGTGCGCAATTTCATGTCCCAACACCGCCGCAAGACCATCCTCGTCTTGACATATCGGCAGAATACCCGTGTACACGAAGACCTTGCCCCTACAACGAAAATAACACATCGTCAGCTTGGGACAACCCGCAACAAGAATTCACAAACAGAGCTATTCAAGAACTGTCTTACCCAGGAAGCACAAACGCATTCGCATTCCCATCATCAACAATAACGTGCACCCTCCAATCCGCGCCCTCAATAGGCGCCTGCGGAATCAGCCTCTGCAACACGCGATTAACCATCTGCGCCAGCGGATGATTATCAGGCAACACCCTGCCCTGCGACTGCGCCAGAACCTCGCGGTAACTCTGCGCGCCCATTTTCAGCTCCATCGAGTGCGAGATGCAGTTAAAGCGCCGGCGGCCGGTCATCTCGACGACTTCCGTGTTGTACAGGTATACGCCGGAGAGACCGAGGCCGATGAGGACGAAGTGGTGCGGTTTTGAGCGGGTGAGGAGGATGTGGAAGAGGGAGGGGCGGTGGTTGGAGTTGAAGCGGTTGTAGTTATAGTTGCGGGCGAGGCGGGGGGTTGATGTTGTGAAGGAGCGGGGGGTTGGAGGGGAGGGCCATCGTGATGGTGGTTGGATGCGAAGGTGTGATGATGGGCGTGGAAGGGTGGGGATAGGTCGGTGCGCGGTGCGCAGGGTGAGGAGAGGGTGACGGAGCATGATTAGTTGGTGTTGGTGTTTTGCATGGTATGTACAAGAGGTGGGAGGGTGAGGTCGGTTCTCTGGGATTGGAGGTGTTGGAATGAGACAAGGATGAAGTTGAAGGTTGGTGGTGGTCGAAGAGGCCGCGGCCAAGCCCAGGCGGCGATAAGCAGGTGCTCTCGGTGATAGGGCTGGATTTAGAGAGCAACTACAGTACATCAACGAGATGGGATCATACTCGCAACAATCATGTCAAATTCTATTGTTGGAAATAAAGACTATTATAACGGACATAGAAAACCAAGTCTGAAATATGTCACACGTGCATTGTCATTAGTCACAAGGGAGGGCAATAGAATTATGCAAAAGGCTATATCAACATGGACGCAGACCCAGCCAGTATAGAGTCAACCAAATCAAATCAAATCAAGTCACAGAGGGGGGTCATCAATATTTTTCAGCCAATGCCAAAACAGGGAACTAAGAAAATCCAAAACATCCAAAATAAAGTCACACAGTGTTCCACCCAAAAAACATCAAAAAAGTCTTTAGAAATCGAAAAAAAGAGATCCCCCACCATCCGCACACCATCCCCGAGACGAGACCATTCGGGGAAAATAGCAGAGTAAACACAGATCAGATGTATCAGATGTACGCCCCAACAAGGCCCAAATCCAGTCCAGGAAAATTCAAAACCAAAATCCAGACCGACGAGGTGACGAGAGGGGAACACGTAAGACGGGATCGGCGGGAAGCGGAAACACATCGCAAACAAAGGCCCCTGGTATTATGCTGCACAGTCATGGTGGGAACAAAAGTGGTATCACAGAACGAACATGGGTAAAGAAATAAGAGAAAGGGACGATGAGATGGTGGTATGATGAGGAAATCGGGGGCACGCATGATAATCAAGAAAGACAAGGTCAATGGACCGACTCCGGGGGAAAATGATGTATAAACCAGGGAAACAAAAAAAGAGATACACGAATGGAAAGTGAGGAGGAATGCAAGTCGACTTTTAAGAGTTGAAAGAGAGACCGGTCCTCTTCTGTCTGTCTCCCTTACTCTTCAGTCAAGGCAGCATCACCCATCTCCCGCCAACCCTTGGATTTATCCGTCAAACGACGCACACCAGAGATCCGCTGGGCCCAGTGCGCTTCCGAGGGCGTGCGGAACGTATAAGCACGCTGCGAGGAGATCGTACCGATGCTCTGAAGCACAGCCTTGCGGGAGTCACGACCAAAGACAGCGGGGTGGTTGATCCACTCAAGGGCAGAGTCCAGATCCGCATTGAGCGCATTCATGGTCTGCGCGTCGACGGAGGAGGATGGTGTGATGGTGGCGGTTTCAGACGCGGACGAGGCATGGCTTTCCACGAAGGTGGAAGACTTGGGAGAACTTGACGTGGGCGTGTCGCCTCGGCTGCCCGAGTCGCTGGTACCTGAAGGTCGGGAGGCGGCGGGTGGTAGAGGAGGCAATCCGCCTTTGCCTAGACCCTTGAGGATACTGCGGGTCTCTTGGAGCAGGTGCTGGCCACGGTCGTGTTGCCCGCGAGAGACGAGGGTGAGTGCCCTTGTCAACATATCGGAGGTGAGCAGCTCCATGCGCCGCTGTACGATGGACGGGTGAGGAGGGATGGGAGGGGTGGAGGGTCGTTGGTTGCGAGACCTGGGGTTCGGCGGAAGCATGGTGATAGCGAGTAGTGAGGGACGAGGTGAGTGGGTCAGATGGCCGTCGCGGAGAAGATCGCCGTAGGTCAGGTCTGCCTGGATCAATGGGACCTCTTCCACGCTCAGCACTCGCTGCTCATCGCCATCGAATCCACCGCCTAGAGCTTCCAGTCCAGAAACCAAGCTCTCCCATGGGTCCTGGGGCATGTTGTCTTGCGTAGCATTGTCGGGTTGAATGACCAGCTGCACCAGGACATCACGCTTATCACCAAATCGAAGATCTCCCAACGCAGCCTCGGCATCCCGACCAGTCGCCCGCTTCGTCGTGTGGAGGGCCCCGCTAATCTTGACAAACTTGGCTGGCGAGCCTTCTGGCAGCCGAAGCTTGAGCTTGACATTTTGGTGAGAAGTAGTCTGGATAGCACCCAAGCATCCCGCAACACACTCCCGGAGCATCATCCAATCCTTGACGTAGAGATACGAGCCCTTGGTGCGAGTCGAGAGCTCGATCATGGTATCCGGCTTGTGGGTCAGTCCAAGACCGAAAGAGTGGATGCTGACCTTGGCAGCCTCGGCGCGAGAGACAACGAAATCGACACTTTCGGGGTCCGAGGTGGACGAATCGCTGATCAAAAGGATTGTCGAGACGGGGTTGTTGAATTTGCGCTGCATGAGCAGATCCATGGCCACGTTGGCGCCCTCCACCACATCCGCACGCAAACTCTTCTGACCAACGGGACGAATCGAGTCGAGAACCTTGTTCCATCCGTTCCATGACTTGGTGGTCATGCCCACCAGAGGCACGCCGCCACCACTCGACCCGAATGTAACCAAACCCATGCGGTCCCGGGAGCCCAGATTCTGTACAAGGAATTTCAAAGCATCGCGCAAAAGTGTAATCTTCAACCCCTGCATCGATGATGAGACGGGAATGACCACGACGAGATCAAGAGGAATGTGGAACGAATTGATAGACGGCTTATCCGCCTCGGGGTTGGTGTAATCGGTGATGGCAGTATTACTCGACTTGCCTGCGCCATAAGACGAGTTAAGAGATGCCTGCCGCTGTATACGACTGGTCCGGTATTCGTCCTCCTCGACCGCGGAGTGCTCGTAATCAAAGTCATTATGTTGTCGAGATCCATTTTCCACCGGGTGCAGGTTCGTCAAGGCTCGGTGCCACGTCTCCAGCTGCTGGCGGTTCTGGAAACGCAGGTAAAAGCAGGGGAGTTCGCTGACAGAAAGGTTAAGAGAGATAATGGGCTCGTCGGAGCCGGTATCGATGGACTTGAGATGTTTCTTGATCAGGATGGAACCTTTGAGGGTGCAGCGAGTGGGCTTGCGCTTCTCGGAGTACTGGTGAGATTCGGGAATCTTCTTCTCCTTGACGCAGATAAGCATCTCTGCGAACAGATAGCATTCCAATTCTTGCCAGGATTCCCGGTCCTTGCCCACGCGCATTTGCCCATGCAATCGCAACTTGCCAAACCTGTGCCTCCATTAGCATTGCTGAAACTGGATTTCAAACAAGACACCGCCCGCATTTCCCAAAGACATACCGTTGGAACTCAAGGCCATGCCAATTATCGACCCGATTCCGCAAATCCTCCGCAATCTCATCCAGATTCTCCACCGGCTCATACTGGATAGACCGAGCATCCTGTGAGCCCCCGAATCGTCCTGTATACGGCTCATCGAGTTGCGATTGGCCTGAAGGTGGGTGTCGAAGATCGTCCGCGTCCGGGCGCCAATTGCCCTCAGGCACCTCCACCGTGATCAGACACGTCAGGGTTTGCTGTTGGCGGGATCGATTCATAGTAGGGAACTCGCTTCGCACGGTGACAATCGGTGCCGGGATCGGGTTTTTGGTGACACCTGGGCGAGGGCTCAGGTCTGATTCCATGGCCTGCACATCGTAGTCGTGGCGTCGCCCACTGCTCGTATGTTGGCCATCGTGGTAGTCGCCCGATGAGCCGGCCGCGCTGCCATTGCGGGAATGCGGTTGGCGTTGGCGAGGGTCAGAAATGGCCGACGCTGCGCCTGTAGTCAAGCGTTCGACCCGCTCGCGCTGGCCGGTGGTGTCGCGACTATCACGTCGGCTATAGGTGGATTGTGCATTGTTGTAGCGGCTACCGGCATCGCTAGGCGGTCGCCGATTCGACTGTTGTTCCCAGGGGGTCGCGGTCGTGCCCGTCAGGCCACTCCTCGTGGTGGCCGTATCGCTCATAGTCACCGAACGCACAATATTGCTGATCTTTTCTACAGGGTTAGTGGGTCTCGTCAGTACATCCATTTTTTTTTCTTCAAAATTATTGGTCTCTGAATTGGGTTTTGGCATGGGCATGTGATTCCCATTAGGTAGCTCCCTTTCTTCTTCGGAGTTGAGGGGGAAGGGAAAAAAGGCAAGAAGGGTTGGCGATCAGCAAGAGAGAGCACGAACCGATATCCAAGACGTTTCCACCTCGGCTCGTATCCAATCCTAGGGGGGCATTGCATGTCGGACAGTATTGCGACTCGAATTCCCGGATAAACTCGTAGAAGCACGCCTCGTGGGAGACATGACTGCATGAGAACTGCAGGACCCGCTCACCGCGCAGGGTATGCTCGAGCGGCTCCTCACAGACGGCACATTCACTGCCGATAAAGGTCCTCTCCCTCCGTGTACGGGTGCGATCGACCTCCATTGCACCGGCCATAGAATTGCCCGAGCGAGAATTGAAGGAGACACGAGAGCGATTCGAGTGCGCTGACTGCCAGGCAGGCTCGTGATGAGGTGAGCGAATGGATTCGGCTAGACCTGAGGGGGCTCGTGGGCCAGTTGTTGGGCGTGAGACGTCCGTATAGTTGGAGGCACTACTCCCAGGACGGTCTGATTTGTGTCGAAAGGAGCGAAAGGAGCGAAACGGGGAGCGGGAAGATGAGTCTGGCCGCGGTTGAAATTCTGGACGTTACCAGGATCCGTTAGCCATGCGGCGGGGGGGGGAGGCCAAAGTGACAGGCTGACGGGGAATCATGCAACGATGCAACGCAGTTGCGAGGGTAGAATGTTGGGGTTACGCCCACCAATTGGGGGTCAGAGAATGGAAGATGATGTGAGGTGTGGAAAGGGGAGAGGTTGAGGTTCTTTTGTTTGAGACTTCTCGCCTTCAGGGGCGAAGGCTCGGATGAAATGGTGTGTGTGTATGTGTCAAAAGGGAAGACGAGCACGATCAGATGGGGGGATTGAGGTCAACGCCAAAAAGGTCAAAGGGAGACTGTAACGAGACGAGACCCAGTCCTAGCACCGCTAAAGAGCGCATCTAGAACCCGTCGTGTTCAGGTCTCAGATTTCCGATGCTAAGACCCGGCCGAACATTGATCTGATATTGAAGGGGGGGGAGCCCAGAAACAGAAGGAGAACAGGGTTGATGACAAGAGAATCAAGTAGCTCACCGGAGGATGACGAGGGCACACTGTGCTTCTTTCTGGACCGCCCCAGGAATCCCAGTTCAGATAGATGTAGATTTGTCGAATCGCTCCCAGATGTAGACTCCGATCTGGGCGACAGTCGATGTTTCCACATGGGGGGGTTTCTCCCAAGACAACCCACGAGGAAATGGTAAGGTGGGGGGAGGGGGAGGGAGGAGAGGGAGGAGAAAGAAACCACCAGAGAGGCGACTCTTGTCGCGAGAAAAAAAAAAAGAGGCGCCCCGAAAGTCAAAAAAATAATAATAATATAAAATAATAAATGAAGAGAAAGCCACAGAGGGAGAGAGAGAGAAGGCGGATTGAAGGAGCGCGTCCCGACGAGAAAAAGACGTTCCAAACCAAGCAGGGAAAGGTTGGAAAAAGGTGCAAACGGTGGGAATATTAATGAGGGGGTCCAGTGTCAGGGCTGTATGGAGGATACGGACGTAGACAGCAAGTATATACTACCATACACCGAGAAAGGACGGAGTACTCGCCAGATGGTAGTTCGACTAGGAAGAACTCCGGTACGTCGAACTGCGAATGAGGATCTTCGGAATCGGTACAGGAAGGAGGACACAATGGCGATTGTGTGTCCAGCAGACTGGCGCAGGGGACCGTACTACTGCAGGTCGCGAGTACATGCAGAGTTGTACGGAGTACAGTAATTACTGTAGTTGTATTGATGATTGTACGGAGGATGGATGGAATTTGTCTGAAATTCTAAATGGATTTGAATGAAAGAGCGACAGGGGGAGAAGAAGAGGGGGGGAAGTGGACCGAGAGGACTAACGATTGGATGCCAGGCCGGGGAAATTTACGCCGGCGCTCTCTTAGTTCGCGTCGGAAAAAAAGAGAAAAGAAAAAGACCAAAAAAAGGGACAAAAAAAGGCCAAAAAAAGGGCGAGGTAAAAAGCAAAATGACGATCGTAGGTGGACAGGCACACCCTCCACAGAGAACACTGGACTAGACTGCGACTAACCGGAGTAGGAGTAGTCTCCTGAACTCTGGAGCGATCCGGGTCCACTGAGCCTGCCGAGGCACGCTAGCGAAATGGAAGAGCCATGGATTCGGAGAAATGAGTGGAGGACCGGGTGAAGTGGACACGGTGGAAGCGCACTTGATTCGCGACCGCGGGTCCCCCCTGAAAAGAAGAGACAGAAGAAGGATTGAATAGGGAAGGAAGTGAGTGGGCTAACGACGTAGTAGGGCTGGATCTTCGGTTGCATTGAGCATCTCCAGAGTCTAACTCCGTGGCCCAGTCGTCGACTATTAAAACCTAGGCGAAGGAGGCTGGATGTGAATTGAGAATTGGAGATGAGAAAAGGGACTCGGGCAGCTGGGCGACGGAGGATTAGGAACCAGAACGACGGGACTATGAAACGTGGAAACGATTGGATCTGGACCAGGCTGAAAGGACGAGGACAGAGATTGGGTAAATAGATTCGAAGGATCAAACAGTGATCAAGTCTGCCGTACAGTATTCTGGTAAAAGGAACTACTTTCAATATAATCATTAGCAACGAGACCAAGTTCCGTCATTGACAGATAAAAGTATGGTAGCCACCAGTACGATAGTACGGAGTACTTCGTATTCGACTGGATACCTGGCCACCACCACATGGGCCGTAGAAACCAAAAAGAAGATTCTATCCTGCACCCAAAAAACGTGGCTGGGAAGACAGACAGGTTCGTCTTCCCTACCTGACGGCCCCAATGCCCTGCGGCCCAGCTTGCTTAGCGACAGTAGCTTGCAGCTTCTCTGCATCCTAGCCTCTACTAGCTGCATATCTAGCCCTCCCCCTCCAATGTCCAACAAATCCTCGGAACTCCGTGAAAAAAAGGAAGGATCGTGGTTTACAGTTCCAGATTTCACACTGTCTGTACTCCGTACTCCATACTAGGCCTCAGAGCCGTGTAAACAGGGGACTGGACGCCCTGGAACGGGGTGGAATTGGCTCGATGGGCGCCAACGTGGAGCCCTGACTTCCAACCTTGTCCAGCATTCAGCTGAACTCAGCGCCGCTGCTTGCCCACCAAACGTGCATCATGGCAAATTTCTTTTTTTCTTCCACGATCTCTAAAATCTATAATTGTCCACCGAGATCCTCCAGACTACAATATAACTGACTTTCACTAATGAACAACCAACCCCCCTCTTCAGCTCCCACGCGCCATTCCACAAAGACAGGATCAGAAACATATCCATTCCGAGAATCCCAGCAGACCCGCGGGGCGCATGCGATAGTCTCGGGCTCCGCGTATCACTATCCCCATGCTCCCGTCCATTTGAGATAAACTTTCCCCTATTCCAGTGTCAAGGTTGATTTGGATTTGAATTTGAATTCCAATTTATATATATATATTTTTTCTCTCTTTCTCTTTTATTCTTATTCGAATTTATTTTCACCATTGATATAGCGTGCAGGCTGTTCTGGTGATACGCGGACCATGGTTCGGCGCGCGGAGGGGTTCATCATCGGCAGTCCTGATCGGACTCCAGCCGGACCGCGATGCAATCGCGCTGCAGCTTCGGACATGAACGGGTTTTCCGGGTACGGTCGGTGGATACGGACGGAGTGAAACCCTAAATTTGGGTCGAATTGCAGACATGTTCAGGAATACGTACTATAGTGTACGGAGTATATTGTAGTGTATGCAGTGGTTACCACTGTAGACGGCAGTTCATCGCTAGTCGCTAGTCGCTGGGGCACTCTTGATTTGCAGATCACAGATCACGGAGGATGAACTCCTCCGTCTCTGCTGTGTACTCCGCTTACTCCATAGAATACACTTCACATAGTTAACTAACTAGCGTACTTTTATATAATAAGGTCTCTGATTCTCTCTACTCAATAACTATTTAGTTACCTAACTACCTACCTCCAAGCTCTATGAATAATTCCTCCCTCGAGGCTCTTCCCAGCCTTAACCCCCTACCTACCCCTTACTTACCACGAAAGCCTCCGAATCTCCTATCCGCCTCGTTGCCGACGACCTGACCCTCTGGTTCAGCCAGTATGGTACAACCAAGATCTCCATCCGTGGAAACTAATTTCTCCAGAGCCCTTCTCTTTCTTAGAACCCATCTCCAACCAGACCCAAACGAAAGCGAATCGGCAACCCAACTATGTACCCGACACTCTTGAGTGTACCAGCGATCTTAATTTTTCGCTTTAACATTGGGGACATGAGAGTGATCCATCCATCGCCACCAACCAACCAACTAGTTAGTTTAGTTAGTTATGCAAGGTACGGAGTACTGTGATTCTGACATAATCCACAGCCATTGGCCATCGGGTCTTGGCTCCATCTCGCCTGCCAAGCACGTCGATCCTCTCCAACGGTTTTCCTGTCACTCGCACCCGCGGAAACAGCTCCTCATTTTCAGGGTCACCCGGCATAAGCTTTTGCCTCGCCTATCCTGTTCCCGAATGTGCACGTCATACCCGCTGAAATTCGAATGCAGGAAAGGTGCCGGCTATCGCTTCTGATCCGAGTTCCTCACCTAAGTATCCAGGGGCAACTGGCAATTAGGTTTCAGTTCTACACTGCACCGCACTGCACTGAACTGCACGGCCTCTGGATCGGTCGGCAGATCTCTGTGTGTGTGTGTGTGTGTGTGCCTGGATTCGAACCACAATTTCGCTTTTCGCTTGCGCAACCGCGGCGCTTAGTCCATCCCATACAGTACTTCGTACACCTACTGAATAGGGGATGTAATCTGCAATACCTTCCGTATACTCCGTAGATGATTCTCGCCTCGACATGGTGGCGTCTAAATTATCCCCCTCTCTTCTTTTTTTCGCAGTAATAACAATATATCCCGCGAATTGGTGGGCGTGGCCGTGCTCTTCACTTCTGTCAAATTAGCCCAATGGTCTAGATTTCTCTTCCCTCGGTCCAATTCCCACTCCTACTCGCTTTGGCTGTTCTCTCGTAGCTAGTCGCCTGGCTGGCCCTTCGCGTGAATGGGCATGGCATCATGCCATGTCAATCTTTCTCCACATCGGGCCCTCGTCCCACCCCCTTAGTGGCAAGTGCTAAATACGGTAGCTCGGCCGGGAATTTGGAGGAGTAGCTTGCGGACCACACGTCTCGCTAGGAGAAATTATTTTGCACATCAATCGCTCCATCGTGCACGTTCGGGTGATGAGCGCTGGTCGCGTAGGTGGGTTTACTCTGGCGCTATTGTACGGAATACGAAGCAATCCATGCGGCGATGCGCTGATCATCGTGCTGCTGCTTTTTGAGGTGCATGGCTCTCCATGGCCCACCTCTGCGACTGACAGCTGGGTGTTACATGTATCTTGGCCTGTATTGATATACAGCTGGACCAACAGTATTGAGACTCGATACGATGTACACTGTACTTCGTGTATACCGTCTCCACGCAATTGGCCATAGCTGCATCCCGTCACGTCTCTTAGATGATGGATCCGGGAGGAAGAGAGGAGCGCTATGCTGCCGGGCTGATCTAGACTTTCCCTGTCATATTCTACCTCGGCATCGTAGACCATAGAAACGAGGACTAAGCGATTTTGGGGCAATGCGCATACCACTACAGGAACTTTGTTAAGTCGTGATTCATGTCCAGAGTTGTATGCAACGTCTGGCGGGGAACTCGGCTGAAACTCGAGTCGAGTTGATATGTCGACTGCCGCTACGTATGACAGGTCGGAGAATTGATCGAACGTGTCGACTGGTCACAATAGTCCTGCATAGTGCATACGATGCATTGTCCATGACAGATGATGTAACTATACGATTTGAACTGACATGCTCATGCAAATACAGGCACCCCTGAGCAGCTGTCAAGCTGAGGCCCTGCGCAGATTAGCCGCCCCATCAGGATCCGTTAATCGCCAGCACTATTTGCAGAGCTAACCGGTCAGTCCCGCATTTGCTTAGTGGTGATAATCTCAATCTCACCTGCGATACAATCAAGGCATGCAGAATTGCAGATGAATAGATATAGCTATTCCATCGACAGTTGAAAATAGAAGCTTCATAGTCCATGCCTCTCCGTTCTTATGGTCCTGGTCTGTATCTAGTCCCACAGAAAAGAAACAAATTAAATTAATCACAAAACTTCCCAGACTACCCATCAACTTACGTATACCTGTTGCATGCTTTACTTCTCGGTTACAATGTGTACTGCAGTCACTGAGTCTCCTTCATGCTGTAAACTTGGCAGATCTTCAGACCCAAAATTGCGTTCTAACTTCCGCCACATCCAATCCTGCATTGTGATCAGCACCGTTGGAGCTTGCAGAGCGGGGGGACTGGGACTACAGTAGCATATCCCCTCGGAACTCCACTGGCGTTAACCTAGCCCAGTCTGCAGCCCGTCATGCGGCGTAACTCAACTTAACTGAAGAATATTTATGTACTTAACTAGTCATGTCTGTAGATCACTTCAAGAATTTTCATTCTTAACCGACCAAGTACCTACCATCACCCTCGGGATATGTATATGTAAAAGCTCCATACTGTACTGGAAAGTAAGACCCGTCCTAGCCTCATCTTTACCAAATCCCGGTTCCTTCCCCCCACGGCTTACCCTGCAGTGCCGGGCGGAGTATCCGTGCTCAGAGGATCGCGCAAGCCGTTGTTTCAGACCACGAATGATGATCTTTTCGGGAGCTTGCTTAGACAATCAAGGGTCACTCCTAGTTAACTTCTTCGTTTGACTAACTAGGAATGAGCTATGATGACATATGCATGTGTATCTCCATCTAGTCGGACTGTAGTTTCCAAGATACCAATCCTGCATGTAGCCATAAACTCTAGCTCTTCTATCTGTATGGACTATTCGGTTTCTCGCAGTGAATAAAGTTTGAACATGAAACGCCTTGTCTTGGTTTACTGCAGGCCCGATTGGTGGGCCGTAGAGCCTGGCAGCAAGCGCTGTGGTTACAACTTACTGCACGTTGGTGGGCTTGTTTGGCGGCCGTTGAGGATCCTTGCTCGCGGTGGTATGCGTCGGGCGTTGGACCCGTCGATATGCATAGCTGGTCTGTAGTCTATTTTAGGCTGGTGGACGCATCGAGGGGCTGGTAGCTTGGGTACTTTGTTCGAGGACGATGAGTCGATGACGCTTTGGGGATATGCTCAATGCTGCACGTCGTCGTCACCAGTTGCATTTCCTGTTTCAGGGAGTTTGAGGAAATATTTTCGATGTCGATGCTTTTGTCGCTTTTTACTCCATATAGACGTTTCTGATGTTCTGTCTGCAGAATAGCTTGGTAGGTAGGGTCCATTATGTTCCATGCCACTGTTCGATACTCACGATATCGAGCGCCAAATTGAGCTCAATGGCTAACGGTGCAAAACTGGATTCTTCGATGGTTTTCCGAGCAAGTTTTCTAAATCCACTGTGAAACAGAAGATCTCATTTTTGAAGGAATGGATATTTGGTTGGATGAAGCTGCTTCTCGCGGCACTGAAACAAATTTCTCAGTCATCGGAGCGTCCTAGCCCAAGAAATATCCATAGAATTCAGTTCCTAGGGTCTGCATGTCGTCGTCATTTGTTTAGTAACTCTGTAGGACTGGATAGGATTAATTCGAGTTTCCACATCCCCTTCAGCGTAAGTTGAGCTGGCCCCTTCGTGCCCATAGTTTGGCTATCTATACATGTCATAGTGAGCTCGCAAAGAGCGGATGCCTGGATCGACATATCATTTTCTACCAGCGTTTGAAAGCTATTCTGGTCCAGTCGGGAGTTTCTTCTCTTCTTTAGACTTTGACAAAAGGGACATAGTAGGTACTAGGTTTGTTATTTTGATTTTGTTGTATGTCGTACCTGTTAAATACAACTCATCAATGTATAGATGTACAAACCAGTAGATCCACAGTTCCACGCTAGTATATGGAACAAATCAAACTGATATATCTAATTCCATCGCGCTCTGTCCATATATATATATATCCGCTAGGACCAGGCGTTGCTAGTCAAGTGGCTACTGGGCGCTCGGTTATGGCTTCCGCAACGGTCAGCCATTGAACATGTTTCCTAATTCGCAACAGTGCAGTATATTGCTGGCTTTATTGGACGCTGAAAGAAATGATCTATCGCGCGGACAGCGATAGCGGGGTCGACACTAGCCTGAGGTATCAGACTTATCGCCTCACGAGGGGCAATCATGGCCATTGCGTACTCATTGGTAACAGCAGAGTGCTTTATTCAGTTGGGCGATGCAGGGTGCAAAGTCGGGAAATCCGAGGTATCAATTTTGAGATGTCTCAGATGTGTTGATCGTTAGAAAGCCGCAAACAGCGCCGTTCAGTGGAACATCGATTCATTGAGGGAGGCATTGATGGCCAGTGCTTTGTCTCGGGGAATTACAGTTCTTCGCTAAATGCATCTGTTTACTGGCTAGATACGCTAACTGACTCCGGGCGTACTGCGTAGTCGATAATGGCCAGATAATGTGTACTTTTGGCGTAATCGATAGGTCTACGGCAGGTCTGGTCCTCAGGCTACGGGAGTTTTCGGCATTGGTCTAGATTACTCGTGGTTTTCTTGATCGCATCTCCCCATTGATACTGAGGCAAGACACTAGACTTAGGCATCGATGGACTTGTGAATATGCGCCGACTAGGTTGTGTGTATACGCAGAGGGGTCAAGTGTGGTCTATGTTTTCTTATTTTTGGGCTGGCAGCAAGTTGGGTAGGGCTCCGATAGTTTCCTCGTTCCTCATTGGATCTTTTTTGATATCGAAGTCACGGTTTCTAGTGTCCGAGGAAATGCCATGTAGATACAGAATTTGCAGAAATAGCCATTTACTTTCGTCGATGGTAATCATTCATCTAACTCATGTTGATTTTCTCCTGGTTTTGGTCAAGGTTCGCAGAGTATGAGACTGGGTTGGACGAAGACTTGAGAATGCAGGCTAGTAAACCTGAGTACTGCGATGTTCTATCTATTCACCAAGGACAGTGTTAAGCAATTAGTTCTCAGGAGAATACCAATTTAGTGTCTATATTGATCTTCATTCTGAAAACCTGGAATGCCTAAGAAGATGACGCGTGAAGCATCCCTCCATAATAAGGTACACACTATCTACGGAGCCCAAAGGCAGATATATATTGATAGCTTCAGCAGCTTATTTACGAGACGAAGAAATAATTTTTATTCAATTTTCCCAATGCACCAGGAGCTGATAGTGTATAGCCAGGCTGAACAATCCTCACCTCGACTCCCTTGAGCTGGTTCCATTCCGTTCAAAAGTCCATCCAGCATAGCTTATCTGGGCAAGTCTTGTTGGGATTGGTCGTCGGGCAAATTGTAGGCTCTGCCGAACTCGGTCGGATCGATGACCGATGATCATCGAGCGTCCTCAGCGCTGATATAAAGGCCGGAAAAACTTCTCTAGCCTCAAGCCCATCTTTGACAAAACTTTCAAGCAAAACTCTCAGCTTTGTAAACTGCTCTGCTCGAATGTACGCTGTAGGCCAGCTCCGCGGTTTGGACTGTTTGCAGGAGAGCCACACCGGCGGCCCCCGAACGGGAAGCGCTTAAGTAATCGGGAAAGTTTGCATTCCCAACATCTGACGGAAAAGTGTCGCTATCTCCAACCCATCATTCTCCCCCTTCTACAATTGGGCTTCTCGACGTACACAATGCTCTTCCGTACTGCGGCCCGCCAGGCTGCGCCTCTGCGTCGCCAGGCCTTTGCCCCTTTGACCCGTCGCTCCGTCACCACCGACGCCGCTTCGTCGCACGCCGAGAACATCCCGCAGGTTTGTTGAGGAACCCATCCGGAAAACAGGAAAATCGTTCGCGAGCCCCGGAACACCTCAATGCTGATGCTGGTGCTTGCGCTGTATAGGAAGATGACAAGCCGTTCACCGTCCGTCTCTCCGACGAGAGCTTCGAGACTTATGAGCTCGACCCTCCTCCTTACACTCTGGAGACCACCAAGAAGGAGTTGAAGCAGATGTACCACGACATGGTCTCTATGCGGTATGCACCTATGCTTTGCACTCCCTCTTTTCCCCAGACGTCCTCTTGAAGCAGCTTCCTAACTGTTTATTTTCTCCGCTATAGCCGCATGGAGATGGCCGCCGACCGCCTGTACAAGGAGAAGAAGATCCGTGGTTTCTGTCACTTGTCGACTGGCCAGGAAGCTGTCGCCGTCGGTATTGAGCACGCTATCAACCGCGATGACAAGGTTATCACCGCCTACCGTTGCCACGGTTTCGCCTTGATGCGCGGTGCTACCGTCAAGTCCATCATTGGTGAGCTGCTCGGCCGCCGTGAGGGCATTGCCTACGGCAAGGGTGGTTCCATGCACATGTTCGCTCCCAACTTCTACGGTGGTAACGGTATCGTCGGTGCCCAGGTGCCCGTCGGTGCTGGTCTCGCCTTCGCCCAGCAGTACAACGAGCAGCCCAACACCTCCATCGTCCTGTACGGTGACGGTGCCTCCAACCAGGGTCAGGTCTTCGAGGCCTTCAACATGGCCAAGCTGTGGAACCTGCCCGTCCTGTTCGGTTGCGAGAACAACAAGTACGGTATGGGTACCTCCGCTGCCCGCTCTTCCGCTCTCACCGAGTACTACAAGCGTGGTCAGTACATCCCCGGTCTGAAGGTCAACGGCATGGACGTCCTGGCCACCAAGGCCGCCGTCCAGTACGGTAAGGACTACGCCGTCTCCGGCAAGGGTCCTCTCGTCTTCGAGTACGTCACCTACCGCTATGGTGGTCACTCCATGTCCGACCCTGGTACCACCTACCGCAGCCGTGAGGAGATTCAGCGCATGCGCTCTACCAACGACCCCATTGCCGGTCTCAAGCAGAAGATGATCGAGTGGGGTGTTACCTCCGAGGAGGAGCTCAAGAGCATTGACAAGGCTGCCCGCGCCCACATCGACGCCGAGGTTGCCGAGGCTGAGAAGATGGCCGTCCCCGAGGCCACCCCCCGTATCCTCTTCGAGGACATCTACGTCCGTGGTTCCGAGCCCCGCTGGATGCGTGGCCGTACCGTCGACGAGACCTTCTACTACTAGAGTGTGTTCTGACGGTATGGGGTTTCTCTCGAAGGTGAAACTTGGAGAGGAGCCCTGAAAAGAGCTTGAAAAGAGAGCTTTGTTGGTGTTTCCGGGGGCTTTTGGGGGGGGATTTTGGTTGTCCCTCGGCGGGAAGAAGAATCCCCGATCAGTTCCCCTATCTGTTCCTACCTACCATTATCTGTAATTTAGCCGATGACTACTACCTCTTCCATTTGTGTTTCGTTTCCGTGTTTGCGTCCCTTTTAGAGTAGAACAATCGTCATTCACTTTTCTCCAGGGTTCAACTTGAGATCTTTCACACGTAAACATGGACTAGTCTCTGTAGTAAAAGTAAAATTCATAACAAATATCCTTGATTGCTAAAATTGACGCGAGTGGGTATCATATCAAAATAAATAAAAGCATACAAACAGCGACACGGAACTCCGGAAAGATCGCCAGACCTGACCCCCAAGCGACATGTAAATCAAACCCGATCTACCCCATCAAGCCGGCTCCTGCCTCAACATCTCTAAAATCATATCCTGTGTTCGCTGAACAGAGTCCAGCTTCTCTTCTAATCCGGCACGGTCCCGACGTAATTCTTCTCTCATCTCCCGACGCAATTCCTCCTTCATTTCTTGTCGCAGTTCTTCTTTAATTCGTTCAATTTCCCTGGAGGAAATGTTGCTTGAAGATGATTGTTGTGACACTTCGGAGGAAGCTTGGTTCTGGGTCGTGGACTCAGTGGCTGATTGGACCAGCGCTGATATTAACGGCGAAGAACGGGCATCGGGGGCACCATTGTTATTGCCTGTTGCTGCATCGAGGTGTTTATTGAGTTTGCCGAGGGTTTCGAGGACAGCGCTGAATACGCGGCGATCTGATGATGGTTCTGCTGCTGCCCTAGGTGCTGGTGTAAAGGTTGAAGGCCAGCGGTTCGGCTGGGGATGGTTGTTGGAAAACATCGTGTCGAATCCTGGGGGTAGCCTGACGCCACCTGTAGAAGCTGGAATAGAAGGCCTGTCCAGCGAAGGTGTTGCTGCAGGGACGGCCGATGATTGAGGACTCCTCGTAACTAAAACGATAGGACCCTCGTAAGGATCATTCGCCTCCATGCCAGTATCATCAGGGCTGGTTGGGGAAGTCAGATCAACCGGTTCCAAAGCCGGACCTGCCCGGGGCTGAAGTTTCCACGGATCATCAAGATTCCCTTCAGGTTTCCCCCTCGAGCGCTTGCGAAACGTCGCGTCCCGCTTCGCGATCCGACGCGCCTCAGCTTCCTCCCAGCTTTGCCAAGTCGGAATCCAAGTATCCAGCACAGCACACCATTGCGGATTCATCACGTCAGGAACCGGGTTCGCACCGGACAGATCTCGCTGTCGCTGCTGCTGATCCTCGAGGAACTTGATGCGCTTCTTCGTCAACATTTCCACTTTCCTCCGCACCGAGTGCCACGAATATGGACGGCCATTTGCGCGGGAGAACTCTGTTGCAACGGTCTTCCACCAATTACAGAGATCGCTGCGTCGACCGAAGCTGTCGGCGTGGTGATTGCAGATCTCGAAGAGGGTGACTTCTTCTTTGGTTGTCAGCCGTTTCCAACCTTTCCGTGGTGTGTCGCCGTCTCCGTCATCGTCCAGGTCGAGTTCGTGGGCGCGCTTCATGCCCCGCGTTGGTGGCGCAAAGTTCAGCGCGCTGTCTCCGGCGTCTTGGAAGATGTTCACTGGCACCGGCATGGATACCAGGTTGCTTGCGATGACGTCCACTGAATTGTGGTGAACTTGGCGCCAGTCTTGACCTCACCGCCTTCGGAGTGTCTTATCAGCGGCCCACTCTTGATGGCAGCTATGAACCTGATTACAGTCTCAAGTGAGTTTGATATAAACTAGAATCGATATGGTGGACCTGGCAGAGACTATCTTTTACGCAAAGAGAGCTGCCGTAGCTAACCTTGGGAGAATTCTACTCCGAGATATAGACTTGTCATTGCCAAAGTTCTCGGAGAATAGCTAAGTATATTTCCAAACCGGGTCTGTTCCCGACGAAAGTTAGAAGAAAACGAGTCCGGCATTGTCTCGAGGTATACTTTAAAATATAGACACAGAAAAATATGATGATGGATATGTGGTATTGATTCAGCATAGTCTAGAATGTTGACATTGGGAAATGATATTTGGTTCTTTCTCGGCGAGGTTGCTTAGGTCCTGCGCGTCCCTAAAACCCCATCTGGCTTGGTCCCTCTCCCCAACTGAGGCTTGGATTGGTCCTCTTTGCCTTCTCCCTGTGCCCACCCGTAGTTATTCCGGGGTAGTTGGATGTACTTGTCGATCAGTGCGGCCGCGTAAGTGGTGTCTGGTAGACGTCGTAACTTGATGTCCGAGCATGCAGGTGACTTCTTGTTAGCCAAATACAGGAAATGATCAAGCAGCGAAACGCGCCGACCAAGTGCTGCACTGTGCCTTGCATCCGGGTAATTTCGCCGTGGCCATCCAGTTAAATGAAGAAGTAGAAGAAGACATCTTGCTTCAGAGATAAGACAGAACTGTAAACGTTCTGATATATCGGTACCCTTCAAACAGAAGTCGCATCGGTCGCCGAACCGCGAGCGCATATCTGACTTTCGGCAAGGAGCACGAGGAAGCTCGCAGCCTATACAGACAAACACTGCTTTGCCTAGTTAAGAGGTTAAACCCCCGTGACGAGATATAGCCGCAGGCTGAGATGTCTGCCCAGGAACCTGTGATATAAGAGGACAGGCTTTCGCTCTCGGTGAAGGGAATTTGCTTGCAGTAGCTGCGTCTAGCTCTCAAGAGACGGGCAATAGGGTGGTATTGCTGGATTGTGATGGCTAAGAGAAGAGACCCTCGTGTCGGAATTGGTCAATTTTGTCCACGAGAATATTGAGCGATAATATAATGGAGACGATGTGTGATCGAGATCCAGTCCGGGATGTTGGTTAGGTCCTTGTCCAATGCAAGAAACATAGTTGCATAGTTGACGGCGAATCTCATCGCTTTGTAACAGAAGCCAAAGACACAGGAAAATCACCGAGTTCCAAATATCTAGGAGCATGAAGCAGGAAAGAGGGAAAGAAAGGAAAGGGGCAAATCGAAGTCTAAATAGAGCTTGGGAAATCAGCAAACAACTGGTCCTGGCAATCTCCGCAGAAAATCCCCATCAGTAGTACAAGGAGAGAACTCTATACTCTTGAGAATAGCGCTAGAAGCAGTGATTTATTCCATTTACAATCCATTCATGGCTATGGTGATACACAGGGACACAGAAGCCCCCAACAACAAAAAGGCGAGAATAATAAGGCACCAACACCATGGTCAACATGATCCCACTAAAGGGGTCCCTTCATGAGCACCAGAAGAAATATGCAAGCAGAGGAGGGATGAAAAATAAAGATCGGGAGAAGACCCAGTAATACAGTCGTGGGAAATGGGGGGAAAGGGTAGGCAATAATAGAGACACGGAAGAAGCAGGAGGTCGAGGAAACCGATATGTGAGTGTTTCCTTTACCACCGTCTCTTCAGGTACCAGCCATAAGCGGGTGTGCTGATCGTCTCGCCGAAGGGGGTGGGAACCTCGGCGGAACCGGGGCGCGCAACGGGGTGTCGCAGGTAAACAGCTGCGCAGATGTTCTGGTTCACTTCGAGATAGCGCGGGATGAAGGCGAAGGCGGACATGTACTCGCGAGGACGCCAAGGGGTGGCGTAGGGCTTGGAGTGGTCGATGGGGTTATCGCGCATCTGGGTCAGAGCACGCTTGAGAATGTCGAATTCCTCGTCCGTAAGCTCGGAGGTGTCGACTTTGCCGCCCTCGGCGGCAGCCTGGAAGGCTTCCGAGAGAGCGCCGCTGGTAGTTTCCTCTGACTTCGTGGTAGCGGCAGAGGTCTCCTCCTCCTTAGCCTCCTTCTTGGACTCCTTGGCGGGCTTCTTCTCAGCCCGCTTGGCCTTGAGCAGCAGGGTCAGCTCGGAGAACTGCGCCTCCAGACTGTCGGTCAGGACAGTGCTGGTGTCGGAGCGGGACAGCACTCGGCGCACGGCCTTTTGGAAACCGCGCAGCTCCTGCTTCTTCTTGGCGGGAAGAACATCCTTATCCGTTGACATGATGGTCTTGGCTTGGGACATCAACGCCCGCAGGGAGTCTCGAGCGTTCTCCTTCTCATCCTTCTCAGTAGCCTCTGGCTTGGTCTCGGCCTCAGCCTCCGCGTCGGCACTCTTCTGCTTGAGCTGGCGGCTCTCGCGTCGCTCAAAGGCCGTTTTCGGGGCACCGGTAGCGTACATCACGCGGTCTGGCTCGACTTGGAAGAGATCACCGGGATTGAGCAGGTAGCTGGGATGTCTCATCTGGACGGGAGCGACATGTTAGGAACCATTCAAGTTCAATTCAAGTCTGCAAATCATTCTGTCTTACCTTCTGTCCATTGACAGTCACTGCACCGTGGATAACAAACTGCCTCGCTTGCCGCGTGCTGCTGGCAAACAAAGCTCGGAAGATAGCAACATCCAACCGACGCTCCAGCGGAGCGAACGCCATCTGAGTATAAGGAATGGGACGAGACGATCGACTCCTGCCACTACCTTCATTCAGACCAGAGCCACGGCCAGCAGACTCCTTCGATCCGTCGTCGGCCGCCAGATCGGCCGTGTTCATGGGAATGACGCTGCGGATGCGCTTCGAGAACATGCGCTTCCACTGGCCCTCGCGGACCTGCTCGCCGTGGTAAGCACGAGAAACGGCTTTGGCAGTCCATTTTTGCTGGAAGAAGGTTCGGTTCCCGGTAGCTGGGGTGCGGAATCGTGACAGGTTATACAGGTTATATTTGCTCCATGATTGACGGATTTTCTGGGGAGGACAGGAGTTAGTTTTTGCGTAGCCGTTTGAAGAGCGGAAAGTGCAATTGAACTTACCCCCTTAGATAAGGAGGTACTGGCCCTGTTTCTCATAGTGGCGACTTCGTAAACAAGACGCTGAGGAGGTGGTTGTTGCGGTATCCTCGTGTCGGAGATGGGCTCTGGTGGATGCACTCTCCCAAAACTTCCGCAAGTCACGTGACTATATGACCGATTGGTTGGTGGCCTGAGTGCCTGACACATGTTCTGCCACGTGACCTTGTTTGATTCACATCACGTGGGCGGTGACTGGTCTCGCTTAGCTGCTAGCGTCCTCGCTTGGGACTAGTTCGGACTAGCGTGTTTTCCGGAAACCTTTAAATAGCTCCTCCTTCCCCGAACTTTCCTCCTCTTTTTTCTTTTCTTCTTCATACTTACCTTGTTTGGGTGGCCGCGCTCATGAAGGCGGTCCACCACAAATTGGTCCCTGCATTGCACATCGCGGCGGAACGGTTTGTTCAACGGCCTTCGGGTCATTGACAGGCGTATTCTTTGGCACTTTCCACCCCGTGGATACTCTTCTTTTCATCAAGCTTCGGGTCAGCGACTCGTCCTTGGAGAAGGGAAACCCTCCTGTAAACTACACTCACCTCCGAATCCACCGTAATTTGTATTAGGAAACAGACTCTGCTCAGCCGTGACGCGCCTGCAGCGTATTGGATCTCAAGTGTCCCAAAACATAATTCCAAGCAACGGTTCTTCAATGTGTATGGGGGGTCTGGCGATCCGCGATATTGCTTGACGCACGCCCGCCATTCTCCGCTTTTCTTTTTTCCCTTTCCGTGCTGATTATCCGACTGCCTTTAGCGTCCCTCTCGTTACTCGTTATGAATATCTAAGTACATATCTTTCAAAGGAGCCGCCTCTTGCTTAATCCAGACGTCAACCAACCACATCAAGGGCCACCTACGAACCGAACTATGCCACATATAGCCCATATCTCCCTAGTCGTCCGTGACTACGACGAGGCTCTCGCCTTTTACGTCCATAAGCTCGGCTTCACCCTCGTCGAGGATAACCAGGAGCCCAACAAGCGCTGGGTAACTATCCGCCCTCCTGGTGCATCGCTAGACGCGACAACTATACTGCTCGCCCGTGCTTCGACGCCGGAACAACTAGCCGTTGTAGGAAGTCAAACGGGCGGGCGTGTATTCTTATTTCTCGAGACGGACAATTTCCAGAGGGACTATGACCGGTTTACTAAGAATGGGGTTGAGTGGGTCAGGCCACCAGCAACGATGGACTATGGGACAGTTGCTGTGTTCAGGGACTTGTACGGTAACCTGTGGGACTTAATTCAGCGAGCAAAAATTTCTTAATCGAGATCATGCAGTACTATTCCAATATTCAGGTGCCCATTTTCAGGGCTGGTTCTCAGACTTTGGCCACCATTTGGTTTCCTTGAAATGTAGCTGTTTGTGGCTGGTTACTCGCACGTGTATACATACGCCTAGGTGTCAACCAGCCACCATCCATTTTGCACGGCTTGAGCGCATCGTTATACATCCATCCCTTGCGGTGGATCGGAGATGCAGCTCTTACTTTCCATGCTAGGACTGGGAGCTGAAACTCGTGAATCTAAAAGTAAATATTGGTATCTCAAATTCATAAAACTCATAGAAACAAATGCATGCAATTCGCCCCCACATCCTGAGCGCCATCAAATATGCAGAGCCCATTCCATCCTTCACCCAAACACCATCCCTAGTACAATCATTTTCTGCGGTCAGTCTCGCCGAGAGCTAGGGAACGCCTCAGCCAGTGACTCCGCTTCTTGCGGGTTCGTCCACTCCTCCAGCAACTCGTGTGCCATGTCCACTGTCTCGTCATCGATACCTGCTTCGAGAACCGACCCGTCGCAGAAGGCCAGCCGTGTGAGGACCACCAGATGCTTTTGTTTACTCCCCGACACGGATGCCAGCTTCTCTTGCATGTTGATGGATGAACCGTGGCGGCGCATGACTCCAAAGATCAGGCGCATGAGGCCGTTGACCATCGCAACGCGGAGTTCTTGTTCGGGTGGCGAGGAGTAGAGCGCATCTAGCTCGTCATGCATCGACCGGAATAGACGTGGCAACGCCGTTGGGTGCGCTGCGATGATGGCACTTCCGTGTTCTTTGGATGGGGCTGCTGGGTTGAATGCCAGGGACTCTAGCAATAGCAGAACCTCGAGTCGCATGGCACATATGTCGTAGGCCGTGTAGGGCTCGCAACCTTCATCTGGCATGGCTGCCTCGCTGAGCATGAATGAGAGGCGGTCGACAATCCATTTCTGGACGTCTGCTTGGTCCTGCTCCGAGGACATGATGGGGCCAAAGGAGTCTGCCCGAATGCTAGTGGACAGCAAGGGTAATATGACCATGATGTCCTTGAGTGGTTGTGAACCATGCAGCATCACCAGAATGAAAGTGTAACGAATGTGTGCCCAGAAATTGTCTAGAGCACTCTTGACATGTAGTAATTGACAAGAAATATAGTAGAGTAGACGAAGGGCCTCGGTCGAATCGACTTCTAGATGCAGATCGGATTGAGGTGTTGAGCGCGGAAGTCGTGCCTTTTCTCGTGCTGCTGGGGAGTATTTGAAGCGAGGAACTGCATTGACCTCAACTGAATCTTGAAGCACACCGACTAGAGAGGTGATGAGATCCGGGAGCGGAGCCTCGTCCATCATCAGAACATATCTAGCAATGGACATGAGTCGAGGAACAGGCTCGTAGAACCTCTCCGTCAGTGCTCGCCGCCAGAGCAGCCCAATCGTATAGAGGTACTCGAGCACGAAATTTCCCATGTCCACCCGAGCCAACTCATCCATGATGATACTGGACAGCGCTTTATGAGGCTCTGACGGGAAGTATAGTCTGGCGAACGCTTCAAGATCGGTTTGCTGATCGGGGAGTATCCTATGGTTCAAAATTCGCTTCATAAGATGATCATGAGTGCCCGATTCCCGCGATTTAGGCTCCTCATCAAACACTGTCCCGGAGGTATCGGTCGGAGCATCTACCATGTTGAGCTCCCCAGCTGGACTCAGCTGTAATGGAGCTGGGCTGTCAACGCTTGCCTGTCGTTTCCGCTTTCCTGGAACGGTTGGTGTTCCTCGCTTTGATCGTGCTACCGACTTGCTCGGCGATACTACGGCGATCTCATCGTCGTCGAATCCATCACGCAAGGGAAGTATTCGAGACTTCTTTGGAGTGACCGGGGCAGCCTTCTCCGCTCCGCGTTGCTTTGTTTTATAATTACGGAGTTGATGAACCTCCTCGGCTAGGTCGTGCTGGAGGAAGAGATTTTCCGTCGCCAGCATTTTGCCCTCTGACATTGCCGCATCGACTGCTTCCTTGTGTGTGGTTTCCCGATCGGCCATAGCCTTTCGCAGAGCCGCCAATTGCCGGTCATACTCCTCGGCCATTCGCGTTTGTTTCGAGCGAATGATGGCAATCTCTCCAGCTTTGGTTTCGGCCAGCGTTCTGGCTTCAGCCAACTCTCGTCGCATCTGTTCTTTTTCTTGTTCAAGCTGTAGCCAAGCCTGGGTCAGCATTAGGTATGTAAAATAAGGTGAAGCGCTAGTAGCCGACGTACTTGCTTCATGCGTGCATTCATCTCATATGCATTCGCTTGGCCATACTCATGATCAACCTCCATCATATCATCCATACCGCCATTGGCAGGCCATACGGTCTCTGTCACGACAACCGCAGGGGCCTGCGCAATTGCCTGTTGGCCCTCCACATTGTCATAGACCTCTGCCTCCAACTCTCCCACCTCAAGTGTATCATAGTCATTCGTCAATCCAGTGTGTAGGCGGGGTGGCGGCTTCAAGGTAGCAGCAGGCTGTCTCGTGTGCACGAGGGCGGGCTCCTCGGGAGCTAGCGGCGCATTGTGTTGTTGAGATGTCGCTGGACCTTGAGTCGCCTGGAAGGCATTCTGCTCCAGTTGGTACAACGTACCCGGAGGTAAGGAATCGAGGTCATCGGAGAAGTAATCATCGTCAATGTCTTCCATGCCCCCGCCATGAATAGTGCTACCAGCGTATTGGTAGGACGAAACTGGGGAGATGAGAACCGGAGAAGAAAAGTGGAGACGCGAACGGAGAAGTTGAGCTTCACAGGGGCACGATCATCCTGGGGCTTAGCTGATTAGGGCTGGTCGAGGCTGGGGTGGAATGAGGGAAGAGGAAGTAGGAAACTCGGCGGGTGAGGCGCAGCTCCGACGTTCAAATTGTCTGTTCGTTGCCCATTTTTTTTTTCTCCAAGACATCCTTTTTCCAGTACGCGCCTGTTGTTGAAGGAGCTGACCGCTTTCGGATTCACATGAGCTCATGAACTTGCCAACTCCACTCTTCCTCTTCTTTCTGATCTGGTCTTAACACCCTCCACTCTCTCTTCACCCCTCCCCCTTCCCTCCCCCTTTTTCCTTTTTCGCCTATCATGTCCAAGCCTCGCCGCAATGTTCGGTTCCAGCGCCGCGGCGAGCGGCGGATGAGCATGTCCTCCGACGTCAGTGATGGCCCCTCGGAGCCCTCCAGCCCAAGCAAAAATGGCAATGCCTCGCATCCGACTACGATACCTGAGGAGGTAAGAATAAATTTTGTTGATGTGATTTTGCGCGTTGGCCATGGCTAATGTGGCATTTTTCCCCCGATTTCCACAGAAGCCGCAGCAATCCGAGTACGAGAAGAAGAAACAGGCTTTCATTACCCGGACGATATGGACATTTGTGATGATCGCCGGCTTTTTTATCGCCTTGTTCTCCGGTCATATCTATATCATCGTCCTGGTGACTGCCATTCAAATTGTTTCGTTCAAGGAAGTTATCGCCATCGCCAACGTTCCTAGCAAGGAGAAGAACCTCCGCTTCACCAAGTCCCTCAACTGGTATTTCCTCGCGACAACCATGTACTTCCTCTATGGAGAGAGCGTCATCTACTACTTCAAGCACATTCTGCTGGTGGATAAAGTTCTCCTTCCCCTGGCGACGCATCACCGTTTTATCAGCTTCACTCTCTACGTCATGGGTGAGTTACCTGTACCTCGGTAGTTGGATTTCGACTACATATACTAACTAGATGTCGACAGGCTTCGTGTTCTTCGTTGGCTCTTTGCAGAAGGGTCACTACCGATTCCAGTTCACCCAGTTCGCTTGGACTCACATGGCCTTGTACCTGATTGTGGTCCAAGCCCATTTTGTGATGAACAACATCTTCGAGGGCATGATCTGGTTTTTCCTCCCCGCGTCTCTAGTCATTACCAATGACATCTTCGCCTACGTTTGTGGTATCAGCTTTGGTCGCACTCAGCTGATCCAGCTGTCTCCGAAGAAGACTGTCGAGGGTTTCATTGGAGCCTGGATCTGCACCATCATCTTTGGCTACTTTATGACCAACTTGCTCATGCAGTACAAGTACTTCATCTGCCCTGTCAATGATCTCGGTGCTAATGTCCTGACCGGCCTGGAGTGTGTGCCTAATCCCGCTTTCGTTTCCCAGCCCTACTCTCTGGCAGTGTTGGGCATCGATAAGACCCTCTACATTGCGCCCATGCAATTCCACATCCTGGCCTTTGCTACCTTTGCTTCCCTCATCGCTCCTTTCGGTGGCTTCTTTGCCTCTGGCTTGAAGCGCACCTTCAAGCTCAAGGACTTTGGCGAGTCCATCCCCGGCCACGGTGGTATTACCGACCGTATGGACTGCCAGTTCATCATGGGTTTCTTCGCTTTCATGTACTACCACAGCTTCATTGCCATCTACAAGGCGAGCGTGGGTGATATCATTGAGACTGCTATCAACGGCTTGACTGTTGACGAGCAGCTCGATGTTGTCCGCGGCCTTTCCAAGTACCTGTATAACCAGGGTGCCGTCTCGGAAACTGTATGTATCCGCACTGTCTAGTCGTTTCGTATCGTTGCTAACTTTGATAGATCCTGGAGTGTCTCAAAACTGAGCTCAAGCGCCGGTGATTCTGACTCTGTCGACCCCCTCATAATTTCAAAAAATGACGACTTTTATTTATCGTTCCCGTTCTCTCATACTCCATTACGAGGACAACTTCCCAACCCCGTGCTTCTCTCTTGATTCTTTCTTTGCCGTGCCGATCTCTTCCCTTCCTTGCTTTCCCGGTACATGAACCTCCATATCGTTGTATTGCCCGATTCATGCTCCACCTGCGTGCATGCATAAGATAATCAACATTCGATCTCACTTTTCAACACGACTTCCCCCTCGAGAACTAAACGGCGGCTGCGAAAAAAACCCTCGCTCGAAGCACGGGGTCAATCTTTTATTCACTTCATGCTTGTGTTTGTCCCAAATCTTTTTTTGGCTCAGTACTTTCCTCTGTGCTCTTTTCTTTTCTTGTAAGGTTTCTGCCGACTGGTTGTGGGGTCCGGATCGGCTCTACTTGATGATTGTGTTTCGACTGCTTGAGCTGGGGGTCTCAAGGCATACTGGTATACTTTGCGATCGTGGAAGGATTACACGGTCTGTTAATGCATAGCAGGAAATGGAAGGAGGCAACAGGCAAAGCCTTCTTCGGGAGAAACGGTGTGATTTGCTTTTATTTTCTAGTTGCGCGGTACTCCCTGGTGAGATGTGTGGCTGCTGCGATGGCTGTAAAATTTGTACATAGCTTTCAATCATACCTACTTGAAGCTGACGTTCTGCTAATACGATGCCAATGTAGTACGCTAGATACCCAGACATCCATAGATGCAGTCGATGACTAACATGAAAATGATGTTGTCATTGCATAGAGTCCTCCATGGCGTAACAATTACTCTTTCTGGTGTACGAATAGCGTCCTTGTGGAGCCTATAGTTCTCTGATGGCCAATAGAACTAGACACTGGACAAAGACATACAGGTCCGTTCTATCCGGCTTGTTAGATACCCAGAGATCCTTAATAATCTTGCTTCATATTATAGTTTGCTCCATCCACTCGAACTATCTGACTATACACTTCCAAGATCTCTATGGCACATAAGCATTTCCTCGTACTCGGCGCATCAGGTATACCCAAGCCCTCTGCCATCCACGTTATATTGCGCACATCGAATCTCATAATCTCAAAGCTGACCCACAGTGCATTAAGGGGCCATAGGAAGCCACTTCTGTGACCTCGCCCTCGAAGAAGGCCACACGCTCACCCTCTTCGTACGAAACGCAACCAAACTCCCCGATTCCCTTCGCGATCACGATTCAGTAGCCGTTATCGAAGGAAAGCTCGAAGACGACACCTCACTGGACGAAGTTTCGCAATGTGATGCCGATGCATTTATATCGTTTGCCGGACCGCCTGTCGGAAACAAAGGCACAGTATGTAAACTCCCAAAACCGAAAACGCAGGGGTCATAACCGAAGACTAACCACAGACATTCTCGCCAGCCATTGACGAAAGGATACACGGCGCTGGTCCCTAAACTCCTCGTCCAGAATATAAAACGCCTTCTTATACTATGCACCGCTTCCTTCCACGGATCCGAAGACCAGATCTCCTTCAAGTGGCACTTGAGTCACTGGACGCTGAAAATATTCAGTCCCGATCAATACGGCGAGATGATCAGCGTGGGGGAATTCGTGTCCTCGTTGGCGGCTGATGATGGAGTGCGATGGACGTTGTTCCGGGTTGGGTTGTTGAGGAATGGACCAGAGGCGGAGGTTGAGGCGACGCATTTGGGGAGTGGGAAGGACGTGATGTGAATTAGTTGGGCGAGTGTGGCGGGTTGGGTGTTGGATGAGGTTACGGAGGAGAAATTTGTGGGGAAGATGCCTTATATTTGTAATTTGTAATTTGTAGAGGATGGTGTCGTTGGATTTGGATTGTAGCGTCTTCGATTTCTATTCGAGGATGGAGTCTGTACGTATGAGTATGAGCATCGTGAAATCGAGGAATGGCTTGTACAATTTTTACGCTTCCTAGCTGTGTGCCTTTACCCAAGAAATTCTACATCTATAGCCTTCATTATCGAGGATGAGTTCAAATTGTGATGTTTTTTTGTCTGTCTTTTTTTCTAGTTTAGTAGTGTGTTATGTCATTCGATCCCGCAGCTGGTTGTTGGAACACAGCCCCAGGTCTCTCCTGCATATCAATGTTTATCGTACCCGTATGAATGCTGAAATAAACCATTTCAGCGGCGTCCAATAATCTCACGGACTTCTTCTCCTCCCTCCACCATGCAGAAAGCATCCTCGATCTCGTCGAATCGTTGCACGCAGGAGGCAATCTCGGCAGCGCGCATCTTGGGATCGGAGCTAAGTCCATGTGGGAGCCAGAATCCGAACATGTTGTCCGATGGGGGAATTGTTCCGTCTGGGTTTTTCGATCCTTCTCTGTCTCGCTCGTGCTTTTCCTGATTCTCCGCCTCTGGGTGGACTAGTTTGAACATCGAACGCTCTTCCTCATCGCAGGGACCAAGGATGTTTGTGTCGACGATGGCTTCCAGCAGTGTGTTGAGATCGGCTCCGCTGCGGACAATCATGGTGGCAAGCCTTAATAAGAGGAGTTAGTGGGTTCTGGGGAAGAAAGAGGTGGATTGAAGATAATGGGAGGAGGAGTAGTAGTGGAGGCAGTGGTTCCAGGATGCCAATATGCTTGGGTGCGCCAAAAGGACCGACGGGAGAAGATCGAGGAAAGAAAAGAATGTCAATTTAAAGGGAAAGAAAGTTCAACTCACCATTCAAGGTCCGCATTGTATTCACTTGACTGAAGCGAAATCTTGCCACTGAAAACCAAATCCGAGTCCCGTTGTACATTCGACAAGCAATACAGAAACTTGGCAACAAAATGGGTGTCGTCCGTGGCCCCGTAGAGATCCACAGGGACGGTCAGGCAGTCAGGGTTGATCAGGCCCTTGTCGACCAAGGCTTGAAACAGTTTCCAGATGGCTGACTGGCGACGACCGCGCCACCAAAGGTTTCGAATGATCGATTTCCAGTCGGGAGCCTGGGACGACATCTCATCATGAATGAGGAGGTCAGTGACGAGGCCTCGATCATCACAGTTGGCAACTTCATGTTGGGCAAGGGCGACGGCTGATTCGGCGACGACCTCGCTGGAACCATCGGTGGATGGCGGGGTAGCGGTCAAGGGTCGCTTGCTCAGGTGAGGCAGGATGTCCTTATTCAGGGTCGGCCACTCGATTCTTTGGTTACTCGAGGGAGGCTGAGGTGCAGATTTAGTGTCCATGCAGCGGAGAACCGTGGCTTCAAACTGCTGCGACGGGTCGATATCCGAGCTGTGCCAGAACTGGGGCGGGACGATTTGGCTGGCGGGGGTGGTGGGGGTGATGTCGCGAGTGAGTCTCTTCTCCACGAAGTTTGCATGTTCTGTGAGAGTCCAGGTCGCTCTTTCCGCGCGAGGAGGGCAATCGGGGATTTCCAAAGTCGTGAGAGCTGCCACCCACGCTCCGATGAAGCGGCCGTTGCGGGCGCGATCGCTGACACTGCGGGAATCGGCGTAGGAGGAAGTGTTTTGAGGCGCGGAGGTCGAGATAATGCGATTTGGCTGGGCTGCCTTCTGGAACACGTGGATGAATTCGCCCGAGTTACAGGCACTCACGACAACGTAGACCAGCGTCTGCGGGTGGAAGTCCTTTAGCAGGTGGGAGAACACAACCGGGTGGAGCGATCCAGAGCCCAAGCGGAGCGCCCCGTTCTGGCTGCCGTGCGCTTTGAAGTTGATTTGGACTGTGTCCGCCGGTCCGGCCTGGGCCTGCACTTTGGTGATCCAATCCTTCACTTTTGTCACAATCTGGTCAGCTCCGACCTGCTGCCAGAAGTATTTTCGCTGGCAAAACTGGGCTCGCGAGTATGTCCATATCTCTTTGCCCTCCTGACCGTATTTTCCGAACTTGATGTCTGAGAAGGCAGGTGACTTTTGGTTCGCTAGGTAGAGAAAGTGATCTTGTAACGGGAAACAACTTAAAAAGTCGTTTTCAATGCCTCGCTCTTGATACGTCATGCAAATTCCAAGGAAGTCAGAGAACATCCAGCCGTGCTCGGGGTCTGTCACCCCGAGCACGACCAGAGTGAAAGACTTCGGACCCTGGGGGATAACGTGCATAGGGGCGCCGCCCAAGGCAGCCACCTGCGAGACCACCTTACGATGGCCCCGCAGGCCCCCTTCTTGTTCCTTGGTGGCTGGGGCGTCTGTGTTTTCCTTCGAGTCATCTCAGCCCTCGGCTCGATCGATGATGACGATGACGATGATGATGATGATGATGATGATGATGATGTCTCATGCGTGGAGTACATGTTGATGAAAGTATTGAAACCCGAGAAAATCAGATTGGCGATGGGTTAAGAGGGTAAAAGGAAGAAGGAAGGAAGTTTATTGATGGCTTGGTCGCGTTTTGTTTGATATGGATATTCTAGGGGTTTCCGGCCTATTCACCTAAGAGGATCTTTCCAGTATAAATCATCAAGAGGAACTTCCCGGGAATTCAGCTCAGTATCACCGGATATCCATGCCATATGCTCGAATCCGTGTCCTATGCCATGTCTCTTCGATCCCTGACAAAGAAGCCCCTGTATTATTCTATAGTAGGAGCTCATAAGTCGGAACCAATATATCTTGGAAAAAGTTCCAGGATAGGCTTCAACTTCATCTTTGTCGAAGGGTTCTCCTGAATGCTTTCAAATTATCTTCCTAGTCAGTAGGCATCATTGATGAGATGAAGGTAGTTTTTAGCCTGGTGTTTACAACTCACGGAGCGCTTCTATATCCGATTTGAGGTCCATCTCTAGAGGTTCAGTTCTCGTTGCTTGATCATGTGAACTTTTTGATATTCACGTACACAGACAATACTTAGATTACGCTTGCATATAAAGCAAAGCGGCCTGTATCTGCCTTTGATATTCTAAATGACGTATCAAATATACTACATTCCATCACCCAGTCGATACTTAAGGCTACTGCCGTTGCCGTTTCCCACACAAATATTGAGATATGAATTACCATATCGTAAGTAGATGTAATACGTCTCTGCTATGGTAATGCATACTGTGACATATATCTGCTTTTCACGACTCGAACTGATGGCATTCGATTAAGCTTTAAGGTTGTTGGTGTGGGTCTAGATAACAGATTGGCCATGCATATCTAATGTGGAGCTGCACATGATTATTCCCGCCGTCTCGAACAGGACGTCCAAATCGATAGAAGAACATTTTTCCTCGTGACATACATGAAATATCTATATCGGGAAGCATGATATAAATATTGCTTTGATTTTTGTTTCTCTAAGGAGAGTACACGCTGTCCTAAAGTCCCTGAATATCTACCCATGCTCTAGTTCTGCCGCTCCACAGACCACCAGGATATAGGTAACCGGCTTCTGCTAAGGCTTAACAGCCATAGGGGCATAGTCTGGGGCTATTACCTGAGAGACCATAGTGGGGGTGGCCGTGCTGGCTACCCTTCTTGTTCTTTAGAGGTGTCGGGTCCTTGTCCTTTGGGTTTTTCTTTCCGCGGGCCATCTCCATCTGCTCTAGGTCGGGATTCAGGTTAGATGCATCCATGCATCTAGCCTGAATCCAGAGTTGTCATTAAATACACTCATAATGCAATTGCTGGTCGGAAAGGCAGGTTGGTGCAAGACTGGTGAACTGCTTAGAGTGGATGAGCGCGTCATCTTGACTCTGCTTGATTTGGCGCATATTATCGTAGTGGTGGCACAAGCATCCCGCATTTCTCATCGATAATAAGAGTTCAAACCCATAGCTCTGCTCGTTTTGGGCCACCACCAGCTCCTCCGGAGTATCTCATAGACGACATCGAGCAATAATATTTCCAGAATGGAGTTACCGTCGAAAAGGCCACGCACGTTGGAACTCAACTCGATATGGCGGGTTCACGAAATAGTTTGCACAACTTGTAAAGAGCCGAGAGTTTGGCCCTGCAAGAGGAAAATAAATATTAACGTGGCTTTCTAGTCTTATTCTCGCTCCATGTCCTACTAACCGCGATAAAATCCGAAAATATCCACCAGTGGTCTGGGTCTATAGCCCCACAGACTAGCAGGGTGTAAATATTTGGCCTTGTAGCCATGGGCACACCGCTCAGTGCTGTAATTTGAGAGACCACTGCACGTTCTTCTGATAAAGTGCTCGTGTATAGGAAAGCACAAAAGGATGGTCACCTCGTTGTCTGCTCCCAGCAGTATCGCTGCTGCCATGAAATCTGACCACATCCACCTGTGGTCTGGGTCTATTGCACCGCAGACCACGAGTGTGTGATGCCAGGACTTCTTCGGTTTAACCGACGGGGCGTCGCCCAGGGTAGCCACTTGCGAGGCCTCCCTCCTTGCTTTTGGGGTGGGGTTTTTGCTGGACCCTTCTTTTCTTTAGGCTTCTTTCGAACCATTTCTATCTTCCCAAGGTTGGCACCGACTGCATATGGGTGGTTGATAGATGAGTAACCGAATCGAAAGAAGTCGAAAAGTGGTGGTTCCGTGAGAAATAATATGATCATATAAATCAAGGGGATTTCCAAACCCGTGCCAGCAGTTGTCTAATTATGCTTTAGAAAGTGAAAGTAGATCAGGAGGGCTTTGGTATGGATAATCAGACATACTGTAAATATCACCAGGTGTTAAAAGGAACATAAACATCTCCAGAGAATTGAGGGCCAGTTGCTCAGAGCTATCTTGTGGACGACACCCCGAGTGTAGCATGAAGGTTATTATATACCACGATGAGGAAGAAGACTTGGCGTTAAGAAGTTCACGGGTAAGATGATGGTATATAAAGAGAGTGGACGAGTAAATGGATGGGAAGGCCGATAAAGTGAGGTGGATAAAGGAGGAGGAGGAAGGAGGATAGATCAGGTCTGCCCTGCTTTTATTATTGCGCTGGCTTTGTCTGTTAATTTCAGGTAGTTTCCGTATGTCTTCATGCCTAGTTTGCTAAAGCTGTTGAGGAGTTCCTCAGAGATCTTCAGGTTTAACATATTCTGTATAGCGTTAAAATCAGGTCCTTCGAGCTTAGCCTTAATCGTCCAGGGCAGAAGATGGATATATTTGAGGTAAAAAATAGCCGCTCGTCAACATTGACTAGGCTCCTTCGTAACATGGTGCAGAGATACTTGATTGTACATAGTGCGCACGACCTTTCTATTGCTACTGGTAAACGCGCTGCTTCGCTGAGATGCACGCATACCACGCCGATTCTCCCAGTAACATCACGTCTCCCAAGTTTTGAGACTCTGATCTAGTGAGGAGGAGTTTTTGCTGATATTATTACAGAATCTATAACCGCAATCCATTGATTGTCTTTGACAGCCTGACATGGAGATTTCCGTAGACTGGTAGCGTGATAGAGTCTTCGGAAAATACCCTGGAGAGATTCTGATCTCCACTTGTCGTGGATACCATGACTTCCAAAGTAAGAAGAAGACAACCGGGTAGGTAGATTCATTTGTGATCTGCATGACTTTTGCTGACAATTCATCAGGATCACCACCGCTTATTTGAGGTGCTTCGAAAGTGGCAACTTCCAATGCCTCTGCCACACCCCAGTCTTGGTCCTTCTTATAAAGGGCCAGAGTCAATGCCATACTTTCCAAACTTTATGTCCAAGAGGTTGACGGTCTCGTGCTAGCTAGAGACCTGCAGTAATTGCGTCTTGAAACGGCAGATCGATACAGCGTCTTGTGATTGGATTCGAATTTGCTTTTACAGGTCTTTTGGTCTGTCACTTCATCAAGACCGAGTTCGGTGTCCAAGATTGGTTACGGTGGGCTTCTCTCCACCCTTCCCTTTGCAATAGTGTGGTTCACTTGATTGTTGGTGAGATTTGATAAATTCATGGAGCTGTTGGTAGACAAGGATAAGAGAAGTCAGCAGTCGTTAAGGAGATAGAACATAATCAAAGCGGATGGGGACACATTCACGGAGACAGCGATGACATGACTTACTATGTGTGTAGTCTCGAGAGAGTGAAGGAGGCGACAACAAGCACAAAACAAAGGTTCAGCTGGCCGATGATTATGTGCCTTCTGTTTCTTGAGTCTATGTTGTGGATGATTGGGTCTATTGGAAGATGCGCTGGTTGCGTAGGTGTGATCCACTGAGATGTCCACGTCGAGAAACCTCCCTTGAGAGGGAAAGTTTTCGTACAATATGTCAGATGGGGACTTTTTCGAGATATTGATCATCGATAAGGTAAGTGAAAAATCCTGGAGTTTCACTTCTTGTCTTTATATAGTAAGTCAAGACGTCAAGACTTTGTTAGAGGATGAAGAGAGGAAATGGGGGTTGTGGCACTGTTGAACAGCTTATATACGAAGATCCGCGACATACAGGAACTACAAACTATTTCCTGAGAGTTGCCTTGTCCACTTTCTTTGCCATTTGTCCTTGAATATTCCATTCTATTTCTTTGTCTCCTTTGCTTTCCCTCCCCACCAGTTACAGGGTGTATAATTTAATGGTTGTGAGTAGTCGACCCTCGGCTTCGCTACATCGATATTTCCGTACATCTGGTATGCTTCACCAGCACTCTCGAATACCTTCCTGGGGGATGCCGATGTGCCTTCGTGGACAAAAGAGAAGATAACTCGCTTATATCTCCGAATTGGATATGGGCCCGCCCTATTGGTCACCTGCAACAAGACATGAAAGTCTGGCGTGACAAGTCCCGTTTGAGGATGCTTCTCAACCTGTGGCACGGTCACCTTGATCTTGCGTGCTCGAGTATAAACAGCAAATCCTGTAGTATCACCCTTCTCGGTGTTCGACGGAATGTCTTCCAAGGGTTCAATCTTGACCTCCGGACCTTTGCCAAAGAAGTGGAAACCATTGACGTCCCCGTAGAGCATCCATGCGTATTCCAAATTATCATCAGCGCTGCAATTATCCGCACTATGTGTACCACTTGCATCGAGGATATGCGTTTCACCAGCCCTGACTTCAATGACCAACGGTTCTGTGCCAGTGTGTCCATTGACATCAACAACCGGTGGATGTCCCGCCTCGGCAAAGTTGTCTGTCAGAGTCCAATGCATCCGGGCTGCAAAATCATCCTGAACAGCATCCCTCCATCGCCAGATGGTGGCTTTATGGTCAGCATGATAATTCCCATCAGCCCCAATGACACCAAAGTCTTGGGCATTATGGAAATGATTCCCATCAATGCCATCTTCCCAATCAGTCTCACTCTGCGGCCGAATATACCGACCACCCCAACCGCCCCAATTAATGAAGTCTCGGTGACTCAGACCATTCTGAATAAGCCATAAGAAAGACGGTGTGTCGCCCTCCATACCAAATTTCACTTCGGGGTACGCTTTAGCTCCAAAATTCCCAACACGAATGTGCTCGTTCAGCCAGGGGTTAAGCACCTTCGTATGATCGACTCCGTCACCGGCACTGGCATTCATTCCTAGCCAGCTGCCTTGGCTATACTGGTCCCAGCCGTGCAGTGATACTACGTAGAAGACATCGGGGTACTTGGCTCGAATCCATGCGCCGGTGTCGTCTTGGTCGGAGATTGAATAGACACGTAGCTTGGCTCGCTCTCTGGCAGCCAAGTTCGGGGATGATGTCTCGACGAGGTGCTTGAGTGCTTGGGCCAGAGTATTCACCCCACCCCAGACCGGTATATAGAGTGGTTCTTCGGATTCCTGGAGGGCGGCTAGCAGGCGTTGCGCGCCTGCACTATGAGGCTCTTTCAAGGCTTTCTTTCCGTAGACCTATGGATGGGAGTGTGTGAGTTAGAGCTAGATCCAATGGAGAATAATATTAGCTGCGAGTACGTACCTTGGGTCCAGTCGTAACAAGCGAATGGAGATATTCGGTGGACGGATATTGGCAGCTAGGATGCACATGTTTGTTCAGGTTGTCAACAACTTCGCCGTATGCCATGATGATACGACGAAGCTCCTCTGGATGGGTGCTGGAGCGCAGCCAAGTAGATGTTGTCGCACATATCCCGCGAGTATCAAACTCATTGGAATATAGCAGATACCTCACGAGGGACTGCGAGTCATCAGGCTCATTCAAGACATCTGTCAAGATGAAAATGCGGGGCTTTTGTGGGAAAGTAGGGAGCTTGTCTAGATTGGCGGTCATTGCGAAGAGTTCCAACACTTGAATTGGAAGGGAAAGAGCGAGATGGATACATGAAAGGATGGACGTTAGTTCTTACTCTGTCTTGAGATTTTCTCGGGGCTCTTCTTCCAGCCTCATCTCCCGAATGTAGCTGCCTCCGCCAAGACCAAAGCGCGGGAGAGCCACCACGGTAGAGCCCAAAGAGGTATTGATACCCGCAGGAAGAAATCATGAAAAGCGGAATTGAAGCCTCGCCACAAGCTCGTACGAAATACTTGTTGGTTGACGCGTATTTCCATTACTGGGGGATAATTTCACAAACTGTATTCAAAGACCAATTGAGGTAGGACTAGTCGCCCAAAGAAGTCAGAGGAGCATCATTAATTTAGAGTCATACATTGGAATCGGGGTATCATAAAATGGTCATCACGGAAAACGCCCCGGCATCCTTCGTCAAGCGCTCTGTGTGCCAGAAAACGCCGAAATAGCTCGCACGAACAGTACGAACAGCCAAACCACCAGCGGACTTCACTCCTCGACCTCGTACTCCTCCGTCTCATCCTTGAAGTACTCCGAAACCTGTTTTTTCTCCTCCGCCGCCAATGCCGGGTCCAGAATGAATCGCAACGGCGCATCTCTACCACTTTCACTCTCTCCACGGCGATCTCCATTGGCGGCAACTGGCGTCAGTGGGTGGAGAGGGCGTTGAACGTTATCGGGTTGCTTGCCACGAGCATCGCTTGGCTTAATCGGTTGCTTGTCGCAAAGATCGTCTGGCTTGGGTATTCCAAGTACATCCCAACAGGTCAAGTACCGTGGGAGATTTTTCTCCTTGGCTTCCTGGTTGAGAGAGATGCGGATTTGGAGGAATCGATCTTCAGGGAAATCGCGGCCAATCAAGGTTGAAGTCCGGTTGTGCGTGTACAGTTCAAGCATATCAAGGAGGGTTTCTAGAGATAAGATCAGTATGCCATCCCAATTATTGAAGCGTCAGTATCACGGGAGCAATCATACCCATGATTGCTGCGCGCTTCGTGTTGTACTTCTCATAGTGCTCTCCAGTCTCGAGAGGCTCGCAGCGGTGGTCAAAGAGCCGGCACGACAGCTCAAGGCAGCTGAGCGCCATGGTCGTCGCGACCTGTTTGAGAGGGACAAAGGTTCGATACAGATCGAGGGAAATCCGGTAGGCCACGTGGTAAATGTCCGAATCCTTTGTAAATCCGTACTCAAGAGAAATCTTGAGAAGGAACCCTTGGGGGTGGCGTGTACGGAAGTCAAAGCCAAAAGATTCCAGCATAAGCCGCTCGAGGCCGATGACACTACGGGAAGTCGCTTCAAATACCTGAAGAGCGGGTCAGTGTACCTTTCGCTACCAAAAGTGGTCTTTGAGGAGGGGTGACATACAGGGTCATCGGGGGTCAGATGCTCGGAAGTAGGCAACTTGAGGTTGTAGGCCGCGCACACAACCTCTCGAGACTTCTTTAGCGTGTCCTCAATCTTGCAGGCAATGAGCAGTGCAGCTGCAGCGGCATCCTGGGGTGAACGTTAGATATCAGAATAGAACACAATGACAAAGGGGCGACATACCACATAGTTGTAATCAGCATGTGGATGCACCAGTCTGAATTTGTGATAGTAGCACGCAGCAGTGTTGAAAGTTCGCACAGGACTGTATTCCTGGTCAGCATCTCACCACTCACAGATCTTATATCAGGACCAGCCAACATACAGGTGGAGGGCCTTCCGGACACTAGCAATCCAGGACACTCCCAGCAGGCGGAGTTGCTCATCACGTGCACGATCAACGCCCATGGCCTCATGGCAGTCTTGAACTGTCTTTTCGAACATGTAAGACTTGGTTACCTGCATGAAGGATGGGTGAATGAGTGGACGTTTTCGGCGGGGGCGCTCAGGCTTAGGCTCAGAGCCTGAATGAGGCTTCTCATCACGCTGATTTGGTGCCATCTTTGGGAGGGATAAAATTGACAGTTGGCTCCCAATCGTTTCGGGATGAGCAAAAAGCTCAGACAATGGAGGATGTTTGGGAAGCGGCGACACCATATTCGATAAGAGTCACGTGGTGATATGGTTTATCGGAGTAATATTGATCCTAAGGGTAGTGAGAAAGTCACGTGGAGATAAGTGAAAAAGAAAGTGATGTAGTCACGTGGGGCTGCGTGGGTGAAGATCACGTGTATACGGGCGACAGGGATAATAAGATTGTCACGTGTCAAGGTGTATGAACTTGAGATTTTGAAAAATGCATGTAAACAAACTTGAAGAAAGAGATAAGATAACATGCAGGAGCGCCTTCTCATTGTGCGAATTTCATGGAACCCCTCGACCAGCCCTAGTAGCCTTGGCCAATTCACTCTGCGCTGTATTATCTGCATACCTTTGTAGATAGGCAGGTAATGCTCCTTCTCGCTCGTTGTCTCCTGAATACTCTTCCGGTTCTCGAGAGCAGAGACCCATTTCCTCCACCTATTCCATGCTTCCTCATCTAGTCCACCCTGTCCTTTGGCTGGAATTCCCAATCCGCCGCTCTTGAAGTCGTCAAACACCCACAGGCGCACCGCCCATGGCGCAAGGACAAGATCGGGCAAGCTTACCTCGGAACCCAGGAAGAATGGTCCCTCGGGGTGCATTTCCTTTGTCCAGGCTTTGAGAAGGCCCAGGAATTCTTGCCGTATTTTGTCGAGTCCTGTATCGCACCCTGCACCATCCCCCTCTGCAGGCTGGTATTGCAGGAAGCGGTGAAAAGACGGAATGATGCGCGACGTGACGTAGTCAATCCAGATCCGGGTACGAGCGCGCTCATAAGGATCTTGTGGGAGCAAGTGCGGTTCATGGGTAGGATAGGCTTCTTCCAGGTACTCGAGGATCACGGTTGACTCGTAGAGTGGTCGGGGCTGTGGGTCAGTCGGACACGAAAGGGTTGGAACCAGGCCACGAGGGTTGAGAGAGAGAAGAGATTCAGGTTTGTTGTATGGATTGACTTCAATGTACTGATAGGGAATTTGTTTCTCCTCGAGAGCTAGCCAGACCCGTTGGACTGGACAGTCTATCAGTGTCACGGCTCCAGAAGGTCAATTGCTCTAGTTGATGAACGCACCAAACCTGCAATAAGATCAGCCGAATATATCTCAAGTCGTCGCAGGATTTCTACTTACGGACAGAACCATCCCGCATACAACTTCAGTGGCTGCTCCTCGCGATGCTTCTCAACTAGCGCTTTGGCGGGGCCAGTGGCCTCGGGGTGAACATTCGAATCAGGGTGTGCAGGCATTTCGTAAAACTTATGTTTGTTAAATGCGAATCACAAAAAGATAAAGAACCAAAATGTAGAATCACAACTTGGTAGGCCGGTTCTTTTTCGTCTTAAATCAGGTTCTGCGCTCTTGGATTTGTAATCGACAAGATTCATCCGTTATGCGGCTACCTGTGCCTTGCCTTAAATCTGTATCTGCTATTCGCTCAAGACAGAAAATCGGGTCGAATCAAAAAAGTCGTCCGGAGCCTCTGCGGGGTTGTCCACTTTCCTTTACCGTGATTTCAAAATGACATCACGTCATACTAGATCCCGGGACTGGACAACCTTAGTGACAGGCCAGCACTGCACGATATAAACACCCCTTTGGAAATGTATATACCAATACCATTACCCCTCAATAATGAAGTTGGAGTCCCTACGCCCACGCACCAACAATGCTCATACAGAATGCCCCCAAAAACACCAGTATACAAGCATAAACCCTTCGTCTCCCATAGAGAATCCGCCAACTCTCGTCACTGAGAAAGTCCTCAGACAGCAGTTCCACAAGAGAAGCAAAGATTAACAGCCCGGCAGAGATCGCATTCATCACACCGACCAAGAGTAGACCAATCTCTGAATCGGGGCTGTAGAGTGTATGCGTGGCCAGGCCGATGGCCTGTCCGATGGGTGTACTAGTCAATGTTAGGATAATTCTGATTCATAGGTACCATGCTATGAGCATAAAGCCAGTCACTTACGTGCAACCATATGCAAGCGACATAATCCAAGGCTGAGGCTGTCTTTCAGACCAGGGGAGGGAAGCAATACGCGAGCCCAGAGCAAGGCCTTCAAATGTTTCTGGGAGCGATGATCGTCAGCTTTCACACACAATCGACTTGGATTTGGAATTGCACACACGATGGAACACAATGGCAATCAGTAAAACCACAAACTCATTTCCAATTGAGACACTGAGAGACATGCCAATGAACACACTGTGGAATAGGATGCCCATTTCAAGGAGATACACCTGCATCGTCTCCTTCTTCTGCTTTTGTTCCGGTGTCAATTCAAAGATGTTCTCGTGTCGCTCGATATCTTCCTGGACGGCCCCATTATCTTTTTCGCGATGTGGATGAATCTCGGGGGCTGATGCAACACGAACAATGTCCCCGGAGTCGTCTCCCACGCGGTTCATAGCCCTGCTAATACTCGATGATCTTCCAATCAGAGGGCCCATGTCTCGTAGATGAGCTCTTCCACCAAGCGTGGACAAATAAGCTCCTTCATCGTGCCTTGGCAAAGGTGCCTGCTTGATAGTTCTCGAGTTCCCTCCCCGACAAATATGCTGAGCCGGACTAAATACCATTTCCGCAACAGTCACAATAAATATCCCACCCAGAGCGATGGCACCCGGCATCGCCGGGTAGTCCGTCGTCCAAAAATGAGACAAACAAGGGTCCCCAAGCGACGTGAACGCCGTAGGAAGAAGGTGCACAAAGGCAGTAGCAATCAAGACCCCCGTTCCGAAATGGCTAACGAAAAATAAGAATGAAGGCGGAATGCGTAGACGAGGGAATCGTGTTGCTAGTATTGGAAATGCGCAGGCAATGGTTGATGTTGCTAGGATGATGAATAGGGCTGCGACATGTAAGGGAAGGTCGTATGCCTCGCCGCGAACACCTCCTCCGGTTGCGCATTTTGATCTTTTGATTTGTGTGAGACGTTGGGGTTCGAGGGATTGCTCGATGATGAGCTTTTGTTTGAATAGCAAGTATGTGTTTAGTCTGGTGGATGAGATGAATACTGAACCACAGAGGACGGAGAAAAGCCATAATGCCCAGCTTTTGACAGTCTGGTATGGCGAGACGATGCTATTTGAAGCTTCGTTCTGGTCAGCTTTTGGGCCAACCTTGGATGGTGCGAGATGTCCTGCTATCACCATTAACAATAGAAGTCATCACCAAGAAAAGTGCTCGTACCTGACAATGTCAGGGACATCCCGCGTCCCGAGCAGAGGGAGTTCTCCTTCTCCAGCTCCTTCAATGGAGGAGCATCCATCCACTTAGAGGAACCATGCAATGCAGAAAATCCTCTTCTCCCATCTTTGTTCTCGCGAGTGTTCGCGATACCTTTGAGGTCTTGGCAAGTAGTCGAGTCCGGGGCGAGGAGGGACGGATTTTGGTTCCACTCGTCATGTTGGAGAGTGTCGTCCGTTCGCGAAGGGCAGTTCATGGTGGCACAGCGGGTACGTCTTCTCTTTTCTATTTGAGCAAGTAGGCCAAAGCAGCAGCAATTCCACATAGGACAGAATCTTCTGTCCACGACTCCCAAGGCAGATTGATTCTTGGTGCTTGGCGTTGAGTAGACTCCGCCGAGCTGGCTTGGCAGCGGACCCTCGTCGTCTCCGTGATTTGTCTAGAGGAAATAGACCTTAGAATGAGGGAGGAGTCTTATTGCTTGTACAATCTTCTGCTGTGTTTCTGAGAATTTGGTCTATTGTGGAGTTGCATAGATAGATTCATAGGATCATAACGGCATTCCCTGCTTGGATGTTTGCGATAATAGGCTTTAAGAAGCAAGAAATCTATATGAAATTATACAGTTTCAACAAGAAACCTCTCACACCAGCTACCTTCATCATCTACGCCCTGTCACTGTACTTCCGAACAAGCTTCTGCATAATCGACATCGCACCAGATCGATATCCACCACCGAAGATGGCATGGTGGTTCAAATGATGATACCTAAACACCAATCATCAGTCCTATCCTCATAGACTAAGCCAGATAATCAAAGACTCACAACTCGTACAGCCGTACTCGATCATCATACTCCTCCACAGGCTCCGTCTTCGGCACCACTCGATGATACAGCTCAAAAAACCTCGCCCCAAACCCCCCAAACATATGCATAATCCCCAACTCAAACTCACTATGCGCATAGCACGCAGACGGATCATAAACGAGATCTCCCACCAACTCCTCCCCCTCCCCCCTCCCCGGAACTATCCCCAACAATCCTCCCTCGATCAACATTCCCACTCCACAAATCCCCATGCACAACAACAGGCTGAATACCCTCCCCTTCACCCTGGGTATTATACCCCAGATGATCATCCGCAAGTAAACGCGGCACGACAATGTTCGCAGTCTTCTCAACGAGATCCCGTAGCCCCGCATCACGACCATTCCGTCTTTCCGACGACGCAAGAATACTCAAAAGCCTCTCATTCGCGTAGAACTCGGCCCAACTATCGTAAAATTTATTCGCTTGCCTCGTGTCACCACAAAACGTCGGCACGGGGAACCCATATCTCCGCCGACCACTCTCAGGATCAGCCGGTGTAGGCGTCGAATGTAATTTCCCCAATCTATACGCCAAACTGGACGGGTCAGTTTCATCCCCGGAATCCCGACCCATGGCGCCGCTCAGGTCGAGAAACTCCGTCGCGAGGAAGTAAGCATTCTTCTCGTCGAGGGAACCCCAGGCTAGTGCGCGGGGACAGAAACCGGGCACTGCGCGCGCGATGGCGTTGAGAGATTCGTATTCGCCGTGGAACATTTCTTGTGCTGCGGTGCCGTCTTTGGAAGTTTTGATGAAGTATTTGCGTTCTGAGGGTGTGCCGTTTGAGTTGGGGATTTTGGCGTGGAGGGTGCTGGTGCTTGTGAAGCCGGAGCCTAGACTGGATGAGTCGAGGGTACAGTATGCGGGGTCGGTTGGGAGGTTGAGGGCTTGGAGGATTGATCTTGGGACTGGTGACATGGTTGATGTGGTTTGTGTTGTTTGAGAGGTGTTGGAGAAGATTAGAGGTTGAATAACACGCTTGGATGATAGTTGTCAATGTCAATACTGGAAGGGTTTCTGATACTATGACGTCGAGTTTCTCCACAGATATCGATAAGATAAGAAGATTCTCTGATTTGTTTGACCAACACTGGAAGAGAAGGATAAATGTGAATAAGGTTGGTAAGCAACCTTAAAAGGCAAACGCTGTACAAATAAATAACTCGATCTAGGCTCGTTTTGGAATGAATATACGCAAAAAGCTTATGCACAGTTCAATTCTGAGGAACGCCCGAATCCAGAATCCAGGCCAAAATTACGCTCAAAGCTAAGCCAACGACGAGTTCATAAGATGTACCGCAGTCTTAGTCCGCTCCTTCACGTCCAGATCGGGATCGTCTTTAAGGCTATCCAGGCGGTCTGCGATGCCCAGAGCCTTCAACTGGCTAGCCCGCTCTCGGCATCCGTCGCGGTCACTCGAGTCCTCCACATAAAGGATATTAATGACTATCCACACGCAGTTGAGCCGCACTTCGCGGTTGGAGTGGTTGAAGTAATTTGTCAGCGATTGCAGAAGATCAGGGTGCGACATCAGCACCCGTCTATGACGAATGGGCCCTGCGGCGAGATGGATGACGACGGCGCTGACGGAGCTGAGAATTTCCGTGGGAACATGTAGGGGACGGCTGGACGATTCACGGCGATGAGCGAGCTGGATTGAGCGCGGGCGGAGGTTATTGGCGAGAGCATCCAGTAGCTCGTCCTGTCCGATTTCTCTGAACAAAAAGTCAACCATCTCGACAGCACCTTCGCCGCATATGATGTTGCGTAGCAAATCGAACATTTGCTCTTGAACTGCGATATCATCCTGTCGAGATTGAGTGGACTGCTCCAGCGATCCATGCAGAACAAGCTTGCGTCGGCGTCTCACATCTGGCAGGAACATGTCCAGGCTCATCTTCGAGGATGGCATGCTGTCACCCATCTTGAAGTCTTCGCCGAGCTCTTCAGAGTCTTCCATGGGGTTGAGAATATCGACTTGTTCGCCGAATGAGTTGACACGGCCCATGGCAATTCCCGAGCTTTGGTCCATCTCCTCTTCCATACCTCGCCTCGCTAATGCACTGACTTGGTCCTGGCTAATGATCTGTCGGATCCACCCTGGGCTGAGAGCTTCGATGACTTTCATTCTAACGTCATTGGGTGACATATATACAACATGCTTGAGTGCCCAAAGCGATTCAATTCGCAACTTGGTGTTGGACGAGCGGGCATGCTCGCAGAGAATTGGAATGATATCGCTCGAAATAATTGCCTAGTTCATTGGGTTAGGATGAGTACGCTGTACGGAGGTAAGTTGATCACTGACCTGTTTCATGGGACTGAAGTCCAGCGCCAGGTTACAAATTGCTGCTGTGGCAGCAATCTGAACTTCCAGGTCAGGATGCTTGATCAAAACGAACAGCGGCTGAGCAACGCCGGCGTCAATGAGACTGGTCCTCAACACACTAACTGACCTGGTCAACATCCGAGCAGCACCACAAGCAGCCAGTATTGTTGGCGTCGGGTTGCCGTCGGCGGCTGAATTCTTAGGCACTGATGCAGCATCAGCGGGCGCATCGCTAGGCCGAGGCTTAAGCGAGTCGATGATATATGGAACCACACCATTTTCACAAACCGCCTTACGGTACTCATCCTTGAATGGGACCAGTGCCGCCAGGGCCTTCAAGATGCTCTCACGGTACCGCATGACATGGCACAGGACGGGCGAGTAGCCAGGTGGTCCGAGTCGGCAGTCCGCCGACATGGATTCGGGATCTCGCGCTGGGCCATCGCCTTCCGCATACCACATTGGTCGTAGGCTCTCCGGGACCGGATTGTAAGTCTCTTTGAGCAGTTGAGATAGCCTTTTGAGAGCATTACCATCAACAGCGTGTTTCTGAAGATCTTGATCGTCCATGACCAAGTTAGCCAATACTGCCGGTGCTTCCTCCTTCAACCGCTGCGTTGGTGTGATGAGGCCATCATCACAAGGGTCATGGTCGTCTGGTATTTCAAAATCCTTGTCCAGCATACGAAGTAGAATCGGAACCAATAAGTAACTGAACATTGGAACCCGATGTTTCTTCGAGAGGCCGAGGCGGAAGAGGACCGTAACCAGCCGAGCAGCCATCAATCGAACCATGCCTCCCTCGGAACGGAGAATACATAGTAGCCATGGGACAATAGAATTTTCCTCCTCTTCTGGGGTTGGTGTCTCAGCCAGCGAAAACGGTGTGGGGAAGGAGTGACTATGGTGGCGCTGAGAGCTACTGTTCCCCAAAGGCGGGAAATTGGCCGAGTTTGGTGATGATCTCCCGTGCGCTAAAGGAACCGATGGCAGCAAAGTGTCGACTGGATTGGCGCCCGTGTTACGCGGGACCGCGGAGCCGGACAGGTAGGTCGACCCCCAGGGACCTCTTTTGATATCCGATGAGGCGAATCCGGGCACTTGTTTGGGAAAGACTGTGACTATTCCAGGTGAAGACAGGAAGTGCTCTGCCCGCCATTTCGACTGCTCAATGATTACCGTGACTGCACGAAGTATAGGAGCCAAGCGTGCGGATTTTGGTGCTGGGGCTGGGAGTTCCCCCAAGGAACCAGGGTCCTGTAGATTATCTTCAGCACCGGGAAGGACAAAGCCTTGCGCCACTACAAAGGTGGCAACCTTGACGGCGAGGGCATCCAGCACGCCAGACTCTGCCAAGGCTGTCTTGTGGATCTCTTCTGTGCATAGCTTTCCGATCAATGCAGCTGCCAGCTCGACACAGGCTCGGTTACGCGCAGAGCCATAATCTTGTGCAACGATTCGTCTGATTGAACCAATGTGCTCGCCTGAAAAGACCAAGTCTGCCAGACGGGTGTCTCGAGGCCATTGATCCTGGCTCTGCAGTGGAAGTCGGTCTGCAATGGTGTTCAAGAATCGCAGTATGGGGAGAGTAAAAGAGGGAGGACAATCTGGAGAAGATAGTACGGCGAGGAGAGTTGGGAGTATATCGCTAGCGAATATGGGAGCAAGGAATGTTGGTCCCCCTGTTCGGCCTAATAAGCTTCCGATCTATACGGCGACCATCGTTGCCGCGGGATTAACTTAAGACTTACCTTGGGCCAAGCTGCCCGCAATCAAGATAGCCTGGAGGCATGCTTCAGACTCGTCTGTGTTTTGATACAATGGGGCATGGTTCAGGGCGGTCCCATTGGACTCTGCTGCGGTAGCTCTCCCCGGCCGTCGCGAGCTAAGTAACTGCCCCAGAGCTGGGATGATACCGGCGGCAATATAGGTTTCTTTGCGCTGGTCATGGCCGATCAGTTCATTTTTCAGCGTACGCAGCAAAGCCACCTGTGAGGAAGCCGACTCCGAGCTCTGGAGCTGCAGCAGAATCGGCGGAGCAGCAGCTCGTGTCATCGTCCGAAGACCACCGTCTCCCAAGCGGGGAGATGCTCTCACAAAACCTCTCGCACTTTGATTGTCAGCTTCGGCGGGAATCCGAAAAGGAGAAATCAAGAGTTGGCTCTCTCTGTGCTGTGGTCGTATAAGCCTCGGTATCGCAGGGTCGCGTGGGTATCTGTGGCAAGCCGTCGGGGTTGCAGGGCCGGAGAGTTGGCAGTCAATGGGTCTTGCCCGGATTCAGCCAGTTGGGGAGAGGGGTCGCGTGTACCCACGGCGGGGCGTTCGATAACGGGGCCGGGGGAATGAGTTCACCTGACCGGTGTTGACTGAAATGAGATGGCAATGAGGTTGTCGCTAAGCTTACGCGACTGATTGCAGGGTTGATGATTAGCGTTCTAGCTCTCCTGTATCATTTGATGGCCTCCGACTCCGCAATGGCTGGGGGATGACTTCGCGGTTACGTAAGGAAGGCGGGAGAAAGGACACCTGAGGCAGAAAACTAAGAAACTCCAAGTTGCCCGATCAGGTGATTCAGGCATCAACCTCGAGCAAGTTATTAGTGCAGCCGTGAGTTTCAGGCAGAGTTGCCCTTTCCACGTGAGATATCTCTGCAAAACAGGGCTAGACCCTTGTCCAAATGATCCACAAGGAAGAACCAGCAATCCCCGCACAGCCATGGTCCAGTATCTCCGGTCTACGTAGTCCATTTCTTGATATTCCATGACGAGGTCTGTCAAAGTTTGCCATTATTATTATTATTCTTCTTCTCCCATTTTCGCGTTACCCCAAGACTTTCTCTTTCTCGGCCAAGGGCCATCATCACCTGACTGCCGAGATTTCCTGTATTGTCATGTCTTGTCACGCAGAGACGGCTCGGACCTTTCGGGGGGTGCACCCAGCCAGTCATCAGACTTCCCCGCCCTTCGGAAGGGCGAGAGTGGGGCTCTGGAAGAACGGCACCTTCGTCAATACATTTCCGTCCCCGTATGAACAATACTGTATTTCACACATTGTATGGGGGAAGGACCTCCCGCGGGCTGTGTCTAGCCCTATCCTCCACGTATTGGCTGTAATAAATTACCTCATCGCAAAGCAGGATTTTCCAAAGAGGTCCCGGTATTATTATGCATGACTTTTCCACTTCTTTCTTCTCCTCTTTCTTCCATCTCAACTACAGGACCCCAACCTTCGATGTGATCCCCATCTCTGTGCCCGCCAGTGTGAGACCCTCCCCGGATTCTCTGGTCTCTTTTCTCTTCCCTTTCCTCGCGAGGATGAGGCCGTGCGCCAGCGCCAATCCAGGTCCGCAGCGTCAACGCCTCGTTGACTCGTGCGCCCACGTGGTGCCATCGTGCACTTTGAGCGGTCGAGATTTGGATTGCAGCATTCCAACCACCCTCCAAGCTTCCAACTAAACCCGGCACAATCTCCACACGCCAGTAATCCGATCGACGGGAACCGTGTTCTGTCTTTTTTCTCCTCCCCCAGTCATGTTGGCTTCTTCCCCCTCGCCTTCCTCCGCGGCCTTGCGATCCTCTCACCCCCAACCGCATCCGCATCCACACCCACTTCCTCGCCCAGCCGGAGCTGCGGCGCATTATGATCCATCGTCCGCTCCACAATTCAGTAGTCCTCGCTCGTCGCGCTTGGCCATTGAGGAGCTGCGCTCGGCCCTAAATCGCCATACTGTCGACCCCTCCTCTCCTGAATCTCCTGCATCTTGGAGACGGCGCGTATCAACCGTATCAACGGCCTCCGTCGCCGCCTCAGTCGACACCCTGGCTCCCAGTTCCGCCTTGGCTGTTTCTTCCGGCCCTTCAGCCGCCTCTCCTGCGACTGCCCCCGTGAATATTCCGCTCTCCGCCGCCGCACCTCCTGCCTCTACTGCTTACACCCCCTCCACTCCCTCGATGCCTGCCCCGGACAGTTCGGGGTCCAACAAGCGCAACAGCCAGTGCGACCATCACCCGCCGGATGCGACGGCGCTGGCGGGATCCGTTCAGGATGGGGAGGCCTCACAGTCCAAGCGCCTGCGGTCTTCCCCGGAAGATGTTAAAATCTTGCCTGCAAAGTACGAGGAAGTCGACCCTCGTGACTTGGTAGTGCTGATTTCTAGCATGCTGATGGAGCTGATTCGCTTCAATGACAAGATCCCACTGCACCAGGGACGCTTGACTCGCTTCCACTCACGTTCGCCGCCCCGGATATCCGTGCTGGATTACCTGCAACGTCTGACTACCCACGCTACTCTTTCACCCCCAATTATGCTCAGCATGGTCTACTATATCGATCGCCTCTGCGCCCTATACCCGGCTTTCACAGTCTCCAGTCTGACCATCCATCGATTCTTGATTGTCAGTGCGACAGTGGCTAGCAAAGGTCTCAGCGACAGTTTCTGGACGAACAAAACGTACGCGCGAGTAGGGGGAATCACCATGAACGAATTGGCCATGCTGGAACTCGAATTCCTGTTCAAGGTCCAATGGCGGATCGTACCACAGCCAGAGGTGCTGGAGGACTACTACCAGAGTCTGATCGAGCGATGTGACGGCTTCGAAATCGAGCGCACCAGTACAAATCACAGCAATGCACCTACAGCTACGACGACGGCTGCCAACACTCCATCAGCGTAAAGAAGGTCTACGGTTGATTTTGTCTGGAATCACAAAGACCCGACAACGGCCGTAAACCTTTCCTCCCTTCCACTTCATCCATCCTCCCGCACTGGAGTCCTCGGGCTGGTCTCGAGTGCCTTCCCGATGCTGGAGCTGGCCCTACGATTCACCACACTACCTCTCCTCTTCTCTTCCTTCTCCTTTTCCTCCTCTCTAATCCCGATTTGCTTTTGCGACCTGATCTTAATGAACTGATTCTCTTGCATTTCACGGAGGGCGTTGTTTCAAAACAGCCGCACCCGTCATGCTCGTGATACTGTCCAGCTAGTCAGGAGATACTCATTTTTCGTGGCGCGGTCACCAATAGAAGGGGGGTGTCTATCTTAGCATACCCACGGCGGACGGTGATTTGTATCATGTTTCCAGCGGTTCATTTGAAGCGGATGATTCTGGCGTTTTGAAATGCTTTATGGGATAACGAGGTGTTATATATATCTATGACCAAATACCACAAAATTTCCCCGTTCTCTACTACTATACAACTCATCTGTGTTCCTTGGAGCTTTCTCCTATTTAAATTTTTTTCTTGCCCCGCTTGGCTTGTGCACGTTTGCATAGCCCCTTGCCAAAAGAAATAATTAAACTAAATTAAACTTTTCTTCTTGGGGGAGGACTTCCCGCCATCCATTACTCACATCACGTCCCATCTTCCACAACCGTCTAGGACTCGATTTCTGCCTCTACGGTGGAAGGGAACAGGGGTTGTTCCGGGGGTTGGGTTTGGTAATTAATTACCTAGTCTTCTTGGGAGTTTTTATGGAGAGGAAGGCTTGTAGTCCCATGGAATTTGGAAGCCTTGGCCCTGTTGAAGCGCGATGTTATGGAGGGGTATCAACGTGGTTAGCAAGTCCGCGGGTGTGTCGTCTCGGGGGTCGTGGGAGTGGCATTTTAGTGGTAATAGGTATATAGCTTGTGCATGTATATGGAGTAGCTGGTTTCCTTGAAATTGAAATGTAAAATATTCGTGCTTATACTTTGTGAGACTACTGTCGTGGATGTTGTAGTCACTAGTTAAAGCTTGGCAGTGGTTCCAGAGAGTAGATTCCATCCATGCTAGCTACCTAGTGCTTATCCTCTTCGCCATACGGACAGGTCATCAGTATACGGGACCGCTGATTAGCAGTTCTTGAGATCCATGACTGGCGGTTAATGCTCTATTCCTACTGTCAACTCACGCGGGGGTTCTTTCTGTGGTACTGACTGTCGATCTACGAGTACAAACTCAATCTTGTCTAGCCGGATTATCTGGAACGGACTGTATGAGGCATAAATATGACAATAGAATAACACAGATATGATTTTCTACCAATAATATGCCCCTGGGTGACCCCTTTGTCTAATAGTAGAGGTCTTGCCGACTGCCCGCCGGATTAGATGTTTGAGTCAACCGGGAGATTCCATGGTGAGATTCAGAGTGTGTCACGGTAGCTTTGGCTTTGGCTATCAACATCTGCAGGCTTAAGAGTGATTAGTCCCCCGAGCTCTAGAGGGAAGTGAGTTTAAACCACTTCCTTGATAGGCTTTCACAATAACCAGACAACCTCAAGATGTTTCGATTATTCGCAGATCTTTGGCTGGATGACCCCCCAGAAAATGAATCAACGTCTCTCAAGACAATTCTACCCCTAATCCAAAACCTTGAACAGAACATTTCCCAAGGCATGTACCTTGTTAAGGTGATATTTATCCCCTGAAAACTCGACTGACATGGCATTAGGGACCCACCAGCTGTCTACGTGGGATATGAATGCCGCATTTGAAAAATATCGAGACGAAGAAGATGCTTGGTGGAAGTCACATAATGTCCAGCGACCCCGCGAATACCTTGTCCGCCCCTCGGGCCGTCTTGATGCTCCAGTGGCCTGCCATCTGTTTAACCCCACGTTCATCGTTAACGACCCTTGTCTTGGCGAGATGGATGACCCATCTAATCCATGTATTGCACAGCTTCATGACGTTGGATTTACCTCTGACAACTGTCTGATGTTTGATCATTCAGCTCGAAGAGAGGACAGCAGACATTCCAAGGTGCTCTATCCTCCGGATCTTTGGGATATCCACGAGACTTTTGTGTTCACCCTTCGGTACCACATGGCAGCGGCTGTGGAAATCTGCTGGGGCTCAAATGTACGTGAGCGTATGCTCAGGCGACTACAGAACACCCTACGCGTCTTACCGCTCTGGGGTCGTTACAAAGGCGTGACCCTTTACTTGGAGCTCACCGAGGATGAAACCTCGGTAAAACGATTCATCATATTTGCGAATCACCCACAGTTTTTCATATTTATGAAAGGAACGAATGTTCGAGCTCACGCCTTCCGAGCAGAGCAAGGAGGCCGACAGAATCTACTGTTGGAGGTAGCTTCTTTATTAGGAAAAGTTGTCATCAATCCCCAATTTGACCAACTTAGCCCCTACTACTTCAACCATTTCGGCCAGCAAAGGCAATTCGAGATCAGAGAGATGCCTGGAAAGGCCAAGCCTACGCGGAGCTCAAATCCGCTTTCCCAGGGGTGGAATTCTTTTCTTCGGCGCAGAGAACGCTTGGTATCTCTCGGAGGGACCATAATGAACTACAGGACGCCAGGCTGCCTGAGATTAACCATGCTCTGACGACACCCGATATCGTAGCTGGTGATGATCTCACAAATGAGAAGGCTCTGGTAGGGCAAATCTGCTTGAAATTCAATTTCACTGCTAGTACTGACTTTAACATTGCGTAGAAAGAAGCTCGTCTTCAAGAAGTTGCCCTATTTTGGAAAGATTTACAGGACCTAGTTGTTATTTTTGCGCCTGATGCGTACTTCAATCTCGCAGACAAGGACCAATGTCAGAAGATTATTACCAAAATCGAGGCATGTGAAGAAGAGCTTTATCACTGGGAAGAGCTCCCAGTGAGCTTGGCTGAGTTCATCCACGGCCAAAACGGTCTTCGAATCGACCAACGCCCGATAGAATGCCGCAAAGAGGCCGAGACAGCTTATCGACTTCTGCATTGTACGGGCAGTCCAGAATGTCTAAGCATTGTTGGACTTGCTTTGTCCATCTTGATTGCATACGCTTGGAATATACATCGCACACCGAGAAGAACCGTGATAGACTTGATGGTTCTAAGGACGCCACCCAAAAACATTGTTTCACGGGTTTGTTCCGCATGTGGCGGAAGTGTATTAGACGACCCCTTTGCATATTTTGCAAAGAACAACCCGGATTACTATGTTGTCAGAAGCTCACAGATTGGCTGCGGGCTTACTGGCTGCAAAGGAGGTCATATTCTTCTTCATCCTTTGGAAAGAAGTCAGAAATATATCCGCGCATTGATCGATACATTGGAAAATATCCCCAATCCTCGGTTTCGTGGGGGAGCTCCATGGGAGAAATACTTTCTTCGCCATGGTCAAGATGAGCTTGGAGATCTCCCTCGAACAGTGAGACTAAAATGCCCGCATAAAGGGTGCAACGGCACCCTAGAAGATGACGCTCCAAGGTGGACAATTCAACCAGTACCGACAATTGTGCTTCGTCAATTTACATGTCCGGAATGTCGACGCAAGTCCGACTGGAAACCCGTGGATTACTCAATCAAATACATCACTAGTGAAAGTCTCAGTCGCACCTGGAGCAGATTCAAGGAAAGAGGTTGTGATCTGACTCAGTACCCTCGCCGGGCGGATGTGTACTTTTCCCAGGGCCACATAAATAATAGAATCGCGCAGCTCAAGGAGCTCAAGAGACTGTCCGAGCAGAATAGCACAGATTAATAAGCTAAATGGATGTTTGAACGTGTTATAGATGTTCCTGTCCTTATTCTCTCGTGTAGATCACCAAGCATTGAGGTTTTCTCCTTACCCTTACTTGTAGGTTAGAATCATGTCACATTCTGTGATTTGTTGACTTGTACGCTATTTATATGTCTTTCTCGCAGTGAATATTACCGTATCCCAAGAAATCTGGCATGGGTCGCTTCTATTCGCCGCGTTTATGCTGTATTGCTTTCCTTGCGTCAAAATAAGTCCAGTGTATTGTCCCCTTGTTGATCAAACTTTGTCTTTAAGGCCTCTCGTAAGACAAATGCTCTGTATTTATGCAACAGCTAGCAAATAAATATACTCCTTGAAGGGATATCAGCATATCGGTGCTCCAAGTTATGGAATGACTCACTTCTTTGCAGATCAAGTCGTCCGCTGCAACTCCAGTCATCGCAGATATCAACCAGCAGAACCATTGTTAGGTCGAGTTATGTATTTTCTCCCACTTAGCACAACGGGACATTATGAACAGTAGGAAAAATAATTTAAAAAATATCAAACAAAAGGTCGTGCCCGGGATCGAACCGGGATTGCCAGAAGGCAGATATTCTCAGAATCTGGAGTGATGAACCATTACACTACACAACCTTGAATTGTTAGTCAGCGGAGGTTAAAACTTTTCATGAAGTTTGCCCTGTGTGGAGATGCGGAACAATATACAGTACTTCATGACTGGCTATCCTATTCAGGACAAGCGTGGTCATTGGTAACTCTATGGGAATTCTGACTGTAGTTATCAAATTCCCTTGGGACTATGACATTAAATTTGGTAGACAAGAGATGTGTTTCTTGATGTTTAGATCGAAGCGCTGAGAAACACCTCTCTTTAAGCGCAGAGTATTGGAGACTCTTTGTATAACAATGCCAATATCGGCCGAGAATGGATGATTGTTGGCAAGTCTTTGAAGGGACAGAAGTATGACGGACAGTAATTCTCCAAATTTCTGCTAGATTCTTTGTGGGAACGTCCTCATAAGAATCTCTGTAGTCAAAGCTGAGATACAGGTCGTCAAGCTTGATCATGTGGGCAGGAGTAGACTCGCCCTGGTCTCCCATGACAGGTTTAATTTGATAGATAGTGTAGTGGTTAATGGCAACATCCAAGCACACGTGGTAAGATTGCTTTTCTTTTTCTCAAACCAGATTTTGTATTGAAAGGGTTATTATTGTTTGTTTGCGTGTCAACAAGGAAGGGTGGCCTCATATACAGAAACAAAGTTGGGCACTGGACTACTCCTCTCGGAATTATCTTATAAAATGATCTTCGGATATCTGAGAAATAGATCATTCGGAGCATGATAAATAATAATCGTGCATTTAAGCTGCAACGACCGGGGTTAAATAGCAGGTGAAAAAAAACATGATAAAAAACAAAAAGGAGAGGTCGTGCCCGGGATCGAACCGGGATTGCCAGAATCAGAATCTGGAGTGATGAACCATTACACTACACAACCGTTCTTGTTGAAGGACCAGGCAGATTTTTGGCTTCATAAATCACTGCAACCATAGGCATCAAAAAAACAATCGTCCCAGCGGAAGCTTGCTCATCCTGGTGGAGAACGTCTCCGAAAGGAATGCCTATTATTATACAAGAGTGAGGCTGACACGCCTGCTAGCACCTTGTTAGTCGTGTCAATCGAGTAAGTAACCCGATCATGTCTTAGATGAGCAAAAAAAGATAAATAGAGCAACCATTTCCTAACCAAAAAAACCTGTTACTGTTACTGTGGGGGCAGAAAAAAAAGGTCGTGCCCGGGATCGAACCGGGATTGCCAGAAGATCTTAATTCAGAATCTGGAGTGATGAACCATTACACTACACAACCTGATTCGTTGAAATGATCTGTCGAAATAATGCTACATGAGGCAGGATTTATGAGGCAGCCCGAAAAGCAGGCCAATGACGCAAATTTCAAATCAACAGGATCCAACCTAACAGCTGGTAAGCGTGCCGGCCGATAAAAATTTTAGAATACATGATGTCACTACCTTCACTCCCAAAAATTCCTGTCTGATTAGGCAATGAAAAAGAACAAAAAAGGTCGTGCCCGGGATCGAACCGGGATTGCCAGAATGTCCTGATTTCAGAATCTGGAGTGATGAACCATTACACTACACAACCTCTTATTGGTGACGAAACTGTGGAATCCTATCTCAAGAGCGAATATCGTCGATACGCAATCTAATCAGGAAATTCGTTCCTCGGTATTAGGGCATTTTGTCTTCGTACACTTCGGGGTGCTAGGGAATTCAAACTATAGGAATAGTATTCTAGAAATACTTGTTTCAAACCTCATATGATGGTAAATACGGCCACATTTATGAAATGGATTATAGGTACTTACCTTGGTGCATTATAGTCTGCTGGACAAAACATTACCGTCATTCCATGCCTTAGAGCAACTGAGTATCCTTCATATACCTCTTCCAGGGTGAGGTTATTGTTGAGAGACACTAAACTGGAAGTACGCACACCCATGAACGCGTCCAAGGATTAAGACAATGCTGCAGATATGTCTTCTTCTCGGCGGGAAGGTTGACATTCCAGGAAGACGAAATAGAACAAGAAATGCATGAACCGGGTAGCGTCTAATATAACAAGCTTTTCATGTCTAAATAAATCGAGTCGCTAGAATAATTATCATATAAAAATCATCAGTTAGGTTGGTAGGCAGGTTAGTATGTCTACGTGTAGAGAAGAACATGCGTTGATGACTTAGCAGGTAGTGGAACCGTAGTATCCAATAACACTTCGAATCTTTGAGTCTGCTAATCTACTGGCTAATATAATACGATAATTGAAATGCGCTAAATGGACAGACTAGGGGATATGGCTACGGCCGTATAGAAACTTATATAGGACTCAAAAGAAATGGAACATCACCGTGTTCGACAATATCTATCCCCTTTACGGACAAACTCCACATCTATATTCTTATTGTGAGCTTGATTCCCTACAAATTCCTTGCTAGCATCCACCTTGTCTACTAACACTAACCCGCCTCAGCCTCTACCACCAACCAACCAACCATGAAGCTCATTACCCTAACAATAACCACCTTCCTCGCCCTCCTGACCCCAACCGCCCTAGCCTGGGACGAAAGCATATCCGAGCGCGAAGACCCCTACACCCGGCTCCTCCTCAAGAACAACCTCACCGAAGAGGTACTCGGCGAACTCTGGCTAAAAGAGGCCTGGGAGAACAAGCACTGCATCGATATTGCGCCATTCCAGGCAACGTGGATCACAGTAGATAGATGGAACTGCGGGACTCAGCAATGCACTGCCTTCGAGTCAACAGACTGCACTGGTGAGGGATATGCCTTCTTCAGCCGGGGGTTAGATAAACGTGTCGGGCAGTGGTTGTCGGTCCCGTGGGGGTCTGTGAAATGTGGGTGGGAGGATCGTAGTTCTTGCAGTGAGACTGCGCCTATTACGTCTGCGCCCGGGCATACGCCGAAGAGGTAGTAGGGGATGCGAGGCATCTTCTGTTGGGTGTTGAGAAACAAGTTGTTTCAGGATGTGAAGAGGCAATGGAGAAGGTAGCAGAGTGTTATTGTTCACTAGATTGTTGCGAGGCTATCACATCTCAGAGTGTATTGTAATAAATCTGTAATGATGTATGGAGTCCCCTAGAACCGCTTGGTAGATCCCGAGATCTGTCTGCCCGCTTCCCGCCTCCCATCAGTCCTAGGTTGCCAGTTTCCCTCATTCTTCCCGCACGCAGCACAGCCTTCGTGTATCTCTATACGCCCGCCAGCCATCCCACAGAAGGGTGTGCTTAGTAGAGCTGACGATTTCCCGACCCCTCACATAGATGTTTCCTCGGCTACTGGTTCAGGGAGGAGAATACCTACGGTACATTCTTCTGATCGTACTTTTATAAGGAAGATAAAGCCGCAGTGGGTGGCGAAGAGCTTATTTCGTACTTTTCTTACTTGAAATTAGTATTTTTTAAGGGGGAGTAGGGTCGTGAGACGGTACAAACTGATTAAGCCATGACGACGATAACAATTATATTTCCCCCTAAGCTTATGTCTAATGACTCCTAGGAATAAAATCTAAGGCTAGAAGCAAAGACCGGTTTGAGTAATCCCGCATTGCCCCCCTTGTAGCCCCTTCAAAGTAGTAGTTTGCCTTCGTCATCAGGATATTCTGGTGTCCTACAACTTTGAAACTATCATGTCCATGGTCACTAACATTCGATGAGGAAAGTGACCTCATCACACTGCTTAAGCTGACCATAATATATATCCGGCCACTGTGCTTTACGCCCATACGCTACGTAGACTCAGAGCATTAAAGTATGCCCCATCCAATAATTGTCTGCGGTTTCACCCGTAACATAATTGTATGATTCTAGAAGTGAAGCCTAGAGCCACCATTGGTTATGTTCGTACTTTCTGTAGCGTGAAATTTGCGCGTCCTAGATATCACATGGACACTTTCATGGTCTTTGCAGATTGTTGTGATATCATTCTTACAAGTCTTTTTGTATTCATAATCTATCTCATGATCTCAGGAAACCCATTAAAAAGATGAAATGCTTCCTCGGCAAGATCGAGGTTTTTAGCAGTGCAGCTGAACTTGGTTTATACGAGTCTTCTTCTGCTACTAGTTTTCTCATCAATTAAGTGACCAAATTATCGTTACTGTTAACACTTCACCACTTATGGAATACTGGATACTCTTAAATAACATATCTGAGTTCCGATCCTATTCCTGCTCACACTCATGGCAATCTTAACGAATCTCGTTATATTGGCAACGGGCCTGATGTCTATAACACATGCCCAGACCGTTGAGCAGTGTGCTACAACCGATTGCGTTCTCACCGATGCGGGGAATGGTGTTATGGTTTGGACACTGACGCCAGCCTGCAAAGCAGTATGCTCAGGCGGAGGGAATTCAACAGCCAGTGATCAATGCCCTGAAGTACAAAATGAATGTCTTTCTAACACATGCGATCGTCAAATTGCGGCATGCTGCACTGTTACGCCATGTCCTCCTCAATGTTCCGCCTTCGCAGAAAGCTGTATTCTCGATTACGGGTATCAAAGCAAGAGAGCCAATTAGCTGTTGATTAGATACCTAGCTACTAGCAAGATTGGTAGTAGGAAGAAGATAGTGTATATGAAAATCTTTTTTTACTTAGAATTAGAATCAGTCTTGCAGAGATTTCTGGCTATCTTTATACTTGCGGAGTAGGTTGCCTTAGGTCTTTAATATAGCTAGTACTATCGTTATAGACTAGCTAGTGACGTAGCTAGGTAGGTAGTCAATTCGTTATATAGTAGGTCAAAAGACTGCTTAATAGCCAGTTATAATCTTCTACCGATATTTAATAGGTTAGATGATAGGTAGGTGTAGTCTAAAGATCTAGATAAGGATTACCTAATTCGGCAAGTAGGGCATAGGGTGCGGGGTCTAGGGCATCATCCCGCCGATCTGAAATCTTGAACTTCTTTGGTGTCACCGCATCACCGTGTCGCGCTCTGTCGCGTCTTTGATTACAAGCAGACCAGACGCGTGACCTTGGAATCTTTGTTGACTTTCTTACAATGCGATAAAAATTTACAACCCTCTCCTTCCAGCTCTTCAGCTGCCCTCTTCTCTTCATCTTCCAAAACCTGAGAATCCCATCCCAACCTGGATCTCACCACGATGGAACCTGCAGAGATAGTCAAGGCCATAGAGCCTCTCCAGGGAGAGGTCATCCCAGTCAGAACCATCCAAGAGACTCAGCCACCTGAGGACTTTGGTATGTCATTCGTACTGCGACCTGGCCTCCTCCATGACGTCGAATCTAACTCAGATCTACAGCCGATGCATACGTCGCCGAAGTCAACGTTAAAGCTGCCTCAAAGGTGATCAAGTGAGTGCATCCTGGCTAACCCAGAATGAGGAACTTTGCTGTCGACGGTATCTAATTAATATTCCCAGGGCTCTCGACTCTGCCATCCCTCGCGATGCCTCTCTCCCCATGGCCCATCTGCGTCGTTTTGCGAAACGGATCATGCTCCCAGAGCATCTACTCGCAGCCATTGAAGCCGATAAATCAGCTCCTGCGAATAACGGCCAGACAATATTCGTTGTGATCCCACCTCCATACCCGGATGTCGAGACCTTGCAGGGCATACTGGCTCCGTTCGCACCTCTGCCTCGCCGTCGCAGCTCGGCTACACCCCCCATGAACTCCTCCCGCCCATCTTCCCCCTTCTCGAACCCAGGTTCTCCGGAGCCTCAGCCTCCTACTATTCGCCTCCTCAAGACTCGCATTCCCATCTATCCGCCGTTCAACACAGCCCAAGCTGAAAGATGGACCCGAAAAATGTGGCCGGTGGTCTTCAACCCCGCCGCACCCCGCTCTACCGTCGCACCTCCCCCTCAGATTCTTAGTCGCGCTCTGGAATCTATCAAGCCCCGTGCAGGCTTCTATCTCTCCCTGGCGCGCAAAGTTGCCGAAGAATCGAGGCAGTCCGGCCGCGGTCGTGGCGTCGGTGCCGTCATCGTTGACCCCGCCATCGAGGAGGAACTTGAGAATAATGCCTGGCGACAATGTCGCGATCCTACCGAGCGATGGATGGACGCCGTTCTCTCCGTCGGAGGCGATGCCCGATATGCACGCTCGGAGGCCGGTGCATCCTCCCAGGCAGACCGACACCCTGGCGTGGCCCCAAACCCAGCGAGCACCAGCTACGATGCTGATCTCGAAGGAGGACCGGATCTCCATGCCCTGATGCGCGCAACGGAGCTCGTCGCTCGACGCCGACGTGAAGATGATGAACATCTGGCTCAATACACCGAATCGGTCCTCCCCGTCACCGCAACGGACCCGCAGTTATCCAACGAGCTCAGCCCACTTGAGTCTTTCTTCCTTGACGACGTCTGCGGTCCATCCTCACCCCCCGAACGTATGGCTACTCACTTGTCGCCTAGGAAGCGCAAGCATGAGTGGCCCAACCCGGAGACCACCACCGTGACCTGGCCGGACGTCAACAACGAAACTCTCGATCCAGCCGACTCATTCACTACACCCCTCCCAGCTCCCCCGCCCTCCGCTACAGCCGTGGGCGAACCCACCATTCCAACCCCGACAATCAATCACGAAACCTCGCAACAAGATTCCTCTGGATCCCCCACTCCACCTCAAAACTCCCGCATCCGCACCCGCTCCCAGGGTGGATACCTCTGCACCGACTTGGACATCTACCTCTCCCACGAGCCATGTCTGTGCTGCTCAATGGGAATGCTCCTCTCGCGCTTCCGCGCGGTGATCTTCCCCCGCGCCGGCCGTATGCCCAGCGGCGGCATCGCCTCGGAGCCGGTTGTCGCACCCACCTCCGTCGATTCTGACTCCGAAGATGACTTCTGGGGCACCCACGAGGTGGTTGGGAAATCCGAGGACCGGCTGTACTATGGCCTGCACTGGCGCAAGGAGCTGAACTGGCGCGCTCTTGGGTTCGAGTTTGTGGAGCACGAGACTAAGGAGGATGGCGAGAAGGTTGCTGTAGCTTTTAATGGGCATGGCGAGGACGTTGCCTTCCATGCATAGATGAGCGCGCATTCATATCACTGTAGAACAGTGATCTACTGATGTCGGATTATGTTAGACTAAATACCATGTACAATTATCTTCACAATTCTGTTGTTGTTGTAATATCGGGACCTGTGAATTACTACATCTGGTTAGTTTTGCCGTTCCCGGACTAGCGCCCTAATACACTGTCATGTAAGCTCTCCCTCCGTTGCTCCGACATGAAAGACAAGGCCTGCCCTCTCGACCTCTTTTTCCCTCCCTCTTCCCCCCTTCAACTCCTCTATCTTGCACTCGTCGCCGGCCCCTTTCTTCCATTCTGTCCCCTACCGACTATTGCGCCTTGGCTTTCAGCCCAACGCACTGCCCGTTTCATTTCACCGGAGATGCCACTCGATCCGACGCCTAGCTCATTCTCGCTCCTCCCGCTGGACTAGCAGTCGCACAGGGGCAGAACCACTGAGATGATCCAGCCCGCAGTGGTATCGCGAGACTTCTGTCGATACTCCTACTCCTTCCCCAGGGGAGTGACTGTGCTCCATACTACGAAGCTATCTATGTCTTCCTCTACCGGTGAGCCTTGTTCGTCTCTGATTGCCGCAGCCTGCTTCACATCTGCAAGGTGCCGGTATATCCTCTACGCCGCATTCCCCGCTGCGTGCGCCCACCTGAGGTTACATTGCACAGCCCCTGCCGTCAGGAACAGCTCTCGGTTGTCTGGTCGCGAATGCTGTGGCGCCCAGTTGTCGTCATTGTTGGTTTCCGGTTCCTCTACACCTAGTTGATGAAATCTTTGAAAGCACAGCTCGGTGATATGGTCCAATAGCAAATATACCACATACACCACTGACCTCGATCGATCCTGCATCATGCGACCCGTGCTCGGATTGCGACTGCGAAACCATACTATGGCCCCTGCGTCACATATCGAATGGCGAACGGGCTGATTGCTAATGTGGACATGCATCATAACGGAAACTGTTGCCGATGAACTACAGCTCGTGGTTGTAGATTGTGAAACTGACATGATATTGCGTCTTTGGATGGAATGCTACTCACCCCGGTCGCCCTACTCCGTACTTCATGGAAAAAGTAACCCACGCTTGAACGATCTGGACAGCTCAGTCATGCAAGAACTACTCGATCGCACAGACGATACGAGTCTATCTCAAGAAGGCAGTTCTGACAGGGCGATGCCGCAGTAAATGGAATGGATTGACTGTACGGACGCCGAGAAGCAATGAAAGAGAGTGTTTAGGCGGTGATCCCGACTCCCGGAAGTTACAAGTCCTGAAATCCGACCAAGAAAAGCTGAATATGCGAGCCTTCATTACGAAAAGAAGGACGTAATTTTCTCAAAAAAAAGGCGTGGTCTTTTGTCGATTTACGTTATGAAGACAAGATATGGCACGTTACTGTAACCGCAGAATCTCGCAGAGACGAAGTGGTGCTCGAGAGACTAGGTAGGTCTGTGCGCCGCCACAGCTACCGCAAGCTAGAGCGCACCATTAGACAGGACGCAAATTTCTCTCGACATATTCTCCGTTCGTGCTCATTGACCTGGCCTAAGCAAAAAGCCTTTCTCTGCTCATCAGCAAAGAACTAATGATACCAACTGCGCCAGCGACAAGCGGAATAACGAATGCTCGTGCCATCGCCGATGTAATTGCTTGAATAGCCGCACTTTGTAGATCACCATCCAGCTTTTCGAACAGTGTGCTCTGAGCTCCTGCGACAGCACCATGGATATCAGCCTGACTGAATCCCTGGCCGTCCAAAACATGAGTCAAGTTATTCACGGCATTTGACTGGAATGCCTGGCTAGCAATCACGAGACAAATCACAGTGGCTCCAATCTGCGCGACATTCTGCAAGTTGATGGCGCTGAGCATGTCAGTGGGCTTGACCTTCAGGCTGCCCACAGAGTATCCCAGCTGCATGGTTATGCCCGTTCCGACTCCCATCAGAATGCTGAAACCGTAAATTTGAGCAGCCGGCGTCGATGGAGAGAGATAAGCCACAAATAGTGCGCCAGCAATGGTCATCAAGATCCCAGACACCAAGCACATCGGCATATAGTACTTGATCTTCGGGAGCGCCCAGCCAGAAGCCAGGTTGAAAGTGATGGTGAATAGTAGATAAGGAAGCAATCGTACCGCAGCCATGAGTGACGAGTCGTTCCGAGTAAACTGAAAGTAAATCGGGATGTAGAACGTTGTGAAGAACATGCAAGTATTGGCACAAGTGGTTGTGATGTAGAACAGGACCTGAGTCCGGGACTTGAGCAAGTGACCGGGGAACGATCTGCACTCGAGAGTTGTAAAGATGCAAAACCCTTGTTGTATGGCGTAAAGAGCAAGAAGAATTCCCCAAACCACAACCATTGCAATGGTACGACCGTCGCTCCACTGCCAGGCACCGCCGGCAAAGATGAATCCCATAGCAAAGGTCACCCACATTCCTGCGCTGAGAACAAACCCAACATAGTCTAAACCCAGCAACCGGTCTCTGAGGGATCTTCCTGGAGCTGGATGGATTGCTGGAAGATAGTATAGGTAGACCGGGGCTGTTATAGCACCAATAATCAAGTTGATGTAGAATCCCCATCTCCAGGTTGCGGAGGAATCGGAGAAACCACCGCCAACCACGGGGCCCAGGATCGCTCCCAGGCCCCAGACAAAGCCAGTACCAGCAAGGTATGCACCACGTTCCTCTCTAGTGGTCATAGCAGAGAAGTGATTCAGGCCACCCAAGTATATCCCTGTTCCTCCCGCACCAGCAATCATGCGTCCGACTATCAAGGCGCCCATGTTCGGGGCACCACCGCAGAGAGCGGAACCACCCTGGAACAATGCAATTCCTGCAATGTAAAGCCATTTCATGTTGAAGGTCGTGAAAAGAAAACCGTAGGGAAGGATGACAGAGACGGATCCTAGAGGGAACCCGGCCCCAATCCAGGCGAGTTGATCGACTTCATGGAATCTCTGAATCACTGCCCCTTGCACATCTGCAGCAATGGTCGTATCAAGTCCATACATCAGGGCCGACAGATATAGGGCCGAACAGACCAAAAACCAACGGTACCCGGTGATTTTGCGAACATCTTCCTCCGCGGTCCCTGAATCCCCTTCGTCATGTTTTTCGTTGCTAATGGGATAGGCGGAAATTTCTTCCCCTCCTTGGCGAGCAGGTTGGGTTTCGATGGTTGCGGAATGTCTTGGGCTGGTTTCAATGATGTCTTTGACCGTGCTCGAGGTAGATTCGATCGGTGTGGACACAGCCATCATGTAGCGTTTCCAGAGGGCTGGCTTGAGAAAAGAAGGAGTGACGTGCGGTGATGGGTAACCAAGGCTATATATCTCAAAATTAGCAACCAGTCACGCAACACTGATAGCTATTTTTTTTCCCTTTCTTTCTCCTTCCCGCCAGAGGGAGATATCATGGATCAGAAAGGATATGGCCTACCGTAGATAGTCAATCTGGCCTTATTTCCGTTATAGCCGTTCAATAGAGACACTGGCCGTAGATCAATGAAGAAGAAGTTGATCGATACTTGAAATCTACCACGGAAATAGGAGTTAGGAGACGAATTAACTAACGCCGAACATTCTGGCGAGTTGTAGTATCAAGCCCGATCTTCGTCGGCCGAGCACGCCAAGACCCGCCCAACACCCGACAGGGCACGACTTGGCATCTAACGTCCTATCACAGCCCACGATTGAGCTTAGGACTGGGTATGTGGTCACTAACCCCTGCGGTTCAGCATGAGCAATTGCCGCTTTCAAACAGCAGAGGAAAAGAACTAGTTGCAAGAGGTTCACGGGGATAACCGGCCCTAGCATGGAGAGAAGTTCCATCGTTAACATCACACCTTTACCCTTTAGGGGTATTCAGACCTCGTAGAACCTCGGAAGAGAATTTGTCTACCAAGTTAAAAGATTATATTTTGCAATTTCAAAATTGAGATGGAACATAGGAGTTGTATACGTCGAGATTGGGGAATTATTCACATTGATGAACGGAAAGACTTATCTTGCTGGCCAACAAGGTGTTGGATACACATTGAAGTAAACAAGAATTCAGCTTGAATTTGAATCGGTAATCAAAGAATAAATGTAAGGAAAAAAGTTCAACCACTAAACTATGCGGCAATAGCCTCCTGCACGATAGCCTGTGCCATTGCATCAATGCTTGTTCGTGCATCCATCAAGTCCAACATGCTCATGTTTTTTCCAAACGCTCCATTCAGCCAACTCCGAAATTCTGCAGCCAGCAAGCTATCGATCCCATGATCAACCACTGTCTTAGCTGCTTTGACCGCAGAGGGGTCAATAAAGAGCATGCCCGCCACCATCGCCCGAATGGCCTCGGTCACCAGTGCGACGGTCTTCATGACTTCCCCTTTATCTTGATCACTTCCAAGCTTCCTGATTGAGGTATCAAATTGTCGACGGAGTTGCACGGTAGGCGACTCATCAGCACCGTTCGAGCTGGCCACGCCCTTGTCGCTACCATCCACATTCCGATGGCGCCACCCATCGTCCAAGGCACGTAGCATCAAAGACACGCGAGGGTCGTGGTACCACCGAGGTACAGCACTAGAGGTAGACGTCTTGTCTTCTGTTCGTTTCATGTTGACCAATACGGCTGGGTCAATGCCAGTGACGATGTTGGCCGCGGAAAGTGGATCCTGTCTATGGCCGAGATAGTGATGTTCGGTCTTCGGATTGCTCACAAATGCAGGCTCCAAAGCTCGCAATACCTGACTACCCGTGACAGTTTGACCCTTGGCACGGACAAACAGATTGACGGTTACGGCATCTTGGGTAAGAGCTCCTAGATCATTGATGAATCCAAGTGATACCGTCGTTGCCGGTAACCCACATCGACGTCGATAACGTGCGAAATAATCCAGGAAGTTGTTGGCCCCCAGGTAGGTGCTTTGGGTAGGAAAAGCGTAGACAGTCCCCAGGGAAGAAGTCATGACGAAGAAGTCCAAGGGTAAGTTGGCCGTGGCT